CTTCCACAAGCCGTTGCGTTGAGTTCTGCCCTTTCGTATGCACAGTTGTCCGCATGCTGCGGCCATTTCCCTTTTGGAAATTCCCCAGCCCTAATTTTAGGGTGTACGTGCGTTATACATTCGTCATTGTAGCAGATTTTCCATGATAACATCCGATGCTTTGGATGTTGCTCAAGCTGTAAGCAATTGCACCATGCCGTCTGGCATTTCCATTCCTTCATTTGTTTCGTTACGCTCATTCTTCCTTCTTTCTCATACCATGGTGTTATGATGCACTGCATCCTTTCAATTCTGGTGAGGTCATGGTTGGTATGGACACATGGCTGATTCTTCGGGTCTTCGCCATAAGGTAGTTGAATGTAGTCGTTCATCCAGGCTTTTACGAATCCATCTCGTGGATCATCGTCTTTTCTGCCTATTTCGGGGTTACGAGTTTCTTCGAAACTCCCAGCTTCACTGAGCTGCACCACCTTTTTCTTCGAGGGGCTGATGGTGTTCCATTCCTGCGTCAATTTCCATTCGCAGTTTGATATCTTCGCTTGCTTCCTCTTTCTTGGGAAGTAGCCCTGGCTTTCTTTTGCTTCCCCATGGATTGTGCATGAATCCATTGTGCAAAAGGTCCAATGTAATAATCCGTGCCCTGGGTGGTCTTTCTCTTCAAAGATTACCCTGCACTCGGCTCCACACTTGTTCTCGAGGTGTGTCCGAACTTCGTAAAGCTTCTGCTTTCCTTTTTCTTTGTCAGCCGTCTTTGAACTCTCGATGTCGTTCAGAGCTTCGTTCAATTGGCTTTCTATCTTTTCGACCTGACTCATCCCTTCGTACTGTCGCCACCCTTGGCTTTCTGGGATTTCGTCCATTTCTGGGAACTCTTCGGTGTCTCCCGATTCATACTGTTCCGCGTCGTCATAGTCGTATTTCGGGTAAGACTCTCTGTCTTCCTCATTTGTCGCATTCAATTGTCGTCCTTGTGGTTTGACTCTACACTCTCTCCTGAAGTGGCCCGTCTTCCCACAGTTGTAACACTTTATCTTTGACTTGTCGAATTTCGTTTTTGGCTGTTCTTGAGTGGCATCAAGTTCCATAGGTCGAGGTCCATACGGGTCCTCCCTTTTCTTGTGGTGGTATGGTTTCTTGCCACTGCTCCAGTTTCCGCCGTATTTCTTTTCCATACGTCGTTCGTAGAGCCTATTGTCGAGTTTGACTGCTACATCAATCATGTCCGTGAGATTGTCTGGCCTAGTGGGTATTCTGGCTATCTCATCCTTGATGTCGTCTTTCAGTCCTTGGTAGAATCGATCTGCTTTGGCCTCATCATCCCATCCGAGATGAGAGCTGATCTGGTAGAATTTCGACGCATAGTCTGAGGCTGATGTGATCTGCTTCAGACGTTGAATTTTCTGAGCTGCGTTATTTCTCTCATCGATTTCTCCAAAGGTTGATTTGATTTTTCTGACGAATACATTGTAGTCCGCAAAGGTTTCATCGATCTCGTCTTCCCTGTCATCTGGGGCTATCTCAAACCATGCCCGTACATAGGGTTCAAACCAATCCATAGCTTCTCCTTCTAGGAACGTTGAAGCTGTCAAGACCTTGTCTGGTTCCCCATGCAGCAAGTGCGAGTTGACAGAAAAGTACAACTGCATTTGTGCTAGGTAACTCCTCAGCTTGGTCCTATCTCCTTTGAACGGAGTTGGTTTGTTGATCTTAATCCTTGCGTGTGATGCATTCTCCAATTGGCTAATTCGTTCACGTAATTGTTGATTGACTGCCATTACGGATTGAACACTGGGTGTTTGTCCTCCAGTGGTACTGGGTGTTGGAGTTGCATTGTTGCCTGCCATGATTAGTAGTCTTGTTGGGGTAATACTTTCCTAATGTAGTAATTGGCCCTGCTTGATAGTACTTGTCCCGTATCGTTCCTCGGGGTCAAGACGATAGTTCTTTTGTCACGCACCGGGACCCACTCTAGTTGTCACTGGCTGTGTCGAGGAGCGATACGATGTGTTGAACCACACAGAGGTTCCTTGAGGGTAACTAGTAACGAAGTACAAAGGTTGCCGAAGGGTAAAGGTGAGGGTAAGACACAACTAAAGTAGGAGCGATGCCTTGAAGTGCCGTAGTACTTCAAGTGGGATTGCCTTGCTGACCCTTACAGTGTAACTGATAGTAATAATCGTAGTGACTTATGTTAAAGAACTATGCTAAGGTAAACTAGATACATGCAAATGGGTGTGTTTATATAGATGTCGTTCCTACAATATCCCTACAATCTGTCCGTATACAGATTGTATATCCAATCACCTTCTTGTCTTTTCCTACACTTCTCCTACACTCTTATTGTATACCCGAGTGTAGTTGCTTATGTAATGTGTAATCCCGTGTGAGTAGCAAACGGGCTGTGTGTGGTCGTGGTAACTGGTTGGCCGTGGTGTTAGCCGCTTTAACAGACACTTGCCCTGAAGTGGCTTAAGACATCCTAATCTGTCCTTAGCTTTGCATATGTTGGTTTCGTAACACTTCTAGACTGAGATTTTTTTAATCTTTAGCCTTAATAATTTAATCTTTATTAAGTCTAAAAATAGAATTATCTTTAAATTTTATTTTTAGATCTTATCCTTCAAAGTATAATAGTAATATATAGAATCTTTACTATCTAAATTATATTAATAATAATACCACTATTTAGTTATATATTAAATATTTAAATCTATCTCTTTATATTAAGATATTCCTAATATAAAATCATATTTTTTTATATTTATAATACTAAATATTTATATAAAAGACTTCATTCTATCTTTTAAATTAGGAATAATAACATTTAATAATGTCTTACTAAAGATACTAATTATATAGCTATTAATTATTTATATCTGGACTACACCCCTAATATTATAATATGAATGCTTTATAACCTATTTTTAACTTATAAAGTTCTTTTATACACTATCATCTATTAAGATTAATATTTATTAAGTCTTCTTTATCATCTTTATATATATATATATTTTAATACAGAGCTCTACTTTAATTTAGCTCTTATAAATATCTAATATCATAGCAGCTAATAATATTGATTTAAAGAATTATTTTTAGTATTTTAATTTTAGATATAGATTTTTAGTCTAATATTCATCTTCTAAATATTTTTTTTTATAATAATGATTATATTCAATTTCTTCTTTCTTTAGATTAATATCCTTTCTTTTAAATCTTTTATAAAATCCTTATTACTCTAAAGATCTTCTTTAATCTGAAAGAAATGTTTTTCTTTCTTTATATTATTTTTTCTATACTAATTTTAAGCTTATATTATAGTCTAATAAATTATATCTTTATTCAGATAATTTATCTTTTTTTTTATCCTATTTTAAAACTACTTATCTTTCTAGCATATCATCTTTAATAGTCTAAATATAGAATATAAAATCTTTATAATTCTTTAGAATATTTAGATATTTATTTAGTTCTCTATAAATTACTAAAAGAATCTTATTATAAAGATATATTTATCTTTAGAATTTAATATATTATTAATCTAAATAATCCTTCTATTTACAAAAAATAATATTAAATTTAATTATTATCTAATTCTCCTATTATTAAGTTATTAGAAATTTGAAATTTATCTTTTATTAAATTAAGATTATAGATTTAATTAAATTCATTATAAATCCTTAAAATCATTTCTATATTATATCTTTAAGTTTTACACTATTCTTTTAATAGATAGTCTACTTTTTTAGTATATTATCTTCAAAAATACTAATAACTATTAAGATTTTTTATTTATAGATATTTCCTCTATCAAAGAATCAACAGTTTCTTTAAAAATATATATTTAGACGATTTTTAAATATCTATTATTTATAATACAATTTCTTTTTAAAGATTAGAAGATCCATCTTTAAGGACTTATTATCACTATATATCTCTATATAAGATCTCTTCTAATCTATACTTAAAGTATCTAATAATTCTTAAAGAACTAATTCTATTCCTATAAATCATTCTTTCTACTCTAAAGAGTTATTATTTAAGATGCTTTTTAGTATCTTAGCTTTTTAAAAAAGAGCTTTAATATATAGTTACTTTATTCACTATATCTTTTAGATTATAAAGTCCACTTTTAATCAATCTAGTTATTCAAATATTATAATAAATAATTTATCTAATATATATTTATTAAAATCTTATTTAAATTTAATCAGTTACTTAATTGTATTCTTAATAATATTAATTAAATATATATTTATAAGATTATCTTATTTAATCTCACTGTTTCTCATCCTTTAAATCTTAATAAATCTTTCTTTAGTTATAAATATGTCAATTAAATCATTAATCTAAGATAAAGAATTTAAATAAGTTAAATAAGATTAAAGTTAATATTTAGATATAATAATTAATATAAATAGATTCTTCCTAATATAAGAATAAATAAACTATAAGAACTAGAATTGATAGAATATAAATATATTGATTTTTATATTAAATAAGGCTTCACTAGTATATGCCCTATATATAGATAGCTATTCACTACTCCTTTTTACTATAAGGATTCGGTCTAGTGTTTATGAGCGATATCTTTAGACACATAACTCACTAGCACCCGCGTCACGTGCACTATATAGAATCAACACCAACCTCTGTACATTCGAATAGGGGCGTTACATTTAGTAACTATAATCTAATTTTATTTGAAATCTATCTTTTTAGTAACTTTATAATTAATCTATTAAAAGATTAAGAATATATATTAATTAATTAATTAATTAGCTAACTTTAATATAATGAAAAAAAGAGATAATAGTGAATAGAAAAATATAATTATCATATACTCCTTATGACCTCGTCAGTCACACATGCCACAGCAAGGAAGATTAATAATGAAAAGAATAAAACACTTGTAGCAACGTTATGATTGAAACAGGCCTAAATTTGTCAGAATAAAAAAAATACTGGCCGTATTAATGTCATGATACACAAAAAGAACACTACACACTTATCTCGACATGCGGGCTCTTGTCCACCACGTCGCTCGCCAGGGTGGCCAAAGACGAACTTTGCAAGATACTAAAGATGGAGATATCCGAGGCAGCTTGGAGCATCAGCATGTTACGCAGCTCGACAGCGACAAGTGAGTCGACGCCATACAGGGAAGGTGGCTTCGCCAGATCAATATCATCCGTGGGAATTACGAAGATATCGGCTAGCTTTCTGGCAATGGCACTGCCCACTAGTTGCACCGCTGTGTCGCGCGAGCCGGCCTCTTGCAGGAGGGCAGCGAGCGGCTTGGCCTCAGCGTCAGTGCCGTCGCCGAGTTGCTGGGCCTGGGCGCTAGGTGGCCTGCGGTACTTGAGGGGCACGAAACGGGCATCACGACCCATCTGCGACTCGCTCGCGGGATCCCACTGCGGCCCTGGGCCCGAGTTCAGTCCAAGAAGGATCTGCGGCTGGTCAAAGGGGTGGATGACGGCGGCGGCAATGGCACGCAGCACAGCTTCGTCGGGCATCATGAGCGACTGCGCGGCACGGCGCATGCGGTCGGACACAGCGCGTGACTCAGCGACGTAGCCCACACCCTTGATGATGCCGATGTCGATGGATACGGCTGGCAGCCCAGTTGCTTGTCGGTGACGCGCCAGTGCGTCCTGGTAGGATCCGCCAGCCGCGTAGTTGGACTGGCTGGCCCAGCCGAGAATGCACGAGAGCGACGAGAGCATGACGAAGAAATCGAGTGACTGGGGCTGCGAGAAGTGCGAATGCAGGTTCCAGCTGCCAGCAACTTTTGGTCGAATAGCCGTCTGCCAATCATCCAGCGCCATTTGCTCGAGGATAGAGTCCTGCAGCACCATGGCACCTTGGATGACACCTCGTACTGGAGGGAGCTGCTCGTCACGCTCGCAGCTACCAAGGGCTTTGCTTAGGGCTTCATTGTTGGCGATGTCGCAGCTGACGGCCACGACGCGGCATCCGGCCTGTCGCAGCTGGGAAACAAATGCTCCTGAATTCTGCTTGCCTGCACTACGCGATAGCAATATGAGGTTTCGGGCGCCGTGGTCTACCATCCAGTGCGCAATGGATCGGCCAAGGCCGCCTACGCCCCCCACAAGCAAGTAGGAGGCGTCCGGCCGTAGTTTAGGCGTCGCAGCTTGTGGGACCACCCTAACCTGCTCGTCTGGCTCGACTGACAGCACGACTTTTCCCGTGTGCTTGCCGGTCTGTAGGAGGCGGAAAGCCCTTGAGACCTCCTGCATGGGGAAGACGGTGACGGGGTGAATAGGTCCAATGGCCTTGTTTCTAGCAAGTCGTGCCACATCACCAAGCACACGTTGTACATGGGGTCCTCGCTCGCGCAACAGAGTCATCATGTCCAGAGATGTAAAAGACGCAACCCGTGAGAAGGTGCCCATCTCAAGCCGGCTATTTCCCTCCAGGTCTCGCTTGCCAATCTCGACGAAGTGGCCGAAGGGGGCAAGCACGTCGAAGCCAGCCTGTAGCAGCGGCCCGGCCAGAGAGTTGAGCACCACATCGACGCCGCGTCCACTCGTTGCAGCCAAGATCCCTGGCGCAAAAGATGCGTCACGGCTGTTGAATATGCGCTCGGGAAGGATCCCGTACTCACGTGTAAGGAGGTCGCGCTTCTCCTGAGATCCGACAGTGGCGTAAACTTCGGCGCCCAGGTAGTCCTTGGCTAGCATGATGGCTGCTTGGCCCACGCCTCCAGCAGCAGCGTGGATCAGGACCGACTGGCCGCGCTGGAGGTGTGCCACCTCAACAAGACCAACATAGGCGGTACTGAATATCATGGGAAGCGACGCAGCGTCGTCGAAACTCATGCCCTCGGGCATGTGTGCGACGCCATGCCAGCTAACTCGGGCACGACTGCTAAAGGGGCCAAGCAGCAGTGCCATGACGCGGTCGCCCACAGCAAAGCCCTGAGCCGCGGCCTCGCTGCCCAAGCGCGTGATGATGCCTGCGCACTCGAGGCCCATGACACGCTCACGCAGCTGGCCCATAGCTACCATGACATCGCGGAAGTTGAGGCCGTATGCACGCGGCGCTATCTCCACCGTGTCAGCTTGGGTGTTGTCACTGCCGCCGATATCCTTGTCATCATTAAATGCCAAGGTATCCAAAAGGCCCGGGATGCCAACCTCCAGGCGTAGCGGGCACTGGTCCTGGAAAAGGGCTGCCTCAGGGATGGATTCAGGCACAGCCCAGTTTGGTGCCGGGGGTGTAAGTATCTTGTTGCGCACTACGTCTTTGGATACACGCGGAACTAGGATGAGGCCATCCCGCACCGCAAACTCGCTTTCTACTGGGGCTGCTTCGGCCGTGATGGAGTAGACGTCGTCAGGAGTGCCCAGGCAAGCCTGGAGCACATGCACAATGGCCCTGGTGCCCGGTTCCGACCACACAGGGGTGTTGGGGTCCAGGTCGAGAGTCGGGAAGCGGCGGCCTACGTACTCGGACCTTAAGACGCGCAAGAATCCGGTGGCCAGTGCCAGGCTTGGATTCACGCATTCGATGGCGGCGCCACGCGTAACCCAGAGAAGGCCCTTGCTGCCAGTCGCCATGGCTTTGATGCCTTGCAAGCCGACGGCATCGAGGGTGTGGAGCACGGGTTGGTCAATCTCGCCTACAAACACGCACAATTTAGTGCTGTAAGTCTCCGGCATGATGGAAGGCGCCTCAAGGGTTTGGACGGCAGGAAGAGCGCCATCTGTGACATTAGCGATGGATTCCCGCAGAGACTGAAGCCAGTCGGCGGGCGGAGGCGCCTTGCCACTGATGACGACGACAATGCTGTCCGTGGATAGCTTGAAGGGTTGGGCAGGTGCCGTTGACAGCATGTTGCTAATAGAATACATGTTTTCATCTGTCTCACAGTCGCGTAGCTCAATATCGATACCACTGAAACCCGCGCCCTTGAGAACCTTGTCCCATAGAGGAACCGACAGTGAGGGGCTAGACTTCCGCTCAGGCTCCTCGCTAAGCCACCAGCCGGGAAGCAGGCCAAAGATGAACTGGAGATCGACCTGATCCTGGGTTGTTTCCATCAGCAGAAGTGTAGCACCCGGTTTCATCAACCTATGCACGTGATCCATGGTACGAGCCATGCTCTTCGTTGCGTGTAGCACTTGGCAGGCCACGACAATGTCATAACTTGCTAGATTGAACCCTTGCGACTCGGGGCTCTGCTCTATGTCGAGCCGATCAAACTCCAAGAGATCGCCCCAGGCTGCGAACTCGGACCTGGCTGCCTCGAAGAACCCAGAAGATATATCGGTGAAATGCCATGTCTCACAAGGGGGGCCAACTTCCATGGCTGTGTCGCCTGTCGTTGTAAGTGCGTGGCGAGTGGCCGCCCCGGTGCCCGCCCCGATCTCAAGGACACGCGCACGCGGGTTTTTGTGAGCAACGGCTCGTAGCAATGAAGTGAACTGTGTAAAGGCCGGTCCCATCCTGAAGGCATTGGCGTAGTACTTATACAGCACCCGGCCCTCCATCATGACCTCGAGCGGGGCTCGCTCGCCACGCAATATGGGCACCAGAACGGACCCTAGCTGACATATCAACTCGCCGTCGACGCTCTGTGTGGCCGCTAGGGCTGTGTGTTGTTGACGTTCCTGCGGTCCATGATTTGCCCAGGTGTCACTATCGGCGCCCAGGCGACGCGAGGCCGCGAGGCGCAGTGTGCCTTGCATCCACTCGTAGAACTTGACGTGATGTGGTGCGAGACGAGCTACGTCCTGCTCTGTCAAGGCCTGCACCGCATCGTGGCAGAAGTAGACGCACACACGCCGCAAGGCCATTAGCACCTCCCTGTCTTCGGATTCCATCTCCTTGGGCGGGCTTAGCTTTTTCTTCAGGGCAGCTAGCGCACCTGGTAACCCCAGCGAGAGTGCTAAGTCAGGTGCCCATTCGACCTCGGCACATAGCTCTTTTGTCCACGGTTGCGCAGCTTCACCATCAGTCGCGCTGTGGCCTAGAGACTGGCCCACGAACCCCTGCAGCTCGAGCACGGTTTCGGTCCCGTCGACTACGAAAACATCGGCCTCGTAGCTGCGCGCGTCACGGTGCGGCAGCTTGGTGTTACACGTGAAATTGTGGCCTGCAGTTGTGACCATGTGGCTTGAGATCCAGAGCTTCTGGATAGACTGCGGCACCTTAGGACTGTCATCGCTGGCAACGCCTACTCCCGGCAGTGCTGCGTAGGAGGAAATGAACACCGAGTCCAGCGTGGTGGGATGCAGTACGTGCTTGTGCCCCAGGTCGGCGATCTCGAAGGTCGTTACACAGCGCGCTTCCTTGGACTTGCCGTCCTGCACAATGCTCGTGGTGTTTTGGAACATGGGTCCGTGATTCAGACCCTTTGTCCGTAGGATGGCAAACATGTCTTCTGGATCGACACGTCGCGTGTAGCCGGAGTCTGTTAGAAAGCTCGTGGTGCTAGCGGGAGGGAAAGCGACGTCAATTTCGATGGTGACGAACCCCTTGGCATGCTGCGTCCACTGGTTGTCCGCAGTTACGGACGAGACCACAAACTGCTTCCAGCCACGAAAGCCAATCGCCTCGTCATCCACGGACCGCAACACCGTCTGTATTTCGACGCCTTGAGCGTTGTCGGGCACCACGAGGGCTTGGAGCATATTCACATCCCGCAGCCTATAACCCGTCACTTGGCTAATCTTGTTATTATTATTGGTAGTCAGCTCGATATCCGTCAGTTGCTTCATGCCTTCGATTGCCAAGCACACAAAGCCAGCACCAGGGTACAGTATATTGCCCTGAACGACGTGGTCCCTTAGCCACGGATTCTCCGACACCCGCACCTGCTGCCTCCAGCAGGCGGAATCCAAATTCGTGCCAGTTGTCAGCGCGCCGAGAACCTCGTGCGGCTCCTGGTCCCGTTGTCGGTAGGCTTGGTTCTGGCGTGCCTCGAGCCAGTGCTTGACACTGTGATTCCACGGATACGAGGGCAAATCAGTCAACACACGGGGGTCAAATGGCCACTGGCCCCATGGGAAGCTAATGTTGGCTGGATTGACCTCCGAGCCTCTACGCAGGAGATTAAGCGCCACTGTGCGCATAGTGTCGCGCGAGTCCTCGTTGCGCACCAGACAGCTCATGTACGCCAGGTCGAGGCCTTCGAATTCGGGCTCCGAGAGTATCTCTTTGATGGGACCACCGAGCGCTGTGTGTGGTCCTACCTCGAGAATCACGTCAACACTAGTTCCCGACTCATCCATGTCGCCCAGAACCATGTCGGTCAATGCATCGACAAATCGTACGGGTTGCAGCAGGCTAGATATCCAGTGCTCCGGATCAGCAAGTTGCTCGAGGCGGACGATACGACCGCCTGTGACTGGTGACGAGAAGGTGATGCTCCCCTGCGTACTTATCGTTTGCTCTTCAGCCGCGACAGCAGTACGCAGGGCCGAGCTGTACGGCTCTGCCCAGTGCACACCCTCGGGAATCTCCTCCGCAGCCAGTCGTTTCTTGTGCTCGGCTTCATCTTTGTTTTCATCGTTATCACTGCCCAGGGCAGCGCGGAGAGCTTTTCGGTAGGGCTCGGCGATAGGCATCATGTGATGTGAGTGATAACCTGTGTCGACCCTCAGGCGACGGGCAAATACACCGTCTGCGAAGGCTAAGTCCTCTACCTCTTGCACGGCCGCTTCATCGCCAGCAATGGTGACGCTGCTGGGGCTATTAATGCAAGCTAACACAGCTTTGCCGCTGGCACTAGTCGTCCGCTCTATGTAGCCTTGCGCGGCTTCGTACCCGACCCCGACCGCTACCATGGCGCCTTTAGGCCCGGATCTGTTCATCAGGGTCTCGTCCGCCGCCATAGCAGCGCGGTAGTAGGCAGCTGCCATAGCCTGGCGAAGGGTTAAGGCACCCGCAGTGTACGCGGCCGCAATCTCGCCGGACGAGTGGCTCGTCACTGCCGTCGGCGAGATACCCCAGAACCTGAGCAGCCGCACCAGCGCAATCTGCACAGCAACGCACACGGGGATACTTAGGGCCGTGCTATTGACACGCGAGGAAGCTTCGTCGCGGCCCAGCTCCTCCATGAGAGACCAGTCGGCTCCAAAGCCGCGCAGAGAGACTTCGGCCGCGAAGAGGGTTGATCGAAAAATAGGAAATGCATTAATAAGTTCGCGGCCCATTGCATACCACTGCGCACCCTGGCCTGTAAAAACCATACCGATGCGGGGTGCGCGCCCAGGAAGACGCACGGGTTTGAATAGCGGTGCGTCCAGGGCCCGAATGACCTGGTCCAGGTTGTCCGAGTACGGGGCTAAGTGTGCCGACACCCAAGGGAAGCGCGTACGGCGTCTGCTCAGCGTGTAGCATAGGCTCTTCATCAGCGTGACAACGCCTTTCACCCCCATGTCCGGATCTTCTAGCTTGCGTCTCCTCAGGTAGTCCTTCATGTTGGATACCATGCGCTGACATGCCTGCTCGTCGCGCCCGTAGAAGACGAGCACCTCACTCCTGTCGCCAACGTGAAAGCCGAGGGACATCTTGATGGGAGTCGGTGCAGTCCACGTCCTGGAGTCCTCGAGAATGACATGGCTGTTGGTTCCGCCGTAGCCAAAGCTGTTGAGGGAAGCACGACGGGGCTCATGGCCCTTAGCGGGCCACGGCTCCAGCTCTGTTACTACCTTGAGACCCCTTTCGTCCAGCTTCAGCTTGGGATTGGGCTTGTCAAAGTTGACACTGGGCGGGATCTGACCCTTCTCTAGGGCTAGCACTACCTTGATCAAGCCAGCCAGCCCGGACGCGGCTTCCGTATGCCCAATGTTGGTCTTGACGGACCCGATGCGGAGACTCTCGGAGCGGTCTGCCGCTGCGAACACGGCGGCAATAGCACACACTTCAATGGGGTCACCCGTGGGCGTTCCTGTGCCGTGCGCCTCAAAGTACTGCGTACCCTGAGGGCTGAGGCCAGCTCGTCGGTAGCACTCGCGGATGAGAGCTTCCTGGGCATCCTGCGAGGGCGATGTAATGGTCTCAGTCTTGCCGTCTTGGTTCAAACATGTCTCGCGGATCACGGCGCGTATCGGGTCACCGTCCGCCAAGGCGTCTCTGAGCCGTTTGATCACAATGGTGCCCACGCCCTCACCACGGCCGTAACCGTTGGCGCGCGAGTCAAAGGCGTACGACTTGCCGTCGGGCCCAAGCAGTCCCAGAGACGAGAATACCTTGAACGTGTCTGGGTTAAGCATCAGGTTGCACCCGCTCACAATGGACATATCAGCCTCGCCAGTCCGCAGGCCGAGCACCGCCTGATGTAGCGCTACAAGAGACGTCGAGCAGCCCGTATCTACAGTCATGCTGGCTCCTCTAAGGTCAAAGAAGTGCGAGATGCGATTTGACGCCATGGCGGACAAGGTACCAATTGGCAAGAAACGGGGCAGATTGTCCTCGTCCCGGATCAGCCCCTCGTGGTAATCGTGAGTGAAAATGCCTGCAAACACGGATGTATTGGAGCCCGCAATTTGCGACATGGAAAGGCCAGCTACAATCGTTCGGCTGATTAGTGGCTAGAGTCATGTGGTTCGGTAGTAGTGCTTCGCCTACCATTTTCCAGGGCCTCGTAAGAAGACTCAAGTTGGATCCGATATTGAGGATCCATCGCCTAGGACAAGAAGACCTAGTCAGTTCAGACTAACACTCCATCTAGTTTTGATATCTCTTACCGATGCAGTCTCCGCCGAGTAGTTGAAGAAGGCGGTATCAAACAACCCTACATCCTCTTCTATAAAGTGTGCTCCTTTGGCATGCGTCTAAGTCGACCCTCACTTGTCAGTCTCTACCCTCCCTCTTATCCAAAGTACTAGATATAAGCAACTCACTGTGCTGAGCTTCCCCGAGTCGGGATGGTAGGCCCCTTTCGGGTTGAAGCGAGTAGGTGGAATCTCAGACCAGGCATTTCGGCCTTCGGCCAGCATCTTCCACAACTCCTCCGGACTGGAGGCATCTCCTGCAAACTTGCAGCTCAAGCCAATAATGGCAATAGGCTCGCTCACCCACTCCTGGTTGGTACTTCCCATATTGTTGGTTGATGGACTTCTTAGAGTTTTCTGCAGTTGAAGCAATGGTAGGTTGAGGGGATGTTGAATGCCTGTAGCTAGGTAGTTATTAGGTTCCCGTGAGATTCGTGAATCTCTTATCGCACCTTAGGACATCCTAGGTGGTGGTTTTAACGATATTGAAGCATGAAAAGGTCCCCACAGTGACCGATAAGCTCTATGTATGTGATTGCACCTCTTCTGTCGTCCACCAAAGAAAAGTATCGATGGAAGTAGCATATCGCACAACATATGGATACTCCGAGCTCCGGGCAGCGATGGCAAAATACCATCTTGGACCGATAGGCTGAGAACATCCCATCGGTATCTCCGTGTTTGTTCAACTATCAGAGGATCTTCCGAACTAACCCCTGTGAGATTCTTAGAGTTATGCGGTGCGGAACTTGTAAGCTCCATCCGAGGTCAACCACGTGCAGGCAGCGCCGTAAAAATACTCCGCCTGACTCAGCATTGCCCCACCCCCAAACTCCACATCTAAAATAAGGTTAGGGTTAGGGTTATAGGGCTAGACTCCGACGATCATTGATGAACATGCAGAGCTGCAGAAAGCGCCGAGATAGGCGAAGAAGCTACAGCGTGCTTTTGGCTTGTCTATAATTTTTGTTGTTAGTATTTTTTTTCTCATGTCTGTAGGGATGTCGAGTTGGCTAGCAACACCTATGTTGGCCTTCGAACCCGATTGAGGCCATGCCGAACAGTATTTAAAAGAAACCAGAGGATACTCACAGCTTATAGAGTCTATTGCGGTTACTATACTCTGTGCTAATAGATTAAAATATGGTATCTTCCATTCCACTATTATAACGTGAGGCTAAAGGGCAATCGGCCTAGCCTCGGTTCGGTATTACTATTCTTCAAAAGAATTGGATCTTTCAGTACACAAAGAGGCAGCACCCTTAAGTTGCTACAGAAGAGAGAGTACCGCGTCTACTACATATGTACTCACTCCCCATACATGTATCCAATTTTTTAAATGCGTCAGACTCAGCCAATGCATCTCGTGTACTGCCTCCATTGCGAGTCCTTCTTCAATGCCTGTAAATCATCCTGCGGCAGACAAACTAGAATGGGGATGGCGCCACCCTCAGCTGATTGAACTACGAATGCGCCGGGAATGGGTGCCGATATCGAGCGGCGGAAGAAGCGACATGGACCCAGCAAGTGTCCCCACGACGGTGGTAGAGTCTGATTCGTGTTCAAGCTCGAGGTGGCACCGATATCAGTGTTGCCGTTATGGGTACCATTGTACATCAGCATTGAGCGGTCCGGCTCGCGAGCGATAATTGTGGCTAAGCTACGAATAGCCCAGGCTGTGTTGGCCTGGGAAAATTCCCGACGCAACACCTGCGCGGTCTGCTGCAGGGTGAGAGATGCGACCTGGCCTATTGGCAGGCGCGTGATGGCTGTGTAGACTTGAGCGCCCATGTAGGACGCCGGTATGCCGAGCGCCATACGCCCATCTATGGCGCGGGAGATCTTGGATACCGTATCGAAAGGCAACCCACGCGCAAGACGCACAGCGCACAGCCGCTGCCAGTAGAAGGCATGAAGGATGTCGTCTTCCGTCACAGGTCTGGACGGATCCTGGGCGGTCTTGGCGAGCTTGGATAGGGACGTCAAGGGCATCTTGAAATAGCACCATGTCGGCGGGCTAGCAGGAAACACAAACTGATAACCAGGTGGACGCCGCAGGTAGGAGTGGTCCTTTAGAGCCTCGCTGCGCGGGATCAGATCAATCAGACCGCGTCGGTCCCGGTTCGCCTGCTCCAGTTCGGCTGCTGGAATCTCATCTCCGGCAAGCACAGTGGCAAGTAGCTTGAGAACTTGAAAGTTGGCTGTGCCATCCATCATAGTGTGATGTGAGCTGAGGTTGAGGATGAGCCCGCCTTTGATAAAGTTGGCCTGCAGGGCTAGGACGGGCACAGGACCTACTATTCCATGGGGCTGTGGAAGTGCCGGCCAAGGCGTGAGCTCTTTGCCGTCTAGTTTCCCGATTGGGATGCCCGCCCCAAGGAGATCCGCCATGGGTTGGGTAGTCTCATCGCAGTACTTGACATACAAAAGGTCCCTAGCCACGTCTTCAGGCCAGGGGATCGCTGTGCGGACGCCAGACCTTTGGCCAATCTGCCATCCCAGCCAGGGGATATGTTCGATCAGCCGATTGAATCCGGTTCGGAGAGCAGAAACGACGGCATCCCGATCAACGTCGAGCGGGAGCTCAAAGCCGAAACACAATTGAGTGTAGGCGTCTAAGATGGGGAACTGGCCCATGAGATCAGGATAGAGGCTCTCATCGACATTTTCGACCTCTCCAGGCTGTTGTGCCTTCAACTCGTCCTGCCTTGAACTCATCACGTGGTATATTTTTGTGGATGCTAGCAGCTTATTGAAATAGTTGAGCAAGTAGTATAGCGGCTGGTTCGTTGCTATTTCTCAGAAATGCCCATGGTACATAGGGTACTAACAGGCACTTAAAGGTGATGTGGAAGGACTTTCTTTTCTCCGGAGCAGTCAGGAAAAGAAGGGTGATGTCACATGAACATTAGCGTTTTTGTCTCTATTCTATTGGAGGGACGCGTTAAGCACACAAACTAGTAACAGAGAACTATGAAAGAGCCAATCAGGAATATGAGAATAATATATATAAGATTGTGATACCATGATATTCTTTCTCCTTAACTATTCACTAAACGTGTCATTAATTAATAAACCCTCTTCGCTTCATTTCCTCTGACAGAGTAGACCGCAGTTATAAGCTTATTCACTATACCTAGATTAGGATGGCTAGGTAGGACCTAGACTGTAACAATATTTCACCTTGGCTAGTCTCATCTGTTACCTTACCGTCCTCCTACCCTACATGTCGTTCTCCTCTCCTTTTTCTTGGTCAGGAGCAGGCTTTTTGTTGGTTATAGCATTGAGTTTCTTCACTTCCCGAACGTCCTTCCATCCAAGGCCCCAGGAAAAAGGCAAGATGCATAGGGTAACCGCGATTCCAAGGTACATGACACGGTCAATAGCTTTACAGTATGCTTCGAGCGTAGCAGCTAGCGCGGGCCCAGACACGAGCTGACGAATAGACCGAACCCCAGCGCCGACGATGATATCTGGCGAGACGCCAATGGTGGAAATGCGCTGCTGCAGCTCGGTGCGGAGGCTATTACTGAAGATGGCATTTGCGGCGATTAGAGAAGTAGCAGCGCCAATATTCATGGTGAAGATGAGAATTGACATGGCAATGGGTATCTGTGCTGGAGGAACGAGGTTCTGAACTGCTATGTAGGGCTGGCAAGAAGTTAGCGGATGAGCTACATCTGCAAAGAGAAAAAAAAAAAGAAATTAACTCACACCTGCGGCTGCTGAGCCGCTACCAACACCATAGAGGATCTGGTACCCTATCCAAGATGCAACGGTGGTGCTAGGACTTAAACGCGAGAGGAGCCCGTAACCGATGGCAGATAGCGAACCGCCCAAAAGTATCCAGGGAAGGTAGTAGCCTAGCACGTCGACTATGCAGCATGAGGGTGTTTAGATATATAATGACATGAGGAAGGATGGAGGCGCACAACAGGCCAGACACACTTACTCATAGTACCTGAGACCATCGTAAAGCCAACCAAGCCGAGAGTTGTTGGCAGCATGTGCACACCGCTCATGAGGGCCGAGTCATCGCGGACTGCCTGGAAGAAAATAGCGAGGTAGTAGTCGGCCATAAGGATGCCAGATAAGCTGAAAAACAGAGTCATCGCAGCGGACCAGATGACACGATGTTTAAGCATAGCAAATGGCACCATGGCCTGATCTCCCTGTCGGGACTCCCAGACAAGAAATATAGCGAAAGTCACAGCAGCCCCAACCAATAGACCAATTACCACGGAGCTATTCCAGGCATATTGGTTCCCTCCAAACTGGAGACCTAGGAAGAACATGATAGCTGCGGGAGATATGAGCGAAAATGCTATCAAGTCGAGTGACTTAATGGCTGTTCCAAGAACCTGCCGCACGGGGGGCTTAAGTTTCGGTTCTGGCACGTTCTGGAAGAGGAGGCATAAACTGACTACGCCCCCTAGAGGGAGGTTGACGTAGAAACCTAATAACAGATAAGTTGCGGCCTCGAGATAGCAGACTGATGAAGAGACGCACACCACCGCCAAGACACATTTGCGCTAAAAGCGCCTCCAATAATGGGACCGCATGCAAGGCCTACTTGACTGATGCCCATCGTGACTCCCATGAATAGTGGCTGTCTCCTGGTTGGGAGCGCGGCGGCAATAGTGCTCAGGGCACCAGTTGTAATGCCTGAAGAACCCAAGCCTGCGACGGCTCGGCCGACGATGAACATATTCGACGATTGGGCTGCTCCACAGAGGGCTGACCCAAGCTCGAAGAGGAAGAAGAAGCAGAGAAAGCACCACTGGAAAGAATATTTTAGGTGTCAGATTTGATGGGATATGGGGGGTTGGGGAATTTGCCTTGATGGAAAAGTAGGTGTAGATTTTGCCGCTCAGGGGCTGAAATGCTGCACTAGCCAGCTGGTAGGCTCCGCCGTACCAACCGATATCTACTATTGAGTCAAAGGCAGTAGTGATGGAAGGGGTAGCCGTAGACATGATGGCGAGGTCGAGATAAACTAAGAAGTAGGCCAGTACAACTGCCGTCAGGATGAGGGTAAGTCTCAAGCCCTCGGGATATTCGTGCTTGTATTCTTTTTCATCGTCACCGGGGGTATTGTTGTTGGCCTCGTTTTGCCTCTGTATCGAGTCGGTCGGGGAATGGTCGGAAGCGTCCGTCTTCTGTCTCTCTACCTTGTCAGTCATCTGGGCCATTTTAAGATAAGAGGTGTGTTGTGGCTTGACAACCCATGAAGCAAGTTGAAATCAATTAGGGACTAGATGGCAAAGATGCACCAGGAGAAAGTCGTCCACTTAAATAGATTTCCACCAAGTCGGACGGGGACGGAATTCGGTTACCCACCCCCCTACTTAATGGCGCCGCCCTATAGCTGCCAACCATATCCTATGCTACATGCATTGTCGCCCAGTATTCCCGTACTTCTCGCCACTCTTGCCCATCTTCTGACAGCTTCTCCCTGCCTGCGTTGAAGGGCCTTTAGGTTACAGTCAAAGATCAGATGCTAACTTATTCTAAATCAATCTACTTTCATTACCACTTTGGTGGATATCAGCGATTCCGACGCTGCTCCTAAAGCTCCGCACTGGAACGCTACATTTTTAATCTCGGCAACCACCGCAGCAACGTCCTTTGTCTTAATGGGAACTCGATGGTCTCCATCCCACTCTACAAGCCGTGTATTATTAGAGCCATGACGGCAACAGTAAAGTAAACTCCTATGCATCTCAATCATCGGATCTCGCAGGCCATGGACATGTATCGTCGGCAGCTGCAGTAGCACAGGATCATCCGCTGCGGTACCAATGACCATTGGGAGCCAAAGTGCCTGCCCGGCCATCAGGACAGCGAAGCGATACTCGTGGTGTTGCTCCCCGTCGTCGTTCGTTTTATGACTCTGGTTCCTTTTCTGTTGCCTCAACAGCAAGCTCGCGGCCACTGAGGCTCCCTGGCTGAAGCCCAACAAGCCCACACACCGCCCAGTCGCGCCGAGTGCATCGTCTGTACGCAGAGCGGCCGCAGTGCATGTTTCAATGCTGCGAACATCAATCTTATTGTGGGCGGGAAGCCAGGAACGGAAGGGGCCCCAGTCACCGTAGACGGACTCAACATTTGGGCCTGGTGGACTAGGGAATGCTGCCTCTGCGAACACGAGGCGAAATGAGCTTATTAGATGGGTACGGATTACTCGGCACTGTGCTCGGAATATGCGCGCGTTGGTGCCTCCGCCGTGGAGGCAGAGGATGCGTGGGAGGTGGAGGGTTGGGTCGGGGCCGTCATAACTAGGTGCAATCCGCATAGTAGAAAGGAGTGTGCCCTGTACAGGTTGAATTGAGGGTCAAGAGTGTGAGTGATTGTGATGGGCAGTGGAATTGGTGCATGCGCACATGTGACATGTGTATAGTCCTGCCAGGCTACATTTACACTGAAAATTGGGAATTTGGGATAAACAACGCAGACAGTAATAACAGCCCCGAAACACCACGTCGACCAGAAATGATCTAGCGTTAGTGGGGCGGGGTATATAGACTCCGTTAAAATGTGGAGCTAAAGTAGCGCGGCATAACTTTTCATTATTTCTGTGGCGTCCACTAATGCAGTAAGATAAGTGCGGAGTTGACTACAGAGGTGGGTATGCAGAAAAAGCGTTCCGAAACGCAAGGGTTAACTTAGAGTTCGTGCTAGTAAAATCAGCTATCGAAACCAAGGTAACAGCTGAGTCACAAAAATTATTACCAACATAGGCCACATAATCTAATTATTATCTTTGATTCTAGTAATAAGTTATTTTATAACTTATAACTCTATTAAATTGAAATTATATTATTAGATTTTAAATGTTGGTTATAAAAAGATTTTAGAAGAGCTAACAACTATTTTTTATAAACTTAATAATAATTATACTCTATATTTTTATAATAAAGTTAATAAAGTTTTAAATTAAAAATAATTTTAACAAATATAAAGGGAGGGCTGAAGGGTGACAGCTCTGGGTTGCGTGTCATCGGCAGGCGAAGTCCCCATGTTCGGTCTCTAGGAGGGTGGCCGAGGTCCCGCCAGCCCCTAGGGATAAGGCCCCCGAATCGCCCTACGCATATAAGCGGCTTGGGGCGAGGAGGAATTCGTTTGTAAATTGTAACGCTAGACACCAGTTCGGGGCAGGCAGTAGGGAGGATTAGGGGCTTAGGCCCCCTAGCGCCCACTGAAACGAGACCTTCATAGCTTAAAGCTGGGTAAGATTGTTAAAAGTGGTTCATAATAATAACAAGAATAATGATCCCCCTAATTCCCACTAAAATGAGACGTTCATACCTAAAACTGGATGGGATAGTTAAACTTGATTAAATAAATAATAAATATTTATATAAATGGATTATACTAATGAAATCTTTTTAAATATCTTTTAATCTTTTCTTATATTTAAAGTAAAAGAAAAGAAAATATATAATGTTTTAATAGTTTACTAATAAAACTAAAGATAACAATTAAATTATTGGACGACATGGCCTGTGCAGGAAACAAATTTGTAACTCGGCTGTGATCTCCGGAGCGATAGCTCTACTAAAATTATATTGTACAGTAGTATTCTGAATACTCCGTACAGGCCGATATCAGAAAGATGGAATTATACGCTAAAATCACTAGCTTTCTTCATCGTTTGGACTTACTCTTTGTGTCTATCTCCGTCGCTAGGCTTCTGTTACAACTGGTTTGTCTGGGGGGGAGCTGCTTTGGTGCCCCAGTCCAACAGTGAAACGAGCTCTTCTGGTCTTACATAACTTTAGGAAAATTAGCTGCGGACGGTCTGTGTTTGACTGGCACAACGAAATGCCCTAGAATTGACTTAAACCAAATACATAGTACATGGTGTAGTTGAGCCCCGGGTAGCAACTCGATTCAGGTTAACATTTGACAGTCATGGGAGACATACAGCGAAATTGCCAAGGACACGACGGTCCCAAGCCTCCCCTGGACGTCGCAGTCGTGGGAGGCGGCATTATCGGCGTCGTCACAGCTCTCGGCTTTTTGCAACGCGGGATGAATGTGGTCATCTACGAGCGTGCTGCCAAATTCGAAGAGATAGGAGCAGCCATTGGCTTCACTGGAGTTGCGCGGGAATGCATGCAGCGCTTGAACCCTCGAATTCTCGAGGTTCTACGCCAGGTTGGTCAAAGGAGTCCCCATGAGACGGTCCGCTACTGGGACGGCTTCCACCCGCGAACCAAGGAATCTGCAGAGCAGGAAGAGAGCTCGTTGCTCTTTGACGTGCCACAGCAAGGTTTGGCCTTTTGGGCCTGTCTGCGGTCGCACTTTTTGTGTGGGATGGTCGACCAGTTGCCCGAAGGCTCCGTACAATTTGGGAAACAGCTCGTGAATTACACGGACAGTGATGGGAGCGAGAAAGTCAAGTTACACTTCGCCGATGCGACAACCGCTGAGGCGGATGTTGGTTCGTTTTGGGTGTCGCATTCGGTGTATAATATCATTTCTAACATACTATGCTAGTGATCGGCTGCGACGGAATCCATTCGGCAACGCGCAAGCTTCTCCTGGGCAAAGAACATCCGGCGTCAAACCCAAGCTACTCTCATAAGTTGGTATTCCGCGCTCTCGTCTCTTTTCCCGGCGCAGTCGCCGCTCTAGGCGCCGACAAGGCTAGCGACCAATGTCTTCATTTGGGACCCGGTGCCCATATGGTATCCTTTCCGGTTCGTTGGCTTTGCAAATGCAGACATAAGGAGCAGAAGTCAGCTAATTGGTGTAAATAGGTGAATAATGGGGCAATGTATAACATCGTGCTCGCCATCCACGACTCGCAAGAGTGGCCGGATCCCTATACCATGACTGCCACAAGCACGCGCGAAGAAGTTTCCTCCGTGATGGAACACTGGGGTCCGCACCTGACCGAAATAATCGGTCTCCTACCAGAAAAACTAACCAAGTACGGCGTGTTCGACATGGCGGAAAACCCGGCGCCTACTTACGCGTCTGGACGTGTATGTATTGCCGGGGATGCAGCGCACGCTAGTAGCCCTTTCCATGGTTCTGGGGCCTGCATGGGCGTTGAGGATGCTCTTGTCCTGTCCGAGTTACTGGATCACGTCCAGTCCTTACCTGTAAGCGCAAGACCACACTCTCTCGCGGCTGCGCTGCAGGCTTTCAGTACCGTGCGAATCGAGCGTAGCCAGTGGTTGGTGCAGAGCTCGCGCGAAATAGGTGATATCTACGAGTGGCGGTACCCTGACACGGGTGAGGATAGCGCTAAATGCAAGGCTGAGTTTGAGTGGCGGACGAAGAAGATTTGGGATTTTGATGTAGATGCAATGGTGGCTGAGTCGAAGAAGGAATATGATAAGCTTGCTACAAGTACAGTATATTGAACTACTCGTGTCCAAAAACATTTCTACATGAATATAATTGCAAGACACGAAACTTTGTGAAAATCAATATTTTTGTTTCGTGTACGATTCTCAGCGTTTCCAAGTTTCTCCCTAGACATATATATTACCAGTATGGAATCGGAAATTCAACGTGGAGAACCTGATATTTCTCCTATGCAACTCTTCCTCTATGCTGTTGCAAAAAAGATTTATAGGGCTAGAAAAGCTTCCGGAGGCAAGGCGGATGGTGCTTATTCATGAACCGACTTCTTGGGCCAGTCTTCGCGATCACGATAGGGAAAAAATCATGAGTCGAGCTCACATAGGGACTTCATACCACGGACTTTCGGACTTGTAGTCCGAAAAGGGCCGTCACAAAAGAGCCTGGACCCCGACGCTGTGAGTTGGAGCTAATGCATGTGTAAGCATGATGTTCAGTAAACTCTGCAAGGATGCTGAAGTCCTAGAATATTGACATTTTTCAACGCAGTGACAGGATGGCACAATCGCTATCGTTCGCCTGAGGCTAGGTTTCTACATATAATCTCTTCAGAGGTCGTAGATGACGCTTTAGAAATATTATGCTTCCTATACGGTAATAAACACTCGAACCACACCCTACATTACTTGGGTCTTTCGGAATCTCTATTCGTCTCTATGCTTGGCAACTCTAAGCCACAATGACTGGTATATCCGAGCTCGATAATGACTCCTACGAATCAACCATTTTCCTTTTTGGTCCGCATGTCGGCAACTTCACTAAGCAGTCAGTGGAGAAGCTGATCCGGCCGTTCTCTCAAAGTGTTCACAGAACCTGGATCCTAGATACCATTTCTGGTCTGCCAAAGTATTGGGACGTCCTCACTGACAAGATGCACAACATGGCTGGCACAATTCCAGGCCGCCGTCAACTAGCCTGTCTGGACCAGTGGCTTCGGCACAGCACGGTCGACATCGACATGACACAAGATGATGGAAACCTGCCCAGTATAGTGATAGGCCCGCTAGTGGTATTCATACAACTCACTCAGTACTGGCGCTATCTGGAGCTCAAGAGTACTGACGACCTAGGAGAGGCGGCCGATCTGCAGGCGGATCTGGTCCTACGCCAGAAGCAGAAAGGTGGCCCGAAAGTCGAGTCTCTGGGCTTCTGCGCCGGGCTACTAGCCGCCATGGCCGTCGCCAGCGCCAGTAACCGGGAGGAGTTCTATAAGTATGGCGCCGTAGCGGTACGATTGGCCATGCTAATCGGTGCACTGATCGATGTCCAAGAAGCGTGGGACAAAGGCCACGCGAAGGGCGGTTCTGTGTCATATGCGATAGCATGGCGTGGCCAGAAGCAGGCCGATGAGGTGACGCGCATAGTCGAGAGTCTGTCACCCAATGCCTATCTCGCTGTTCTGTATGATGAGGCCCGCGCCACGGTGACCACGTCGCAGCACACGGCTCCTCTTCTCCTGAATCGACTCCGGGCTTCTGGTATCACGGCTGCCGAGATTGGTATCAAAGGCCACATCCATAGTCCGGAGCCGGATAGGAAACACCATGCAGACCTGCTCATTGACATGTGCAAGACTTTTGTCGATCTGCAGTATGTTGATGCAGCCTCCTTCGCACTTCCGACCTACAACAACCAGGCTGAGAGTAGACCTCTGTCGCGAGATGCCGGCAATGTGACCGAGATGGTTCTCCGCGCCATCCTGGTGGAGCAGTGCAACTGGTATGGCACTTTCTTGGCCGTAACCAAAGGCAAGAAGCCTTTTGTCGTAACTTTCGGCCTTGAGCGCTGTGTCCCGCCAACTTTGATGCGGAGCATCGGAACTCGACAGGTGCACTTTGAAGATTTGGCGGATAAGAACATGATACCAGGGGCCCCTCCGAGGGCAGTGCTTGATATCCAACTGGAAACACAGCCGCGACATGCGGGTGCACAACCAATCTCAGATCTAGACGTCGACAAAAACACCATTGCGGTTATTGGCATGTCCGTCAAAACAGCCGGGGCCGACGACCTGGCCGAGTTTGCCGAGATGCTCAAGACAGGTCAGTCACAGCACGAGTTGATCACCAGGGAGCGGCTGATGCACGACATGCTATTTCGCGAAGCACCAGATAGCGATCCTTCCCGCAAGTTTTACGGCTGCTTCTTCCGGGACGCCGACGCATTTGATCACAAATTCTTCAAACGTAGCCCGCGTGAGTCAGCCGCCATGGATCCGCAGAGTCGTCTGGTTCTACAGGCGGCGTACCAGGCTGTCGAGCAGTCCGGATACTTCACAGAGACGACAAATTCGGAGTCTAACGGCCGCGATAAGATGCATGTTGGCGTCTATCTGGGTTCGTGTGGAGTTGACTACGAGCATAACATTACCTGCCACGAGCCCAATGCCTTCACGGCAACAGGAGCACTAAAGAGTTTCATCACAGGCCGGGTATCACACTACTTTGGCTGGACTGGCCCATGTATGACATTTGACACAGCGTGTTCGTCCTCAGCTGTGGCCATCCACACGGCATGTCGTAACCTACTGTCGGGCGAATGCTCGGCAGCGCTGGCTGGTGGCTCCAACACAGTAACGAACATGCTGTGGTTTCAGAATCTCAGCGCCGGCAGTTTCGTCAGCCCAACGGGACAGTGTAAACCATTTGATGATGGTGCTGACGGCTACTGCCGCGCTGAAGGTCTGGCGTTTGTGTTTTTAAAGAAGCTATCGGACGCAGTGCGAGACGGTAATCCTGTGATAGCCACTATCCCTAGCACTGCAGTGTACCAAAATCAGAACTGCACCCCTCTATTCGTGCCTAACGCACCGTCTTTATCGTTGCTGTTTAGAGATGTGATGCGGAAGGCCAAGGTTACGGCGCGTGATATCTCACTAGTCGAGGCCCATGGCACCGGAACGCCAGTTGGTGACCCAGCCGAGTACGAGAGCATTCGATTTGCTCTCGGAGGCCCTGGCCGTGACAAGAAGCTACCTATCGGCTCCGTTAAGGGCCACATCGGCCACACTGAAGGCGCGTCGGGTGTCATCGCGCTTGTCAAGATTATCATGATGATGCGCGGCGCTTTCATTCCTCCACAGGCTAGCTTTACCAAGATGAGCCGCAATATCGACGTGCGGCCAGATGATATGATCGGAGTGGTGACGAAGCTACAGCCCTGGGAAGAGGAACACAAGACTGCCCTCCTCAACAACTACGGCGCCTGTGGTTCCAACGCAAGCCTCATAGTCACCCAACCACCTAAATACTTATTCGTGCCCAGACGCGGCAGTAATCCTGAAGAGAAGCGGTATCCCTTTTGGATTGCAGGTCTTGACGCTAGGTCTATCGCCGCCTACTCTGCCAAGTTGGGCCCATATTTGCGATCGTGCCCCAAAGACACCGCACTAGCTGACATTTCATTCAACATAAACCGGCAGTCCAACCGTGGTCTACAGCAGGGTATCATTTTCACCTGCCGCTCGGTAACCGAGCTGCATGAAAAACTTGAGCAGACTGCTCGAATTTCAAGTAAAGAAGACGCCCCAAAAGTAGGTATCGTGCCAACAAAGGCCGAGCGGCCCATCATCCTGTGTTTTGGTGGTCAGATGTCGCGATTTGTCGGGCTGGACCGCAATCTGTTTAATAGCGCGGCCATATTGCGGCGACATTTGGACGACTGCGATGCTGTCGTGACTACCCTCGACCTGGACAGCATCTACGCCTCCCCGGATATATTCTCGCGGGAGCCGATACGGGACACCGTGAAGCTGCAGACGATGCTATTTGCCATGCAGTATGCGTGCGCCAAGGCCTGGATGGACTGTTGTGGTGGCACCAAGGTTGCCGCCGTCGTGGGCCACAGTTTTGGAGAAATCACGGCACTGTGCGTGGCTGGTGTCCTCAGCCTGGAACACACTGTTAAGCTCGTAGCATCAAGAGCCAAGCTCGTACGCGATGCGTGGGGTATCGATCAAGGCGCCATGATGGCCCTCGACGCCGATGAGGCGCTTGTCCACGAGCTCTTGCAAGAAGCGAATCGTAGCTCGGACGGCTCTGCCAGCATTGCGTGTTACAATGGACCGCGCAGTTTCACCATTGCCGGATCGACCAGCGCTGTTGATGCGGTGCAGGCTACAATGACGTCTGACACCTCTAAGTTTGGGGCCATCAAGAGCAGACGCCTCGATGTGACCAACGCCTTCCACTCCGTCCTCGTCGAAAAGCTGGTTGATGGTCTGGGCCAGGTTGGAAAGGGGCTGACCTTTCATAAACCCGTCATTCCCGTAGAGCGCGCAACTGAAACCCCTATAGACGGAAACGAGATAGATTGGACTTTCGTACCACGACACATGCGCGAACCTGTATTCTTCAACCACGCCATGCAGCGTTTGGCCAAGCATCACCGACAAGCCATCTTCCTCGAAGCTGGCTCCAACTCAACCATTACCGTTATGGCAGCCAGGGCCCTCGCCCAAAGCGAGAATTCGTCGCCAGATGGGCATCACTTTCAAGCCGTTTCTATTACGTCCGAGACAGGCTTCGAAGGACTGACAGATGCCACTGTGGCACTATGGAAACAAGGTCTACACGTTTCATTTTGGGCACACCATGCTCTACAAACGCGCGAGTACGCGCATTTACTCCTACCGCCATACCAGTTTGACAAGTCATCGCGCCACTGGCTCCCGATGAAGTCGGCCCGGGACGTGGTGAACCAGGCCGCGAAGGCCCTGGTGGCAGGGACCCAGCAGCAATCGCAAGGAGAAGATGTGCCTATAGATGCCAAAGCGCTGGGTCTGTGGCACTTTGTCGGCTACCAGGACAAGAACAACAAGAAACCGCGATTCTGCATCAACGTAGCGTCAGAAAAGTACAACAAATTTGTCCTAGGCCACTTGATTGCGCAGACGGCACCAATCTGTCCCGGCACACTCGAGTGCGACATGGTCATTGAGGCGCTGTTTAGCCTGCATCCGAGCTGGAAAGAGGATGGCGTGCAGCCTGAGATTCGCAACATGGTGAACCACACGCCCATCTGCGTAGACCCAACCCGCGTTGTGTACATGGACATGTCGGCCCTCGACAAGAAGCACGCGCAGTGGAGTGTCCACATCTTTAGCGTCAGTAACGCCGATGAGGTCCAGACGCACGCGGAGGCTCGCGTGTACATGCGCCAGCCCACCGATGCCTCCTCTCTGCAGGAGTTTGCGCACTTTGAGCGGCTCGTCAGCCACTCCCGGTGCCAGGAGCTGCTGGGCCTGCCCCTGGATGCGGACGACGTCGAAGTGCTGCAGGGCCGCAACATATACCGAGCATTCAACCCCATAGTTGAGTACGCAGACATGTATCGCGGTGTCCGGTACCTCGTGGGACGCGGCAACGAGTGCGCCGGCCACATCCAGCTGCCCAGGCGCCATCGCGGCGATACTTGGCTCGATGTCCCCCTCAGCGATAGCTTCAGCCAGGTCGGTGGCCTCTGGGTAAACCTGATGACTGACCTGCCGCCTGGAGATATGTACATCGCCACGGGGTGCGAAGTGTCTATGCGTTCGTCGAAGGCTCCGCCTAGGGCCGAGACGGACGTGTGGCATGTGTATGCTCGCCATTCGCGCCAGGGCGACAAGGCATACATGACGGACCTGTTTGTGTTTGATGCTGCGACAGGGCTCCTTGTCGAAGTCATGTTGGGCGTGCAGTATGGGCGGGTGGCTAAGACGTCCATGAGCAGGATGCTTGCGCGCATGACAACAGACGAGTCAGCGCTGCGGAACAAGGCTCCCGTCACCACTACACCCGTTTTCGTTCCTGCTGCGACTTCAGCTCTTGACGAGGTGAGCCCGACTGCCAAAAGATTGAGCAAGGAGAGGATGGAGAAGAAGGAAGACACGAACAAGCCAAAGAAGGAAAAGGCAGCTTCTGGCAGGCGGGACATCACCGAGGACGTCCGCAACCTCGTGGCCAGCGTGTCGGGCATCGAAGCCAGCGAGATAGAACTTGACTCAGAGCTGGCCGACTTTGGCATTGACTCTCTGATGGGTATGGAGCTGGCGCGGGAGGTGGAGCTGGCCTTCAAATGCAAGCTGGACCAGGCCGAACAGATGGACGCTACGAATCTGCGCAAGTTTGTCGCGTGCGTTTCTAATGCACTGTTTGGCGCAGAGAATGTGGTCTCTGTGGAGGATGTTGAGGTTACTGACGGCGAAGAGGATGAAGATGATTCATCCTCCACGGGCGAAGGAGGAGAGACATGGTCTGAGCCCAGCCAGGACCGAGACTCCAGCATCTACACGCCTCCTCTGCTAAAGGCTGAGCCTACTCCGCCCCTTACTACACCACCACTGGCGGCTGTGAGCAATCTAACACTGTCCCCATCAGACGTTCTCGAGTCCTTCGGCGAGGTCAAGATGGCCACGGACAGCCTCATGCACGAGCACGAGATCGATAAGACCGAAAAGACCTTCCTAGCCGGAAGTAGCCGCCTCTGCACGGCACTCATCGTTGAGGCCTTTGACGAGCTAGGCTCACCCCTCCGCACCGCTATAGGTGCACAGTTGCTTGAACGCGTGCCATATCTCCCGCAGCACCGCCGGCTTATGGACTGCGTGTACGAAATTCTGGAACACGATGCTCGACTGATTGACATTGGTGTCGCGAGCGGCCAACTGACACGCACGAACATATCTGCCCCGCGCAAGACAAGCCATGCCATCCTACAGGAGCTGCTGGCTGCACATCCACAGTTTGCCGTGCCGAATCGCCTGACCTACTACGCAGGCAAACAGCTTGCTGGCGTTCTCAGTGGCAAGACGGACGGCATCCGTGTGCTCTTTGGTAGCCCCGAAGGCCGGGAGTTGACGGCCGCTATGTACTGCGAACACACATTCAACCGCATGAACTACATTCAAATGCGGAGTGTAGTTGGGGCTTTGGCCAAGCGCGTCCAAAACAGCAGCAGGGGCGAGATATTCAAGGTCCTAGAGATGGGAGCCGGGACAGGAGGCACTACACTTATTATAGCCCCATTCTTGGCATCGCTGGAAGAGCAAGGCATCATGCGGGTGGAATACACTTTTACGGACCTATCGCCGTCCATGGTCGCCAACGCACGCCGGCGGTTCAGCAAACTGTATCCGTTTATGCGCTTTGCCGTACACGATATCGAGAAGCCGGTTGCGGAAGAGCTAAGGGGGCAGCACCTGGTGCTTGCCAGCAACGCCATCCACGCCACGCATAGCTTGGTTGTCTCGGCGTCGAATGTGCGCCAGGCCTTGCGGCCAGATGGCTTCCTTATGCTACTAGAAATGACCGAGGTTGTCCCCTTTATTGACCTTGTCTTTGGCTTGCTTGAAGGCTGGTGGCTGTTTGACGATGGGCGGCATCATGCTGTTGTGCCGGCCGAACACTGGGAGCGCGAGCTGCATGCTGCAGGCTTTGGGCATGTCGACTGGACTGATGGCCACTTGCCGGAGAATGCCTTCCAGAAGGTGATTATTGCGATGTCGTCGGGAACGCAGGGGCCTCGCTTGCCGAAGCCTGTCCCGAAGTCTACCCAGGAGCATCAGCCTGAAGTCGCCGAGGCGGATCGGCTTGTGACCAAGTACACGGATGGCTGGGCCACGCGGAAACTGCAAGCCCTCAGTGTCCGATGCGAAGAGACGAAGCTCAATAACAAACAAGAGGGGGAGAAGAAGCTCAACAAGATAGATCTCGGCTCAGTGGTTCTGGTGACTGGCGCCACAGGAAGTTTAGGTTCGCACTTGGTGCAGAAGCTAGCCGAGAATCCCACCGTTGCGCAGGTTGTGTGTCTCAATCGCCGCAGCAACAGCGGCTCGTCGGTCCATAAAAGACAACAAGAGGCATTTCTGCGCAGAGGAATTGTGCTGTCCCCAGGTGCACGCTCCAAGCTGCGTGTCCTGGAGATGGACATCTCCCAGCTGCAGCTGGGACTACCACCCCACGAGCATGCCTGGCTTGTGCAACATGGCACGCATATCGTGCACAATGCGTGGCCCATGAGCGGCACGCGCCCCCTCAGCGCCTTTGAACCACAGCTGCAGGCCATGAGGAATCTGCTTGACTTAGCGCGTGATATGGCCACCCGCAACGTCATAAACCCCGTCCGTGTCGGCTTCCAGTTTGTCTCGTCTATTGGTGTGGTTGGGTACGCAGGCGAGTTGCGTGTCGCCGAGCGCCGTGTACCGCTTTCCGCCGTCCTGCCCGGTGGTTACGGTGAGGCCAAGTGGGTGTGCGAGCGTATGTTAGATGAGACTCTCCATAAGTATCCCGGCCTCTTCAGGCCGATGGTCGTGCGGCCAGGCCAGATCGCTGGCTCGTCAATCAGCGGGTTCTGGAACCCAATGGAGCATTTCGCCTTCTTGGTGAAGTCAGCCCAGGCCCTACGTGCATGGCCTGACCTCGATGGTGTGTTGCAATGGATCCCGGTTGACCGCTGCGCGGGCACGATTGCAGATCTGTTAAAGATTGGCGATGTATCTGATGCTTATCCCGTCTACCACATTGACAATCCTGTCGGCCAGCAGTGGAAAGCAATGTCACCTGTGTTGGCTGCTGCGCTTAACATCCCGCAGCACGCCATCATTCCCTTCAAGAGCTGGATCAAGCGCGTTCGTCGGTCGCCCCTTCTTCCGGAGACGGAGAACCCAGCCGCTCGCCTTGTTGACTTTCTCGACTGCCATTTCGAGCGTATGTCGTGCGGTGGACTAATTCTAGATACGACTAGAGCCAAGGAGCACTCTGATACCTTGGCCAACGAGGGCCCCGTAAGTCCCGAGTTGGCACGTCTTTATGTTACTGCTTGGAAAGAGATGGGCTTTTTGGATTCTTGAATGAGGAGGTTTGCCCTTTGTATGGTAGCTCTGAAATTTTCTATTTACATTTCCTTGTTTAGGGGTCCCATGAGATGTGTGTCTGGTACTTTGTAAATTCGGGCTTTCCAATCTGTCAAAATTACTATAGCTATCCCCTTGAGTTGGATCCTAGATAATTGATATACTCTGTCTCTTTGAACGTGTTGGGCTGTAACAGTTCGGCCAGAGACTGCATTGCTCAGGTAAGAGTTTAGGTGGCTAAATCATTTACTTGCCAATAAACAGTCTTCATTTATTTATCTTACATACCCTAGAACTAACAAGGTAAATTAGCCGGAAAATCCCAGAGAGATATCCCTCCAACGGGCTAAGCACGAAGCAACAAGTCTACACACAGGTGCAGGAACAAATAGAATGGTGGAGAGAAGAACACTGCCAAGCCATCGAAGCGTTGGCCCGTCTACTCCAAGAGCTACGGCAAGACTGTTTATCCCTCACCCGTTCTCTTAATTCTGAACCCCCACCAACACCCTTGGTTCCTGACATCTGCCGTGAGAAACCACTACCAGACCCCAGACCCATTTGATAGCACAGACCCACCGCATACTTTCAATTCAAGGCGAAGCTTAAGCTTAAGTCTAAACTACAAATTGACGGCATCCTTCAAAGGTCAATATGAGATTAGACGCATAGATTCATATATTTAATATAGCGATCGTGCTCTTGGCTACGAGATGCCTACACTATTCGGCAAGACTGACATGGCTAGTTGACATACTCTTTCTCACACCTGAATAGCTCCCTCTGGCCTTGCCTTCAAGTGGCTGCTTGCATTTGCATCCATGTCATGCAGTCCCGATTCAAAGAGGCTCTCCGAGTATATCGGACCCTCGGCGCGACTGTGCACTTTGTTCAGTCCCAGTTTCCCATGAATCAATCTAGGCGCAAAACCGTCGATGACGTCGTTCGAGAAGTTCTCAATGTTCATGGAGTCCTCTGTGCGCAGCATCTGTCGCGCGCGGATAGTCCTCAGGGTAGCCAGCTCGTCCTCGTTGAGCTTCTCGAGGTCTTCCTTAGTTTCCGCATCGGGATCCGCCTTGACGCTTTCGAGCTTGTCAAGGACTTCCTGGCGCGCCTCGGGTGAAATTTCCTGGAAGGCATGAAAGCAAAATTCGACCGACTTGGAGATGAGGCCCTGTGTAAGCTTGCCGCCTACGTCGGCGTCGGCGAGGCCTTGGATGACTATTTTCAGGGGGTGTTAGCGGGTTTACTCACTATTAGAATTAATAACTCACTTGGCCTGAAGAAACCAAATGCCCTGTCAAACCCATCCTCGTCAAAGTCGGTGAGTACTGGTTCATCACCCTTTCGAATCTGCCGCAGGGCCGTCATGACCACCAAGAGAAAGCGCGAGTAGCTCTCGGCAACCTTGACAGAATGCCACTTGGCCGCCTCGAACTCACTGCAATCGCCCTTTCGGGATGCTTGGATGGTCATGGCAGCTGAGAGGGCTCCGGCCAAAGCAAGATGCACGCCGGAACTAAAATACGGATCGATGAAGCAACCTGCGTCACCTACCAGGCGGAAGTTGGGCCCCGCGTACGCCGACGCACTATATGACCAGTCCGAGGCGGACTTGATAGACGGGGATACGAGCTCAGCGTCGGCCAATCTGGCGTGGATCTCCGGGGACAGGGTCAGACAGTCCTTGTAGAAGTCGACCATGGACGGTGAGCCTAAGGCTTTCTTGCGAGCGAGAGACAAGTCCTGGCGCATCACGACGCCGACAGAGAGGGTGTCGTCATGCAGCGGAATCGCCCAGCACCAGCCACTATAATCTGTCAAGGCCTCGAAGTAGGGGGACCCTTCTTGCTCAGTTCCCGGAGCATAGGTCTTGGCCCCTTTCCAGTAGCCCCAGTTGGCTACGTTCTTGAGCGCCTGGTTGAACTTGCGATTGTGGAGGTACTTAGTGGAAATGATGCCGTTGCGTCCGCTCGCGTCGACAATGTAGTCAAACTTGATTAAGCCTGTGGCACCGTCCGCTTTCCGCGACCATGATGCTGAGACTGCCCGGCCTGTATTACAGAGTTTCTCATCCTGGGGGAAGTCTTGATCCGGGACAAATTCGATGGACTCAACTTTGACGCCTTGGAAGGTATGGGCACCGCTCTTTTCAGCATGATCAAACATTAACTTGTCCGACTCGGAGCGGATCACATTCCAAGAATAGCCGTTGGGGCCATTGGCGGCAATGAAATCGGTATCTGTGATGCAATCAGCTCACGTTTAGCGAGAGTGGACCATTTTTGGTCTCCTCACAGCCTGCTCGCTTATTGTTCAACTTGAACGCTGCGCCGTTCTACCGTCAGGGCTTGTTAGACTCGGATATATTTCGTCCTATAAAGGCAAATACTTGCCTTTCTACGGAACCCATGGCTATCAAACGTCTTCTCAAGATCAATGAAGCGTATGAAATGGCGCATCGACGCAAGCATCGACTCGCCGATGTGGTACCTCGGAAAGTTATCGGCCTCGAGCACGACAACGTCCACACCCTCTCGCGCAAGCGCCGCCGCTGTATACGATCCAGCAGGGCCACCTCCTACCACAAGCACGGAACAGCACTCAGGGATAGACATAATATCGGTGTAATGAATAATCTTCTGGTTACCAAACAGGGACGGCCGCTCTATGTAAAATGGAGTTACGTAGTATCAGAAGAATTTTTCAAAGTTTGCGAAATGTCCAAACACTCTGCGCGTACTACAGTCTGGAAGTTGGTAAAAATATCCCTCTGATGAGTACCTATGCAGAGCCGTGAACGGTTGCTCATTGCGGCGTCACATGCTAGATTTCTAACGCAAACAGCATCGTATCTAGGACTAGGACCAACTTAGATTCTATGCAGGATTCTCCGGGGTATAGGATTTCCCGCATAAGTCCGCGTCTTGATAGATCTCCGAAACTCCTGACTCCGGCCGTGGAGAGGCATAAACTAGCAAGTCATAAGCAAGCTCGTCAGCAAACCTTATGCTAGATATAAATCATCACGCGGACGCGGGCCGCTGATTGGTTGACAAGGGGAGTACAGATGCCCTTACCACCAGCCCTAATGCCGGTCAACTAGATGACTGCCTTCCCCAAGAGTCAGAGTTCATCCTTTCAAGAATCCCTGGAGAAGGCGATTAGAGTAGTTCCAGAAAACCCACGGCATCCTTCATCAGTTCCGCTCCGACGATTGAAGCATAGTGTAAGGCTCCTTGCCACTGCCAACCTCTAAATGCCAAAAAGTAATACTGAGGTAATTGGGCCATTGCCCAATTCCAGGGTTGGCACGCTTATAAGCCTCTGCAAGCCTCCAGCGCCCTTGCTGCTGCCAGGCCTCACACATAGTACCTATTTGCACGCCAGTGATCTATGTCCATAAGGAACAAAGCGTGCGGGAAGTGATAAATCATGTGTACAGCGAAGATGTATCGATAGTAAGGAGACGACGAGTTACAAAAGGATTGAGGGCAGTTACTTACAAAGGGACAATATATTCTTATTTTTAGTTATTTAGTATATATACTCTTTAACATTTCTCAGCAGAGCGGTGCTATATGACCCGCCGCGATAGCAAAGCTGACGAATCAAGCTGGGAGACAATATCCTAAGGGCGGTACAAATGTTCTCAAAGTTATTATAACTCTTTATTGTTTACGGTAAGTTTTGGTGCGGTAGTGGCGTGAACATCAAACACGTCAAAACTCTACTTGGTGACATCTAGCACGGACCTAGTTACTTGAGTTACTGTGTCTATTACGTCGATACAGTCAAGTTGATAAAAAACTAATTGATATAGCTCTAATATATTTATAAAAATATATATATCTAATGAATACTTGTAAATTAATTCTATTTTTTCAATAATTAAATTTTAAGCCCAATTACCTCAGTATTACTTTTTGGCATTTAGAGGTTGGCAGTGTCAAGGAGCCTTACAATAATTACTATTAATTATCAATATAAGTAATTAAACAATTGTTTTATATTAGATTTATTTTTTTGAAAATATTTATTATTTATAATTTAAAATCTATTTTTTAATAATTATATTAAAGAATATTTTTAAATTAATTTGTATGTATTTCAATTATTAATCTAATTGTAGTTAGATCTATATTATTATTATTCTTTGGGTGGGGTGGCTAACTAGAGCCTGGCAGCGGGGGTCACGACTCACGAAGAGTGAGAGACGACAGCGTTACTACCCCGCCCAAAGGTGGCAATTGATTGACCACGAGGTGGCCAAGGCCCCCAAGCGCCTAGCGCGGCGCCTCTATCTGTTCAGGGCGGGGCACGCCCCAATCGGGGCCCATTTAAACTAAACCCGCGCGCGCGGGACTACTCTCGCTGTAGGTGATGTTCGGAGGAGTCGGAGACGGTCAGACAGATCCTGTTGTAGTGCAGGCGGTGGAGGCGGCATGTCACGCACCGGGACCCACTCTAGTTGTCACTGGCTGTGTCGAGGAGCGATACGATGTGTTGAACCACACAGAGGTTCCTTGAGGGTAACTAGTAACGAAGTACAAAGGTTGCCGAAGGGTAAAGGTGAGGGTAAGACACAACTAAAGTAGGAGCGATGCCTTGAAGTGCCGTAGTACTTCAAGTGGGATTGCCTTGCTGACCCTTACAGTGTAACTGATAGTAATAATCGTAGTGACTTATGTTAAAGAACTATGCTAAGGTAAACTAGATACATGCAAATGGGTGTGTTTATATAGATGTCGTTCCTACAATATCCCTACAATCTGTCCGTATACAGATTGTATATCCAATCACCTTCTTGTCTTTTCCTACACTTCTCCTACACTCTTATTGTATACCCGAGTGTAGTTGCTTATGTAATGTGTAATCCCGTGTGAGTAGCAAACGGGCTGTGTGTGGTCGTGGTAACTGGTTGGCCGTGGTGTTAGCCGCTTTAACAGACACTTGCCCTGAAGTGGCTTAAGACATCCTAATCTGTCCTTAGCTTTGCATATGTTGGTTTCGTAACATCACTCCCCCTCCTTGAAGTCCTTTGTCCTCAAAGGTATAAATAGAAGACGCGCCCTCGTTCCCAGCGTGACCCTGCTTCCTTTGGTGAGTGTCCGAAATGCGTCAACATGACTCCTAAAAAGGACCGTCTGGCTTATCGTGTGTCCCAGTCCGATCGCATCCGTCGAAACGGTTTCCCCGTCGATAATCCGTGCGAATATTGCAAAAGTAAAAACGAGATTTGCATAATGGATTCAAAAAGTCGAAACTGTGCGTCGTGCACACGTCGTGGTCGCAAATGCGAAAAGCGATTTCATAGTGAGCGAGAATGGTCAGATCTTCAGAAAGCTGAGGATCGTATTAATCAAGAGCTTCGCGATGCTCTTGCAAAACAGGCGGATCTGTCCGCGAAAATAAATCGTTTATTCAAACAACAGCAGTTTCTCAAAGAGCGAGGTTCGAAAATGTTGGATCATGATTCCAACGTGATGGAGATCTTAGATGAGGAGGATCCCGATGGCATCCCTCCTCCTTCTCCGACGAGAGAGATGCAACTAAATGCTATCTCCGACGTGGATTTTGAGGCCTTGTTCGCCAACCTGCCAATGTCTCCGCCTGGTGAATTGGGTTCCTCCGTCGGTAATCCTCTAATGCATCTGGAGCATCCGCGAGGTTCTCGATAGGTTCCCAAGTGTTTTCTGAGGTATCGTATCCCTTCCATTTGACCAGGTAGACAAATTTCCCATTGACTTGCTTTTCTCCTAGTATGTCTTCGACTTCATATGTCTCTTGCTCGACAATGATATCTGTTTGGAGTTTTGCATTTGATGGCGCTGGTTCCAATGATGAAACGTGGAACACTGGGTGTATTTTCATGGCTTTTGGTAGTTTTAGTTTGTAATTGACTTCTCCGATTTTTTCTTCAATTTCGAATGGCCCAATTCGTAGGTGGTTCAATTTGTCTTCCTTTCTTTTGGCGTCTAAATTTCGTAAAAGGTAGACCTTCCCTCCCTTCTTGAGATCAGGTCCCTTCTGATGTTTTTGGTTGTATCTTCTTGCCGATTGTTGTCCTTGATTTTCAATTTCATTGTGTAAATACTGGTGTAACGCCTTCATTGCGTTGACCATTTCTTCTGCTTCTTGTGCGATTGGTTGCTTGTATTTGGGTTCTCCTGGCATTCTTGCTTCTTTTCCTGTGTATGCCTTGAATGGTGTCATTCCTATGGTGGCTTGCTTGCTTGTATTGTAGGCCATTTGTGCCATAGGTAGTAGCATTGCCCAATTATTTCGGTCGTAATTGACGTAATGGCGTAAATACTGTTCCAATGTTTGGTTCGTTCGTTCAGTCTGTCCATTCGTCTGTGGGTGGTAAGCGGTTGACAGCCGCTGTTCTCCTCCCATAAGGTCCATCATGGATTTCCATAGTTTCGATGCAAAGGTCTGTCCCCTATCTGAGACCATAATCTCAGGTATACCGTGGTGCTGAAAGACTTTGTCAATTAACAGTATTGCTAATTGTTTTGCTGTCAATTGCTCCGTGGTTGCAACGAAGTGCGCATATTTAGTCATTCTGTCCACTACCACAAGTATCGAATCGTTTCCTTGCGACTTTGGTAGTTTGACGATGAAATCCATTGTTACCCATTGCCATGGATATTCTGGTGCTTCCAGTGGTTGCATTAGTCCATGAGGTTTGTGCCTATTAATCTTGTTCTTGTGACACTGGTCGCATTCCTTGATGTGGTTCTCGATGTCTCGAATCATTTTTGGCCAGTAGTAGTTCCTCGTAATTCGTTCTAGAGTGTTTGATACTCCTGGGTGTCCTGCCAATATGTTGTCGTGATGAAGTTGGATAATTTCCGTTCTGAGTGTCTTTGGTACATAGATTAGACCATGCCAAAATGCTAATCCTTCTTCCGTCATTGTGATTCGGTCATCCTCATTGTTTACCATGTTGAATATCAGTCCGTCTTGCTCGGTTTCTTTTGCGATTCTGTCTTGTAATTCCGAGTCTGTTACTCCTTCTAGTGTTGCTGCGAGTATTGCCGTTTGAGGATTATGTACTAGTGTTCCCCTATCTGTTTCCTTGAACAGGGCTGGTTCTGGTGATCTGATTCCTTCTTCATGATCCGGTCTCCTGCTTAGAGCGTCTGCTCGTTCGTTGTCTTTTCCCTTGCGGTATTCTATTTCGTACCAATAGTTTGCTAGCAATTCCGACCATCTCGCTTGTCTTCGGTTAAGAACCTTGGTTGTGAGGAAGTAGGTGAGGTTCTTGTGGTCCGTGATAACTCGTATTGGGAACTTAGTTCCTTCCAAGTAGACTCTCCAATGTCGAAGTGCTGTCACTATGGCTAGCAGTTCTTTATCGTGAATCTCGTAATTGAGTTCTGCATCAAGCATTTTCCTTGAGTAATACATTACTGGTCGTAGTTTCTTGTCTGGTCCTTCCTGCATCATTGCTGCTCCTATTGCGAAATCTGAAGCGTCTGTTTCCAACACTGTTGGTTTCTCCGGGTCGTGTTGCATCAGTATAGGTGCGGTGGTGAGCCGAAGCTTCGCTTCTTCGAATGCTTTCTGGCATTCCGTTGTCCATTCAAACTCGAAGTCCTTTCGTAACAGTTTGAATATGGGATTCATTATCCCTGCGTATCCTTTCACGTATCGTCGATAGTAGTTGATTAATCCGAGAAAGGATTGCACTTCTTTAACGTTCTTTGGTGTAGGCCAGTCTCGTACCGCCTGTACCTTTTCTTTATCCATTTGGATCCCTTCTTGAGTGATTCTGTGTCCCAAGAAGTCCGTTTCTTGTACGTGAAACTCGCATTTCCTAAGCTTCAACTGTAGCTTTGCTTCCCGTAAGCGATGTAGGACCATCCTTACGTGTCGTACGTGATCGTTCATGCTGTCTGAGAATATTAATATGTCGTCGAGGTATGCGACAGTAAAGTCGTATAGGTAATCCCCGATTACATGGTTGATGTACCGTTGGAATGCTGCTGGTGCATTGGTTAATCCGAAAGGCATAACCAGATATTCGTAATGTCCAAACTTGGTCTTGAATGCAGTTTTCCATTCTTCTCCTTCCTTGATTCTCAGTCTGTTGTACGCGTCCGTAATATCGAGTTTCGTAAACCATTTCTTTCCTCGTATTTTGTCTTGTATTTCCGAAATCAGGGGTAATGGGTGACTGTCTCGTATAGTGATTTTGTTCAGTTGTCGGTAGTCTATACATGGTCGTAGGTCAGTAGTCCCCTTCTTTCCCACAAAGAGTACGGAGTATCCTGCTGGCGAGCTTGAGGGTCTGATGTATCCCTTTTCCAAGCTTTCATTCAGGTACTTCTTAAGTGCTGCCGTCTCATTTTCTGACATGGGGTAGATTCGTTGAGGTCTTGGTTCTTCGTTTTCTTTCAATGGGATGGTATGGTCCCATTCACTGTGTTCAGGTAATTTCTTGTATGTTCCGTTGAACAATTCCTTGAATCGTTCATATTCTTTAGGTAGTTCAGGTTCTGCGGTTGCCGCGATCTGACACTCCTCTTTCAGGTGTTCGGTAATGGCCTCCCCTTTGGTCCCATTCCGTATAAGAGTCCACGAGGAAGTCAAGTCGTCTGCTTCTTCCGTCGTACTCAAGTCTCCCGCCTGTCCGGTGACTTCATCTACCTGAGATATCTGTCCACAATTACAACGATTCATTTTGATTTCGCCAGTTCCCCAGTTTATCTCCGGGTTATGAACCTTGAGCCATGGGATTCCAAGAACTATGTCGTTTGGTCCCAGTTCTGCGACGTCAAAGTTGATCATCTCGTGATGGTTTCCTAATACCATGGACAACCACCCTGTTTCATGTGTGACTCCCCCTTCTTGCAGGCTCACCCCGCTGAGTCCTGTGATGGGTACTGCTTGGGGTTTCTTCCTTCCCAAGATTTTCAATGTTCGTTTTGTTTCTTTATCCATGAAGTTGTGCGTTGCTCCCGAATCGACCATTGCTTCGATCTCTATTCCGTATATGGCCACTGTGGTTCTTAGTTGCCTTCCACAAGCCGTTGCGTTGAGTTCTGCCCTTTCGTATGCACAGTTGTCCGCATGCTGCGGCCATTTCCCTTTTGGAAATTCCCCAGCCCTAATTTTAGGGTGTACGTGCGTTATACATTCGTCATTGTAGCAGATTTTCCATGATAACATCCGATGCTTTGGATGTTGCTCAAGCTGTAAGCAATTGCACCATGCCGTCTGGCATTTCCATTCCTTCATTTGTTTCGTTACGCTCATTCTTCCTTCTTTCTCATACCATGGTGTTATGATGCACTGCATCCTTTCAATTCTGGTGAGGTCATGGTTGGTATGGACACATGGCTGATTCTTCGGGTCTTCGCCATAAGGTAGTTGAATGTAGTCGTTCATCCAGGCTTTTACGAATCCATCTCGTGGATCATCGTCTTTTCTGCCTATTTCGGGGTTACGAGTTTCTTCGAAACTCCCAGCTTCACTGAGCTGCACCACCTTTTTCTTCGAGGGGCTGATGGTGTTCCATTCCTGCGTCAATTTCCATTCGCAGTTTGATATCTTCGCTTGCTTCCTCTTTCTTGGGAAGTAGCCCTGGCTTTCTTTTGCTTCCCCATGGATTGTGCATGAATCCATTGTGCAAAAGGTCCAATGTAATAATCCGTGCCCTGGGTGGTCTTTCTCTTCAAAGATTACCCTGCACTCGGCTCCACACTTGTTCTCGAGGTGTGTCCGAACTTCGTAAAGCTTCTGCTTTCCTTTTTCTTTGTCAGCCGTCTTTGAACTCTCGATGTCGTTCAGAGCTTCGTTCAATTGGCTTTCTATCTTTTCGACCTGACTCATCCCTTCGTACTGTCGCCACCCTTGGCTTTCTGGGATTTCGTCCATTTCTGGGAACTCTTCGGTGTCTCCCGATTCATACTGTTCCGCGTCGTCATAGTCGTATTTCGGGTAAGACTCTCTGTCTTCCTCATTTGTCGCATTCAATTGTCGTCCTTGTGGTTTGACTCTACACTCTCTCCTGAAGTGGCCCGTCTTCCCACAGTTGTAACACTTTATCTTTGACTTGTCGAATTTCGTTTTTGGCTGTTCTTGAGTGGCATCAAGTTCCATAGGTCGAGGTCCATACGGGTCCTCCCTTTTCTTGTGGTGGTATGGTTTCTTGCCACTGCTCCAGTTTCCGCCGTATTTCTTTTCCATACGTCGTTCGTAGAGCCTATTGTCGAGTTTGACTGCTACATCAATCATGTCCGTGAGATTGTCTGGCCTAGTGGGTATTCTGGCTATCTCATCCTTGATGTCGTCTTTCAGTCCTTGGTAGAATCGATCTGCTTTGGCCTCATCATCCCATCCGAGATGAGAGCTGATCTGGTAGAATTTCGACGCATAGTCTGAGGCTGATGTGATCTGCTTCAGACGTTGAATTTTCTGAGCTGCGTTATTTCTCTCATCGATTTCTCCAAAGGTTGATTTGATTTTTCTGACGAATACATTGTAGTCCGCAAAGGTTTCATCGATCTCGTCTTCCCTGTCATCTGGGGCTATCTCAAACCATGCCCGTACATAGGGTTCAAACCAATCCATAGCTTCTCCTTCTAGGAACGTTGAAGCTGTCAAGACCTTGTCTGGTTCCCCATGCAGCAAGTGCGAGTTGACAGAAAAGTACAACTGCATTTGTGCTAGGTAACTCCTCAGCTTGGTCCTATCTCCTTTGAACGGAGTTGGTTTGTTGATCTTAATCCTTGCGTGTGATGCATTCTCCAATTGGCTAATTCGTTCACGTAATTGTTGATTGACTGCCATTACGGATTGAACACTGGGTGTTTGTCCTCCAGTGGTACTGGGTGTTGGAGTTGCATTGTTGCCTGCCATGATTAGTAGTCTTGTTGGGGTAATACTTTCCTAATGTAGTAATTGGCCCTGCTTGATAGTACTTGTCCCGTATCGTTCCTCGGGGTCAAGACGATAGTTCTTTTGTCACGCACCGGGACCCACTCTAGTTGTCACTGGCTGTGTCGAGGAGCGATACGATGTGTTGAACCACACAGAGGTTCCTTGAGGGTAACTAGTAACGAAGTACAAAGGTTGCCGAAGGGTAAAGGTGAGGGTAAGACACAACTAAAGTAGGAGCGATGCCTTGAAGTGCCGTAGTACTTCAAGTGGGATTGCCTTGCTGACCCTTACAGTGTAACTGATAGTAATAATCGTAGTGACTTATGTTAAAGAACTATGCTAAGGTAAACTAGATACATGCAAATGGGTGTGTTTATATAGATGTCGTTCCTACAATATCCCTACAATCTGTCCGTATACAGATTGTATATCCAATCACCTTCTTGTCTTTTCCTACACTTCTCCTACACTCTTATTGTATACCCGAGTGTAGTTGCTTATGTAATGTGTAATCCCGTGTGAGTAGCAAACGGGCTGTGTGTGGTCGTGGTAACTGGTTGGCCGTGGTGTTAGCCGCTTTAACAGACACTTGCCCTGAAGTGGCTTAAGACATCCTAATCTGTCCTTAGCTTTGCATATGTTGGTTTCGTAACACGGCAGCAGGGAGCTCTCTATACGGCCTTATCGATGGCCAAGGTTGACACGCAGTGGAGGCAGCAGCGGGGAGCCCTCGATAAGGCCTTATCGATGGCCAAGGTTGTGACAGGCCTTCGGCGGTAGAAGATACCCAAGCGCGCATATTGGCGGACCCTAGGGCTACGCAGGCCCGCCGCGCGGATTGTGGGGATGGCACTCGGGGGCCCCAGGGGCTTCGGGGAGAAGGGTGACAGCTTTGGGCGGCATGTCATCGGCAGGCTACGCACGTCCGTTCGGCCTTACTATCTACTTTGAATTTGTATTTAGTATGATAATATATAACAAAATTTTTATCTCAAGTCACTTATATGTATAGGCGATTAACCTTATAGGGGCTGGTAAGTCTGCCGAGATCTGTTAACCCCAACCCTAAACCGTCTCCCTTGGCCCCCCTTAGGCTCTCCTCCTCCATCATAGATAGCCTCCCACTTCCGTAAATCAGCACCAGCTAGATCTATATTATATATATTATATTTAAAAAATAATTTTACATTAGAAAAATACAATTAAATTACACTAAAACCTTATATTATATTATATTAAACAGTATATTAAATTATTATTGTTTTTAAATCTTAGAACCAAAACTGCATTAGACCGGGTTGGTGCAATTTGGTTTTGGTGTGTGGTGTGGTGCCTTGTCGGCGCATTCCGAACCTGAGAGTATGTGAAGTTGGCAGGTTATTATATAATTTCAAATAGTGCCAAAAAATATACGAAAAAATACTCCAGTTATCGTAGTTATCGTGCTCTGCGGATTGGGTAGTGCCTCTTCGGAGCGTAATCCGAGTTTTTCACAGGGGTTCATACGGTATGATTGCATCGCATTCGCTACGGATAAACCGCCCAATGCCCAACTGTATAAATATGTTGGTGGCGTTGCTGCATGAGTGAAGATGCATGAATTCCTCAAGAATAGGCCGCTAAACACCAATCCTAGTCAATTAAATAAGGCTGCTCATAGAAAGATGCTCGGCAATTAGTGTTATTAATTATACTTTCCCGTCAGCCTACCCGTTGTTGATGACGGAGTCGGTGGTGCGCTCTTCAAGAGGTTACCAAACATCATATATCTTCCATCGTGATCATGGCTAACGTGGAGGTGAGAGCGTTGCGACAACAGCCTGGTTTTGCCTGTGAAGAATGCCGGAAACGCAAGGCCCGTTGCGACCGAGGGCGACCCAAATGCAGCTTCTGCACTGCGACAGGTTCCACATGTGTTATTGTTGACAAGAGGCAGCAAAGAGGGCCCAAGAAGGGCCAAGTCAATCAAATGCGACTACAAATTGGTTTGCTTCATTCCTCATCAACCGTCATGTAACGCTGTGTGCTTCTATATCTTCCATTGCTCGCGGGCTTGCCCGGCTTCTTTAATCCATGCAAATTTCGCGCTACATAAGCATACAAGTGTATATTTTGCTAGGATCATTGTTACTAACGATTAATATGCGCAGCAACGCTTCAATCGCAGCTAGACCAACACTTTGGATCCAACTCGGGAAAAACGGTGCCCGATCAGGACCCCGACTCTTCACGAACAGACGTTATTGTAGCCCCCGACGACTATAATGGCCTCCAGACAAACGGTTTGGATGAAGCGAATCTGACCCTGACCCCCGCAACATCGGCGACAACGACAACGCCAGCAATAGCATCTACACCCATGAGCTTGGACTTTGCTGGTACCGATCTCGCTGGTTGGACAGATTGGATACTCTGGCAGGACCAGGAGGGCGGCGCCCTTATGCCATCGGGCGAGACAGGAACTGCATTGATGGATCATACCGATGCAGGTCCATCCTTGATGGCCGTAGGGTTCAAACTGACCGACCTCATGCGAGCCGACTTGTGCGGTAGCCTAATATTCTTTTCCTAGTAATGTGTGTTGACCGTTTATTGTTTGCAGAGACCAGCTCTATTTCGACCGTGTGCATCCCGTTTGCCCCATGATACATCGCAGGCGCTACATCGCGTGGGCTGGTCAGGAGAGCGTCACGCCAGCCCGTGCCTGTCTCCAATCCGCGATGCGGACCATGGCTGCAGCCATGTCGGTCCATTGGCGCCACCTCGCCGATCATTTCTGTCTCGAGACGCGCCGTCTACTCGAGACCCAGTGGCACCATATACGAGCCATATCCACAGATGAGATCCAGCTGGAGCACATACAGGCCTGGCTGCTACTGGCTTACTCTGAACGGTTACGAGTTGGTGAACGTCAGGCTATGCTGACGGCTGGTCGTGCATTTCGCCTCTTGCAGATGGCTCGTCTGTACGATGTTGATGCACCAGCCGACTCCAGCTCGCCGGTCTCTCCTGTGGCTACCATAGGTACCCATCACGAGTTGGACGACAGTTTTGCCGACGCCGAGGAGAAGAGACGCACGTTTTGGCTGGCCTTTAGCCTTGACCGCTTTCTCTGCCTGCGAAGTGAATGGCCTCTGACGTTGCAAGAGGAGATGGTAAGTCTCAGGCACAATTCCCAGGGATCTGGTGAAATCACTGACTGCTTTCAGATCCGCACGCGTCTCCCGGCGCCAGAGGAAAACTTCCAAAATAACCAACACATCTGCGTCAGCTTCCTCCCCGAAGCCGTGATGCATAATGGCCCTAGCAACCTCTCGCCCTTTGCCGAGTGCGTAGTGCTGGCGGCGCTACACGGGCGGTGCATGACACACCGGCGCGCGTGTCTGTATGGTGGTCCAAATGCCCCGGGGACTGAGCAGCATGACTTTTGGCCTCGCCAAGAATGGCTTGCCTCGACAATAGAGAAGCGGCTGCAGATGCTCGCTCCCTGCTCTGCAGTCGACAGTGACCCTATGCTTCTCTTTGCCCACCTGCTGGCCCATAGCGCCATCGTCTTTCACAGCAACACAGTGCAGAGACAGACAGCCTCCTGCGGCACCCTGCAACAGCAATTCGTTTCGAGCGCCTATGAACGTCGTGCCTCCGTGGCAGCCCTGGAGATTGTGCGTCTGGCCAAAACAGTACCGTTGCTCAGCTGCTTGAAGGCCCATCCCTTTCTACCTGACCCGCTTATTTGTGCGGCTACCTTTCTCTCCACAGCCTCTAACACGATCGTGGACAGCAATAATGGAGTTGGGCATTTGCTTCGTGTGCTTAGAGATGTGCAGGCGATCAATAGTCTTGCAAGGGAACATTTCCAATCGCTAAAATTAATAGATGTAGTTCCATGTCAGGGGATTTCTCTAGAGTAGCGTAAAACTGGACAATGTTGCTTTTTTATAATCGAAACTTAGGCTGCCATTTGGTCTGGTTCTGGCTCTGAGATTGGAAACCAGAATTATCTGATTTAAGCCTTTAGAACCAGTTTAAACTATATTAATTAAATATTAAACTATTTTATTTTTAATAAATTTAATTGATCTAAATTTCTATTTACTATACTATAGTATTTATTATATAATAAATAACCCTTAATAGTTTATTTTTATATCTAAAATATTTTGAATATTTTATTTTTTACAATTTTATTTTAAATATAAATTATTAACTATAAATATTTTTATATTATTATTTAAATAAGTTTTAAAACTTAATAAAAATTTATAATTATAAATATTTTTGTTTTGTTTATAACATAAGCTTAATTACATAAAACTTCCTATTTTAAACTAATAAATAGTTTTTCAAATTAGATTCTGGCTACACGTGTCCTAAATTTAGCGAATCAGAACTAAAGCCAGATTAAGTGGGTCTGTGCGGGTACCAGTCCCAGTTCAAACCAGACTAGATGACAGCCTAATTAAACTGCATCACGTTATGGATTTTTGAGTACCGTTATGATTTCTAATTTGCTAAACCAAAACCATGTGGCACAGACAGATCTTCTCCGAACCACACCATAACCAGACCCAATGTAAGCCTAGTGCTGACGGATACGTGTTGTGCCCATCCCCGTCCTCAGTAGTATAATCTCCTCTCATTGGACGTCCGTCCGTCCTACGCCTATGATGTGACTGCAATACAGAGCGCGCCAAAGACCCTAAATCGAAGGGGATAAAAGCTCACCGGAGTTAATTGGCGCCGTAAATTTAGTCAGTCATACCAGCCCTGTTCGGCTACATTGAATAAGGCGTAAAGGATTGACAAGCTGAGAGGATGTTCTGAATATTGAATAATAATAAGTAATCAATACACATGGTTGCAGGGTTTCCAACAGTCTCTCTCCCTATGAAGTGACACTGGAACGTACGATGTAGCCACGTGGTGTGCGCTATCTTCTTATATGTATGCCCTTAGTGATATAGAGTTACGTCAGGACCGAATCCGTCTGCTAGATTGCACGTCAATAAACAGCACATGTCATTTCGTAGTCTAAGTAAGCACAGTTGTAAGCCTCCATATCTCACAAACAGTGCCTGGCAAGTCGCGCCTTATCAATAAATGTTTTCTACACTTTACTCTAGGTTTTCATTTCCTGTCTCGAAAATAAAAACAGTAGATAACACCATAAAGATAGAGATGATCTTTAGCGGCGTTCTTCACTTAGGCAAGACGCTCTGCTTATTGTGAAACACGTCAAGAGGATCATAAGCAGCCTTGACCTTTTCCAACCTCCGTAAGTTGGATCCCCAATAATGATATCGCGCTTGATCCGGCTGCTCCTTTGCATCAATGAATCCCACATACTCGCCATAGTACGCGTCTGGGTTGCCGCTTTTCGCTAGAGCATGGAGACCATCAAGGAAGGATGTAGTCGTCGCCGTCACGTCCGCATTCGTCGCGGCATACGAGAGGAAAACAAACGCGGCGTCTCGATGAGGAAACGCAGTCTCGGAGGCTGGAAGTGCACCGTTTTGTCCGCCACCGGCCTGAAGCTCAACAGTCCAGACCTCGGCACCGCTGTCCGTGGTAGCGAGATACTCAAACAACCGGTTCACGACATCGTCGGGAATGCGCGTCTTGGGACGGAAAATAGTTGACTTGGTGTAGAAAAACGCATCAGATTCTCTTCCAGTCTCTGCGGTCTGCTGAGCCCACAGCTGCGATAGATTCAGGAAATTTGTGTAGACGACGGCGCTGCTTATTGGTGTCGGCGGGAATAGGGACGGAATTCCGAGGCCATTGAAGCCATCCAATGACCCAAAATATGCTCCCGACATTAAGACACTACTGTTCGTGATACCAAATATTGTTTCGAGGGCCCAGGGGACACTAGAGTTGTAAGTCAAGGCTTGCCAGGATTTGAAGATCGCTGCCCTTAAAGCGACGTCAGAGGTATTCCAGAAGTACGTAAAACTTATCGTCTGCGGTGGAGCAGGGAACGTATTAAAGACGAATTCCGTAACTATACCGAAGCTCGCTCCTGCGCCCCGTATCGCGAAGAAGAGGTCGGGGTTCCGTGATGCAGACGCTCTGACGATGGTCGCGTCGGCCAGCACAACCTCAACTTCCTGGATGTAATCTATCGTCAGGCCGTACTCGCGCCACCCATATCCTGCGCCTCCAACAGTTGCATGGCCGCTGATACCGATAGTGGCACTTGGGCCGTGTGGAACAAACCGCTGTCCAGCATTGTACGTTAGCACATCTAGGTCTCCCAAGTGCACTCCAGCTCCAACAGTCGCGCGGAACGTCGATGTGTCCATGGAGAAATTCTGGAGATACTGAAGGTTGATTGAAAGTTCTCCTGTGGATGAGCCTAAACCAGGCTTAGCATATAGAAAACAAGAACTTGGCTGGGTAGCAGGCTATCGTACCATAGTTGGCAGCGCTGTGGCCACCGCTCTTGGGTTGCACTTTATACCCCGACTTTACAGCGCATTTTACAAGAGCAGAAACTTGAATAGCTGTGTGTGGAAAAGCTACAGCAGCAGGAACCACTGGATAGTCCAAGTTATACGGGGCGACAATGCTGGAATAGTTTGCTTGCCACGGAAATGCCACAAGGCTTGAGTTCGCGCCGACTGCGGCGAGGAGACATTCTGCAAAATTTGGCAACACCATCTTCAATCAATCGAGTTCAAGACTGCCAATCTGAGGGGAGAGATTATGGAAACGCTGGTTGTTATTGCTATGGCGTTGGCTTTTGTGGTTCTTTAGGGCCATACAGTTTACTCCGTAGTCCGAACTTGAGCTATAGGGAACTCCGGGTAAGCGAGTCGCATCTCCGGCTCGCCCCGCTCCATGAATGCTGACATGAGTCGTAGTCTAGCTACTGAAGGTGAGTTTGAGTGTAAGACTTGGAAATATTAAAGAATTGAAGAAGTAGAAGTGTGAAGTTGAGTCAACGACCTTGCTTACTTGCTTATATAGAGTCATCTAATTGTACCGTACGAAGGTTTTACAATGACAGAAACAGCGGTTTCTTATCAGAAGATTAATTTTATTACATTAAGATAGAACCGTATTTCTAGGCTAAAGAACCACTGAGCTATGGTTAAAAGGCACTTTGTTTATGATGGCTGATTGCAGTATATCTGGACAACAGAATAAAATGAAACTCTCCGCAGAATTCAGTAGGTGTGGCAGTCTACACAGACACAGCCCCAGTAATTCGAATGAATTCATCCTCAACGTGCGACCACGCCTTCTGTGCCGTGCCGTCCTTTCTCATCCTTCCCAGAAGCTGCTCTACCTTGAGCGGAGCAGTCTCCCCATCGTTGGTAACAGAGTACACGCCGCTGCCGCTCTCGCCGTTCGTCCCTCGCGCAACCATGATACCACTCGGCGCCGGAACACCAGCAGCGGCACTCTTGCCTCCTGCCGGAAACCTAGCGCTCGTCGCCAAAAACACATGCCGTTCTCCAGCTTCGTCAATTGGGGTAGCGAAAAGGGGCCCGACAAGCGGGTAGACGGCGTTGAAAACCGCCCTCAAGACGGTGAACATTGGCCCCTTCACATCGTTTCCGTAGTTGGTCTTGACGAAACCGGGAAATGTCTGAATAAAAGTCACGTCTGGGGCCTTTTTCGCAATGGCTTCGAGCGCGAATGTCATCATGGAGGCGAAATGTCCCCGTAGGGCAAGCATGGAGCCACTGCGGCCCGAAAGGTCATTCGTGCGAATTGCGCTTTCCTTAGTGCCTGCAAGGACAGTCACCACACGACGTAAATCGGAGGCGTTCTGCAGCAGAGGCAAAAGGTCGACAATGAAGCGAAGACGGGCGTACTGTGCTACCGCGATAGGATAGTTGAGACCTTCTTCGGTATCTGCGATATTTCGATTAGTCTCCTTCATGCTACCGCACTCCTTCTAGCCTACCTTTCCCAGAGAGCATTGTCCCCGTACTCAGAAACAATAGGTTGATTGCGGCTTCCTTGTCCTTGATCTCGCGGCAAGCATTGTCCACGGAGCGGAGCAGACTAACATCAACGCTCTTGAAGATGTACTCTCCTTCGGGATTCAGCTTTTGCAGCTCTGCAGTGATTCGACGGCCGGACTCCTTGGATCGCCCGATAAAGTATATCCGGGGCCGGACAGTATATTTGGCGAACTGCTTCAACGACGTTTCGCCAACACCGCTTGTTGCACCGGCGAAAACGGCGACCAGACCGGGCGGGAGAGCCGTCGCGATCTTGGAATTGGAAGATCGAATTTTTTCCAGGGCGACCATTATTAAGATTTTGCTGTGGGAGATGGGAGTTTGACGGTTTGACGGTTTGACCCTGGAAGTGTGAGGCGAGGTGTACACAGCAGGTTTGGGAACTTTACGGACCTTACTATGTATGCGCCTTATACCAACACTAATGCGAAGGCGGAAGGAAGTTCACCCGCACCCCACAACTTCCGGGTCCCGGACACGATCTAATTTATGAAAGTTATGTCGACGCACGGCCCAGCTCCTAAACCTTATTCGGTCTGAATTCAAGTGATAAGGCGACCCTGCATTCCTATTTGCGAGGCGGTCTCCACCTAATCACTTAGCGGACGAACCAGGAATTAATCAGGAAATATTCAGGAAATAGTCAAAATATAATCTGTCTTTATCTCAAGGGGGTGGCGGGTTCGAAAGCGTACCAAATGCTACCATATGCACCACATGCAGGGTCCATTTCGTGATAGAATTTAAAATTCTTATGCTCCACTGTGCCCGCCGCGCGCGAAGTGGGCCCAACAAGCGCAAACTAACGGCTCACAAGCTGTCCTAGCCCACTAGGTGGACGTTGTCATCTAGTTTTCCATAATATCAAGACATCTCTGTCACCTAATATTTTAAGATAATTATAAGTATCTTTTGTAGTAAACACATATAAAAGATACTTTGACAATGAGCTCGTGCCCTGCATGATAGGGCACAAGTTCACAACCCTGCATAGAGGCGATAGTATGGAAGCCAGCTACAAGAGGTCAGTGAGAGCTACTACTTCTACTAGTACTATTCCCCCCGCAAATAAAAGACCGGCCGATTAATGTGACGGTTCTGGCAATCTTTACGATATGCGAGGGTAGTAGTGGGTAGGTGGCAGCGGAAACCGTTTAGATTACCTAAATAAGTTAGGTATAAATTAAGATTTCCTAGTGGGGCTAAAAACAGTTACCTACATGAATCTGCCCCACTGGGAAATAATAGTGCCAACCACCCACCTGCCGCTCCCCGCTGTGGGTGCGCACCACCATCTCAACGCTAATTTTACCTCAGTACCAAATTTTTACAATCATTACCATAGTACTCATTTATTCGCAGAAATAATATTACATTAATATAAAAAAAATAAAGAGCTATAGTTAAAGCAAAAAAATCTTATATAATTATAAAAAATACAATTATGAGTAAAATTATATATATATTTAATATTTTCTATAATCAATTTTAATAATTAGTCAATTGGAATTTATTTTTAACTATTATTTTAATTAGATTTTTAATAAAAAATTGGCATTGAGGTTGAACCGGCGTTGAGATGGCGCGCGCACCCACAGAGGGATCGGCGGGGGGGCAGTTGGCACGATTAGTGGGAAATTTTTGGATATTCCCATTTCCCGCTGGGAAATCTTTTTGCCTCTCGAGATCTCACTTATGGGAAAATGGCCACCCTAGTAGCGAGGATTCATTTATTTATTTATTCAAGCTTAACGACCTTAATGTGAGGCCTAACGGCAGCGGGGCGCTGTAGCGGCGCATAGCGCACGCAGGCATGTGTCGCAGGCTCACAAGCGTGCCAACCCTAAAATTGGGCATTACCCCAATTACCTCAGTATTACTTTGGGGCACTTAGAGGCTGGCAGTGGCAAGAAGCCTTACACTTACCCAGCTATAAGCTATGAAGGTCTCGTTTCAGTGGGCACTAGGGGGGCTTGTAAGGACCTAAACCCTTAATTCCCCCAACTGCCTGCCCTAAACTGGTGTCTAGCGTTTCAATGTACTAACGAATTCCTCGCCCCAAGCCGCTTATATGCACAGGAGGGCTGGCGGGGCCGCAGTCACCCTTCCCCCTGAAGCCCCCCTGGGTCCCTCTCTTCCTCCATAGCTTCCCATCCCCATAAATCGGCCCTCCGGGGCCTTAATGGTCTCTATAAGGCCAGCAGGGGTTTAGTGGCCCTAGGGCCCCCCAACATGCGCTCCTCACTGAGGGCTTATCAACTTTGGCCTTCGAGAGGCAGACCCAGTAGCGAGGATTCACCATCCTCAATATTCTGGTCTTTTGGTGCTACAGCTTAGTGAGCGAATGCTCTTGCTTACGACGTTGTGACAGAATCCATCAAGCTGGAGACTTACAAGCTTCCACACCCATTTGATTTCTCGATTATATGTTTCTATCTCCACTTATAGGATGACAGCTCTGGGCGACCTGTCATCGGCAAGCGACGCCTGCCGGTTCAGATCCGAGGAGGGAGGCCGGGGTCCCGCAAGCCCCTATAAGGCCCCCTAATCGCCCTGCGTATATAAGCGGCCTGGGGCGAAGAATTCGTTAGTACATTGAAACGCTAGGCACCAGTTTAAGGCGGGCAGTGGGGGAAATTAGAGACCTAAGCCCCTATAAGCCCCCCCCCCCCCCCCCCCCCACAGCTCCCACTGAAACGAGACCTTCATAGCTTGTAGCTGGGTAAGGTCGTTAAATTTGACTAAATGAATAAATATCTCCACCTATGTGATGGCAACAATTTGGACCGGATGTTTTGGGCTCGTATCCAAAATTGCACATCTGGAAGCTTGTTGCTTTCATTGTGCTAATCACTGCTGCCTACAGTATCCACCTAGAGACGAGATGGAGCGCTATCCAAATATGAAATACCTCTCGGCTGTAAAATCATTACACCAAAAATGGGGTTACTCTTAGTGCTCACATCTGACTGATAATACCGCTAGAAAAAGCAAAGAGGTAGGAACAACTACGGACCGAAGGATACTAGTGACTTCACATATCCTTGTCACTAGATAGAAGCATCAGGTTTTACAATTATATAAGGGTACTCGTTCCCACCATGTCAATTGATATTGACTCTACCATGTTATGTTCTCATGAAACCTTCCAAATTCTGCTTGTAATGTTTCCTCTTTTTGAATAAAGGCGGCGCTAAATTATTCAATACTACTGTCACAAAACAGGAATCGTGACCCTAGTCACTTGTATGTAGCACTACCGTAGCCCTAGTCGTAATCTAAGGAGGTTACGGTAGAGTACAAAATTGATGTGTCTAAGAGATCAGTGATTAGTATCCCAATTTATAGCATGCACATTTTCGTACCATACTTCTATTCGTATACAGATCTTAATCTTATCATAACACCCTCCTACGAACCATAACACAGAGGTCACTCGGGCTCTCTCAAAACACATATCTTGACAACTACTTGATTCATCTCAAGGCAGACAGTGAGACAAAGACATATTTGCATATATGTATATAGATAATTTAAGTCACTTTACATAGCAATTATTGCGTATATATGAATTTTCAGAAAATATCTCAAGCATGGAAGCATTATTATACCATTACAGGGCAGTTACTAGCAGTTACACGCTGGTAACTGGGAACCCCTATTTTCCTGTTTAAAACTTAAAGCAATCAATTATGATTGTAATGACGAAGGGAGTTAGATATGTTTCATTTATTATGATTCTATTAAGGATAGCCTAGATTAAAAAGAATAGTAGTTTAAATGTTCAATATTCGCTCAGGGATTTCTCTCACTCTGTGTGTCACATTCGGATTCAAATAACTAGCGGTTTATGAGTAGCCTGAGGGATAAAAGGCGGGGGTAGGATATTAAATTAAGATGACCTGCTTCTATTCATTTGAGGATGAGACTTTCCAGGCGTATACTACTATATGTATCTATATTAACATGCAGACACATCCTGTCAGGTACATGTAGTCTCCACATTACCGGTCAGGACTTGAAATCGATCCCCCTGTTCAGCATTACGGATCCAAGGAATATCCGTCTGTGCCTCCTCCGCCAATGGAAATAAAACTAGTGGGCTAACCTGGGAATAGGGAGTCGAAATGGTGCAGAAACTACTCCGTAGAGGTTTCATACCGCAGCATGAGCCAGACAATTCACCTACGTGTTCGGCACATCTTGCCATGCATTCCTAACCCACAATTCTAACTTCTGACTATATTCATCCTCCAGAATTTTGTGATATGAGTACAGAGGCACAAAAGGTCGTGCGAAGCGCCAAACCCATTAATACACTAGCCTTGTTATTGAGTGGAGACCTCCATAGCTCATAGCTGCGTAAGGTCATAAAACTTGAATAAATAAATAAAATAAATACTATTGAGAGTATTATCCAGTATTTTATTAGCTGGGTTGTATATCAAATAACCCCTTTTATGAAAAACTAAAAAATTGAAATATAATGTTTGATTTTTATTGGTCATTATATAATGTCTTATTAATGAGTGTGTATTGATAAAACTGAAAAATAACAACTAAAGGAATTAGGGGGTGCCACATTCTCACCACTTTTTGTGCCCACCTCTGTAGTGGTGGTGAGACTACTCTATCCCGAGCAGCTAGGTGCACGGCTATCTTAGCCTAAATAGGGTTCGGGAGGCCAAACCCTAACTCTAGGGTTATTTCGCTTCGATGCTTCGATTACGGAGTACGTACGAATACACCTCTGATTTAGGTCCCATGACGGAATCTAGGAAATCAGAAAGGAAGTTTACATCTGAGCATGACTATCACTTGCCACTCAATCAAATCAGCCAATCGACAGTACCTGTATTTGTTGGTGTTCCACAAGGCTATCCGCTATGTATCACATCCGCTAATGAACACCATATCGCATATGGCTGGGGCACCTCCACGCCAAGCTTTGAACCATGTGATACTACCTAGAAGAAGTTAGAAGTGTGGTGTTGACTTTTAACTATCATGGAACTAAGGGTGAAACCACAGTGGGGCCGGGTTTTGTTATTGATATCAAGGGAATCCAGCAACCCAATAGGCTATCCTGTCAGCCTCATAGAAACTCTTTCCACAAAGAATAGACGCCGAACGTGGGCAGCCCCGGATGATCTTGTCTCGACTTGATTCGTATCTTTCGTATCTATGGCATTTCATATTGTTCTGGCATGGGAGAAGCTCGATTCGTAAACAGTCCATTTTTCGCAGTAGCAAGTGGCTGGGGGAAAAGCAAATCCTGGCTAGCCTCTGAACTCCCCGTCGCATCCTAAGGGAGACTGGTCGAGATTGAAATTTGGAAACGGATGGTGCTCATAGCTCGGGTGTCGAGGATGCTTTTTTTCTCTCTCTCCTGACAGGTTTTCACACCGAAACTGACTGAATGACATACCCTCCTTTCTGCCCTATTTACTATACCAATCTTGCTCAACTTTTTCTGGCCAATAGTCTGCCCAAATTCCTCTGAGGAGGGGTAGGCTTTGAGTACTACATTTTGGGAATGCGATTAAGAGGGTCTTATCGAGTGACATTTTCGATACCCTCAGAAAAGCTCGCCCTTCTAGAGAAGGGCGAGAAACCATCCAAATCGAAAGGGAAAATGTCATTTGAACAATGGGGTATTGGCGAGAGGGAAGAAATGGTTCGTCTTAAGGACCAACAATCTCCGAATATGACGTGGGAGAGATTTCAAAAGGTAGACAAGCTACGTCGAAGGGTATTTGTTTGTTAACCTTGATGCTTATAATTCCTTAGGAACATTGGCCAAGTCGTACCCCCGGCGCTTTACATTTGGCTTATAATGTAAGCGGTTGTTTCTTGAACATTTTGAGTCTGATAGCATTAACTAAATCCTTGGATAGCAAACTAAAAGGGCGGCGGCCCTGTCAACGGAAGACACTCAGTCACAAGGAAGGCCTGCTGTTGGTAACATACATGTATGCTTTCATGATTTGAGACATATAACGAAGAGAAGAAACCCGTCTCACATTGTAATTAGACACAAAATTTGACGACACCCGTGATGCCTGTCAAAAGGACGGCAGGTGAAACCCCCGAATCCTTGGGGGACACTTTCCATGTATGTGTTTTCGTGTTTTGTTCTAATAAGTGTACGTGTGCGAGCCTATTAACACTTTGATGGACAGGCCGCGAAACGCATATGCTCAGACTCCATCCAAATACCCCAACCAGCCGCTGAGAATACCACTAGTCATGTCAGTCTGGGGAATGAGCATCACCAGCAGCCACCACAAAGCTCCCTCCCAGGAACCACCGAGCCACCAGGTAACGCAAGTCCGAATAAGGACTTGCAGCCCTCTACTCCCGGAGTCGACTCACAACAACAACAACCACCACCACCACCACCACCATCAGAAAAGGTCACTCCTGCTGCAGGCCAGGATCCCACAAATCTGCCCCCAGTTAATCTCATATGGCCTGTTAAGCCGATCGCTACAGCAGCAACTAGTTCGTCAGTATCCAGCCAGAAAGCCAGTGCACCCGTGCATATCGTCTCAACTGGGGCTTATGAGCAATCCGGTCCTGGTGGAATTGAGATTGCTGCGTACGACTTGGCCCAACAGTTTACCGCTAGCTTCGCAGAACTACAACATCGCGGTGTGCGACGAAAGCACGAGGTATCTCAGCATGAAGCAAAGAAAGCTCTTGCAATTGGAATTTTTCACGAATTGCTTGGGGATGCTACCAAGGAGCGCCTAGAAGCCTTGGAGATAATGCGTCAAGCCCAGAAAGCAGTTGCTGACAAAAATGAGAATATAAAGTCCTTACAGGACGAGAACAAGAGGCTAAAAGAAAGCTTGACGGAATCCGCAGCAGACAAGGAAAGGATCAAGCAATTGGAAGCCGAAAATGGCACGCTCCACGGCAAACTATATTATATATTCCACTGTGTTCAATACCAGCCTAACAGCGAAGTACCACCTGCCCCCTCTTTTCCACCTGCACCATAATTTATCTTCACATTCTATTCAAAGAATTGTCTTGAGTTTATAGAAAGTGAAGATATTTCAGTTACAGCTATGGGAAAAGGCCAGGAATGATATCTGCACTTTCCCATGGTCAAATTCAACTTTTGCCCTACTCTTGCCCTAACCGGACTATACTGACCTAGTAATTTCTTAATCCATTCCCTTCTCTATTTCCCCCCTCCATTCCTTCGTTTATTCTTCCATATCTCCTCTATATTATATCCTTTACCACGGTCGTCTTCTTTTGACACGAGATTTTATATATTATATCACTTAACACGGGTTTCGTTTAATGAAAAAGTCTAGGCTGTATTCAAGTGTTGGGATAAAGAATCACACCCACGCGAAGATATTAACCGTGAGATATTATTGAGTGCCTAGAAGAAGTAGTGACTATCGTACAGCTAAGGGCGAAAGCAGAAGTGGGATGTGGCTTTTCTATTGAATTTAGGGGAAATCGGCAACCAATAGATATGCCGTCACATCTATGGAAATTATTTCCCAGAGAATAGACACTGAACATGAGCTGTTTCGTGACGATCTTGTCCCAAGTTGGTTCGAGGTCCTGCTCGTTGCCCGGACACTTGAGTCATCCGTCCATGTACTTTCATACTCGGTTCTCGCGAGGGCAACTCGATTCGTGAAAGCCCTGCTGTTATTGGCCACATAGAAACGGGTCAGAAAAAGAAAATTCTTGTTAGTCCTTGAATTCCCTGTTGTAAGTATGACACGCTCTGGTAAGATTAAATTTACAGAAAAAGACCAGAGCTGGAGATGGAGATGGAAGACAAAAGTAGGGAAATGTTTTCCCCTTCTCTACTCACCGGTTCCATCAGAAGCTATTTAAATACCGTCCAACCTGTCTCACCCACGTCAAATTTTCCCTAAACTTTTTCTACTGCTTCTCTACTCTTTATGTTGACAGCTTGCTAGAAGAACTCCGAAGAGGGCCAACATCAGTACTGTTTTCGCTGTAATGCATACACTAAGGTCCTATCGAGTAACATTTTCGATACAACCGGAGAAACTCGCTCTTCTTGAGAAACGATCACGAAACCCAAATCGCAATGCACGCAGGGAAATGACATTCGATGCGTACTGCGAGCGCGATAAGGAAGAACTGGTTAAATGCAGGGACAAGAATTTGCATCTGCCCTGGGAGGAGTTTCATCAAGTACACAAACTCCCTATTTACTTGCCTAAAGAAATCGTGGTTTTGATTTTATTTGTTCCAACTCTTGAAGCTTATATCAATTGATATCCTTAGACATTCTACCCATTCCTCTCTATTCGGGATCTAAAGTTTATATACGGTGTATGTACCTGCCCTCTCAAAGTAGCAGTGCACGTGCGTTGGATTGATATTGATGATATTTTCTCAAATATCTAGGCTGCGGTTCGGGAACTAAACGAGAGGGTTTGTTTTGATGACGAAGAACGAAGAAGGGATAATCTGATTATGAACGTAGAGATATGGACCCTATGCGGCAAACTTCAACGAGAGAAGGATTATCTATGAAAGCTCCGCGGCTCCAGAGGACGATTTGCCTGTACGTACCGCGTGCTTGATACGAAGTGAGGATTGACAATTGAATGTATAGTGTCCCGAAAGTATCAGCGCTTCAGACTCCAACCAAGTACTCCAGTCAACAATCGAAACCCCCCGTATTCCGTGTCGTGACATACTCAAGCATGGGGATTCTCAGCTGTCACATGTTTCTATCCCAGAAAATAACGAAGAGCTAGATAACTCAGGGTCCTCTGCTTCCAGACACGACTCGCAACGCCAATCCGCCAATGCAACTCCAGGCCATTTCTCCAATTGCCTACCCTCGTCTAATTCCGTGAGAGCTGCTTCATCGGTTCTCAGCTTAGCGGTACCAGGCCAGGAAGAAAATGCAATCACGCAGATTATCTCGCCTGAAGCCTATAAGCGGGACGATTCCAAAGAAATTAAGATTTCCACGTACGACTTGGTAGAACGGCTCTCTACGGGCTGGGCAGCGAAAAACAATAATGGTGCGGTGCGTCAAAGGTGTGAGGAAGTACGTTCTGAAGCGAGGATGTCTCTCGCACTTAGCCTCGTTTCCAAAATGGCCGATGACGCCAGACGGGACCTAGAGGCAGCAGGACACAAATTGCAGCGGGCAGAGGATGTCGAGGCCTCCGCACAGAAAGCACTTGCGGAAAGAGATGCAAATATCATGGTCTTGCACGACGAGATCAATGGTTTGAAAGAGCAACTTGAAGATTCTGAGGAATGTAATAGGCAATTGAAAGAGGCTAATGTGTCGATGAGGGAGAAATTATCTAGCATTCAAGCTGTTTTCACTAGGTAATTATTGACAGGGCTACACATTACGGTCACTACTCTATATAAATGTGACTTTTATAGATAGTTTATAATGATAATCTATCTTTGTTTCATATACGTTGTATGAAATTATACTTAACATATGAGCTGAAACGAATTAGGGCACACTATTATTAGCGTATGTGTTACTATGACACTTAGATCGTGCAATTTCATGCTCACAATATCTATCATAGGCTATATAGAGAAAAACAGAAAAAGCAAATATTTACTAGTTTCTAAACTCTTTATGATAACCTGTTAACCCTGTCTGGGTTAGAATCTTACACAAATAGCTAATGCAGAAAATAAACAAACAAATAATAGATTAATAAGACGATATGTTCCCCCTCTAGAACCCATTACCCATGCACTAGACAATTCCAGCCCCCTCCTTTCCATCTCCCTCGTAAAATCGGCCTTGTTAAAGTGTTATTCTACTAACAATCTGCTATTGTCTGTTGAAAAACCAGACCTTCCCCTCACTCACTTGTCATGCCCCCAAAACGGACCTACCGTGGGACACGCTCGATAGTCTCGCCAGGCTTCTCACTCTACAAGCAACGATCCAAGCGAGCGACTGCATCTAAGCGAGCAGCTGCAAAAACGAAAAGAAAAAGAAAAAATTCCGTCTGGAATGATGGCGACGGGGAACGGTTGGTTGAATGTAGGAGAGAGAATCAACATCTAACCTGGGAGGCCTTCACTCAAGTATAACACATGTTTCCGACTCCTTTTACCCTGAAAAGTGGTCTCATTTTCAAACCCTGAAGCTTATTATATCCCATTAGAAATTTTTTCCGCGTCATTCGATGAATGCTGTGAAGGGGATGTACAATGTATGTAGACCCGTCCCAATGCATTGATTATGTGTTTGATTATACTGACGATGGATGTGGATAGAGAACATCAGAAAAAATAAATGTGCAGGTACGTTTTCCTACCAGAGTAGAGAAGAAAGGAGGGGAAGAGACTTTTCTGATCAGATGATAGGACTGTGGATCAGCAGCTGGAGATGTCAACTCGAGAAGGGCTAACTACCAACGTTCTGAGCCATCGGAAGACGCGTTGCCTGTATGTGTGCCAGTGCGTATGTAAACACGAGGGAGAAGTTACTAAGAATGGAGTGCACAGTCTCCCATACGTACCGGCACTTCGGGTTCGAATCGAACGCGCCGATCACCAGTTGAAACCCGCTCGCGTCATGGCATGCCGGAGCAACAAGTGTCTCGGCAATCGTTTATCTCTATCGCAGACACCGATGAGCAGCCAGAGAATGAGGAGACGAATGCCGATGTCGATGCGGATTTCGAGGCGGCGGTTCTTAAAATACGCCAGATTGTAGCCGCGAAAGCTGCGACAGATACGGAGAATAGACGCTTGAAAGACGAGAACAAGGATCTGCGAACACAAAATACAGGTTCTGAGTCGGACAAAATAAGGATACGGGAACTGGAAGAGCAAGTTAGATTGTTGAAAGAGAGAATCTCCAGCATTCAATCCATTACCCGACTGACGGGGATCTGGTGAAGAATAATCTCTAGCGTGTTTCAATTGTTTAATGTCGGTACAGTCCCTAAGTGTATGTATGTATCATGGACCTAAACCTACATATCCTTTCATATCCAACACTAAGGAGGTTTGGTGTGCAGAATTGCTTTCTATTTCAAATGTTGTTGTACAGTCCATTCATATGTGTATCGCTTGAACCTATATGTCTTTTTTATACCCAATTTCTTGTGATAAATGAGATGAAATCGGATAAAATGGTATGTAGTGCTTTTAATTTAGATGAACTAGATAATTGACTGAGTTGATAATGGCGGAGTTGAGAGGTAAGAGAAAGCCGAGTTATATATGTATAAAACAGAGTATTGTTCTACCCATAACCAAGTGCCACAAGCAGACCAATATACTGTTAAATCTCCTGATTCAATCAACATGCGGCTAGGTGAACGTCTAAAAAGGTAATATTCCAATCCATCCTAGTGTTAATATTCATCTATCTAGACTACTAGCTGAAGATTGATTATTTTGCTAACACTAACAATTTTACTGTAAATTTATAACATATCGGTAACTTGTCGACTAATGTTCCTTTTTCACGATGGGGATGTAATGATGTTAGCATTAGATGATTTGGCGCTATTTTTCTTTAAGCAACATTTTCATAAATATGAGTGCCTTAACTGGGATGTAGAGCGAGTTTGTTCTAGTTGCCTGAAAATGACATGTTCTTATAAAATGCTGATGTAGCTTGTTGAGGAAGATATGCTTAAAGTCTGCAGAGATTTTGGGCATATAAACTAAACTATAAATAAGGCAGTTTGGAATAATATAGCATATAGATGCCTATAGCTTGGATAAACTGGATAACTGACTAAGTTAATAATGCATGAGTTAAGACGAAAGAATTTGATAAGACAACGAGTGTTCGTGCCTCAGACGGACTAATATGCTGACACAAATAAAGTGTCATATTCACTATTTTCCTTCTGATGTTAGATATAATATATATCATCAATCGAAGGAGCATACTCATGACTTTTCTTTCTTTTGCAAGTGTTCTCTTATCGTTTGATAAAATCTTGACTGTACCTTGTAAACAGAAACAATAGCCTTTTACGCAAGGAACACACTTAACTCGAATTAAATTGAATTAAGATCGATTATCATTACTCATTCCCTTCATCTGACACATGCAGTTCGGAAATGATTAGAAAAACACAGTAGAACAGTACCCAGCACTCCTCTCCCACTCGCCCATGATACAAACCGATCACAGAACAGCACCCAACCCCAATGCCACAACGGCCACAAGACCACCCTGCACACTACCCAACCCTGTAGCCGCGGCAGCACCTGTAGAAGTAGAGTGCGACGAGGAGCTTGACGAAGTGGGCGCAGCAGCGTTCTTCTGGCCAGAGCCCGCAGTCGACGTAGATGAAGAAGAAGAAGAAGAAGAAGTCTCGCGGGGAGACGAAGCAGAGGTAGCCGACGCGACGGCAGACTGGCTGCTGCTAGTGCTAGAGGTGTTGCTGTAGGCCTTGGCGGCGTTGCAATAGGATGTCTTTGTTTGCTCGGCGCCGAATTGGCCGCTGTCGCCGGGGCAGTTGTTGTAGCAGCTAAGAATATCAATGTTAGTGAAGGGATGTGTGGAAGGAAGGAGGATGAGTACGTTAGGACATTGTTACTCTGCTCACAGAGACATGGCCAGTCGTTTGGCTCGCAGGCTTTGAGCTGTGGTGTAGTCGAGGTGAGGCAGGCGTCAAGAATGCTGGGGATATATATTAGCATATGGTAGGAGCTGAAGTCAGGTTACGGCGTACTACTGAGCGGCACAAGTCGCGCGACGAGACGCGGCGGCGGCTAGGCCGACAGTGAGAAGAGAAGCAATAGCGGTAGTGACACGCATGTTGATGTAGAGTGTTGAGGAGATGGGTAAACGAGTGAGTTGGAGCGAGTGACTAAAACGAGCAAGGAAATAGGTAGAGGTAGGATTAGGGGTGAGGAAAAGATTCCTGGAAGCAAAGCTTTATTTATGCAGAGCTCCTGCCACAACAAAGGCATCTGTAATTACAGCATTACAGTGTTATTTATATATTAATACGCTCGCGGAGAAAGGAGTCAATAGCTCCTTCCCGTATCGGAAGCCCCTTCCTTCCGCATCCATTAACATATACGATAATACACAATACACGTAATATGCAGTATTCAATGCAGTACAAAACACATACTATCTATGCGACATGGCAACAAGACAAGGTACATGTTATTGATTGGCAAGGACAGGAATGTTGTGGTCGAACGCGCGCCTTGATTTGCGGCTCTAAATAGTACTTTGACTAAAGTTCGTTAAGGATTCCGGATCGACAGGACTAATGATTATCTACGTCTTAGTTAGTACAGCCTGCACTTCACACGTAGCTACCAGTGACGTGCAAATATACAGGTAATAGGAGTATGGGTGACTCGATAATTAATTTCGTTCATGTTGTCGATATAGTAATAAATTGAACACGCATAATTATTAGTTTCTTGTCGCAGTGTGTACATTGCTGAGCTAAAGTTATCCCTAGTTACGCTGTCACACTGTTACGCCGTTACAGGCGCCCCACTGTTTGACAGGTATTAACTGTTAGCGGCCAAGTGTATTCAGATACGTCAAAATTGAAGTTAATAAATCACAAGAAATAAAGTCGCATAACGTTCTTTCCGCAGCTCATCGCTCGACTTGGGAACAGACTTTTGCTCGCGCCTTGCATACAGGTGATAATCCTGAAGCAAATCACGCGGATGTCAGAATGAACTAAATAGGGTCGAAGCAGCTTTAATTAACGCCGGAAGAAGTTTCGTCGATGGGAAGAAGACTTTCGCTACTTCGAATAATGTCTTTCTGCTCGTCTAGGCCAGGCATGACCTGATCAAGCCACACAGTCCCAAGGCTGGTGAACCAGTATCTGCGGCCAGTCTGGCGGAACAATTCGCGAGCCTGCGCTTCGTACCGAGTTGCGCCATGCACATCGCCCATTTGACGTTTGACGAAAGCAATCGAGGCGTACACAACCACCGTGCCAAACCCTTTGATGCCTGGATTATTGTCGTACACCCACAATGCGCGCTCCCAGTGTTTCAGCGCCGCGATCCAGTTGCCCTGCACATGCTGAACGCGTGCGAGGCCGATATTCAGCCGGCACACGCTCATCGAGTCCTGCTGCCCCTGCGAAATTCCAATGTGCCGCGTAAGATCCCAGTAGATGTCCTGGGCGCGCCAGTACTCTCCTTGCTGGAGGACTGCTTCGGCTAGGCTGAGACGGAGCCGGAGGGCTGGGTTGCCCTTTCGTTTACTCGAAGTGTGGATGATGTCGAGTTTCGCGGATAGGAGCATCTCAGCCTGGGTGGGATTGCCAAGTTCGCAGAGTGTTGCGGCGAGATGGGATACTAAATCGCAGTTTGACGAACTGACGGCGACAACGCCTTCGGGGAATAACGCTGAATTATAATAAACCGCTTCCAGGACTTGGCGGGCTTCTTCAAAATTTCCCTCAAAACGACGAATCCGCCCAAGAACAATTGCCTTTTTTTGTAAAACAAGTTCTTCCAGCGTCGAGATATGGTTTCGATTCATAGGCTGGACGTTCTGCAGAAGTTGAAATGCCATATCTAAATCTCCTTTATTTTGGAGATATTCAGCAGAGAGGATCAAAAAGATCTCCCCGGAAAGCGCATTCAGCTGGTTATTAGTCGTGGGGAGATCCATCAGACTGGCCGTCATGGATGAATCTTTGGGACGGAATATCTCGGTTCTCCTTGCCATGATCATCCTATCAAGGCATTCATCACGAACTTCAAAGCCAGCAGCAATCTCTTCGGCCCGCTCGAGAGCAGCGATCTTCCAAACCCTTATCGATAGAACCGAGCTAGCGACTAGAGTATACGCCACAGTCTGCTGGATTGGCAGAGAAACATGGTCTACTGCGTCGAGTGCATCATAATGTTGGAGTACATGTCGGACCTGAGCGATATAAGCCGGGCCTAGGTCATTAAAGCTGTCCATCGAAAGTCAACTTTAAATCAAGCTACAAGCAACCACATCGAAACTCACTCCTCCTCCAAATACCGATCTCGAGGAAAGGCATGGCACACTAGCAGAATAGCCTGGACCATCCAGCGATTCGGGTATTGCAGCAACAGCTTACACCTAGCCCGCGTACCGGCATGCATCCACAAAACACCGCCATCGCCATCCATATCCACCAAACCAGAGTCCTTAAGCCGGTTAATGGCAGTCTGCAGCTGTTCTGGACTTGAGAGCAGCGCCGATAACGTCGGCTCAATGCCAGCTTCTTCGGGCGTCACCGTTGCTGGTTCTCCATTCGACCCCCACGTTCTGAGCGAGCGTCCCGCTCGCGCCAGTATCGAGCGAGGAATTCCTGCGTCGCCGTCGAGATAGGTGAGCGCGTAGGCGAGGATGGTGGTGGAATCGTCGAGCTGTTCCAGGCCCGGATGTGCAGGGACTAGCTGGTCGAAGCCCTGGAGAGCGGGGGGTCGTCTAGGGCGTTCGGGGAGGTTGGAAGTGACATGGCAATCTGTATGCGGGGTGGAGGAGGCGAGTCTAGAGCTATTCGTCGCCATACTCAAGGTGGCTACAGAATAACAGTGAACAAAATAACAACGAGAAAGAAAGAAAAATAATGAATAAATCAATAAATCAATAGATAGATGGGTAGATAATGCAGTGGCACCGAATGTCAAACGAGAAAGAATCGTTATGCGATAATGGGAGTATTGTGTGCCGTGGGACAGGCAGACACCCAGCCCATTTTGAAAGAAGCTCCAGGCACACTCGATAAGACAAAGTAGGAAAGGCTTGCGGCTGAAGAGCGCAGCCTAGGAGGCAAAGGAATTCACACAAACACGCAGCACTAGATGGTGATCCCCTAGCAGGCTGACTGGCAATGTACTGCGGCCAATCGTGGCGAGTCACCGAGTGGAAGCAAGCTGTGCCTCGACGAATGGGGGTGCCGACGTATGCAGGCTATGGCCGCTATGCTAGAGCTATCGCACATTGATTCATCCATCATCACAAATAATACTAACCACCAATATGAATTAATTAGCAGGTGTATGCAAATGCAGGTAAACAGTAACTGAGGCGATGCCCCACCTGCAGCAATCGGATTGCAGCCCGCTTTGTAACTCCGCCGGTACACTATCACACGCCGCGTACCAGGTGATCACAATACGATGCTATATCTTCTTCTTCTTGGTCTTCCCTTTCTGGTTCCAATCCCCCTTCCGCTTCCCCGGCTTCGACGGCTTCGACGTCGTCACGCCCAGAATCATCTCTTCCGCCTCGTCGTCCCCCTCTGCCTCCTCCCTCGTCGCCTTCTTACTCTCCTCATCCAGCCTCAAAATCTCCGCTGCATCAGGGAAGCCCGAAACGCCCAAATGCTGAATCACATATGCCACCCTCTCTACATCCGCAGTCGTAAACAGTCGCGCCGTTTCGTCCGCCTCTCGCACCTCCCCATTCAGCCGCTGGCGGAACTTGACAACCTCCTCGTAGAGCTGGCGGTACTCGTGCATATTATACTTTAGATTCAACCCGCTGCCATCCTTCCTAATCAGCCTCGTGGCCTTTTCGTAATTCCGGCGATTTTTCTCGGATATTGGGAACGAGTCCACGCATAACCACAAAAACAATTCATCGCTGTAAAAGGGTATCTCGTTCGCTTTCCCCTCTGTCGCCAGCGCGAGGATCAGCGATGCCAGCGCCGGCCCGACCGCGCGGATTGGGCCCGTGAGCATATCCAGACTGTCCTTGGGGTATGTCTCGTCAATGGCGTCGAGCGAGGGCTGCTTGTCGACCAGCGCCTTGAATGCGTCTGCCGACGCCTTGCGGATGACAATCGGTTTATTGGTTTTCAGCATGCCAGGTAACTGAGGACGAAATCGACCACGTTGGCTATACAACCAGAACAAATCAGCGCGATTCCACTTTCACCCCAAAGGATTACGCTTACAGCTTCCAATCAAGCAATTTAATCGCCTCCTCCTTGTGTAGGAACATTCCGTCATACTTCTCATCCGCCTTGAGAACCTCATTCTTATTCTGATTGCTACTGCTATCTGTAGCCTGCGCCGCGCGATCGCGAAGTACTTGCGGGAGTGTGTTGTATCGCCAGCTATCTAGCTCCAGTAGCGCATCGGCCTGTTTCGCATATGTAGGGTTGTTCTGGATTAATCGCTCAGGGTGTTTTCTGTGCTTTCGCACGTCTCTGGCGAGCAGCCGTTGTTTGTGGCTCTCCCGCAGCGTCGTCGGGTAGAGCTTGAGGAGTTGGCTGAAAGTGGATGGGGTGATATCCCAGGATGCGAAGGAGGGGAAGGGTGGCATTTTGGGGGGTTTTCTGTTCAGTGCATGAGGGGATATTAAGTCTGAAAGGGTAGAGAAGAGCTGTATTGGAGAGAACTTAGTCTGGTTGGTTTACAGCAGAGCTCTCTTTCTGCCGGAATTTTTATGGCGGTGTAATTAAACACCAACCAATGGTAGAATATGGGAGAAATATCAATAATCGATCCCTTACATCGGCCAATCAAATACAATACAAGCATCAATTGAATTTATGTTGCAGAATTGTTATTGTATATAACGTGAACTCTATACACGCATGAATTAAAACATCTATCAAAACATATCTGCTAAGCAGTCGAAAAAGTATAACAGTGTCATCATCGTAAGCACTCCTGTTGCGAGGAGAGGCGTGGCGAAGGCAGGCGTATTGTCTACGCTTAGCCCACGATTAAATCAGTCCAGCTGGTAAGAATGCGTTCTCGAGTCAACATCCAGCCTAACCGCCTTGATTCTCGAACAATTTACCCGAACAAATACAAATAACACATTCAATAGAAGAAGGGAGATTGCCAAGTATATATAGATGATCATTGCTCTTGGTACGCAATGACCAGAGTGGGATCATATTAAGACCAAGAAAGACGCCAGTCGCCTATTGGCGCGGCTTGGGGTTTGCTTTCTTGGGGTTTGCGGGTGGAGTCTGACCAACCCGGCGACGCTCTTTACCGGAATTCAGCGAGACGATTGCAGGTGGAAGTACTCCGTCGCCCTTTTTGCCTTGACCCCTTTTCAGGCTGGTCACTACATGGTCCGCTTTCGTGTCTGTGGTTGTAGGCGTTGCGGTCCCTTCATCGTCTTCCACCTCAATATCATCTGGTTCTTCACCATGACCAATTTCAGACGAACTCGGACTGAGGCTTTCAGAGTCCGAAGCGGCTTCGAACTCGTCATCGTCGTCGCTAACTAAGCTAGGTGCCTGGTTTGATTCGACTGTATGAGGGCTCAGGTTCTCGGTCATGTCCACCCCATCCATACTATGTGCCCCATCCAGCTGCAGAACAACTGGGGAGGAAGCAGGTGGGTACGGAGATACATATGAGGCTATCCTGGTAGGTGTGGTAACATTGAGACCACGGGACTTGCTCGAAGTGCGAGATATCTCGTGACCCTTGCTGCTCGTCGGCCGTTGAGAGGCGGCCTGAGGCATGGTCGTTCGAGCAGGCAGCCTTCCACCATGAATAACTTTCGGTCGATCTTCGTCTATAGCAGTAGCCTGGTCGGCCTCGTCATCGGACTCTTCTTCTGACGAATACGCGCTCATATCAACCTTGACCTTAGCGTCGCCCACAATCTCACCCAGGTTCAAACCCGAGCCAAGATCGGCTAGAAGGGAAGATAGATGGGGGGTGTCAGCTGATGCAATGAACGAGGAATTTGGAGTGACAGGGCCGGTCACAGTAGATTTCTTTAAGGTTAAACTCCTTGGTTTGGGACTAGCCTTTTTACTAGTTGTTGGAGAATTTTCGAATTGTGAGGATGTAGGAGGGCCATGTTTGGATGTTCTATCGATAGAAGACGCAGTTCGGATGAGAGGGTGAACGTAACCAGGAGTAGTGGTGTTGGATGGTTCTACAGGACCACCCACCACAGCCCCAGCCTCGTCGACATCGACTGTTTCTCCGCATGCTTCGGCTGCCGCTTCGTGGCTAGCAAAGGTACGGCTGTGAGCAATTCGACAATGGTTGATAAACCCTTGAGTGCTGGAAAAGTCAAATCTTCGACAGTCAATGCACACAAGTTTGACTAGCTGATTGTCACTCTTGCGTTTGATGATCATGGGCCCAGCCTTGTCCTTGGGTGGCGGATATCCACTAGGCAGAGCTTGCAGCCTTGTGTTCACACTTCCCCGCTGAGACCGAGATTTGCCCGCAAGCTGACCAGTTTCAGTCACATTTCCTCTTGTCGATCTTGTATCCATATATCCGTAACTTGGTAAAGGAGCGTTTGGAAGTTCGCCACCGTCGAACCGCTGATCAGGCAGCAACCACTTGGCGTAGTGTCGAGAGTAAGGTCCGTCAACCACACCCCAGGGTGATGGTGATGTAGGGGATGGACCACTTCCCGAAAATGGGACAGCATAACCGTCGCCGCTGCTTACTGATTGTGATATTCCGTACGAAACTGAAGCAGGATATGGTATTTCGGCACATCGTCGTAACTGTTCTAAAGCGACCTGACATTTTGCAATCTCCTGATCAATAAGACGGAGTTCATTATGTTTCAACAGTACCTCGAGGCTAAGTTGTGCATCCAACGATTGCCGTAAAGCACTGATTTCCATCTTCGGCTTGGGTGGGCGGTTGTCACTTTGCGAAGATTCCTGTCCTCCATCGATACCATAACGAACGGAAGGTGCCATACTTGACAGTGCCTGGTCTGGAGCTGCAGATGTCGGTTTCAAAGTCTCGTTGCCACCTTCCTGCGAGGGAGTCCAGTTCATGTTGCTCTCGTCGACGTCCATCGTAGAGGCTTGGTTCATATTCTCGAGGCGGCACTTTGTTGGCGGGTGCTCGTCCAGCACAGCGATTATTTCGTGATCGTCGTCCCGTTTGCGTTTGAGCATCTGTAGGGAAGGAGACTCTAAGACAGGCGACTTGCGGTGAGGCGGCGTTACCAGCATCTCTGCCACGACTTTATTTCCCCCTAAGCTAGATGTCCACGGCAGTAACCGGTAGATACCTTGCGACAGCGCCATCTGGCTGTGTCTGTATGTCTCTGGTGGTGCTCACCACTAGAATGGTTTAGGTCGTTAAGGGTGTAAATGAACGACCCATCAGGTTACTTTCACGGCGTCAGCGCCGAATATATCGGATAAATCGAGGGTGCACAGGGGGCCCCCTGCGGTGTTTAGGCGGTAAATCCGGATGCTGCCGGGTTAGGCTGACGGAAATATTGAAGTAAAAATGGTTTTCGTAGAAACCAGAACGCAAGACAGTTGCTCACTGTCCTTGGTCAAATAGGGAGGCGGCGAATGCAAACGCTGGTGCAGGCGCAAACGGGCGCAACTTCACATGCGATGCGTCGCTAAGGACGACGGGACGAGTCTGGGAATAGGCTGCTTGGGCCGGTCACTCGTGTCGAAAGAAAAGAAAATGCTGGAGTCGACGTGTAAATGGCGGCTGTTCGGAAGAATTCAAGTGAAAAGGAGTGGGTGGTCTGTCTATACAGACAAGACAAGACCGCAGGCAAGACAAGGCAAGAGCACGGACGGGGAGGCGTGTCGCGCTGGATGGAGTAGTCTGTCGGGCCGGGAAGGAGCCAGCCTGGTCGGTACTGGCGTGGGTGACGGCAGGTTCTGGAATCTGGCAATTAGCGTGGCTAGTTCGTAGGAATAACAGATTAATAATGCCACGGCCCACAGCAAATCCGCAGCAGTGTACGTACTATGCGCTGACTAGTAGAGCGTAGTGTGTCCAGCCGGCTGGGATGGGGGAGAAGTGTAATAGAGTGTACGAGAAGGAGAAGACCACGGAAAGGAGAAGAAGAAGAAGAAAGGAGGAGAAGGGAAAGGATTACGACTGGAAAAGGAGAGGAGGTCAGTATTAGAGAAGGGGCCAAGTCGGGCTGAAACGCCAGGAGCAAGAAATGGCGACGAGGGAGGGCTAGTAATCGGGAGACTCGTTTATTGGCATATTATTAATAACGCCCTCAGTCTGAGAGTCTCTCTCAACAAAAAGAAGCAAGAGCAGAATGGCACATAAGAAAGGGAGAGCAGGAGGAACAGGAATGCGGCGGCAAAACGACTAAAGAGCGAGTGGAGCCAGCACTAGCACCCACCGCGCGGCCCACCATCTGCACTAATGCGCGTAGTTCGCAGTCCTGATTGGCCTTCCATTCATGCCTCGCTCTATCGTGGCGCGACAGCCTGTCGCCAAGGGCCAATCAGCGCAGGCCACTCGTTGCCCGTATCAGATACGCAGGCATTATGTGACTGTTGATAAACCGATTCCAAGTCACTAACCTCCAGGTACCTTGGGATACCCCAGCAGACAGCTTATACGGCCTGGCTGCCGTCTTCTGTGCCTCTCTGGTTTGCGTGGGCAAGCAGGGATACCCGTGTCAGTGACTCACCTGTGAGACAATAATCATACAAATGATGCAAGGCGTTGGTCGAGCCTGGGACTTAGCGGATGGGTCCAGCACACGTCTCGGATCTCCGCGTAGTGGGGACGGCCACAAAACCAGCGTCACCTTCAGCCTAAAGACGTCCGTGCGAAGGCGATACATCATCACTCTCTAATCTCTACTATTTAGTCTCGCTGGGTGAGTGTTGTAAGATATGTTTGATTGAATATTTATTTAGCATCTTGTTTCGACTAATACCAGTAACATCGAGTACTGCTTGTATGTAACAGCTGACGGAGGTCCCGGTGGGCCGTAGGTGCTGTCACTGGAGTGCATGCAACCCAGCACAGCACAGCGATAACCTGATTGCACGTCGACGACTCAACAATCATCACCAGAGTGAATGCTAACGTACATCGCGTGCCTCGGGTGCAAACTCTAACGCGACTGGATAGCGGATGCCGTTCTAGATCTGGCCTGTTTGCACCTTGTTTCGGCCCTGACAAATCACCGTGCGAGCTCTTATACTCTCCGATATCGAACCTCGGTCCTGATTGGTGGTGCCTATTTGATACTATCGAAGATATTAGTTACAACTTTGAATCGAATACAGCACCACGAAAGTAGATAAGGCATAGGAGCTCTTCCCAGATTAATACAATAATATTTTCAACTTTCTATATTGTCCATGGGCGACCTCCCAAGACGTCTCAACTTGATCTAACATAATTAGTATAAATGCAGGTCAAAGAAGAAGAAAACCTTGATACCATTTTCAACCTTTTTGTCATTTTAGTCTAGTAGCAGGCTTTCTTAGACATCTCAACGAACAGACTTATAATGGTCATTCCTAAAATAATAGCTAGCCTCTAACTCCAAGTGCATACATGCATAAATGTAGGCAATAGACAGTCCGATATCATTCCAGATCCAACCAATGAATTGACTGCTTTTGCAAGGCAGGACATTCACAGTTCCTAGCCACTTCTTTTGTACAGCATCCTTCATCCTGCAATACGATAATACGAGGATGATAGAAATGTCGGCCTCGGTTGACAAAGTGAAGACATCCCGAAGATAGCGGGATCGGGGTTCGTATTTTCAACCAACTTCCCTTACACTCGTCCAGTATCGCGAATGCGTAATACGAAATTGATAATTACAGCCGCCAATAGAGCGACGGCAAGCAACGACGGCCCAAAGCGGTCGTCGAAACCACTCTGTCCACGCTTCCGAATACTCTGAGCGCGCCAGTGGAAGGTGAACAGCGCATAGATCATCGCTGCCATGGCGATGATGGTGAACAAGCCGGCGGAGATGCGACCGATGCGATCACCGAAATTGAGAAGTCCAATGGCAAGACCGCCCAGGATGACGGTGAAGTTTAGCCATGAGAGGAAGGTTCGTTCGTTGGCGAAGAAGACCTTGGGCTCGACACGGGTGGGAAGAGCGATGCGCTTGCCTGGGTACTCAGATCATCAGCACGATAAAGGCGGTGAATTTAGCTGCGAGCACAAACCTGGCGCAGATTGAAGGAGGGGCTGCGATGACATGGTGTAGCCTGGTCTAGTCTGATTAGTGTTGTGTCTTGATAAAGACCAGCAGCTTGATGGACAGGAATTCCGGCCCAGCAGCAGATCCATGCAATTGAGTCAAGGCTGGCTGGTTAATGGCTTCAGTCAATTACTCACAAGTCTAGCAACGCCAGTCAGAGCCCTTTAGAGATGCAGCCTGGTGAGAGAACACAGGGAGCGATATTGTGGTGGCGACACAAGATGAAGAGAAATCAACGCTGAGCTTAAGCTCGCAGCGAGAGAGCCCCGCCAGCCAGAGCCCGCTTCCGGCATTTCACGTGCCATTGAGCTCCGTTTCATTGGAACCGGAGACTTAGATTCTCCGGTCCGACAGTGATTTTCACGCTATTCCGCTTTCGGGACCTTCGCGATCTATGCAGCGATCCCAAAACACGACTAGTCGCCCATCTCCGGTGAACGGAGGTTTCAATGGTGATGCTTCGCGCAGAGTGTCATTGAATTTCGAAACATTAATTTATTATCAGCTATCTGGTCTGTACTACTGTACTACGTACCACCACTTCTACTCCTCCCATACAGCCTTCCTTTCTCTTGATCCCTTCCCAAACCACGCGAACTGCGCGCGACTGAAGCCCTGTCTTTACCTCTCTCTCCCCGTCAAGCCCACCGGTACGCTCTCCTCCGCGGACGAATCTGATTTGCCATTCTCCCAAGTCATCCCCGTGAGCCCCCGCACTTTCTAGCATTTCGCGACGTCAACACTAACAAATTTCCGAATCGAAGTCGCCAGCTTCCTCATACAACCGCTATTCATCAGCCGACGCGCATCCACACAACCACACGTACCCCCATAAATATTGACGAGATGGCAGTCGAGCCTGCTGCCCCTTCTGCATTTGTGCGTTTCGTCCACGCGTCATGCCTCTTATAATCTATTTCCCTGCTAACCAGCTGTTGTTCGCATATCGCAGCCGGTCCCTCCCGCTGAACTCTCCAAAATTGCGACTGAGGTTCGTCAATCAGTCCCGTAGCGACTCCATAGACAATGTGCTGTGCTGTGTATATCTATATAGGGCAAAGGCAATGGTGTTGAGTTGCAAAGTCAATCGGGCCGGATAGCTATGGCTAACACAGTGACTTGCTCCCATAGGCATGCGATGCCGCGCTCAAAACGTCAGAAGGCTACGACCATCTTGCAGTCAGCTCGTGGAATTCCGCCATCATTGTACGTTTCCACTTAATTTTATTAGTTTATTTAATCGGACGTGACTAACAATCTTCTAGAACTCCGTTCTAAAAGGCCTCATTGCTGCTACCACGCCAGACCAAAAATCTCCTCCCCCATACCGCTTCACCGTCAACAGCACCATCGTGCAGCAAGGCGTAATCGACAAAGCCGCCGCCGGCGGATCCGACGATGTCGGCAAGCGCGGCATGCACTCTGCCTCCGGCGCCTTCTGGGACGTGAACCGCGACGGCATGTGGACGTTCAAGTACCCAGGCGCGGAGGAGCGTGGCTTGGACGTCGTCGTCAGCGTGACCTGGTTTGCCATGAGTTGAAGAGTCGGCCTGCACCCTCCCCCCACCCCCAAAAAACGTCGATACGTGTCTCCCTGGCTGTAGTTTCCAGGGATCCATTCGCTGTGTCCCGACGGTGTTGTAGTGTATGACGAGCGAGAATGCGCTGGTGTCTGGTCGCAAGAGCTGAGCTCGATATGCTTGCTCGAATACTCGAATATAATAACATAATCTCCACAGAAAGCATCACATCGCATCGGGTTCTGTTCTATTGGCCAGTCAGTCGCATGAAGTGAATGTATCAGTAGTGTGATATATTTTTCTTTTGATTTCCCGAGGGCGTTTTTTTTTGTTTTATTATATTTGAATGATCATGATTTGAGGCTATCTCCGCTTCACTGTCTATATTTCTATATCACTTTGTTGTTTCTTTTTCCTTTTTCTCGTTCAATGGAATTTTTGGCTATTTGATAGCGAAATATCATCTCTTGAATTTCTACTTAGTCTCAATACGCTTGCAACTCTGGCATCCTACCTCCAAACCCATGTACTAACATTGAAGAAACCTAGACCTTCAAACGGGACATAAAAATATCAATAACTACTCTATCATATAGTATGTATGAACATAGAAAATTCGTACATTGAGGCATACTGGAATAATAACTATTCCGCTCCCATCCATTCCCGACTCCAATATCCCAACTATCCCGGACGCCCATCAAAACGCCATGCTAAATGATAATCCCAAGCCAAAACAAAGTGCTATCCCTCGCAAGATAGAACAAAAAAAAAAGAAACTACCGCGGCTCCGAGTAATCATTCAACGCAACACAGACTGATCCGCGATGGTGGCCGCTGTACTGCCGAATGATGGTCCCCGACGCCAACTCCCACAACCGCGCGTAATGATCGCTGGAAACGGTGACGAGGTAGGCCGAGTCCGCCGAGAACGCGCAGTCCCACACCCAGCGCTGGTGTCCGGCAAGTGTCGTTTCGAGGAAGAGCGTCATCGTGCTGGTGTCTAGGGGTGGGCCGTCGGGTTGCACTGGGAAGGCGGCTTGCGGCTGCGATGACGTTGCTGCAGCTGCAGAATTGGTGATCTGTGCACCTAACATGCTGAAGTCGCTGGCTGCGAGGTCGCTAGCTGTGCTCCGGAGGGTGACTGAGCTAGAGGAGGCAGGGGTGTCGGTGCCGTTGGTTGTGGTGCCGTTGGGTTTGGTGGTGCTGGATGTTGGGGGTGCGGCGGCGGAGGCTGCCACGGCGGGTGGGTATTGGGGATCCAGGTTCCAGATTTTTGCAGTATGGTCGGCCGAGCAGGTTGCGAGGTGTTTGACATCGGGCGAGAGAAGGACTCGCGTGAGGTAGTCTTTGTGGGCTTGGAAGGTGGTGATGGGGACAATTCGAGTAACTTCGGTATCCTGGATCATACGCCATATATAGACATTGCCCTATAGTCATTAGCATATATAGTTATGGATGCATATCAAATCATGTACCTTTTTATTGCCAGCGCAGAGCAACGACCCGTCGCTCGCCACGCTCACACTCGACACGGCAACATCATCTTCTGGAATCAATTGATGCGTGCACACGCTTTCGCCCAAATCCCAAACACGCACTGTACCTGCGCGATCGCCGCTGATCAGTTCTCCCTGGTTTGGATGAATAACGACATCATTGACGGCCGCCTTGTGGACGTAGTTCCGCTGCAGACCCCCGGACCGCGTATCCCAAACTTTGACTGTGCCGTCCTCGGAGCTGGTCACCATCCATTTCCCCTCGCAGTGGAAAGCGACGCCCGTGATGTTGTTCGAGTGGCCATCGAATGTCATCACGGGGTTCGGGTTCGACGATTTGATGTCGTAGAGCTTGACATTGGTGTGGCCGGCAGCGGCGAGGTATCGTTTGTCCGGCGTGATGCAGAGACGGTTGACTTGTGAATCAGGGTGCTGGAGGGTGCGCGAGCAGATTCCGGAGAGAGCTTCCCAGAAACTGAGCCCAGGTTAGAACTCTTGCTTTTTTCCTTTCCTTTTAAAAGGGGATAGACGTACCGGATGGTATGATCATACCCCGCTGAATACAGGCGAGGCATTAGTGACAGTACATTCTGTGGTAGGTTGGGTCGGTCTTACCTGTGCATAGAATCACACTCATTTCGTTTTGCGCAAATTAGGTCTGGTTACGTGTGATTGCTGGGTACATGGCACTTGATAAAAGGCGAGAGTTGTCCAGGTTGAGCCTTGCGTGCCACGCTAGGCGGGCCATCGTATTTGATATCCCCGAGGCGGTGAGAGCCACATAGACATAATTTTGTTAGTAAATGTTAATATGCTCAGATTGATGAACGGTTTTCTATTTAAATTTGGAAATTAATCATATTAATAAACGAGAGCTTTATCTATTTCGATAATTGCTAGATCCAATTAGTTCACGATCGAAAATGAAATTAGTATCACATTGTCTAAGTAGCCATCATGAATATCAATTGATATATATATCAAAACAATCGTCAGATTCTAGTCGTATTGCATATCCCCATGATCTGTTCAAATCCCAAAACCGCCCATTCCCAAGTCTAGATGATCAAGATACCGCGCCTGCTATGGATTTCAGAAATACAATAAGTGACAATTTGAAGCTCCTCATTACACATCAGTTCGAGCCTTGCGCCAGCCAAACCTTCTTTTGATCGCGGCCTCATCGCTATTCCCAGAGGAAGAGTTTTTCTCCTGGGAATGACCTTGATCCCGCAACTGTTTGCGGGCCTTGCGACCACTACAGCAGGCACAGCAGCAAGAAGCTAGCTGCACTATAAACCCAATTAAAGTGAAGCCCGAAGCAATCCACATGAAGACTAACATCTGCGTTCCAAGATTGGCTTTGATATTGAGGTCGATAGTGTTGCTCATGAAGACGTGGGCGAAGATGGCGTACATGGCCGTAGCAACGGCCGAAGCCACAATCGTAAAGAGTGCAATGATGAAAGTCAATAGAACCATCGGGAGAGACCACAGACAAATAAACGTTCGTCGGTGATGGGGATGTCGAGCTTTATTGACTTCCGGGTCAGATGATATTGTTTGAGGTGGTCTCGAGGAGGTGCCCAATGGGGCAATGAAGATAGCGAGAAAGCAGAGTATGGTTCCCACGAGAAATAAGGCGAACATCCAGTGAGATGCGATCTTAGCGATTTTAAGGGCATCGTTGATCTCAGCAGGCAAAGCAACTGTCTCACAAGTCAGTATGATGGAAGAATTTAAAAGGACAATACAAAGACGTACTTGTTGCGCCAGCCAGAAGTTCGTTCAGTAGAATTGAGACTGGATTGAACCAGTACAGAGTTTTAGGATGGGAGCAGGAAGTGATTCCACTATCGTCATAACCCTCGCAGAAATTCCACACACCGACCTGATAGAAGTCATGCAGCCCAATAGTCCGAGCAATACTGTTTATGAACACAGCATTGGGAACTGATTGCGGAATGATATTGGAGAGGTCAAGCTTCAGAAAGTAGGTGTCGCGAAGGACAGGTTTGTTGGAGACGTTGCCAATCAACACTAGGACGAGAAAGATCCAGGCAATCAGATAGATGAGAGCGCGGACAATCCGATGCCAGACCACTGTTGAATGGCGCCTCTGGGCTTGCACCGCTTCCCCTTCGTCTGAGGATGTCATTGAGGCGGTCTGCACCAGATACTTGAATCTAATGGATGTTATCCGTATAAAAAGTACTGGTCACTATGGTATCGGCAATTGACATGGCCGACAAAGGCCAACCGCAGGAGGTGTTGACGAAGGTGTCGGTTGGCTGCGAGGAGGGGGATGAAGCTCAGACACAGCAGAGGAGAAATATATCGAGCAGCAGCCTGCGACCGAGGTCAGGGAGTAGGGTGAGCATGCTTCGAAATAGGCGGAAAAGCTTGTGGGCGAGATATGCCCATACGGTGACGGAGCGCAGGCTGCGGCAACAAATGAGACGGGCTCTGGTGGAACATCTAGACTGCGGCGCACAGGCGTGCACATCCTGCCTGAGAGGGGGAGTAGCGGCGGGAGAGGCTTGCAGCTTTGGCGGTACAGAGGTACCTAGGCGCTAACCATGATGCTCATACTAGTGCTAAGTATAGGCGATCAGCCCCGACCGACGCGGCCTTATGTCAAATGATTGGCGTGTGCACCGACTTGATCACCCACCGATCGTGCTGCGAGAGGGCGGCCAAGGCCCACGAGCCCACCATGGCGCCCCCTACATACAGAGTCCGGTAGTACTACCGTAGAAGTCATGGTACGCGATGCTGGATTGCAAAGTTTGGTGGCTGAGCACGACGTCATAGTCCACCCTGTATACGCGTGGAGGTCTCAGTTGTGTGTCCCATGACGGGGTATGGTGATGCTGTCAGAAGTCTCTCACTCGGGAACGACGACGCCATTGATAGCAGAATAGCAGAACTCACAGAGTAAGAGGACTACAGAGAGGAAAATACAGAAAGACAAAAAAAAGAGAAACGAGAGAAACAAGGGCCGATCGTCTGAGAAGGTGCGGCAGAGGCTTCCCCTTCCAGGCAGGAGCGACCCTCGGTCCCCACAGCCCAGGCCTGAACCTAATTACTCGATACTTCTTGCCACAGATATTATTAGTCTTGTTATATGCCAGACAACCAGTGACTCAATTTTTTGAGACTGGCAGACTGCACGGCTTTTCCTTTGTTTCTTCATCCCACACCCATCTCCTGGCTGCGGGCTACAACTCTCCAAGATGCGGCCCTTATGGATCGTCCCAGCGCTGCTGGCGAGAGCAGTGCTCGCTGCCGACACCACCACAGCGTCAACAATATCCGACACTGCAGCGCTCACAACACTCTCAGGCACCAATGGCCAGTTAAGCATTGATGTAGCTACTGGGTCAGTCACCTATGAGTCTGTCACAACAACAACGACCATGCCCACCGGGTCTATCTCTGCAATTCCCACGTCGTCCGGGACGGGCAATGTAACTGGTACAGCTACAAGTACTTCAACTTCAGACACAGTTACCGTGCTGGTTGGCAGCCAGGGAACAAGTCAAACATCCAATGCCACAGGCACTGCCACTGCAACTGCTCCAACGGTCACCAACACCCAGCCGTGCAATGGCTACGCTGAGTTTTGCTCTCGAAATTACTCCAACGTCACTTATGTCGCCGCGCACAACAGCCCTTTCGACAGACAAGGCAATCTCGCTTCCAACCAACAGTACGGAGTCACAACGCAGCTGAACGATGGCATCCGCATGCGTATGTTCTCATTATCCCTATTTGATTGCTTCTACTGACTAATGAAACGTAGTCCAATTTCAAGCGCACTATCAAAACGAGACCATGTACCTTTGCCATACTTCTTGCGACTTGTTAAACGTCGGAACACTCGAAAACTACTTTACCACTGTGGTTCAGTGGCTGCAGCAACACCCTTACGAGGTGATCACGATTCTCATGGGAAATTACGACCTGGTTCCTGTGGGAAATTTCACCTCCCCCATTATCAATTCAGGGCTATCGAAGTACGCCTACTATCCATCTGAGGTCCCCATGAGCTTGGATAGCTGGCCCCAGCTATCCAATATGATTATTTCCGGTAAACGGGCTGTTATTTTCATGGATTACCAGGCCAACCAGACAGAGGTGCCGTACATCCTAGACGAATTCAGCCAATTATGGGAGACCCCGTTCTCCCCAACCGACCGCCAGTTCCCTTGCACAGTACAGAGACCGCCAGGTCTGTCTCCGGAAGACGCCAGGAACCGGATGTACATGGCTAACCACAACTTGAACCTTGATGTCTCGTTCGCTGGAGTGAGTTTGCTGGTTCCAAACACGGCCCTCATAAATGTGACCAATGGTGTCTCGGGATTTGGAAGCCTGGGAGCAATGGCAGAGAACTGTACAGGTGAGTTGATTTACTCGATTTGCTGGAAAATGCATTAACAAAGTTTTCCTACAGCCGACTGGAACAGGCCTCCAAACTTCCTTCTTGTGGACTACTATAATGAGGGCAGCGTCAATGGGTCTGTTTTCGAGGTCGCTGCCCAGATGAACAACGTCACGTATAATGGACATTGCTGTGGTACGACCACCTCAGCGGCACCTATATCCAGCCCATCCAATAGGTTGGTCGGGGTTCTCTTGGCAGTTGCTATCAGTGTCGTTTTGACGATCGTGTAATTTCGTATGTAATTAGTTACCATGATACCTCACGTTAGCGATTTTATTTCCAGTTTGGGTGAGGGGAGTTTGGGGGTTGCATTGTTGATAAACACTACATATTTATGATAGGCCAGTGGGTTGATAATCTTATTGCTTTTATTTTAATTGTAATTGTCAATTAACTACTTTTGTATGAGAGATCAAACGCCCTAAACCCTAACGGTTGTCCCGTTCTAGACAAGCTCAAGCGTTCCGCCGCGGGGCCGCATCTTACACCTCCGACAGCAGACCACGACAATCACCCAGACAGGCCGAACATCGAACTGCAGCTCGATTTCCGCGCACAGAAAAACGCAGTCACAATGGTCGACATCCTCCCCATCTCCTCCTTCCCCTCATACATCAACCTGCTCCCCTCCGTGCAAACCTGCAACATCACAAACCTCCCCGAAAACTACTTCCTAAAATACTACCTCTACCACGCGCTCACCTGGCCGCAACTCAGCTTCGTCGCAGTCGTACGACCCAAGGGCGGATATGGACGGAATAACCGTAATAACAAAACCGCCTTCCTACCGGGCGAAGAATACCCCAAGGTCGTGGGCTACGTGCTTGCCAAAATGGAGGAGGAGCCCTCCGACGGCGTGGCGCATGGTCACATTACCAGTCTGAGTGTGATGCGCACGCATCGCCGGCTGGGCATTGCAGAGCGGCTGATGCGGATGAGTCGTACGTGCCTGTCTCCCCTTTCCCCCTTCTTTTTTTCTTTTACACATGTGATTTTTGGGAGGCCCCGGCTGATAGGATACCAGAACGGGCAATGGCAGAGTCGCATCGCGCGCATTATGTTTCCCTGCATGTGCGTATGTCGAATAACGCCGCATTGCGCCTCTACCGTGACACGCTGGGCTTTGAGGTGGAGAAGGTGGAGAGTAAATATTATGCGGACGGCGAGGATGCGTATGCTATGCGCAACGATCTCAAGTCGATGTGGATCGATTGGTCGGAGGAAGAGGAAAAGGAGAAGAAAGACGCTGAAAACAAAAATGGGGATGGGGTAGATGGTCATGCTGATGAGGGCGAGGCGGTTGGGGAGTTGGGGAAGAGTGGGGAGGAGAAGGAGAAGGAGAAGATGATTCGGGTCAAGGTTGGTAGAGGGTTGGGCGTGGGTGATTTGGTGGAGAGGAATGAGGCTGCGACATCGAGTCGATAGGTGTGACTTGGTAACTTGGAGGTGGTAGACTAATGTAGGAATGTTTGGGGGGGGGTTGAAGCTAAGGTTGAATTGCAGCGCTAAAAATGATAGAATACTGAAATGCTATTCAAAATGTCCCAAAATATAATCATAATCCGTATCCATGGTCTCATTGCTCGTTGCTACGCTCTCTACCGTTCGCCTAGACTGTAGTCTCCTTCTAGCTCAAATGTATGTGGTTCTGGATCCGGAACTGTCACACTCACACCACTTTCCTGTCTCATGCCAGCACCCCAAGACACACCAGTACCAGCATCAGGGCGCACACGTGTGGGCGACGATTCCTGTACTGGTTGGGGGTACGTTGGCCTCGGAAGAGGGTGATTCGAGACATTCCCCGTTGACTGCAACGAGGTCGTAGAGGTTAATGACACTGACGACGCTGCTTCAGGAGTTATTTGCCGAGTCAGGCCAGCGGCGATACCGGTGGTTTGCTTGCCCTGTTTCTTGGCGAGTTTCTTCTGCTTCTTTTCGTGCTCTTTGTAGGATTTTTGGATCTCTTTGATTTTCTGCTTGTTGGCCTTTTGGATGTCCTTGGCTTTGGCGCGTTGCGCATTCGCCCATGCTTTGGCTGCTTCGTGCGGGTTTACTGCTGGTGCTGGTGCTGGCGGTGGTGCAGGCCGGGTCTCGACTGGCATGGGCTCACTTACCGCACGGTTTAGCGAGGTTGGCGAGGTTGGCGAGATTGGTGACGAGGTTAGTACTTCTTTATCGATTCCATCGTCAAAGTTTGAAATGGACCGGTCGATCGGGGATGGCGCTACATTTACTAGCGACGCAGTATTGACCGGCGGCGGCGGTCGTTGCTGTCGTTGCAGTTTTCTAGCCCGTCTAATCCTTTGCAAGTCACGAAGTTCTCGCTTCGCGCGGCGGTCTGTTTCACGGAACGTCTGTCGTAGAAGTTTGGCTTCTTCTCTGATTGCTACACGCCGCTCTTCCCGCTGCTTTTCATCCTGCGGCGAATCCCACCGCCCCCAAGAGCCTCTTTGCGGGATCGACGTGCCTATCCGTGGTAAGAGAAACCGAGAATCACGACGTGTTTGCTGTAAAACCCGGAGATGACCGCGCAGGCCAACTGCAGCACTGTGGAGTTCGTGATGATGGTAATCATCTAGGGAGATTAGCTGTGCGCGCACTGCGGCAAGATCATCAGGCTCCAGTTCAGCTGTGGTGGAGATGGTGTCGATTGATGAAAGCGAGTCATTCGAGCCAATCGATGATGCATTGGAAGCCGTGGACGATCGACGAGCAGAAGGCTGTTGCAAGTTTACGTGGTTGACTGATCGAGAATCCCAGTCATCTGTCTGTTCACGCGGCGACTGTGATGACGAAGAATTCCGAGTCATTCCGGTAGCCCAATGGCTTAGACGATCCCCCGCTTGCTCGATTTTTCGACCTTGATATAGTGCTGCTTCTTCAATTCTTCTTCCATGTGCCAGGGCGTTGTTTTCCAATCGTTTGCTATACTGTTCTATTTGCCTCGAGCGCTGCAGTGCGCTTTCTTCGATTGATCTACCATACTCCTGTGCCTGGGCGCTTATTTTCTCTGCATATTGCTGAGCTCGCATACTCATTTGATTGGCCCAGCTGATTGGATTGGATGCCCATGAATTCATCGATTGATAAGGGCTGTAGGGATAAGCCTTGGCTATGGATACTTGGTTAGCGTGTCCAGGCCCTGGGCTGACAGTTATACCCGCTGCAGACGTAGGGGAAACTGCGACAGCTGAATGTCGATTCTGTTGCACAAATGCCGTAGGACTCTTAGCAAGCGGCACAGGTCTCCGCGGGATTGTATATGGAGGAAATTCTGTAGACACCGGGATCGGCGCGTCAAAAGACGGAGTGCGAACCGGAGTCAGACGGCTTTGACTAGCCTCTGTAGCTTGAGGGTAGCAGTTCGGACACAGCGGCGAGACTGGGCCAGTTTCCAAATCGGCGATATACACCCATGTAATGTAGGTTCCGCGAGGATTGAAAAAATACTCATTCCATTCATTAATGACGGCATCAAGACGAGCACATCGCTCATCGTCCGTCTCTTGCGGGCGATCCTTTCGATCTCGCTCGATCTCTGCTCGAACCCGTCGATGAAGACGCGTTGAGGACGCTGCCGGACCGAGATGGGCTGGGAATGCAAAATTGAGAAATGTATCCCAATCATGTTGGTTGATGTCGGCCGCTCGGGTGTTCCAGCAGCGTGGTCTTCGGGGGAAATCCTTCCCTTGACTACGAGCGTATATAGTTAAATGGTGAACCAAGGTATCGCGCTTTTCGTCGCCTGAGGGCGACTGTGACTGGCCGCGCTCAGCAAAATAGCCCGTTGCCGATGCGAAATGGGCGGGCTGTCGCGCTGATGAACTTTCTGGTTGCGGCGACGGTGAAGCAGCCGTGGGGGCAGGTGGTGTAATAGACGAAGCTGGTGTGTCACTGTCATTCAAGCGAACAGCGGAGAAGGAAGTCTCTAATTGATGGGCATCACTGGAGGTCGTCGTCGTCGTCGTCGTAGTAGTAGTTACACTATCAAAAGGCTGGGGTTCGCTGGTTGCCCTTCTACTCTCGTCCGCAGCAGCAGGAGTGATATTGTCATTACTGGAAGCTTGCTGCAAAGGGTCGATGGCAGAGTAGGGCGGAGGAGCTTCGTCATCGTATTCATGGTCCATTGTGCTCGGCTGAGACAGAGCAGGTTGGGCTGCTCTCCACAGAATAGATACTGGTGTTGTTCCAGTTATTTATGATTCATTCCACCCGAACGAATAATCGACGAGAAGTAATTGGCGACTGTGATAGATAAGAATCACAAGACAAGAAGAAGTCTGGAGACGTCAAGTTAGATTGACATAACTAAGGAACATCAAGGTGGGGGCAGCAACAGCCAACGGATAAGATAAATTTGGTAAATTTAGTAAGGCGTAAAATGTTGCAGCCTGCTCGTTGTATGATATGATTAATGGCCCGATGCGGTCGGCACAGCCTAGCCAAGCCCGACAAAGCCGGTGAGGATACAAGCTGCTTTTCTGGTTTCTTTGTTCTGCGGTCGGGGATAATATCGAAATAAAAACAGATCGTCATAGGCAGACTGTAGGTAATATAACGATAATAATGTGATTGTCGCCCCCACAAGCCTAACTTGTACGGAAAATAGACTGCCGCAACATGATTGGCTGGCTCGTGTACAATGGACTGCTTGCTTATATTGAAGTAAATATTGCATATATCAATTGGTTACAGTGGATCACAGTAGATTACTAGTATTAATGTTGGTGAATAAATATAGTCATGCTCGATATCGGCAGATATTAATATATGGACTCCTCTATCTGGACCCAGCAGAGTGACTGTACACAAATGCAGTAAATGTTAGACTACCATGCATCTCCCCAGCCATCTTCCTCCGCCTCTTTAGGCTTCGTATTAATCACCTTAGCAGGTGCAGCAGGCTTCGATGATCGCGCCGTCGACGTTTTCGATGCCGCCGAAGAACGCGCGGGGAGCCCCTTGGAAGTAGCAGATTTGTTCAATCCCTTGGGAAGAGCCTTGCTTGCCTTAGCCTTTGACTGTGCCGCCAGCCACCCTGCAAAATCGGGTTCGCCGCCATCATCATACGGCACTGCCACTGCGGGGGCCGGGGTCGGTGTTGGACTGGAGGTTGTGTCGAAGAAGGTCTCTTCCTCGTCTGCCTTGCCCTCCTCTTGATCCCATGCATCGGCACCCCATGCGTCGTCGTAGTCTCCATCGTCGACATCGTCTGCTGCCGTCGTCTGCGTCGTCACATTATCGGATGATGCTCGCACCATGGGCGCCGCCACGGTTCGTAGATGAGAGGAAGTATATTGGGGAGAGTCTACGACGGGGGTTTTCGTCGTTGATTGAGGTACGGATGAAGGACGGACGGGTTCGGGAACTGCCAGTGTATTCCCGTTGCTAGTAGGCTCGATCTCGCCTTTTGCAGTGGTGATTTTGTTGGTGAACGACGAAATCGCCCATCCAGCCCATGATGTATCACTTGATGTGCCAATGCGCGCTGCATTGGTGTTGTTCGCGGCAGACCCGTCATTTACACTCGGGGGAGGTATTATGGTGTCGGCCATGGTGCTGCTGTATTTGCGAACACGCTGTAGAAACAGGTCGAGAGTTTTGTTTGCTTGGTCGCGCACGAGTCTAGACTGGATTAATAAAGGGCAACAAACTCAAAAAAGATAGACTCACTTTTCCTTATCTAGCAAAGCAGGACATAAAGCGGGCAAGACCTTGCCAGCACAGTCATCCTCTGAGTAAGAATCTATCGTGGCTGCAAAGGCCAGCAAGCCAGCGTTACGCGCATGTACGAATGGATCCCTCACAGAGCGAGAAAACGCTGCTATAAGCACCTTTGTCCTTGTCTAGCCCATAACCAGTCAGTTGCAAGAATATCACATAACAGTGGCGAAACGCACATTTTGAGAAAGATTCTTCGCGATCTTTCCTAGACAAATCGTAGTGTTTGTACGAATGCCTGGCTGTTCATCGTTTGCAGTACGGGCTAAAAATCGGAGTAACTCCCCATTAATCACACGGTCAGATAATTTACCGATAACAGTCAACACGGCCTTGACAGTCTGCTCTCGAACGACAGGAGCAGCATCGGTGAATCCGGAAGTCTACTATTGTGAGAATGGCTTCCTTTAGTCGACATGGTTCTCTACTTACCATTTGTGGGAAGATCTTGTCAGTTACAAGCTTTTGCGGTAGTCGATCGATCATCAAGGGTAGATTGTCCAGCAAACTGACCCGCAGAGCACGGTCTGGGTTAGCGAATAGTCGGACAATAACAGGCGTTAATCGTGATGCGAATTCGTCATCTGTCAGCTTCGTGCCGATTTTGACAACAGCAGTAAGAACCTTGGGACCACCGCCGCCAAATTCCACCGACTTCAGGAGTTCAGGTAGCACCTTCATTTTGAAGAACTCTTCCGGGAAATCTTCAGATAGATGATCCAATTCACTATAACTCCGGTCAGAAATTAATTCTAAATAGGAAACTACGGGACTGCAACTCACTTAATAAACTCCTCTCTTTCCGCCTCATTTTTCAACCCCAAACTTTCAATATCGTCGCTTAAACGAATCAATGGCGTCTCGAAAAACCCGCCAATCTTCTTTCCTTGGTCAACGAAATTCGCAGCACTGAGCCGTATTTTAGGGTTCGCTGTGCACAATCTCCGATAGCTCTGATGCATACTCGGTGGTACATTGGTCGTCTTCCCGACTTGATCTGATCCTGAAAAGCTTCCATTAAAGACTTCATATATCAGAATTCCCAACCCGTATGAATCCACAGCAGCTAATGGGTTCCGCTTTATCGCCTCCCAGCCTCCTTTGCTGATCTCCGGAGGGGTGTAGCGTGCAGAGTCGGGAACAAGGCTGCCATATGTCTGTGTCTGCGTTAGTAGCTAGTCTTCTAGAAGGAAGCATTTTAACGCACGTAGATAATTGCTTCGTCATCATTCATTGAACTTAGTATATCGAATCCTCCTAGCTTCCACTCTCCACTCTCACTTGTGTATACAGACGAAACTCGCACGGCGCCGTGCACAGAAGCCGCGTCCTCGTTAATGAATTTGAGTGTCGACTATAATACCCCATTAGCAGTGCCTTCCTTGCATCAAATCCTTTGATCTGATAACCCACAGAGATGGTATAGAGTCCCCATTTAGCAGTTTCCTCGCTAATACTCTTTCGCTTCACATTCCAGGAAAGCGGCGTAACCCTCTCTGTGACAATGTATATATGTGACTCGGTCTACGACACCACGTATCAGCGCGAACACACCTTTACTCCCACACTTATAAAAAGCATACCTCAATCGTGTCCAGCACTTTCACGACTCCGGGATGTCTCAGTGTGCGGAACTTGCGCATCGCGTTTTTCGCCAGGGGAAGTCGAGACCGATTCGAATTGGCGTCGAATGTGAAGACGCTACAGTTTGAGCCATCGTCCTATTTTGTAGCGTCAGTAGATGTCCACAACAACAAATAACATTTCAGACGCACCCTTTTGGTGGCGTTATGTAGGGTCCACAGAGCATCGCTGCTATCCACCCTGTCTCCAAGCGAAAAAGGAAGAGAGCTCCCCTTCGCTATTGCCGAGGCGACGGCTGACTTCAAAAAGTCCATGGTATGGGTATATTAGGTATTGCTCGTTCTCAGTGTTCGTGCCTGAATGTGGTCGGCCACGTTGTCACTAAATGCTAATGCGGCCGGCGGAAGTTGGTTCGCGAAAAGGGCAATCATTAAACAACAGCGCTTATTAAAAGGGGGTGTCGCATAGTTTTGGAACAGAAGAAATACGTGTCGCTGCTGGCTCGGCTATACAGAGCACTGTGTCGGAAACTGCCAACAGCGAAGAGAAGTTGAAGTAGGAATTAGGCACACAGCATAAAATAATCATCATCACAATCATCCACGCTGCGCCGAGGGGCTCTGCGCTATCAGTCGCTGATCCCGGCCTTGGCGTCATGGAGAATATCCGCTTGGCTGTATCGGGCTTAGTGTGCTCCACCTGGCGACGGACCTTGAAATGACAGAAGAATGTTCTTTCTCTCCCTCTCTCTACTACCTACTCCAGCTTGATAAACCTGTAAGTTGCTTCATCTTTTCTATCTCGACATTATACACCACGCACCATTCTCCAGTGATGTCAACTTGGTAAAAGGTCAGACTACCAAACAAGCTCAAAGACAAGGAAAGCGCGGTCCCTCTTGAAGGGGCTGTCTCTACTACAAACCCCTCCTACACAATCCCATCAAGAGCGATAGAGAGTGAAGACTATTTCCACTCAGAATGCTTTCTGAAAGCGCGCACTTGGATTTTCAACCAGAACAACGCAGGCACCATCGTGCTGCTCGCAGGGGGTGAATCGTGTCGGAAAGATCTCATCTTGGAGTCCAAGTGTATAACAAAAACAAATGTTTGTGCAAACAAACAAACTGCCGCATTAATGGGGTTCCTGGCCAGCTGCTCTTCCATGATGGTTCAATAGGAACTAATGGCGTCGGCAGACATGGCTGTTCTATCGTACGGAGATTCAGTCCCGCGAATCTATTCTGCTCGGGGATTGCAGGACGGTCGGTTTTAGATTCAGCACCGCAAGGAGTGGATTGCTGTTTTCCTTGTCATGGGCTGAGAATGATGTCCAAAATAAATCAAAACTTGAAAAGACCTGAGGAGAATATCATCCTAACGCTATTTCCCTATGCCCTTCCGCTTGATGATCTTGTTCACTTCTTGCTCCGGTTTTTTGCTATTTTTGATTGTGTGCTGATTACTTGATAGGTAAATTCCTAGGATTAACGATATACAATGGTATAGATTCGTGGATAGCGTTCAAATTGTTACCAGTTACATATACATGTATGATTAGTGAATGCACTTAGTTGACAAGTTTCTGGTTTTTAAACTATTTTTAAATACTCAGCAGGTTACCACCCAGTGATTATTAGTATTTCCTGTTAAAGTAGAATTCAACCTCCCACTACTCGCTAGCTTGTTGAAACTACCATCCCGCGGATACATAAATGCAACAAGTGATCGCAGCTCATTCAGTCTCAAGACACATCTATTGAATAGACAGAGTGTTGAAGCGAGACTCCGTTGTCAATAACAAACCACTACCAGCTTACTAACTCTCCTATCGAGATTGTATCCATGCCAGATTCAACTAATGCACTAGCAAAACCTATGTTCTTGCATGAATATCGAATGTTCCGCGGCCACTTCAACAAAGAAACCATTTCCAGAGATACCATTCCTGGATTGAAAGCATCAGCCGTAAGTCCTCCCCATATCGCCGTCCTCATAATAGGATAAAATTGAATCGGCGACGCGGTCACCAATAGACCCGAGATGAACAACGCATTGAGCCATGACCTAAATATCAATGATTTGGCACCGTGCTCCAATGTCAAGCCGAGGAGTTTGGTGGAGCTATGTCAATACGGCTGGAAAAGACCCAACTTTCAAAAGCGTCGGAAACTTGAGACATCCCTTGATGAGGTTATTTGGCCCATTGCTCATTTAGTATCTTCAGGTGTCTCGGTGGATTGGGGTCCGGCGGCCGCAGATGGAGGTGTTTGAGCCGGCACATGAGGGGCCATCTGTGGCATGGGACTGTAGTTATTTCCAGGTCCACGGTGTTGATGAGGTGGATAGTGCTGGGACTGATGAGGGCTGGAGGCGTAATGAGGTTGCTGTGGATAGCCGCGAGGGGGAACTATAGAAGCTGGGTTAATTTGTAGAAAGACCAACAAGGACAAGTAACTTACCATGGCCGGGTTGCTGTGGTGCATACATTGGCTGTCCGTGTTGGCCAGGGTTCATAAACATTACTGGTTGAGGCGGCTGACCAGGCTGGGAGCCTTGATGCATCATCATAGGCGCTGTCCGACTGGGACTTGGGTATCCACTGTGCGGCTGCGGTGGAGGACCACCATGCTGCGGATAAGCGTATGTTGGGTTAGGAGAATACATTTGCATATGAGGGTTGTATTGCGCGTTCATTCCCTGGGGAACCCCCATGTAGGGTCCGCTTGACGGCTGTTGTACCATCATTGGTGCGGTCATTCCATTTTGAATATTGGCAAATTGAGGTCCACCAGGATACTGGCGCATGTTTCCAGGCTGAGAGCCTTGGTTGGCATAAAACTGAGGCAGCGGCTGACCAAAGGCCAACTGGGCATGCGAACCCATAGGCGACGGATAAGCATGCGGCAATCGGGGTGATGGGAACATGTGCGAAGTTGATGCAGACAATTGCATGCGGTGAGGATCATCGAAGTGGGGGGTAGGTTGTTGCTGGTGAAGATGAGGAGGGCCATGGAGAGGGCCCCCGGTAGAAGTCGCGTTTTGATTGCTTTGTTGAGCATGGAAATGGGCTTGTCCATGAGGAGGGACATTCGGATTTGAAGCAGAACGGCTCTGAGGTGATATTAGCGACGGTGTAGTCTTGAACATGTCCCTGAAAGTCTTCTCTTGGTTTCCGGGTGCCACGTCCCAAGTGGGAGCGGTTCGGTACGGCGGTGGAATCCCGCCGTTAAAAGTGAAGTCTTTATCCTTTTGTTCCTCCGCTTCCTTCCTCAGTCGCTCCATAGGGGAGCATTGGTCCTTCAAGGATGGCCGTTCAGCTGCAGGGAGAGGCTTTTTGTTGCCAAAAAAGGCAGAAGGTGTACTAGCACGAGAAACAGATCGACCACGGGTGCTTAATTGTGGGCTAGCGGCAGCAGCCCCAGAGCCACCAGGAGTGAAGGTACTAGCCGCTGGATTAGGCTTGAATTCCATCGCCCGAACATTGAATTTACTGGACGTGGGAGTTTGCACTTTGGGATCATTCGAAGGACCCGACGGTGGAACGCGAACATCTTGAATAGGCAAAGGAGCAGGAACCCCTGCAAGGGCGCTCTTTTGTTGGCGATAATTATCTGCCAGTCGGTGGCCGAGAGTTCCCCGACCTCCATGGAATGTCTGAGACTGAATTCTTCCACCACCATGAGGTCCCTGAGGCGGGAACGCCTGGCGACCACGAGAGTAGTTTTGGCGATCGGCGGGTGCTGATGGAGGCACGGCACTCGTTCCGGTTTCATTACGAGGTGCCGCAGCTCGGACAGTTCCAGCCTTCTGCTCTACGGGGGGCGTAGTTGGTGTCCCAACTTTGGTGGTAGCTGCCTTTTCGTCGGCTTGGCGTTGCGCTCTCTCGATTATTTGTTCCTGCTTTCCTGGGTCCTTCGCTAGGATGGGAACGAGGTCTTTGGGAACAGGAGTTGCGAGTTTGAAGTTTTGCGAAAACTTCATCAGCTCATTCAGCTTAACAGTACGGTCATGAGATGCCTGGTTACGGCGACGTTCTTGCATTTTCATCTTTTCGTTATTGGCGAATTGACGGAAGTGATCGAGAACCTCTGTTTCCACATTTGACGTAGCATTCTCAGCGGCTCCAGGGCGTTTAGTGGGTGCATTGGAGACTGGGGCGGCTGCCTTCTTCTCCGGGGCCTTTGATTGAGATGGGGCAGCGGTCTTTGTCAAGGTCTCAGATGATGCGGTTGGCTTCGACAGTGCCGAGTCCTTTGGTGCAGCATCGGGCTTAGCAAGTTGAGCAGATATGATGGCTGGGTCAGAAACAGCTGGAGAAATGGTAGGTGGTTGTTGAACAGGCGGTCGTCGTCCCGGTGGTGTATACGTATTGGGTTGGCCAGACTGCAATGGTGGAAAAGAGGCTTCTTCACGACGAACTCCACTGTACTTGTCTTCCTCATCATGATCATCGCCTTCAAACGCGTGGCCACGCTCTTCTCTCAAGTGTGGGTTGTCCGTCTGCGTGCCCTCAATCTCACGAGCTATTCGGGCGGCTTCTGCCTCTCTCCTCCTGTATGACGGATCGTTACGGTTAATACGCGTGGTGTAGAGATTCTCGTCATAACTAGTTGTGGCACCGAAAAGACGCGCATTTACTTCGAATTGGTCCCAGTCGCCAGTCTGGGCGCTCTCGAGATGCATGTCCACGGATGGATCTGTTGAGCTTGGTTCCCAACGCTGCAAATTTCTTTCCCGCATTGCAAGGCTCCCCGAAATGTCAGTGTCGGTACGGAATCCAGTCGTAGGGCCTGTTGTATTGTCAGTACTAAAGGCACACAAGCAGGGCTCCAAGTATTCCTACCGTTTGATTCCTTGGCCATGATTTCTGACGTAGTGACATTGGCCACTGTGATATCAGCAATATCCTTTAAATCGAAGGTCATACTGTAATCAGGAGATGCGCCAACGAATGGGCTAGCCGAATCACTTAGTCCATTGGCGCGAGGGTCCAGTTGACCACGATGAACCATTTTGAGAACAAACGCCGAATCACTAGATTGCAGTTCTGAAGATGAAAATATACCATTGAACGTATCACCAGTCTTCGTAATGACAGTTGCCGGAAGGCCCTGAGTGGATATTAGCTAATGAAAGCAAATTATTATCTCGTGGACATACGATGAAGCTTGTCAGTAGGAAGACAAGACGGTCATGGGCGTGTTGTTCTGGGGTATTGGATTCTCTGGAGGCCGTTGGTTTCGGGGACGGTGTCGACTTGATGTGGGAATTGTTGCCGTTCTGTTGCGAAGAAGATTTCTGAGTGAGAGGGTTTATGCCTTGAGTCCAGGCTTTCTGAGAATTGGAGCGCCTATGAATCAAGAAGGATTAGCGTCTTTTCTTCCAAGAGACAGATTCTTTCATAGGCCGCAGAGGTGGAATAGGATTGACTGTTGACAGCAATTGGAAGCCTTTATCAAGCAAACAAATGACACATGCTGGGTTTGATGTGAATTGTATTCTCAGCTCGCTCCCACTGCCTTTCAATCCGGCCAACCTCTGCCGCCGGAAGCCGTAAGTATTTTTGTGCAGAACCACGTACCTTTGACCCCCATCAACCGGGCTGCCAGACTGGCGCCTACCGGGTTCAGAGCCCTTCAAGCTTGCATTTGTCCTCAATGACTGCCGAGCACCGCCGTTGTTCTGTGAAGATGGAGGTAGATTGTTGCTACCAGCAGGGCCGTTGGCGGCTGGTGCAGAATTGACAGTCGAAGCCATTGAAATGGCGATTTGCAGACAAACGTCTGATACTCAAAAAAGAACCTGCCCACGTCGCAAAAGCAGGAAGGGGGGGATGGACGAGGCCACGACACACGCACACACCGCCCGCACGGATCGAATGAGGCAGCCTCTCTGCAGGGAAGGGAAAGGGGGGTTGGACTTTTTGGGCGGTGGCTGCAGCTCAATTCGAGATTGCAGACAAGACTGCGATAACGAGAAATAGAAAGAGGCAAAGGGAAAAGGGGGTAGAGGGCGAGGTTGAGACCGGCAGGGAAGCAGGACGTCTCAAAAAACAACAAATGGTGATGAGTGCTGTTAGCCTGTTGGGGGATGCGACTCAGAGAGGTAAGAGCGACTCCCAAACGAGGTTAGGACGGAGCCAGACTTGGCGGAGGAAGGAGCTGCTCTGGGCTCTTGCCGGGCGGCGATGCGGCTTGGCGCGCGACTGGGCCACAGTGGGGCGCGGCGCCTAGCCTGCTTGGGCACAGTGTCACTGGACCAGCCATACAGTATGCACTGCACTGTGGCATATAGCATATACAGTGTACCGCCGACTCAGCGCTAACTCGCCCTCTCTCACATCTATCGCCATAGGTCACACTGCAGGCACACCTATTAAGAAGGCAACGACGGGGCGACTTCTTTAGCCCGGGTGCGCGCGAGGCTCTTATTGTAGCCATCAGAGAGAGGAACCAGAGAGACACTCATACGCATGCCCTCAACTAAGAAGCACTGACAGGGCTCTAGCACCCCTGGGTTTACTTGTCAATACTTCCACGGTTCTTGGTGGCAGTGAGATCTAGCAAATACTATAGATACAGGCGCGGCTCCTACGCGGGGGGGCTTGTGGGCTTCAGGTTGAAAAAACGAATAAGCTTTGAGGCTATTAGCCTAGATATGTGCCGGCGTCGACATCATTCGTAGTTTAGCTAAAGGTTACCTTTTAGCTTCAAGCAGGCCAGGCATCTGCACTGCGTAATATACGTAGACCCTATAACTGATATTGCAGGAAGTTGGCATCCCAGAGGAGAAGCCCCAGTCATCCATGGATCTAATATTGTTCAGGGTACATTCAAACACGTTATATATATATGATACTGCTTGCTATATCAATCGATATCTGTCAATGAGAATGGCCCTGATGGTTCAATGTTTCATCCGCTGGGCTTGGCTGTCAATACTACGTACCAAATATGTCATGTTCGGGCGATTCGTAGAATCGGACACTGCGGGTCCACGATCGTTTTGCTCCGTAATCCCCAGACATGCAGGAAAATTCTTTCAGCGTCTACCAGCTACATGGCGAATCGAGATCCCGTTAGCCGCATATAGAAGCAAAGCAATAATAATAAATAATAATGAATGGTGGTCTGTGACAACGTTGCTGTCGAACGAGTGGCTGGCTGGAGATTGGTGGAGCCCGCGACCCCGTGACCCACACCTTCCGCGTTCTTCTAGGGGCGAGGGGAGCAAGGTACACAGATGCCGAGCCATCTTCAGAAAAGAGGCTGGCAGCTTGGAGATCAATTGATCACCTCCGCTCGGAGCAGGACAGCCTCACTTCTCTTGCCATCGGCCTGCTGCCTTGTCAAAAATCACCCGGGTCACTCATCTGCAACATCGAGGCGCAGCGGTCGCCCTACCCTGTCTCGTCCCGTCCTGGCCATGCAGTCGGCGCCTTCATTATCTCGACCATCACAACGGCCATCCGGAGCAGATTCCCCGTCAACAGTGGGCGGCAGCACAGGGGGTAGTATGGCATCACAAACATCGGGTCCCCGAAGCTCTTCAGGCTCTGCCCGTTCGCAGGCGTCAAGGGCGTCCGTGGTAGGTTCAAAGCCCATTCGCTTGCCTACTCCTCTTTCATGAGGTGTTATTTTGCTAGTCTGTCTCAGATGGTGCTAACTTCTGGGAAGCCCGACAAACAACTTTCGCAGATCGAAAAAAGTGTTACGCATCTTCTCGTTGCCACTAAGCAGCTTCTAGAGACCCTGACCCAATGGTCCCGTCAACAAGCCACCGAGAACGAGGTGTCCGATGTCTATGTGCGACTGGGATACGAATTCAACCTGGCCTGTCGGGCCTTCAATGCCATCGGTGTCGACACATCAGATCTCGGCCCGGTACCCGATCTTCTTCGTACAATCCTTGAAGATACGTTGAGTCAAGATGCCTCTCCACAGAGTTTGGATAGGTATTTACCACGCATACGTGATATCATCATCAACCTCCTACACGGTTTGAAGAAGAAGCAGGCACGATTACGGTCAAAACAGGCCCGAGAAGATAGCAAAAGCACTCCTCCGCCGAGACAAGCCAGTCTAGGAAGCGTAGGGGACGGCCAAGCTGGGCCATCAAGTCAGGGACCCGAAGATCCTATGCCACAGTCACCTCAGAAGCGTCCTTCATCTGCTCGTAGATACGGAAGCAGTGGCTCTCTAGAAGATCAAGTTGCGCCGTCAATCCCACGGGATCGCACTGGAGGCAGTTTCTCTGATCGTGAAGCTTCCAAGCGAGACGCTCAAAGATCCCTGACTTCACAAAATTCAGTCTCATCCATGTCAACACCAGCGTTACAGAATTCATCAGCACAGTCATCGGTTTTGGAAGTAGAGCGCGCCGCGGTGTTGGGGTACCCGGCACCACCCCCTCCACCTGCTCCAAAACAAGACGATGCTCTAGGAGCTTTGCAGCGAAGTGGAGAACTCGAGCGGCGTGCATCGCGTCGATTTTCAGCATATCAAATACAAAAACATCTCGGTACTTCTGCTAATGGTGTTCCTGTGCTTCCAACTCAAACCACGGCATTGCCTAATAGGGGTCGTGATGTGAGGGAGTCACTTAACGCTGTCCGTTTACGTGGCTCTTATGGGCATGGCAGGCAAAGGTCAACCACTCGCCAAGAAATATCTCCCAATCGGACTAATCAAGGTCCCTTTACACCCACAATTCCAGAAAATGTAGAAGGAACTCGTTCCAATCTTCGGATTGCGCCACCCAATGACACAGCGGCAAATGAGGATCATAGCAGCCCGATAGCGAAAACTCCATCCGACAAGCTCCGATCCCCTGTTGAATTAGATGGTCGTGATATTTCCATTCCATTTCCACAGCCGTCCCAGAGAACACCATTGGCTGAGGTATTCGAGCCCACCAAAGTGATTTCCGACGATACGACATCAACTACACTTAAAAGTCCAAATGAACCGGCCCCTACTTTGTCCACACCTCCACATTTGCCGCAGTTTATACCAGAACATTCCCCCTCCCCAGGGAAAGAGCTAACACTGTTTTTACAATACAAGAGCAAGATTAAGAAATACGTCATTCCAGAAGGATCTACAGGTTTAACAATCGGTCGCCTCCAACTCGCTTTCATCGAGAAATTTGCTTGGAACACCCACCAAAACGGGGTCGATCTTCCGGAAATCTATATTCAAGACCCTGTTTCTGGGGTGCGGCATGAACTTGAAGATTTGAACGATGTCAAGGATCGATCTGTTCTTGTACTCAACATTGAAGTACTTGATGAGGTGAAACGCCATTTTGATGATGGTATTGGAAGCATTCGTAATTTGATTGAAGGGGTGAAAAATGCCATGGATGGCCAAGAAACCGTCATTCAGCGCGTTTCGGAACGCCAGTTGGATGCTGCTAAAGAAATGGCTCGTTTTACAGTGGCTCCCCAAATTGCTGTTGGTACAGGTGCATCTAAGACAAGTGAACTACGCGCTCCTATTTCAGGAAATAGTAATCAACTTGCTGAGCTTCAGAGCCTGAGACGCGATATTGCTGTTCTACGCCAAACCTATTCAAGTTTCTCCTCAGATATTGCAGCTTCCATGGGCAAGATACGAGCTAAAGCAAGCGGAGTAAAGACTGCAGCCGAAACGGTATCCAGGGCCCCATACGAGGGCGATGCTGGACGTGCACGTATCAATACTGGGAAGAAGGAGCTTGGAGAAGATTCGGAGAGACTAGTCGGAAGAGTTGACGATCTCCAAGACTTAGTTGAAGATCTTCGCAAAGATGTGGTCTCACGCGGTGTCCGCCCACTTCCTCGACAGCTAGAAAATGTCAGCAAAGACTTGAGTTCCGTTACTAAGGACGTCAAGAAGATGCAAGAATTCTTGAAGCGCGAGAAACCCATCTGGACCAAAATTTGGGAGAAAGAACTTCAACTTGTTTGTGAAGAGCGTGATCAGCTCACGATGCAGGAAGATCTTGCTGCCGACTTGGAAGACGATCTAGAAAAGGCTGCCCAGACTTTTGCTCTTGTTGAGCAAGCTACACGTCAACAGAATGTCCAGAATTCGGAGGGTGCCCCTGTTCTTCGTAGCACATCTCGCACTCTCGTAATTGACCAGAATGTCGATCCCATGAAGGCTAAAGACGGGGTTCTTGGCGAAGTGCGTGCTCTTCAACCGAATCATGAGTCCCGTCTAGAAGCTATCGAGCGGGCAGAGAAAGCTCGACAAAAGGAGCTAGAATCTAGGCGCGTTGGTCTTTTCCAGAAAGAACTAGGGCAATTCGTGGGACAAGGAAAGCTGAAGAAGAGCGGAGGCTTCGAGGAGACAGAACGACTACGCCGAGCTAAAGATGATCGCATCCGCAAAGAAGTATGGGAACGTCAACAAGCAAGAGCAGCAGGTTTAGAGCAAAAAGAAAAAGAAACCTCCCAGACTACTTCAAATGAGGAGAACCAAACACCTTCTGGTGGTTCAGAGGTCGAGGAAGCTACTTCTGACCCGCAGTCTACCGCAGATGATGACAATAATGCTTCAGAAGAGCAGTCACCTGTGGTAGAGCATGGCGAATCCGGTGAAACGGAGGAGAGTTCGACTGAGCATCGTGGTATGTAGATATATCTACTTCCAGTATCGTTTGTATCTTTTAGGCTTCGACTCACGATGCACTCAGTGTTGTCTGGCTCTAGGAAGTCATGGCTTCCATCGATCTTTACTGGTTAGAATATTCGCCACATATACAGTATGAGTTGTGCAAGATATATAACCGCGCTTGTTTTAAAGCCGCAGTACGGGAGCTTGATATGATTTGTGAAACATCCAAATGATCTCTCATTTACTTTCTTGTCAACCTTTGATCTTTACTTATGTACCTATTATTCTATATAACACCCCGAGCGTCCTATCTCTCTCTATTTACTACCTGCATCTCATCGTTTTTCCTTGAAATTTTGATTTTTACGATAAATCTGAGGATTTATGGATACCCCTGTTACGCCTGTGACCTTTGTTGAGCTATACGGACGCTTTCCATTTCTCGGGCCGTCTTACGACTATCTCTTACGTGTATTTACTTTAATGGACAATGCATGTATTGTGAGGTGGGTTTAAGTTTGTGTGGCGGCATGTCCATTCATCAGCATCAAGATGCTTTACATACATATGTATGTAGTTTCAGGTCATTAATTGATAAACTGGATGTTATTTGTTATGAAATATAATCTTTAGAATAACATCGAAAAGTGTGTGTGATCTATGTATCGTTAGTTAATAGATAAAACTTATCATAAGCTGTTAACTGATCAATTGATACTTCAAGTTAAATCTTAAGCGTCAATTGTACATGGGCTTCGTGTCTCATCAATCATATAATCATCGTCATCCTGGCAATATTTGTAACCTGACACGAAATGAGAGAAGAGTCTCATTCCATTCCAAATTCCTATCCGTCAATAATGATGCCCAATCAAGAATGAATTGACTTATCCTCCCAATATCCTTAGGAAGAGTTGGTGGCTTAAATTGACTTCCTCCCGGTCTCCAAATGTCAGAAACCTGCATACTTTCCTTTCAAGAGGCATCAACAGTCATTCCAGGTCACATAACAACCGGGGACTGGCTTGTATCATCATCATCAACAATGAGGCCCAAACGTCGTGCCCAATCCTTCCGATTCGACTCGCGAATCAATTCATCAGCCATATCACGCCTACGAAGATACTGTCTAGGCGGACCTTTGACCTGAATTGTCCTCCCATACATTTTCATCGCCGTCGTTGTAGCATTAGACAAGAACAAAAGCGCAGCCGAAAAAATAAACAGCAGTAGCAGTACCAACTGCCCGAATGTGCAGATATTGCTGACCAAAGCCGCATTTATGTAGACCAACACGGTTGAAAGGGCTGTCAGAAATTCCTCGAGGGACGTTCTGTCTCGCAACCATTGGCCGCTGGTGACTGCTTTCAAGTCGTCGACTGCGCCTTGCATTCTGATCCAGCAATCGCCACCCATGAGGATCAAGAGATCGCCGTGAACACCGGGCTCTGATGCGCCTTTCCAGCCCATATTTTTCGCTCGTTGACGAATCACCCATACGTTGCAGAACCGGGAAAACATGAGGACAAGAAGACAGAATACTCCCCACCATTCTTGAATATAGACAAATAAACCAAGAATAGCCAGTGATGCAATAGCGGCACTCCAGTACAACAAATGAGGGATTAGCGTGGCCATTTCAACATGGAAGCAAGCGCCAATATAGTCAAGGAGCCGGGTAAGGCAAACATTATCGAATTTATTGTTATGTATATCCTTTGGAGGAAGGACTTCAACAGTAACCAATTGGCCTGTTTTCCCATGCCTTTTGAGGAATGTCACCGTTGCTGAGTTTTCTACGCGAAAGACATACCCTGTGGTCATTGCTGCTACAGCTGGAAACTCGCCCCCGTTGAGCTCCGGAGCAGACTGTTGACGATGGAATCCGGGACATAATACCAGCGAGTCCGCGTATATTGAGGTTCCCGTTAGAGCAGTTCTTTCTGCTACTACCGTTATCTCTGCGAGTGTTATGAGGCCCGCGGCATCTAGGGAAATGTTGGGCAAGAAGTTGCTCATTGTCGATGATGAGTCTGGAGTCTGGAGTCGGGGGAATTTCGCTACCTGATGAAGATATGTTTGCTTAGGGAACCCTTCCTTCCGAATTAAAAGAATACTTACTGGTTTAGGGATATACATATTCGGCTCCTGTGAACCTGCTAGCAATTGATAAGGCAAGATTCGGACTTTCTCTATTATAATATAAGTATGGCTCTTTCTCCGGTTATTGTACAGCCAACTCGAGGCAACTTACGAGACATCAAAAGTGTATTTAATACAAAGAACATCTTGTTGCCTTGACGTAGCATAAATTTCTCAATATTGACAAGTGCGGTGATACCTGGCAGTGTCAGATGGTGGCATAATGCCGCCCAATCATGGCCGTGTGCAGAGCAAATCGGGCAAATCATGTGAACTCTAGCATCAGTCTGCATAAAAAGTGTGAACACTGCCCCATTCACCCCCTCCCAAGTGACCCGAGTACATGCATGTATCCTATTGGACTATTAAGATTGTGGCTGCATAGGTGAACCGCCTTGGAATGTGTTGCCGAGCGAATGCATGCTGCCGTATTTGTATAATGGCCGATATGCCAATCTTCGCGGGACGACCGAAACTGCATCGGGAAAAAAAAATTTTTTATCGGTTGATTGTATTTATCAAGTTTGCAAGGCCTTAAAGGTATAGCTACTGTGTAAAAGTGCCGAAGGAGGAGAAGGTGGAGAGTCGCCTTGGTCGGGTTTTTTATCAGCCTCGTGGGGGGCAAACAAGGTAATTCGAGTACATCTCCGTTAGCTCTGCCCTGAAAGGAGCCTCACGCTTATATCCCACGCATTTATTTACGTGGTTTCCCCTACTTCTCCAGGCGTCTTTCTTGTATCTGAGGCAGTGCTCGGATATACTTTATTTCAAAGAAATCAATTGGTTTGATTGTCAACATCCAGGGCTCTCTGCGAGCTCCATGTTACCTGTATACTATCCGAATTTCTTGTTTTACTATGCATGAATACCGCTGGCCAGCCTTGGACCTGGGCGAAATCCGCCTTCTCAACTTGTACGCGGGTGATTCCCACGAAGAGTTGGTGGGGAATTTGAAGGTCATCAAACTAATGTCGGATGACGTGCACCATTACGATACGCTGTCCTATACCTGGGGTGACCATGACCCAACCGAGCTCATCAAAATCATCCAAGACAATCAGCAATATTACATTCGAATCCGTCCTAACCTCCACTCGGCTCTGCAACACTTACGATCCCACCGGGAGAATAGATACTTGTGGGTAGACGCGGTCTGCATTAATCAGAGTGATGAAGAAGAGAAAAGCGGCCAAGTGCGGATGATGTTTGACATTTTCAACAATTCAACCAGCGTGTGTGTTTGGGTTGGGCCGGAGGGGGATGACAGTAGAATGGCAATAGACTTTATTAAGACACATCTGGTTTGCGAGAACGCAGACCAACTATTCGAGGACCCTAAGTACAGATATGAATGGCTAGCCTTGGCCAAGTTGATGAGGCGACCATGGTTCCGGCGAAGGTGGATTATTCAAGAGATTGCATTGGCCAAGAATGCTACTCTACACTGCGGAGGGAGTTGGCTGTATTGGGATGATTTTGCTGACGCCGTCATGCTTTTCGCATGGGGACACAATATGATTCGCAGCTCATGGGATTGGCATCACAATTTATTGGGAGATATCAGAGAATCAGCCGCAACTCGTCTTGTCCAATCACGAGACAAGATCTTCCGGAAGTCAGAGGATGGTCAAATTCTAGACAAAATGATGTCTCTAGAGGCACTTCTATGCAGCTTTTCGGCATTCGATGCTTCAAACCCTCAAGACACCATATACGCAATACTCGCTATTGCACAAGACGCGAAACCGGGATTTTCAGGATCGATTACGATCGCAGAAAGCGAGGCGGGGGGTTTCCAGGACCCAGAGTTTAACGCCGAGATCTTCGAGCCTCCAGGATCCTATTATCCAACGCCAGAGAGTGAGTCAGGGGTTTCTTTGCAATCGATGTCCTTGAAAAAAAGGGCGTACCTAAATATTCCAACTGACAAAGAGGACGAACATAATGAGAGACAACATAAGCGAGTTCAAACCAATGGATTTAGTAATACGTTAAACCCAGAGGAACCACGACCAGCAGCGACTCCAGATATTCGAGTATTTACTACCAACAACGATGTTGATCACCCACCTCCCCGTGTTACTACTGATGGAGATAGAGAGAATTTTCCGGTTGCACCTACAGGTTCTGTTTCCCCAATCTCTCAAGGGGACGAGGATACATTATCTCCATACCAAGGGAAGATTCACGCTGATGCACCAAATACTATTAATCGTCGAGCCTCCCTTGACACTCGAATGATCGGTCGACTCCAAGTTCCGCATCGTGGCAGAGGGAACTCCTCTGCATCTTTATCTAGTAATCAGACCGAAAAATATCTCAAACAGTCGGAAGATGAACGAAAGAGGCAAGCAGAACCATGTCAAATTCCTGTTGACTACAGTAAGCCAGTGCAGGAAGTCTGTAAAGATGTGATGAAGTACGCATTCGAGAAAACAAAGTCGCTCAACATGATTTGCCGACCATGGGCACCAAAAGCCGATGATTTACCTTCCTGGATAATGCCTGTCACCAAAAGTGCCTTTGGGTTAGCATACAATGGGACATACACACGCATCAATGCCGATCCATTGGTGGGACAACCTGGCTACAAACTTTTCTACAACGCGACTCCGAATTTATTCGGCCGGTGGAATATTGATCGAGGTGGTAAAGATATCTTGACCGTGCACGGATTCGTGTTGGATGAAATCCGACAGAAAGCTCCTCCAGCCAATGCCGGCGTTATACCGATCGAGTGGAATGAACTGGCCAGGTGGGAAGATACCAGCGAATTACCCCCTGAATCTTTTTGGAGGACTCTCGTGGGTAACCGAGATCAGGATGGTCAACAACCACTCAAAATTTGGAGACGAGCTTGTAAAATTGCATTTAGCATGAAGCCTCAAGGCGGACCGCTCAACATCGAAAAGATATTGGAGGTAGCTTCCCCCCTTGTCAAGGAGTATCTGGAAATGGTTCTTTGTGCTACGTATTCTCGAAGACTCTCCATCAGTTCAAGGGGTCTATGGGCACTTGTACCTGCGAAGAGTAAAAAGGGAGACAAGCTGTGTATCATCAATGGCTGCTCAGTTCCCATCGTGCTACGAGCCCATGAGGCAGGATGTAATTTTCAAGGAGAGTGCAACTGCAGAAAGAACAATAATAGTGAGGAGAGGATTTATGAAATGATTGGCGAATCTTATATCCACAGTATGATGGATGGGGAGGCTTTACTTTATCAACAAAAGAATGGTATCAAGGAGCGCGCATTTAAGATCAGATAACAACATTTGAAGAATTGAAAAAAAGGACATCTGAACAAGGCATAGCATTGCAGTAAGTGTAAGGATTATTTGGCTGGGCCAAAAAGTCAATGTTTGTTTTCGTAACATCTTAACTTAGCACTAGACCCATCAATTTTCTAAGAACATAAAAGGCAAGGGGACATACAATCTCAGCCTATGTACTGCTACAACCGCAGCATCATACCCAGGGCTCCCTACTGATATAATTGGCTTTCAATATTATATTGAATAATAAAATAAACTAAGATCATCTTCTATGCTACTACAGCAAGGGTTTCTGTAACAGAGTGGAAGACACGGCCGCCAAACAGTGAAATTAGAGCTAATCTCTTAACAATCGTACCGGGTCCGAAAGTGAAACCGCTACCGTCAAAAAAGTAGTATATACATTACATATATGGTTTATTATTTAGCAGCTCTGTTTTTGAATATAATAAGAAATTGATGTATCTGTCGCAACCTGTGCGACCTTGTGAAGATATACTACATAGGTGCCGAGTGGCATCATTAAATTACATTAAATTCCTATCGCCCTTCAGTTGGCCAATAAAAGTAAACCTAATCACCAACTTGATCCGTGTGTAAATGAGGTTGGGCAGAAATTCTATCAGCGACTAGTTCAACAGCACTGAACAAGCCTCCTTACTACTATTTAGGAAGCTAGGCAACCTCAGAGAGGACAACATTAGCATATAGCCGATCTTAGTATCCAGTAATGAATGGCATACCGTATTTAAATGGTGGGTTTTCCTTGCCTTTGGTTCTGTCTTGATAGCAAAAGCAAATATTAGCAAGGTATAGTCGAGGACCATGACAGTCCTAGTGTAACGACACCGACCTGTTGGGGTTTGTTACATATGTGGCACAGCTTCACAGAAGCCTAAACATGGTCAATCATTAGTCACCCAACGCATGATTAGTGATTACGAGAACTTTATTTTCTTCTGTCATCTCTGGAAAAGCAGAAAGTAGTTATCAACAAGACTCAGCGTCGGTGACAAGTCAACTCGGTGGACCGATAAGGAAACTTCAAGAGAAAGAGGGGGGAGACAAGGCTATGGTGGCTATGGAGAAATTACAGTCCTAAAACCACATCTTGCGCCCGGACCTGTCGGCTGTCCGAATTTCTTTTGATAATATGACAGGACATCATGCAGCCGCGGACCAGTAATCGAGAGTCCTCCAGTCAGCTTTTAAATCCGGGGAAATGATCGGCATCTTTGCTCACTCCATATGGAAGCTTGTCCAAACACCAGCCAGTTTGAGCAGACCAGTCAGACAAAAGAAAAGGGCCGCACGAATTTTTAGGCGCTTCAGGTAAATTACTGTTTGTTACTGGCTAGCTAGCGTGGATGCAAGCCAGGCAGTGTAAGAGCGCCAGTTACACCAGCTTCAGCCTCTCGTTGGAAATTTCCTACGAGAGGCCTGACCAGCCGATAACCCTGGGACGCAGAAGCTTCGCTGTTCCACTGAAAAACATTCGGTCCGGGGCAGGCAGTGGGGGAAGTAGGGGTTTAAGCCCCTACTTCCCCCACTAGCGCCCACTGAAACGAGACCCTCATAACTTATAGCTGGGTAAGGTCGTTAACATGAATAAATAAATAAATAAAATATCTAGTTAGATGAGTTCTTTATAACTCAGGCTTGTATTGCAATCTAATCGAATTTTCCACTAAACTCAATTTGTTCTAACGTGTAAAAGGTCCGGCACGAGCCGCACCCCGTTTAAGCTTTCTCGCTCGACGCCATGTATAAATCATTGCGGCAGAGAAGCTTCTATTGGGAATCCCACTGGCCGCTGCGAGCCGTGCTTGCTTCATTTGATGAGCTCCATGGCAGGTCGCTGACCGAGGAGCTTCCATCCTTTCTCAGGCTTGAGGGAATAGCTGATCTTGCCAGCACTTTTCTAGGGGTCATATAGGCGCAAACTATATCCAAGTGAATCGGGGCCCTAAGCGATTACTAAGCAGTAATACATCGGAGGTCTGATGTACCAGAATGGCTCAACTACCATATACAACGTATCTAATTTTCTATTTTCATAGTATCTACCTCTTGTCACCATACCTGAATATACTGATTCCATCTTTGATTCCACTGAAAGATGGATTTCAAATCACTTTGGATTCCCCTATTTATAATACTCGTTCTGTATAAATTCATCCTTTATCCAACTTTATTCTCCCCACTACGGAGACTACCGAATGCGCACTACACCAGCCCCTTCTCAAATTTATGGATAAAATGGCAGCGATTTCAAGGCCGAGAAAACAAAGCAACCCATGCTGCTCATGTGAAGTTAGGTCCTATAGTCCGAGTGGGATCAACTGAAATCAGCGTGAATTCACCAGAGCTGGTGAAACAAGTATACTGCGAAGTCCTGGAAAAGGACGAGTGGTATGCTCGGGCTTTCGAGAACTATGGGTATGTACGTCACACTTCATGCATTCACGGGTTATACCATCTAGTGTCAACAGCATAGAAGCTGAAAGTCAGCTTGTCAGAGTGCCAAACATGTTCTCAATGACCAAGAAAGAGTCACATGCAATGCGAAAAAGGGTTCTTGCCGGTCTGTACAGCAAGACCACACTCCATGCGTCGCCCGAGATCCGCGACATCTGCCGCGTTGTTGTCATGGAGCGGCTTCTCCCAATCTTCGAAAAGGCAGCTCAGATGCAGCGGCCCGTTGACGTTCTTGAAGTCAGCGTATCATTTTCCATGGACTTTATCTGTTCATATCTATTCGGGATCTGTAACGGTCCCAATTTCTTGCAGGACGTAGAGACTCGCCGCAAATGGCTGGCATCGCACGCGAAGACAAAGAGATACGGATTCTGGACATTGGAGTTTCCCAATTTGACTGCTCTGTTGGCAAAATTCGGTATCCATCTCGTCCCCAACGTGGCTCTCACGGCAGCTCTTGAAGTGAGAGAGCTCTGCTTGCAATTGCTACGGAATGTCGACTCGTCATCATCTGCAAAGACTTTGCTTCTACCTCCTAAAGGCCCAGGAGACACGCCAGTAGTTTACCAGAGACTGTCGCAGTCTCTCTGTGCATCCGTCCAGGAGGAGATATATAGAGAATTGCCGCCCACCCGTTCCCACCTTGCGGTTGCCTCCGAACTCATGGACCATATCAAAGCTGGTACGGAGACAAGTGGCTGGACGCTAGTTTATCTCCTGTATGAGATGTCGCGGCACCGCGAGATACAACACCTTCTAAGAGAGGAGTTGTCGCTCTTACTCGAACCTGGCACCAGCCTCTGCTTCTCTCGCGAATCGAAGACTCCACAAGCCGCCGAAATCCTCCCGTCTCCACGCACCCTGGACACCTCCCCCCTACTCCAGGCAGTCATTCTCGAAACCCTGCGCTGCTACCCAGCCGTTGCTGGGCCACAGCCACGCGTCAACCACAACACTAGTTTTGCTCTTGCACGCCACATCCACTTGCCCGCCGGAACCCGCGTTAGCGCGCAAGCGTACTCTCTACACCGGAACAGTGAGGTATTTCCCGACCCGGAAAGCTGGAAGCCGAGGCGGTGGTTGGAAGCAACTCCAAGCCAACACGAGGAGATGATGAGGTGGTTTTGGCCCTTTGGCAGCGGCAGCCGGATGTGCATCGGGAATCATTTCGCTATCTTGGGTAAGTCATTATCTATGAAGAAAGCGGTGCATTCCTTTCACATTTGTAATCTAACCCTCTTCCTGTTCTCCCCGTTGCTGCTTATTGGGTTACGTATAGATACATCTATGTGTACATCTACATCGCTCTTACTGCTTGCTAATAAGCGCATTAAACAGAACTGAAACTGGCCGTGGCAGCGATTTACTATAACTATATTACGGAGATCATTGACGATGACGGTATCGAGCCCATCGATGGCTACAGCCATGGACCGACGGGAAATAAATTGATATTGCAATTCAAGAGGGCGTAATAAGAAAAAATCTCGATCTCACACACATTATTTTTATCATTTCTTCTGTTTCGTGCAAATCTACATCATTTTGGAAAATGGATACGATAATGCCGCACTCTTAAAATACCGTCACGTCATCTTGCTCTCAGTTCTTTATATAGCATCTTCAGCAAGTAGAGCACTCTCCAGCGAGACATGTTGCGGTCCAACATAATCTCCTTTGCGCCAGAACCAAAACGCCATAACAAAAATGGAGGACCCGCCTGTGATCAAGCTCGCGTAGTTCATCGTTTCAGCATCAACGGGCAGGGAGAACGGGAAGCAGAAGATGATCACAAAGGCTATTATATATAGAGATGAAACCGTATTGACGAGAAACCCTAGAAACCCTTTCATCCAAAACCAGCCCGGTGTGACGTTCGCCCTCTTAGTCAGTAGGTGCGGGAGGATGGCTGCAAGATACGAAAGAGTAGACAACACGGCAAAGGAGCCAACAAAGGCGCTGAAAGCAGTGGAGCTGCCTACATAGATACAGCCCAGAATTGTACAGATAACGCCACAAAGAATAATCGAATTGAAAGGGTTCCGTTGTTTTCGATCCACCTGGCTGATAAACCTACTGAACGGCGTTGCATTGTCGCGTGCCAAAGTCCACAACACACGGCTGGAGGTCAGATAACACCCGATCACGGCGACAATCGAGGGCAAGAACGCAAGAATTAGAAGACCTAAAGATCCACCCGCCGATCCCGTCGACTGAACATAGATCTCTGTCAGCGGAAACAGATAGGAACTTTTTAGTACAGCATCCAGATCGTTAATGCTATAAAAAAGGGCAATGGCGTAGCAAAGAGCGGTGACGAATCCGAGAACGTATTGCGCCAGAATACCCAGGGGGATATTTCTACCAGGGCGAGGCACTTCTTCGGCCAGATGAGAGATGACGTCCGGCGTGCCCACGGCAAAGGCTCCGTTCAGCATCCCCAGGCAGAAAACAAAACCATTGCTGGCATATCCGGTTTCATTCTGCCAGTCGCGCCAGACAAAGTCATCGGATGCATAAGGCTTGCCATTGACGTGGGGCATGATCGCGCAAACCAGGATGGTGACGAAAACGCCAGCGAGAACCAAGAAGCCGCCTAGCGATTCGATAGTAGGAACCGCTCTATTCGCTAGTGCGACGAGGAGGCAGCACACCCATGTGCATATCAAATAAGCGACGAAAACATGCCATCTCTGAATGTCGAAGTCGGGATGGAAAAGGGCGTACATCGACACGGTTTGGGCTCCCACAATCTGAGCGGTTGAAGCGGCTCCAAAGATCCACGCAATGAAATTCCACCAACCGGCGAACCAGCCACAGACGCGTCCATATCGGCCTGCAGTCACAGACGCCCAGTGATAGACTGCTTTTTCATCAGCTGATGACACAAAACGAGAGGAAGGCCGATAATCAACGGACCTCCGCCAGAAGATGGCATTGCTGACGCCAGCTCGGCAATAGAGGCGGCGATGAACCAGTAGAAGATAGATGTTGCAATTCTAGTTTCATCCAAATCCACCCATCAGCATAACCCATCACTCAAGAACGAGATGGGGAGGAAACGGAAAGGCCGTACAGTTCATAAATAACACCCGGCGGTCCACCATTGTAGATTGCCACGACCTTGGACGGTGTTGGTAAGCATTGCTATTTCTGTGTCCTCTCTCAGGTGCCTCGACATACGATACTCCCACCCAGGGCAATCCAAGTGTTCCCACTCGTGATTCCCAAGCCGCAAATGTTGATGAGCCTGAAGTTGCGCTCGAGCTCTTGAGGATGGCCTGATGGATTGATGAAAGGTTCTCGAGTGCGAGCCTCAGCATCCACGGCGGAGTGCGCATGCTTTTCTTCTACAGCGTCGTTCATGTCGGGAGGTGACTCGCTGGACATTTATTGCCGCCTGTGACCGTGAAAGCAGTCAATGGCCCTTTGATCGTTGAAGGAACTCGCGAAGCGGAATCAATAGAGAAGAAGTCATACCGTAAGTCACAATGGGTGATTTCTGATTTCCCCAGCCGCGTGGCAGACTGCCAATCTTCGACCACGCTTATTGAGCTAGACACCCGGCGTTGTCTCCTTGTTTGGAATAGCTAGCCCATGGTTTTCTTCCTGCATACAACTCGAAGTGGCCACATGGTGACTATGCCTCTTTTGGGTGTCATGTGACAAAAATTGCTCAGACCTGGATAGACCCGCTTCGTTGTATTCTCCTTCTCTAACTGAAAAATTATTAGCACGGCGTACGCCGTAGTTGAGTGGTTAAAATCATGAATCCTCCTACTCTGTAGTGTATGTGGCGTTCCATCCGCCGTACTTGCAGGATTTCGTTCCCGAAGTCTAAATGGACTCCGCAAAAGGGGTTGGTCAAATCGGGGAACTCCCAGGTCCGTCCCGTCCCGTGTCAAGCGGCACAGTTCCTGCTCAGCCAAGAATTGTAAAATGAAGCGTCTCCCAGAGTATCTTCAAATGTCGATCGCGAAAGGCTAGGCTACAAAAGAAAATTACGTTGCGGGTACGGTCCTGTATTAAAAGATAACGCGAACTGGATAATGGGTACAATTCCGGTACTCGTGCGGGACAGTTGGGCTTATCTACAAATGGAGCTCGATATCCTTAGTTGGTGTGCTAGGATCTGTAACCTGGTGTGCCTTAGATGAGGCACAATTGACTAGGGTGAATGTTGGCTTCCATTGTACCCAGTGCAATTTTTCCAAACTCCAACACACCCTTTTCGCTTGCAGTGATGGGACTTAATATTCGTACTCCAGGAAATCTTTCTTACAGTGCATTCTCCATAACGAATACCGCTATGTAAGCATGTCTACTTCAGCGAGCTTCAACCGAGAATTCCGAACCGAAACATGGACACTCTACGGGGTGGGGGTATTTCTTACAATGCTTCGACTGTATGTTAAGTAGTTTGAAGTTTCTGCAGAGCGTTACTGACATGATCTCTATCGAAAGGGTTGCGCAAACTCGTAAGCTCGGTATAAACGGCCTGCGCGCTGATGACTGGGTCGTCACGACGGCTATTCTGTGGTATACGCTTCTAGTCGTATCGCTCAACCAGGTCGTATTCGGTGGAGGTTCGAATTACATGACCCCAGAGGAGATCGCCGGGTTGACCCCAGAGACTCGGCTGGCTCGAACCATTGCTAGCAAGTGGGTGCTGGTATCAGAAGAGATGATGATACTCTCTGTCTGGACTTGCAAACTCTGCATGCTCTTCATATATCGGCGCCTGACGTAAGTGCATCTCTCCTCCCGAGAACCATGAGAAAAGTGCACATCGGTATTACTTACTGACGGTACTAACCAGGCAAGGCTTGCACCAAATGGTCATCATCAATGTCATTTTTGCCTACGTTGCTGTAGGGTTCGTCGCTACTCAGATCGCCTTGTTCGCCGAGTGTCGGCCCTTTTCAGGATATTGGTCCGTTCCCGCCATATCTGGTAACTAGCACCTCCAAATTCTGATGACAAACAATGAACTCATATGTCCATAGACCAATGCTGGTCATATTACAGTTTCGAGATTGTCGTTGCTACCTTCAACATCAGTTCTGATGTGGCCGTCCTCGTCATCGCCATTCCCCTCATCATCAACCTTCATGTTCCCATCCAGCAAAAAGCCATCCTCTGTATTGTTTTCGGTATGGGTTTCTTCGTCATTGCTGCCGCCATCCTGACCAAAGTTTTCTCCCTCGATCCCAATCTCGTATCTTATTCGTATCTCAACTGGTACTTTCGCGAAGCTTCGGTGTCATTATATGTCGTTAATCTTCCCTTGTTGTGGGCCCTATTCCGCGACATATTTCCCTCTGCTAGGACATGGGGATATGCGCGAACGACGGGGGATAGCACCAGACCGTCGAACAACAATAACCTCATGAGCTCAGGGACCCAGAGTAAAAACGATGTGCCTTTATCCAACCTAGAGAGTTATACGGACGAAGAACTGGATACGTACTCTGCCCATCACAGCGAGGAACGTATCATTCCGCTATACAGAAGTAAAAAAACGAATTTAAATACGACCGCTGAATGCAGTCATCACTCATCTGGTTGAGTCAGCTCGGTTTTTGTCTTTCGAAACACAGCACGGACAATAACAGCTTTTTGCTGTCAAAGTTACTGAGCAATATTCTCATAACAACGCGGTCAGCACTATCAGATCACTGCACTTCAGGAGGGTTGTCCAATCACCGGTGCGTGCTTCCACCACCATGAAGAGAAGCAAATAGCCATTAGGCAGTGGTCAAGTTGCTAGCGGACTGGCAGGATGCTAAAAGAAAATCAAATTTATTTTCTATGCTTTGATTATAATATAATTCAAAAAGCCCTCCCAGTATATAATATTTTCATATAACGCAGATTACTACATAACATTTACGTTACGGGCTAACCCCGATTGTATGCTTCAAGAGCAGATTACATACAAAAGAATTCGATATGAAGGGAAAGAAATCAAACGAACTTCTCTACCCGCTCCAAAGCTCCCTTTTTGTATGCTCCTCGCAACAGATACTCTTGGATCTTCATTTCTTTATCGCCATATATGACATTTGAAGTTTTATCACAGATTCTCCATTCTTAAGCCACGTCCTATTATGTGTTCGACAACCACTGAATCTTCTAGTTCAGTGTTTGCTGTTCTACACGTGACTGAAGGCGTTAGGCAAACATATATGCCGACTTTGGCTGCCTGATTCCCTCAAAGCATTTCAACATCCCAACATGACGGACTCTCCCAGCGGTGTTCCTTTCACACTACAAAATCTTTGAGAAGGAGACCAATATATCAAAAAAGACAAAATATTATTGCCCTGTCCGCCATCCGTCGATGTACTAAGCCTCCCCCCTGACGAGCAGGTAATTTCTGTCCTCAGCAAACAAGGGGGCCGACTTGTCCTTGAGTATGACCTCTCCTATATAACCAAGTCCGGGCACGGAGTAACACCTACTGAGGCTGAAGCGATGAGACTTGTATTCCGACACAACTCTGTTCCCGTGCCTGAAATATTGTTGAAAGATTTTAGTCCTGAGGATGGTGTGATTCATATGACAATAATTCCTGGGGCTCCCCTAGAAGGGAAGTGAGACACGCTAGAGGATAAAAGCAAAGCGTCTATTTGTCTTCAAGTCTAGGGTTTCATTTCCAAGCTACGGGATATTCCTCCACCGCAAGAGCTGAATGGTCTTTTTCAGTGTGCCGCCGATGGCTCACTGACAAGAGACCCATTGCTTCAGGATCTAAAAGAGCCCGGTCGGCCTCTAATGAACGATTCGGAATTGCGAGCTCGGATTTACGAACGCTATATCCATTTCGGTGGTCGGCGGTTTGAACATTAGTTGCCAGATATGTTACCGCAGTCTGATAGCTGCGTGTTCACACACGCTGATATAGCACCGCGAAATATCATGGCTGATGAGAACAACGAAGTCACAGGTATTCTCGACTAGGAGTATGCACAGATAATGAGGCTTGCTTTTTGGGGAGACTGGGCAGTGTGGATGGATCGGACGGCACCACACAGGTGGGATATCAGTGGGGTCAATGCTGCTAGACGGGTGTTGTTCTGATATCGGGGCTCTACTGGGAGAAGCTGAGGGATGGTTTATATAGCTAGGTACCGTTGTGCAAAATAGATCAAGGCACAATACACATGAAGAAAGATCAAGCCCTGGAGAAGTTAGGGCTCGAGAAGTAATGTGATGTGCCCGTAACAAGATTGTCAGCCAGCCTCTGATTGGCTGGAATGGTGCTTAGCAACACGGTGGCCCGTGCGCCGGGTGTATTTACTTTGCCTGCTCGACACTATTGCTGCTGTTTGAGACAGCATGGAGCAGGTAGTTAAAGGCTATCTTGGGCTTCTAAATATTCAAAATGAAGCTGTTAACGTCGCGATCCGTGATGTTCCTTGCATTATTCCTGTTGCCTGTCTTGGGTTCTGCTGATAGCGATTCGGGCAGCCAGCAACAATATCAACACAATGCTGTTGGAGTGCGAAAGATGACAGATGAGGAGGGCGAGAAATTTTATTTCGACTATTGGGACTTTGGTGGTTTGCCTGGATCGTCTTCTGCCGTCAATGATAGCTCTCTCGTAGGCAGGCAGCTCGACACGCAGGATCAAATACCAGAGCTGCGACCTGCTTTAGCACTGCATGGAAGAAACGTGTCTGACAGTTTCCATCTTCCTGAAAAGTTTTCTGGTCCTGCACGACGTGCTCTGTTCATTCTCCTTGGAAGGGATTTTAAATGTCCCACTGGAACATCCAGCTGCGCTTCGATCGGCCAGCCAGATAGCTGCTGTAGCGATAGCGATACATGCGAGCTGGTGCAGGATACCGGGCTGGGCGTTGTTGGCTGCTGCCCAGAAGGCGAAGCATGTGGTGGAACTTTGAGTTCGTGTGCGCAGGGTTATGCAAGTTGCTCAAGCAGCCTTGGTGGAGGCTGTTGTATCCCGGGCTATAAATGCGTGACTGGTGGATGTGAGGCCTCCTTTGTAAAGTATTCAATACCCAACTGACTAGTCTTAGGTGTTTTTGTGTCGACATATACTATTACACAGCAATCGACTACTTTCGTGGCGTCGTCTACCATCTCGACTGTATCGGTGGAACCAATTACGAGCTTCACAACTACTTCTTCCTCCTCTTCATCCTCATCAACGTCAACATCTTCATCAACATCAACATCAACATCAACCTCTACAACAGTAGCTCCTGTACCTCCTGTTAGACCTACTACTGATTCTCAAACCACCATAACCTCTGCCCCTTCTACCACCTCCAGCTCAGTTTCTACCGGAGCTTCAGTCTGCCCGACTGGATTTTATGCCTGCTCTGCCGTCTACGAAGGCGGATGCTGCCGTACGGGAAGAGACTGTGATACAACATCCTGCCCAATAACGTCGTCAACCACGATCATCAATACCGACGGCGTCACCATCGCCGTTCCCACCGGCAGCGCAGCGACAACGGCGTCCGCCGGTTCCTGTGCCACCGGGTGGTTCAGCTGCGCTGCTTCTGCCGGCGGCGGCTGCTGTCCCAGCGGATTCGCCTGCGGTGCCAGCTGCACAGCGACGGCATCTGGGACAGCCACAGGGACGGTGGGGAAAACCCAGCCTGGTGTGGGTGGGAGGAATTCTGCGAATATGTACATTTGCGGGCTGGCGGTGTTGTGCGCGTTGTTACTTCAGGGTTGATATGATGTATTCCGACGTTTGGCGATTAGATAGCTTTGTATATACATTTGAAATGATAATGATAGAGAAATTTGCCTAACTATGAGTAAATAATACCGTTTTCAACATCTAATCACAAATAATAGACAAAGAGAAAATAAAACATCTAACTCCCCGTGGGGGACACCGGAGCTGGTGGGGCGCCGCGCGATGACTTCTTCCGGCTTGGCGCGCCTCGGTGAGCCTGGTCAATCGGAGTTTCTCTCCACAGCTAATTGACTCTTCTGCGATTATCGTGCTATCTCTTCCTCCGCTCCCCTCTTCCTCCTCTGCAGACTCTTTTCTCCTCACGCCTGCCCTGCCTGCCCTTCTGTCAATCTGGTCCCTCTTGCGCCGGTCAGCACTCAGTCTCAACTCCCAAGTAAGTGCAGTATTGCACACCCTTCCCACTGCCTTCCCCAGGCTCGAGCTAACCAGCTGTGCGGCAGATAGCCGATTTTTCGGGTAACGACCGCTCGCAACCATGACGACCGAAAAGCCCTTGCCATTCGTTTACCAATTCGCCGCCGGCGCCGTCGCCGGTGTGTCTGAAGTGAGTGTATTCGCATATATATATAAAACAGATGAATTGCGCGGCTGACACTGGTCAATTTAGATTCTTGTCATGTACTTACTTCCTTCCCTCTGTCACCTCTTAACGACTATCGCTTCGGAATCCGATCAACTAACGCAGCTGATATCACCCTAGGTATCCATTGGATGTTGTCAAGACGAGAATGTAAATACCGCTCTTGGCCAATTGGACTGTGTACAAGCTAACTCTATCCAGGCAGCTTCAATCTGGTGCTGGCACCGGTGAAGAGGTATACAAGAGCATGTTTGACTGCTTTGCCAAGATTATTCGCAACGAAGGGTACCTCACTCTCCTTCTTTCTCAACTTCTTTATCTTACTAATAAATTTTTCAGTGCCTCCCGTCTCTACCGCGGTATCACGGCGCCAATCCTGATGGAAGCGCCCAAGCGTGCCACCAAGTTCGCCGCCAATGACAGCTGGGGCGCGTTCTACCGCAACCTCTTCGGCATCGAGAAGACAAACCAGCCGCTTGCTATCCTCACTGGCGCCACCGCCGGCGCCACAGAAGCCTTTGTCGTCGTACCATTCGAGCTCGTCAAGATCCGACTACAGGACAAGGCACAGGCACACAAGTACAACGGGATGATCGACGTAGTCAGCAAGATCGTGAAGCAAGAAGGGCCGTTGGCACTATACAACGGGCTGGAATCAACTCTCTGGCGCCACATTCTCTGGAACGCCGGTTACTTTGGCTGCATTTTCCAAGTCCGCGCAAACCTACCCGCGGCCGAACCCGACAACAAGAGCCAGAAGGTCATGAACGACTTGCTCGCCGGCGCCATCGGCGGTACTGCCGGCACAATCCTCAATACCCCCATGGATGTCGTCAAGTCGCGCATCCAGAACAGCCCCAAGGTCGCCGGTACCGTGCCAAAGTATAACTGGGCCTGGCCCGCTGTTGCAACGGTTGCGCGCGAGGAAGGCTTCGGCGCCTTGTACAAGGGTTTCCTGCCCAAGGTGCTCCGATTGGGTCCTGGAGGTGGTATCCTCCTCGTCGTGTTCACCGGTGTGATGGACTTTTTCCGTACCTGGCGAGGGGAGTAATTGTGACGAAAACTGAAAAAAAAAAATAAAAAATAAAACCAAACAAAATCAAAATCAAATTAGAAGTACTGCACGACCGGATCGATACCCTTGACTTGAATAGAGGCTAGCTAACAGAAACTGCCCGCCCATACGAGCTCGAATCTCGATTTACCAGCATTAAGAATGTATATTACATACACCAAGCAAAGCATTTCTTCCTACGAGACTATTCAAATGTTATTTCTATTTCCTGTGTCCTCTTTTACCTCCATAGAAACATTTCACTTGAAGCTTTTATTACATATGGAAAGTGCCCAATCAACATGGGACGTACATGTACGTTTCATGTCTGATCCAGTTATTACCATTAGCCGTATATGCTTGTATTATATGTGTAGTTGTAATAATTAAAATATTTAAATTGATATGACGAACAAGAGCATAAAAAGGCGTGATGTCCAGGCGGTCTAAGGAGCTGCGTCTGGGCCTTGAGTCTAAGTCAACCTCTTCTTTTGTTGTCTACTTGGGCTGCAAACGGTCATTAAACATGATTTAATAAATAGCATCTGAATTGAATTAACATAGTATCAAAAAGTAGAGTTATTAAACAATGAATAGAGTGAAAAAAGCCGTCAACATCACATGCAAACGTGAGCTAGACTAAAAAGTTGAATAACGATGATAAAAAGGGCGAGGTCGAGAATAAAACATGTCCAAAATGAGAAAACCAAAACATGGACCTCTTGGGGGTATCGATAGACTAGCAGATGAGATGATAAAAGAAAGAAAAAATAATCAAACAAATACGCGCCAGACGGTCTTGAGGAGTGGCAACATGCGAGTGCGTGCAGTTATAATAACTGCATCACACATCAAAAGCAAAGGCGAAAACCATCAAAACATGCAACATATACACGCAATAGTCAATAGATCTGAATCATGTAAAAGCCAATAACAAACAACTGCCAACCAATGCAAATCTCGAATGCGTCGAAATCAACCAGTGTACGCCCGATTCCGTGCCTCTCTTGACGCCGCATATGCAACCTGTCTCTCGTTCATTATGTATGGGAATTCGTAGTGAAGCGCCGTGTCTAGATGTCCATAGCATACTCGTCTTCTTCCTTAAAAATGCCACCAGTCCCACCGGAGCTGCCCCAGAACTGAGGTTGTCCTGCACCCCCGCTGTTGGCTCCACTGCCACCGCTGTTGAAGGCGGGGCTCAGACTCTGTGGGCTGAGAGCCCCATTTTGAACAGCATCTCCGGCAAGATTCGTGTGCTTGGGCACTCGCAGTCCGCTTCCAGGAGCACGGCTGTAGTTGAAACTGTTCGGGTCATTCTTGTCCATGGCATCGAGCAGCTCGGTACGCATGCGCTTCTCGTCCTCGGTTTGTTCAAAAGGCCAGGTTCCCCCAAGGCTGGAAATCAGTTCCGCCAATTCGGCCTCTTGCTGCATTTTGACATGCAGAGCCCACATGAGGTCTCTCATCCAGCCTACAGCACCATTCAAAATATCACCTTTGTTGGGGCCTTTCTCCTTCTCGTCAATGGGAAGGCCCATGGTGATGTTACCGGCAGTTGCTCGACGACCGTTTCCACCAGCTAAGAGTGAAGTGGCATTGGGTGGACTCATACTAGTACCATGCGGGGAGAGGGACGAGTTATTGAGGAGCTGTTTGCGAATCTTGTCATCTTCCAAGCGGTGTTGAGGCACAAGGTGGGAAAGATCCTGGATCCGCTCATTGATGTTATCGCGACGTCGGCGCTCCACCATGTTGTGGGAAGCCCTACGTCGTCGGCGTTTAGCTTCTTGCGATTCAAGTGCTTGGGCGCTCTGTGAATCAACCTTGGCTGGCAGCGAGGCATGCTTGCCGGATTTCAGAACCTCGGATAAATTGGCATGGTGGGACTGTTGGTTGGGAGACGCCACAGGCGACTCGATAAACGACTGCGCACTTCCAGGTGTTCCGTCCCATTGGTTTGACAATGTCTTCTGGTGGCGATGCTGAAGGTTTCCTGCGCGGATAGGCTGGGATGGAAAGCTACCCGATTCCGGGGTGCCTAAGTTCAAGGCACCAATTGCCGGTGTCTTCGGGGTCATCGGCGTTCGCACATCAGACGAAGAGCGATCCATAGTCTGCAGGCTTGGTCGAGTCTTGCCGTTCATGAAATTCTGGTCGAAATGGCTAGGCGCATTCAAATGCGATGGCGTACTCTGGGAGTGTTGGTTCATAGGCTGAAATTGGTCAAAATTGTTGAAACTGCCTTGAAGAAACGGGCTGTGCATCGGGGCACCATCGGGTGTGTGGGAGTACATCTGGGTCATCTGGCTCTGGTGGCTCATCGATAGTCCTTGATTTTGGCGTTGATCCTGGATGAAGCCCATTCCATCGGAACGCTGTATTCCATTCTGACCATTCAGGTCGAGGTCGAGGAGTTCATCTGTGTCGATGCCAGAATTTCCCATGTTGTAGCCAGCAGATAAACCTTGCTGAGAGCCGAAAGAATACGGCATGAACATGCCATTCTGCATTGTTAGGTCTGAAGGGTCGACGGCATCGTTGCCATTATGGTTGCCAAAATGAGAATCAAACTGTTGGTTGGCCATAGTGTATCCAGAATGAGACATTGCGATCTGGAGGCGATAGTTGTTGAAATGGTAAAATCTCTTAGTTGATGGAAAATATGTGCTCTAAAGGAGACCGGCCTCTACCATGGAAAAGTAATGGATCGAGGGCCAGGTCTCTGCGCAAAGATGGTCTATCGTTGACGATAGAATAGATCACGAAGGACGTGATCGCAGATGATGGTTCGAGCCGGAAAAATAACTGATTTTATAATAAGCATTCATTCAGACTGCTTAATCAACTGATAGATTTCGTGGTGAGAGATGGCAGACCTAATAAAGGGAATCCGATCAGCGGGGGCACAGCACAAGGCGCAACACCACGAAACTAGAGCCAAGGAGAATCGGGAGGGCGAATTAACGAACCTCTCTGAGTATGAGTCGGTGAAATTGTTAGATAGGCTGGTGCTTGATAGAGAGCCACTAATTGCTGACGTGGTGGCAATGATTCAGACGGGTCGGTCACCGAGGGCGGTGAATGGATAATTAGGTGGTGGAATTGACTGGGGACAATTCAGTCGAGGGTTGGATACTCTAGGAACAGCTTGTGAGGACAAGTTCAATCTCGTTCACAGACAGAAAGAAGATGGACGAGGCGGTGGGGAGGGACAAGGGATAGATAGAGGCGGGATGCGCGGCAAAGCAAAAGGATGCAGCGGTTAGGCGCACGGCAGAATTTCCGGGGGGTGGGAAAAGAGGGGTGGCAACAGTTCGTACAGGTCAATCAACGTGGTTTGAGGGTCTGTACAGGAAGCCTCAGGCTCTTTGTCTCGCGCGAGATTTATAAGGATGAAGCAGGGCAAAACACGGCGCAAAGCAGCAGAGACGGACGGAAGCGCAGGAAGAAGCAGTGCAAAGACAGCAAGAAATGCAGGAATGGATGGGGGAGCAGGACGAGGCAGGAGCGGCCGAGCGAGACGGCGCAGGGGCCCGGGGAATGATGGGAAATTGCTTGGGGGAGCCTGAGGCAAGCGAGGGCGGTGAGGGGTGCCGAGGGCCCGGTCGGGCAAGGCGTCCCCAGGCGATTCACCGCCTGAACTTGACAACAACAGACACAAAGACTCTTCGATAACAAACAGCGTGTTCTACATATATATGTGTATATATATGTATGTGTGTAGGTGTATATATCTATACACACAAGGGCAACTCGTGATGGGCAGAGACAAACCTACCGGAATATATGCCGAGTCCTATCAACCACCCGAGGATTGATCGACCGCAGACTGATACTGTAGAGCCACGTTAGTGAATGGACATGGCGCTTGGAAGTGCAAGAGGTAGGTACCCGTCAAAAGGAATCACAAGTCGATGTCCAAGCCAGATCGTAGCCACGTGGCGGCGAATCAGTAGGCAGAGGCAGTGGAGGAGAAGATGTTTGTTTCTCGGGAGATGGGAGTGAATGGATGCAGGATGAAGGGCTGGAGGAATGGTATTATTAGTCCAGCTGGCGCACAAGTACCCACCAGCCCGCAAGCTGCAGGGCTATCACAACGACGCAAGGTACCCGCGACGAAGAAAGGGCCAGGTGGAGAGCAGAGCAGCAAAGCTTACCACGACGCTTGAGCAGTTGGGATGGAGAGATCGGGCTTGACGGAGCAAGATATAGCAGTTTGCGAATACAGAGCGAACACGTAGTTAGGGGAATCTCTTCTGCAAGGTCCGGGTCCGAGAGGGCAGCGCGTCCGCTTTTAAAGGCGCCAGCCTGGGTTGTGGTCCTGCAGCTCTCATTTGATACTATGACATCGAGGTCATGCAGGGCGTCGATCGTGCGCTACGGGAACAAGGCTTTAATTCTGCCGGCTTCTTACAGGACGGGCTGTGGTCCGCTTACGTCGTATACTGGGTTATCCGGTTTGTACTTGACTCCAGGAGGGGAGCCACAGAGGCAGAGGTACCGTAGGGAAAAGGTCGTGATGCCAGGGCGAGGAAGAGGAGGGGGGTGGGTAGGTTGTACAGCCCGATTGTATTGCTCATCTCACCGGGCAGCATCCCATGAACAAGAATCTTGATCATCGACGGGATGCTAAACTGGGAAAGAATGACTCACGCGGAGGCGCAATCGCGTTAGGGTAGGGCAGACAGGTGTAGAATGTATCAGATGGCCCGGCCAAGCTGGGCACACATAGCTGAGGGTGACCAGGCAGCGTGAGGGACGAACGCCTGGGACAGTGGACCAGCCAGAAGATGGTGGGCAGACCACCGGAAGAGTATGCACCTTTTTTTCGATTGCTTTCCATCTTCCATTATTTTCCTTTTCCCATTTCTTTGTGGTGCTCTGGATGATGTTGGTGGCTAATTGCTTAGTAGTGAGACTAGCTAGGCAGAGATGGGCGAGATGGGAGGGGTGGGGTGGGACTGATGGAAGAGGAGGAATACTAGAATAGAAATACTGGTGCTAGTACGCAGTCTAGTACGTAGGCCGGAGCGAGTCACTCGCTAATCTGGTAATCAGTTGGTAAAGTGCGCGGTGTTGACTAGTGGTCGTGGTGTAGGCTGTAACCAAGTCGTATTCCGCGTATGGATGAATCGTAAGCAGCTTACGAGGGGTAAACAGGAGCTTGGACACGACTAGCCATGGCGGTCAAAGCCAGCCTCCCACTGCAGCGGGCGCTTTGCTGAGTCTGTCTCGATCTAACACATGGGCCTCTGTGGCACCTGCAGGAAGGCTGCCAATGCATCATTGATCCTGCGAGGAGACGAGAATTATTCGTTATTATTGAGTTACGGTGGTCCAAGTTGGCGTTGGCGTTGACGCCGGCTCTAATATCCATCGTATAGTGTCTATGTATTAACTATCATATCGGCTATAAAACCACCACAAGTCGAGTCGAGATTGACTCTCATGCCAAGGCGTTCTACTGCGGCTACGCCGGGTCGTGAGTCTTGAAGCTGTGCCAGGCAGCACGAATAATTATTAATGGCAACGTGCAGGCATCCGGCACGATCCGTTTTCATTGCTCGGGTAATTAATGGAATGCGCCGTACAGATGACGGGCTGCCTGGACAGTTTTCTTTTGATTTTGAGTCGCGGCAGACTGTAGAAGAGGGAGCAGTGGTGTATCGAATTGATGCACTACATCTGAATCCCAGCATATCGACGGTACCGATAGAGGTATCAACAGGACGACGAACGAGACGCGTTGACAGAGGATCGCATGTATAGTTGCGGAAGGCAGATTTGTCGAACCAGGGATACGCTGCCCGTCCCGTCAAGGTTCGGCCGGCAGAGTGGGGTAGGTGGGGAGCTTTACTGTGGACTACTGTACTAGTTAACTACCTACTGCGTACTGATATGAGGATATGAGTGCTGATAGATAGTCGATACTACCGATCATATTGGAGTGGTCTAAGTATGCCCCCAGTACTGCCTACATCTAGTAGAATAACGTCGGGCTTGCTGCCCAAGCCACTAGTCGGCTGGCAAACTTGGCTGCGACGGTGCACAGCGCGTTTTAATGACGTCTTGCGTGCAACCACCGGAGCTGTTCCACTGCGGTTGTCTGGACTGGGCGTGCTGCGGCGGTTGCATTGATAACGGTCGCCGGTCCTACTCTGAATAATGCCGACTCCTCTTCTGGTGGATGGCGTCGCGATCATTTCGCTCAACTTTCAAGAGCCCATGCTAACGGCGTAGTCATGCATGTACACGGGCCAATCAGCGTGCATGGGCTGTAACAGGCCGGCCAGTGGCAATGCTCTTGCTGGGGCGGCCATGAGATGCAGCCAACCACATCCGACATCGTCCATACATTAATTAGTAGCATGGACTAAACGGATCGCCATGATAGGATGTCGCAACGATAGTATGTCGCAACGATAGTAGCGAATCTAAAGGATTAAGCACGGAACTAACCGGGCCTGCTGCCAGTCTTTCAGATCGTCGCAGCGGATCAATAATTATACAACTCCATCAGTCTCTAAGAGCTCTTGCTAATGTCCTAAAATCAAGACATCCGCGTATCCACGGATTTGTCAAGGCACTGGCCGCCTCGTGATTGGCCCTCCGTTGCCCCCACACACACTATCTACATCGTACACACTGCACAACAACCAGTGCAAGTACAGGCTACAGAATACAAAATACAGTGACTGTATTCTTTATGTATTCAAGACCACGGCATCGCACTAGCTGCTGCTGCCTGGCACATCATAACAAGCCTTGATAATCGTACAGGGTACTACTCCATAGCACAATAATAATAGCAATCGTATACATGGCGCATCAGCCGCCGCACACTAGCCAATCAGGCGCGCCGCATGACCGCCGGCTGAGCCACACGCCAGGCTAGGCCGGATCGGGCGGTCCCTTGACCTCCTGCGTTACCAACCAATTAGCTATGCTCCACCCCTCCAGAAGCTTCACCAGCACCTTCACACCTTCCTTCCACACCCTCATCGCGTCGACTGACTCTGGTGTCTGCTCCCTCCTCATCGCTCCTCTGTCCGCATCCTCCCTCTTCCGCCGTGTTCAGGCCTTGCTCAGTCTCCCCGCTAGCCCTGAGACACCCGCGTCGCCTCGCCTCGCCTCGCCCCGACTACATTCTCTCTGGCTTTCGCTCGACGAAGAGCATAGCAGAGCATACTGGAAGTTAGCTAACAACCCAGTCATCTGATACTCGGCTATATACTCGACCTCTGAGTCTCGACACAGTAGATATCTGTCTATCTTATCTGCAGTCCCCGGTTCGGTCTGGCCTTCCCACTTGCGACTGGCCCATCCTGCGCTGCCTGCGACACCTCCATTCTTCACCTCCGTCCCCGCCTTGGTCCAACGTCTTTGCTTTCCATTCCACTTCGGCTTACGCTCTGCCGCCGATCGGCCCGTTCGGCTCATTTCCAGCTGTCGTACACTGTGCTACTGCGCCACCCTGGGAGCGATCATCCATTCGTTACCCACCTCTCCGCTTCGATCCCTCCTTTAGACATTTATCTACATCTAGCATAGCTCGCCCTTGTTGAGAAAGAAAATCAGCCTAAGAGGAGTCAAACCTGCTTTGCGACTGGACGGCCGACCATATTATTCCTTTGCCGCTGTCACCTGCCCTACCTCACCCCAAAGGCCGCGCTAATAATACGGACTACCTTGAACAGTCATCTGCATGAAAACACCAAACTCTTGGCTTCCACCCTCCTCTAAACGCCGAGCCATTGCTGCTCTATCCCTCATTGGGTAGTGCTTGCCGTTTGTCGAAGTAGAATAGCCGGATATCTGATTCGATACCATCGCAGAACAGCAGAGACAGCATTCAACATCAACCACTCACAGACATGGCTTCGACCTCGTTCCGCGAAAGCATGAATTCTCTGGGCTGGTCCCGACGAGATCCCGATCTTCCAGCTCGAACGGACTCCTCGTCAACGACACCCATTCTGTCCAGGTTGACCTCCCTGAACCCGTTTGGTAGAGGAGAGGGATACCTGCGACTTCCCACCCATGAAGCTCCTGGGGCACCGTTACCTGCTCCATCAAGACGAGAGGAAGAGGAGAGTTTCTTTGCCTGTAAGTCTCGACATATTTTATCAGATACTTTATACCTTCCCCACATGCTTTCTATATCTCGCACCCCGTGACCTTGTCTGTTGAGCCGTGTCGACCCACTCTTTGGCAGTCTGCAAGACCGGGTGATAGAAGGCCCAGTTCCTGCATCTCCCCGGGTGCACGCGCATTAGGGATATAGCCTTTTGTACATTCTCCAACAAGATTCTTGTTACAATACTGATCGTCCTCACCATACAGTGAGCCGTTGGGACCGCATGCTCATCTTCGCCGGATGTAACCTTGGAGCAGCTGTTTGTTTTCTACTCTGCTTCGTTCTATGGCCAGCCTTGACTCTGAAGCCACGGAAATTCGCTATCTTGTAAGTTCACTGCCACCTACACGAACCACATCTTAGTCAAACGCCAGTCTTACTGCATAAAACCGGAACATTGATGTCATCCACCCTACTTCATGGGCTTGACATGTGAATGTGACAGCACTACCAATGTCTTGGTCACCACATGTGGCTGATGCATCAAGGTGTATGCACTAGCCAATCGCTTTTCTAGGATAATGTCGCGGCAATTTTTTGAGACCATGCACTGCGTCATAATTCTTCGAGCACTACACAACTATTATTGATATGCTTGCTAATGGATTTTTCTAGGTGGTCGGTGGGATCTGTTCTGTTTTTGACGTCATGGGCAGTCCTTATGGGACCATTAACTTATACTCGACACCTTCTTTCCGGGCCGCGTCTCCCATTCACTGCAGCCTACTTTGGATCTATTGCGCTGACATTATACTTTGCTGTTGGGGTGCGTATGATAATTCTTTCTTCTATCTCTTCTTTTTCAGATTGCTCAAATTCCTTGCTACGACCACGTGGGTTGTACCACATCAGCTGTGCTCGTCGTGCCATGAATTTGACCCGGGACCACCTGACTCCGCCCTTCGCCCTAGCATTTCCAATCCACCCTCCCAACCGCCATTCCATATTCCAGACTCGTCTTGCTGCATCCAATTTCTAATCCTCCCCTTTCCTTGTCTTATTCGTTTGACTATCCTACGTTGTGTATTGGATACTGACAGTCTCCCTCCTCGCAGCTCCATCAGAGTCTTCTCACCTTGATCGCTGCCATCTTCCAACTTGTCGCCCTCCTCTGGTACTTGGTCAGCTATTTCCCAATGGGCAGCACCGGCCTGCAATTCATGGGCCGATTTGGCGTGCAACGCGTCACTGCCTGGGTGAGTGGTTGAGTCCGAAATACTGCATTCTAACAACTACTCATACTTGTTCTTCATCCTCACTTGCGTCATTTCGAGAATTGATTTGTGTACTATATCCTCTAGCTGTAAACGTATATAACATTGTTAATAGACGTTCTCCCTTTTCTCGATCCTCGTGCAAACGAGTGGCTGGTTGATGTAATAATACGGACTAAAGCGTTGCACCAGGTGTCCTTAGGTTAATGCTACGTAGTAAACTTATTATCATAAATCGTTGAATGGGCCATCAACCCGGCTTACACCATGCCACATTCCATAGCGACTCCTTTTCTTCACTTAAAACATTCCTTTTGGATAGCCCCTATCTACCCCTCATCATGACCGGTACAATTGACCCCTCCAATACCTTCACTCCCGGAATCTCGGCCTCCCACAATCCAGTATCCGACCCCGTCCCATCCTCTAACCATTGCTGAAGCATGTCGTTGCTTTGCTTTGGTTTGATTTCCGGTCTTGCCGTGCCGACAGTGATATGTGGTACGGCGTTGACACAGGGCCAAGATTGCGCGTCCCGTCCGTCTTCCGCGTCCACCGGTAAAAGGCGTACGACAAAGGCCATGATCTGGTCGTTCCAGATCAGCCGCTCGACGCGGACTCGAGCCTCGGCCAAGTTAGGCGTGGTTGTGGGATCGCCGGGGTCGCGTTCGTTCATGCGTTGGATGTAGAGGTCTGTGTATTGCTTCCAGACATCGGGGTGCTGTTGGTTGAGGGAACGGTGCATTAGTGTGACGTGGAATCCGGGTTGGATGCGTCGGGCGTTGATGAGGTGGTTGTATAGTTTGGCACGTTCGGGTGGGCCGCCTTTGGGAAATATTGAGGAGAGGAGCTCCTGGATTGCGGTACCTCGAACGGTGATTCCGATGTATTCGATGTTCTTGACTAGGATAGTTGGATCTTGGATATGGAATCTAGTGTTGATGCCTTTGTCTTTGTTTTTCTTGTCTTGTTTTTCGTTCTTCTTGTAGCCCCAGCTGAGATCTTTGTCGACGTGGTATTCGTTGAGCGCGGCTTCAATGGCTCCGTCGAGTTCTTCGCCACTGGGTAATCGCTCGATAAGTCCTGGGTAGAGAGCGTGTAGACGGGTGACGACTTTTTCTAGGTTTTCACGAGAAGATGCTCCAACATCCAAGTCGATGACTTCGTCGAAGTGCGTATCAGGATCTCGATCTCTATCGATTGCCTCGAATCGATTCACAAAGCCCTCCATGATTCCAATAATCGTCTTTGTGTCTTGGGTTCCAGCACGAATAGTCTGATGGTTGTCACCCCGTGATAGCACGCGCTCTCTCGTAACCCGCCGAATGTCATCTAACAGGAAACCCTTTGGTTCGTGGACGTATTGGAGTGCTACATATTTGGCATCCGAGAAAACGGCCGTTACGTCCTCTATTAACTGCTGTCTTTCACGTTTCAAGTGATTGTTGCGGTCTGCAATGACGGCTGGATTCAGGGCAAGCGCATTCGTAACATCGAGTGCAAACTGCCTTGGTTTGTTCTTCTGTTTCGCCAGATTGTCGTTCTGGACATGACCCCAGCCGAAAAGCTTTACCAGTGCGACAGCAAGAGTGGTTTTACCGCATCCGATAGATGCAACAGGGACAAGAACGACGTTTCGTGAAGTCTCTTCTTTTGCGTCCATTGCAATAATCTCTGACCCTTTTAAGCCTCTCTCTTTCAAGAACCCGTCTCGCATGGCGATAATACCATGGTTACTATTATAGAGTCTAGCGAGTTTAGGATCCTTTGCTAACTGCCGCCGAGCGTAGAGTAGATACTCTTCTGTGATTTTCTTGTGTTTGCGGATATGGGGTAGTTTTCCTGCAATGACTGCCTTTGTTACCTCACGCCACTGCCGATACATCAAATACGGTTCCTCGAATTTGTATTTGAAAAACCAATCTCTGTATGGGCCGGACGAGCCTTCTCTTATTTGGCATCGAACAACGAAGCCTTCTGTATCTCGTCCATTCCATGATCCTGTTTCAGCGCATTTGTCCAAGAAATCTTTAACTGCTTTGATGTCGTCCATGACGATGAACTGGGCTTTCTTGAAACCCCATTTGTCTGCAAATTGATGAACCTCTGAGCTCGGCAGAGTTGCAAATTCTGGGACGTTGAAGTTAATTCCATGGAGATATATTCCTGCTGCCTCTTCGTCGTATGCAAGAACATGTTCCTCGAACTCATCATCACACAGTTCACCGATAGCAGTGGCGTTCAAGCGTCTCAGCTCAATAGCCAGTTCTTGCACAGTCTTTCCAACTTTGCGGAGATGTGTCTCAACCCATCGCTCGCCAGCCTGTGCATGGCTCAATGGAGTGTCATCACGCTTGCCCGTCGAATGTTTGCTGCACACTAAGAGGGTACCATCTTCCAAACCAGAAAGAAACAAAATACATCCATTTTCCTTCACGCTCAGCTCGTAAGGACCGCGAGTACTGCTTTCAATACTTTCCCATTTAGTATTCCTCACTTCATCGACATTGAAGAACTTGTCGTAGCCTCGCGTGCAAATCTCATGACGCCCTTCTTTCAACCTCGTTGTAAACAAACCACGCGCATATGTAGGCAGGTCGTCTCTCTTATAGTCCCAGTCCATGAACTTCCAGGAATCAACACGGATGTTGTCCGAGCCGGCTACAGCGAAGGTTGACTTTTTGCAGGTAAAAGTCTTTTTGCCCTTGCCCTTCTTAGAGGCAGCCTCTAAGCTCTGCACGAGCTGGCCAACCTGATGGGGATCCTGTTCCACCATCGTGGGAGTATAATTGGCTTGTAAAGCTGAGTTCAGTAATGAGATGTGGTCGTAGGAAGAAGTGGTTAATTCGTAAAAAGCGGGGAGTGAAAAATGCTATTTTGGAGGGCTCAACCAGTGACAAGCGACGGCACAGGCATTTATAAGGCTGCGACCACCCCTTTGTTGATGTCGATTGTTGGCAGTTGTGGCAGTCCGTGTGTCGCAAGGTGCACTGAGTCACCGAGATGAATCACAATGAGTCGGCTTGCGCTGATGTTTCTGGGCAAGAGCCTTCCTCTTTTGGATGCCGCGGGGCAAGTGACGGGAAGCCGCGAGGCGGAGCTTCACTGCCTCAGAAAATTATCTTCTCTAGCCTCCACTGTCCCTTCTCCAGCCACAAGTTCCAGCAGCCTCCTGCTTTTCTGCCTTGTCTCTTGTATTCACAGCTCATAATACTAGCAACCACTCATAGCGATGAGTCATCCGAACCTCTACATTCTTGCGGCTGACAACCCGTCGGCGGTTCTCAGCGCCCTACAGTCGGATTCTTCCCAAGCGTCATGTCAGGACGAACATGGTTATTCGCTACTCCATGCCGCCGCATCTTACGGACATATCGATCTTCTCCGAGCGCTTGTACAAGAGCATCATGTCAATCCAAACCTAACCGACGAAGACGGCGAGACCTGTTTGTTTGTGTCGGAGACCTTGGAGATTGCCAAATGCCTCGTGGAAGAGCTTGGCGTTGACCCGAAACACGCCAATGACGAGGGTCTGACAGCCCAAGAGACAATAGAGAGCGATGGGTCGTTCCCGGAAATCGTCAGTTATCTCGGACAGATTACTGGGGGCAGTACTTCTGAGGTCGCCCAAGCCCTGCGAGATGTCCATGCCCCGCCTCCTCTTCCCCCGAATGTTAGCGTCAATGTAGGCACAATGACAGAGCAAGAGGTCGATGGAGAAGCCGGGGAGGTCGATTCTGAGTTTCGCAGGCGCATCGCTGAGTTGGCAGCCAGAGAAGACTTCCATAGCGAGGCAGGCCAGAATCAGTTACGGGCGTTGGTAACAGATGCGATCAGAGGCGTCGGCGCAGAGACTCAGAACAGAGACGTTCGGCAAAGAACAGAATGAGCTTCAAGGCAATAATATACATCACCATTGCGACATATATTGCTGAACTTCCTCTGGTTGCTGGAGCTGACTGCTGTATGGACAAAACAAGCAACGAGCCAATGCCCACTCTCGATATCCATATGTCGGACGACTATCGAGTCTCTGGATAGAGAACTTTGGTAGAATGCCTAGGGCGAATTTTGCAATTCCCAAGAAGGCACGGCTGAAGAATTAGAAGAAAGATCACTGAGCCTGATCAGTGAACTTGTCGATATCATTACGATATAATACTATATATGTACATAAATTGTTGTGGCTCGGCGGCCGGCGGTGGCGGTAGCTGTGCAGGAAGCTCCCCAGCCCAGGCAAATACCCCACACCATAGTTTACTCCTTCATCATCTCACATCTCGTGCTGCTGGCAAGCACCAGGTGTCCTAAATTCCAATATGGCCTCGCATTCTTATTCACCACGATCCTCGGCCTACTGGCCTGCGTCTTCAGTACATGCTAGTCCCATGGTAGACCCCGAAACCCCTCCACCGCCTCCCCCAAAGCCGACGAGTCACGAAGCAAGTCGACACGGCACTCCCCTCGCAGGCGCTGCAGGACTTCGATCGCCAGGGCAATCGCAAGATGATCAAGGGAAATACATACCCACTGAATCAGGGAACTCTACACAACATTTCACCTCTGTGCAGTCTGACCTAGTCGAGCCCCCGCGTATCGAAGATGAATGGCTGCCGGACATTGTGAAGGACAAATCGTATGTGAATATATCCCCGCTCTACATTAGAAGAAAAGACCGGAAAAACAATTATTGACAAAATAACTGTGTTTTTTTTATAATTTGAAGAACTGTTGAACTACAAGAAATCCTATCAAACCCCACTCTCCTTTCCTCCCTGTCGACACTGCACGAGTCCTACCCAGCGTCCCAACTATATCTCCAAGCGCACCTGGAGTCCAACCAAGCGCTCGCGCAACACGTGCTCGATCTGGAATCCCGTGTCTCCGGGCTCCGTTCATCAACCGAGTCGCTCCTCCTCAACCACCAGTCCCTGGAGGTGTCATGGCGCAAGAAACAGTCTGAAATGGACGGCGCGTTGGCGCCCTGGTCGCCTAAAGCGCTCTACCAGCGTCTCGCCGCTGCTGTCGCGGAGCAGGAGGCGATATGTCACGCGGTGGAGGAGAGTTTCCTTGAAGGTGATCATCAGCACGGTCGAGCGACTGATAAAGAAGTGACGGACTGGGTACGGAGGATCCGGACTGAAGGGTCGAAGTTGGAGGCTAGAAAAGAAGCGAGGGCGAGATGGGATGAAGGGAGGGTTGGCGGTTGGCGATGAAAGATATTTTTTTTTTTCCTTGGGTTTATGCCTTCAATAACGAGTAGCGGGAGTTTGGGGGCTTTGTTTGGATTGCTATTTGTTTGGTTTTGATGCTGTGAAGGCTTTCTTCTGTATATATTAGAGTCTATAGCCCTGATCATCGATATGTAGGATCATTGATATCGATTAATAAATTTAAGCCGACGATATTTCAATGTGTCCTCTGATACACCGTGAAACTATATTCTCCAGTAAACCGCCTCCATCCATATTTGAAACGTAAATAAGGCATTTTTATGGTCCTATCTTATTCTAAATAATGACCTCATGAGTCTATGCTACTCAAAAACGGTGTACATCACTACCGATAAACTAGTTTTCCTTGCTATTGCAGGCACATCTACAGGTACATATGTACACGTATTCTAGAACAACAAAGTAGAAGAGCCGAAGCGTTGCCAAGGTATATGTTATTACACAGCCAAAACCACATAGTAGTACTAGTAGTAGTTGATAAAAGCCAGATAAACTGAACGCCCCCAGGATCAAAATTCATATAGTCGAATGAAAATGATCTCCCATGCCATGCAGAACATAAATTTGTTGTAGGAGTCAACGAAGAGCTCCTATTCATACCTAGGTATTGAATCTCCGGATCCCTGCACACATACAAACACATATATAACGATATAATGAGCAAAATCCGCCCCCGCCTATTCAACGCCTGGTCCGATTCTGTAAAGCCATCTGTAAAACTGTCTGTAAACCCCGCTATATAGGATTTGTCTACTTTCATCTCTCCATAGCTTCGCCTTCTGCTACTTCTCCGTCAACAACACCGAGTAACTTGGCGTAAGGGACAGTGACACGTTGAAGATCTCGATGTTTGCCTGTACATTATTAGCAAGGGTTGTTAGTATAATGGGAAAGTGAGTAGAGACGTACCGAGAGCAACAATGACCTCTTTGAGAAGCACATCGCGTGGCCATCCACAAAGACTATCTAAATTCTCCGACCAGTTCCGACCCTCCTTCTCGTTCTGCGAAAGTCGTTGCGGGATATCGTCTTCATCCTCGAAGATGCCCCCTACGAGAGCTTTCAAGAGCTCCTCTACTTTGCTGCGTAGGCCTTCCGCTCCAATGCGTTTCGCGTACATAGACAGATACAGCCGGAATTCCTCTTTAGCGCCCAATGAAAGAGCAGCTGCCATGCGGTTTTCAAGATGGGCGATTGAGACACTCGACTCAAAGCTCTCGTACCCTTCTCGCGAGAGCAAGACCTTGATAAGACGCTGGAGGAAATAGGCGCGTCCACGAAGCAAGGTTTCGCTGGTTGTGCTTCGTTCCAAGAATGGAATGATACCGGCCGAAATCTTGGTCTTGGAGTCATCCCCATTCTGGTTGCTGAGGGATTGCAAATTGCCAACAGAGGCATCAGTTGTGTTCCAATATTGACTGCCCACGGCCCACCAGGCTTCTGAAACTCGTTGCCATGTGTACATAGACGAGGAATAGATGTAGCCTTCGCCGTTAGATAGAGCTACTACTATGCGGCCCTCGGAGTTGATTCGAGCGCCTGTTATGGCTGGTGCGAGAATGGCTTGAGCTGTTTGGGCATGGAGAGCAGCGTCCAAAACGGGTTGAAGAGAAACAGGAGGGTGGGGAGAGGAGAGTGACTTGACGTTCCAGACATAACACATGCCAACGGCGGTGATACATAATAGCCACGGTCCATGGCTTTCAAGCATAACTGGTTGTGCCTCGAGAACAAGTGCGCTGACAAGACGACGCCCTGCGGGTGTCCAGATATAGATTGACCCGTCCTCGCAGGCAACAGACCACATTCCAGTGTTGCCAGTAGCAAGCAAAACTGATCTAGGGAGAAAATCTTGCCACAAAGGTTGATCAGAACGCATCAATGTGATTCGCACCGGCTCTCGATCCGTAGCTCGACCGGTGACTGTAGTTGGTGGTGGATTGCGTGCTTCGAATACAATATCCACTCGAGATTGCTTCGAATCACCTGTTGGTTCGGTCGGATTGCCATTCCTATCTAAAGCCTGCAATATATGACTGCGGATTTTAGGCACTGCCAATCGTAATTGGCTAATCGACATGCAGGGATTCGTTACTGCGGGACGAATGAATTCCGGTGTAGTTTGTTGTCCTGCAACCGGTGGTAGCGTTGGAGCAGGCAGTAATCCATCTAGTGTGTTGGAGAGAATTGGGGTTGCGCCATTCTGACTTGTCAACGCAATCCGCTTCTCTATTTGATTGTCCTCATCCCCTTCAATCTGGGCTAATTTTCGTTTGTTCCCGAAAAGCAGCGCCGATAGCCCCCCCTTTGGTAGCCCATCAAAGGGCTTAGACAAGTCAAGAACAGACTGAGGCGTATCAGTTCCGGCTTGGGCGACAGCGGCAGACGCCATAAGCCTAGCCTGTGGGAGCGATGACTCGGAGGCGCCGGCGCCAGAAACGAGAAGAGGAGCAATCCTTTTCTTGCCCTCTTTTGTATATGTCGGTCGCTGCTTCAATCGCTCTAATTTTGCTTGATATGCATCCGGCTTTTCCTTAGCTTTGTCCGCGCTCTTCTCAGGCTCAGGGGCTGTCCCGTTCGTCTGTGGCTTTTGTTTTTCGGAAGCACTGGTTGATGTACCGTTTGTGAGGGTCGTTGGTGCTGCAGGGGTAGTAGAGGTGGCAGCAGCAGCAGCAGTGGTTCCATTGACCGTGGTATCCGTCGAAGCATGGTCATCACCCATCAAGGCGCCCATTCTCCCTTCAACACCTTTGATCTCTCCAGCTTTGCTCTTCTCTTCTAATAGTAAACCATCCGTAGTCTCTGCAATACCAGCTCCCCTCCTATTTGTACCAAACTTTGTCAAGGATCTTTCATTCTCTTCCAAGGACATTGGGTATCCAAGTTCTGCATCTTGAAATCGAACAGCAAGAATGGTCCCATCTAAGGCCGTAGCAAACAAGCATTTACCATCAGGAGTCCATGCCAAATCGGAGAGCGATTTTGCAGAAATGTCTTGCGCAACGACAATGGGGCGCGGGTTGCTTGTAATCCATACACTGAGTGACTTGTCACCTCCAGCACAAGCAATGACGGTAACCAGATTGTGATGTTCGCCGCCGGCCTTTGTTATAGGTTGCATAGAGTACAATCTTGGTGAGAAGGCGCAGACCTCTACAGGGGCTTCGTGTCCGATCAGGTTGATATCACCATCCCACGAGCCGCGGTTGAGTATAGCCACCGAACTCACTGGGCCATTCACCGCGTTTGCAGCTGCAATATGTAAACCGTCAGGAGACCATGAGCAGCGTCGAAAGTAAGCCGTCAATGGCGAACTTTGGAATGGTCTGACAATATTTGTTTCCAGGACGAAGTTATTCAATTGGTCGTGCGCCGTCGAGTTTGGTGCTGGGGAGGTAAAGCGGAAAATCTTCACGGTCCGGTCATCGCTTGCGGTAGCAAAATACTTGTTTGCGGGATCAAACGTAATGCCTTTGACATGACTTTGATGTACAGACAAGGTCTTCAACTTCTCGAATGTGTGCCCGGACCACACGACGACTTTGGAATCTAGTCCGACAGAGACCAAAATAGACGAATCGTATGACCAGCCCAGGTCTTGCACATCATTGTCATGGCCAATTAACCTTCTGATCGTTCGCCAATTCTCAACCGGAGGAGCTTCATCTGTGCCTAATTGAACAATATTAGCTTGTGAACCAACACAACCAATTGCGCAAGCCAGTAGATATAGAGTGCGAGGAATGTACCAAATGTAGAAGCATGAGACGGAGGATTCGCATCAAGCGAATACACACAAACTATCTTATCGTCTGCCCCGGACGCAAGATATTTTCCATTTGGTGAGAACCGCACTGTGTGAATGGTACCGGAATGGTTGCTCATGGAAGCCAACTGCTTGGGCTTATCGGCATAAGCAGGGTCTGCTGCGTTATATATAGCCTCGGTCGACCATATGCGTACGTATCCATCTATATCACCGTCAGCTAGCTGTCGCGTATTGCCCGGTCGCGCTCGTCGGTCTATAATCGAGGGTCGGGGGTGTATCTACTGACCTCCGGCGGCAGTCACCAATCGTTTTCCATCAGGCGATACATCGCAGCTGTAAACTTCAAAGTCTTTGCGTTCGCCTGTTGTAGATGGGACAATGGTCAGCCAAGGACACAGCGCCACGAACATGTACATCCGGTCGACATGCAAGACCAGCATCATCAGCGACATACCTCCATGCGTCAGCCACACGGGCTTTATAATATGCATCGCGACGGTTCGCCGGGAGCGGAGAGGTTTGGAGGTCTAAATGCACCACTGCTTCGGGATGGTTTGGCAGCACTTTGCACGCTGTATAGCGATGAGTAGGGTGTCGACGAGATCTCTCTACAGGACTGCGAATCGAGCATCGCAGCTCCCTGCGAGAGTCTATAATCAATCGGTCAGGAATGGGGGAGAAAAAGAGAAACGAGTGTAGAGGAGACGGTGTGTCGCAAGAGGGTTAGTTGTCGTTCGCGCCTAGTCGATATCGTGAGATGGAAACGGATGCAGTTGCGCGCGCTCTGCCCAAATGATGATTGATTGTCAAAAAGAAAGTCGCGATCTCCACGCCTCCTAAGCGCGGTTCTTGGCCCAAGCTTTTGTTGCCAGTTGGAGGCAGGTGCAAGGCGGTTGTGCGTGGCCAATCAGGAGCTCCAAACCAGATCCCGCTTACTTCATCGACTTTGATAGTTTTAGGTTAATATAGAATATTCCATCATAATGCTACACAATGTCATTTTCTGCTTTGCACCCTAATTACCTGCTATGTACATCTCTAATGTAGACAACCATCGTACACATCCATACAACCTCGAAAACCAGACGGCCGCAGCAAACCTCATACTCCGCACATGCCTAAGCGCACTTTTGGGTAGATGCTGAAAAAAGAGAGAGAAAAGGAGACTTAATGGCGACCAAAAGACCAAAGAGGGGAGTGTTGAGGTTACTCAAAAAGCGCTCGGTCGATATGTGTTGCGAGTGACTTCCAAAACATCGTGAACCAGACTACCTCTTCTGCCGTGCGGTCTGGTCAAAACTCTCTAGCACACTCTCAGCAACTTCGTTCTGCTTATTACCCTCTAGCTCGGTAGCCTCGTCGCTGCCCTCAAAGTACGTTTTCTCGGTGTTTTTACCGCGACCAGACCTGTGGGGTGAGTCTTCTGGCGCGGACACACCAAGTGCCTTGGCGGCCAGTGCCTTGGACTGGCCCTCCGTGACCTTACCGTAGACAGAGAGTGCACTTGCAATCATACCTCCAATATCCCCCACGTTTCCAGGGACCACGACCGCAGTGCCTTCCTTGGCAAGGTTGCCGAATGCCTCGACATATTTCTCGGCAATGTTAAGGCCGATAGCGTTCTGAGCATTCTCCTGATCGTCTCGAATAGCCTTTGCAACGGCTTCGATACCCTTTGCAGTAGCCTCTGCTCTCAACTGAATGGCCTGTGCCTCACCGGACGCTAGGTTGATCTGTTCAGCGCGTAGAGCTTCGGACGCAAGGATGACGGACTGTTTGCGACCCTCTGCAATATTAATCGCGCTCTGTCGCTGGCCCTCTGAGTCCAAGATTTCGGCACGTTTTGACCGTTCCGCTGTGACTTGACGGTGCATGGCGGCCACGACGCCTTCTGGGGCATGGATATCTCTGATTTCATATCGCAGACACACGACACCCCAGTCTTGTGCTGCTTCGTTGATGGCTTGCGTGATATTGGTATTGAGTGTGGCACGTTCCTTCAAAACATGATCTAGTGTAAGTTGACCGATTTCGGATCGCATGGTTGTTTGTGCTAGCTGCGAGATGGCGTATTCGGCATCCTCCACTCCATAACTAAATGAATATTAGCACATAAGCCAGAAAAATGCATACGTAAGGACCACAAACACACCTAGCTTTATACGCATCAAAGACTCTCGTGTACAAAACACCATCAAGCTCCAGGGTCACATTATCCGCGGTAATAGCATTCTGACTCGGAATCTCAATAGCAGCTTCCTTCAAACTCTTGACATAGGCAATACGGTCCAAAAACGGAATCAATATAGCCAGACCCGGTTCCAAAATACGATGGAACTTCCCCATGCGCTCGACAATCCATGCCGTCTGCTGGGGTACGAAGCGAATGACGGTATTTGCAGGAAGCGACGATCGTTGCGAAAAGTACGTTTGGGGGGAGCCACCACCGGCTGATTGGGAGGAACCGCTTGCAAAGTTCAGGAGAGAAGTTTCTGGTTGTGCGTGTGAGGAGGATGAGTTGCTTAGGGGTCTGCGTTGTGATAGCAAGTAATAGAATGATGGTGATGCTGCGGATGGGTGATAACGCCCTGTTCTGGCGAGGTGTTGGAAGGCACCATGATTGTTGCAGCTCCTAAGGAGTCTAGAAGCCGATCTGGAAGACAGCTCCATGCTGGCAACACAGAGGTATCACTTCAGTCGAAACAGGATTGGAAGAGATTGATGGAATTCCGGAGATGTTGGAAGCCCTTCTTACCTTGTGATCCTTACCCCGGCGGGCTTAGTCTTGGCATGACTCCGACGGAGAAACTTGCCGCCGAAATACTAATTCTTTCACATTTCTTTCACTAACTAATATTCTTTCAGGCGTATACTGTACTAATAATAAAGCGAAGCTCGTAAATGTTACACAAATGTTATATTAGTCAAGATCTTGTAAGGATAAATGCCTTGTTTTTGTTTTCCCAGTCACTACTACAAATGCAACCGTTTCCGAAGTCTTACAGGTCAGCTATGCGTCAAATACCAGAGAAAATATAGCAAAAGAAACATGAAATGCGAAACACCTCAAACTCATTCCACCTGGCCATTTCCATATTCAGGGAGAGTCAGAAAAGAATGGGTAAAAGAGAAGAATGGGTGAAAAAATGAAATAGCCCCGTAGTAGAGATTTCAAAGTAATAAGCATCCTTCTCACGTCTTACTTGTACCCCAAGATGCAACTTTGGGTAGTAAGACTTGAACAAGAATGAAAAAAAAAGATAATCATAACCCAGGAAGGGAGAGAATATAACACACAGTGTCTCATGCTATGCAAAACAAACCAGAACACACAAGTTGGTAAAGAATAAAAAAAGGTACAACATAGCAATAGTCACACTAGAAGAAAAATCTCGAAACCTTCCATGCAATAGCCTGTTGGCGCATGCTAGTCACAGTTCCGTTGAATTGATATTGATTTGAGAATTCTGAAAGGTAAATTGACAGCCGGCCCATTGTTTAACCAGATATATCCCCTTGATAGACTGGCGTTTTCAGGTATCGTTGTTACTGACTGGATGAAGAAGAGAAAAATTGCCGGGTGAGAAGCTGAATGTCTATGTTCTGCAAATCTCTTCGTCCACGAAAAGACGCCCGGCGGTTGGTAAAAAAAAGAGCAATTCAAAGAAATTCAAGAGTCCGACGCCAGCGTATGGAAGATTTTTAAGAGAAAAATGTATGCAGATGAAGGTCAATGTAAAAACCGGCACCGTCATTGAACTTTTTTACGCGTAATTGCAGCGTAGTCGAAACAACATAAAGGGATGAGATAAAAAAAAAGGACTAAAATCGAGAATTCGCTCAAATGATGAGACCCCTTAAGTCCTGATCTTCTCGAGTTGCCACATAGCATGCTCGAAACACATAACATATGCTGAGTCTCGAAAGTTTTCCTGTGCTGATCAAAATGTGACTCGCTGTGGGACTCCATTAGGCGACATGCAACAAATAATACGAGCTGTCTCGCTTGACAGTACGATTCTCGTGATGGTAATGGAAATTGTGCACCATCCCTTTTTGAGGTCAAATGTCCAGGGCAACTTCAAGTCACGGCTCACGGACGGTATGACCGCTTCGACGTAAAAACTATAGCCAGAAAAACGACGTATAGATGCCGGGTACAGGTCAATGATCATGTCAGATATCGCATGTCGAACGCCTGTTTCCGAGTAACATTATAAAATTCGTAAAAAAATTTGCTAATAGCACGCAAAGTTGTCAAACCCGAATTGCAGATGCTTAATCTCTTGTGGGTTAAAATCACCACCAGACGACAATAATATCATTGAACTTCTAAAAGTTTCTTCCTCAGCCTTTAATAGCACATAGCCATTGAAAGGCGGAGAAACGATGCCCAATAACACTCGAAAAACTTGGAGATCATTCGGGCGAAGAGTTGTTTATCAGTCATTTACGCTGTCCGCTGTTTAGTAGTGTTAGCTAAATATCACCATATATACCAGGTAAAAATATTGGGACAACCTCGTGAGCTGACTTACATTTGAAATGTCGCTCTGGGCCACACCTGGTGCGAACGGCCTGAATTCTGGTGCTGCCAAAGACAATGTTGTGCGTGAAGAGGCGTAATCGTGGTTACCGTTGAGCATTCCATTTGGGGGAGTACCGTGATGAGCAAAGCCATTCGTCAATGGTGCAGCGACATTGCCCATCTGTCGGTCGACGTCTGGAGGATAAAACTGGGCTGGTAAGATTCCATCGTTTTGGGCTGACTGGTCACGCTGATCAACAGGAAGGATCCATTGTTGCCAGTTTTCCCTTGGACGCAGGCGATCTTCACCATCCTCGCCAAATAGGTGTTCAACAGTTTTCAGTTGACGAGAAGCGTGACGAAGTAATTCGTAGTCTTCAGTGAGAGATTTAATCCTCGAGAAACTAGCAATGAATCCCAAGCGAACAAAGCCTTGCGAGTCCATGTGCTTGCGCAGATACAAATCTTTGACGAGGTTGTCCAGAGAAAAGTAATATTCCCTGCATGTGTTAGTTTATAATCCAAACTGAGAATAATAAGTACGTACAGTTGCATCTGAATCAACGGTATTAAGCCAAATGGCTCCATATATGGCTGGTAAGGCATCGCGGACATTGGACCCGGAGGCACAGATTGGTAGCCATTGTACACTGTGTTTATTTCAGGCAAAGGATAAGAACCGTATAGCCCGGCAGAGTTCGGTAATGAAGGTGATCGTAGTGGCATACGATGGGTTGCATGCTGGGTCAGAGTACCATTCTGGAAGTTTTGCTGCTGTGGACGTTGGCGCTCATTGACTCCGAACGACTTACCCGAAGAGAACTGGTGCTGTGGGTTTTGATAATGCTGATTTTGAGATCCTGAGCCATATGAATGACCTCCTCGGCCGCGATATCCGCCACGTCCTCGTTCAGGGCGCGACTCACCACGCTCCTTTGGATGTTGCTCACGGTCTCGTTGAAAGTCGCCCTTTTCACGATTATATTCACGGTGTTCTCGTTCGCGAGGGACGAATCCGTTGGCATCACGAGGGCCGTCGCCAGATCTCAAGGGACCATCAAAGCGACGCTCATTGGTAGACGCGTGACGACTGAGTTGACCCTCAGATGATTGATTACCCGGTCGAGAGTTTTGAGCGGGAGTGAACTCCGGTGCCTTAACCAGTCGACTTTCACGAGTTTTTGAAGCGACATCTGCGGTAGAGCTGGAAGCACCGTTTGGTACGGCGTGAGCTTCCTCAGAAGCCTTTGGTCGAGGGTCTGTGCGTGGACGATCAACGGTCTGTTGAGCACGCTTTTGGTCTGGTTGTGCATTACGCTCCGTGCTGGCCGGTTTCTTCCCCTGAACAGACAGCGAGTTAGCTCGTCCGAGATTCGACTCGTTACGACCGCGTTCTGTTACGTTGGCTTGTTTGGCCGTTGCTTGGTTTGCCTGGGCTGTCGTCGACTTAGCCTCAGCTGGGGCATTGTTGTTTGAGCTATGTGCACCACCACGTCCACCTTCTCGTCCACCACGCGAAGGTCGGCCGCCTCGGCGAGCCCCAGAAGGCAGAGGCGTATTGAAAACTGCAGTCGGGACATAATGCACAGGAGTCCATCTCTCCTTACCACGGATCGATGGGCTCTTTTCAATCTTGTCGGATTTATCCCCTTTCTCCTGTGCCTTGCGCTTCTCTTCGCCAAGGGCTGTCTGAGGAGTGGGCCATGCAGTTGCGTCAGCGACGGGTGGGAGTGAAGCGCTGGCAGCCTCGTCATTTGGGCGCGTGTTACGGTTACCCGGCTTCTTGGATCCTAGAAAGAGAAGGTATGTTTAGTGGGTAGCCTTTGGGCTATTATCGTTATAAAAGGGGACATACCATCTTCCTTTGGTTTGCCAGTCTCAGTTCGCTTGCGGTCTTTTCCCACGGAGCTTGAAACCTCGGCTTGGCCTTCACTACCCGCCTTTTTCTTGTTTGCAGATCTAGCAGATTCAGAGTAGTCTCCATTTGCTTGCGGAGCTGGCTTTGTGGCAGTCTGTTTAGCTGCTCCAGAAGCAGGCTTTACCACGGCAGCAGTAGCCTTGGCCTTCGCTTCCTGTGCCTCCTTTCGTTGCTGCCATATGTTGACTATGGGAATCGGGGCTGCTTTGAGCTCTTTCTCAGGAACACCTTTCTCGGATTTCGCAGATTCATCCTTATTCTCGCTAACACTACCAGCCTTGGTCACCGAAGTCGATGTTTGTGATTGTCTATCCCAAGTAGAATCGGAGGTTCCATTCGGAATGGCGGGAATATCATCGTCTTTCGCTAACGTTGATGTTGACGCAGTTCCGATACTAGGGGACGAAGTGCCCGAAACGGCATTCTTGGACGAGCCAGTGGTGGCCGATTTGGACTCTGGGTCGACAGTAGATTCGAGTTTCTCGGCATCTCTGGGAGTCTCTGTTGGCGTCGTATTTGAAGTCTGTCCCAACACGAGGCTCTTATTCGATTCAGTATCTTGTGACGACGCAGCGCCCGATTCTGTGGATGGTTTCGCAGTCTGTTGAGAGACAGCTGGTGTAGACAACCCTTTCGCTGCCTGTGCGTAGGAAAAAGTAGGCATTTCTGTCTTGCTCGCGGTGGCGGCCATAGTGACAAAAAAAATTCTGAAGCAGGAATACAAACTGTCTGCGACACGCAGTGGGTGCACTGGCAGACAGCGGACTCTTCTCCACCAAGCTACCAGCACCACCTGACAATTCAGTTGATCAGAATTTTTTCGTAAGAATTTTTTTTTTTTTTCTTTCACTCTTGTCTTTCCGATCAGCGTAACCAAAGATCTGGCTTGAGCCCGGGTAATCAGAGTAAGGAGCAAATGACGATGTCTCTGTGGACGAAGAGTCGAACAGGTTTCAAACAACACGGACAGAGCAGGAACTAAGATCCGGGTCGCATCTGCCTGCACTTAGGGTAGCACGAGCTTGGATGGAACGAACTGAGGTGGACTCGCGAGACGCTTGCGTTACGACGAGACAGGGCGGGAGATGATGGTAGACTGAAAAGAGAATGAGGGTTAGCATCGAATGATGAATCACGGTAGCAGGAGCAAGCCGATGGAGCTACCGATGGCAATGCCGAGATAACCGTTCTGCTTCGAGCAGAGGGAGGGGCTGGCTGCTGGGGGATACACAGGAGGAGAAGCTAGGTGATGAACGAATTCTTCAGATGCCAAGAATGCAGTGGTTGAAAACGACGGCGAGGATATGTATGTGTTTGTTTGGTTGGTGCTGCGAGGGTACCTTTTTTTTGTCTTACGTTTTTGTCCCCCTTGAGAAGCGACGGACCGAACGCGATTGCACTCGGCAACGAAAAGGTAGGTCAAAGAAAACGGTAGACGTCAAGCCTAGGAAGGTCGGCGACAGATCGAGACGCGAAAGCTGTGGGCGAGAAGGACAGCGTGCGACGAGAGCTGACAGACCCCAACGCGGTAGGAGGTGGTGTGCGGGAATTATAGGGAACAGCGAAATTTGGGGTGGGCAGAAAACCAACTAGACTGACAAACGGCCAGAGCGAGTGAAAGCACCACGCACTAGACACGAGGAGTGGCAAACGCAGTCCCAGAGTCCAGCAAAGACGACCTGCTGCAGAGGGAAAGGGGAGGGCGAGGAAGAGAGAGTGGGTGAGAGTGGTGAGTGAGTGAGGAAGAGTTGGAGAGCGAGAAACGGGAAAGGAATAATTAGTTAATGTGAGGAGCAGTGAGGATTGTGGAATCTCGGCCTATGCGGCAGGTGAATGCTAGCCTACTGGCCTCAGGCAAAAAAAAAGTCTTTTAGTTTCCGCTGGACTAGTTCATTAATTAATTGGAACATTGAATAATATTATTTGTTCGTTTTTTTTTCTTCTTTTTTTGATCTTCTGCTGCCGAACGCCCGCGCTGTTACTAACAGATATGTTTCGAATATAGTAATAAAAATCTTAATATTCTACACTTTACACTCTTGTGCGCGAGGGCGAGGTAGCATTTGGCCCTCTCATACCGTTTGTCTATGGAATATTCTAATATTATTGTTTGGTGGGGCTTGCCTGTGCCCTAGTTTGCACTTTGCAGTCGGCCCAGAGGAAGACGTCCGCTGGTGCCTGAGGTAATAATGATTTATTATTAAAGACGTTTTCGTATAACATACTGCTTTTCTGTGATGCCACGGCTGGTGGTCACTGTACATACTATTACAAATGCAGCAACTGGGAACTACCCTCAACCACAACCACTCCCATTCTTAAATATCCGAAGAATCATGTATAACCCATAATCATGACCTATACATACGTATAAAGCCGAGCCAAACCGAGCCACCGAGCCAGTGAACCCCTCCTTGACAACTACCATGCAGGCAACCCCGCCATGCCATGGACAATTAATATCGCAGCATTCTTATGTCTGTATGTAGGTATTATTAAAAAATCGGCCCAGATCGAACATGGGCAGGTCCAATAATACTGACCTGCAAATAGCCGCCAAAGCCTGGAACTACAATATAACAACATTGATGGATTGATCTGGTGTAAAGGGTAAAGGATCAGCCAACGTTAAATGGCTGCACCAATTGGGCCAGCTGCATGTCATTGAGAGGAGTAAATCGCGCGTGTGACAAATCTTCAGGGAATTATTATTAGCTCTGGCTCAACGTTTCTGTTCTCTCCGCCTCGGCTCGGATCTGCGCGCTAGCCGTACTATTACAGCCTCAAAGATTCATGGCCTAGCGAAATTTGTTAATTGGTACTGCTCGTTTAGGTTTGAATAATGAGCAATAGTATTATTATCACAAGATATGTAGCTGTCAGCGAGCTACACGAGTCAGCAACTACAATAGTATATTAATATTAAACAAACCAACTGAAACGTGGATAGGACTATGAGCCGAGCCAGCTACGACACTGCACCGTGCGCGATGCTCCCTCAAACGGCCATATCCGTCAAATCAGATTCAAGGCCGGTCTTCGCCCCATTGAGCCAATCCAGTACATTGTTTGTTTATGTAGAGACAGATTATTTCATCGTGACGCCTCGACCCTTTTCGTCACTCCCCGGAGTGGACTGGATATCAGTAAATCAACTACGTAGGTAGATCACCAATGGCGCACTGCCACCAGCACTTGTTCTCGTGGATCCAGCTCCTGTCCGACTAACTGACCACCCACTCCCCAGCGCTGTAGAAGCTGCCATACGACCTTGCGCCGCATGCCTTCGCGGACCGCGATTTTCTCGAGCGCGTCCATCCCGTTGAAGTACTTGACATATCTAGGCCAATGCGTTTTCAACGAGTCCGTCGCCGCAGAATCGTCACCGTCGGCGGAAACAGTCGATGAATCGGGCTGGCTAGAGGCTGCTCGGTCCGGGAATCGAGACATGATCTCGTCCAACCACCGAGACTCAGTGGGAGAGGCGCGGTGTGGGAAAAGAATCAACGACGACATGCTGAGGTGTGAGTTGCGATCCATGTATGAGTTTGACAGTCGGTAGTGATCATCCGAATCCCGCCGGCCAGGAATTGGGGTAAGTGTGTCACTGATTTGGCTGTCCAAAGACGACGACGATGAACTTCCCCCGTCATCGTCGGAGCTAGCTGCATCGTCGTTGGTCGACGAGCCTGTAGACCGAGACATGTATTTTTCGACTTGTGCTTTCCGCTCTGCCCTGTCGACTGCGATCTTGATCTCGGGCGTCACCTTGACTCTCGCGAAACATCGCAGCTGCGTCACCCACCCGCCCCGCAGGAGCCACGCAAGGATAGCAAAGTATGTTTCCTTGTGGTCCTTGCTCGGAATGAAACTGGCATACGACCGCGGTGTTCCACTGAGCGCCGAAAGCATCTTGGGCAGACTGGGAAGTGTAGGAAATGCTGCGGCGTAGGCCAACGTAGCACGTTTAAGCTGACTCAAATCACAGTTCGGTGAGACGATATAGGTATCTCGTTGATGTAGTGGTGGTATAGCTCGAGCACGCCTCCAATAAACCAAATGCTGAGCCAAATCATGGATCGTATCAAGAGGGATCCCGGAATGTGCTGAAATTTGAGCAAAGGATTTGTTGGGTTTAGAGGAGCGGATGTAATGTGTAAGCACCGGTGCCAGCTCGCTCCCCTTTAATGCTTCCAAGATGCTTGCTTCGCTCTCGAGAAGCAACAACGCAAAATGCTTGGCCAGCACCTGGTTTGGAGCCTCAAGCCCAGGGTCATGTTCGGCTGTAACGCTGTTGGCAGTCGTGAGCCACATGCCCGCTAACGAGGGATCGCTTGCAAGAGGCAATTCTGATATAGACGTAGTCGGAGGGATCTGGAAATCAGCCGTGCGTGACTTGAGTGATACAAAAGCAATATCCGATTTAGAAATCTTATCAAAAACCGAGTGAATAGCTGCTGCGAGCGATGATTTAGAGACAAGTTCCTCGTGAACACCTTCTGCAGAAACATCTAGCAACCAGACGATTAGCCTTGCACATTCATAACCATTGTTAAGCAGCGCTTACCTCTCTCGCGCGCCCTTTCCTTGATCTGCAGGATATGCTGCGCTTCCTTCCACACATAGTCCGATTGGTCTTGTTCGTATTTCAAAGCTTTGCTGAACTTCTTGGTGACATGCTCGTACATCTCTTTCAAATGCACGGAATACTCCAGCTGCGGAGGCGCCATAACAAACACAACATTGAACATCGTCATTGAATCCTTATCTGCCTCTGTCGTGCCTGGCTGATCTTGTCGATTGCATGCATCTCGTCGCTTCTCATCTCCATCATCATTAGAAGGATCTTCTTTTGTATCGTTTTCAGAGTCCTCCTCTGCCGACTCATCGTTCTCATCCTTGTTATTAGACTCGTGTTTTACCGAAACACTCTTTGGCTTCTTCTTTTTCCTCCTCCTCTTTTTCCGCCAATGGCCATCGTCGCGCACAAAGACAGGCCAGCCGACAAACGCCAGATCATTGATGCCCACCTCGAATCGTCTTTTATGCCATGTCCGCGACGGACTCAACAGCTTCTCCCATACATCTGACGGCAGCCCAAACACGGAGTCCCATGATGCGCGACTGTTCGCAACTGAGGCATTACCCCCTCTCCCAGTCGCCGTCAAATCAGGACTTTCCTCCACATCGGAGTTGGCGGTTTTCTTCCTTGTTTTCCCAGAGTTGAGGGACGGCGGACGCTGCGAGTCCCCGCCGACGGATGAGGTCGCGGTGGAAGCGTTGTCGTCGGTATTTGCGGTGTTCTGGCGCGGTCCCGGCGTGCCACCAAGCACGCTGGGCTCGTCGTCTTCGTCAGAGCTGGACTCGCTCTCTTCATCGGGGTCGGAGTCATTCGTGGCTTTGCCGCGACGAGAGCTGGGGCCGAGCAGCTTCTCAAGGTCTGGGTTGGCCGGGGTGTGAAAGACGTAACGAGGCCCCGCGCGTGATTGTACCACCAGGATAATGGCGACCAGCCACGGTTCGGGGGGCCGCGCTACGGAAGACATCAATAGAAGATGAATTAGGCGTCGCCGCGCTGGTCTTCATATTCGCGGCAGACGTGGGAGAACAAGAAAGATAAGCTACGGTCTGGCATCTAACTTACAGGCTCGGAAGCGCAAAGCTTCCCCACGTTTTGCCGTGCTAATCTCCAACCAATCGTTATTAATATTCACAGTGTAGTTAGATATTTTTGTTGTGTTTTAATATATGTTCATGTATTCCTTTCAGTAAATCAGATAATATTATACAGAAAATTTGGGATATTCAGAATAGAACGCCCTAAACTCCAGGAATGCCAGTATACAGTTAATTCCCTTGATCGAACAATCGCTACTTTTGGTCCTGCTTCGATATTGAATCACTAGACGCCGGTGTATTTCTCGTTGAAGAATTCTCTGAAAACTCCAACCCAAGATTCTTAAACTCATCAGGCGCCATGAGATTCCTAAACCCATGATTGAAGCATAAGCACATGCAAAATCGACCATCTTAATCCGAGTACAACACTTACTTATCCATTCGACAGCCCAAATATCCCTTGGCAAGTTTCCGGCATTGCTCATCGTTCACTCCTCGTTGCGACTTGAGACACTTTAAATAGTCCATAATGAGGTGCTTGCATTCGCCTGTTGTTCCAATCAGCTCTGTCATCAGGCAAAGTCGTGACATTTCAATGTTGAAGTGCGGCGAGATTTCGTACCATCGTGATCGAGAGGGAAACTACCACGTTCCGGTCTGGCCAGGTCAGCGTGGTTCATCTTTGTTAATGTTCTTGTGCGCAATGCTTGGGTTGGCTGGTTGAGTCGACACTTACGGCGTGGGTTTATAATTGACGGCAGCACCGCCGGGGGCTCCGAAACTCATGATTCTATAATGTAGATAGTGTGCCGATGATTCAATACACAATTCAAGGCTGTCTATGGTTGTGGTGGAGAGAAGTGGCGAGGCGAATAATTATATTCCGCATCAGAAAGAGCTCTGAGATTATCGGATACAAACAGAACAAACATTCTCAATCCACATGCAGTGGGAGCATCCTCAACCCAGACAGAGAACCAACGTCAACTTACTCAGGTCGAAAGTGGAACTCAGTGCTTCAGTCAAGAAGAACAGTGTTACTATCGATTAAATTGGCTAGATATTGGACGATGATGTGCCAATCGCTTTTGCGGTGCATCTATGATCTCTCTGGTATATATTTATTGTTAGTTAGACCTTTAAATGTTATATACATCTACTACTACTGGGTGCCATCTCAACAATCATGATTGAACATTGAATGTTCTCTATTTGAATCAATTGATTTCGAGAAATGACGTGGCGGAAATACCCCTCTCGTAGATTTCAACTGGTACCAACTGCTGCCCCACGTATTCTGCTTATGATAAATCTCTTGGAATCTACACCAACCTCGAAAACCGCCAGCGAACGTCTAATCCGAGAGTTGAGCTTTCAGGAATCTACCCAATATGCCGATGTGAGAATTCCCACAATATACGAATAAGCCCAATATATGTAACCACTAACAACCACCAGGAAACTCGAAGGAAGTTGCCAATGTGGCGGCGTAGAATTCGAATTACAGTCCAACACCCCCGTACCCTACCAGCTCTGCGCCTGTAGTATCTGCCGCAAAGTCTGTGGATACAACGGCAGCGTGAACCTCGGTGGAATCACAGACACACTCAAAATTAAGAAGGGGCAGGAATTGATCAAGTAAGTCGGGTAGATTTTCCTTGGAAGAAAAGGGCTGACAGCATTTCTGTTAATAACTAACGGATACACAGAAAATACAAAGCGATTAAAAACCGTGGGAAGCCGAACCAGGAGCAATGCTCGTCGGAGAGAAGTTTCTGCTCGAATTGTAGCACTATGTTGTGGCTGTGGGATCATCACTGGCCGGAATTGATTCATCCATTTGAGCCGGCTATTGATACCAAGTTGCCGGTTCCAGATGAGATGGTTTGTATCATGGAGAGCTCCAAACCGGCTCATGTCCGTTGGCCTGAAGGCAAGAAAACAGTACACAAGTTGTATAATGATGACAGCTTGGAAGGGTGGCATAAGAAACATAATCTATTCTATGAATGATATAGGAGCTGTTAGGTATTGTTCAGGAAATGAAGGACAAGATAATGTCATTATATTATGTCTATATACTATTCGAATGCAAGGGAATAGACCTGATAAGATATGTTAGCTTCGGATGACCAACATATCGTGATAACAAGTCATAGAATCTCCTCCAGGATCAGTTCTCCAAGGTGAATATTTTTTCTTCAATGTCGTGACTCGGTAAGAACACAGCGAAATATTGGTTGTTCATCACAAGAAGGGAAAGAACGAAAAAGTAAATCAAACATACCTTGATACTGCTTCTAGTCTACGTTTGAGTCAAGACTATCGAACCTAAAGCCGTCGTTTGATATCAGTGAATGTTCCATATCGATTGACGAAAAAATAAGCAAGCAATTATGGGACGTGGCATCTTGTGTCAGGCTGCATCAATGTCAGTCAGCGACGTCTATATACAACAAATGTTCGACATACCTCATTAAATCAGAATTTTCAGTGTATGATGTTCATTCCGAACCGCATTTGTGCGGCCGGTCAAACAGTGTGAATAACGTCTTCATCATATAATGATGCCATCCATAGAAAAACAGATAATGGAAAAATATATATGTACCTGACAAGGCAATGTTAGTATATATACCTCAAACATTAGACGCATTCGCAATCAAGTCGCAAAGTTAATCAGCTGACGAGTTCTCAACAAGCAATCTCCCTCGCAGCACCCGCAAAGTTTGTACGCCTTGCTTGGAATGGATGAAGTTCAGAAGACGCAGTCTGTCCGCCCGTTCGTTCAAACTTTCCTCATTTTGCAAGCAAATCAAAGTCAGGAGAGGTATGGATAGTTATTCACCTATAGACATTGGCCAGTTAGTCATGGACAAATTCAAATAATCACTGAGAATATGAATGAATTCCAATGCGAGTCAGACAAGGCTGAAACTTGTTAAACGACAGATTCCACATAGAAAATTAAGTTTGAGGAATGCCTTAGCGTGTCATAGGGTCATCACTTTAAGGGAAGAAAAAAGAAAACAATGTGTGCCATACCTTTTATGTTTACAACAAAAGCTTAATAGCAATGCGTGTTAATTGGCCAAGGAGCTGGCTTTCTACCTGAAACAGGAGTCAGTTAATACCACAGAAATAATAAAAACAATAGCAGGCGTGTGTCGAGGCGTTGTAATACTCGAGCTTGTGTTCTTCACTTGAAAAAGAATATTCATCACTTAACACAGGACAAAGAGAAAATTGAGACGTACCTTGGAAGTATGAAAAGAGTTACAAAAGTAGAGGAAATATGAGAAAGAAAAACAGAAACACTAAGAAGCCAAGGGAGAAGCAGCTCACCCATGGCAAGAGAGAAGATTAAGAAAAGACGCAGTGGGTTGGACGCTTAAAGAGAAAAATCTCATTAGTGCAGTTTCGAGGTCACGTGGCCACGCTTACCGAATCAAGCACTGAGCTAACAACCGCCTCTGATTGGCCAGACCGAGCTCCTCATAGACAATTATGACTACTACATGTAATGTAGTCTCGAAGGCTATGGTAAGTAATTTAAAACAATTCTCATCTATGATGGCTTTCACGCTAGTTATTTTATGCATTATCTGGACGACTTCGGTTATTTTATTTAAGTATTCAGTGAGAATTGTTCTCTAGAAACCCTTATCGAGCATTCGAATTTGAGTTTACGTCAACTTGACGTACTATTACAGATCAATGAACACAAAGCAGTGCGATTTCTTTCTAATTTATTAAATCTTTCATATGATATAATGGAATGAAAGTGGTGATAATTCCGTGATATCTTAGCTGTGTCAAGGGCACTATGACTATCAATTGATATCTCTATCCGTCATGCCAGAAGGCTGATAATGACCCAATTTGTGGCTAAAGAGAGGTCAAGTTCTCGGGAACCCATGAGTGTTGACTGTGGATGATGCGCCACGACGTCACAAATAGACATACGCCAAATGATCGAAACCACATGAATGCGTCAGGTTGACGTGCAGAGTGATACACATATATAATAGTAAATTCGGTCCTCAAATAAGTTGAGTAGCAAAAAAAACCAAATCCAAAACCACCAAGTCATCGAATAAAATGCCTGGCACCAAGCAAAAGCTCAATACAGGAGCAGAAATCCCAGCTCTTGGCTTTGGTACCTGGCAAGATGTCGGTTCTCAAGAGGCTGCTGTAAGAGAAGCTATCAAGGCCGGATACAGACACATTGACACTGCGCGAGTGTACGTAAGACAAGTCATATGAGTTGGAGCAAAGAGGAGATGAACACTCACTCACCAATGATGACAGATACGGCACCGAGCCAGCGGTTGGAAAAGCAATTCGCGAAAGCGGCATACCACGCAACGAACTTTTCGTTACTACCAAGCTCTGGAATAATAAACACCATCCAGAAGATGTACCCAAGGCCCTGGACGAATCCCTCAAAGACCTGGGGCTAGACTATGTTGATCTGTTCTTGATACACTTTCCGGTTGCCTGGAAGCGTGGCAATGATTCGTTTCCCGAAGAAAACGGAAAAATGGTTGTAGTCGATATTGACTATGTTGATGTAAGTTCCGATACCTGAAGCCTATAACAAATCCATTGACTAACACAAACAGACATATAAAGCGATGGAAAAGCTGTTGCAGACTGGTAAAGTCAAGGCCATCGGGATTTCCAACTTCTCCAAGTCGGAGATGGAACGCTTGTTGAAGAATACATCAGTTCTGCCTGCTGTTCACCAGATGGAATTGCATCCATGGCTACAACAGAAAGATTTCACCCAATGGCATAAAGACAAAGGAATCCATGTCTCCCAGTATTCGCCTTTTGGCAACCAGAACGAGACTTACTCGGGCCCCCAGCACCTTGGAAAGCTTATCGACAGTCCTGTTATTAACGAAATTGGCAAGAAATACGGCAAGACAGGCGCTCAGGTTGCCTTGGGTATGTAGCTCCTGTATTTTAGCCCCCTTTCTATGGAACAGCAACTGACACAGTCTAGCATGGGGAATTACGCAGGGCCACTCAGTCTTACCAAAGTCCAAAACACCGCACCGAATCAAGGCAAACCTCGAGGGCGATTTCAAGCTAAATGCTGATGATATGAAGACAATTGAAAAAATGGACAAGAAACTGCGGTTTAATGATAGCAGCGAGGAATTCGGAAAGGTGCTTTACGCGGATTTGGACGGGAAATGAGGGATTGCAACCTAGTCCAGGTCATGAGAAAACTAGAACAGTGAATTCAAAAGCATTCGACAGTCTGTACTGCTATATTGCATCTTGGCCTACATTTAATGGCTCCTTGGCAAGTAATATTATGTTGGCAACGTAGATAGTACTTAATATGTCGGCATAAAATGCACCGTATCCATTTTCCCTCCATACCCCAATCTTCTCTAAACCTGCGTTTATCTGCGTAATTATAAAGCAATTGAAAGGATTATAAAATCCTTAATATCATTTTATTATTCAATTAATTGGCTATTTATTGAATATTATGGCAAAATAACACTAATTTCAAACGCTTGATATTGTCACGAAACCATGTCCATGACCACTGTCGAGTATGTGCGTAACGCTTTCATAGCCAAGAATAGACACTATATCCATAGTCTAAATTCTATCAATAGCTCTGGTTGTAGTCTACATAACTAGAGTAGAGAATTACGGCGTGCACTTTCTCCCTCGATTATACGCCATCACGACATGGATACTTCCCTGCGCAACTTATGGGGGCCTTTTCAGCTTATACGTGCGTGGTTCATGACCTGCGTGTGAATCAACGGATACTTATGGGTGAATACCATGGTAGACATCTTGCATTAGTTCAGTTAGTACACACCACCATACTGTTTGAGAGCCCACGAGACGAGATTCCGGCCGCTTCTAGGCCTATGCAACGGCCTGGATATCATCTGCTTGCCAGCCCATAGAGATTGGATTGTTCACAAGCTCGCTAGACGCGAGTAGCATGTAAAACATAGATGTTATCTCTAAGAAAGTTCTTAACCGGGCACTATGCATAATTTCTCCGTGCTGCTTTCGTTGGAGGCTGGCCGCTAAAGCCACTCACAACATCTGAATTAAGAATATTCCGATAACAAGCCAAAGCCCAGTAATATCTGCACTCGGCATGATGTGATGTAGAAAAATCTAGGCAGCCCTCGTTGAAAATATTTCAGATTTCAGCGCTATCCACCATTTCCCATCGCTGCTTCAAAATTTCGTACGGTTTCCTCATGGGCCAGGCACGTATATCGCTGGTCATGCCGATGATACTAACCAGTGCGTCGCGCTCTTCTTGATTCGTAAAATATTCGCCGTATAATGTAATCGCAATAACCGCATTGACCAAGGCAGGCTGTATTCGTAGATGGCACAGGGCAATTCCGCATATATCTAAAACAATGGACCGAACCTGTGCCTCTGCTCTTCGATGCGTAGCTCGATTTGCACTCCTAGAGATTTCTAGAATCAGAAAAATATACCAAGATTTTGATGTACTACTAAGACTCACTCAAGTTGTGGGTTTTCCGCTGTTAATATCAATTGGGCTAGTCGGAAGTGCTGAATAGCTGTCACCTGAACGTCGAAGCCGTACCAAACGGTCGGAAAAATCTCCCCCTTCGCTCTCTCTGCTTTGAGTTCTAGGATAGGCTCCAACTCGCCCAAAGAATCATGGAGCAGCTGCTGTTCTTGGACTTTGAGCTGCCCTTTAGGTAAACATGTTAGTCAAAACCAAAGATATTCTACCTGTGTTTCTAAAGCCAAGGTAAATACTTACTCCATTTTTCTGGTGACTTCTGGGTCCAGCGCCATGTAGCAACCTGGCCAGCAAACATAATCATATTGTCTGCTATTGAAGCATTTCGCCAGCGATCAGAGTCAAAGCGCAAATGTGGGACAGTCTCTCTTATCAAGGCATAGTATGTTTCTTGTCGGACAGTGATCCAATAACACGCATTGGCAAGAGAACAATCAAGTGGAGATGTGCTCATAGAATCGATGATTGTCTGCGTGATGGCCAAGAAGTTGACGCGTTTATAGGAATGGATCTCAGTGTCAATGTCGCCCTCGTCTACGTCTTCTTCCATTTCTTCATACTGCCGTAGGATAACAGTGGCTGCCATGATATTTTCTTGGTGTACAGGATCCTGGATCTTTGGAAATTCAGTTAGGTCCGGAATACATTTGAGCATATACTCAAGTGCACTAGATTTCTTTAAGTTAGGAAGTAATTGTTCACGATAAAGAATACCATGAGGTGTTCTATACTGTGGAAGACGACAAAGGCGACGGGATGATACTGCAAAAATGGCATTTCGCAGTGTCGGACAGTGCTTTGCCCGACGAGGGACCACTAGTTGAAAATGTCTTTGCTCATCACAATGGTCAAACTGTCCTATGTTATTTTTATGTCCAAGTGATAGAAGCAATTTTTCATACCCATAATGATAACTCTTCAATAAAATACCGGAGTAAGCAGGATTCTTGAATGCGGTCAATTGCAGGGACAGTAAAGTCATGGCTGGAAGATGGGGTGGTGATGTTATAGATTTCGGTTGTGTCCACCCTTCTCAAAGCTTGATTCTCAGAATTAATTATTTGTTCAAGATTAGATATATCTTTTGTCTTATAGCCTGCCGAGCCCTCGGTGATAGAATTAAACCGAACACCATTAAAGCTCAGTGGTAGAGATGCTGGGGAGGACAAGTTGAGCGCTTGGGAGGTTCCGGGCGATTCTCCTTGTGCCCGATGGGTGGAGTCACTATAACGTTCATCGACTGTATTGCACACATCGGTATCATCTAGCTCCCTTGGTTCTGACCTGAGAGGTGTTAGAGAATCCATTGATGCTTGGATCTCGAAAACAGGTTCAACGTCAGTGGGCGTACGACCTGGGGTGTCTCCGGTCGACCAAAGTGGCGAGCCTGGTATAGACGGAGATGCATTTGGCTTCGATGAATGATGAGGCGGCCTCCAGTTCTTTGGCTTGCTGTTGACCCATACCTGGCTACTTGAAAAGCTAGCATCAAGGTTGGCCGTCGAACCATGACGAAAGAACGCTTTCTTTTGCACAGGATTGCAATCAAGCCTTTTCGTCTCACATCGTCCGCAAACTGGCCTTCGCTTATCACCTGTGTAATTATATCAATTAGCATTATAATTATATTCATAGGGTCAAGTGAAAGGCCGGCTGCTACATTTCTGGTGGCTTGCTGTGCGTATCCCGTTAGCAACAACGTGTGGAATCCAAGCACGAATGGAAGACCATTACCTCGGCAGTTCAAGCAAGGTGTTTTAGCCAACGAGGCAGTTGGCGACATATCTGCCTGCAAACAGGTGGCCTAGAGGTTCACTTCGGATAGCCGACAATTGCAGCAAGGGTGAAGTTGAAAAGGAGCGGCATCGCCTGCCCTATGAGGTAAAAGGCATAGGGATCAGTTACCCCGCATGGGGCCACCAAGTTTGGTAGGAGATCCCGCAACTTCTCCAACTTACACTTCAGGGGGCTCATCTGCTGTAAACTTAAGCTTCTGTCTAGCCTTATTGCGAGTCAGTTGTATGCATCCTTGCTCCCCCCCTGCACCGCGCCATTGAATCTCACATCACCGTCTTCTTCCAACACCATCCTCTAGTGGTGACCGCCACTGCCTCCGAAGGTAAATCTTTCCGGTTGTCCACCATTAAGGCAAATCTCTCCGGGCATGTACCTTTCGCTGTTTAGCAAGAAAGGATAGGCCGGAAGAACGTGGGGCCCCGGATTATTCTCCGTAGACACCTCCCTTAGGTTAGGCTTAGGTTAGGCCTCGATTAAAATCCAGTAGCGATGTCAATGGATTCTTCTGTCAATGACATCAAATCCATACAAACCATGGAGCACGTCGAGTCCACGGTCATAGACGATGAGATCAACTTCAAGGAGTTGCGAATTTTGGGCTCGATTGAAGAGACTAAGCCTGGAGCGTTTGTGTGCACCAAAGGGTGTGTACTACCATATACGATATTGGCGTGGGGTCTACTCAAACCGCTTGCGACGATAATGGGGGCGTCACGGTGGGCACGGTGCCTGAAGGGGGGCTGAAGGACCATACAAAAATAAACACCTATGAATCCAATGCGTACCATTGTATCCATCCCTATAGAATAGTCTTCAATATTCATGATTGCGTGGTGAGCCTTCATCGACGCTCAAGAGAGAACCATCTGTCAACACGCTTACGAAGTTCTCGGTTACCGATAACTTCGGATTTGCTGGGGTCAACCGTCTGACCATGTATGTGTTCTGCAGCTCTTAACAGATTGATTAATTTTCCGTACTAGCTGCTCATATATATTGAAAACCCTCTGTGCGTTCACCGTCGACATACCATGGCTGAAGTGTTCTTTCATTCAGATCGACAAATTTAGATACCCAAACATGATATACCCATAGGGTCATAATAATATACGGCTAGACCCTCGGTTCATCCATCACGACACCCTGCCTCACAGAATCAATGGCAGATCTCATAAGCTCCCTCTCAGAGAGGCCTTGCAGATCCCCAAACACTTCATCCATCTCCTCGAGCGTTTTCCCCTTCGTCTCAGGAACCAACAGCAGTGCCCACACCCCAGCCAAAAAGCACCATACCGTGAAGAAGATATATGTTCGATAGCCCTGGGTAGCCATCATCGGGGGTGTAGCTACTCCGATGACGAAATTGGAGAGCCAGTTGAGGCAGGTAGACAAGGCGACTCCCTTGGATCTAGACGCTGTGGTGAACACCTCTGAGGGAAGTGCCCATCCCAATGGTGAGTATGACACACCGAAGACTAGAATAAACAAGAAGGCGAAAGCAACAGCTGCCCAACCAGCTTCTGTATGGGCGAGCCAGTCATGAGAAAACAGCCCGCTCAAGATTGCGATGATCATGTAGCAGATTGCGCAGCCAAATCCGCCAATAATGGCAAGAGGGCGACGTCCAACTCGGTCAATTGTTGCAATACAAATAAAAACCCCAACCAGCTGCAGGATATTGAATACCCCGGACAGGATCAATGACATCTCACCTGATTGACCGAGAGACTGGAACAGCGTAGGTGCATAGTAAATGAAAGCGTTGATACCGGAGAATTGTTGGAAGAAGTTTACACCTACCGCCACAGACGTCCGGCGCCAGTTCTTCTTCTTCAACAAATCCAGCCAACTATACGCTTCCAGCTTCCAGCCCTTAACTCCAGGATGATTTCTTTCTTCCACAAGGCGCTGAAACGTGATCTCCGCGAGAATGCCGTGGTATTCCGCTTGCACACGCTCATCTGTAGATGGGAGGTTCCGGAGCTTGGCTAAGCTAGCCATGCATTCTTGGGAACGGCCTACGAGTGCAAGCCATCGTGGGGAATACGGGAAGATGTGTATGCAGATGCCCAGGAGCGTCGCACATACCATCTGTAGTCCGAGAGGAAGTCGGAAAGAGATATCGCCTTCTAGGAGTCGAGTACCGAAGGTGATCCAATACGCGATAACGACACCGGAGACTATCGAAACGGATTCTAGAACCAGCAATGTCCCACGAAGGTTTGGCGGGGAAATTTCTGAGATATAGAGAGGCGCGGTCTGATGAGCAAAGTTAGCAAACCGCCGCAATATTAAACCGAAAAAAGAAGGGGAATTTTGAGTGAAAGGAGCATGCACCATAGCCAAAGTACCCACGCCGATCCCACCGATCGCTCTCCCAGCAACCAGCATCGCATAGTCTTGGGCTGCAGTCTGAATGATGGCACCAATGTCAAAGATCACCACAACAATAGTCAATGCCCACTTCCTTGAAATCTTATCTGCAAGATAAGGCATGAACAGACAGCCGACAAACGCCCCGAGCAGCAACATCCCAGTCATGAATCCCGTGCCAAACGGAGTCTTAGTCTGTGGGAAGACTGTATGAAACTGGTCCATCACGTTGATGATTGAGATGACACCTTGGTCGTATCCAAACGAGAATCCACCTAGGGAGGCCAAAAATGCAGCCCCAAACACGTAGCCCGATGAAAAGAGACCTCGGACTCCATCCGGGCCGTACGCAACGGCGGAATGGCCAAGTGCACCACGCGCTTCGCCGGTAGTGATGACGGTTACTTCCTCATGTTCCGAGGATGAGACAGCCAGAGGCTTGTCAATTTCTGTGCCTACGCCTTCGCTCATTGGGTCGATGAAATTGGAGTAGAGGTGCTGTTTCTAACGGTTCTAGATCGTATAGTCCGGGCTCCATGAACGCGAGGTGAATATTTTGGACTATATGTATTTATTTATATACTAGTGGTCACATGGTTGACGTGGAGTCTGTGTCTGTTAAGGTTTGGGGGGATTCTGGGGGAAGAAAAAGAAATTACTCTATATGGGAAAAAAGCGGCGACAACATTGGAACGGTGAATTTGTTACGCTGACGATCCCCCATCCAACGGCTCGATGCAATCGGACTTCACACCCTACATGCCCTGCAGAGGATCTGTCAATCAGCCTATTCGAGAAGTCATCGGCGATGAAATATTTGTAGGCGGCGATCCCCGGTTCTCATCGGACCCTGCGCGATACACGATGCATTGGACGTGGATACGGTATATCCTACTTGGGAAGCCAGTGGTTGACCCGACTGGTAGCACGGATCTCTTCCAGAACAGATAACAGGGGGTGAATAAATAAGTTCGATGCCGGACGGTGCAAAGCCAAAGTCGACGCGCTTGATTAGACGTGTGCATTCTTCCATCAGTCTCTCGCGTCATTACATTGCCTGCACAGCCACGACAGTCACCGCGTCACCGAGCACAAGGACATCACTTCATCAGAGACATCGAACCATGTCATCTGGGGACCGTCGCATCAAATTTGCGCTTTTCGGCCTGGGACGCCTGGGAGTCCTTCGAGCCCGCATCCTCGCCTTCCAGCAGCCTCGGATCGAACTCGTCGCCGTCTGCGATACAAAGCCAGGCACTGACAAATGGGCTGCAGAGAATCTGCCCCTGTCTGTCAAGTATTTTTCAGAGCCTCAAGAATGCTTGAAGAACAGCGGCGCTGAGGCCGTCCTCATTTGCACCGCGACAGCTACACACGCGCCCTTGATCCTGCAGGCCCTTGATCTAGGCTTGCACGTCATGTGCGAGAAGCCCGTCTCCGTGGACATCGCTACTACCAAGGCAGTGGTCGAGAAGTCTGCTTCTAGGCCTGACCTCAAGTTCCTTGTTCCGTTCACTCGCAGATGTAAGTAATTCTAGATCCCGCGCTTTGCAGAGTTCAGAGACCGACTCGCACAAGATGACAAGTCCTACCGCCAGGCTAAGGCCCTGATCGATAATGGAGACCTGGGTGAAATCCACGCTGTTGAGACGACTGGTATCGATCAAGCAGACCCCAATGGTAAGGCCCTAATTGACCCCCTCCCCAGCTCGTTGTCTTCCGCATAGGCTGATGGACTGATCTTTCCGTTTAGCCTTTTTCGTGTCTTTTTCTGAGCAGTCTGGCGGCATCTTCCTTGATTTTGGCATTCACACCGTCAGTCCCAGTATTTCTTCTCCCACTCACTATTCAATCTACTAACACGGCACTAGGTCGACGCCGGTCGATACCTATTAGATGTAAGTCAGGCCTCTCCAATCCCAAGAAGCAAGTCAACAGAGTCATCGCCTTCGGCCAGCTGGCTGTCTATGGGGACTTAGCCAAGTATGGCGACGCCGACAACGCATGGGGCCTGGTGGAATTTGCCAATGGCAAGATTTTCAAGACTTACCTCGGTCGCACGCTCACCAGCGGTTTCGAGGACACGACTCGGTTGTGTGGCACCAAGGGACATTCGATCATCAGCGCTAACTCGAATGTTGAGATTCGCGACCATTTCGGCATTCGCACACAATCTGTGCCTGATGCGTTCACTCTCTTCGATGCGACGTTCCTGGCTGACCTTGCTGAGTTCGCCGATGCGGTGCTTGATAACAAGCCCTTGACTTGTCAACCAGAGGATGCTTTCGAGGCGGGCAAGATCTGCGCTGCTCTACAGTACTCATTCCGCAAGGGTGTGCCCGTATACTTCGACGACAATGGTCTACCTATCATGGAGTAAGTTATGAGGTGATTGCATATATTACAAGATAGAAAAAAAATGGACATAAGATAGGTAGACTTTACTGAAATTCCATGGTACTTGTAGAAGAACTGTACTATGTTTCAAGTTTATAAAACCGCACTTCAGATCAAAAACCGGTCTTCTAGCCGCTACGGAGTGCTCGATGGACTGTTGACCTTAAAAGTCTGTGCGAGAAATTAGTTTTTAACGTAAATGTAGAGAATCAGCGCGTTTTCTCATAATTGAGTGGTCTTTAGTAAGTCATCTAGTGGGTTGCTGAACTGATGTTAGTCGCTGTGCATGAGCTTCTGGCTGTGGAAGATCAGGGGGCGGTGGCTTGAGAGTTCCTCATTGAGTTGTCCGATGTGAATAACTGGCTTCATCCAAATCACTCAAACCCTGTGAGGCCATATCAGGCGGGCCATATCCAGAAACAGCAAGTCTAGGATTAAACCAAAGCAATCGTGCACGCACGTCGTCCAAGTCATGGGGTGTAAGACTAAAAACGGTTGACATGCGGCGCAACTTTCCCGATTCAGAGATTTTTTGAGCTGACCAATCCCTCATTTGTGGACTTATAGTAGATATATAGGGGATATATAGATCTTTCAATGTATTGGTTGTTGAACGGTGTATATCAGCAGCTTTGAAGCATTCCTATTTTCGCAAGATCAGACTGTCAACATTGCCTAAGAGGCACCTTTTCAGCATCTTTCCGGTCATAATAAGAGAAAATGGCACCTTACATTCAAGAATTCACTGGCGCCGATCTCGTCTCTAAGGCTAACCTCCAATCTGAGAGCGCGACGCTCAACCACGTCCAGGACCCAAAGCCCGTCGCGGACGACTTCATGTACGACTTCAAATACAACCACAGTCTCCCCACTACCGACACCTTAGCCGTTAAGATCCCCACCGATTGCGAGGCTCAGAAGGAGGCCGAGGGTATCGTAGCCCGTCTCTCTACTGCCACATCAGAGGGAGATGCGCAAGCTTTCGCTGGGCTGTTCCTCGATTATGGTGAGACTCTTCACAAACAAGATCCGAAATCTCGACTTTAGCTGACCTCAGATGTACAGGCGTGTGGCGTGACAAGCTCTCATTCACCTGGGACTTCCGCACATTCAACTTCAGAGATGCCATCTTAAAGGCTGCTGCCGACCTGTTGCCTCAAACCAAGGCTAGAAATTTCAACTTTCTCGAGCCTGCGCCTTCGGTGTCTCGCCCTTACCCTGACTTCTCTCAGCTGCAATTCGTTGTATCCTTCGAGACTGAGATTGTTCTTGCTTCAGCCGTCATCAATGCAGTTCTCACTCAAGAAGGCTGGAGAATTTACACCATGCATACTGTTGCTGAGAGCCTCAAGCAGTTCCCCGAGCAGGCCGCACCAGATGGACACATGGCCGGTATCACTAGCTGGGAGAGTCAGAGATCCGAGACCATCAACACTGTTGACCCAGAGGTGCTGATCATCGGTGGTGGTCAAAAGTAAGAACCCATGCTTGTGAGCTCCTTGATATAATCCTAAAATTATTTCTACTAGTGGTCTCGCTATCGCAGCGCGCTTGAAAGTGCTTGGTATGGAAAACCTGATCATCGAACGCAGCGACGAAGTCGGAGATATCTGGAAGAAGCGTTACGAATATCTTTCACTGCACTTTCCGCACTGGCCCGATGCCTTACCATACTTCAAATATCCTCAACATTGGCCCACATATACCCCGGCTCAGAAGCAGGGTCTATACATGAAGTGGTATGCCTCCGCCCTGGAGCTCAATGTCTGGACCAAGTCGGAGATTGTGAAGGCCGAGCAGGACGCCGAGGATAAGTGGACCGTAATAATCAACAAGGAGGGCAAGGAGACTCGTACGCTGCATCCTAAGCAACTCATCATGGCCACCTCGCTATGCGGTGTTCCTTCAACCCCGGTCGTGCCTGGCATGGCCGAGTTCCGGGGCGTGATCCGTCACTCCAGCGCCCACAAGACTGCCCGTGACTTTGTCGGAAAGAAGGTCTGCGTAGTTGGTACCTCATCCTCGGGCTTTGACACAGCTTACGAGTGCGCCCGCCTGGGAATTGATGTGACCCTCCTTCAGCGGTCACCAACTTACGTCATGTCTTTGACCCATTCTGTTCCACGCATACTTGGAGGTTACGCGCCAGACAAGAATGGCAACCTCCCCGATACCAAAGTACAGGATCGTCTCATGTTCGCTACACCAGTTGGACCTGGCGAGGAACTCGCCAGGCGCACCGCCAAGGTCCTTGAGGACCTGGACAAGCCCCTGCTCGAAGCTCTTAACGCTCGAGGTCTGCGAACATGGCGCGGCCAGCGCGATACTGGCAACTCCACACTAGGTCAGACTCGGAACGGCGGATTCTACTTCGATGCCGGTGCTTGCGAAGAAATTATCAATGGCAACATCAAGGTGGAGCCTGGCTTCATTGAGAAGTTCACCGAAGATAAGGTGATCTTAAACGGCGGCCGCGAGAGGGAGTTTGACCTAGTAGTCTTTGCCACCGGATTTACAAACATGATCGACTCCATTCGAGCCACTCTTGGTGAGAGGATTGCAAGCCAATGCGGACCTATTTGGGGTATTGATGAGGAAGGCGAGTACAAGACGGCCTACCGGGAGACAGGAGTGCCCAACATGTGGATCATGGTTGGTTTCCTTCCAATGACCCGGTATGCCTCCAAATTATTGGCTTTGCGACTGAAAGCTCTAAAGGAGGGAATTTCCCCACCCCCTTACAAAGTTTAGTTTTTATAGATGAAGATAGACTGATGATTCCGCGCTCTAACAATTGCGCCGTAAAAAAAACGATTTTCTTTTCATCCACTCTGTAGATTTTATGGCTACGAAGCTAATACGAAAGTGCAGGTGAGGTGAGACACGATGAGATGATTCTGGAGGAAGAATATTAGGACTTGATCTACTTCCCAAAGGACTGTGGCAATCGTAAAGGAGCAGAGATGGAAACTGGTCAAAAGTTCATTACCATTTCAGCATACGAATAATGTATTTAGGTCAAAGTCAGTTTCCCAATATACTCTGTCATCACTCGCTGTGAGAGAAATAAACTCCTCATAGCGTGTCAAGGAGCACTTACCTTCGGAGCCAAGTGGTGAATACTCCCCGAGGAGAATGCCATGCTTGTCGTACCACTCCTTCAGTGCGTGCTGAGGAAGGAAAGGGTGTGACTCGATGTAGCTATAACCGTTCTTCAGAGCGAACGAGACTGCATGGCCCACCCGACCAGGCTCGGATCTCCAAGTGCCTGTATATCTTGTCAGCAAAATCCTTCAAGTCCCACAGAAGCCAGCTCTTGTAACCTACCAAGTCCCACCGCAGGTATCTGGGCGCCGGTGTTAAACTTGAAACGAGTCGGGAGGGCCATGATACTTGTGGTGAGATAGCTTCAAAGTGTCCGTATCCGTAGCTTTATGCTACGCTTTCGGGGTAGACTACGCAGGACGCAAGACCAAGCCCAGTGAACTTGGACTGATATTTCATCGGCTATGGAGAGGGTCTTCATCTGGCCAACATTGACATCGGACTTATTGCAGAATCATGTTCTCTGCAATAAGCTCCTAAAAGCCAAATGGCGCCTTGGCTAGCTGACGCACATAGTCGTGAGTGGGCGGCGAGGCTGCAAAGACTTGCTTTGCTCGTAGCGTCTCGACACTCCCTTTACCTAAATGAGTAACAATTGGGCGAATTAGCTCTGGATCCAGGTTTGCAGTCCCCGGCCGTTCGCTGTACCATGCGCCACATATTTCCTAATATGGTAAATATTCTGGGGCAGAATTAAAACCTCAGGTTGAAGATCCAGTCCCAAGAGTATATGGGCTTCCCCGGTCAGAGCAGTGGATTTTTCCTTTTCAGGTTGACCGCCGGCTTACATTATAAATTTCAAGCTCAGTACACGCTTATAGATGATTCACAAACTTCTATCGGCCAAACCCTCTTATTTCGTACACTTCTCTGGAAACTACCCAACTAAATGACTAACAACCATGGAAAGCACTAGGGTTGAGAATCACAATTCATTGTATAGAGGTATATTTCTAGTCTATTTCTAGTATTATTGAGTTACAATCTAAGTGCTACTTGAGTACGTGTTTTCCCCTAACCCGCGACTCCCCTTCTTCGAACAACTGCTCCTAGATGGCTTATTTATGGCGGGGAAGAAAACAAGACGCGATAATGTAGAGAGCGCCTGCAGCGATCGCCATAACATAGATATCATCGACACTGTGCACAATAATGTCAAGGGCTTTTCTCCTCAGCTCAGGGGACAGCTCCGAGAGAAGGGAGCTTTGCGCACCCGCGATGGCATCTCGAATTTCATCTAGGGAATACGCTTGGCCCGCTAAAAGAGCGACAAGACCGTCGATGGTTTGACTCTGAAAAATGGCACTCGCAATTGCCAATCCAAGGAGTTGACTTTGACCTTGCGCGATATTCATGAACTGGATGCACTCTGCAACGCGCTCTGGGGCCACAAGGGTCGGACCAACTGCATACGCAGCCTGCGTCGTACTCATCCCCAGTCCAAGTAGGATGGAGTAGCCGTAGATATTGGCAGGATTGGTGTCGTAGCGAACTGTGTACATCAATGCCGCGCCAATAAGCATGAAGATTCCGCTGGCAAGGTACCAGAGGATATAGTAGCCAGTCTTTGGCATTAGATAGCCGCAGAGGAGAATGGTCGCAACGTAGAAGCAAATAAATGGCAGCAGACGCACTGCAGATATGATTCCCGAGTCGCCGTGCACAAATTGGAAGTAGAGTGGGATGTAGTAGACTGCAACAAATAATGCAGCACCACCGCAGGCCATGAGGATGTAAAGGAAAATCATAGTAGGATTGCGAAGGAACTCGCCAGGGAATAAGCGGTCTTCCTTTGTGGTAAGAACACTGTAATACTGGCTGAGGATAAAGCCGATGAGTGTGACGCCAGCTACCACATAGAGAGCGATATTGCGACCGTCCACCCATGGCCACTGCACACCACCAAAGGTAAGGAACAGAACGAATGACACATGCAGCCCGGTTGACAGCACCATGCCAACCCAGTCTAGGCCCAAGAGTTTATTAATGAAGCTGCGGCCCTGGCCTGATGGGCGCGGCAGTGAAGGTAGGAGGAAAACGTAGACGGGTGACATGACGGCAAATATGACCAAGTTGAGGTAGAATCCCTACCTCGAATTGTCAGAAAGAGAATCCAGAGACATAACAATACTCACCCATCTCCAAGTTGCAGAACTATCGGCAAAAGCGCCACCAATGATCGGACCCAGAATACAACCAATTCCATAGATCAACCCAACTAGGCCAACATAGACCGGCTGCTCCTTGGGAGTTGTCAGAATAGTGATGAGATTTAGATTTCTATACATAAAGACGATCAGTGACTTCTCCTCACTGGGTATATGGCGAACCTCTTACCCTAGATACATCCCTGCGCCGCCAGCACCAGCCCACACGCGACCAATAATAATGGCATTCATGCTGGGGGCGCCTCCGCAAAGCGCACTCCCAGCGGCGAACATCGTCAGACAGCCGATGAAAAGCCATTTGGTATCAAAGATTGCGTAAGCCTTTCCCAGCGGCAAAATGAAGACGACCGACCCCAACGTGAAGCCAACACCCAGCCATCCTATCTGTGCATATTCATTGAAGGTACCGGCAACGGCGCCCTGAATGTCAGCAACAATGGTATTGTCCAAGCCGTAGAGCAGGTTAGCAGAAAAGACAGCAATGCAGAGGAGCAGCCAGCGGATTCCTTGGATTGACCGTTGCTGCAGTTCCTTCTCGGCGTCTCCTACGAGGGCGGGCTCGTCACCATGGACAGCCTCTGATGATGCCCGGGGCGCTATGTCAGTGAAGCTGGAAGCTGCGGGAATTGTACTCTCGGTCATCATCTTATATCAATCTGACAAGTGTGGTCGAAAATTAAAAATGAAAAGAGAGCCCGAAAAGGAAAAAGGACGAGAGGTGACTCGGTGACTAGGCACTTGCAATTGATCCAGTCCACGGGGGTATCTCTTTCTTGTCGTGTCAAAAGGCTTTTAGAGCGTACATATATACATATTATATATAAGTCCGCCGATCCGTATTTTTCCTATTTCGGCGATGCCCTAGGGTTTGTCGTGCGGAGATGTGACTAATAATGGCGAGCAGCACCCAGCTAGATACAGACTCCGAAGACTCCGGAACTCCTTTTGGTAAAAAACAGTGCAAAATAAAACAACAAAATTAATAACAATAGTTAATTATGTTAACTTAACTGGTTAACGTTGTCCACCCCCGAATGGATCACATCCCCAAGCGGATCACTCCTACAAAATAGCATTTTTAAAGCCGCAATAATTCAATATTTTCCCTCAAAGTATAGCCCGAAAGATATATATGTAAGAATATACTATAAATAAGACTATATTTTCATTTAAATGAATTTTAATCATAAATAATTAAGATTACAAAAGTTACAATGTAACTCAATGTATTTTTAAAGATCTATCATCTATGTAATTTTAATTATTATTAATCATTATTTAATAAAATCTAGCAAATATAATAAACAAGATATATTATATATTATATACAGTTTTCAATATATATTCTTTTAGAAAAATTTTGAATGATTGAGGCTTTAAAAATGTCATTTTATATGCGTACTGGAGTGATCCGCTCAGGGGCACGTTATTAACGTAATCGAACAATCCGGCCACCCCCATACACCATATAAAATGACTATTTTTCTATCCTTATATCTCAACAAAATTATATGTAAACAGTCACCTAAATGTTAGTATATATAATAACATATTGTTGCTAGCTATATTTTTGATTTTTAATGAAAACAAATAAGAATTGATGGAGATTCCGAAAAATACATCGTATTTTTAGGTATTTTATGTAATTTTACGTAACTTCTATAAATATAAAATAATTCAATAGGACTTTTTGATATATTAGTTATCAATATAATATGTATATGCGTATGAAATTTGAGTAGCCGTTCATACATAATTTTGTTGAGATATAAGGATAGAAAAATAGTCGTTTTATATGGTGTATGGGGGTGGCCGGGTTGCTCGATTACGTTAACTCAGATAGTTTTTGAATGACTAATTAATTGGTTTGCACCTTGTTGGTTGTGAATCTTGTGATACCCCCTTTACCTTGTGATCCAACGCTCTCCTGTTCAAAAATATGGTTAAGGCTCCAGCTCTCAAGTAGAACGAAGAAGTTCAATGTCGTTAGTGTGGAGAGATAATTATGTAGCTTATAATTAACTAGCCTTTTATATAATTTAGAATGATACATTCTTTTCTTTGTTCACCCTCGTTATAGACTGTTTGCTCTGGACGCGATCGAGTGCCTCAGGCAGAGAAGTATGCGACGCTACCAACACACAATCTTCAGGATGTAATTATTGATGATAAGCTAAATATATAATTGGAATCTAATTTTTAAAGTAATATCACGAAAATCAGCGAACAAATAGAATCGATGAATCCAGATATAATATCAATAGGCTCTCGGACCTGGATAAAATGTTTGTAAATAGCAAAGTAGAAAATAGAAACGATATGACACTGCTGGCGCATGATTGGACAATCTACTTGCGTACACTGTACCTATTGTGGACGATCACCCCAAAACGGGCTTGAAGTGGCTGAAACCTTAGGCTAGATCTGCAGTTCCGTGCCCAGGCAGAAGTATTCTCGTCGTTCCATTCCTCGCGAGAAACAAGAAACAAATGCATATTTACCGACTTCGAGTCCACGGTGTTTTCGGGCTGCAGAGGCAAATACTAGCCTTGACAATCCTACACCCATCAAGTGATCTCTCTGCCACGAATATATCTGGTGCGTCACGCGCGAGATGTCTTCTTCCGCCCTAGCGCAGTCGCAGCTGCGACACGCGATCGTTCGCATCTCGAAACTGGTCGTCACGTCGTACATCCTTGACTGGATTCTCATGATGTGTGCAATCTCTTCCTGCTTGTTCCAATTCCCTAGCTAATGCTTCTCTCCCAGTGCCGTTGCGGGCATTGGAGGCGGCTTTTCGTCGCTCACCCCAAGCCAAAGACCCTTTATTCTGACCGACCCGGATATTTCCTTGCCATATGTATCAAAGGACACCGTTTCGTCAGCCGTTCTTATTATTGTCGGACTGGTTGCTCCAGCTGTTATTATCGTGCTCTTTAGTTTGCTCCTCGTCCCCAGCCCGCGCGCTCTTAAAGACGCACCATACGCCTTGATCTGGAGACGCAAGATCTGGGAATGGAATGCTGGCTGGATGGGTCTGGCACTGGCGCTCGCCGCGACTTTCTGTGCTACCGAGGGCCTCAAAGATGTAATTGGCAAACCGCGACCTGATTTGATCGGTCGTTGCAACCCAGACCTCTCGAATATTAGCAGGTATGCTGTCGGTGGATTGGGACGTGCACTCCCCGGAGCGCCGACTTATGTGACGCTGGATATCTGCCGCAATCAAGATAGTAACCTGAGAAAGGATGGTTTTGCTGCGTGGCCCAGCGGACATTCTTCCTGTGAGTACCAGACAAGCTTCTCGCTTTTGGCCAATACTTATCGTCATCAATCGAAACAGTCTCCTTTGCTGGTATGCTTTATTTGACTCTCTGGCTGTGCGCAAAATTCTCCGTCGCATTTCCATACCTCGGACCACTTGCATTCGGAGCAAAAGCACCGGCGGCGCAGACCGCTGCTGTTCTGCCAGAGTCATCCCACGATGCTATCTCAAACGCAGAGAACTCCAAGTCGACCCTCCACGACTCAGCCGATCTTTCACCTCCATCTTCGTCTACATCCCTTCGAGGCCAAGGCGCTGCACCGCCCGTCTATCTCCAAATCCTCTGTTTCTTCCCTATCTGCGTTGCCTTTTATATCGCATGCTCCAGATACCACGATCACCGCCACGCCGGGTTCGATATCATTTCAGGCGCGGTTCTAGGTATTTTCTTTGCCTATGTCGGTTTCCACATGTATCACCTTCCCATTCGTCGCAGCGATGGCTGGGCATGGGCAGCGCGGAGCCGTAGCCACGCTTTTTTCAGGGGCTTTGACTACGCAGATTTGACGATTACAGAGGGTTGGGCAGCGGAGTCGCGCGTGCTATCGACGACAGCTGATAACAACGAACCTCGTGGGGAAGCGCAGGTATGAGTGTGCACGAAATATACCAATATCTGAAAATATACATATGCCATTTTATATAATATAACGTCGAATATCACCTGTTTTGAGAGCACATGAAAGCATTTGAGAGTCTGAAAAAGATTGTGTATAATTTTGTTGAATTTGTATGCTACTAATATATATCAACTGTTGTTGCTTCAATTGATATTTCATCTGGAGGCACTCGATCACTTGTGCGCAAACGCTCTAGTTTCTTCTACAACTTGGGATTCTGCTCCCCCGTCCCATATCTAAGAAACTGCTCAAGAGAACACTTAAATGAGCCCAGACATTGTCCAAGTTATGGACACGTGCATGAAATCAGACCTAGCCTTTGAACAGCCAGGGAGGAATTTTGAGGTTAGATTCAAGGGGGGTTTTTGGGGATTGATGAATGATTTGAATGCTTGAATTTGGCATTGTTTTATTCTATAAAGCATGACATGGTCTATTTGTTCATACATATGGACTCTTCGGGTGAAATATTTCTAGTCAAAGTCTTAGACTATCTCGGCATGTTGCTTGGTGGCTTTCTCCTCAACAGTGGCCAGAGCATCGGTGTGGAAGGGCATTTCATTTGCGATGCGCACGGGGTCAAAGGCATTCTTAGACTGCAGGAAGATTTCATCGATTTCCTCGAGAGATCGCCCCTTGGTCTCTGGACAGAAGAAGTAAAAGATCACGCACCCTCCGGCACTAATGCATGCATAGATGATATAGTACTTGTACCCAAGATTGTCAAAGCCAACGGGGGTCACTTCGGCAAGCAAAAAGTTGAATAGCCAGTTGGCTCCAGCACTCATGGCAGCGACTTTGGCACGTGTTTGCAGCGGCGCAATTTCGGCTGCGTACATGAATGGGACGAGGAAGAGACCGATGGGGAAGCAGAAGAAACCCAAGAAGTAGAACAGCAGGCTTGCAGATGCGGCTGATTTGTTGCTCAAGTCTGACGAGAGGCCGGCGAGGCCGGCCTGGCACACGGCCATTCCAAAGGCTGCGGAAATCAGAAGACGGCGTCGTCCAAACCGATCGATAAGCAAGACTGCCAACCCAGCACAGAGGAACTGCCAGATTTGGAGACAGCCGGAAATAATGCGAGCGGTAGTTCCGGAATAGCCTAGATCGGTTTCAAAGATGGTGTCTGAATAGAATGTGATGATGTTGATGCCAGTCATCTGAGCAATGACATTGACGCCAATGGCAACCATTGTCCGATGGAAGTTTCGGGTGTCGTTGAATGCGAATGGATTGTGTGATCTCTCACTGCCATGGTCGTCCTGGAGGGACTGCTGGATGGTCTCTAAGCCCAAAGCGACGGCCTCAGAGTCCCCATCGGTGTCTTCCAACCGAGCCAAGGTCTTTGCTGCATCTTCCATTCGATCCTGGCGGACTAGCCAACGAGGCGATTCCGGCAGGAAGAGGATGCAAGAGGTAACAATGAGTGCAAAAAAGGACTGAAACGCAATTGGGAAGCGCCAGTTAGCCGAGTTGTTTTTGACATAGTACATGCCGAATTCGAGCCAGGATGCGAGAGCGACACCGCCAATGGCAAAGAACCCTTCAAGCAATACCATTTTTCCTCTGCCCTCGGCTTTGACACTTTCGGAGACATACATCGGTATTGTTGCGGTAAAGGCACCAACCCCGAGACCTTTGGTTGTTTTCGGTTAGATTCTACCAATTTTCTTTTCACGGCTTGCTCTTGCTTGACAAGACGGACTTACCAGTAATAACCCGACCGACAATGAGCTGTGCCAGGGCAAAAGGAGTAGCTTGAATGATGACACCTACGATAACGATACATCCTGCTAGGAAAATGGTCTTTCGACGGCCAAGCTTATCTCCAATGAAACTACATGATAGAGCCCCGAAAGCACATCCTACTTCGTAAATGGCAACAGTTGTGCCTGGGGATTGCGAAGATCAGACATTGGACACACAATGGACACACAATGGATTTGGTTGAATACTCACCCTGGATGGTCGAATTGTGTTCTTTCTGTGCACCGGTTGTATGAATGGTATCGATTTCAGGAAATGTCTTGACAAACGTGTCTAGCGTCAATAATCCGTTCGCTACAGCCTGGTCGTACCCCTGGAGCGTGAAGCCCAGAGCGCAGACCACACCGATCACGAAGGACAACGCACGACCCCTAAGATTGCCAAGCGCCGCCATCCTGGGGGAGTTAAACAAGGCTAAGCTTTGTGCCAAGAGCGCCTTGCACGCGAGAAATATGGGCGTTGACGGGAATGTTAAGCACCAAGAAAGCAGCTGCGAGCAGAACGCACCAAGAGACAATGCAGATATCTCTTCTCCAAGGGGGAGGCCTGGCTTTTTCTTTCAAAAGGCGGGGCCCAACCGCCCCGGAAACCCACGAAATCGACATCTTTGCTGAGCGAGGAGAGAGACCCGTTTCTCCTCAAGGGCCAACAAATCCGTAGCGGGGGTGTGGTACGTAGTGTTCGACCAAGGAGACGTACGGGATAATCGGGATGGTAGTCTGGTGGAACCAATCCTAGTTATCGTGCTCTGATTACGCTCGCTGGTGTTGGTTGGTTTGTCATGGCGTCGCAGTTTAGCCGTTCAGATTAGTCGATGTTTGCGGAGTTTACGGAGTCCCAACCTGCATGGCTGGTACTCTCCAAAGCTAGAGTGTACCCATAGTGCAGCAGCAATGATAGTCGCACGAACAACGCCAGAGACCCAGACAGTGACACCCAATGACTGAACGGCACAGCTATGAACGAGAGCTTTGGAACAGCGACGATAACGCCTCGTGGAGTCCCCAGGTCTTGCCCGCAGCGACGATCCGGTTTTCCCTCCGTCATGGTGGCCAATTGCAGGCGTCCATTACCCACTAAGCCCGTTCGGGCCATACCAGGCGCAACATTCCCGGGGAGAACGTCCGCAGAGACCGCTTACCTGATCTGCCTAATCGGGACAGGGCTAGGGCAGGGCATGCCTGTAGGGTTGTATTACGCACGTGATCCGCTCCTTTCTTGGCGCTGGAAAATTTTCAGGCGCACAGGCAGCGCGCAGCCAGCAACCAGTCAGTCCCATTCGCCTTTTCTCTCTCCCAGTCGCTCTTTGCCTTTGCTGCGTCTTGCCTGCCACTGCCAGCCCTGTCGGGTGCCCTCGCAGCTCTCCCCCACCAACTGACGTCCAGTGGCAGCGCCCACAGCTATTGCTTCCAAGTAACTGTCGCTCCCCGAAGTCCCTAAACCTTCGGCCCTGAAGCTGCTCCCCCTTCGTGGCCCGCCGGCCACTTGCCGTCACCACGTCGACCCTCACCTCCCCCGCAGTCTTTTTCTTTTCTCTTCCCCTCCGTTCACACCCTGCAGCTGGTTCTGCCTTTACCACCAGACTTGCACCCTGTGTCAGACAGACCCCCAAGTGTACCACTCTTCTCTTCTGTCGCACCTACGCCAGTAAAAAGAAAGGCAAGAAAATGGGTCCCAAGAAAGAGGCCGTGGTCGAGAAGGTCCTTCTGGGACGACCAGGAAACAACCTGAAAAGCGGTATCGTATGTGAGCAAAATAGCTTCCTTTCTTTATGTCTACCATCAAGTTTTCGATTTACTAGGCGGATACTTGATGGAAAATTTTTTTTCCATCTTGAACAAAGTCACTAACAAAAATTTTCAGGTCGGTCTTGCCAACGTCGGCAAGTCGACGCTTTTCCAAGCGATCACAAAATGCTCACTCGGTAACCCTGCCAACTTTCCGTATGCCACCATTGACCCGGAAGAGGCTCGTGTCATCGTCCCAGATGCGCGCTATGAATGGTTGTGTGAACAATATAAGCCCAAGTCGCGAGTTCCCGCCAACTTGACTGTCTATGATATTGCTGGTCTCACGCGCGGCGCGTCTACCGGTGCCGGGCTTGGTAACGCCTTTTTGTCCCATATTCGTGCCGTCGATGCCATCTTCCAAGTGGTCCGTTGTTTTGACGACGCCGAGATCATCCACGTTGAGGGTGACGTTGACCCTGTTCGTGATTTGAATATTATCAGCGAGGAACTGCGCCTCAAGGATATCGAATTCGTCGAGAAGGCATTAGAGAATCTTGCCAAGCAGACTAGGAGAGGAGGCCAAAGTCTGGAAATGAAGAAGTTGAAAGAGGAAGAAGCCACTGTCACCAAGATTCTTGAATGGTTGAAGGATGGCAAGGACGTCCGCAAGAACGACTGGTCGCCCAAGGAGGTACGTACGATCTTTCTGTTTCTTTCACCCAATCACTTTGCAAACATGAAACATACCATGATGAATAAGAGCAATTGCTCGAATATAACCCAGCTCGTCGAACACCTCGTTATTTAATCACGTTGAGGTTGTCTTGAGATAAAAACTTGTCTGAATTTGTTATTGTTCACACTGCACTTCACTATATACGCTTGCCATAGGCTATGCTCTGCAGAAGGCTAATTACGGAAACCAATTAGGTTGAGATTATCAACCCTCTCATGCTTCTCACCGCGAAACCCGTTGTCTATCTGGTGAACTTGAGCGAAAAAGACTACCTTCGCCAGAAGAACAAGCATCTGCCTAAGATTGCAGAATGGGTCAAGGAACACGCCACTGGCGATCCTATCATTCCCCTTTCCATCTGCTTTGAGGAAAGATTAACCCGGTTTGAAACCGACGCCGAGGTTGACGAAGAGTGCAAGAAGCTGGGAACCAAGTCGGCTCTACCAAAGGTCATTGTTACCATGCGTAACGCCTTGAACCTAGGCAGCTTTTTCACATGTGGTTCTGACGAAGTCCGACAATGGACCATCCGTAAAGGCACCAAGGCTCCTCAAGCCGCCGGTGTCATCCATACAGGTATGGCCCGAACTCCTCGAGGCTTTTGGAGATGTCAGCTGACGTACATGAATAGATTTCGAGAAGACGTTCATTCAGGCCGTTGTATTCAATTACAATACCCTGAAAGAATATGGTGATGAAGCCTCAGTCAAAGCTGCCGGGAAGATCATGACCAAGGGCAAAGACTACGTCGTCGAGGATGGTGATATTCTTCTCATCAAGGCGGGTGCTGCCAAGGGCTAAACGCCCCCTCCAAATGCTGGTAATTCATACCACAACCCTGAGTAGCTTCAGGAGACTGCTATTTAAAATATCGCGATGGCTTATGAAGCTGTGCCATTTCTTAGCGATGATGGATAGGAAATAGAATACCTACCATAATGAGTTTTCAATATATGCCGCATGCAAGAATTGAAAATGTATTATATGTAGAAAATAGATAATTTGAAGCATTGTCGAATATAATATAATCTAATCTGCACATCAATCGATGTCGCGGCCGCAAACCATTTGTTCTGCGCTTTTGCCTTCCCCGCGTCTAGAGTGTGTCGTCACATGCCCCTCCGTACTTTGAACCCTCAATACTCTCATACATTCCAATAAAAACACAGACATCTGGACTTGCCATCAGCCAGAGTTTTGTCTCGATACCTAATCACGATTCCAATTCGACGTTTATATATCTTGCGCCTTACTCAATTGGACACTTATCTACCCTTTACACCTACCCCGCGCTCGCTCTATCCGAGTGGAAAAACCCTGTACCAAAAGCAACCGAAACACCCATAAACTAAACACAAGAACCTGATAACCTACACGTATATATCCATTTACATTCAGCATCGGGGTTCTTTTCCATAAACCCTTCCAAAAAGATGTTCAAAAAAGAGCACGTTCACTCCCCTCCCTGTACACACTACTGGGTTGTCGACTAACCAAACCAACCACATGAACAGCATTCAACCAGGGTCACGATCCAAAGTCAAGTCCTCGGTGCAGCGTGCCCTTCGATCAAAATTCATTGAAACGTACCCCGGCTTCGAGCCGTATATCGATGAAATCCTCCCTAAGAAAGCTTCTTTGCAAGCTGTGAAGCTGTATGCATTTCGCCTCTTTCACTTTTTTCTTCTTGTGGCTCGTTTTCATTTTCGCATCAGGGCAAAGTGTTGTATCTTCTTAATTACTGACTACTGACTACTGTGTGGAAATAAATGAACAGACCAGATCGAAATACCCTCTACGCAATCGACACAACACCGTTATTCTACCAACCCTTCGACGGCCCTCCAATCCCGCATCTCAAACTCGTGCATTCCTTCCCTGACGCCATCCCCACAATCGGAATCGATCGAGGCGCTATTCGATTCGTGCTCTCTGGTGCTGCGTTGATGGCGCCGGGGTTGACGTCTGCTGGAGGTCGCTTACCGGCGAAAGAAGATGCTTTGGAGGCTGGGGATGTTGTGGCGGTGACGGCCGAGGGTAAGGAGGAGGTGTGTTTGGTGGGGGTGTTGAAGATGGGGACGGAGGATATGAAGGAAAAGGGGAAAGGCGTGGTTATGGATGCAGGGCATTATCTAGGGGATGGACTGTGGAAGATGAATTTGGATTAGGTGTGGATATGTTCTTTTATAAAAAAAAAACAACAACAAAGAGATGGAGCCAAATTTACCATGTAGGCTGTCTCGGGGAGATAAGCCTCGGAGTAATCGATAATGTTTGGTCTTGGACATTGGATCGGTGCATTGTGAAGCTTGTCTATGTATATATGGCTATTAACGCTAAGTGTAGGGTTTAATTTACACTATGAAAATGTGTTATATATAGAAAAAGAAATACCCTAGAAGCGTCTTCAAACGTCATATCATGCTCTGGAGAATATCAAGCTGGAGGTAAGTCGTCTATTCCGCTGCTCCCACCGTCCGAAGCAGTCGTAACAGCTTCACCCTCGTCATCAGTCCGGGATGTGATGGGAGACAAATTGGAGGATGTTCCGGCACTAGTCACTGACGAGATATCACTTCCCTTCCGGTTACGGTGATGCTGTCGTCGTGGAGAAAGAGGAGAGGGTATAGTGGGAACGGGGAGAGTCAGCCCCAATCCCTTCATGTTTCGGCCGTTCACATCGTTACTGCCTGGTTTGTGTGCTGTTACGGCACGTCGAAGGCCAACTCGATCGATTGTTCGGCGCAGCATTTCTCCTGATCGATCAAGAGCTATTAAGAATCTAGCCAGTTCTGCGCAAAGATCCCAGTCGTTTTTCTGGGCTGCTAATCCTAGTAGACGCACCGCATGATCTTCGGTTCTAGCTTCGCTTTCTTCTTCCTCTTCGTCAAGGGCTTGAAGGACAAGTAAGTACCCGGCTGCAGTCTTCAGAGACTTGAGTCTTAATGCTTGTTCGAAAAGGTCCTTTGGCGGTGGAAGGTGAGCGAAGAGAGTGCGCCATGATCGAATTTCATTTTTTCGGGTGCATTGAACCACAATATCAAGGTATACATCTGTTGGGAGAGAAGCCTGTAAGAATGAAATCACGGACGGTAGTAACGGCTGTGACGTCTGGGTTGTGTTGTTTTGTGATTCGCCCCGGCTTGGGCCATCTACAGCATCGTCTAGGACATGATGCAGAAGAATTTCCATGGCGTGTGGGAAATATGACAGGTGTGAATAGTAATGAGACAATGAGAGAGCAGAGGGCATGTCCACATTTGAGAGACTATGTCGGAGGAAATAAGGAAGGAAAAGATGCGACTGTAAATTAGAAAATATTAGCACCACCACTCGGAAACGAGATCCTATTAACTTACGCGAATGGCAAATTTCAATATTGAGAAGGTGACATCTCGTCTCTGAATCATTTCAGACTCCACACCTAGTACAATTCCTTTGTTCAAAAGCACTGATAGTGGATAAAAGTCCACAGGCACAGCAAGCGGTTTCGGGACATCTTCACGTTGAAGAATCTCTTGTACATCACTCCAAGCGACAAGATCTCGTCCACTAAACAACCACAGCGAATCCCTGAGAGACAAATTACTCTGTGCAGCTTTTAGGACTATGTCAGCTGATGGGCTGGTTGGGTTCGGTTCCTCTGTCGGAGGTGAAAAGTTGAAAGACAACTGGTCACGCATCAGGACGTAATATTCTACATCCTGAGCAACTATTCGCATGTCGTATTTCAGATCTCCGGTGCTCGATAGTGACGGCTGTAGTAGGACAAGATTGCCATCCACGAGTAGCAAGACAGAAGCTACTTTGACATCCTGTGACGGATCTCCGTTACCTATTACGCATGTCAATATGAATACATATTAATGTCGGCTGAGCGATTCTAAACATACGCATCTGTTCTTCTGGCAAAATCCAGCTGATAGAACGAACTCTCGTGGGTGCTCGCACAATTCCATAAAATGCTATCTGCCCGACGGGAACTAGAGCCACGCCGCCATGCATAGAATTGATAACATAATGATAAAGTATATTGTCATATGTGTAAACAAGAAGGGAATCCTCCCCAGATGGACCAATGAATACGGCCGGGGAAGGAAGGTGCTCGGTATGGAGAATGTTATTGTTATCCAAAGATAACTCTCTTGAGTATAAGCGAAGCTAGAAAATATGTCAGTCTGGAAATTTTAGCCACGTATACAGTGAAGGTACCTCATATGAACCATTACTTTCGACAGCCGCGATTAGGATATGACCATACCAGCACATCCCACCTCTGACAGCGAACGAATTCTCTGCTTTGGAATCTTCAAACGTTTTCCAACGTCCACTACTAACACTGTAATGCGCCAAACCTCTTCGGCCAGCAATTGCAACATATCGTCCATCTTGCGATACAACACATGCACGTATGGGCCACTGGGCATGGAGATATGCCGGCGGATATTGTGCATGATGCCATAATGAATCTTTTCCAGAGATGGTCATGAGGTCTGGTAGATCATGGCCCCGGTATAGAATAATTTCAGTGCCTGTTTGTAAGAGCGCCCTGGCTAGATTAGCTGGAGAGTAGCATCCCGTTAAGGCACTACGCGCTGTTTCCAATAGCCATAGCCTGCGTTCATTTTTACACGATAGGACGATATCGGAGCCACCGCCTATCCAACATCCCATTGACACTCCGGTCAGCCAATCTTCGGCGTTATCTTTGGCCATAGTGCGATCAGCTGAGAAGCTACTGCCTCCTACTTTGCCAAAAACACTCCAATTCGCCCAGCCGCGTTCGTAACCAGCAAAAAAGCAATACCCATCTGGAGAGTAGCTCATGAAAGTTAGACTTCCAGTAGCTGTTAGTGAAGCCGGCGGCTGAAGTCTATGTGAGAGCACCACGTTTCCTACATAGTCTTTCGCTGTATAGACCAAAACTTCGCCATTGGCGCAACTAACCGCAAGCAGAGAGAATCTCGCGTTAACCGCTGCCTTGACTGCCACGTTATCATCGTTTGTAGGCGTATGGAAACAGTGACCTGCGAACAGTTTTGACGTCTCCTCCGACTCAGGAGGAAGCTCACTGTTTTTCCTCTGTACAGTATATGCACGTCCTTCACTAGTCACCCATATCAATAGACTCATAGCCCGATCATAAACCATTTCGGTGACGGTGACTTTCTTGGATACGTTCAGAATGCGACTTAGAAGTTCCGAGGTCGTTTGGCTCCCATTCTCATCCGGTGCCCATCGGATACATTGAATCGCAGCTGGTTTCAGGGTAGCGACGAGAAGTTCCTTATCCAGAGCCAATGCTTTCCCAATGCCCGATTCTACCATGATTGCCATTCGAAATCGCATGCTAACATCTTTAATATTATTAAACTCCTCGCTTCCAAAATGACGGGCAAGTTGTTGACGACGGTGCGGATTGGTGTGATCAAAATGTTGTTGGAAAACTCGGGTATTGGGGTCAGAAGCAATTGTATATGTGAGGAGATAGCCCTTCAGAGTCTGTACGACAAGAATTGTAGAATCGGGATGCAAAAGAAGGGAAACATTCGGGCCATATGTTTTCATCGAGGAGGCAGAGCGAGTGACAGCGGCTACGACAACAGCAGGCTAGGTTCACTTAGCGAAGAGTACATTCGGAAATGATAGAATTATACATACCTTCGTCTGCCAGATTGTCATAGACGATTCCGTCATTGTCGCAAACAGGTGTCCAGACCTAGAAGCACAAAGGCCAGCAATGGGCTCGTCGGCCCATGTCGTCGGCTTGGGACTCTCAGAGCCCCGCGCGACTTCGTCTTGCGGAGGCTCATCCTCAAAAAGCTCGCTGTCAGACTCTTTGTAGTCGGTCGATGGCGTTATGGGAATGCTAGGTCCATTGACCGCGTACACCCGGGGGACTCCATTCGGCCAGTACATGGCTCAGCGTGGGAAGGTCGCGTCACGGGAGTGGTAACAAACACCTCGAGACATTTCTCCCGAACGGAGATCGTGCCGAACCAGGGACGCACTACCAAGGATACAACCGTGCCATAGCCATAAGTACTCCTGGAAAACCGAATTTGCGTCATGAACAGGGGCGGTCAGGGTGGTTGTTGTTCGGCAGCTCCGCAGAGAGCAAGCCCGGTGGAATCACGTGTCGATAACTATCGGTCCCATAGGGGCCACCGAAGCGTCTAGACGGACGTCCCACCACCGTTCTTGCCTTAAAAGGAGCTCCCCGCATTTTCCGAGGCAGCCTTTTTACTTCCAGGAACACCAGATTGACCCTGCTTAATCCTGCGCATTATCATGGTGAGTACTGTTCTTGTATGTTTCGCCACTCGGACTAATATGGTTTCTAGGCGCCCACCGAATCCAAGAAGCGCTTGGCGCTCGCCATCATCGATTTCTTAGGATCTAGTTTAAAGGACGGTACCTTGACTGCGGAGGACGCCGACTCTATCGAGATCGCACAAAACTGTATCGCTGAGACGTTCAAGGTCGACCCAAGCGATACTGCTGCCGTACAAGATGCTCTAGGAGGCCAGTCGCTAGCGAGTATCTATAGTGTCTATGAGAAGCTCAAGAACAAGACGGCGGCCGGCTCTGCGGCTCCCAAACAGGAAGAGGCCAAACCAGCAGCAGCACCCAAGTCTAACGCCACCCCAGAGTCCGACAAATTGAAATCAGAGGGAAACGCTGCCATGGGCCGCAAGGAGTATGACGCAGCTGTCGATTTCTACACCCAAGCACTCGCAATTGCCCCGTCTAACCCGATCTACCTCTCTAACCGTGCAGCCGCCTACTCGGCCTCGGGCCAACATGCTAAAGCCGCCACTGATGCCGAACTCGCTGTGAATGTGGATGCGCAGTATGCTAGAGCTTGGAGTCGGCTGGGACTCGCACGCTACGAGCTGGGTGATGCCAAGGGTGCCGTTGAGGCCTACGAAAAGGGTATTGAAGCTGAAGGCAACGGCGGGAGCGATGCTATGAAGAGGGGACTGGAGACCTCACGTCGCAAGGTCGAAGAAATGAAGCGTGCGGAGTCTGCGCCTCCCGCCGAAGAAGTGGACACCGCCTCTGGAGCTTCTCGAGGGGCTCCAGGCGGAATGCCAGACCTTTCTTCCCTTGCTGGCATGTTCGGTGGCGGCGGTGCCGGTGGTGGTATGCCAGATTTAGGGTCACTCATGAGCAACCCCATGTTTGCGAGCATGGCCCAAAATCTGATGAGCAACCCTGAGATGCTTAACAGCGTTATGAGCAATCCTCGTCTCCGTGAGATGGCTGAGAACTTCGGTGGTGGAGGTGGTGGAGGCGGTATGCCCGACATGTCGTCCTTGATGAGCGATCCATCGATTGCCGAAATGTAAGCTTATTGATTATGAATTTTATGGCTGGCAGTTTAACTGACTATCCGATTTATCAGGGCGAGAAATATGATGGGTGGAGGCGGCGGAGCTGGCGGAGCTGGCGGAGCCGGTCGAGGAGCTGGAGGACAGTAATCAACCCGTGAAGTTGACCTGTACGATCTATGACTATAATTATCACTATCCAGACAGAACCCTCGCTTGAATCTATTCATAGCCGATAGATTATGACAGTTATCTTTTGGAGCATTATTATTCTTTGACAATATCAACATGGCCGTGGTGTTAGCAGATCAACATCAACCACTGAGGAAACTGTTTGGGTACGACAGCCATTCTCAATTGCATCAGTATCAAGGTATCCGGCATTGGCTACAATACATGCCGTAGCGGTTTGCTGAAAGCTGCTTTGGATAGTAGCATCGACTTGCCAGCTTGATATCTTTAGTTGTATGTCGATCAATCAACTGATACCAGTATGATTTCCCAGATCACTCCCTCTCGGCCCTTCAATTTTCAATCGTATTGAATACATGTATATAAGAGTAGTATTTACAGTGGGTGATCCCATCCGAGGCACCTCCCCAACTGTTTCAGAGGGAATAAAATACTATGCCACCACCAATAGAAAGCCAGGAGGTGGAAAAGATAAGTGGATGATTTTGTCAAACTTTTTCGCCCACAACAGCATGCCGAGCATAAAACGTACAAAATCAAGTCGATTGCCAGCGCCTGCTATGACCGCAAACGATGAGAGGAGATATTCGTTGGAAGAAGAAGTAGGAAAAAAATCATGCGAGGCACGCCCAAGGCGATCACGCTGGCATCTCACAATAGAAAAGTCGGGAGATAAAGTACAGGAAGTGAAGTAGTACTCAATGACAGCTTAATAAAACAAATACCTTGACACAATATACTCCATCCCGCCAGTGTCTAGTATGCACGATAAATATGGTACAATCAGATGATTAAAACAATAGCCTAGTCCGTAATGACCCTATTGAGGCCATCCAGAAAATTTCCTAGTTAATACCGTGACCGTATAAAGAAACATTAGATGTAGTCTCTTGCTGCTTTTTGTAATTCGATCATTCTCCAACCTCGGGTCTCCGGGTTGTTGACGTCTTCAGGAATCCTAGTAACGCCGATGGCGTATGTGACAAGCTGGACACGATCTTCCATGCCAGCAGCTAGCTCGTTGGTTTTAGCGTTGCGGTAAACATGAACTTCCTGAGTGCGGCAGGTGATCACAAAAACAGGAATATCGCCAGGATCCAGCATGCGGGCGTTGGCAATATCTACGCCTCGGATATCCAGAATGCGGCCATCTGACTTCAATCCGAGTGTGGTATACTGCTGCGCCAATGCAGAGTACACTGAGAATTGCGCATCTGAAAGCCAAAGCTTCAGAGTCTCAGCATCTCCTTTGACATATGCATCCAGAACTTCGGGTAAGATGTATTCGCGCATCTCCCGAAGAAATGGTTCCAGTTGGAAGCTGGGGTCCATCTCGCGGAATTTCTTGATAACTTTAGCGGTCTCGTTCTCGGCAAAAAACCCGGCAACTCGATCTGAAATGCTTCGGGCTGTTGAGATAAGAGGATTTTCGGATTCGTTATAGGTATCTTTAAGGGAGAAGAGCTTCTGCATCATGGGACTCGAGTCGCGGAAACCGCGCCAAGATTCTTTCCAGGCGGCATCTTTGTGCACTGTCAAATTCGTGCCGGCTCTACAATAAAGTAAGCATCACATCGAAGATATATGAAAAAAAAAGTATAGACTCACTCTGGATCTGCTTCCATCTTTTCGACCTTTGACCATCGGCCGGATTTTGCTTCGTTTTCCTCACGCAACTGTCGTTGACGTCGGCGTTCCTCCTTTTCTACCCATCCACCATACCGTGAGCTGCTGCCATCATCTATGGCATCCTTCACGCCCCCAACTGCCGTCTTGTAGGCTTCGGTTTCTCGCACAGGCCTGGTGACCTTTTCAATGCCTTTACCCGTTGCAGAGACTCCCTTGCGAACTCCTTTGACAACAGGTGTATTCCATGTCCAAGCCGCACTTTGCCCGATAGCCTTTCCGGTTGACTTCAAAGCGGTTGAGGTAGTCGATGTTGCAGTACTCGAAGCTGCTTCATAGGCAGCACGGGCACGCTTGACTGACTCACTTTCGGTGAATTGGTGTGCAGAGGATGCAAGTGCTTTGGTGGACTCTTCCCATTCCTTCGACTTTTTGAATTCGGATTGCAATGTTTCTGTAAAAACCTGCCAAGGAGTCTTATCTCCGTGAGGTGGAGGTGGAGGAGCATCTTTTTTCTCGCCCTCTTGAGACTCGGAGCCTTCTTCCTTCTGATCCCCTTCCTTTTTATTATCCTTCTCTGTATTGGGTTCAGATTCAGAGCCAGTCTCTTGGGTTTTCGCTTTCTCCTGACCCGGTTGTGACTGTGAGTTCTTTTTGTTCTTATTGTAGATTGGCGTAGAATGTAGGCCTCGTCTGAGGAGCAACGAGGACGAGAGAGGCAAGGCTGTAGGTGAAAGAGAAGCCCCTGAAGGATAACTGGTTTGTAGACCAGACTGAGCCTGGTTTAACAGCCTGTAGAGCGCAATGTTATGGCCATTCGGTCTTCGCGAAGCACGTAGAATTGCGGCTGTCCGCGTTGCGCTCGTCGAAGCGAATTTTGCGGTGGAAATCATCTTCGGCTCACCTCGGGGAGAATAGATAACACGAAAGACAGATAGCGCTGTCAGCTTTCCCCAGGCAAGCACAGCACAGCCCGGCCGAATGGAAAAATAAAAGGAAAGAAATGGTAGGGGAGGTGCTGGAAGAGCTGTTTGGCTTCGGAGCAGTGGCGGAGAAAATGTTCGTCCTAGAAGGCCCGATCAGCGCGCCAAGACCCGAAAATCCATTTGCTCACAGCAAAGACCGCCTTCCTTTCTGACGCCCTTCCACAGCAAGACGGTGCAAGAGCGTGGCCATCTTTCTGCATCTCTTCTGTTTTCAATTTCTTAATTCACAACTCCCTTCAGGTTCCCATTGAATTCAGCCAAGAAAATATTTCAACCTGCCTAGCTTCTCGAGTTGCGACGGCCTCGGCATTATCATTCACACCCGCCCACAAGACCAACCATGAAGGCAAGGTTATGGAATTCTTTAGAGCAAGCCATACCATGGGCGACTCGTGGCAAGTTCCAGTCATTATCGCGCTTTGAGTGTACCTCGAGCTTTTCAACCACATCTTCAACACGTGCACCACCGGCCACAGCGAAGGATGCCATGCGCCAGAAAGAAAATGATCTTCTGAGGCCAAGCCAAACAACAACCTCCAACTCGGCAGTGCAGTCAGAAGGCCTTAATGGTGTTCTTAGTATTATGAACTCTAGGTATCAAAACGCAGGGCAACGAGGAGCGAGCTACATCGATGGTTTGCGAAAGAGACAGGAGCAGCATTTCACTGCATACGGCAATCGTACTCCTCCTCACAACCTACATATCTACGCACATAAGCACAATACCTTAATCACACTCACACGACCAAACGGCGACCCCCTTATGTCCCTCGGGTGCGGCAACATAGGCTTCCGCAAATCCCATCGGGGCGGTTACGACCCAGCATTCCAGCTATCCTCGCATGTTCTCGCACAGATTCAGGAAAAAGGCTTTCTCCACGATATCAGCGGCATCACACTTGTGTTTCGTGGCTTCGGACATGGCCGCGAAGCCTTTACCAAAGTACTGCTGGGCAATGAAGGCCGCAATGTTCGACCGCTTGTTACTCGGGTTACAGACGCTACTAGGCTCAAGTTCGGTGGTACAAGAAGCAGAAACGTGCGCAGACTTGGTTAAAAGGAGGGAGTCAACACTGCTTAGAAAAAGAAGTGTGATAGCCCGCTCTTTTCCAAGCCGAAATAGAATGCGACAGTGGCAACTGCACGAGAATGGGTGATCGTATGAATATGGGTTCCAACACCTCAAATTTCTGTATATTATGTTTGGAGAATAAAGTAGTCGTGAAACTATTTATTGTTTGGGCGTGAATGATGATGCAGGGCCATCAACGTAGACAAAAGTTGAACCATGTAAAAATAATATGGGGGAGCTCTTCCTAGCGCGGACTAGCGTGACATGTGAACGCATGGCGGGTGTCGATAGGCATCATGAATATCAGCTTCCACCAGCATGGCTTCTTCCACGTCTAGCAGATTATATTAAGGCTGAAGCATCAGATAACGCCATATTCCAGATGATTATCACTTGTCTCAACTGAGCCATCTTTTTGTTTCAGCGTTCTTGCTGTCCTTCATCCTCCCCCCCTTTTATCCAGTCGCGTCTTGGTGCAGTCTGCTGCATTTGCGGGCACTTGGAAGCTCGCCGACCAGCCTTTTAATTGACGACTTAGGCACAGCTTCATAGCTTTCATGCTTTGTGCCTCGTTTATCCAATGCTCTTTGGATGCTCCCTTTAAATCCTTTTATCCGTGCCTTCTTTCGAAGCACTATACCTGGACAGTGCGTCCCGGTAGATAACCATGTATGCGCAACCTGGGTCCGAAGCCTCTCTCCATCTCTAACCATCTATAGGTTCTTCTAGTGCCTACCACCGAGTCCCTATTGGGATCGAGGGACCGAGAATCTGGCGCATTATACTCCGACATTGTTTCCTCCGAAGAGTTCCTTGGAAGTCATGTCCTGCGAATTCCCAGCTCGATCGGCTCCCTCAATTCCACCAATGTTCGCGACACCCGGACCAAAGCAAAACAAGTGTCAACCGCGAATGGCCGTACTGTGATAGTCAAGGATAATTCAGTATTTAGTAATAAGGGTGGGTTTTGGTACAACCGGGCCGCTTACGTTTCTAACATATATTTCTAGGCTTCAAGTCGCTCAATCAGGCTCATTTGCTTACTGATGTCCTCTACTATACTCCGAACAATGATAGCCACCCATGGCTTATATATTATATCTCAAAGCCACTGATCGGCTCCTTCGATGCAGGAAAAGTGGCTCCTGCAGTGCCTCCAGATACAGCTCTTGTAGCCAGTACTACGCCAGTCGAACCCGGTCCCGAGGATGCGTCGAACCCTCGCAAGCGCGATATAAAAACATTTGAGGAACTATTATCCCATTTCCCAATGATCTCACGGCAGATGCAACCGGGACTCGAACGATTGTTTCGCGAATTTGGTAAAGAGCTTGGAAAACCATTACCTCCACCCCCCTCACATTCGTCATCGTCATCCCCTGCTAAGGAGGACCTTCCGCTGTTTCATGATGACTCGTTACCTCCAGACCGACTTCCTTTCCATTCTGAGGAATTTTTTGAAGATGATGAAGATCTTATGCGCCGCAGCTTAGAGACTGCGGTCACAGCAGGTATTGACCTCTTCCGCCTCGTGGACAAACAACAGCTTTCTCTTCTTGGTGCCACCACTGATTTGACTGGACCTCTGGTGGAGCGACTTATTGAGCGCTATATTGTCCAGCAAGTTCATGAAAAACTATTATTTCCCAGACTTTGCAGCTTTCGTCGGTCTGAGGATACCGAGCTTGATACGAGGATTCGACAAATGGAAAATATCGACGTTTCACAAGTTGGCATAACTATTGAAGGAGGATTTCGCGGCAAGCATGAATTAATAAATCGCCTTAGTAGGGGCGTAGAAGAGTTTCGGAGAATGAACAGTGCAACTTGTCCACAAGACATGTTAGATGTTCTATTGGCTACTATCAAAACAGTCACGGGTTCTGGGGCGACAGAACAAGGGGCTGAAGCATCTGAGAAAACCTGGATGCCTGCTTTGACAGTCAATGCGGATATTCTTGTTTCACTGCTGCTAGTTGTGGTCATCAGATCTCAGGTGCATCGCCTCCAAGCAAGACTTCTTTACATGCAACACTTTATATTTGTGGATGATGTCGAGAGCGGCGAAATGGGCTACGCGTTGAGCACATTTGAAGCCGTGCTATCCTATCTCGTGACGGATTCTGCTCCGCTCCGCAGAGCCAGCATGCGTAACAAACGCCTGTGGCAGGCAACGAAAGCAGGCAACGTCAGAGAAATGAAGACCATAATGGAGCCCGATGGAGATGATGAATATAGCATCAATGAGGCAACGTCCGCCATTCATCTCACATCGGAAGTGGACAACAGCGACGCAGTTCAATCCGAGCAACAATCAATTAGATTTGCTTCTTTCAATGAAAGTTCAATGGAATCGCCGATAGCATCACAGTTAGGCGATGAATCATTAGACCCTCCTCCATTGTCTCATGTATTTCCATTCCAAACATGGGCCGGTCTTCCAGCCTCTGAAACTATGCCACGGACCCGCAAAAGGGTGTCAATGGATGTAAGCAGCTTATCAGGCTCATCAGCTGTCTCCTTACTATCCAGAACAACTACTCTTACATCAACCCTGAGCGGGCTTGAGGGCGATACCTCAATAGAGACATTAAGCCGAACCCAAGATCCTGCTGGAGACTCAGTACCAATGATGGCTGTGGAAAACCGCCAACCCAAAGCTTTGAAATATCTTCTCGACCTCCAAGACTACTACCCTTTGGAACTCATTCTGGAAGACATCAACCGTGACGGAACCACACTTCTGAGTGCAGCTGTTCAGCATGCTCACAAGGAAGCCGTCGAAATAATCATTAACTTTCTCTTCTCAGAGGCAGACCAGCCTACAATCGTGGGATATCTAGAGAAAGCAGATATTCGAGGACGTACAGTTGCACACTATTTGTTCAGTGCCCCTTATTTAATGGCAAGATTGGGCAACCTTTTACCATGGCAAAAGAAGGACAAACATGGCCAGACTCCTCTTTTCGCGATATGCAGGTCATATGATCACCCAAATTATCAAGCCATGGTGAATGAAGCCTTGACTGTTGCACAACAGGCACAGGGTGATGGAAAACCTTTACGGCTAGAGGATCACGTTGATTTGAAGGGTAATACGCTTCTGCATATCGTTAGCGATCCCTTGATTACAATACGAATTCTCTCGGAAACCGACTGTGACCCAAATGCCACGAACGAGAAGAAATTCACACCACTAATGATGGCTAGCAAATATGGCCGTGTAGATCAGATGCGCAAGCTGCTGGCAGACCCGAGAGTGGACATACATATCAAGGAAAACCGCGGCCTGACAGCTATTGAACTTGCCAAAGATGACGAAGTCCGGAATAAAATCGATGATCTGATCTTACTCCTGAACCCACCATCTAGCCCGCACGATGTTACTAGTCGAATAACCACTGTCGTTCGCTCGTACTTTGTGGAAGATGCGACGGTACGCTTCATTTTGAAGTCAGGTGCTCCGGTTCTAAGTAGCGATGCAACTAATGGAACATCTCGGCCTACTACAACTACTTACAGTATAACCACATGCCGCCGTTCATTTGCTGATTTTGAAAATTTAGCTAAATGTCTCGCGGTGGAGCATCCAGCTTCATATATCCCGCTTCTATCTGAGGTTCGAAACCCGTTTCAAGTCCATTCAAAACCATCTCGAGCTGTTCTCCATGATACGCAAGATCGACTTGACGAGTTCTTGAAAGTGCTGCTTGCGCATCCAACCTTTTCGACGCATGAGATGCTTTGGGAATTCTTCCTTGTACCTGAACTCCAGCCTGACATGATGGTCGATCGATCCCAACGTAAAGCGTCGGTATTGTACGAGTCCATATATGATGACTATGACCCAATAAGCCCCGAGGGCATACGGGACACGGAGCAATTTGTATCTCAAGCTCAGGATATTGTTCGAGCTGCTCATGCCAACACTCGGAGCGTCATCAGGCGAGGGCACTCGTTGCAACATGCGGCATTCGATTTCGGTGACGCTGCTATACTATGTTCATCTAGCCTTTCAACACTGAGAGCGCCAACTAATGCCTTGCCCACCTCGCATATCGACGCTTTTGCTCGGTATGCTGCAGCGGTAGCCACATCAACCTCAGATTCATCTCCTCTTCTCCAATTTCTCACAACTATCACCTCAATACAAAGTACGACCACGGCCATTTCGAATGCACTTTCTCGCCCCGGTAGACTCGTTGACATTCTCGCATCGACAAACCGTAATCTCTCGCGATCGAGATCATCACTCGTCTCATCGTCCTTACCCCGGAAATTCAATCTCAATCTTCCTGTGTTGGAAGAATCTCGGCAGAAAAATATACGAGATTTGGAACAGAAGATTAGTGAGTCTGAAGCTCAGGCCTCACGATTAGCCCGAGAAGTATCCTGGAACAAAGACATTGTGGTCGGTGAGCTTGCTGGATGGACATCTTGGCGTGAAAAGGTTGGACGAGATGCAATCCGTGCTTTCGTCAAGGCGACGGTGGTCCAAGAGAGGGAGCGCGGACGACGTCTAGAACGCTGCCTGCGAGCTATCAAGGAAGCGAATTCGTGACAAATACTACCATTTGATCAAGTGGTGGGTTCATGATTCGTCTCTCCCCTTCGTCTCTGTGTGTTTTTATAGATATGAATTCATTATAGATAATTTTGCATAATGTCTTCCCTGTCTCATATTAGATCATCCCAGGATCAAGAAACGTGTCTTGAACGGAAAATTAATCTTCACTTTAATCAGAGTCAATAATATCATTTACGCCTTGGTATATACAATGCTTCCGTACAGGAAGAGAAAAAGGACGTTAAGTTCTCCTCAAAGGATTTCTAAACACATCGCTAAAGACATCAAGTTACCAAAATGTGATTATACAGAGGTATGTCCCAACAACAAGTAAAATCAGATTCAGAAGTTACTCTCGACACGATATCTATGACGAATTCTGCGTTAACGGTATAGATTGGTCTCGTGCAGCTTGATGGCGATCCACACTAGTAATGTGTGTAACGTCTTCCACAGGGTGGTGCAGTTCTGTACTCTCCAGAGGAGGTGTCACGACAACCGGGATACTCGGATGCGATGATGCCTGGTCATCTATGGGCGAAATGTTGTCGTCGGTTTGACTTTCTCTCCTCCTCTCTATCGCAGGGCGAGGTTGCTCAGTGTTTATCGTATCCACCTGGTGCATCGGCACATACGTGTCGCCCCGTAACACATAAATCTGCTGCGACGATCTTCGCTGCGATTGATCTGTCTCTTCAACCACGGCGAACTGTAGTGACGACGCACGGCTTCTACTGAACATGATAGACTCGCGCTCCGATTGAAACGAGGCGCGTTTTGTCAGCGCTTCCTGGTCGTCGTCGAATGGACTGAGATGCTGTGATTGGACTTTGCTTTTCTTCCTTTGTCGAAGACTCTGGTACCAGCCGCGCCGCGTGATGCAGTTGTCGCTGCTGAAGAGATACATAACTAGAACGCCAGCAATGATGACGGCAAAAACCACGCCGATGACGATTCCTGCAATGGTGATCCCGTTGCTTTTGTCTGAGTCTCCAGAGTCGCGAGTGTGAATAGTCGATACTGTTCTCGAGACTACATCGGTCCAGGTAGGAGCCGCGAAGGCACAAGAAGAAGCTCCGAGCAAGAGCAACGCGGAAGTATACATTTTGAGGATGGATTGAGGGGCTAATGGAAGGTAGAAAGGAGAGTAAGGGTTGGGAAGGAAGTAAAAGTCGAGTCCAGCGCTTCAATACTAAGCAGAGGCGATATCAACGGCGATTCATTCAATGATCAGCAATAGATCTCCAGGATCTAGGTTTGTATGTAACTGGTCTATGGTACGGAAAACCTGCGCGAGTACTCTACGGTATTTTGGGATTCATCACATTTTATATTCAACCGACAACAAGAAGAACCTCGCATTATCCGATATCCGATGAGCCAATCTTAGAAAACTCACAAACACCGCCTCGTTTAGAATACTTCACTAGTATCTCAGCCTAGTAACCCGACTAGGGAACTAGTAACCTTATCCTTGGGAAGCACAGATAATATGGGACGAACCGAGTCAGGATCTCGTGGGCGCAGTCATACTAACTATCCCGTCATCCAGCCTTGCTGCGCTTTGAAGTCTGAAGGAGGCTAGGTGGCAAGTGCAAGTCTAATAGAGAGCAACTAACATAACGGTAGTGACTCCTCGGGCCAATAATAGACTCCCGGATGCGAGTTTGAAAGATGTGATCACGCTGGTAGTTTTAAAATCATCCATGGATTATTTCCAGCCTCGAAAGAGGCTCAGCCAGCCGTGAGGCTCTCGGCTAGTTGCTGGCTGTTCACTGAGCAATACGAACGGAACTTCAATATTAAAGGGTCAAATTGCGATCATCTGTTCCGGTTCGCCTAGCTTTTCGAGCCAAGCTCCAGACACTTCAACCCACAACATCGTTGCCGTGCTGGCAGGATAAAATTAAAAGACTGTTGGCGTGATTTAGTCTATGACCAGTCACGGCTCAGGACATATACGGTCTGCGTTTGTATTCGGGCTTTGCTCAGCCGCAGTCGACCTAACGCTGCGCCCTAGCCCTAATTCGCTGCTAGTTGGGCCCTGATTTCCTGACTGGCTCGTAATACGCCGATTGGGTCGACAAGATGTGTTGGGCCTGTTGGTTAGCTAATGCTTTGACGGCTGTTGGTTCTATCATTAGAAACCGCTATTTCTTGGAGTTCATCGCCGAATATCGACTCCTTCAATGACTGTAAAGAGCCCCTAGGCTGCTTTTGAATTTTGATCCCACGACCAGAAAGAAATAGATATTGTCTTTTTAGCTAAATAATCTTTATATCCTAATCGCTGTGGTGGTGATTAGCCACCTTATCTGTGATCCAACAATACCTCTATAAAGTGGATGTCGATATAAATTGTAGCTAGTCCAATAAAATTATATGGCCTTCACACACAGTATTTCAAATTCAATCTTATTGTGGTGATTCTTTAGAAGCGTAAGTTAATTTTATGTACTCAATCTCGTCGACTCAGTCGATCCGGAAATAAGCAATCAATCAACCCGCAGTCTAAGTCGAAATTAAAATATATAAGACAGGTTCCTTTCGTCGACTTACATATGTGCTTAGACCCGAAACCAGAGATAACCGCCAATTGGAATTCTTCCTTTACTCTTACATGTAGTTCAACGTATCACCAATACTGTTGTGGCCTCGAGCCATTGCTTAACCCGTTGACTGGTTCATGCTGTACAAAAGACCCATGGAGTTACAGTAATGTTTTCCTATGATCAAGTGTATTTTAAGAACAGCAACCTTGACCTGCTGCCAGGCTACGTACATGTAAAAGAAGACTTGGTAAATAGTCTAAGAAGCTACATTGAAATGCACAGATATTTAGTTCATTAAGAACAGTGAGATTGTGCTGTAATGGCGCATCACTCTGAAAATATTCGTTCAGGGTATGATCCTTCAGGTTGCTGTTCTAGTTACGACGCTGTGGTATGGTCGAGGTGGAACCGCCCAATATATGATGCCATGTATGATTGAAGCTGTCAGGGGCGCTATCCAATGTACCCAATGATATGAGTAGAAGTGTGTGCCAACCATAGCCCCAAAACACCTAGCAGGGTTTCCAGCTATATAAACCAAAGTCCCAATTATTAGCAAATAAATTGAAGAAGAAGAAAAGGCCGTGTTTACATACAGTAACCGCTATACCCAGTCACAGTAAAACCTGTCGCGAAGCTCGATATGCCAAGGATCAGTCCGACAAGGATGGGCCCGAGTGAAGGGCCATACACAGCTTTCTGTCGTGGGTCTAAGCCAATGCCAAACGCCAGAAAAACAGCTAGAAAGTCAACAGTGCACTCGATTGTAAAGGCACTGCCAATAGGTATAACATTTGGATCAAAGTTGCAGCCTGGAACAAAGAACTACAAAATAAGTTAGCTATCTTACAGTAACATTGATGGGATGCACTCGCTTACAGATCTGCTATTCAAACTTGCCCTCAAAAGGAAACCTGCAACGGACGCCCCAAGTAGTTGAAAACCGATGTACAAGACACTTCTGGGAAAGGTGGAGAGCCTAGCGAAAAAAGTTGCCATTGTAATCATAGGATTTAAATGACCGCCTGACAAAGGTCCAGTCGAAAAGATGAATAGTGAAAGAAGGATCCAATTCGCAAAACCTGCTACTAAACTCGGCACGAAAGGTCCGGATGAAAAGTCCCTATTTGATTTTAGTTGCATGTTAATACACCTCATATATCAATGGCTTCTGACTTCACTACACCTGACAAGCCGATGGCCATGAAGCAGCTGATATATACTAGAAGGCAAGTCCCTGTAGATGAAAGTCAGCGTGGCGTTTTAAACGACACAAGGCTGTCTCTGCATAAGGCCAACAAAGACAATGACGTACCCATAGCTTCTATAACTGCACTTTTCCATAAATTAAGCTGTAAGAATTGTATTAACGAGAATGAATCGCTCCATGAGAGCGACGACGCCGCATCGGGGACATTTTTTAACAGCTCGGCATACTCCGAATCATCCTTATCAACAGTGAACTCTTGATTTGCTCCTATACGGCCAGCGAATGGGGTTTGAACTGAGGTTGATGAGTTTGTATGCCGTCGAATCGCTGTGATTGCGTTGGCTGCGCGTATTCGACGAGTCGTCGATTTTTGATTTTCGACATCCATCGCCGTGGGCATAGCCACTCTAGGGCAAGATCAATAATATTTGACTAGTATATCAATATTTGAACAGGCCTAGTATTTCGTGGTTGGTGGAACGCTCTTTTCGAATGTTAGACTGCTGTACGACCTTGTCAATTGATTTAGGTTCAATTCTTTTCTTGGGGACCGGGTGGCGGCTGGAATGCTGTATATAGCTAGATTTTCCGGCGCCTTATGCTAGTCATGGATACGATTAGGAAGAACCCCTTTCATGTACATATGCACGCCTACGCTAAGCCAACATTGAATTTAGAATTCTGCTAGCACGGTCGGTAAATGAGAATTTATATGAAGCAAGATGCGCTTAAAAGAAGAACAAGGGAACCCGGAAAATTCTAACTTTTTTCAATATAGTGCGAATCACATGTACCAGTTAAAAAGACCCTTTATGAAATTCTAAAATGAAGGATATCATGAAATAAAAAGTGTAGTAATTGACAGTCCAATCAGTAAGTTACATGTAAGGGCTTATAAATCCCTAAGAATGCTTTATAAGCTGTGGTGATGTATGTTAACTAACTTAACTAGTTAACTTATAAATGTTAGTAAGAACTAAGAGCTTAGTCACATCTTTTTGGCCTAACTTAACTAACGCTAGTTAACCAATCATGAATTAATCTGTCTGTCGTCACGGTAGCTAGTATCATTATTTATGGTCTATATACACTGTTGCGGGTGTAAAATATTGCATATATTAATGGATCTATAATTGATACATAGTTTCTGGATGGGTATCGATATCTAAATAGAGGATATGACCTACAAGTATCGATTTCGACGGTAAAAGATGCAAAATATTCTAGTTACTAAGCAGCAGCCAAATCTCAAATGCCATGCAACGTCAGATTCAGAGGCTGTTAAACATGTCTGTTACATGTATGATGTCAACTGGGCTGTTATGTATTAACCCTAATTTTCGCGTATGATCAAAAAATGCCTGTTGACCACGATACATGCCAAGTGCACCATTGAGGTCTGCGCTGTTTTAAATCAACATTGATTAATATAAAGCCTTTTGCACATTCATCACCTTATCCATAGACAAATCAACAATAGACCTATTTAATATCAAAGGAAAATCCGCCCTCACCACCGGGGGCGGTCGTGGAATTGGGCGATCCATGACTATCGGGCTTGCAGAAGCAGGTGCTGATATTGTACTTCTCTTAGTTGCGTAAAGCCGTCCTCGTTTAATCCGACCTTCTCTAACAATTATTTCAAGAGCGGAATGTCTCTCAAACAGAAACTCAAAACCAAATCGAGAACCTCGGTCGCAAGTGCTTCATTTATGCAGCCGACCTTGAAATCAAGGACGAGGCTTCAAAAGTCATTCCTGAAATATTCTCCAGGCACAAGACTGACATTCTTGTAAACGCAGCTGGCATTCAGCGTCGGTTTGCGGCTGTGGACTATAGCCAAGAAACGTATGATGAGGTCATGCAGGTAAATATGGGCTCCACATTCAGACTTTGTCGTGAACTAGGCAAGCATTGGATTGCGAATAACATCAAAGGAGTTATAATAAACACAGCCAGCTTAGCTTCATTTCAAGGAGGAGTGATAATGCCAGGGTATGCTTAAGCAAAGGTGGAGTTGCCATGTTGACCAAGGCACTCTCCAACGAATGGGCGATTCATGGCATCCGTGTAAATGCTATTGCTCCAGGATAGATTAATAACTAGCCTTGATATTTTGGAGAGGGACTAATTTTAAACAGATAAATTGCTACGGATATGAATACAGACACAAGATCTGACCCGAATAATGATTATTACAAATCTATCATGGACCTAATTCCCAGTGGAAAATGGGGAGAGCCAGATGATTTCAAAGGAACAGTGGCCTTTCTTGCTAGCAAAGCTAGTTCATATATTACTGGACAGATTATTACTGTTAGTAACCTCCTTACCCTAAGTTTACCTTAATTAACAATTTCAGGTCGATGGCGGTTGGATGGCGAGGTAGACCTCTCGCCTCTTTCCTCTAATTGGAAAGTAGTTGCTGTAACTTTTTTTCAAATCGTTATGTATGCCTACGCATATCAGGCTCCCGAGCACAAATATGCTATTATTTGCATGGTGGAATCCGATATTTGATGATTCTATGAGAGTTGATGAGTGGGGAAAGTTGTTTCATTCTTCTAATTGCACCCATTATAATAAGAAATGAACTGCGTGCTTGACCACGCAAGATGCCGTATCTAAGTAAATGCATCAATTGAGTCTTTGGGCATGGAGGCTGCAAATCCTCAAAGCTATATAGAGGACGAAGTGTGTCTAGATATTCTATTAAGATTTCCGATGTGTTGAGACTATTTTCTATATTTTCTATATGTTCTATCTTTATGAGAACGATCGCGGAGAAGGCCTGGTGGCGTCTGATTGGGCTGCAGTGACATCACTCAACGACGTCATCTAGGCAACCCTATTGTTAAATATAAGAAAGGCATGCAGCTCTCAACCGTTGCTTCCTACACTCAAGAGAACAAGCAGAACACATTTACTACCGTCAACGCAACCAATCGCTACATCCAGAGTTTATCTAAAATGCCTCTTGTTGTCCCAGGAATAAACTCTTCCTTGACCGGAAACGAAAAGACCGACTGGGTCGAGAAGCTGCTCGGCAAGAAACTGACCGACTCTACGAATGATGAAATTGTACGATCTACTCACTCACTAGCGATTGCATCATTTTCCAAGACCCATGCACTGACCAGCTAATGCCACTATAACAGTCCTTCGCAAAGACCGATTTGCCGTCGAACCACCGCGTGGTGAAACCCAATGACATGACTACTGCCGACTATAAGCCTGATAGGTATGTGCATCTTCCAGTGCTGATTCTCGATCCCATTTCTGGATGACCTGACCTGCGCCTAGACTGAATATCCATGTGGATGACGACGGAACTGTACGGGATGTTCGGTATGGCTAAGGCGGACGAGAGACGAGATCATGAGCAATGACTGAATGAGCTCTCTCGGTTGATTTTCTTGATGAATTTTGTATTGGGTACATATAGTTATAGCTATTATTTAATGATAGGTAATGCCATATACTGCGAACACTGCGAAGTAGCGCACCAAGCGAAAGGCCCGTCACGTGCACACTAGCCGGATTCGGAAAATTCAAAACGTAGCGGCACGGGCAGCAGCCAATTAAAGGACGCCATCCGTTAAGCCCAGCCTCCTGGAAGCTCCTTCTCCCCACAGCCCAGCCCAGTCAGGCGTTGGTCTTCAGCCCTTGTTGCGGCCAAGCGGACATCACATCACCTACGACAACGCCTGCCTTCATCCACTGGGTTTTTTGACGACCCAGCACCTACGACCACCTACGACTCCAAGCAGCAGCCATGCAATTCGTCTTCGCCCGTCGTGGGCGCCGCGTCTTCCAGCGCTTGACCCTACACCAGACAGCTCCTCTCTCCACTCGTGCCTCCCCTGCCACAGGCCACCTCCGACGCGTGTCTCGCCTATCCAGCACTCGCACGCCCAGTGTAACCAAGGCCGTCAACTCACCAATTGCTATTCTTGCCAGCACAAACGCGTGGGCCAAGTCCTACGCTACAGCTGCCACCGGCCGCGGCCGCCCAAAGGCACATACTGGCAAAGCAACCGCAAAGAAGTCTGCAACCAACAAGACACAAAAGAAAAAGACTACGAAGAAGACCGCAAAGCCAGCGGCTAAGAAAGAGCTGACTCCCGAGCAGCTGGAAAAGAAGAAAGCTTCCAAACAGGCCGCCAAGCTAAAGGAAGAGATCAAGACACTCCTGGTAGCATCTTTGAAAGAGAATGAACCTAAGCTTGCTGGCGTAGCGCCCTGGAATCTGTTCGTCCAGCAGAAGCTTCGGGGTAACACATCTAGGGACTTAGCTGCGACTTTCCGTGAGATCTCTGCCGACTTTCAAAACTTGTCTTCAAGTGAACGCGAGGTTTGTGCTATTTCTTCCTGTTGGTTAATTGGGTTTGTTGGCTGATACATGTTTCTTTTCAACCCACAGGCACTCCAAGACCAAGCAGCCCAGAACAAACAGGCCAACGAGAGAGCTTATACTGCATGGGTGAACTCGCACACTCCTTTACAAATCAAAGAGGCCAATTATGCCCGCAAACGGTTGTTGGCTCTCACCGAGGATAGGCGATATCCCGTGAAGCTCCATCAGATTAAAGATGAGCGTCAAGTGAAGCGCCCTTTGAACACGTTCATCCTGTTTAGCACTGAGCGGGGGGAGAGCGGAGATCTCAAGCACATGTCAATCCAAGAAAAAGGCCGCCATGTCAAGGCTGAATTTGAAAACATGTCCGAGGAGGAGAAGCAGGTATGTACACCGCAAAGTTGTTCTGTTACTGGTAACTGATGTCAAAATAGAAATTCGTGACAAGGGCGCAACAGGACAGGGAACGTTATATCAGAGAATACCGTGAAGTCTACGGCCAAGATCCCGTGACTCTGAGAAAACCCGAGAAGGCGAGCCCATAAGAGTATACGTCATCGAATCAACGGCGCAGGTAATACTCACGCCGTTCATTTTGTGTTTTATTTCCTTCAAACGTTCCAATGATGTTTTGGTATGAATTTTCGCTTGCGAGCCTGTTGTTTATTGGGGTTCGCTGATATCCGGTCCTGCCTCTGTGTCACGTTTCCATTTGTTTTGTTCTGGGGAATTGTATTTGTAGCTTGGTCATGGTCCTGTAGCTGTCTGTGTATGGTGGTGTCTTTTATATCCTTGTATGCTATATGGAGCAATGGCTTGCGCGATCAGGAATATAGAACCTAATGTTGAGCCACTCACCCTTCTCTTCAACCTTTCCAACTTCTCTGAACATCTATATGCAAACGATTAAATCGCACCGAACTGAAGACAAGACCGCAAATTTTGATTGTAATTACCTGCATAACCAATTAACATTGTCTCGGGATATTTCTATCCTGCACTTATTCCTTTCCTCTCTTTTTTTCTCTATTTCAATTACACATGCAACATGGTGGCTGCACAGCACGATCGAGTAATGCAGTCATTCTGGCGGTGAAGCATCGAGACCCGCTTTGGTGACCCCCGATGGGTCTTCGTCTGCAAGGCGCCGGGCCATGATGGATATTAATAAACGTCTCAGGCTCAATTAATTTTATTTTGGGTTGTTTGTTTTTTCTTCTTCTTCGGAAGGTTAGGTAGGCATGCATCTGTGCCTCTTTTTGGTGGATTGCTTGCATGTTACTTCCGATGGTTATTGCAGAGGATACTGGGCACATGGTATTTCTTGCGGGGTAGTGGGTTCTTTCATGTTCAAAGAATAATTCTTTTTGTCGCTTTCAGTTTTTGTTCTTTTGTTTATATAGGGCTATTTATCAAGGGATAGGAATTGAATCAGAATTTGAATGCACTAGATAAAGGGTTTTATTGGCAGATAATGTATTCAAGTTGCTGCTATTAATAAAGGGTTTGTTTGACGTCTCCCAAAAAGAACGTGACGCATAAGGCTGCGAACCCACTCGGCTTGTCTCGCTGATGAGTTGGCCATATTGCTGGCAGAAAACTCAGTTTGAGAATTTGACGGTAACTAAAAGCAGTTCTTGGTTTTAGGATTTTATGCAGCTTCTGGTTACTCGTACGCACGGCGAGTGAACCTTCAATTGACGTGGAGCCAATCCTAGTCAATTCGCTGTTTATTTGCATGCAGAGTAGCAGTCTGGTAAGGGTTCTGTGCTGAATATTAGTAAATAATTAGTAGAACTTGGATATCGTAGCAGATTAGTCAAGTAGCTATCCGGTCCTTTCTCCCCACTGGCCATCGTAAGGATGGGTATAGGGAGCGGGTGAGTTGTTATCCAGGAACAGCCTGAGGATTGGTCTTTTCATCTGCCCAATACGGACTTCGCGGTGTGGTGGACAGCCCGTCAGACATCTAATCAGACCGGGCATCTGAGCTGAGGCTTTGACGATTTGCTGCCCATCCCTCCACCAGTCGCGCCGGTTTGCAATCTTGCATGATAATTACTAGTTAGTGGAAATTGGAATTCTGACTGGATCCGTTTTATATAAAAAAAGAATACAAAAAAAAGGCCGAGGAATCTCACAATTTAAAACAATGGTCAGCCGAAGTCATTGTCAATGCATCCAATGGCTATTTTTTCCTTCTTTCTTTCATTTCATCCGTTCCTCACTACCATTATGTTCTCTCTTATTCATCAGAATTTCATTGTTGACCGCATCAGCGGCGATTGTATCAACACATCCTATGAGAAGCTAGTGATATAAGATCGGAGGGGACAAAGCGGCCCCCTTGCCATTACGCTTGCCACCCACTCAAATCAATGTGATTTCCCTCCACAGGCGACGTTGCTTAGGGGGCCACTGCGGTCGTGATTAGCACGCGCAACAGGAAGGGCGAAGGAGAGAAGAAAGAAGGGAAAGAAAAAGCAAGGCCAAAGGGCAAGTAAAGAGCCCAATAGCTGACAATACTAATTTCGGCCCCGAAAGTGCTATTGTGAACTATTGCCGTACCACTCCGTTGTATGGATGGACCGATCTAAACAAAGGCCTAGTGTAGTGACTGATGACATGAGGTGGACACAGACAGGACACCAGCCATAGAGGCGCAGAAAGATTGGGACAATACTGGAGTAGGTAGAATATAATATGAATGAACAAGGTCAACTTGATAAACGATAGACGAGTATTGAATAAAGATAGAAGTAGCGGGTCAACGCGGTCGTACAGACAGACACTGCATGGCTCCTTCCCAAGCAGCGACCCCCACCTTCCTCGCTGTATCACATCCTTGCTTCCTCGCCGTGTTTAATGCTGTTAGTGAGGGCTTAGTGTGTGTGCACCATTAAGCTTCTGCCATCAATCCGAGGCTCGCGCTGCTAATCACCAGCTGGCGATCCTTGGCTAGGGGCTGTTTGCGACGTCTGATTCATGAGTCTCGCGATGGTCACGGGGGCCGGCGACAACGGCGTATGACTATCCTATCACACTTCCTACTCAAGAATGTTGCCTCTCCTCCATTCCTGCTCTTGATATCTTTGATCGCAGCCTCGGTATATTGCAAGTTAAGAAGACAGCAGACGTTCTTAATTCCCCGTAAGCAAGCCAGAACCATCGAGTCGATTATCTGATCTAACACCCGTCTAGGCGACAACTTTTAGCTGGCTGGAAGCTCGTCCACCAGCAATCGTCATTATCATTATTTATCCCGGGTACGCGGCCGGCCGCTAGGGAAGTCCCTATCGATAGGGAACATTACTTGGTCCCCTCCTTGCGACGCGCGATAACGCCGATACACACAAAATTACTCGGCAATACAGTTGAGAGCATTGTTTTCGTCGCAGTCGTCTCGACGCGGTCAACCCGAGGCGCGCTTGTGTGGTGAGTGGTTTGTGCCTGCGTGATCTTTATCACATCCAGTAGTAGGCTGGGAACACATGCAGCGCTCCACCCACACCACCACGACACCTCGACACCACGACACCACTAACATTTGTTGCTCTTTCAGTACGCCTCTTATTTTCTTCTTCCGTCCAATTGTTGTGGTTGGTTGCCATCCGTCCCAGCCCCCCCTCCGTTCTCCGTGACTGGCCCACATATTCTTACAGGAATCAGCGCCGGCCGAGCTAATCATCACCTACGGAAACTGCCTGTTAGTGGCTCCCCCATTCAAGTAATAGCCAGTTAGGCAACGAATGGGCGCTGTCTCTCTGATTGAAGCTTCTTGGTAGAAAAGAGTGGCAGGTGGTGACTCCGAAAATTTTACATTCGAGGAATCTGCATCCTTGATACGCTGTACTCCGTAGCTCCTGGCGACAGAATCACATTCCGATTGACGTGCGGGCAGTGTAGATCCTCTGTCATTGCCCCCCCGGCAAGTCGGTGATCTAAGAGCATCGTTTTTTTTTCTTGACCGCCTTGGCCTCCGAACATTTCCTATACTCTGGATCTCTTTGAATTTTGCTTTAACTTGTTAAATCTTCATCGGTGATGAATTGATTTGGATCTGCACTAATTCAATAGCTCCAACGAAGGGTTTGGAACTATACACAGTGATTGTTTGTGTTTGTTGATCGCGGCCGAATTTAACTCGCAAACATTCACATTTTCACGTTTTCACTTGTTGCCTCCACGCAGCACGCGGCTAGCTAGACGAGTTGTGCGCTTCTGACGGGCGATTCGTGTTCGAATAAATCTATTCAGATTGAAACTTCTCTACGTTGAATAAAGCTTGGGTTGCTGATCTCGTACTTGGCCGCCATCCATGGTCGCTCATCTTCCTGCGACGAGCGAGTTTGCGGATACGGGTCTTTTAAGGCCAAGAAAATTGATTCCTCCCAGACGTAACTTGATTTGGAGGTAGCTTCTGGTCCTTACAGCGGCATGGATGTGGTGCGCAATGAATGGCATAGAGAGCCACAATGGACGTGGCCGGGACATAAGAGAGGGCGAGAGAGCGACCGAATAGAAGGCAAAAAGGCGGAGATTTCTGGATGCACGCGCGATGCTGAATCTCGGAGACCGATAGACTCGGTACGTCACTGCCCGGCGATTACTATGAAACTACTATTTTTCATTCTCTAACATATACAGCGCCTTTTTTCTTCCACGTCCTATCAACAAGCGCTCTTCAGGGCGATTGCTTTGGTCAACGAACTGACGTCGCACCATGCGGAGGTACCTTGGTACAGGACTCCTCCACCCACCTACAATGATGCCCTCAACGACCTACCGCCGGAATACTCTTCACTTCCCGCGCGGGCCGAAGCGAAACCGTTCCATCATGAATCTGCGCCTCCCTTACCCTCTCGCAAACCCTACCAAGACCGCCCAAAATCATCTGCCTCACCTTCAATTGATTTCGACAGTACTCATGGTTTCCGCCAACATGGTAAAAAGACAAAGGCCAAACAACAAGCAAGAAATCCTCCACAGGAGTCTTCAACAGGCGATGGAGATAAAGGGAAAAAAGACAATGATGCTGTAGGTGGCGGAAATAATACAGGTGGAAATGGGGCAGGTGATGGAGGCGAATATGGTGGAGGTGGTGGTGGCGGCGATGAAGAACCGTGGGGCGGTTGGAATGTCAGCAGCAGCAAGAAGAAGAGCAAGAAGAATAAAGAGGAGGAGGAAGAAGAGCGAAAGAGAAAGGAGGAAGAGGAAGCGGCAGCTGCTGGTACAAACGCCAATAACCTCAGTTGGGCAGATGATGCGGAAGCCGCAATTGAAGATGATACGTGGGCAGGATTTAACACCGTGGGCAAGAAAGATAAGAAGAAAAAAGATCTGGTAAGAGCGCCATCCTCCGGATAGAGATATATCTGCTTATTTCTGACGCAGCTTAATCCAAACCCGACGGATCAAAGTAATAATTTCCAAGAAATCAGTCTGAACGATGGTGCGCCGCAGCTCGATCTAAGTTTTGAACCGACGAAAGGCAGCTCCGGTGGAGGGGGGATCAGTTTTGGAGGGTGGGGAAAAGATTGGAATACCGGCAATAAATGGGGATTTGGCTCACTCGATAATAGTTCTACTTCCGCCACAAAGGAGCAACCCAGCAAAGATGAGAATCCTTGGAATTTGTCAGGCTCAAAGAAAACGAAGAAGACCACACTGGGTTTTGATTTTGGCGATCTCGGAAGTCCTGGCACTGGTGATATTGGCGATTCAAAGCAGAACAACGATGACGATGATTGGGCCAACTTTACTTCCGTGACCAAGAAAGACAAGAAGAAAAAGAAGGGGGAAGTTGAAGAACCTACACCAGAACCGGAGCACTCTGAAGACTGGGGAGCATGGAGCGCAAAGAAGAAGGGCGATTCAATTTCTGCGACTGCCGGGACAGCTTCACAGGGGACTAATGATGTATGGGCTGCTTGGGCAACCAAAGACAAGAACACGAAAGGTACCAAAGCAATTGGATCAATTTCCGAAGAACCCGTGTCCGCGAAGCCGACTCAAACTGATGATATTTGGGCTGCCCTAGTCAACGACGACAAGAAACAACCAATTGAGCCACCTGCTGAGCCAGTAATTGACAATGTTTGGGCTATACCAGCAAAAAAGGACAAAAAAAAGTCCTCGAAGAAAAGTTTAGAGCCTGAGCCAGTGCAAAGCAAAGTTGAGGACGTTTGGACTGCATTTGAATCTACGGACAAGAATGACACGAGCAAGGCCACCGAGGTCGATGAGGATACTGGATGGAGCTGGAAAATCGGCGCGAATAAGAAAGACAAAGCCAAGGCGATTGAAGATCCTATCCCGACCGCAGAACCTGCTGCAGGCGAAACTGACTGGTTCGGCGGCTGGGGAGCTGCTGGCAAGAAAAAGAAAAAGGGTCTTTTGGAGGAGATTTCTTCATTCGTGACCGATGCTGTTCCAGAAGCGGAAGTCCAACCGGAGCCCGAACCACTCAAAAACCATGAATTCTGGGACAACTGGGATAAATGGACATCTACACAGCGCAAGAAGAAAGAAAAAGAGGCTGTAAAGAAAGGGATTCCACCTCGCATTGAAATTCCAGAAACGATTCCCGAGCCTGAGCCAGAACTAGAACCAGAACCTACACCTGAGCCACCTAAAAACCATGAATTTTGGGATGGATGGGACTCATGGAGCCTATTGCAGCGCCGAAAAAAGGAACGAGAAGCTCTCAAGTCTGGAATCCCCCCTCGTATCGAAATTCCAGAACCAGCTCCTGAGCCTGAACCCGAACCCGAACCTGAACCTGAAAAACCGAAGAACCATGAGTTCTGGGACGGTTGGGATCTATTGACGCCACTACAGCGCAGGCGAAGGGAGAAAGAGGCTGTTAAGCTTGGAATCCCCCCTCGCATCGAAATTCCAGAACCAGCTCCTGAGCCTGAACCCGAACCCGAACCCGAACCTGAAAAACCGAAGAATCATGAGTTCTGGGATGGTTGGGAGACTTGGTCCCCTACGATACGCAAGAAGAAGGACAAAGAAGCAGCCAGAAGACTAATCCCACCATTGATTGAGAACCTTACCCCTGAGCCAGAACCAGAACCCGAACCAGAACCCGAGCCAGAACCTGAGTCCGAAAAACCGAAGAATCATGAATTCTGGGATGGTTGGGAGGACTGGTCCTCCGCAATGCGCAAGAAGAAGGACAAAGAAGCAGTCAAGAAGGGAATTCCGCCTTTGATTGAGGACCTTACCCCTGAGCCAGAACCAGAACCCGAGCCGGAGCCTGAGCCAGAACCTGAGCCTGAAAAACCGAAGAATCATGAATTCTGGGACGGTTGGGAGGACTGGTCCTCCGCAATGCGCAAAAAGAAGGACAAAGAAGCAATCAAGAAGGGAATTCCGCCTTTGATTGAGGACCTTACCCCTGAGCCAGAACCAGAACCCGAGCCGGAGCCTGAGCCAGAACCTGAGCCTGAAAAACCGAAGAATCATGAATTCTGGGATGGTTGGGAGGGCTGGTCCTCTGCGATGCGCAAGAAGAAGGACAAAGAAGCAGTCAAGAAGGGAATTCCGCCTTTGATTGAGGATCTTACCCCTGAGCCAGAACCGGAGCCTGAAGCCGAACCCGCACCTGAGCCTGAGCCTGAGCCAGAACCCGAACATAAGAAACTGAAAAACCATGAATTCTGGGATGGTTGGGAGGGTTGGACTTCCACTATGCGCAAGAAGAAGGATAAGGAAGCAGTCAAGAGAGGTATTCCTCCATTGATTGAGGATCTTGCCCCTGAGCCAGAACCTGAACCCGAACCTGAGCCAGAGCCAGAGAAACCTAAGAATCATGAGTTCTGGGACGAGTGGGACACATGGTCTCCTTCACAGCGTAAAAAGAAAGAGAAAGAAGCTGTGAAAAAGGGAATACCGCCACGAATTGAAATCCCTTCTGAGCCGGAGCCGGAGCCGATACTAATTGAAGACGTGGAGCCAGAGCCGGAACCGGAACCAGAGCCTGAGAAACCAAAGAATCACGAGTTCTGGGATGACTGGGATACATTGACCCCTCTGCAACGTAAAAAGAAGGAAAAAGAAGCTTTGAAGAAAGGCATTCCACCACGCCAAGAACCTCCACCGGAGCCAGAACCAGCGCTGATTGAAGAAGTAGAGCCGGAACCTGAACCGGAACCTGCGCCTGAGAAACCTCAAAACCACGAATTCTGGGAGGGCTGGGATACATGGACCTCTTCGCAAAAGAAAAAGAAAGAAAAGGAAGCTGTGAAGAGGGGTATACCGCCACGGATTGAAGACCTCCCTCCTGAACCTGAGCCAGTGCTCATTGAAGACGTGGAGCCAGAACCTGCATCTGAGCCTGAGCCTGAGAAACCCAGGAATCACGAGTTCTGGGATGGCTGGGATGAATGGACCCCTCTACAACGCAAAAAGAAGGAAAAGGAAGCTATCAAGAAAAATATTCCACCGCGTATGGAACTTCCACCAGAGCCCGAGCCTGAACCAGAGCTTGAACCCGAACCTGAACCTGAACCTCCACGTAATCATGAGTTTTGGGATGGATGGGATGGTTGGAGCTCCAAAGACCGCAAAAAAAAGGAGAAGGAAGCGAAGCTAATGGGCATCCCACCACGAATAGAGATTCCTGTGCCAGAAACTGTGCCAGAACCTGTGCCAGACCCTGAGCCGGAACCGGCTCCCGAAGCAGTTGTAAAAAATCATGAGTTTTGGAACGGGTGGGATGATTGGAGCTCTAAAGAACGCAAGAAGAAAGAAAAGGAGGCAATTATAAGGGGTATTCCTCCACGACAAGAGATTGTCGAAGCTGCGCCTGAACCCGAGCCTGAAATCGAGCCTGAACCTGAACCTCCACGTAATCATGAGTTTTGGGATGGATGGGATGATTGGAGCTCCAAAGATCGCAAAAGAAAGGAGAAGGAAGCGAAGCTAATGGGCATCCCACCACGAATAGAGATTCCTGTGCCGGAACCTGTGCCAGACCCTGAGCCGGAGCCGGTTCCCGAAGCAGTTGTGAAAAATCATGAGTTTTGGAACGGGTGGGATGATTGGAGCTCTAAAGAACGCAAGAAGAAAGAAAAGGAGGCAATTATAAGGGGTATTCCTCCACGACAAGAGATTGTCGAAGCTGCGCCTGAACCCGAGCCTGAACCCGAGCCTCAACCTGAACCTCCACGTAATCATGAGTTTTGGGATGGATGGGATGATTGGGGCCCTAAAGAACGCAAAAAGAAGGAGAAAGAAGCCAATACAAGGGGCATTCCACCACGGCGGGAATTGCCTGCTATTGAATCTCTTCCAGAAGCTCCCGAGGCTCCCAGAATTGAGCCAATTGCGGTTGTAGAAGATCCAAAAGATGACTTTTGGACTGGTTGGGATGCATGGACATCTACAGAGCGCAAGAAAAAGGAAAAAGAAGCGAAGAAGAAAGGGATTCCACCTCGTGGGGAAGCTCCGATTATGGATTCATTACTTGAAGCTCCACCGCCTCCTGCGCCTACGCCGCCTGCCCAGGGTCTGACACCAGAGCCACATTTGGAAAACTTTTTAGACGATGACGCATGGGGAGATATTCCGATCAAATCTTCTAAATTTAAGAAGGGAGTTCTTTCAAAGACAACCAAGCTCGAGGACACTAAAATTTCGAGCTCCAAGAACAAGGACGAGGATTTGTTGGATTCGTTAAAACCGGTTGAAGAGACTCCTGCTAAATCAGTGAGGGGATTTTGGGCATCTTTTGGTGCTACACCGACTACGAAAACCAAATCCAAGGAGGAGAAACCCAAAGAAACGTCGTTGGTTGAAGACCTCCTTATCGATGTTGGAAGTACTTCTGAAGCGCCAGACGCGCTCTTATTGGACGAAACATCCGCGCCAGCCGCGCCCCCGCCTAAAGCCACGTCCAAAACAACTAAGCCGTCGGGGCGACTCTCTGTCGCTGAGCGCATCGAGGCTCTGGAGAGACAGAAGCGAGAAAAAGCCAGGGAGAAGGAAAAGGACAAGGAAAAAGACAGGAGGCTTACCAAAGAACCCCCCGCTGACATTGAAGCTCCACCTCCGCCTCCACCCCTGGCGCCTGAGCCAGCCCCGGAGGACCCGCCACCCAAGAAGAGCAGCACCAAGTCGAAGTTGACGAAGTCATCAACAACCAGAAAGGCTGTACCGAAGCCACCCACTCCAGAGCCTGTGGAGGAGGAGGCTTCTCGCGATTCTATTCCTGGTAGCTTTCCAGAGCCCGACCCGGATCCAGAGGTTGAGCCAGAAGTGGCCCCACCCGAGCCAGAGAAAGCGTCCAGAAAGAGCAAGAAATCATCTGGATTAAAGAAATCCCCCGTCGCGACGAAATCTTCCAAACGTGCACCATCTCCTAGGCCAGAACCTCTCGTGGAAGATTTTACGATAGACAATATTAGCGCCGAAGAACCCGGCGACGCTCGCAGCCCCCCTACGCCGCCTCCTGAACCCTCGACTAAATCTTCCAAGAAGGAACGTACAAAGATTGATCGTACAGCAGGAGGGGCTTGGGCACTCTGGGGAGCAACAGCACCACCGAAGAAGCCAGTTAAAAGGTCAAGCAAAGCTGAGAAAGACGACCAGTCTACCACAAAAGAGGAGCCCCCGGAGTTGTCTAGATCGAAATCGGAGGCAACGAGACAACGTAGGGTGCGCGATTCTGAGAACGAGACAGACAAAAACGAGATAGAGAAATCTTCGTCGTCCGATAAGGATAAGCTGGCAGGGAACAAACGCCAGAGTCGATCCGGTATGGGATTCTCCAACTTTCTTTCAGGTGGTCCGCCACCCTCTAGAAGCAAATCTGTCAGGAAATCAGGTACTTCTCGAGCGACATCGAGAAGACAATCAGTTGATGTTGAGGATACTGGACTTCTCTCACCACCTCCGGACGACAAGCCAGAAATATCTGAAAAGGCAGCCAAGTTGATGGGCGTGAAGCCATCTAGAGGAGCGCGAGAGAGTACGGGAACGAAGAAACGACGCAGTAAGTATCATAAAGTAGCCATTTGTTTGAACTGTACATTAACGGTGGCTTGCAGGTGTTCGTGATCCTTACCCGCTTGATATTGACGAGGAAGATCTCGTCATGGTTGATGGAGAGGTTGGAACTGAAACCATTGAGGAAACCAAGCCGTCTAGGTCGAAGTCTAAGAGAATGGTAAGTTAAAAAACACAATTTGGAGTCCGTGTCTGCTGTTGCTAACATGTTATAGTCCAAAAACAAGGAAATCGAGGAAGACGCTGTCATAGTTGAGGCAGAACAAAGTCCTCCTAGTGCAGGTGTAATTTCTGGCCCAGATGACCTGGCATTTGTTGAACCCCTTACGAAAGAACGCCGTCCAAGAAAGCCAGCAGCGGTACCCAAAAAGCCGGAAACTGGAGGCTTGATGGGCTTGTTTGGCTCATTAAGGAAGCCAAGTAAGCCAGAACCCCAGCGGCGGAAATCTCGACCTCGCCGGGAGGATATGACGGAAACAGAGAGGGACGATAAACGAGCAAAGCGTGAGCGACGTCGATCTGTGAAGCCTGACACCGATGTCGAAGGATTTACTACTGATGCTGGCCCCGTTATGGCTGATGAAGAAGCAACTGATGCTGATGCTGCTCGCAAAGCAGAACGGAGAGCTCGTCGACGAACAGCAGAAGAGAAAGCTCGCGAAGCGGAGCTCAAAGAAGCTGAAGAAAGTCGTGCTCGTAAAGAAAGGGCCCGAGAGCAACGTGAAAAGCGTATCCGAGAGGAAGAGGAACGGGAAGCACAACGACGTGAAGAAAAGCGAGCTCGACGCGCAGCACGCGAGGAACGACGCGCGAAAGAAGAACAAGAGGCAAGGGAGGCCGAGATGCGTGCCAAAGCAGAGGCTGCCGAGCGACGTGAAAGAAGGCGCACGCGAGATGCAGGAGAGATGAATGGAGGGGTTTCTAGACGTGTCTCGAAGGCAGAGCGACGGCGCTCAGAGCGCCGCTCAGAAGATGAGCCTCCCCGAACTTCCCGTCGTAAATCAATGGCACCGGATCCAGCTGAAGCTCCACGTGGCTATGGAGTTCCTGGAAAAGAAAAGACATCTTCCTGGATCAACTCCCAGGTCATGGACCCTCCCGAGGCCCCCCCTATCGTGCCCACTGTCCTGGACGTTCCCCCGAGCGCTGAGAATGCCTATTCACACTCGCTATCCTCTGACGAGGAGGCACGGCGAAGGATTCGTCGCCAAGCCCGTCGACGTTCGAAGTATCCTGGTATGACGGACGAAGAAATTGAAGATATGCGCAATGGTCGACGTGAATCTCGTCGGCCTGTAAAGAGTAGCTCTGGTAGTGGCGACTATGAGCGCGAACGTAGCAGCAGACCCCGTGAGGCTCCAATTTCTCGAGCACCAAGCACCAAGCGGACGAGCTGGTTCAAGAAATTGACGAAAATCTAACTCAAATCCCAATTTTGAGATGCATATTGGAGGCATGTTTCTCGTTTATGCCTGTGGTTTTTTACCTATCATCGTTATTGTGACTGCTCTGATTTTTATGACTTGGAGTTGAAGCGATGGCGTCTTATTCTGTCTTCGGGTTTTGTTACCACTGATTTTGTTTTACGACCAATACCCCATTATGTACTCTTTTTGGCTATATTTTCTTGTCCACTTGTTTATATTTGATAAAGCGGGTCTATTGGGAAAGAGCAAAACACGTGGAAATTGATTTTATATTGATTGCAAGGTATGATATTTGATTTTCAGTTGTATATCTGCGGGCCAGACCCCTGGGTTACTTACAAAGATAACGACAGATGCCAAGTTTTAAGATATACAGGTTTACTTATGTATTTGTGATTTAACTATTTTGAACAACTGAATGTTTTTAAAACTCATGTATTTACTTTTTGCAAGCTTGTTTAATGATTGCCAATATCGAACCGCCTTTTCGAGACATGCACATTCTTTACACACCAATTGTGCTGAAAATTAATATCACCTTATTAGGCCTGTAGCCCCAGCCCTAACATTGCAGGAAAAGCAGACTACATACAAGTAAAAATCATCATGATGTTAAAATTTGAACACCATTAATGTATAGTATACTCTATATCTCAAAATATTATGCTGACAAGGCTGAAAGTAGTTCATGAAATATCATCTGGAGTCGTGCTCAAACCTCAGACTAAGGTAATGCCTGGCAAAACATTATTAGAAATCGTATGAAAAAGATATAAGAAATTTTGCCTCATTACCTTGCTTTCTTTTATCCTTAATCTCCCGCCTCTTCTCAAGATACATACGACCACTCTCGTAAACACTAAGATATAACCCCAATCCTATCGCCGTCCAACCTCCCCTCAGCGCTCCACCCTTGAAAAGACCATTGACGCCTTCTTTTGTATAAATCTCACGTCCAACTGTCACTACACCCATTCTATTTCCTTTTGTCGAAGCCTTGTTGTTAATCGAGTCTTCATTCTGCTTTCCAGCCGCAAGCATAATCCTCGTCTTAACCACATCGATTGGTGTCGTAACAACTGCTGCAAACCCGCCAGCGATTCCGGCACTGAATGCAGTGATAACTGCTCTCTCAGCAATTTCACCAATTTCTGAACCATCTCGTCGTTTTTCCTGCCATATTTTCGATATATGCTCCCGCAGATGCTCAAAGAGTGGGAAATGCATAGCCGTGAAAGGTAGGTTCCTGGCTACGAGAGCTCCATAACCGCGCCATAACTGGATTGGATGGTCACGAAATTTAGATAGAGCGCGCATTGTGGCATTCATGTTCTTCTTTTCTTTCCCACCTGCCCTACCTTCTTCTTGACTTTCTGACTCATGATTACTGGCCGTCATGGATGTGGAAGTACTAACCATTTGTGCATTCTGCTTCAACACCTCGGCAGGCGTGAGAATGAAGCATGACACACACTCTGCTGCCGACGACGCAATGCCATTCACAGCCGGTGTTGGAAGAGAGTGTCTGAATGGTAATAAATCTCGGCCAGGATGGTCCGATGAGAGCTTCGACGTGGAATTAAGTGTATATTTGACACCTTCGTATGTTGTAAAAAATGCTCCCGCTGAAAATCCCAGCTCTTTGCATTAGGAATCTTCTTGTATAATAACTGTATCTTCTGGAAAGATACAAGGGGGTCATTGGCAAGGGAATGTCTTACACGAGGGTATCGTAGCAACGACAACACTCCATATTCCTTGATATAAACCCTTGAAAAGAACGCCCCGCCGAACACCGCCCGTGGCCGCATCTATGTAGAGATTCCTATATTGCGGTGATTGAATCCTCGTTTTCAGGGTATCAAGAGGGTAAACAACAAAGTCGATTGTGAAAGCAGCTATTGCACCAGCCTATGAAAGGAAGATTTTGGGTTAGTTTGGACGAGGCTTCTCATGATGTCTTTTTGATTGTTGTGTTTTGAAAGCCAATGAAGGTGTACATACAACCCAAATGTCCGTATTGCTGTTAGGCATGTTATTAGCAACAAGTTTAATTCAAATATTGCAATCCGTGATTGTAAGAACGACACCGACTCGAGGAGAAATGAGGTCATAGGTACATTATCGGACCCTTGTGGGGACATGATAAGATCAACCGTTCTGCAAGCCTGATACCCATTTAGGCTTCAAGAGCAAAGCAGTAGATCAGTGTTAATCAGTTCCTAAGGTTTATTTGAGAACAATGAAGTATAACGTTGAATATTTTACTGGTCATTCGTCTCCATCTCTAATAGTCATTAGGTTCTAGGAGCCAGATATGGACAGTCACAGATACATATTTTCCCCTTCCTACGCCGTAGAGTCATGCAAAATGCCCACATCGACAAAATAAAGTAAAAGAGAAAATCCGTGAGAAGAAAAATTGAAAAGAATTAAACATGAATCATCTATTCATTGACCTCGCCAGGAAGAAGATTACCCTTGACAGCAAACATCTTACCAGTTGTCGAAGAAACGAAGCCGTCAATTTGGTGAGAATACTGTTCCACTTGTCGGCTGTTGAGCATGCTCTCCAGTCGGCTAGGCTCCTGAGGGAGCTTGAATAGCCGTTGCCATTCATCCTCTGGCAGGGCGGGTTGCTTGAGTGTCGCTCGGCTGATGTTCTCGGCCTTGCGCTTGGCTTGCCAGGCGGCAATCTTCTGTTGCTCACGAGCAAGCGATCTCTGGTAGTATTGGAAGTTGTTGTTCTCAGTGTGGTGTGTTTCAATGGCATCCAAAAGCAGATCACAGTTCTTCTCCAAGAATGGGTCGATGCTTAACGACAAGTTATCAAAGTTAGGCGTCAGAGTGTTCGACTGTGCGATAGGTCCGTTGGTGAGTGCTGAAAGAGACACCGGAAGGTCTAGAGGCTCCGACGGTAAAGGAGATGGCAGCTGGTGGAGGAAAGATGTGAGGAGGTGCGAGTTGTGGATCTGGACTGGCAGTTCAACGAGGATATCTTGGTAGCGAAAGCCGGATTTTTGAAGTCTATTTGAGATATGGTCAACGATCAAAACACAATTGCTAGAACTAGACATAAAGCCACTTACTGCTCCGAAGTAAATTTGTTCTCCTTGAAAGCATTGATGAATTGCGGGGAAAGGCGGAATGCACGCAGGCTCAAGCTACCTTGAGCGCTACGGCTAACGTCATGGACAAGAGCAACAGTGCGCTCGTTGAGTTCCTTTTGATAGAAAAATTGGTTCTCGATAACATTCAAGTTGATGAAATTGCCCATGTTCGCGCTAGTATACCATCCGATATTTTGGGCATCGATATTGACTTCGCGAAGCATGCGGATCATTTCGGCCTGATAGGCAGTGTTTGCCTTCGCACGAGGGGCAGCAGCAGCAGCATTTGGAGTGGCTGAATCGAAATGGGACTCGGGGGCACTTCAATGACGGGGAACGGGAATGTGTTCGTGACCTCCAGGGTGCTGCCAACATCCAAACCGACAAGGGACCCGGTAGCAACGGTAGGGAAGGTTTGTGAGCTATGTTTAATGATTTTCATAACCACCTTTTTTTCGCGAAAACAAATTAGTCTCTGAACTGACCGGTCGCGGCGGCGACGAGGGGTAGGAGATTTTTTTTTCATACCAAGGCCTCGACCTGGACGGTCGTGAGAGGAACATCTTTGCTATGTAATGTTAGCATCGTTTGATTAATAACTATCGCTATACTCACTCGGCCATCTTGTATATAGCGGACGGAGTACTGTCGAGCCAGAGGTCGTTGCGTGCTGTGTCTCTGTCGCCGTCGACACTATCGGCTCCGGTTTGTGTGGGCATGGCGATAATTTGACCGCCTAAAGCCAGAACAGGGATAGCGTGCCAAGAAAGAACCGTAGACACACTATACAGGTGTAAGGACAGAGAGTGGTTCTTGTCCAATACAGACCTGTTAGAGTAAATTAGGATAAAATCTGATGGCTCTGTGTATGAGAAGAAGACAAAAAGAAAAGAGGGAGAAGAGAGATGAAGCTGCCTTGGCGCTCTCTCGTTCTACGAACATCTGTTAGTGTCCATAAAGGGTTTAGTGCTTTTCATACAAGTCAAACATGGAAAGTGTTGCAACTGCGTTATTGTTGCTTTTGGATCATGAAGCTATCTCTACATTATTCACGGATAGTTTCTTGCGTGATTAAACATCCGAGGTCCTTAAATATCAGAGTCAAACATGTCTCCCATAGAGACATTCCACTATGGCCCGCATGAGCTCCAAAAGATTCATGTTTCGAAAGTATCAGAAAACTTCGGCCAAACTGATAAAGAACGCTATTGGATAGTGTACGTCTATAAACCATTTCTAAGAAGAAGAAAGGAATCACTTAAACACAATGTTGTATAGATATATTCACGGTGGTGCTTGGAGAGATCCCACCATCCTCGCAAGCTCATTTAAATCTACCGAAAGAGTCCTGCGTAACAACCCTCTGGTACAGAACCACGTAGCTGCTTTCGCTTCTATAGACTATCGCTTGAGCCCGCATCCAGACTTTCCACAAGACTCGAAGCATACACCAGACACCCAGCTTCGTGTTGCCGAGCATCCAGATCATCTGCACGACGTGCAGGCCGCACTCAAGTTCCTACAAGACAACTACAGCATTGGAGAGAATTACGTTCTCGTTGGCCATAGCTGTGGAGCAACGTTGGCTTTTCAGACAGTCATGGGCAGAGTGAGCGGAGCAAATCCAAGCACAGCACCCAAGCCAAAGGCTATAGTCGGCGCTTGTGGTATTTACGACCTTCGGCTGCTCCGAGACGATTTCAAACAGTATGGTTCTGTAAATGAATTTATCACACGGGCGTTTGGCGCCGAAGAGGATGTTTGGGATGAAGTCAGCCCGGGGAAAGTCGGCAGGTCGGATGGCGTTGCCTCTGGATGGTCAACAGGCCAAGTTGCGGTCGTAGCCAGTTCGACAGGGGATTCACTTATTAATCTACCTCAGGGGCTAGTCATGGGGAAGGTTTTGAAGAATTGGGAAAGTCTAGCTGACGGAAGGACATTGGTCTTGCACCAGGATCTTCAGGAAGAGCATGACGATGTCTGGAGCAAGGGTCAGGAACTTGCAAGTGTCATAATAGACGCGTTACAGAATCTGGTTGAAAGGCATGCGTGATGTGTGAATTTGCATATTTCCCGTGTATGTCAATTGATATGTTGGATGAATGTGAAGCCCTTGAAAAAACTCGAATACATGTACTGAATAAATCTCACTGTCTCGCCTAGACCAAAGAAGCTGCATAGCCGGTTCCAATATTCGTAGTACTCATGGAAAGAGAAATCTATTAGACTTTCCCATCGCATGTTGCATTTCTGAAGGATGATTTTATTCTAAAGTATATTCAATTATACAGCCGTTTGGCTCGAAAGATAATGTATATGATGCAAAACGCCACGAGTAATCCATTTTCGCTGTCAACGCCATAATATGCAACCATATTGTAGAAGAAAGAGGAACATCATCAGACCCATGTTGACGGTTCAACATTGACGTTCATGGGGGTGAGTCATAATCTTAAACACCCATATCCATTCGTGCAGGAGCTTGATCCCCTACGACGACTTCCTTAGAAATGTCGGGCTTGTCATCGTCTTCGTTGTCGTCATCGAACTCATACTCTTCATCTTCGCTGTCTTCAACAAAAGTCGCGTCGATGTTCGCATGGTGTAGACGTTCCCTCATATCTTCACGACGAGCATCCTGCCAGCGGGCCAAGGCGGCGCTGGCATGTACCCTGAAGCCGTAGACACGAGGCTCGTAACGGCGGATGCTCTTTTCCGGCACGAGCGCTGGATATACCTGGAACAAGATGTTATGAAAGGATGTACCGAAATAAGATCCATCGATGGACGCGTGACGGGACGATTTTGGGTTGTAGATGTCTTCACACTTCGCACAGTAGAGTTTGACTGTCTTCTGATTAGGTAAGTCAGACTGTCCCATGGGGAGAAGAGGATGTTGGTCGCAGAGGACACGGGGGCATTTGCCAAAGTCGCCTTTTTTATACTTGTCGAGCTGTTCAAGATATAATGGTTAATGATTATGACCTCAAACTAAGAAATATGGAGATGATCTACATACCATCTTGGCTAACCCACGAGTAGTGACAATGTACCGGGCATGGACTAAACCGTAAAGATGACGAGCAGATTTTTCGATTTGCTCGCGGAGGTCATCATCGGCATCGAGATCGAAGACATCAGTGATGAGGTCAAGGGCGTACTGATAGTACTGAACTTCAGTGTTCAGGCCCGTCAAGTTGAATCGATCGGTCAAGTATTCCTCATCGATTTCACAGAAGTACTCATTGCCACGGGAGGATATGAACTGCGGTATAAATGGACGGTCAAAACGATACTTTGAAATTGAATCTGGATGAAAGGCAAGGGAAAGAGAGCGAAGGTTTTCAGCAACATGCCGGGGGACGTTGATAGGTGGATGGGAGGGCATATCGATACACTCTTTTGTTGCAGTAACTCGCACATCAAGAAGGCCAGTGAAATAAGAGCAGCTGGGGGTTGCGAGAAGTATCCATATAAAGAATTACAGGAGTCATCCAGAATTTCGGAAAGTTTGGGTAACCGGATAGCTTGCCATAGTGACTCAGGGGCTTATGCCTGATGAACACTTGCCCTGAGACCGGTTACCCGGATTCTCGCAAGCTAAACCGTCTTCTATGATATAAAAAAAAGGAAGGAAATAGCAAACGAAAAAAATGAGACAAAAAACAAAATTGTAGTGCGCTCAGGGTGAACATAATTGTGACAAATAGTGCGCGCGAACAATTGTACTCACCCAGTCCCTCCAGTAACTGGTATAGTCACTATCGGTATCACTGTTGAAGTCCTCCATGATGTACTGCTGTAGGGAATCCGTTTTTGGCTATTTATTCGTGTCTCTCGTATAGCCGCCCACTTGTCGAATGGACCAAGTGCGACCGGCCTGGCGAGGACTTTTGCGGCGATTTCCGAGGTTCTTTTGTTACCTTTGTTGCTTTTCTCCTTTCGCTGTTTGCCGCAAATTGAAGGCAAAGAACAGCAGTTTTCTTGGCGGTCTTAGTCAGGTATCGATGAGAAAACGAATGGACGATAGCCGAAAGTGAGAAGGGGTAGAGGGCAGCAAAAACAAGTGACGCAGCGGTAACACAGCAGCGTCTATCGTCTTGTGTCGATATTCGTGATATGAGCAGTGCAGCCAGTGCGGGGCAAGGCGGTGAATAGAGCCTGCGCAATTTCACTGGCAGAATCCTGTCACCGCCCGTAGGGCTTCTATTGTACTGGATGGAAGGCATTATGACGTGTATTTATAGATTGCCATATGGGATTATGTCTTGTATGTAATGTAGAGGAGAGATTGATTGAATCATGTCAACTTTGATAGCATAGAACAACGAGTACTAACTCATCAACGGTATCAGGGGCGCTTATTTACAAAAGAAAAGTTTCATCCAAAACAGCGACAGTGAATTACTCCTTCAATATGGAGTATTGAAATAGAAAAAAATTACGGCCTGCCATGAAAACGAATGTCCTTTGGATGGATGACACGTCGAACTGAGAAAGACCGAAGAAAGGGGATAAAAAAGATAGCCGTCAAGGCCATGTTAATATTGAGAATGATCTGCGGCTCTATCGCATTGCTCCAGGAATTTGTAGATTCCTTGCACTCCTTCGTAATCAGAATTATTGTGATGTAGGCTGCCAACATCAGACTGTTCAGCGAAGAATACCCGATCTCCAAGCTCGCTTACACCAATGCTGGAATACCCCGATGGAGACGAGATCCATGGGTTATTTCCAAACATTTCAACATCCTCAAAACTGAGGCGGTTGGCATCACTGGAGTCCAATGGTGAGTCCTGGCCTGACATCATAAGTCGCCAATCTAGCTGATCTTCAGTGCAAAAGTGAGGATTTTCGTGGATCGTGAAGAGTTCGTCGACAGGTGAAGGAGCCATGCTAGGAGCAAATGGATATAACAGAGCGAGCTCTGTACCATTGCGTAACTCGAAGTCTTCATCCTGGAAGATACGCCCTCGCTCGACACCAACTTCGTCGCAAAGCCGCTCTACTTGTTCAGAATCACAGCCAGGAAAGCGCACACGAATCGTTGACTTGTTCTCAAGTGACACAGGAAGATCGCCTAGAGCTCCAAGACGCTTGAGATCGTTCAGGACTGCAGCGAAATCTTTCAAAGCCCGTGCGAAGTCGACGGAGAGCATCTCCATTAAGCTTTCGGAGTTAAGACTCTGGGCTTTGCTGCCAAAAGCAGTAATTGTTGGAGAAAGCTGGAAGTCGATGTAGGAACCTGGAGCATTGCGAGGCACTTCTGACATCTGGCGCTGTGCTTTATCTTGGAGGGCGGTCACGGTCCTGAAGCGCTTTTCGCCGGTACTAGGATCAATTCCGTCAAACCGGGCTTTTTGGCCTGAAAGCCAGAAGCCTCGCATCGCGACAGAAACATTGCTAATGACCTGTGCAGGAGCAGCTGGGCCATGTGAGAAGTATCTTGCACCGCCAAGTCGTCCCGCGCCGATGGAATATCCACCTGCGGTGCGGCCAAGAGTGCCGCCAGTCAAGTTTGGACGGAGCGTCGACGTAAAAGGGGAGTGTGTCGTGATTCGGCCGACAATTTGACCGATGCGAGAGCTTTGGGCGGCCGAGGAACGAGAAGCTTGACGTACGTATGAGCCGATATAGCCACCGGCGCGTGTAGAGAACTGGCGGCTGCGGGCCTGTCGGATAGCGGCGGCTCGATTTATGGGTTGACGAGAAGTGACATGTGCATATGCTGGTTGAAGGCGTGCAGGTAGCTGCTGAGAAGGGTCTGGAAATTTGGCTTTAATAGCCTTGGCCGTCTTCTCGTAGGCAAACCTAACGAGTTTAGCATTAGGATACAATTGATAAGAGAGGCTGGAATCTACTCACCTCGCTGCCCTCCAAAGCTTGGGGAGCAACAAGTGCCCGCTTGATGGCGGCATGGCTACTTTGATGAGCCTTGCAAGTCTGATGATGGATTTGAAGATGCGATTGATAAGTAAGAAATGAAGACTAAGATGATGGAAGATGCCTGATCTACGAGGGGACCAATGGCCATGTCACATGCGTGGCGGTGCTGTGGCTAGGATATTCGCCACTTCGGGCCCACCCTCAGGAAGATCTCCACCAATGAGAACATTGTCTGTTGTGGTTACATTTGACATTTCGAGAGAGTACGGGGTATTTGTTGCTTCCTTTAAATTTTTGAAATATTTTACTTAATATTTGCATTATATGATATAAACAGTGATGAGTCTCCTTTCCCCTTCCCTACTCATCATCACCAAAGAACACCTTAACAGGTAGCCATGCATCTCCGCACACCTTGAAACGATCTTTGAGATTACTCAATTGCTCGATTTCCTCGGCAGTCAAATCCCATCCATCAAGTTGGAAGTTCTTCTCGATACGCTCCTTATTGACTGATTTGGGAATGACACTCCATCCCTTATGTAGGCCCCAGACTAGCAAAACTTGTTGAGGGGTCTTCCCCTTTTTCTCTGCAATCTGGAGGAGGGTTGGATCCTTGTACAAGGGCGAGTTCGTTGAACCCAAGCAGGAGTATGCGGTGGAGTGGATCCCCTTTGACGTGTTGTATGCAACTAGTTTAGGCGAGGGGTTGTTAGGGTGCAATTCAATCTGGTTAACGGCCGGAACAATCTTGGTCGTGGGAGCATTAAGCAGCTTTTCCAAGTTCTGAATGCCGAAGTTGGACACTCCAATGTTCTTGACCTTGCCGGTGGCAGGCAGTTTCTGCATCTCCTCCCTATATCTTCTGTCAATTGAGGAAATGTTGGGTATATCTCCGGCCGCACTCACCATGTTTTGATGAAGTCCCAATCGGGAAGATGCTTCTTCTTGTCACTTGGGTCTGTTGATGATGGCCAGTGAACTAGGTAGAGATCAACATAGTCTACGCCCAGGGATTTCAGAGATGAGTTGATGCCATCCTGAACGCGGTGGTGCCATGTATTGTCAAGCTTGGTGGTGATCCAAATTTGGTCGCGAGGAATGCCGGAGTCTCTAATTCCGTCTCCGACTTCTTTTTCGTTCTGATAGGCAAGGGCACTAAGCAGACAAGAATCAGCCTGATCTCTAAACTTTACATCGCAATTTCCTATTGCGAAACACTCACGTATCAATGTGCCGGTAACCAGCCAGCAAAGCAGCCTTTACAGCTTCACGGACCTCATTGGGCTTGGATTGCCAGGTTCCCAGACCAACAGCCGGGATTTTGTCCCCCGTGTTGAGGGTGTAGGTTCTCCTGCGTGGATTGGTTAGTGGATTGGTTACTTTCAAAAAATCAACTTGGTTCTTCAAGCTTGATCGCGTACTTGGTATACTGCAAGTCAGACATTTTACGGTATTGGAATACTGTACAAGTAACTTTTGAAGGTCGAAAACACACTCTTGAAGTACTCGACGAAGGACGCGCAGAAATAGTGACAAAATTTCTGGAAGGAGAGTGACAGCTCTTTATAACGCAGGGGAGCATCGTGGGGCACTAGCTTACGCCCGCAGTAACTACGCGCTGTAGTGGAGATGGTATAGATGGATCAAAATTCATACCGCTCCAGCAAAGGAAAGGAAAAGCGGGATTTTGAAACTTTTCTGCCATACATATTCTCGTGCTTAAAAGAATGGGATCCGCAGTCACGTCATCGAATCGCGTTTATCAGGATAAAAGTATTAATAATTGCAGATAAGTATTTAACCGAGGGGCAATGGGCTCCATAGTGACTCGGAAATTTTGTTGTGGACGTAAACCCAATCACAGTTATAGCTGTACTCGTAAAATAGTCGAGGCTGGTAGATCGACCAAGAGCATTTATTGTATGAATTTGTCACTCCAAATCGATAATCGTCGTCCAATAATGGCAAGGCTTAAAGCTGGTATGCGGGTTGACCTGCCCTCCTGGAGTTACCGCCTGATTCTGCCGGACTTCTGTTGTCCTGATCTGTTTTGATTCGCTGGTCACAATGAATAGGTCTTAAAAAGAAGAAACTATACCTAATCTGGCTAATTGTACGGCTATCTGGCCAATGGAAGCAAAACAAGCATCGTAAACAAGTAATGCCGGGGTCCAATGACAGCTGATCAAGGGTTATGGCGCTTACCAGGACAGGAAGGTGGCCTGGCTGGGCAGGGAAGGAAGGAGCGACCCACTCGGGAAGAATTAGCCACCAGACCTGGGTTTGCAACTGAATCGCTCATTGGACATGCTGCAACCACCAGCTACAATATCTTTACAATGTCATCGGGGTTCGTCTCTGGGGGCACTATCGATGAGCCAGCAGAGCGCGATGATGAATGGCGTCGTGTTCAGCATGAACTCGAGGAAGAAAGGCGCCGAAAAGCCGAGCTTGGCAAGCAAGATGGAGGGAAGAGTCTGTATGAGGTCTTACAGCAGAATAAGAGTTAGTGTCCAAAGTCGGCTCCGCAGTTGACATCCAATATAAACCTCTTAATGCATTCAAATCTACAATATCTCGAGCCTTCTAGGGCTAACGTGACAGGTGATGTGGTTTGTTTGATTAGTGGCCAAGCAAGAAGCATTTGAAGAGTCAATACGATTGAAAAATCAATTTCGGTCCTTGGATGACGATGAAGTTGAGTTTCTCGATTCGGTGTTGGAGTCTACTCGAGCACAGGAAGCGGCAGTGAAGAAAGAGACTGCTGAGCAACTAGCCGAGTTCCATCGGCAACGCGAAGAAGCAGAGCGAGCTTTACTAGAGGGCTCATCCACCGAGAATGCTGGTTCGGGTGGTCCTGCTAAGTCACTTGGAGAAGAGGAACAATGGGCTATATCAGGAAAGAAGCGCAAACGTAACAAAAAAGAGCTTTTGCTTCCCCCAAAGATGCGCAAGTCGTCTGCTAGTGGGGAAGCACCAGCTTCTGATGGATCAAAAACGGCGACAAAAACTGAGCTAAAAGACGAAGCTCCAAGGAAAGGCTTACAGAAAAAGTCAAACACCACATCATCTACGACAATTACGTCTGCCGTGACTGGGAAGGTTACCCAGAAAGAAACCGATATTATCAACTCACTGCCTGAAAAAGACGAATCTAAAACTGCCCCTACATTATCATTGGGTTTAGTTGCATACGGTTCAGATGATGACTCTGATTGAGAGAAGCGCAAATTTGACGACACCCCATAACACATAATGAAGACGATTTATTGTGGAAACTACGACTCGAGTAGCGAATAACAAACTCAAATTCGCCGGCGTCTTTGCATTATCAGAGAAAGGAAAGCGAGAAGATTAGTAAGCTATACTGTATGGAAGCTGATATTGAAATTGTGTACTGGACTTGTCACAGCCGATAAATGCCCAGATTATTCGCATCTGTAACTGACTCACCAAAAAGATGGATGGTACCAGTATAAAAATCACCATTGGACTATAACAATGAATCTCCTTCAAATGTTGCTACTTCTGATTCTGTCAATGGATGCTACCAGCTGAGGTTCCGCTCAGAAGTTAAATATAGGTCATGACGCACACTAAGAGTGCAAGAAAAACATCCCTATTAGTCAGATAGTATCTTAAATGTAATCGATTATAGTCATATGAGTTAAATCCCTAGCATGTGGTTTGCAAGTCGAACGTCCCAAATGAACAAGACTTATAGATTCGTTCACCCAAGATTTATCGTCCAGCTTTAGCAACGTTCTTTTACCCATCGATTTGCCAAGACTCACACAGGTTAAATATAGAAATGTGCCATCTTCGCATTATATGCCCACACTTCCCACACAAGATTATCAGCACTAGGTAAGCAGTCATTAAGGACAAAAGCCGAACAAGACTAATGTCGTCATAAATTTCAATGCCCAATGCCTACTTTTCCTCTTCTTATTGATATACCAAACTTTGAAGTTTGCTATACCAAAAAAATAGTTATGACACGTGGATGACGGTCCCGCCGGAGATTATCCGCATTGATATAACTGGAGGCCTAGAACTTGGTATTTTCATGTGGGGTGTTAATGAATCACTCTCATTCATGGAAAATCTTAGGCAAAAAGTATGTAGATAAATTTGCCAATAGTGTTGAAGACAAATCATTGAGCTAATCGCAGATTAGGAAACATACCCTGAGAGCAGTCTCTAATTAACCGACAGAGACTTATTGGAAGCTGGAGCTAGAATGAGAGCTGTACTTGTACTACCTTCACCCCGCCATCGACACTGCGGAGAATATAGTGAGGTACAAAATTGAAAAGAAAATTCTCCGTGATTTCAATTTATGTTTGAGGTTACAAATCGCTAGACACTGCAACAAATCTCAAAACTTCTTCAAGCTTTCGATTCGTATAAAGATCAAGATGACGACCTTCACCAAGATTCAAGACAATGAAACGCCGGTCATTTCTGTGAATGCTGGAGCGCGACTATCCAAGATCAACCCAAATATCTATTCAGGGTTTACAGAGTGAGATAATACCCTCCATACATTGTTAATTTTCTAACGACGCTCCTTTAGACATATGGGTCGATGTATCTACGGAGGCATTTACGACCCTGGAAACACATTATCGGACGACAATGGCTTTCGAAAGGACGTTTTGGAAGCTTTAAAAGAGCTTGATATTCCCGTTGTCAGATACCCTGGTGGAAATTTTGTTGCTACTTATCACTGGTTGGACGGCGTTGGGCCTAAGGACCAGCGACCAGCGAGGTATTAATGATGCACTCTACCTTCTTTTCAGGTTGTTACAGAAATTGACAGAGGCCAAAATCAAAAGGCCAGAATTGGCATGGCTAGGAACGGAGACCAACGAATTTGGCACAGATGAGTTTCTCAAATGGTGTGAGGTTTTGGGCACAGAGCCGTACTTCTGTTTGAATTTTGGGACAGGTAAAGACAACATGGATGACCCAAAAACCAATGTAGAACATGGCCTAACCTATCATTCTAGGAACCCTCGATGAAGGTACGATAACCCACAAAATTTGCCGATCACCTTTTGACATATGTAGCTATGGCTTGGGTTGAATACTGCAATGGCACGGGAAACACATATTATGCCAATCTGCGGAGGAAAAATGGTCGGCAAGAACCTTATAATGTAGAGGACCTCATTATTTTCTGCCTTTATATTACAACGCTGACACAAAGGCAGGTTAAATACTGGGCTCTAGGAAATGAAACCTACGGACCTTGGCAAGTTGAGCAAACAACGAAGGAGGCGTATGCCCACAAAGCGTACCAATGGGCGAAAGGCATGTTGATATCGCCAAATTTTCAGACTTCCTGCTTATTTCAAGTAGCTCTCAAACTCCTTGACCCTAGTTTAATTCTTGTCCTGTGTGGCGAAACAGGCACTACCTCGTGGGATTACTACACTCTTAAAGAATGTCTTAAGCCTACTAGGGCTACGTTAAATAGCAACCCTACACCATTGATTGATATGCACAGCATACATATGTATACGGCTTCTCCAAATCATCTTCCGAATGCCACCGCGCCTTTGGCAGCAGAACGAGCCATCGAAATCGCGTCTTCCTTGATCGACCTCGCTCGTATTGAGAATGGCATATCCCCAGATGAGCCGCGTCCTACACTTTGCTTTGATGAGTGGAATGTCTGGGACCCTATTCGCGCTGAAGGTAGATTTGGTGCCGAAGAGACGTATACCCTGTCTGACGCATTGGCTGTGGGTGTCTTTCTCAATGTTTTCGTCCGAAAGAGCCGCGATCTTGGAATGGCATGCATTGCCCAAAGCGTTAATGTTATTTCACCACTCATGACGACAAAGGAGGGAATAGTCAAGCAGACTACTTGGTGGCCATTGCTTCTCTTTTCCAAATATATGCGAGGCTGGACTATTGCAGCTCATGTGGCATGTGGTTCCTATGAAGGTGAGACGTCGCCTGCGTGGCTGAGATCAACTAAAGATACACCATGGCTCGACGTTAGTGCTGTCTTGGGTGATGACGGATATGTCAACATCGTGGTAGTCAATGTTCATGAGATCCAAAGTTTCAAGTCCAAGCTAGAGGGAGTCGACAGTTCAGTCCAGGTCTTCACCGTGACAGGCTCTGATGTCACAGTGACTAATATGAAAGGAAAAGAGGAAGTGAGCTTGCAAGAAAGCAAGTGGGATGGTAATGGGGAGTATGAGTTTCCTAAGCATTCCCTGACACTTTTGCGTTGGAAAGCTAGATTGGAAAATAGACTAGTTTGGTAGAATATTTCATATCGGATCGTATCCGAAAAAACCTCTATATAGTTTTATAGACATGGGGATACTTACTCAACGTATAAACCAGCGATATTATGACGAAAAAGCCCAGTTAAATGCTACATACCGTTTTCTTACCTAGAGGAGACCACTGATTGGCTTGTTCCGCAGAAGTATATTTCCCGTTATGGACTAGGCTACTATCGAAAATCTCCGCACGTGACAGGTCTCGTCCGCCACCTGGGATGCCTTTCATTTCTTTTGAAGAGACTCAACCAGCAGACCACCGCCACGCAGAAGAAGTTGGAAGTGGGAATTCTGGTCATATAGAGCTATAGATGGATGCGCTATTTCATCTATACTCAAACAGCAGCATTAAATAAAAACAACGGGTTGAGCTTCGAAGTATTACTCACATCTCACTTACACTAGTTGGCCTGCAACAATGGCTCGCCGCGGGGATACGCGCTCACCATCACCTGTAGGCAGCACATATTCGTCCTCCAAACGAAGCCGCAGAGATGAGGATCGACACGAGAGAAGCAGACGGGATGATGGGAGGTCATATCGTCGATCGCGCAGTCCAAATGTAAGTTCGTGTCTCGCTGGCTTGCTTCATCCTTTGTGGTTTTTTATTAACACGATATTTTTTCACAGAGACACTATCGCGACCGAGATGGTTATCGACGACGGGATCGATCCTTAGACAGACGGGACCGGGATGAATATCGCGACGAAGATATTTACAGGCCAGCTAAACGCGACCGCCGGCGTTCTAGAGACCGTGATGATGATCGCAATTACCGACGCAGGAGTAGGGATAGAGAAATAAGTCGTGATAGAGACGATCGAAGCAGGCGAGATCACTCCCGCGATCGACCTCGAAAGCGCATAGACGATTCTACTGACTCGAGGCGAAAGCTCAGACGAGACAGCCGAGACCGCGTATCAGTGAAAGATTCGGACACGAAATCCCGAGAGGTACGTATGATATGCCGCATTTTTAGTCACAGTCAAACTTACATCAATGCTCAGGGTTCGAAACCGTCAACTCCTGCTCCTACTACGCAGACCGACGAAGAGAAGAAAGCCGAACGACTTGCTAAGCTAGAAGCATGGAAACAAAAACAGGCCGCCGAACGTGAGCGCAAGCAACGCGAGCAAGCGACAGCCGGTGGTGCTCGTAATATTCTGACCGAGATGGACAAAAAATCCGGGTTGCTACCAGCTACTGGTTCCCCCCAGTCCCCTGCTGCTACGCCAACCCAAGACTCACCAGCTGCTGAGTATGCTGGGAAATTCAACCCGAAGGCTATTGCCAAGAAGGCTGCTGGTACAACGTCTGGAGCAGCTCTACTAGGCAATGACGTTGCTGTCCCTGATTCTGCTAGACCTGCTAGTTCGATTGAGGCTAACAAGATTGCAGTCCCTGGCAGTGAGACTTCCGGTAAGTTTTGCATATTTTATTACCTATATTACATGAATGTTTTATTAACAATATGTATAGCTCCGTTGAAAGCAAGCGGAAATGTTGGCAAGTTCGGATTAGGATCCAAGGCGATTGTCGAGGCGGAAAAGCCAGCTGCGAAGCGAACCTTAGTCTTTGGTGAAGAAGAGTCGACGCGCAAGAAACTCGAGAAATTGCCTACTCCCCCCCTTGAAGACGCAAAAGACGTGGCTGCCGATGCCGTTGTTGAAGAGGAGGATTCAGACGTTGACATGGAAATTGGCACGGAGGAAGAAAATGCTGCAGCAGCCCGTGCAGCAGCCGAGAAGCGTGAAGCCCGTTTACAAACCCAGCAAGCAGCTCTGAATGCGGAGTCCAATGGCGATGTTCAAATGGCCGATGCATCCAACGATATTGCAACTGATGCCAATGTGCCGGAGGAAGAAGAAATTGATCCTCTGGATGCGTTCATGTCTGGTTTGGCAGAAACAGCTCCCGCTAAAAGAACAAATGGCATGAAATTTGCTAAATCTAAGCAACAGCAACCGCAAGCTATCTTCGGTGATGAAAACGACATGAATATTTCAGCCGTCGGCGATGGCGACACAGACGAGTTCCTCGCAATTACCAACAAAGCTAAGAAGAAGAAAGACATCCCTGCCGTCGATCATGCCAAAGCGGAATACGAGCCATTCAGAAAAAGTTTCTACACTGAACCGCTCGATCTGGCTCAACTGACAGAGGAAGAGGTAGCCAGTTTACGGCTCGAACTCGACGGCATCAAAGTTCGCGGGGTTGATTTGCCGAAACCAATTCTCAAATGGTCGCAATGTGGCTTGGGTGTACAGACACTTGACGTCATTAGTAAACTCGGGTATGAAAGTCCAACTTCCATTCAATGCCAGGCTCTTCCCTCCATAATGTCTGGCAGAGATGTCATTGGCGTTGCCAAAACAGGTTCCGGGAAAACAGTCGCCTTTCTCTTGCCTATGTTTCGTCATATCAAGGACCAACGTCCGCTCGATAGTATGGAAGGTCCGATCAGTCTTATAATGACGCCAACCAGAGAATTGGCAACACAAATTCATAAGGACTGCAAGCCGTTTTTGAAGGCTTTGAATCTTCGGGCTGTATGCGCTTATGGTGGTGCACCCATCAAAGACCAAATTGCTGAACTAAAGCGTGGGGCAGAGATTGTCGTTTGTACGCCTGGGCGAATGATCGATCTCTTAGCTGCTAATGCAGGACGTGTTACCAATTTACGTCGAGTTACATATGTAGTGCTGGATGAGGCAGACCGCATGTTTGACATGGGCTTTGAGCCACAAGTTATGAAGATCATGACGAACATTCGACCCACCAGGCAAACAGTGCTGTTTTCTGCCACATTTCCTCGCAATATGGAAGCTCTTGCACGAAAAACTTTGACAAAGCCTGTTGAGATTATTGTTGGTGGGAAGAGTATGGTTGCACCTGAAATCACTCAGGTCGTGGAAGTCCGAAACGAAGATACAAAATTTCTACGACTCTTAGAACTCCTTGGAAACTTGTATTCTGACGAGGCTAATGAAGATGCAAGAACGCTTATCTTTGTCGATCGCCAGGAAGCTGCTGATAGTCTTCTACGTGAATTGATGCGTAAAGGCTATCCCTGTATGTCTATTCATGGTGGCAAAGACCAAAACGATCGAGACTCAACCATTGAGGACTTTAAAGCTGGTATATTCCCAGTTCTGATTGCTACTTCAGTTGCCGCTCGTGGTTTAGATGTTAAGCAATTGAAACTGGTTGTCAACTATGACGCGCCAAATCATTTAGAAGACTATGTTCATCGTGCTGGACGAACCGGGCGTGCTGGAAACACCGGAACTGCGGTGACTTTCTTGACTGAAGATCAAGAGCGATACTCGGTTGACATTGCCAAAGCCCTTAAGCAAAGTGGCCAGTCGATTCCAGAACCAGTACAGAAATTGGTAGATTCTTTCTTGGACAAGGTGAAATCCGGGAAGGAGAAAGCTTCTGCATCTGGTTTCGGAGGTAAAGGTTTGGAACGTCTGGACCAGGAACGAGACGCTGCGCGGAATCGGGAACGTAAAACGTACCGCACCGGCGAGGAAGGTGAGGAGGAAGAGCGTGAAGAGACAAAAGAAAAGAAAGGCGAAGATCTCTTTGCCAAAGCTGCATCGTCTGTGCAGTCCGCAACAGCTCCTCTACCGGGTGTTCCAAAGGGCATTGACCTTGACGGCAAGATCACCGTACATAAGACAGAAAGACCTATTTCAAAGACAAACGATCCACTCGACAAGGTTGGCTCGGCTGTTGCCGATATTCATGCTCGGTTGAATCGTGCTGGCGTGATGAGGACCGGCGTCCCCATTGACAACAAAGGTCCTGATGCTGGTGCCTTCCACGCGACGCTGGAAATCAATGACTTTCCTCGTAAGTTCTTTCCCCCATACTTGTCATTTGACTTATCACTACGCGGATAACTAATAAATATCTACAGAAAAAGCTCGTTGGGCTGTTACCAACCGTACGAACGTCGCCAAAATTCTCGAAGCCACCGGCACATCGATCACAACAAAGGGCAGCTATTACCCCACAGGCAAGGAGCCTGGTGTTGGCGAAAACCCGAAGTTGTACATCCTTGTCGAGGGTGACACGGAATTGGTCGTCACCAATGCTATGCGCGAACTAATGCGTCTGCTGAGAGAAGGCACAATCGCAGCAGCGGATAGTGAAGCTAGGGCGCCAACCAGTGGCCGATATAACGTTGTCTAAGCATATATCATTATTAATTTTATTATATTCGTGGTTTGGGAGGAAATTAGCGTTTCGAATATTTGAGGCGCTTTTATTGCCTGTTATTGCATTAATGTAGATAGAGATAATCAAACACTAATTGTGCCAAACATTCAGATTTCGCATGCGGTTATTCACTACATTAGAATTACGAGGCATGTCAATTCGACTGCTCTTCTCATTTCTCAAAATGGGTCTTTATTTCATTAAATCGTGAGCCACAAGATGGGTATAATTCCAAACTAGTCGTCCATAATCCATGATTCTATCATCCAAAAAAAAAAAAGAATAGTTGGGGAGAAAAAAAAATTTAACCAAGTATTAAACCAAAAATCCACCTCCGAGATTATCCTTTCATTAATACACTGCCTGGGGGGGTGACAGCAAAGGTAATGATAGTTCAGTAGGAGGGTTGTCGACTTTGTGGGTCGTTTTAAGGTGGCGTTTCAATTGGTCTAGTTTTAGAAGATATATTAGTTCTCTGAATTATTCTAGTAAATAAAATCAATCAACGATACGTACCAGGCCGTGTAAAACTCTTTGAACAGCCGGGAAATGTGCATTTGTGTTGGCGTCCGTTGTGTGTAAGTTTATGACTGGACATATTCGATGACTGCAATAGCATTAGAAATCGGCTTGTGAGTTATATCAAACAGGGGAGAAAAAAGACATACATCGCCAGTTTGAAAATTGCAACCTGGAAAGTTGCACTTAAAAGGTTTCTCGCCAGTATGGGTTCGCGAATGGGTCTTGAGCTCACTACTATCGGTGAATGCTTTGCCGCACACTTTACACGTAAAAGGCTTCTCGCCACGGTGGCTGCGCTCGTGGCGTTCAAGAGTCGCCTGTCTTGCAAATGCCTTGCCGCAGACTGAACAGCTGAAATTTTTATCTATGTCAAGTGTCAGGTGTAAAACGCCAATAAACAAACGAAAGAAATCATAACTTACAATTACTGTGAGTCAAGAAATGGCCTTGAAGCTTTGACTTTTGAGAAAAAGGCTCGTCCGGTCGGTGGCACCCTTGCCAGCAGCAGTAGTAACCGTTGCCTCTTTTGCCGCTGATTAAATTTGTGTGCACTGTGAGGAGGTGTTGTTGAAGTTCCCCAGATGTTAAGAAGATTGACCCGCAAGCGCCTTTCCCGTTGTTCCAACGACAAACGTATGATTCATCCTCGTCGACAACGGATTTTGGGACTGGACTGGTGAGAGCTGATGGGGTGTTTCTATCTAAAGATGGTGGACTGTCGATGGGGTCTGCTAGTAATTGAGCACTCACACTTCGCCGGGTATTGTGGCGAGAGTAGTGAGAAACTCTGTGGTGTGACTGGTTGTGCGAATGACGATGAACACGACTGTGAGATTGTGTTCTTGAGAATTGCTGTAACCCAGTGTCTCCAGAATTTCTAAGGTAACAACCTAGATGCTGGAAGCCTGCATCTGAACAAGACAGCGCCCCATCGTTCTGGAAACAAGGTAGCTTGGAGAGATCGGAGGCCTGGCTAAACATTTCCTGGCTTTGATTTGTATCAAATGGAGATGAATTGCATAGCTCGTGGGGCATATCTACATGGCCGAAATCGTGTTGACCAGAATCGGCAGGGGTCCATAATCCCATGCAGTCTTCCGGCGCTTGGTGGCACGGATGGTGTTGGGCATTATGTGTAGACTCATGGCAGTGGGAATCAGGCAGTTGAAAATGGGTATTGTTATGATGACCGCCCGTAGGTGACTGACTAAATAATTGGGATTCGGCTGCTGATGTAGGATGTTGGTTAACGATGGGAGGGAAGAAAGCAGCAGCATCCCAGTGTAAGGTGGCATCATGGAAGAGGTCTGTGATGCTTTGATTCACACTGTTACCATCACCAAAGCAACTTTTTTCAAAGCAGGGAGATTCTGCATTTTCACAGTGGGCTTCTTCACAATTAGCATCGGAGCATAAAGTCGATGAGATCTCGCAATCAACGAAGCCATCGCAAACAGACGAACAGTTGAAGGAGCAGGTATCGTTATTGCAGCACGCCTCATCTACATCGCAATTCAAATCGCCGGGGCGGTGAAGTTCATTGCAATGCCATTGATCTGGCGGCGGTATGGACATCTTATCATCAAAAGTGTCCCAATGGCAGTCCAAGCAGAAATTGCCCAGTTCCCGAGGGTTCATGATGGGCATTTATGAGATTCTCGTGGTATCGTGGTAGCGTAGGAAGTCATGTACAGCTATTCTCTTGAAGTGCAAGAAGAACTATCTTCGGTTCAAGACACGATGGGGGGTTGCTTTGGCGAGACAAAGATTTGCGTCACGGTGCAGACCGAGATTAGGACTGGAGGGAGCCCCGCGGTTAGTCCGGGTGTCAAAGATGAGAAAGAGAGCACACAGCTTACTAGTCCTCCGGGATTCTACTTGCGATCCGTGGATCAACACTAGCCAGGGTAGAAATTGGTAGACACCAGTGCAGGATGTCGGGGAAAGGATATTATAGGGCGAGGAGAGGGTGTCGATCGCAGCAAATAATGGTGAGGAGAGAAGCTAGCAATGAAAACCCAGATCAAGCGACTGCGACAAGAGGGGTTGCACAGGCAAAGAAGCGATTCACAGAGGTGAGGACCTTGGTGGTGAACTAGCCGTGATCAATCTGAAATGATGCCACCAAAGAAAAAGCCTCTTTGCGACACCGGATCTTGCGCACAAAGGTATCCTCCAGAACAGCAGTCGCTCAGCGTGTCTGTAACATTGTGGGCTGGCGACGGGAGCCCGCCATTTTTCATGCGCTCGACGATGCAGTCGAGATCGTGACAAGGAATCAGAGCACTGATAAGAGGAGGCCAAGAAAAAGAAAGCCGCCAGCCACAGCGGGCCAATCAGATTGCAGCTGTCGGGCAGCAGCCAATCAGAAGTGACATGAACTGACAAACTCCCCCGCTCAGACTGTACGACTGTTGATTATAGTAGCAACTAATAATAATAATAGTAGTAGTAGTAATAGTAATAGTAATAACAATATTTATGATTAGATGATGATATAGTAACAATGGCGATCGAGTGACTGTCATGCAATAGTTGTTGTCTTGGGAGAGCGCCTGAATAACCAGGCACCCGCCAAGCAGCCACGTGCCTTCCGCGCGTCGAGACCCCCTAGTTATTGAGCTGTTCCTGCGTCTCACCTCTAGATGCGCTGGTGATATGCAGGCACGAATACGCGCCAATTATTCTGTCGACGGAATTCAAACACTCTGACCTGATTGCATTCGCTGCCTGGGATATAGTCGTGGACCGCTATATCCCGCCTTCCCCGCAGTTGATGCAATCGCAACTATCAGCCGCCGTCATATATAGGATAGCATCTGTGATCGTCTGCATTCTACACAATGGGGAATATCTGCTCAAGGTCGGCGAACCAACCCGATGACCCTTTCACGCAGCCTGGCCGAGCTCTTGGCCCCTCTTCAACGCCTGGTGCAACTGGCCCACCCCCTCGAGCACCGATCCCGAGCAATCGTTCAAGGCAGGGTACTGGCAGGACACTTGGAGGGCAACCGTCCAGCGATACGGGAAATGCGCAGAGCAAGGCTGGCGAAGCTGCACAGGTACTGCCGAATTTTTAATTATTTTGTTCTGAGCATTACTCACAGTGTGGCATGTAGAAACGCGCAGAAGCTCTCAGCGCCTCCAGTAAAGGGAAATTGGGGAGCCAATTGGCAGCACAGAAAGCACAAACACAGTCACAAACCCTCAACGCAGTCAGTCAGGCAGAGCAAGCGGCAAGAAATGCAGACAATGCAGCTGAAGCTCGACAGTGGAATTAGTCTCCGTTGCTTCATTGTCACGCAACAGCCTCTTAATCCTTCCTTGCACCTTATACGTCTAGACTTCAGCATAGTGCTCATTCTTTGAAAGAATCATCTAACCGACTACTTATTCTTATCTCCTATATATGCATATACTCTCATATGTGAGGAATTTTTTCACAAATTACGGGTACGTCGCTTTGATGAAACAGTCTCAGTCTCAACCTATGTAGTCATTTTCATGCCTCCATTCGCATTGACAACACTACCTGTACACCACCCTCCGTCGGCTGTGCATAACATAGCCACAACTCCGGCAACCTCACTCGTAAATGCTGGCCGTCGGCTACCCATCTTCTCATGAATTAGCCGCTTTTTCTCTGGATCCAGGCTGTCCAATTCGTCGCCGTCAGGATTAACTTTGCTCAGTGGTGTATTGTCCTGCCAGCCTTGGATGTCTTTCCAGAACTGTTCCCCTGTCAAGAAATACATATCACCAATCACCGGCCCCGGATTGACAGCATTAACTGTAGCCCGATCTGCAAGCTCCCGTGCCCATGTTCTCGTCATCGCTTCCAATGCGGCTTTAGTACCCCCATACACCGACTGGCCTTCGAATCCAAGGCTAGATGACACACTCGAGATGTTCACAATGCGCCCCGATCGATCATTAGGCAGATATGGAACACACGCCTGAGTGAGCAGTAGTGGCGCAAGAACATTGATATTGTAATGCCAATGGAAATAATCCGCATCAATCAGTCCTACAGCAGGATCCGCGAGCTTTTTATCTTGTGATACTCCCGCATTGTTAATTAGAATATCGACTTGGGGGGGTTTATCGCCGAAATGCTCCTTGACTGCATTGATAATGATTTCACTTGCTTTTGCACCGTCTGAAAGATCCGCTCTCACGACGGAGCAGCGAACACTATACTCTTTACCAAGTTCTGTGGCGATTTCTTCAGTTCGTGCTCGTGACGACTCGGAGGTGTAATTAAGTAGCAATGAGCAGCCTTTATTAGCTAGGTTCCGTGAAATCGCTTCGCCAATACCTTTAGGATTCTCGAGAGCATAAATATATAGGCAATATATCAAGATGTACAGATCGAGTGACACTCACCCCGCGATCCTCCAGTCACGATGCCAAACTTGCCTTCTAATGGGCGTGTTGCAGATGCCATGTTGCGACAGTATATAGACTTGGTAATAAGAATAATTTTATCTCCTAGTTCTATCCCAATTTATATCTATAGATTCTGTTTTTACATACAAATTTATTAAAAAAAATAAATTATTATTTATCACCAGCAGTCGGAAATCTACCCGAGATTGCGGGGCAGAAGGATTGGGAAAAAATTAACCACGATTTTAACCGACATGAATGACAACACAAATTCATTCCGGCGGGGCCTTTTTATGCACTCTAGGCATAAGGGACTGTAATAGCTATTTTACCCCTGGATTATACCTCTTTTCTAACAAAAATGATTGGTGGCAAATGAGTTGGGAGTACCCCGGCGGTGCAACACCAGGCCCCTCATTGAAGAGGCACTCAGAAGATCTCTTGTCCTGGCAATGGCAGAAATTGCCACAATAAACCACCATCAAGGGCATTCCATATTGACAAGCCGTCCTCGGGGAGTTGTTTTGAAGCTGCTCTTTTGAAGCGACTTTTCGAGGACTGCTCCCAAATATGCCTGAGATCATCTTCGCTGGATTTATCATAAAATCACGAGAGCATCCGAGTGTTGCTATGATAGCCGAAGGCTTCACCAATTCACTTAAGAAAACGGCTCACTGGACCAAGCCAACTGAAAAGCTGCTATTGCTCGCTCCACAGGGGTTATGTCGCGTCCGCTGTCGATATAAACGGCACCGAAAATCGCTTCGACGGCGGTCGCCATCACCCCATCAGATACATGGCCTCCTTGAGCGGGATTTACATAAATGAAGCCATCTAGCCCATTACGAAAACCTGCTTCGGCAAGGGAGACTTTGCTTCCTTTTGTACTAACAACGTCGTTGATTTGTCCTGAGAGTCGCATGTCAGATTTTTAAATGGAACTAAAGCATGAAAAGATGCTTCATCTAATAATATCGGTCTTACCCCTTAAAGCACCTCGAGTGTATCCATCTGTCACCAGAACGACCTTCAAAACCGCATCTCCGACCATGGCTAGATCTTTGTTTCCGTCAACAGGTAGAGCATATCCAGCACTAGTCAGGGCATGGTTTACAAGGGTTTTGTCATTGAACTCATAGCTAATCATGCGTTCAAGATACCTAGCCCTATCTCCTGGGGTGAACACACTTGCCATGAACGTTTATGCAAGGACTTGAAATGGCGGAATTGTTAAGTGGTTGCAGAGGTGGGGAAAGTAGTCAACTGGTTTTAACGGCAAGGCTGTGGAACTTATAAAAAGAGTAAGTGTAATATACAAGTCATTCTTAGACTTAAACAATCGGTTTGATGATAATGCCGCGACAGATCAAATTGCTAGTGTTATAGGTCGTAGTTGCATTTTTAAAGGAGATTTATCTTTCAAATGAAGGGATACAATTCAACAACATTTGACGCAAGGGGGTCTAATTAGTACTGGCTGTGGAAGTTCGGCGTTTTTTCAACTCACTCACATATTCCAGTGCCCAAGTTTCTTCTGTTATTGGCTTAGAATAGTCTAGTTATAAATATTTTGTTACGCATCATTTATTCTATACTGTGTCTACTCCATGTTTCACCGCAGTCCAGTTGAATGGCCCGCTTAGGTTTTCTTTTCCCCTAGGCTAGGTTTACATTCTAGCACTATACTCGATACCATCGAGTCTTTGAGGGTATATGTGCATGATTAATGTATTCATTAGGTCTTCCACTGACCTGGAATTGACGTTATGCTAGACTTCATATTATCCAGTAATTAATTCTCCACCAGGAAATTCAAAATATCCTTAGTCAACCAAATTAAGAGAGCTCGAGGTTCAAAAGCAGCGAAAGGAAGGGGATTTCATACAAGAAATGCATTGCTATTGAATTAAATTTATCACAGACTAGATAGAAATATGTTACCTCAGAGAAATATTTTGAAGATTCGCTGACTTGTTGATCTGTTCTTGTCCATCCTACATATGGTCACTGAGTTAACGCCTGGTAACTAAATAGTTACAGCAAACTCATCGACACACTTGCCAGCTGTATGAGAGATTGGAAAAGGCTCAAGTTGTAGTAAATTAATATAGATTTTCTTATCTAAAAAGCTTAACACGGAAATATCAAAACAGAGACAAAGGAAGAAAATTAGAAACAATTATTATATATGCAAGCGGTGTAGATATATTAGCGAGGTTTCATCAATTGATGCAAGCCACTAATGCATCAATTAATTTATTGACCAGACCTTCACATGATGATCCGAAAAGTAAACCATGAATAATACATATATCCATCTCATGTCTCTACAGAAAAGCACCAAGTACAAAAGCGTATTCGGCGATCCAAAGGCTTACCAGCTAGACGATGTTTGACATATGCCTTCATTGGAAAATGATCGATGTCCCCCCGTCTCATCAAGCCCTGCGAATGGGTCTAGCTATGGCGTAAGGAGGACCGCGGATAACGGTTGCGTTGGGCCAAAGAGTTCTTGGACCCGGAGAAGGACGATATCTTCTATTTTCAGCTATTATCCCGTTGCAAAAAAAATTCATAGATAGTACATCAGGTTTGAAGAGCCAGCCCGCTGAAAATCCAACCTGTCAACTGGATAAGTGAGAAGCACCGGCGTAACTAACCATATCCTGCGATCAATTAGCTCTCCGAACAGAGCATTCCGACAAGGGAGAAATCTACCGCCCAGCCCATTGCATTGGTCAGCAATGAGGTCTGTATTGTAAGGGAGGGAATTTGAACGAATAGAGAAATGTGACACGGGCCAGTAGCTGGTACTGTTATCGAGCCTAAGTCACAGACTAGTTCAGTTGCTGGCATAGTTGAGATAGATAGGCCGCAGTCATAAGCTGGTACACGACCAGACGCTTGGCGGTAATTGTGGCCCAAATTAATGGCTGTCATGCCGTTTGCATTTACAAGTGTCATCCTCGTGTACCCATTTTTTAAGGCTAGGATTATCATCTCCAACCTATTCACACTCATGCCTTTAACACAGCTCGTATCTTCCCCGCAAAATTCTCCAATTTGCGGGGTTGATTCTCTGGCTTAGGGAGTAGGCCGAGTTGTGGGCGAGGTGTCGGGCATTAGGGCTTCTCCAACATGTATTTCGTCGATACCTACTATGTTAACTGTTACGGAGAGAACTGATCCAAGACTTAATTTGGCTTCTCAGTGAATTGGCTCAGGGATTGTGTCAAACAGCTAGTGCTATTTTCTTCTCATCGAACCCTTGGTCATCACTTTCAAGAAGCAAATGGCATCACCAGAGAAAACAATTGCCTTCATAGGTCTGTTATTGTGACTAAATAAGAAACCAACCATTTTGCTGACTATTCAACCAGGCTTGGGTGTCATGGGCTATCCCATGGCCCTTAATCTTCGCAAAAAAATCGGGTCGGAGTACACAATTTTGATATGCGATGTCGTCCAAGATGCGCTACAGAGGTTTCAAGACGAGACCAAGAATACCGGACAAGTCAAGACGGTACAGACGGGATTTGAAGCCGTCCAAGCGGCTGTATGTATTCATATTCAAAACCGAAAGAATGGGCTGATGCTAATGTGCACCATCTTATCAGGACCTGATTATCACAATGTTACCCAGCTCACCTGCGGTACGAAGTGTGTATCTGGATGAGAAAACAGGTATATTGGCTGGTGTTAAAGATGCCTCGTTGAAAAATCTTACTGGTCACAAAATAATCATGGAATGCGGTACGATCGAAACCGCGACGATTCTTAATGTCGCCAAAGCGACGCGCCAGACCGCGTTATCACTACCGTCTTCCTGGAAATTAGCATTCGTAGATGCTCCTGTTTCTGGCGGTCCCATGGGCGCGCAGGCAGGAACATTGACGTTCATGGTTGGAGCCGACAGTGCGACTAACACGGACGGACAAGTCTTTGCGCGCGTCAAAGCAGCCTTGTCCCATATGGGTAAGCCCTCAAATGTGTTCTTGTGTGGCGATGTCGGGGCGGGGACGGCGTTCAAGATCATCAACAACTACCTATCGGCAATCACCAGCCTCGCAGCCTCGGAAGCGCTCAATATTGGCGTGAAAATGGGCCTGGACCCGAAGCTGCTTACAGACGTGATCAACACAAGTGGCGGACAATGTTGGGTGACCTCGCACAGCAATCCTGTGCCAGGAGTGCATCCCAATGCACCCGCTAGTCGGGACTACGAGGGCGGGTTTCGCATCGAGCTCTGCAAAAAGGTTCTCGCGATGGGCTCGGAATTGGCGGAAATGGTGGGCGCGCGAACGATTTTGGACAAACCGACATTAGACGCTTTTGAGGAAGCAGCTAATGATGCGCGATACCAAGGCAAGGATGCAAGGGTAGTGTTTAAGTGGCTGAACGAGCACGAGAAGAAGGATTAGGAAAGGTGCCACAACATTTGCGATCGATCGCTGTGCGTCATTTGGCGTGGTAACACGGTGTGATTGGGCCTTGCATGCATCGATGGATTTCTATCACGAGCCACTTATCGTGTTTTAAGTTTATGCAAGTTCCTGCAGCTGGGAACCATTTTTTGGAAGTGAGCATTGTAATGATAGCAGGCCAGCGACTGTTGTAGTTTAGTGATGTGACACGTATGGGCCGGTATACAGGATACTGGGAGGTGGGGGCAATCTAAGATCTCCAACTGTGGGGAATGTCTTGTTAGCCTCAGATGAATGACGGGTTAGGACAGTGTAAAGCAGTGGTGGTGCTAAAGAAGAGGCGACGGAGTATGTCAATCTATAGATCAAATAAATCAACAAATAATTCGAGTACAAAGAAAGTCACAAGAAAAAAAAGCGGCCGAAGGAGGAGGCTCGGCGGCGTGAAAATACACCCATCCATCCAGTGCCCATGCTTTTGTACCCCGAAAAACCCTCTTTCCCTCCGTCATCGACGAGCTGCGGACGGAAAGGAACCTCCAAGAAAAGAACAAGGCTTAGTGCCAATTGACGTCCCACTGCTGGTTCAATTATTGCGGATCCATGGGTAGTATCCACTTCCGATTGCATATGTATCTACTCCCAAATTCCGGCTGTATGCCGCCGATAGACGAAATTCTTATTGACACCGTTTCACCACCAAACTAACACTTTACTCATACTTGTGAACTTTTGAGTTCATCCAGAATGAAGTCTTCAACAAATCACCTATCCGCGGTACTCTCGCGACTTCGTCGATATGTGCATCAATCGATGGTGCCCAAGAGCGCGAGACACAGCCTAGAGATAACTCCCAGAGTCGAGATACAAGCGCCCGAATTGCCTTCGATAATGAAGGTTCAGCATCTCTACGCCTTCAATACCCCATATGTTTTCAGAGAGGATGTACCAGTCCCCAGACCAACGCATGCATACGATCTGCTCATCCAGGTCGACGCTGCCTCCTACTGCCATACAGATCATGTCCTCGCATCTGGCGAGATGGCAACGGTTGAAATGCCTCCATTCCCACTAGTAGGCTGTCACGAATACTCGGGCACAGTCGTTGGGCTACCGCCGAATTCGGCACAGACAGAGTTCAAGATTGGCGACAGGGTTGGAGTCAGCTCTCGTGCCTACCATCCATGCGGGACATGTGTTGAGTGCATTGAGGAGAATACTCCAGATAGTGACCCCAAAGGCTACTCGGTGCTGTGTCCGCACGTCAAGACGAATGGGATTGGCATGGATGGTGGATGGCGGGAATATGCGTTGGTTGACGCGAGACAGGTCACTCCAATCCCATCTGGATTGACACAGGTAGAAGTCGCACCGTTGATGTGCGCTGGTATTACTATATATTCTGCAATAAAAAGAACCGAGCTCGAACCCGGACAGCGGATCGGAATCGTTGGGTGTGGTGGTGGATTGGGCCACCTAGGCTTGCAATATGCAACGGCGATGGGGTTGAAGGTGTATGGAGTAGACAATGCCGACACAGCGCTTGCCCTTGCACGAGGGTTGAGGAATATTTCCGGAGCAACAATTATCGATGCACGAACGCAAACCGCGCCAGAAGCTATTGCGCCGATTAGCAAGGAGGACAATATCGCATTCCCCGGTCAATTCGGACTCGATGCAGTTATTATTCTTCCAGAGAGCCAAAAGGCCTTTCAATATGGAATTGACATGCTCAAAAACCATGGAAAATGCATTGTGGTGTCATTTCCTCGACAAGGCCTCCATGTTTCGTCACAGGACCTGATTTTCCGGGATATCAAGTTTATGGGGAGTCTGTCTGGCACCAACAAACAATTGCGAGAGATGACTCAGTTCTCTGCGAAACATGGCATTAAGCCTGAAATAAAGACTTTCCCGCTTGAGAAATTGAATGAACTTGTTGACACATACAATGCGGGTCATGGAGGAAAGTTGGTGATTGACCAGCATCACAAGAGCTCATAATCAATTCGTTCTATCTGCATTGCAATTTTATGTTACTGAGCGCTTTTTGAGTTGTTTCTTCTGCCATATAAATGACATGTCATAGCTTTTTGAATAAATGTAAGAAGTCGCTGTCTGCTTAAATTGATAATTGAGACCAAGCGCCGTTCGAATTGATATACCATCTGTTGAATTAGTAATAGGTCGAGAATGTACCTCAATATTAGGCTAGAAAAATCGCTGCGTCACTTTTTAGTCTGGGGGTAAACCCTAATACCATCCTTGTCGAATATGATAAGCTCGATAACCCACAGAGCCAATATAGTTGCATATTGGTCAAGATATTTGAGTATCATCTAACATATCCGCATAAGTATTTAACGCTGTCCCGATGACATCCACAACCGCCCAGGTCTGTGCCCCCTTGAATATTTGCGCCCATACTCGTAACACGCCGGCGCTCAACTGCCGAAGCATACTGGGAGATTGTAAGGCGTGTTCATCGTCGCAGCGCACACCATACTCAGTCTCATCTAGCATGGTCTTGACCAACCAACAGATTCTCTTTTCATCCTCAGAGACTTCTGGTTGCGGGTGAGGAAGCGCAAGAGCTTCGAGCCATTTGCATAATAAAAAGGCACATTCAAGTGAGCATATGGAATGTTGTATAGACCAAGTAAATGTCTGCGTACGTGCCACTAGTCGAATGCCGATTTTCACGGGAATACTCAATGCATGTGCTGAATGCAGAACGGCCCGAACCAATTTGCGTGTTCGCCGTATTCTTGTTGCTGGGCTTTCCCGGAACGAGTGAGCGATTTGCACAGGGTCGCGTGTGGCTAAGGCATGGTGGCCAGGGCCAACAAAGATATTGTTTAGCCGAATATAAGCTAGTCGTAGTAAAGCAGTCGAGTTGAATGCAATCGGTCCGTTAGGGTCCAAAGGGTCAAGTGATGACTCTGGGTTCTGCTCCCATCCTAACTGCCAATTTCGGAGCGCTTGTTCTAACGAGGATATCTCGTCGGAATCTTGATCTTGATTGTGATAGGCTGTAGATGGCTGGTTGGGAATTCGGCAGCGTACGATTTGACGCACAAAGAAAATATGCTGGATCAAAGCGTGGATGAGGATATAATTTCCGAGTGAAGAAGTGTAAGAGTAATCCGAGTCTTTGTAGCTTGATCGGTTGAATAAGCGATGAAAAGCAGTTTGAAAATGTATTTCAGGCAGTTGCTGCTTCTTCTTAGCCTCTCGCCATCGTACTGCGGATGGAGCCTTGAACTCGGCTGCGCTACATGGTAACGGCAAATCCAGCTCTGAGCTTAGTATCAATGAAGGAATATTGTATACTATGCAATGAAGATTGAAAAAGCAGAAGACAATAAACTTGGTTCGTTTGATGCATTCATAACGAATCCATTCTTCCCATGAAACATCCTCGCCAGTTAAAGGGCCCATTTTGAGTCCGTCTTCGCGTACAAGCGTGGCCAGGATGCTTTGTATTGCGAGTGCTTGGCGAAGTATTTCCTTGTGTTTGGCCCAGGTTGCCATTGCCATGAGAAGAAACAAGGCTTGTGCAGTTTGCATAAGGTCTTCATCATGTTCTTGATCTGACGGGAGACCTAGAGGACCCGATAGGGATGGACTATGAGCGTTATGGGGCTGTATGTCTTGAAACGACTGTTGTGGGTTCATCTGGTCATTATGCTGTAATGAATTAGAATAACTGCTTTGCGACTGTTCTGCATGCGCTGCGACACGAGCATCACGTCGTCTGATTCGCCGCATAGCAATTTCTTGACTGATATGAAACAGCTCCACACCCTTCTCACCTTCGAAACAATATTGCGTGCCCACAGCCGCCATGGCAAGTAACAACTCTATTGAGCATTTTTGAACAGACATAGTCTGTACATGTAAACACGGCATATGCTCATGGAAGCCGTTGATATAGCCAGCTAGATATCGGGACAATGCCAGACGCGACGGTAGTCGGAAATCGGGGGAAATAAAACTAGAGAACTCGTTTAGTTTCAAAGAAATGTGCTGCCTGTCCTCAGCAGAAATGTCTGATAACGGCTTTCTTGTCAAGTTGAAGTTCTGATCACGATGTGCAGGCGATTCCTCCGGTTGTAAAGATGGAAGACGGGAACCAAATCGAGAAAAAGAGCCCGGCTCCTCAACCATGGAAGTTACTGGAGCTGGAGTGCGCTGAGGATGTTCCTGCAATAAGTCGTAACTTTGTGAAGCAGACTCCGGGGAGAAAAACGGAATTGGTTGCTCGGCACTGATGAAAGACGAGAAATGTTGAGAAGTCAATGGTCCATTGTCTAGAAATGCTGCCAAGTTATCAAGCGAATCCTCAAAATCCAATCCATAGTTGACTTCGGCTAGTTGAGGCTCAAGTTGCTCTTGCTCTGGAAATGATACCTGAGCATTATTCGGAGCTTTTGCAATAGCGTTCTCCTGTATAGGTGGAATTATTCCCTGCAGCGCCGCCTGTTCTGCAGCCATTGATAGTGTCACCAAAGGTATAGTATGATTTTTCATGGACGGAATGGGACTGTTATTTGTAGGAATCACGCCATTGGGCTCGAAATTCACCGTAGGTGACATGACTTCGGGTTCTTGTTCGTCTATGTTGGCCGCCTGGGCGGTGCGTTTGCGTCGACCTCGCAAGCCACGACTACCGCCCTTTTCTGATTGCGAGCTGGCCCGCCTGTCTGTCAAATGGGATAGTCGCTCATGGCGAATAAGCAGATCGCTATGGACGTCAGAAGGTAAGTCTTCACATGGCAAATAGAAGCTTGCCTGCGTGTGAACCGTTGATCGCATTGATTGCAAGAAAACGGCTTTTCTTGTGTATCTATTTCCTTTAGTGAAATGCCGCTAGTAAATGATGATTTTTGAACATACGAGTTCTTTCATGCCGCTGCAAATGCTCAAGCCTTGCAAAAAGTCGCAGGCAATGTTGGCACTGGAAACGCTTCGGTCTTTTCGCCGGCGGTGGCGGGGAGGATGTGCCATGGCCAGACTCGAGATGCTGTTCTAGCATGCTTGGAATGGGATTTTAGACATTTATATGTATGTCAACGGTTTTTAATGAGTTCGGCGATGAGATTGAGTTGGGTTAGCTGGTCGAGCTGACACAGGACGAAAACTGGGTTGTAGACGATGGCTTGGCATGTGGAGGTAGAGTATAAATTAGACCGGGGTGCAGCATGGCACCCACACCGATTGGGTGCCGATATCGATCCTCGGATCCCTCGCTTCATCTTTTTAAGTTCCTTTTCATCCCATCTTGTACTCACGATCATAACGCTGTAATTTGCTCTTATTTTCAGTAGGCTATCGTTACATCGCAGAATACGTGCAATTAGTTCCATTTGGCTGTTACATTGCGGTGATGGCATTGACGTAGGACTACGTCAGATGACATGATAAAGGATATCGTTCTAGTTAGTATTAGAATGACTAGCTGTATGAAAAATGATGTGTATTCATGAGCTATCTAATTGACAATGCCATCTGTACGGGGTGTGTTGAGTGGTGTTTGTGGACGATGATGATGCCTGAGGCGCGCTGTCTGTCTTTATATGCAACCCCCATCCTACATCAATGCTTATATCAATGCTTATACATCAGCCTTCTTTCCCAGTTCTCGAACATGCTCCCCCTTTGCCACCATCTCGTCCAGCACTTTCTCTGCGACTTTCATTGCCTCCACGCCAGCCGGCACGCCGACATAAGTTGTAGCGTGCAGAATGGCCTCTCTAATTTCGGTTTCTGTTAACCCATTCCGTACAGCACCTCGCACATGCACTGCCAGCTCAGGTGATCGGTTCAGAGCCATCAGCATGCCGATATTTATGAGTGAACGCTGCTTGCGCTCCAGTCCCGGGCGAGTCCACGCATACCCCCAGCAGAATTCCGTGACAAGTTCTTGGCCGGGACGTGAGAATTCAGTAGAGCCGTTGGCGAGGGCGCGCTCAACATAGTCATCGCCGACTACTTCGCGCCGGACTTTCAAGCCTTCGTCGAATAGGACTTTGTGGATTTCAGGGTGGTTAGGGTTGGTGGACATTTTGGTTCTTGGTCCGTTTGCTTTTATTAGTAGATAGAACTGAGATTCGCTATGTTGAAGCCACCAAAGCACTTTGATGCTAGATTATATATTGTGTTAAGAGCCTATAAGTTCGCGATTGATTCACAAATGACTCCATGTAGAGAATTAAGACGAGTCCTTCCCTTGACTGGAATACCCGAATACCCCAACTCCCCGCTTGGAGTCGAGTCGGCTATATGGTGGAACCAGTTGGGGAAATGATACCCCACAAGTGTTGTTACATGTATTGGGTGGGTATGATCATACGCAGCTTTAATCATGCTTATGAAATGATTAATTCTAGACGTAGAAAGTTCCTCTAAGTCTTATTACAGAGACTACATATTGTAAAGACTACTTAAATCTTCTAGCCCAATCCTCGTCTCCTTCCAAATATCTATAAACCACTCTTGAATCCAAGTCCCTACACCTAGGGTCTTGACTCGCTTCTTCGTATGTCTTAAGGCCAGCCTGACCCAGAACTAACTTCGTATTAACCCTGTTTGCCATATCGACCGCCAAGCCAAAATCCTTCTTCATTAACTGAACTTTAAATCCATCTTTGTAACCCTTTGTAGACGGTGCTTCTGGCGCAATACCAGGGACAGGACAAAATTTATCACAGATTGTGTTCTGGGCTGTACCGGCCGCGTATACTCGTGCTAGAACTCGTGGGTCAAGGCCAGAGCGCATGCCCATGTCAAATGCTTCGGAGCTTGCGATTGCAATAATGCCCGACAGATAATTATTCGACAGCTTTGCAGCGAGCCCAAGTGACGGCCCGCCGCATGGAATAATTTGCTTGCCCATCATATTCAATAGGTTTTGAATTCGGGGAAGATTGTTATCATCGTCCGCACAGCCCAGGAAAAATGCAATTGTTCCTTTCTTTGCGCCGAGAACCCCACCGCTGACGGGTGCATCGTAGAAAGCTGCCGAAGGGAAATTCATGGTAATATGATCCTTGACCAAGAGACTTGTTGCTGTATCAATAGTGGAGCAATCGATCAAAATCTTTTTGTTGATATCTGTTGTACAAATGCCGGATTGCGTATCGAGGTAAACACTGCGAACGTGCGAACCTTCGGGGACCATGGTGAAGATAATGTCCTGTTAAGTACAATTAGCCGTTTTGTCCTGCTGGTGATTTTGCCAGTGAAATATTTTTTACAGATTTCTCAGCAACCTCTTTTGCATTCCTCTCGGCAATGATTCTGTCAGGAAATTGTTTGACTAGTCCATCGACCACGTCTTGCATCACGTCAAATACATGTATCGATATTCCCTGTGGTATTTTGTTTGCAAGATGCGTAACCATAGGAGCTCCCATGGCTCCTAGGCCGATGAATCCAATTGCAGAATATTCTGCCATGTCAATATTGCCTCAAACTCGTACTAATTGATTTTTTCTACGGAACGTTGAAAATTCTTGAAATAATTACAATGGTGTTTGTGTTGGAGACGAGACCGATCAACAATCAGAAGGCGGAAAAAGCCGAGTTGGGGTAACGGAAGATATCCGCTCAATGTTCCCCAATTTTTATTCTCCAACATTGCATTATCGTCTCGACTAGCAGGAGAACATGGTTCACTGTTTATATTGTTGATACGAGAAGGTCTAATGATGTGGTAATATTAGTAAATACATGGGCTAGGGGGGCGTCCCTGTGACTGACATTCAGACTGCATACAATCGATCGGCTATATGCAATCGGTTGTTGAATTAATTTTCAAACAATAGCCCAAATCTAAGAAAAACTCAGCCCACGCCACCATGTCAACTATTACCGTCGAGCAGACTGCAGCCCTTGCAAACAATTGGCTGCCTTCTTCCGCAGGTATTGTAGAGCTATTCGCTCTCTCAGCGGGCTATTTAACACTTCCTGAGAAGTATTTTGTGCATCCAGCCTCTGAGAATTCTCGACGGACGGTGCCATCGTTAGCATTTCTTATTCAACATCGTCACCCAGCCACTGGGAAGCTCACTAGGATTGTCTTCGATCTGGGGCTGAGACGCGATGTCAAGAGATACTCCGAACCAATCCAACGACATGTATCCACGAGACAACCTCTGACAACAGATCCAGATGTAGTCAAGAGTCTTGCGGCAGGAGGACTACGCCCTGATGATATCGATTACGTGATTTATTCACATGTAAGACAACCTCTACTCTAATCAAAGATGTCTACTGAAGTTCAAAATATTAGATGCACTGGGATCATATCGGCGAGCCTCGAGATTTCCAGAAAAGTACATTCGTCATTGGACATGGTTCTTGGGACTTGTTCAAACCCACAGAAACGTCCTCTCTGCGGGGAAGTCATTCCTTCTTTGAGCCTGGAATACTACCGGACGACAGAACCATTGAACTAAATGACGCTGAGACCGTTTCAAAAAACGAGAAAAAGCCTTCTATTATCCCGGGAGATGCTAACTTTGGTCAACCCTGGACTACGCATTCAGAAATGGACATTCACGTCCTTGACATATTCAATGATGGAACTGTAAATATTGTCCATGCCCCCGGGCATCTTCCAGGGCATATAAATTTACTAGTCAAAACAAGCTCAGGGCAACGTATTTATCTAGCTGGAGACGCATGCCACGATCGACGAATTGTACGCAAAGAGCTAGAGATAGGAGAGTGGTTAGACACTGCAGGTCATATCTGTTGCATACACGCAGACCGAAAGAAAGCAGAAGAGACAATTGAACGGATTCGGCAACTGGAACATAAAGGAGTAGAGGTTATCTTTGCGCATGATGTTGAATGGGTAGAGAATGCGAAGAATCAGTCGCGATTTTGGGGGGTATAGATCAGTCTATATTAATCTTGTTAGTCTGTAGATTTAGCTTCTCCATAAGAATCAAGTCGGCCTAAGCAGTTTCTAAGACAATAATAAATAAATTCAATTTTTTGAGGACCCTACCAATGTTGTATCAATTTTCAGCTTACAAAATATGAACACCTGTATTTAAGGTGCTGCGGGGTCCCATTTATCGGCCACTTCTCCAAATCTTTTTCATTTCACCCTCACTTTCCATAAGCATAAGCATACATTACGCAAGAATATGTCTTCAGAATCGCTTAAAGAGCAATTTATCGCCGAAAATGGCGAACATGCATGGAAAGACTGCTGGCAAAGCATCCTCAAACTCAGCCCGGGGTTCTTCAAAGCCAGTCTCGATCTTCTCAGTGTACCAAAACGAGCCGGTCATCACCACCTACCCGCTAAACTCCAAGCACTCATTGCCCTTGCAGTGGACAGTGCATCTACTCATCTTTATGCGCCTGGTATACAAGAACATATCCAAACTGCTCTCAAAGAAGGTGCTACAGTGGCAGAGATAGTCGAGGTTGTTGAATTGACCTCAACACTTGGTATACATGCCTGTAATATCGGCGTCCCCATACTTGCAGAAGTTCTCAGAGAAGAGAATCATCCTGCGGGGCAAGCATCACCCTTCAATTCTCGCCAGGAGCAGCTCAAAGCTGAATTTATAAAGAACAGAGGATATTGGCACGTATTTTGGGAGGATTTCCTACGACTTGACCCTGATTTCTTCGCGGCATACTTGAATTTCTCTTCTGTTCCATGGACCAAAAAGACAGAACATGGCGAAAACGGGGCTTTAGAACCAAAGGTTTGCATTTCACGAGGTATTACAAAACTTCGCTAGTGCTAACAAACTTGAACGTGATAGGTAAAGGAGCTCATATACTGTGCATTTGATGCAGCAGCAACACACCTGTATGTGCCTGGGCTAAAATTGCACATGAGAAATGCTTTGAGATACGGAGCCACTCCACAGGAAATTATGGAGGTCTTGGAGATTGCCACGTCATTAAGCTTGCATACTGCGAATGTAGCTGTTCCCATATTGGAGAAAGAGTTATCCAAGAAATGATTTGGCATAATTCTCTTTTAAGTTTGACTTTTCTGATCTCTTCTGAACGATTGCAATCGTCTTTACATTCACTCTTCAAATATAATATTATAAAAGCAATCGTTTGCTATTTAATTAATAGGTCAGGAAACCCTCGAATTATTTGACTTCAATAAGTTGACCATCAACACTTCATTTTTTGACTTTGAAGATCACATGTGAGACAGCAAAATATATCATGAAAACAATCTTCCTCGTGTAATGACAGTGACATTTTCGTATGACTTTGCTTCTCACATTGCCATCTACATATTGTATTCCCCATGGGCAAGGCAGTCTAACAAGTCGTCAGATTTATCATCATTATCTGGGTGGTGGTAATGTTACATGTATAAAAAATTATTGACCGAGTAATACCTAGATGATCATTATAGGAACGAATAGAAAATGAACAAACTCCATCAAGCATGACACAGATTAATCGACAAGATCTGGAATCTGACTTAGGTCGCAGGAAAACTATTAAGCTATACGAAATCCTATTGTAAAATATCCTGCGAAACGGTGACAGCTTCTCTCTCCTTCTCCTTCTCGTTCTTCTTCTCTTCTTGCAAAAAACGATCCCCATTCTCAATCAATTCCTCGGATGTCAGCAGCATCTTTGGAACGAGCGACTCACGAGCAGGTACCAGCAGACTCGCGACTGAATAAACACCAAAGGAGCTGAAGAATCCATAATACCAATTGAGATCTGTAATGTATGCATCACCTCCAATGTCAATATTAGGGTTGACGGCGTTGATTAGCCCCGGCAGAGTAGGCCCGACAGCTGCTATCATTGCCGCAAGTGCACGCCAATTGATTCCGTACCAGTAGGCGTATCGGCCGTGAGGCTTGTATAGAGACGGAATGTCGATTGCTTGACGTTTGACGACAAAGAAGTCGGCAATTTGGATGCCCTAATCGCTTTATAGTTAGAACCCGTACTTAATAGAAACGTAGGATCATCAACACCTACCATTATGGGGGCGAGGAAGATTCCCAATGAGTTCATAAAATTGAGCAGCGATGTTGCAGAGGAAAGTATTTTCCATGGAACCAAGGCCCAGCCACCCAGTATGGTGAGGATAACAGCACCACGTTTAATGTTGATATATTTAGGCCATAGGCTCGCCATGTCATTTGCTCCGCTGATGACGGTGGCACTGATGTTTACGCAGACCTGCGCCAAACACCAGCTTATACCCGCGAAGAAGGTGGCGGCCCTTCCGGCAGGGCCGTCCCAGGTATCTATAATCGATATAGGGTCCCATAGGGCCTGTCCATAGCGCGTGATCGATGCCGACGTGACTACAATTCCAATAACGGCAACCCAGCTGCAAACTACAGGGAACCACAGACCCTGAGACAAGGATGTCCTCGGTGCGCCTATATAGCGAGTAAAGTCAGGTATATTTACGCCAACTGTTGACCTATTCAGAAGTAATAACATCAGCCTCACGCTGGGTGTATAAGTGTTCGAGTTCAAATACTACTTACCAGCTCGCAGTGCAACTATTCAGTGCCCACATGGTTAACCAGGCCTTCTGTGAACCCGTCACCGTTGCTTGCTGATCCCATATACTGCCAGAACCATTGGCTCGGGTACAAATCCAGATCACCATGCCTAATATAGTGGCCGTGATCATAACAGTCTTGGCCATGAAAAGCCACTTCATCTTGTATGGCGGAATTGTCAGCAAGGGGAACTGTAGGGCCCAAATAATGAAATATGATATCATCTCTTGAGTGGTGATTCCAGCGGATTCCGGGAGATGATTAGGGATATCCTGATAGGAAGGCCAAATTGCGCGTATCACTTGCGTTGTCGGTGCCACTGCGAGGTAGTTCGTGATGGCATGCCAGAAGAAGCAAGTGACGAGGCGTACGACCACGGGAAATTTGGCGAAATGATAGCCAAAGGAACTGCGTGTAAGAACAGCGAAAGGGACATGAGTTTTGGAACCTGCGTAACCATGGAGTGTCATCGGTACAGCCATAACGCTGGAACCGAAGACGATACTGAAAATCGCCTCGCGCCTGGTTTTTTTCCATTATAATTATTTAGTCTTGGGTGGAAGCTTCGAACACACGAACATTATCGAGAAGGATGCTCACCATGACAGTCCAACTGCAAGGATGCTGCTTCCTGTTTCCCAACTTTGAATACTGATCACATCGCTGATCCAGTAGCCTAGGATCGTCCAATTTGTCCAAGTGCGACGTTCAGGGGGAGTAACGTCAAGATCGATATTCGTCCATGTCCCCGCGGGAGCCCAGCTGGATTCTTGTTTGGGCAAAATCCAGCCTTCTACAGTTGTTTTGCGCTTTGCCGCAGATTTCGCCGCGGCAACTTCGTCCTGGACTCTGCGACGCATTACTGTGTGATTATAACCAGGAACACTAGATTCTATTAGTTGAACCGGTGGGCGAGTTGAATGGAACTTGAAACCATACATACAGTACAGATGGACGGGGCTGGTATTCGGGGTTGAGGTGGATGGGAAATATAAGATAATCTCTCGTATCTAAGGCCGCAAGAACAGTATATTGTCCCAGAAGTTTTGTCCCAGCCAGCCGGATCCTGGTCCGTAGAGGGCGCAACATGCATAAAAGTAGGCTATTAGTGGAACATTACCTAGGAACAGTGGGTGTACCACCCAGCAAGGCCTATGTAGATACGCGTATCTCCTCTGCTGTACTGTAAGATAAGGGATAGACATTCTTTTTGCCGTTCATCCGTTAGTGATTGCTTATCGCGTTGGTCGTAAACTCGTGTACTCTAGTTAGCTATCTTGTGGGAAATTGAGTACTCCACACGGAGTCACAGTATTAGAGCTATCTGACGGCCGGAAAATTACCACGTTTCCATAGAATCAGATTAAGACTATTTAAAAAGGCCACGACTTATTGTAGATAGACATAGGTGCATCTGGGCATATGCACAAGCTGATGCTCGGATTACCACTTCTTCACTCACCCGCTTATCAGCGACCGTTACTCCTGTATACAGCACGAGTCATGTATATATTACGGGCCGATAAGAGGTTGACACGTAATGATAAATACCACACTATACATTGTAACAAACTGTTCGTTAATTAACTTTTGATTTGGTTTATTGACTTCGTTTCCAGGCGTAGACGGTTGTATAGGTCTACAGATTGCATGACAGCCAGCAAGACGGGCCACAACTCTTCTACCATGGCGATATCGATTAGTATTCCAGTCATTGATATCTCTGGGTACCTAACAGGAGACAAAGCCGCAACAGCGTCTATCGCCTCTTCAATCTCGTCTGCCGCACAATCACCAGGCTTCTTTCAAATCACCGGCCATGGCGTTCCTCAAGAATTAACCTCGGGCATGCTTGCACGGGTAGCAGCATTCTTTGCTCTTCCAGCTGAGAAAAAAATCGCGCTTCACAGAAATAACTCACCCGCGCTACGAGGGTTCGAAACTGTTGGCGAACAGACGTTGGAAAGCGGGTTTGTAGATTCCAAGGAAGGATTTATGATTGGGCCCGAAAGGTCAGAGGAAGGGGCAAGGTTTCTACAAGGTCCGAATCAATGGCCTGCAGAGACGGACGTTGAGGGGCTGAAAGTGAGTATGATGGAATACTTTGGCGAGATGCAGAATTTGAGCAAGATTATGTTCCGTCTGATAGCTCTGGGGTTGGAATTGGACGAGAAGTATTTCGACGACTTTGTCGGCAGTAAGGATTGTACGTGCGACCTGAACAAAGGTAAGAGCCACGATGTGTCGGTGCTAACGCAAAGTAGCCATTACAATGTGTCGAGCACATAGATATCCACCGGCAACTGAGGAAATGTCCAAGAATTCCAGGGGAATAGGCGCTCATACTGACTTTGGTGCCTTGACTCTACTGCTACAAGACAAAAGTACGAAACCGTTTCCCCCTTAATAATAACATTGTCAGCTCTTCTTCTGACTCTATTTTCTTTTCTTTGAAAGTTGGTGGATTAGAGGTCTTTTATCGACCTACTGAGACTTGGCATATTGTTGAGCCGGTGGAGGGTGCATTTGTTGTGAATATTGGTGATATGCTGGGTGCGGTGCCCCGGTTTACTTCAGTCAGGCTTTTCTGCTCTACTAATCCGTTTGCAACATATACAGAACGATGGACGAATAATCATTATGCCTCTACCCTTCATAGAGTAATGTCTCCCGTGAGCAACCAGAATCGATACAGCGTGGCCTTCTTCAACGAAGGGCTTCTCGATCAGATGATTGAATGCATTCCGACTTGTTTGAAGCATGGTCAAAAGCCACTGTACGAGCCAGTGAAGGTGGAGGACCATTTGCAACAGCGGTACGGAAATAGTTATCAATAAGTTTTTATTCTTGGAAATCCAGATTTACTTTCGAAGTGAAAAAGACATAGGTTAGAAATAGGTTAGGCCAGAGCACGAAGAGCCACTAACGGATATATCGATTTTTTTTCGACAACGCGAGTTTAGTTTAGATTTCTCTCTGCTTCTTAAAATAGCACACCCAGGAGTCGTTGTAGTATATGCAATTTGCCTACCTACACCACCTAACATAAACGGCTCGAGAATTTTCAGTAAGTGTTTTTCTCGGAATCATGTTGATCTAGTCAAACTTCAATCATCAGCATTTTATAAGGGATTTGCACTGAGTTAGAAAATTTTTCAAGGATTTCTGGCTTTTTTTTTTGTTTGTTCTCGATGCACATGTTCTATGTATTATAAACCAATCATTTCATCGCAAAGAAGGGCATATATCGAGCGATTTTTCCACCTTCTACTTTCCTACTTCTGTGTCACAAACAACATTTGAACGATGGAGCTGCTCTTAATGCGACACGTCTTCCCAACTCTGCCATCCGCGACCTTGAGTTTGCTTAAGATCTTCTTCTGTATAAACCTTTCCATTTGTGAAATAGCCAGCATGGATCTTCGCGTCTATCTCAACACGAGAATCTGTAGGAATCATGTCTAAAATGTCAAGGTCAACGCAATTTAATTGTGTAAAGGTGAAAGGAGGGTTAAAACGAACGGTCAGGAATGGGAATTCGCTCCAAAATAGGGATTCCTTGCTCTACAATAGCGTCGTGTTTCATATTAGACATGGAAAGCATGCGGTCAATCTTCTTGACTCCCAGCCAGTGGAGAATGTCGGGCATTAATGTTTGGAATCTCATCTGCAGAGCCGGGGACGGCAGTTCTGTATGAGCAAGCATCCACCAAATAGTAACAACAGCACGATAATGAATCTAAGTGGAGGGAGGAGGGGGCCCTATACTTACATCCTTGACGCCAGCGACATTCTCGGTACGGACAAAGTACTTATCGGCTGTATCACCGCCACGCTTCCGCGAGTTGTACACGAGGTACTTGACAACCTCACCGAGCGCGCGGCCCTCCTTCCGGAAATATATCACTATTCCTGAGCCCCCATTTTGAGCTTCCTTGATAGCTTCCTCAATGCCGAATGTGAGGTATGGGCGGCACGTGCATATATCTGACTGGAATACATCAGATCCGTTGCATTCGTCATGAATCCGGAGCGCAAGCTTGCACTTCTCATCGGATACACGTTCTGGGGGGCCGAATATATACACCGTAAGACCTCCAATGGGCGGTAAAAAGATCTTGATGTCTGGCCGCGTTATGAGTTCGGGATAGCTACCGCCGGTATGTTCGAATAGAGCGCGTCTTAGAGTGCCCTCGTCAATGCCGAATCGCGACGCAACGCCAGGAAGATACCACACGGGTTCAACGGCACATTTTGTTACGCGTACATCACCCTGAGAATTACTGACAATCTTGCCATCAACGGGAAGACGCCCTTGTGCAATGGAGTCTGTAATCTCGGCGACGCGCATATTGGCCCGTGTGATGGCAATGGTTGGCCGCACATCCAGCCCCTCGTCAAGGTGCTTGCTGTAGTGCTTTACAACATCATGTCCAAAGGGGTCCATTGCCACGATCTTAGTAGGGTCCGACCAAGCCGGTTGCTGTGGGAAATCAAAGGTTGGCTGGGTGTTTTCGAAGCTGGGGCGGAAATTCTCCGGTAGATGGCCTGCGGCGATAGCAAGGGCGCTATAAACACAGTAACTACCACCGTGGGCACCGATGGCATTGCGCTTCCTTAATGTTTGGCCATTGCGCGAAACGAGAATAGGGCCTCGTTCCTGGGGGTCGGCGGCACCCCAATTGAGACTGATAGGGTCGACCACGCTCTGCCCTGGATAGGTTGTTAACTGACAGACAGCAAGTCAGTCAGTCATCTTATCTATCTTTCTTCCTTTTGCTCTAATGAGAATGTCGACATACAATAACGGGACCCTTGCTGGGGGTGTCTATGAACTTGGGAATGGCCATCTGAACGTTCCGCTTGCTGTTAGGTGAAGGCAATGGATCAACATTGAAAGCATAAGTCGTGTTGAGTTCCTTCATTTCAGTAAATTTGGGGGATTGCCTTTATAAAAAAGGCAGCATGTTACAAGATATGTGAGCAAGTTTTCTCAAACTTGAGTAATGGTAAGATTTTACTTTCTTTTTTTGTTCGCCTTGCAAAGCTATTGGCTACGCTCGCGATTGACTGAGTGACCAATGTTGGGCGTGCGATAAGACCGATCATTTGATATCTTGATCTTCAGTGTCGGTGACTTATCGAGGTGGAAACAGTCGCGGTCGTAAATACGAGGAGATACTAAGATAGCCCTTATCAATCAACGGATTTACTATTTAATGAGTGTACATTAATATGGCTGTTGCCCTAGCTCTTCTCGATTCACAGTGCACAAATCAAGAGAAATATTGCTATATTTATGTTAATCGTAAATTTTATTCTACGGAGTGTTTATCGGCTTTTTTTTAAATGGACTCTAATCTCCAGGTCTATCAACTGATATAGCTAGTCCATAGTGAAAAGTAAAACTTCAAGCCTAACCCTGACCGCGCTCAACTGTCAACTTTCAGGCTAATTCAGTTGTAAATTCTAAAAACTTGAAACATAATCTACTATAGATAATATCACTAGAACAAGGTCCCATCGCCGTCAAGGATAATCGGGCTCGACTTTGTTTCTGGGCGCAGCTTCGCTGCCAGCTCTCGCCCTCCTTTCCAAGTCCCAGCCTCCAACATCTGAGCCATACTCAGCTTCGTTCCTTGCTCAGCAAACTTGCTCGAGACCAGCACAAACAGTTCGTCTAGCAAAGCCACCGTCATGGCGCGCCACTCTACAATTGCATCTGCCGTGGGAGGCAGTCTAGGAAGATCTTCACCGGCGGCAGTGTGCTGTTGCTCGATTTCGGGCTTGAGGCTGAGAATCCCGAGATCAATAAATAGACCGCCATTGCGATACTCAGGGAGACCAGTGCCTAACTCCTCGTTGGTAACCTTCATTCCGAGAATACGCACAAACGGTACGATAATGGAATATCCAAGCCACTGCGTCAGCTTGTGAAATGGCTGTATTGAACCTGCTGTAGACGTTGTAATTGAGCTGCCTGTTGTAATTGCTTGAGAAAGCACTTGTAGTGGCCATGCATCGCCAACCGGTTGGCCCTGGATGATCGGACGATCTGCAGGCCAAGATGGTATTAGAATTCTCTGCAGGACTGACCACATCAGTTTGTAGTCTAGAATATTGTCTTCTGACGCAGCGACGAGATAGTCTGTTCTAAATCAGTACTAGTACTCTAACTATCTTGCTATAAGGACTGCACTGTAAGGGAAAACTCACCGACAATGTTACCAGGTCTACCGGTTGGCCCAACAACCTCTGATAATTGTTTGAGCGACCTGCCAACGTTGTTCAGCAGTCCGACGCGCGAGGAGACCCCAATTATAGGATTCTCTTCAGTGACCTGAAAGAATTTGATAAAACTCTCGTCAGTGAATTCGATGAGACCAGAGGCTAAGAATCCAATATCAGCTTCAGTCAGTTATATACAGGGATGGGATCCCACCGTCTACCGTTGGCTCCGAAGTACCGGAGCTATTCAAGGCTCCTGATAATACCATGTAGAGCGAAGCAACCGCGATACCTTCGCTGCGATTGTATACGTTACCGGTCTCGGGCTCATTAAAGGTCCAAACGTCGCCCGCGCCTGCATCGAGCAACACCGAGACAACAAACAAATCAATAAGGCGGCGGGTGGCCTCGAGATTGTCAATTCCTTCTTGCGCAGTCCATTCTTCCAGGAGTGGCACGATGCGTGCAACACCGCCAACGTCAAAGTGTTGCCAGCGGCCGTGAGGGGGGATTTCGTTGAATCGGTCAGGGCCAAAATCGCGCTGGATGATTCCAACTACAAAGTCGGCAGCTTCTGGCATGCGATTCTTATGATAATCAAAATTATTCAAGCTTCCTGCTTCGGCCGCGCGAAGAACCGTTTTGGCGCGCTCTCGCACAGCTTCGAGACTTAAGAGGTAGGCAATGTCTGGATTTGCCATTGTGTCCCGGCGTCTTTACGAGACTTGGTAGTTGACGCTGAACGGAACACTAAAAAAGAGCACACAGTACTCTGTACTTCTGACAAAGTATCCAGACTTGGCTGCATAGATACCTAAAAAATATTAAATCCGGTGTTAGGCGTTACATAGGGTTGCGTCGAAGCACAGCTTCCTCCTTATCAATGTCGATACATATATACGATACATACGGGTCTAGTCGTGCCAAAACCCAACTAATTGTTATCGCAGATAAGCAAGATATTCCACTTTTTCCAGAAGAAGAGGGACGTTCTTTCAATATTTATGGGGAAAACTGACGCCATAAAAAACCCGTAGTGCAGCCGTCGTATTTTTTTTTTAATTATCGAAGCCCGGCCCCTTCTACACAAATCTCTTCGTACGCACATACTATATATCCCCCTCCTCAGCATTTGCAATATTGAAAACCGCTCTTCCCCAACAGCACCGTCGCAATGGCGTCAAACATTTCCATCATAAACGACTCAGAGTTTACTGCTGGGCTGACCAAACTTCGCAACCGTTCTTTGAAGCCTTCATCCGTCCGTGCTATTGTATCTCAGCTATCCACTATCGTGTCAAAACATGCAGTGGCGACACCGCATCCGCCAGTAGCCAGCGATGAAACCATTGCTATCGTCGTGATTCTTCGCTCCGGCATTGCCATGGTGGAACCATTCGTCTCAACATTGCCCGATGACACGAATATGGTCATCTACCATCTGGGGCTTTTCCGTGAACGACAGACGCTGCAGCCCATCGAGTATTACAACAAACTCTCCAAGAGAAACCCCAGTATCAAACGTGCATATATTCTAGATCCTTTAATTGCAACGGGCGGTACCGCAGCTGCTGCAATTAACATAATGAAGTAAGTTCTCATCTCTCTCATGTTACTTGAACTCACTTCGATATCGGATTCAAATATTTTCACCTCGTTAACACTTCACTAGAAATTGGGGGATTGAGAAGATTACATTTCTGTCTCTCGTGGCAAGCAAGCCGGGCCTGGAAAAGGCTGCAGCAGTATGGCCGGAAAATGTCCACATCTTGGTTGGTGCAGAAGATGCTGAGTTGGACGATAAGGGATATGTGAAACCTGGACTTGGAGATATCGGGGATCGTCTATTCGGGACCATCTTTGAATAAGTAGACATGAACTCTCTAATGTAATGAGCACGCAAATTTTTAACCGTGTCAATGTTGAATCTTAGTAGTTTAAATAACAAAATAATAAATAATGTTGCTGTGATTAATCAGGGTCACTGCTGTCCAAGTTCTATCGATCTTTTAGAAAGTATCTTGGATATACAGTATCAGACCAAAATAAACTAGGGCCGGCTAAACCTAATGAAACTTCATCAGAAATATTTAGTATATACTTAAATCACAGTGACCTATTCTACAGAGAACCGTAAAAGCGATCTCCAAAATCGCCAAGTCCCGGTGCAATATGACTGTCGGAAGAGATGATTATTAGCGAGACCGAAAAAAGAATTGCGAGATCAAACATCATATTTCTGAACATACTTGGACGCAGTGAGGTCTTCATCCACCGCAGCCGTCACCAATCTCAGCTGTGGAAATCGCTGCACAATCGTGTCGAGCCCTTTACGAGAAGCCACCAAGTTGACAAAGATAATTTCCTCCTCCGGCACGTCCATCCCTTTCAACACCTCGATGGCTTTTGATGCCGAGCCACCTGTCGCAAGCATAGGCTCGAGGATCAAAATGCCTACGGGGAGTAACGATTTCGTTATTCATAGACTCATAGACGGCGTTAAGGAAAATTGAAATATTTGTATGGCATACTTTTTGAGGCAATATCTTTCGGAAGTTTCGAGTAGATATAAACTGGTAGGCATGTTTCCTCGTCGCGTTGGATCAAGATGGTGCCCATGCTCAGATTATGTCTAGATGAGATCAACCAGGTAAGCCTCATCTCTGTCATTCATCTTGGACGCTTCTTCCAAAGCTGGCACTAACCTATAAGACTTTCGCAGCACATTCTCAAAACTTGCTCCCGCACGTAGAATGCTCACGCCACAGATTGATTTGACCTGACGTCTTCCATTGTAGGGTAGCCTTGTGGGGGTATAGACTGTAAATGGCTCAGTTGGGATTAAGTTGAGCGCTATAATTTCATGTCAACATATACATCAATATAGATTAGCCCTTGGAGAAGAGACGTCAACGTATAAGGGGTCAATGTGGTCTTTGGCCTTACCAACGGCAATGATTTGATTCGCAACATTCTCAAAAGCCTCATAGAAAGCACTAGAAGTTGTCTCCGAGTTCCGTAGAATTGTCATGCAACTGAGCAGGTAGTTACTTTGCTCCAGGACGACCACGCGATCGGATGCATATCCATTGGGATTATGCATTTTCTGATGAAATTTTTTTTTTAGTAAATCCGCTGTACAGATGGAATGTGATCTTTCAGTAATAGAGGCTTTAGAATCTGTAACGAAATTATTATTCTCAAGTTTCTACACATGTTCCTATATTAAGCAATGAATTAAGGCTACATAACCCTAACTCACAAGTGGGTCTAGCCTCAGGCGATAACTTATCAGATAGCAGAACGCATGGGCGATAAGCAGCTTGTCATATTAGTATCGTATTATCATTCAGTAAGAGACTTCGTATCGCACCAGGACTTTTCCCTATGGATCCGGCTTTGTTTCACTGTTGCTAAACAGATACTAGGGGGTTTGAAAAGTGGACCATGCGTGTGGTCGAGGCATTCATTGATTTGCTTATAGCCGGTATACATAAGATAATTAGCATAAAAACGCCTGTTCTATGCCAAATAGATATTACAGTTAGATATGTCACGTATGTCTGGCGATCATTAATTAAAGTCATTAATTTCAACAATGGCCGCTGGACTTCGTCTCCTATCCGGTCAGCATATATTCCTTGTCCTATCCACAGATTCGGGACTCACGGTGTGCTATAGGTAGCAGCTATCGTGAACTTGCACAACTGGTAACGAAAAGGTATTCTAATTTTCCTTTCCTCGGTATCTTTTAAATAATACTGACGCCAGAGTGTGATGCGACTTACAGAATTGGCTACCCCCTCAGTGCAGAAGCGCTGCACATCTCCCGGTTTTCCAACGGGGAAACGTTCGTGTCGATTGAAGCATCTGTCCGCGGTGCAGATGTATTCATCATACAAACAGCATCGGATCCCGTGAACGATATGCTCATGGAGCTCCTGATTGCAGTAAGCGCATGCAAGATGGCATCTGCTAGAAGCATCACGGCCGTGATGCCATGTTATCCATACGCCCGACAAGATAGGAAAGACCGCAGTCGCGCACCTATCACAGCTAAACTTGTGGCTACCATGCTGGAAAGCGCTGGATGTAACCATATCATCGTGAGTCGGCTCAGGAGAAGGAAAGAGATATGTAAATGAGACTGTACCTGACCGGATGTTACCGACGGTACCCGACAGACCATGGATCTTCATGCTTCACAGATTCAGGGTTTCTTCAATATCCCAGTTGATAAGTTTGTATCCCTCCGTTTTGCACGCTGGGGGGTTGTACTGACTGTGGGTAAAAACATGTACAGTGTAAACTACCCAAAACGCTGGAATTCCGACAAAGTGTGCTAACATCCTTGGAATGGAACAAGCTGTACGCCGAGAAGACAGTCATTGAATATATCCAACGAGAATTCGAGCAGAAAGACTTGGTTCTTGTGTCGCCGGATGCTGGCGGTGCGAAGCGGTATGGTAGCAATTCAGTATCTTTCTCATTAGAAAAAGAATGAAATAAAATACTTATTCATGATATATTGATATTTAGAGCAGCTACCATAGCAGATCATCTTCAGGTCGACCTCGCTATCATTCACAAGGAGCGTAAGGTCGCAAACAAAGTCAGCCGCATGATTCTAGTCGGCGACGTGAAAAACAAAATTGCAATCATTGTCGATGATATCGCAGACACATGCGGCACACTTGCCTCAGCATCCAAAATCCTCAAGGAGCATGGGGCCCAAAAAAGCATAGCGATAGTCACACATGGGTTTTTGAGCGGACCATCCGTTGGGGTAATCGAGAGCAGTGACCTTGAACGGCTTGTTGTGGCCAACACCCTCCCGTTGCCGGCCCTTGCAAAGTCCTGTGCCAAAATCCAACAGGTGGATATTAGTCCGATCATTGCAGAGGCGATTCGAAGAACACATAATGGAGAATCGTAAGTTGCACGGTTTCCTCATGACAACGCTTGTCTGTCACCCATGATTGACCGCGGTCTAGGATTTCAATGCTTTTTAATTAATTAGGAGCTAATCTGATTATATCTAAACTTGCTGGTGTCAAGCGTTTGAAAGATCGTCGTCTGTCTTTTCTGTGTGTACGCTTTCTCTTGCCTATGTAGTCCGTCCGTGCATCTAGTCGCACATGTAGCTTCTTTTTTGCCCTAACGAGATAAAACATGTCAAAAAACGCAGTTTCTCTCCTCTTATCGACATGGATTGGGCATAGCCAAATGAAGTATTGCTATCTGATAAGGAACAAGATTTAAGAAGAATGAAGATACTAATTAACTCCACTCCGGAACCGAACTCTGTCGCCGTCCCGCACGGGCGAGACAAAATTAGCCTTGGTAGGCAGCAAATCGTGTTCAAGTACAAATGTCGACCTAATTTAGGAGCACTGGAACATAATCAGGCGTTGAGAGGAACGGTTACGCAATCATCCGGAGAATAGTCCGTCGTATTCGCCCGCACAGTTGTGATTCGCGGGAATTCTTTCCTTCAACCTCACACAATCATCAATCTCTTTCAATACATGCATTCGGAGCCCTGCATGCGGCAGACGATTCGGTGAGGGATATATTTGAGGAAGTAGGCAACACAAGACAATGACTGAGTCAGCCTCTGCCAAAAAGACACGGGCTGGCAAACCCAAGGTCCGGACCGGATGCCAAACCTGCAAAGTCCGACGTGTCAAGTGCGACGAGCAAAAGCCCTTTTGCTTACGGTGCCGAAATCTCAATCTTCAATGTCAAGGCTATCCAGCGCCCATTGCGCGGCGGAGAAAGAAGACCTCTATTCTTTCTCAGAAAACTGAGCGTTCATCACGGTTATTAGCGCCCTCTGGATCACATACACATACGCTCCCATCAGCCAGGTCGCCTTGCCCCGAACAGGTATTATTACCTGTCCTTTCCTATTATTGTGATCCCCGCATTGCTTCTTCACGCCACCATCAGTTAGCGGAAGGGGACGTCGTATACTTTGACTACTTCCGCTATCAGGTGGCGAACAACTTGGCTGGATTCTACACAACCAGCATTTGGTCGCGCTTGGCCGCCGGCGAAGGTCTACAGGATGACTGCATCCGTCATTCTGTACTATCTATCGGCGCGTTTATGCGTTCAATGGCCGAACCGGCACCTAGTCTATGCAACTCAACAGCCTCAGGTGGTGGCATGTCACGGACTCTGATGCTTAACAGAATCATCAATAATAAACATCAAGAAGCGGCTTTGCAGCATCATGCCAAAGCCACCACCTCCTTTCACCGGAATATCCAATATTTGACATTGTCCACTCCATCTAAAGTTGTTATTACAACACTATTGTTGGCGGTTTTCGAGCTTCTACAGGGACAAATGAACGTAGCAAATTTATTAGTCAATTCCTCCATAGATTTTCTTGGAAGCTTCCCATCAAGAAAATATTTTTCCGATCACGAATTCCAGGAAGTCGAATGGGTGCTTCCCTTGGTCTCTACCATGAGCCAGCTTTCTCTCCTCCTCCGGCCTCGTTCCCATGATATCCGCACACTCCAGATGACGGTCGATTCCCGCTTCCCCGAGCCCAACTGGGACTCACTGTTGAAGATCTTTACCTCCTGGGGTCGTTTTTTCACTTCTTCGATCATGTTACTTCAGCAAACTCTATTGTACGGACTAGAGCAACACACGCCGAACAATGCACTTGACCAGTTAATTCCACAGCAGGAGGCTCTCCTGTCGCAATTGCGAAGGTGGCAGGCCATCCTAGAAGAATGCGGTAAAAGCTCACATTTGGAGCCATCCCGTAAAATCACTATGCGACTTATACAGATTCACTGGCTACTACTCTACATTACTATCAACTGCTGCTTAGATTCCACCCAAATGATGTATGACTTGTATGACGCCGAATTCCGTCAACTTTGTGCTCAGTGTAAGGACATGATACGCGACAGCTTATCACACCAACGGCCCACCTCTGTCTTGCTCGGGGAAGGGCTAATCCTATCTCTCACTACCGTCATCCGATGTTGTAGGAACCACGACATCCGTATGATGGCTGCAGAGGCGGCAAGGCAAATTCCTGCATCAATGATCGTCTGGGATGTTCGGGAACTGCTAGATAATCTACTAGCTGCCGTTCTATTGGAAGAACTAGGCCGAGATGACACAGGAGTTATCCCGCCACACTCGAGGTGGACTTATTTAGAGACAGATCCAAGCCAGCAGAAGAGTCAAAAGCCCGATAGAATCTACCAGAGGCTAGTCCCAAACGAGGCTGGAATTGCGGTCTACACTAGGCTAACAATTGCTTCTGATTTGAGATCAGATATCTGCAATGCAGCTCGTTGCCGAAAAGTTCACACAGAGCTTTAATTGTATTTATAGGACTCTAAAGTGGAGATTGAAGCTACAAAACTCAGTACACAGGCTGCTCAAGCTGTATTATTGCGTAACAAAACAACGACTTAATAGGGTCATTCAGTAGTAACAAGGACCAAACACAGTTTCTAAACTAGCCTCCGCACCCTTTCTTCACTTCTAAGAAGTATTTCAAAGTTTATTTGTCGCAGGACTGACTGGATGTCTAATCGTTTCACCGCTTGGTTGGGCTTTTGCTCCTTAGTACGTAGCGGTCAATCTATCTATATAGTATTGGCCACTTTTTACTCCCTTATATTTCTTATCGGCATCAGTAACGAAGGTTCCAGGGATTGCATCAATATAACTGTCCTCGTGTGGACCTCCAAAAAATCTGCAGTATGTTTTCTTTTAGTAAACACATCTGGTGGGGAAAGGTTCATTGCAGCACTTACGCGATGCTATATCTCTCTGGATATAGATCACCCTCAGTAGAGGGGGCTCTACCACGCGGTGCACCGTTGATTTGATCAAATCGTTGCTCCATCTCGCCAGGAGATCGCCAGCGTTGACTACAACCGTATTTTCAATTGGCGTGGCATTCGCATACTCTCCTGTGGGTGTCTTGACTTGGAGCCCTCCGCGGCTGTCCTGGAATAAGAGAGTAATAGCGCCGTAGTCTGTATGCGCCCCAGCTCGAACTTTGTTGACGTTTGATTGAAACACCTCCGTACTCACCTCTGGATAGTGTAGCAACCTCAGCTTGTGATCACCATCTGACATGTACTCTTCAAAGTAGTTTTCATCAATGCCGAGCCCAACGGCAATGGCCCGCATGACCTCGTTTACCATTTTAGTGCAGAAGTCGAAGAAACCCCCGATGGTATCCTTGAAGCCAACCAACCTCCCAATCTCCGCAGGCCATATGTTGGGGTATTTGGGGTCTTTTTCTCTACCAATGTGCAGTGTCTCCTTAATGTCTGGCGACTCCTCAGAGCCAAGCTTCTCTTGTCCGTTTGCCGAGTATCCCCTATTCGACTCCACCGACGGCATTAAATGGGATAATTTTGTCTCCAGAGAAAGCGAAAAGTAATTTGCCGATGCGTCAAATACCTGTTGGCGTTGTGAGGGCGACAGAGGAAGGCTGTGCAAGTATATGAAGCCCGCAGTCTTGAATCCATGTAGAATCTCTTTCGCAGTCCGTGTACGCTCTTCCGGCGTGCCATTAAGGAAGGCAGAAAAGTTGATCAGCTAGTTAAATTACTGTCAGTTTTCATTTTTACATTATTTTTCCTTATCCCTTGTTTGGCAATCTGTGAATATGGTAGATGACAGATGGCAGAAGACATACCGGGATGCTGAATCCCTCATGACTAGCAGCAACGTTACTCATTTTTGCTAGCTTTAATTGGCAGTGTTTTCCTTTTGTCCTTTTTTGGAAGATACTGGGCACCTGTCAGAAAAATAGTCTGTAGCCACTATCACAAAACCACATACATGTCGGTTTGACGTCAGTTATAGCCTCGCCGTCCTCACATTCTCTGCTCTACGAAGCCAATCTGTCATCCTCTGTATAGTATAACCCATATCTACCCTAATAGCTCAGGATATCCCAAAAGCCCAATACAGAGTTGGCTAGGCTAACCCATTGTACATACATGTTAGATAAGAAACGGGGTTTATGTGTAACTAGGTTTCTGTTAAAACCACGCGATAAGAATACAAAAGATTACATATTGAAATAGTTATGGTTTATGATTATCTAGGCATTAGAGTTATTCACATCCAAGCAAAAAAGTCCATACAATTTAATTAATTAATTGGCTCCCGTTAAGAAAACAAATACGTAGTATCAAAAGTACTCTCCGTACGTAATGCTTTCTCGGAGAAGACACCGAGATAAGCCAAAATACGACGAGCCGATCAGCCGGGCCATTTCGGTGTTCTTATCGCGTGAGAAGATATCTCGTATTTCGCCGTCCAATGGGACGATCAACTGATATATAGTGCTTAACCCCTAACTCGTGAGCTATTTTAGAATTTCGCCATCGTATTATTTAAGTGGAGCCTCAAAGCTCCCTTGTGATATCAGTATGGCCCTACTTTGTGTCACTTCAATTTACGTGATTACTTACAATCGCCGTCAAGCGCCCAATATTCCGGGGTCGAAGACAATGGACAATTAAAAGAAAAGAGAAAAGAAAAAGATTAGCTACTGTATAATTAAGCGTCTGATAGTGATTTGAGGGACTGTATACGATTGTACCTGCTGTACTTTAGTAACGAGTGGAACTGTCGAATGCCAATTATCACTACTCACACTGAGATAGCCAGTCAATGGAGGCAAGCGGGCATGACGCAAGGACGACAGACGCGAGCTCAGCACTCTTCTTTGGTGTCAGCTACAATTTCATCGGCAACTCTTTTGTGCTTTCCAAATCACGCACTTGGATGAAAGTCCTCGACCCGGTAGAGATGCAATCTTCCCTTAGATTAGTTAATGCTCGTTCGTTCTCATGGCTGATCTATCTCATTGTATCTAGGCATCTCAGAGTTTCATTACGCGGGTCCCCGAATCCGCTGCTGCTGAAATTCAGGATGCCGTTGCCGCTGCAACTGCTGCCCAACCATTATGGGCTTCTACGCCGCTAAGTACTCGAAGAAAGACGCTTCTAACGCTTATTTCCATTCTAAGACAAAACGCCTCCAAAATTGTACGTTAGTTCCCCTTCTTCCCTCAATGTGCGGTTGTCTGGTCTAGATCAGTTTGCCCCATCATGCTAACTGGGAGCTACTACGGCAGAGACACACACTCTGTGTAGAAGTTGGCAAGACACTAGCTGATGCTGATGCCGAGTTCGAGCGAGGAATAGATGCTCTTGAGACAGCTTGCTCAATTGCGAACGAGAATGGTGGTTTTCACTACATTAACCAGTCTGCTGAGATCTACAGTATCACCGAACCGCTTGTACGTTTCTCCACAAGCCACAAAGGGGAGAGGTTAGGTTAGCTTTAGTGCTAATCAAACGTTTTGTTTTGGTTTGGTTACAGGGGGTCTGCTTGACCATCTGCCCGTTCAATTTCCCTTTTCTGATCCCACTTTGGTCCATCCCATACGCTCTTATCACTGGTAACACCGTGATTCTGAAGCCGTCTGAACAAACACCATCTGTCTCACAGATTCTCGCCGAATGTATCCTTCAAGCAGGCTTCCTGCCAGGAATCTTCAACATCGTCCACGGTACTGCTGGCGTCACTAGTGGTCTCCTTTCTCAACCAGCTATCCGAGTAGTAAACTTTGTTGGCTCGCTTGCCGTTGGCGAGCAGGTGTACGAGCACGCCAGAGCCACACGAAAGAGAATCCAGGTTGAGTGCAACGGCAAAAACCACGGGGTGGTATTAGAAGATGCCAACAAGAAGAAGGCTCTATACGCCATCGCGGGTAGTGCTTTTGGAGCGGCTGGACAAAGGTGCATGTCTGTTGCCGTCGCGGTCTTCGTCGGTGCGACAAAAGAGTGGATTGACGATTTGGTTGAGATAGCCAAAATGCTGGTTGTTGGTTGCGGTCTTGACCCCCTGGTCGAAGTCGGACCCGTGATCACAATAGCGTCTAAGAATAGGATCGAGGAAATTATAAACGCGGCAGAGAGCGAGGGCGCAAATGTGCTTTTGGATGGACGCAACTACAAGGTTGCCGAATACCCTGATGGGAATTTCATCGGCCCAACGATTTTGACAAATGTTCATCCTCATATGACATGCTACCAGGAAGAGATTTTTGGACCAGTCCTGTGCTGTATAGAGACAGCAAATTTGGACGATGCCATCACTCTGGTCAATAATAACAGATGTAAGCGAGCATCTCCCTGTAATTCGGAACCACCGTATTGATAATTGTTGTTAGACGGGAATGGCTGCACGCTTTTCACAAGTAATCCCATGAATGCTCGAATATTCCAACATTCGGTAAATGTCGGGCAGATTGGCATCAATGTACCTATCATGGGTACGTTTGTCCTCTTCTCAGTCCCTGAAAATTTACAGTGTACCAGGCTCACAGTCCGTGGCGAACAGCGCCGTCGGGACCCGTATTAAGAACTACGAATAAAGATTCCTTTTTGGGAGGTGAGTGAGCTGCTGGTACTTACCGACCACACACACACACACACACGGGATTACTGGTTAGCTAGCTAGACTGCTAACGATTTCTTCTTTGCTGTAGACCTCAACATGCCAGGAAAGACAGCTACACAATTTTATACATTGACAAAAACCGTTACCACCATGTGGTCTTGATTAAGGATGAGCTGATAAATGAAGGATCCATGACCCAATACTAGAAACAGAGGATAAGCAGAAATAGCCACAAAGAATTAACTAGAATATGGATAAGAAAGTACGTGTAGATTTCACTGTTAATAAAATAACCATAGGGACTCAATACCTACCTAATATATAATTAATTACCAGAGATAGCTTCTAATACGTAAATAATTTTAAGGTAGTAAATATTAAAAAAGCTATATTATAAAGTCTTTATGGTTGATGGGTACCTACGTACACAAGTCAATTCCCCGCGGGAAGGACCTCCTCTATCTCCGTCCTTATCTCCGTCCTTGTCGCCCCATTAACACCAAGGATCGCCCGGCGGTCCAGAATGCCTTCACCACCCACCTTCTTTCAGGTGACAGTACGTTCCAATGTTCGCTAGACCCGTACTCAGTGCATCTACCTGCAAATACGCTCATTTGAGATTTAGCCCTGCACAGAGACTTTGGAGAGCTCCTATAAAATATCCTTGTCGCGCAATGGCCACCTCTTCGAAAGTCCACCTGACTCCGTCGCAGCAGGCCGTGTTCTATGTACCTGGAATCACCTCTGATACTGCAAACACGACAAGTGAGCTGCTTCAGGAGAACTACGAAAAACATCATATCTTCTTCAACCATGCTGGGTTCCATGTACGGCATCTTCGGCATAACGTCACACTTAATGGCTGATGTCACATTAGAACCATATCGTTCATCACCTCCTCTCTTTATTCGCCCTTAATGCTACACCCGCCGAGCTTATGCAGGGCTGGAATGACAATGTGTCCTATCAACGACCGCCAGTGCCGCTCAAGCAGTCCGTCGTCACAGATATGCATGATCCACAGAAGTACAAGACGTACCTGGGCAACGAGAATCACTATCATAACTTCCTAGTATTCTTTCAGGAAGAGATCAACCAAAAGGGCTGGCAGGAGGTGCTAAACGAATACATATTCAAAGGGGATGAGAGGGCTGATGATATGCTCGTGCGAATGTTTGGTGGCATCCTTCATCCGATCATCCACCTAGGTTTCGGTGTTGAGTTCGAGCAGCCTGCAATTATTGCAGAGGCTTTGGCGCAAGCTGCTGTTCATGGAAACAGGGAGGCGTCACACTTAATCGAGAGTGAGAAAGCAGCCAAAGCCCACAGTCTAGATACCCGATCCGGCACAACTATCGTCCAGCTCGTAGAAGAAATTTACGCAGACATGGAGCGAGGTTCGAGGAATAGAGCCAAGCACTCTAGTCAAGTACACGTCACAGAGGAGAATTTGGAAGAAAAGACAGCTGAGATGATTAATGCAGTTGGTGAGTTTTCAGATCCAAGCATATCACTAGTACTTTGGCTGACTTCTAGCAGTATACTTTACCGGTGCCGCGCAGCATCCACCCCATCAGATCAAATTCGACTTCTTTAACATCCACGCCGTAAATCTCAGCATCTTCTTCTGCTCGTTTCTACGACAATCATGGCTCTCAATACCCAATAAGATCCGACTCCTTGAATGGAAGATCCGCATGGATTTGGCTATGTACGCATCACCACGACCCCCCAAACTTCTTCTCGACGAGATCGCCAATTATAAGTCAAAGAAAGATTCCTCATGGGAGGATATCTTTAAGCGCGTGAAGACCTATCACGACGACGGACATGCCTGCAAACTTGTGCGCGCTCTCGCAAATGGCGAACAAGTTTGCAAGAAATATGAGCACAAGGACGGATTCGTCATCAAGGGCGATATGTGGAGGAAGCTGGGCAATATGGCCATCGATAGTGTGGAAGCGGGCTCGCCGGACTATGTACGAAGCGGGGCCTGGTCGAGTGTGCCGTTACGCGATCAATCAAGGATCTAAATGTTGATTATACCATATTTGTATTACCATGTACCCCTATTTTTGCTACACCCATAATATTGAACCTAATGATACAACAGAATCTTGAGGACGGAGCAATTTCTGGTCATTTATGAGAAAATCATATTTGAGCATCACAACACAACTCATGTTTTTAGAGAGATGATCTACTTTCTAGCCATAAGATGAATGCTCTAATGTTTTAGGAACGTATTATTTTCAAACGTATTGAGAGAAACATGTAGAAACAGCTCAGGATCGCCGTTAAACGCAAAGGCAGCAAACTGACCAAGGACCACCGCGGCTTCAGACAGAGAAGGTTCATGTTGGTCCGTGGGAACTATGAATTGAAAACTTCTCCAATTTTACCCCAATATCTTGTTAGGGTTGGCATGCGGGTTACCCCGATGTTTCCCCATACTTTACCCCACGTTGTTATTGTTTTGCGGTCATTTGCCATCAGCAATTTCAATTTGCGCCGCCCTATTCGTCCGGAAATTTCCCGGGGGACTGGGCTGTACGAAGAAGGTTATGCCAGTACCATCAATGTAATTAACGGAGCCGGAGGAATCTCCTTGTAGCATTGATTCTCCCCAACATGACCCAGTCTACCTCGTCTTGCCGTTAATCGCACACCGTGGTCTTTAGAGTTTGGAACATGGTAATGATTTGGAACGATGTTGGAGATTGTGCAGTACATATAGGTCGCGCACATACATCCCACGAAATATTCGTTCCCAGTGTCGGTCAAATACGGCTCCAATCCTCAAAGGTCCATTTCAAGTGCAGTATCCACATTATATACCCAAAATGGAAGAAAAGCAAGATGAGATGCAGATTGAATACAAGACTGCCAATGAGTCTGCAGCCAGTGGGGCAGATCCGAGCTTGTCGATTGAAGAATACGTGCGACGCGAACGTGCTGTGGTCTGGAAACTGGATTGTTTTATTGCGCCGGTGATGATGCTGCTGATGCTCATTTCGTATCTGGATCGGGGTAATGTACGTTCTCCCTTTCAATGAGAAGAGTGCAGGCTAATCTGTGTGTGTATTGTGATAAGTAGATTGGGTTCGCTGCCACGCAGGGGTTGACCACGGATATTGGGCTAAAGGGGAATCAGTTGAATGTCAGATACTTCACCATACGAGATCAATTGATCTGTGGACAAACACACTTACTCCATACAGATATGCATCTCGATTTTCTATATTTTCTATGTGCTTGCCGAAGTAAGCAACCTCTGACGCAACGTTTTCTAATTACCGACTGACAATGAACAGTTCCCAACATCTCTTCTCGTCAAACGTCTTCAATACAACCGCGTCATCCCCTGTATCACTTTCTGCTGGGGTCTAGTATGCATGTGCACGGGCTTCGTACAAGGGTTCCCATCTCTCGCGGTGACTCGGCTACTTCTAGGGTTTTTCGAGGGGTGTTTATTCCCTTCGATGACGCTATTTCTCTGCGACTGGTACAAGCGAGAAGAATTAGCGACTAGGATATCATTCCTCTTTGGTAAATTTTCTGAATTCTTCTCTTGTTCGATATCTTTTGACCGAGTAAACAGTGGCTTCTGCGTTGTCTGGGGCATTTGGTGGTCTGTTAGCTTACGCAATATTGTATATGGATGGAGTGGCTGGGATGAGTGGATGGAGATGGTAATCTACCTCCTATATTAGAAGATATTCATCGAACTAATTCGGATAGGCTTTACATAATCGAAGGAATTATCACTCTCGGTTGGGCCGGGATATGTCTTTTCGTCGTCCCCAAAAACTATGAAACGGCGTACTTCTTGAACGAGCAAGACAAAGTCATAATGCGATGTCGTGCCGAGGCTACTGCTGCATACAGCGGTGGACAAGGACACTACAAATGGAAAGATATCAAAATGGCTGCCAAGGATGTTAAGAGTTGGATACACGGCGTCATCCAGATTTGTGTCGTTACTATTCTCTACGGTAAACTTTTTCTGATTTCTGCATTCTTATTGTTCATTCCATTTTTTAACTTGGTTAGGCTTTGGTACCTTTCTTCCGATTATTCTGAAAGATGGATTCCACTACTCAACCATCCAAGCTCAATATCTCGTTATACCTGGTAAGCCCAAAACAATACCTCCACTTTAACTCGAAAGAATCCTTTAACTTTTCATAGTGAATCTCTGGGGTGCAATCGTTTACGGTGTCGGGGCCGTCCTGTCAGACAAATACAAAGCCCGATTCCTATCCCTCATCATCTCAGCTCCCTTCGGTATCGCCGGTTACGCGATTCTCGTCGCTAACAGCCGCCACACGATGCAGCCTGGTATACGGTATTTCGCGACATATCTGATTTCTACCGCATGCTACCTTTGTACTGGTACCAATATCGCTTGGCTATCTAGCAACTGCGCTCCCGATGGGAAACGAGCTGCTAGTGTGGGTATTTTGCTGACATTGACGAATATCGGAGGCATTGTTGCAGGACAGATTTATCAGACGAATTCGGCCCCCGGGTTTGTGTTGGGGCACTCGTGGTCATTGGGCTGTTTGGCGTTTGCGTGGTGTGGTTGGTGGGTCGTTCTGGGGATTTATAAACAGAGAGAAAGACAGAAGGATAGGGCTTTGGCGGACGGAAATGCTGATGTTACTGGAGCGGATTGGAGTGATAGGGCGCCTGACTTCAGATATCAGTTTTAGCACCATCACTGCTGTCAGGGATCAAGGAATCATAGATCACGCACGCAAAGTATCATATATTTTACAGCAGAACTTTTTTAACTTTTCTATGCTTAATGCTTCGGCCGCAATACACTCAACATTAGCATAACCATGAGAATAGATGCTAATCATTTTGCCTACCATCTTCTAACTATTGCACGGCCTACTCATGCCCCGCCGTATCCTCTAACCTCTCCACCGCACTCCTCAACTCCCGAATCCTCTGTCCAACCCTCTTCTTCACCTCCTCCTTGACCTCGGTCTTGATATACTCAGGATCATAATTCGGCGCAGCGAAACTAGTAAATCCCTCACCCACGCCTCCCTGGGCCGCCGGATTCCCCGTCGCCGCCTCCAATCGATCCGCATTCGCCTGCCCGGAATTCGGCGAGACGGTCTCTTCCTGCACCGTCCCGGGCGGCGCGGCGGCAGATGCGCGCGTCATTTCGGTATACACGGTGTAGACGTAGACGAGCTGATCGAGGTGTTCCCGTGCCGATTCACGGTCGGAGGCGGCGTAGATGGTTGAGCTGTTGGTGCTGTCGACGGCGATTTCGAATTCGTCTTTTGCGTTGTCATATCTATATTCCTTTATTAGATCGGTTATTAAAATATAGGAGAGGAGAAGAGGGTTAGTACAGTTCTTGGAGCTCTTCGACTATCAAATCAGCCTCGGATTTGCCCCCGGATGGTTTCAATTCTGCGTAGGCACGCTGTTGGCAACTAGAAGCAGGGACGGGGATGCGAGACTGTGGTTGTAGCTGAGTTGCGTACGCAGGAAATCTCGATAAGCGATCATGTCTGGGACGATGTAGCAGGGAGAACGCGGCATTGCGTCGTTGGATGTATGATGACGAGGTAGCTAAAGAACGGGTACTAGGTCGAGCCAGAAGTCGGTGTGGAAGGGCTAGCAAGATTGACGAGGACATGTCGTGTATAGCAGAATAGAAGATAAAAAACCAGCAATACCAAAGTGTAGTAGAGGAAATTCTGCTGGTTTTATGATGTCGACGTGTTTCGTCAACACGAATCGCTGTCTCCGTGAGAGGCTATGACGTAAGCGGCCCATCTAAACTTATCTAATCTGCACGTGACGAGTCTGCCCTTAAAACTTATGCAGTAGCTGAATGAGATGAATGAAAGAATGAAAACTAATATTTTAGTTCTATTACATCAAGAGTAAAAAGAAACGATGGAAATCAGTCATGTCATCAGTCGTAAGTCGTAAGCCCATGAAACCTCATATCCTCCAAAAAGAGCATCATTGAAAAGGATGTGAAAAGGGTAAGAAAACAAGCAATAGGAAGTAGAAGGAAACAGAAGGAAAGAATTATGCAGAACTAATAATCAAAAGAGTATCCCGCATTGTATGGGTTCTCATCATGGTAATAGTGTGACCCGCCATGCCCATTCTCATAGTCATTCACATTCATCCTAGCTGCACCGGTACCCAACGACTGGCTGCGTCGCGAAGACCCCGACCCCGATGTATTCATACTTCCATTGCGCTTCATCACTCGTTTTTCATGTCGCTCCTTGCACTTACGCAGAAATTCCTTGTGTTCTTTTCTCTGCTCGTCCACTTCCTTCCATTCGCCGATAGCACCCTTGATACCGAGACCGGCCAGGCCGATAGACGCGGCGCTTTTCAGATTTGCTTTCATGCGCATTTTAGATTCTTGTTCTTTGGTAATCGCTCCCTCCTTCACTTCTTGTCGTCGTCTTTTCTGAGCTTCGAAATTCTTAACCACACTGTGTGCGGCATGAATTGTCGCCACAGCTGCTAGTCCTGAGGTGACTAGCTCCTTGCGGAGCATTTTCTTTCTCTCACGCTTCTCTTCGTCACTGGAGCCAAGGTCAGAATCACTATCACAATCACTATGGCAGTCAACGTTGCCATTAGAAGACGCCGCTCGGTTTGCTAAAGCACGAGAAGAGGTATTAGAACCAGCTTGCTGGGATCTTACATCTCGAGAAGCCTTGTATCGATGCCTTGACGAACGATACGAGCTCTCGTCTCCGGAATCAGAGTAATCAGAATACCGCGAAGATCGCTCCTGCCGACGATCATCCTTATTCTTGTCATCTAACCCCAGGGCCGCCAACCCTTTGTTGATAGCGCGAGATACGCTAGAGCCTCGCTTCTTGGAGTCACCGTGACCGCGGTCATCGTAGCCATCGCGTGAGTCGGAGCGGCTGCGACCTCGGGACTTAGAGCGAACTCGGTCGTAGACTTGTTTGCCCGCGGCAGCAAGAACACCGGCTGCAGCCATATCTTTGATTCCGCCGCCTTGGCTCTGGGAGCGCCCTCGGCTTTGGCCACGAGCACCCGACCGCGATCCTGACCGTCGACCGTTGACGAGATGATTTGTAGCCATGCCAGCGAGAATCGATTCAACCACATGGCGGCCGCCGTGTTTGTTGGGGTCACGATCAATCAGGCCATCAACGCCTCCAGCCGTGATGGCAGCTGTGAGAATGCGCTTGCCTTTATCGCCAGTCCACGGACCGGGATCTTTACGAGCACGGAAGGCTTCTGCAGCACCAGCAGCGAGGGCAGCCTTGACAGCTTGGGCCACACGAGCTTCACTTTTGGCGCGGCGACCGCCTCGACTGCGGGAGCGAGAGTCGGAGTATGAGCGGTAGCGACGAGAACGGCCGCGGTCTTCGTATCGGTCTTTAGAGCGAGAGCGAGAACGATCACGGGCGGCTTTGACTCCAAGGGCTCCTCCAATAGCACCCAGTGCCTGTTCTCCCAGAGACTTGCGTCTGCGGGGACGTGGCGATGGGCTACGTGAAGAAGAATATGACGATCGTCGGTCGTGGCGGTGGCCTGATCATGTTAACAGCGCTCAACACAAATAGTAGATAGATAGATAGATAGATATCGGCGGACTTACGGTCATCTCGGTAGCGTTTGGACTTGCGGGGCGCATAGTCTTCGCGGCGATAATACTCCTCATCGTAATAGGGATCACGGCCAGCAGAGCGTGCTCGGCGCGCACCCTCACGAACCGACATAGTGCGGCGGGGTCTTGGATAGCCGTAATAGGGCTCGCCAGGAGGAAAATCCCTCGTCACCTCTTCGACGACAGACTCTTGACTGTCGCGACGGCGGACGAGGTCCATTTCACGGCCATAGCCGCCCCGGTTGTCCACATAGGTTTCCTCGACGTAGCCGCCACCTGGGCGGGAGTATCGATCGCGCTTGACCCGGTAACCCCGACTATCTCGAGTGTCGTAGTACGACATGGCAGGCAGGTTGGGGAAAGGGACGGTTCACAAAGGTTCGCTGCAGCCAAACGATAGAATCACGATGTTTGGGACAGCGATGGATGATGGATGCAGGAGGAGAAAGCGACAAGGCGGGTGGACGTAATTAAGTGTGGTGTTGTTGCTTGCTAGTGAGAACCGCGGGGCTGATTCTGGGCGTGGCGGCAGCACCGAATGGGAGGCGGCGCGACAGCAGCTGACCCGCACAATACTCCAAGGTAAGGCAGTAATAGTATGATGGAGTGTTTAGAAGTGTACTGTAGCGAATGAATGGCCGGTTGATCACAAGGTGTGGCGCAAGCAGGCAAGCAAGCGACCGATGGATGGCTGGTGGTGTGGTGGGTGAGGCTGTGTACACCATGCTCTGCTAGACACAGCCAAAGGGAGGACGCTCCCTATATAGTATATACGCCTCCTGGCCATGGGGCGGCCGTCCAGGCACCATATGACGCAAAAGTAGTAGAATCACAATAAAATAAAAAGCATGCAGCTAAGCTTTTGGCCTGTCTGGCTGCCTGACAGGGCCGATGACGTCGCTGCCCCGCCATGCCTCGCACGGTCGCACGGCCAGGCTTGCACTCTTTTATCTTTGCAGGCTTTTTTGCAGGCATATGCAGGATGATGTGCTAGACGACAGCGATCGATAGTCTGTTCCAGAAGCTTGTTATTGTTGACGTCGCCTAAACCCACCTGCAATTGACTTTGCCTGTCAACTGGTCCGTCCCAGTCTGATCCGTGGTACGGCTGTGCTTGTTTGGACTCCACTGTAGTACATCAATGGTATTATGCTAATAGCTAACACAGTTGCGAGCAGCATGGATCCAGTCTAGGGGAAGAGGAGCTCTGCGATGATTCTATATGCGGATGCTTCCAAGCTAATTAATGTATCACCTATACATATGTACTAAGCTTGCCGCTCAATCTTCAAATTCTTAAAGGCCCGCGCATTCTCTCGAATAGCCACTTCCACCGGCAGGCGCTCCATGCTACTCGCGCCAAAAAAGCCATGTACCCCGGTCGTCCGGCTGAGCACGTATTCAGCATCTTGGGGCTCTGCAATAGGACCACCATGGCAAAGGACGATGATGTGCGGGTTGATCGCGACCGCCGCATCGCGAATCTCCTGCACGATCGTGACACTGTCATCGAGCGTCAGCGCCGTCGCTGCCCCAATCGTCCCCGACGTCGTGAGCCCAACATGCGCAACGAGCACATCCGCCCCAGCACGCACCATACGCTCTGCCTCGTCGGTGTTGAAGACATATGGCGTCGTCAGGATATCCATCTCGCGTGCCAGGCGAATCATCTCCACCTCCTTGTCATACCCCATTCCTGTTTCTTCCAGGTTCTGTCGGAACTTGCCATCGATGAGGCCGACGGTAGGGAAGTTTTGAATGCCTGAGAACCCAATATCTTTCAGTTGGCGTAGGAATTCGGGCATGCTCCGGAATGGGTCGGTTCCGCAGACACCAGCTAGTACCGGGGTGTTCTGGACGATTGGTAGGATTTCTCGAGCCTATATCTGTATATCAGTGTGCCGGTACTGTGTAGATGTAGACTACCCGCCGTACCATATCAACAACTACCGCATTCGCATCACTATACGGCATCAGCCCAGCCAGAGAGCCTCGACCGGCCATGCGGAATCTGCCCGAATTGTAGATAATAATCAAGTCGCTTCCGCCTTGCTCGACAAACTTGGCGGAAAGACCAATCCCTAATGGAGTTTATTATAAGATCTATTGATACCTAAAGCCTAATGCAGTGATATTGATACGTACCAGCTCCAGCACCGACAATGATTCCGCCATCGGATATGACTTTGCGAAGTCGATTGAGAATTTCGGAGCGGGACGTCGGACGAGGCATTGTCTTGTATTCGCTTTTTACACAAAGTTGATGGAATCTTGAGCGCTTAACGTTGTTCCGTGCAAATTGAGAGGTGACACCGCAGGTGGGGTCAAACCACCGTGGGGTGATATCATAGGTCTCGGCTGCTCCCCATATCAATTGATGTTGTAACAACAAACAATCGACACGCAGACTTCTGATGATATTGTCGAGGTTCAAGTATTTTAAATGAATATAGTATTTTGAGTATATTCTACTTATCATCAGTGTCCATCGCATAATATTGCCTCGACGATACGGCCTGGGTCGACCGTCTGGATCAATCTGAAATCCAGACTGCAAAAATGGCGAAGCCTCTGATCATACTGCTTGGAACGTGCGACACTAAACTCGACGAGACTCTCTTCCTACGCGAGCAGATCCTCAAACCAGGTACGGCAGATGTACTCTTGGTCGACGTAGGATGTCACCCAGTTCAGCATGACCTAATCGATATCTCGAACACCGAGCTTGCCGCTCGTGCATCCAGTAAAGATGCAGAAAATTTGACTCGGCTTCCTCGAGCCGAGTACATCAAGCACACGATTGAATACGCCACTTCCTTGGTCGCAGAGCTCTTTCAGGCAGGCCAAGTCCAGGGCATCGTCTCTGCGGCCGGATCAAGTGGCACATCGCTCGTCACGGCCGTAATGCGGGATGCGCTGCCCGTGGGCATCCCGAAATTAATGGTGTCGACGATGGCGAGTGGAGACGTCAAACATCTCGTGGAAGAAACGGACATTACGTTGATGTATAGCGTCGTTGATATTGCCGGCACCAACTTCATCTTGAATCAAATCTTGACTAACGCGGCGGGGGCCATCCTTGGGGCAGCCACAGTCTACCATCAGAGCAAGCTAGACCAGGGAACAGCTGTCTCGGACAAGCCACAGAAACGGATCGCAATCACCATGTTCGGCGTCACCACACCGTGCGTGGATGCCATCCGATCTCATCTCGAGAAGCACTATGGCTATGAAATCTATGTCTTCCATGCCACAGGCTCCGGCGGAAAAGCAATGGAGCGACTGATTAGAGAGAAGCAGCTTGATGCTGTTCTTGACATGACAACCACGGAGATCGCGGACGAGCTAATTGGAGGGATCCTTTCTGCAGGGCCTGATCGATTAACAGCAGCAGCCCAAGCTGGGATCCCACAAATCCTCAGTGTGGGGGCCTGTGACATGGTGAATTTTGGCCCCAGAGACACTGTTCCCGATAAGTTCGGACATGCCGGACAAAATCGCTTGCTATATGAGCACAATCCGGCGGTGACTTTGATGCGCACAAGTCCGGATGAATGTAGGGAAATCGCAGAGTTCATCGCTATAAAGCTGCGCGATCATGCTGTGCGACCTGACTTGGTGCAGGTACTTTTACCTACCGGCGGAGTCAGTATGATTTCGACCCCGTCGCAGCCGTTCTACAATCCAACGTCAGACGCCGCTTTGTTTGACACGCTAGAAAGCCGGCTAGAGGGGAGCGGTATTGACGTGTATCGTGACGAACATGCAATCAACGACTCAAGTTTTGCTGTGCGGGCGGCAGAGGCTTTGATAGACTTGATCCGACGAGCGGAGTCTTGACAGTAAATTTCTAGTTAGTACCAGCTGGCCATTCGGTACATCATTGATGGATAATGGGAATATATATGAGGGTATAACGGTAGTATAACATATTCAACACTTCGATGTTCAGACATGCGAGTGAATGAATTCGGGGTCTTTATTTGCCCCTAAAAGCTAATTATATATAATATGCAATATGTGCAGAACTCAGACGACCAATCCTATGTATAAATCAAAACGCCAAAATGCAGTCGCTTATTGTGTGGTAGAACAAGGGGGAAAGGTTTGAATAGACAAAAGAGCGAAAGATGATATATCATATCTTCCCGCGGCATCGCCGGGTATCTCAAATTCAGGGTCCATTGGGTCCTTTTTTGCCGAGAGAAATCATAAATGTAAATATCAAAGTAACAGAGAATCCATCAAATGATGGACGAGAGTTGCAGTAATTTTTACTCTCTAGGGGATGATCCACTCGAAACATCATCACCATCAGAGTCAGGCTGACTATTCTCCCGGCGACTTTGATCGAGGCTATTCTGCAATTGGGTTCGGGGTGACAATTGCTCCGGGTCATTGTTTTTGTGGGTTCGACGATGCTGTTTCATGTTGTCCTTCCGTGTAAAGGCCTTGTTACAGATCGGACAGTGTACGCTTTTCTCTCCTGTATGTTTTTTCCCGTGGCGTGCGGCATGACCCGAGGTTGTAAAGGTAGCAGTACAAGAGTGTGTTGCGGCATAAGGGCAGGGGTATTTGTTTTTCTTTGACATCCTCGCCATCTCGGATGATGTGGCATAGTAGCTGCTAGGAGAAGAGGAGGCTGTCGTGCTGATCCGTGGGCCATTATTGCCTTGTAATGAAGACGGACGGGATTGTAGATGTGGCAAAGCATCTGCTTGCGAGTAGGCGGGATACAGCTGTGGAGGAGCCTTCCTCGTCTCTGTAGGGAGCTCCCGAACCTCGGGTGTGAGTAACGAAGTCGTCGGCTGCTGGACATGCGATGGCCAGCCAGACTCGGCTACGGGATAATCGGGTTTGCCATAGCGATTCTCGTAGTTTGGTTTAGATAACGACTCTGTAGTTCGTCGCACCGCGAAGGCAGGATTGTCGTCGTTATTCAGAATCGATCGCATTTTCAATGGCGAACCACCACTCATGAGGCGGGGTTGTCAAATATGAGTGCTCAAAAAGTCCGTCAACGGTGCAACGGACGGGAAAGGCAGGTGGTGGAGAGGATGGAAGAGAAATAGTCTCCGAATGGAATCACAATTCCAATATTCGAGTATTCGCGGCTGCTGCTGTCAAGAGCGAAGTGGCAGTGCAGTGCACATTGACAGTATAGCGAGGAGCGTGGCGCGGAAGCAGCAGGAAGGAGTAGGAACGAGCAGGAACGAGGGGATGGCGACCAGGGTTTATCAAAGCCTCACTCGACGCTAGGGCTGGCAAAAAGGGATCCTTAGGCACCTCCACTGTCATCAGTCAGTCCCTTCCAACGCCCTGGGAGGATCGGGGACAGGCTTCTGCAGTAGGTTTAGGTTTCTTGGGACGATCCACAGGGCACCAGCGATGGAAATACCATAAAGCTGACAACAGCGGTGACGATAAAGACCCAAGTTAACGGTTTCACCTGAAAACACGAATCACGAATCACGAATCACGGAGGCGTCCAGATATGGGCAATAATGGAGCAGGGTCAACTTCTGGTATCAGTCGCTGGCATGGGTGGAGCCGCGAGTCAAGCCCTACGGAGCCAGAGGATCCAGGACGTTGGAAGTGCCCGTACCAAATTTGACAATACGTGTGAATATATAGTTGATAAATGATAACTACGGAGTGCAGAGTATTATATCCGCTAATGGTACGGAGTACGCGGAGCGCGGTCGATACGGACGGAAAACGGAACGATTACGGTTTGGTATTTACGGCTCCACCATGCCATTAGAGCCAGAATTTACGAAGGTGCGTTGGCGCAGGGTCAGGCCGCTCGGTGGTACGGGCAGGCCAATCACCGCCAGTCAAAGCCCGCACTGGGATGCATCAAGGCCGGCTACCAGCAGATCGCAGGACCGTACAATGGCGTACATGCGAGGTCTCCTTGTCAGAGAGACTCGGTTCGGGCTCCCGCTGACTCGCGGCTTTATACGATTTTTCTTGGCTCGTCCACGCAAATACGCTACCAGAATTGCGATTTCGATGAGGTAGATCACCGGCTCGACACCGAAGCCTTGCAACTGAATACATCTACTCCAAAGCAAGGCGCACGGCATTGAAGAATCGACAGGCCGCCAGACACCGGCCACTGCAGTGGAGACTGGGCGGATCGCACGTAGCAGAATCAGCCAGAGTATCGGTACGTATGTACATAGATTACGCGGGAGATGCGGCAACCATAGACAGCATGGTGTCTCCACAGGGAAACATTATGGAGTCATGGACAGTGCGATTTCTCCTTCTCTCCGGGCCACGCGGCCGGGTCCCTGTTGCTCAACAGCCAACGCTGGTTGGGCGTGGCTCGTCATTCCTGAAACAAACAACTGTTGGAGATGTGTCACACCTACTGCAATTCTGTACGCGGAAGTGTTGCTACGAACTTCCGTGGCTGAGGACCGGTGGCCGCAGGATTTCGGCCCTAGCGCGGCCTGGGTTAAAATAAACGGCGCGCCATCCTGCAGGGACCGCCCTGTCTGCCCATCGTCGCCAGCGCGTTAGCATTGATATCATTACTGTGCAGTGTGCGGATACAGGGTACATGTGTGCCACCTCGGCTCGGGCTTACTCCGGCAGCCAACAAGGTGGCAATAGCCCGCAGCTGGAAGTTCGAGAACAATGTGGGTGGAGGTTTGCTGGTTATTGCGGAAACCATACGAAGGAAGAATTTAGAATTTAGGAAAGAGTGTGGATAACACATTAATAATATTCGTAGTAAGTTAATAGCCATTGCAGAACCATGACAAATCTGTGTTGGTGTTGGTGTTGGCCGTGGCCGTGGCCGTGGCCGTGGACGCATCACGCATCCATGCGGAAGGGGCCAGCCCCTGCACAACTTGGCGCTCTTTCCTCGACCCTCGCGCTCGGCATCTGTCCGGCCTCCTCTCTCTCTCCTTTCACAGGTGGCCCTGTCCTTTCTATCCATCACAGAACAAACTCCTTGCGCGTGCATCGCTGTCCTGCACTGACCATCGGCATCGCTGGAAAGGAGAATCTGCCATGGCATCGGCATTTTGTGCATCCCCGCAGCCGACATCGATCCGTCACAATGGTACCACTGACGATGATCTGCCGAGAACAACCACTAAGTACTAACAGCCTCGCAACAGCCTGCACTGTACATGTCTTGTCAACTGCGCCACGTTTCACGGCCAATGTTGCCTGATCCGGAGGTCAGCTGACTACGAATGACAGTGCGCTGTACGCTGTACGGCGTCAAGCCTCGCTTAAGCTTTGAAGGCTTATGCTCAAATCACAGAGACTGAGTCAATGACGTCCACCAGCGGTAACAACGAGACGGCCCCCTTTGGAGAAGAACAATCAATTGACATGCAGAATTACTCGTGACGATGCAAACTAGAGCGGCAGTTGCTGGTGAAGATTTAGCAGCTTGGCAGTGCCAATATCTGGTCCATCACAGGCCCGCATGGACAATCCTAGTGTTTACAGAGCGTAATGCCGATCGCCGCTGAGGGGACCCTGCGGCTTCGTATTCAATACGAACCGGATTGAACGGATGCTGCGGTAAACCTTGTGATTCGCCAATCGACTTGGAAATAACAATAATTACACGGTATCTTACCCTGCCGACGTCCCCGATCTGGTCTGCCTCCCTGTCGGCGCTTTTCATCCACAGAGCTCATTCCGACCCAGCTTTGCGAAAGTAACAACTGTGTGAACGTCTTGTTTGAACGATGGCACTACTTCATTAACTTTCCGTTCGTCGCTCTTCATCAATCGAGTTGATCTGGTCGCCCGCTTACGTCCGTTCGGCACTTGCTCTCCAAAACCCGACTAGATGCCGGACCGTGTGACAGTATGCATTCGTCTTGCAGATTACTAGGATGCTCCAATCTGACCGTACACAGCCTGTCTATCAGGGTCCAGGGTCCCAAGACATGCGCTTTTTCCAAGTTGCATTCCTTTCAGGGTCTAACCCTGGTATTAGTACGTATTACACACTTAGTCGGACCAACTCCGCGGATTACATCCGCTCGAAACCCTGACATTGTGAATACTAATCATTAATAATGACTTATTAATAATTCCGCCTTCCTTCCTGAAAAACTCAAGCCAATCCTGACTAGGTGTACGATGATCTAACTTCTAAGGAAACGTGCAGCAGCGTGCTAGCAGCCCAAACCGGCCGTGTTGGATCCTTCGGCTCCTCTTTGTGGGGTTGAAGGCCTGAGTCTATCTGCTACCACTCCTATTTTTCCATCGTCTGAATAGTTCGACGCTTGTCAAATTCTTCTTCTTCCAAAAAAGGCAAAAATTATGGCCCTAATTGATCGGCGATTTCCCAATCAAGCTCGCTGCATACTCATCTGATAAACCCGCTCCAGGGCCTCCACACCATAGTGCCTGTGATGGACGAAGGATCAATCATGTGACGGTATGGAAGACATATGTAGCGACATACTGCGAGCCCGTCGTCTGTCAGGCTTCAGCTAAGAGTAATAAGCGTGGCTGTAGGATTTAAGACGTGGACTGACGATCTTGTTTCATCGTCTCGGCCGGATAACTTCTCACCCGGGCATCACTCTTCACCCCGATTCTGATTATCATTATTATTACGGGGATGGCAGCCAAAGTCTCAGGGTCGCATTTAATATTCAATCTGACACAAACCTAGGCAGACACATTATTTCACGCACCCTCCAAAGTCAGGGACCGGAAGGCTGAGACTGGAGTAAGGCTTACCTGACTGAGCACTTGTCGCAGAGTTCCCGACTCGTGGGTCAAAGTTTAATAGATCGTGGAATCATGGGTGGCTCGTTACAATTAGCGCCAACCTTGAGCGAGTCATTGACTTTCCTATTTTGCTCGGATTTTCCTCGGATCTTACGCCGCCTCAATCATTCGTCTGCCAGTTGGAGACTGATAATATCATGGTATTATTTCAAGGGGGATAGAAGTAACATTTTTGAAGGACTACTAATTTACTCATATATTGAATGTCAACTAGCATCGTCTGACGTACACAATGTTCTGAGAAAAAAACTGTACGTAGATACTGTAATTTTACACAAGCACATTACGGTGTAAGATTCAGTATGTAACAAACACCGAACTTTCGCGGCTTTTGGAACTTCCACGTGGTGCGGGTACTCACCTCTGCGATTGTCCCTTGATATGACTCTATTTCGGAAAAACTTTTGCTGATCGATAACGGCCCCCATTCAATAGTTTATTAGGCTTCCATGCTTGAACTTATTCATGATTATTTATGTAAATAATTTCCAGCATTATCATTTGCGGCTTGGTCAGCTATTATTAATAGGACTTGATACCTAAGTAGGTTCAAAGTCATTGGGGAGCCGATATTTTCGCCTACGTCTATTATTATCCAGCTTACTCATAGCGATATTCAGGTCTAAGTTAATTATTCTCGTGCATGTATCATCATCGTGTGTAATCTTCTTGTTCCAGCCCTTCGCTTGGTAATGCAAGCAGCAGTCGAAAATGGGATCTAGCCCGCTGGACAATTAGGGGGAAGCCCGGTGAAGCGCATTTAAATTGGTATCTGTTAATGATGTTGGATTGTTGGCTGTTGGCTGTTGGGCTGGTGGCCGAAGATCTGCAGGGAAGTAATAACATATCTGGTATGGTCGCACATACTAGGGGCACTGTTCTAGTTGTATGTAAACTACTTGTAGCCTATTTTTGACTATTTTTGAATACTATGTGAAGGTCAGCCCGGATACGACGAGGTAGTTACTGACAACATCACCAGACTTAACAGTTTCACAGTATGAATGTTGGTACTAGAGGGTTGGATATTAGGTTTGTGGGATTGTTAATGTTTCACTCTGAACCATTGGTTGTCAATACTATCGAGACTTGCTTGTCCCCATCGAACTTTGAATAGTTAATGCAATGCAACTTGATACTGTCCTACTTGTATTGACGCACCCATTAAATTATTGAGATGGCCCCTGTACGGATATGCGGACTTCCCAATCAAGTCAACTCCCCTGAAATAGCGATAACCCGCGCGTCGTCCACTAACGAATCCTTTGGCTGTCACGCGCAGAAGAACACTATCTACTAGAGAGGGCTATAACTTAGTTTTCCAAGGTTTTGCTATGGCTAAATAGCATTATTGGGTAGAGTGCAAATTCTCATCGATCTTGCTCTGACTTGTGAATAGGAAGAGAGTATACAATGTACATGAAGTTCAGTTTCGTATCGAAATATCAGAAATAGTTGACGTTTCTGTTCAGTGTGATGGTAGGTACTCGGCCATTTCGCCGAGAACTTTTACTTCCGACATATATTTGTTGAGAGGCATATCTTTAATTACCCATAGCAGTGTACTTTAAATACTTTGGACTCACTAAATCAGTTTCTAAATAGTGTAGAGTCTACATAGCCTTGATGTTAGTTTGCATTTTGGTGAAACGTCATATGTGCATGGCTACGAGTATAGTAACTATCTGTTGGATCTAGCAGGCTTTAAGGTTAGTTATCAATTTGTATAACTTTAGAATTAGTTCGGTTTGTCTGTCTTATGCAACTGTGTTGCCTGCTTTATCGTCCCTTTTACGGTAATTCCCCGTCTTATCCGATATCTTTATTTATATTGGATTGGTCATATCGAGTTTCCATAACATTGTATCAAAAACCCGCACAGTTTCGACATCTTGTAGGGTTCGAGCTTTATCAAAGATATGAAATCCGCATCAATGAAGGACACCTGCGAGCACAAATGCAATGCCATCGCCACTACAGCCAGTGACGAGAATGTTTGGTTTGGAAGATCGAATATCTTCTGCAAACATAAAGCTTCTCCTCTATCTATCAGTCAGACTGGTTGGAGCTTAAGTACTTCATACCATGTGAAGCGTTTTACTGAGGTGTAAAAAAAGAATTATAGCGGCCGTAAAATCAATACTACGTAATAATGATGGTAGGCAAGTATCGAGCAAACAAGCAAGGTTGATAACTGACAATCGTCAAATACTCTCTCCCCCGTATAATATTGGCCATTACCATTAGCATAGGGATCATTTCGGCAAGGCCAGCTACATTAATTCATATAACTAGAAATTGTTAGCCTCCAAGTGCCCTAATTACCATAGAGAACAGAGAAACCTGTACGGGGTTATTCCAAAAGGGGTAAAACTTAGATGTTTCCTAAAGCGGGAAGGCGGGATTGATTTCCACAGACATGATGTCAGACTGAGATACTTGTATGAAAGCGAAAAAGAAATTAAAGAAGAAAGACCCTCGCACATATTTTCTCCTTGTACAATGCGAATTCCGTATTTCTCTGCACAGCTTTCAAAAAGAGACCAGTTAAAAACATAATCAGGCTAGCAGAGGCGTGAGTCACAGAAACAGAGCCCTTTTATTAAACATAGCAAAATCTTTAGAAAAGTCATCCCTAGTATCCAAAAGCATGTAGATATAATACAGATGCTATTTTTTGACTTTCAAGAGACTCTGCTTAAGATATCATACCATCGTGAAACTGCCGCTTTCCTGGTCTCATATGGATCTGGAGCGGAAGTATCCGCTGCTTCAATTAACCACCGATCAAAAGAAGCTGTATCTGCTTCTGTTCTGCTTAATCTGAATCTGAGGCAATGTAGTCTTCTGATACTTCAGTTTCAATAAAAACCGTCAACCATGCATGATCATCGTTCCGGTCAATGATGATATCAAATGGGTTGATATCAAGTCAAAGAGCAGAAACTCCATGACGGTGCAGTTCTCTCCCGATTTGAACCACCTGTTCCCGCCATTTAGCGTGATTCGGCTCTTTACTCGCAGAGATATCACTGGTAGTACTTGGGTTCGAGTTTACGAGGCGGAATCCATCAATCCATTCCAGAAAGATTCCCGCCACCTGCTCTCCATCTTCCTCCTGCGTGTCAGAGGCAGGAGTTGTTACTATCAGATAGAACGCCAAGCACCTTCAGAATGCGAGCGGAAGTATTACTGAGGGGAATTTGCAGAGAATGTAGAAGAAATAGGAAGTAATCCACTTGGGTGAATCATTGACATCAACGAATCCAGGCCCTTCTTGTGAAAACAACCTATTTATAAAAGCTCGAGCTTGTTCCTATATCCTCTGACTTGAACTGTAGAAATAACTCTATGTGTTTAAAAATAGTCAAGTCAATATGTTTCTGAGGTGGCCAAAGATTCATGTGTATCATCCCATCCCATCCAACGCAAGAGCGCTACTAACCGCATAGCAAAGAACGAAATATAGTCAATGCTCGTACTCCGTTATGCGGCAATAATTGAATCAGACGAAGATGTTTGTGTTTACTCAGGACTATTCTCTGCAGCTGCGGCACCAGCATTCGTAGAGTCTCTCACACCTATCATTGCCGGATTCATCGTAGCTAGGCAGAAGCCGACTACTACTACTGCCCTGAATAAAGAAATTAATCCTGCAACGGATTGCTCTTTTTTTTGTTTGTTAGCCCGCTCTAGGTCCAGTCGCGCTAATTAATTTTCGTGAACCTCCCGCATCTTCCGTCATTCCTATTGGAAATGAGCGTCGTCTGGCATAGTTGCACATCACTAGTCAACTAGCATAGATTGCTTATCGAAAAAGTTCTAGAACGATGCAAATCGTTAGGACTATGTAACTTGGCTAATAATCCGTAATAAACTGAAGAAATAATAATTTGTCAACAGACGAACTAGGACCAATCATTGATTGATTTGAGATTTGTGAACAACTCAAAGAAAACGAGGAACCGAACGAGAAAGACCAATCTCAATCCTCAGGTGGGGTATTTTCTACTTCAGTCGAGGGGGGAATAATGATAATTCTAGATCTTCTCAGACTAAGAGCGATGACGTAGAGAGTTTAGGAAGAATTAGAACTATGAACAGAACCCGTACCGCACCTTGGAGTGACGAGCGATTGTAGATCGAATGAGATCTTTGCTTGCAGCGTACGAAGTCTATTCCGATCAAGCCTCAGAAGACATCTGATGGAATTGTTCTTGTCGACTGGTATGCGACAGATGATCTAGATAATCCACAGAACTGGTCTGGATCTAAGAAATGCCTCGTCGCCTTCTTGCTTTGCTTTTATACATGGACTGTCTACTGGGTGGGCCCGATCTACAACACTGCCGAAGGGGGGATTCAGGAACACTTTGGAGTCAGCCCTGTTGCTTCGTCTCTCGGCCTATCCTTGTACGTCCTCGCATATGGGATCGGAGATCTTCTTTTTCCCCCTTTATGCGAGATACCTGTGATTGGTCGGAATCCTATTTACTACCTGACTTTCATCATTTTCTGGATTCTATCATTCCCTGAAGTGGTTGTCGATAGCTTTGGTCATCCGGTTTTTGCTTGGATTCTTCGGCAGTCCTGCTTTAGCGAATGGAGGAGCAACAGTAGGAGACATGCTTAGTGTAATTTACATTCCCTTCGGGTTTTCTGGGTGGGGTTTCTCTGCATTTGCTGGCCCTGCCTTTGGGTCATTGACCGGAGGCTTCGCTGCGCAGGCCAAAGGCTGGAGATGGCCGATGTGGGAAATTGTGTGGATGGCTTCGCCTGCTCTCATTTTCCTTATTAGCTCTTATGCCAGAGACCTCCCCGTCCAATATTTTGTTGAGGAGAGCACGTCGGCTGCGCATGTTGACGGGAGACACTACTCTGCACTCGGATTCCACGGAGCCTATCTATCGGACTCCACGGATTGCGCGAAATGGCCTCCTTATTATAGGGAGCGCCTTTTCTGAATTGACTAGCCCAAACTTCAGAACCACGCTTCGCCCCTGGATTTCGACCAATAGGTGCCTTTCGCACATCATGTGCTGATCTACAATGTCGACAGAGAATGATAGAATGAGATGTCACCGTCTAATTCCCTTCCATATTCTTAAGGTTATCTCAAAAATATACGGTCCTCAACACACCATTGGTGATTGTCGTCGGCGTAGTGACTTGGAGAATCATTATTCTCTACCATTAACCGAGGAAGGCGATGACTATCAGGGTAAAAGGGGTCATCTTTGTAGACCTGAGTACAAGGTGCAAATCCGCTTCGTATGAAGTTGAAGACTCCTTATCTCCCTAGATAGCCCCCCCGCACCTCGGAGGCCAAATGACAGGTTGAAATCTTATCAACAAGGTAACTGTACTGAATCGCCCACATCTGAGGCTTCAGTCTCAAAGTGAAATTAATCAGCACCATATGAAGGCTTTCGATATCCTCTTGACCACGTTGGTCAAACCAATAGAAATCATGATGAAAGACCCGTCAATCTTTTTTGTCAATGTCTACACAAGCTACTTCTATGGCGTATTCTACGTCTTCTTTGAGGTCTTTCCTTTAGTCTTCCCAGTTTTTATGGCTTCAACCTTGGACAGACCGGTCTCGCCTTCCTAGCTTGTCTTGTCGGTGCGGTAATTGCACTCGGCTCCTACCTCGCCTACCTACATTTCTATATGGTACCTGACAATATTAAGAATGGCCTTAGAGAGCAGGAACATCGACTTTTTCCTACTATCATCGGTTCGTTCCTTTTACCCATCGGGCTATTCATATTTACCTAGACCTCGAATTCGAACATTCACTGGGTGGTACCACTTATTGGAGTGGCTATCTTCGTAATGGGACAATTTGTGATCTTTCAAGCTTTGTTCATGTATATCCCACTCTCATACCCGCAGTATACAGCTTCTCTCTTCGCAGGGAACAGCATATGGAGATCGGGTGTTGCTTGTGGCACTATTTTGTTTGCAAGACCTCTCTTCGTTAATCTGGGTACCCTTAGAGGGGTAACTGTGCTTGGGGACTTGACTGTGATGGGTATTCTTGGAACGATTGCTATGTCCGTGTTCGGTAAAAAGCTACGAGCTAGATCGAAGTTTGCTCAGAACTAGTTAATGATGCTATGGACGTCGAAGGCGAGCTCCAGACTGGGTTCTCTTTCATCGCGATTAATATTTATTAATTTCTCTTCAGAAGCATTGATTTTTAGCCCCAAATCACACCATGAAAAGATAAAAGGAAACAATTTGTAGAATGTATTTTCCATGAAGAATGAGAATCAATAGATTTTTTATCCAGCTTATTTGTAGTTTCAATTGCTGAGGCTACGGTTTCCAGATGTAGAATATTTATAAATGATCAAAATTGTGATAAGTCGCCCGCAGGGTAATAACTTGTCAGCCAATTAAGTACCAAGTTAATTACTCTCACAAATGAGGGGACCCCTTTTTGGAGTAGTGGTTTTACGGTCGACATAACTCAACTAATAGATGTTAACGGCAGCATTAAAATTATTTGTTCAGGCGGCCACGATTCAGACCAATGAGAAGCTCGGAAATAGGGCGCACTACCCCTGTGGATCTACACGGGCAGATTAAATCTCCCAGCCATGATATGAAGTTCATAAACCCTACACTACCCGAGACAACACGTTGACCCATTGAACGTTGAAATCACTCCGCGTAGCATCGATTCAGACACTCAACCATGGCGTCCAAGTCGGCGCATCTGGAACAGGATGTGAAATTCATCAAAACCCCCAAGGCTCAACCATCCGCATTTCCAACCGAGGATTGTGGAGTTCCCACAACAAATGTAAACACGACGACAATAATGCCTGGAACTTTTTTCGAATTCCGCTAACCTCACTTACCAGTCTCCCGCCATCCACAATGCACCTCTCCCTGCTGAGGGCGCTGGGAGCGAGAGCTTCTCCAATCTCGTATTGGGCGGCCTGCTCGTAGGCGTTCCAGTGGTCCTAGCACGCCTTGTTGGCGGTGGAATCAAAACCACGATTTTCTTCGGTTTGCTCTCTCTCTTCCCAATTCTGATTGCCTACTGGACGTACAAGTCTTCATCAAGTCCCCCAATCGTTGACAAGGTCAAACTGCCTGGTCGGCCGGTTGAATCCTACATCGCATTCAAGCGACAGGCTGATCGCGAAAAATGGAGTGGAAGGAGCAAAGTGCCTATTCAGACATTTTCCGAAATGTACATCAACGGCGAAGCTGATTTCAAGGGCGACACTCTCGATGTCCTGGAGTACCGACATGACTGGTCTAATTTCAGCTTTACGTGGGATCTTTTCAAGTATATCATCTTCACATTTGGTCCCGATGTTCTCTTTCACACGAAAGAACAGGATATGGAGCAGATTCGCCCCAATTACGACTCTGGAAATGATCACTACGCCTGGTTCCTAGGCCCGCGGATGATCTACACAAGTGGTATTATCTCCGACCCAACACGAGAAGAGACTCTGGAAGAATTGCAGGACAACAAAATGGCCATCGTGTGCGAAAAGCTGGAGCTAAAAGAGGGTGAAACCCTCCTCGACATCGGAAGTGGCTGGGGCACGCTAACCAAATTTGCCAGCGTCAACTACGGCGCTAAAGTCACTGGGATTACTATCGCTGAGAACGGCGCTGCATGGGGTAATGATATTCTTCGAAAGGCCGGTATTCCGGAGAGCCAAAGCCGGATTTTGTGTATGGATTATCGCGATGCTCCTAAGCAGAAATACAACAAGATTTCGCAGCTGGAAATGGGTGAACATGTTGGTGTTAAGAAGCTCACCACATTCTTTCGCCAGTGCTACGATATGCTCGAGGATGATGGGGCTATGTATGTGCAGCTATCTGGTTTGAGACAGGCATGGCAGTATGAAGATTTTATTTGGGGATTGTTTTTGAACAAGTACATTTTCCGTGGTGCTGATGCGTCTACGCCGCTCTGGAATTACGTGCGGTCACTTGAGAGCGCCGGATTTGAGGTTAAGAGGTGAGTGTCGGCCCCCCGTACACAATTTCTGCAACGACTGATACATTATAATAGCATCGATACTGTCGGCGTTCATTACTCCGCTACTATCTGGAGATGGTACCGAAACTGGGTTGGCAACGCCGACGAAGTCAAGGCCAAATATGGTCAGAGATGGTACAGGGTAAGACACTTAATGGTTAAATTTCAAACTCCGATAGCTAAAAGGTATAATTCTTTTTCTAGATCTGGGAGTTGTTCCTTGCCTGGTCCGTCATTGCATCTCGCCAGGGCAGTGCCACTTGTTTCCAGTTTGTAGTGGTCAAGAATCTTAACTCCACTCATCGCATCAATGGCGTTGGTTCTCAGTTTGGGTTGTCCGCTGCTCTTGCTAAGAGCAAAGCGGCTGGCAAATCTACCATAGCTGAGTAAATAGGCAACTTGGACAGAGTCTCCTCGCACGGGGGTTATGTACCGAGCCGAGTGGACGGAAATGATTAGAAGTGATTAACCGGATATTTCGAATCATGAAATATTGACAAGATGTTCTTTGCGATAACACCTTTATTAGACCTTCAAGCATGAAGGTTAGGTGCGGTTCGCTAGGAAGGTTACGAGACATTTAAGTGGATTGTTGAGGAACTAACTTTGATACTACATGATAATGAAATAACTTTTTGAAAGTAATCATACCTGTGCTAGTATTAAATCTATATGCAAGTGAATGAGATAAATATGATATGATATCAGTCAATCCTATTAGCCCGCAATGAATCGTAGTACGTAGTAGTAACACTATTTACATCCAAGTCAAACAAACAAGCAGCTGATTGCCAAGCTCAGAGCTCACAGATGCAATCAGATAAGTTCTCCCAGTTTTCTTACATATATCAAAAAAAAAAAAAAATTGGCAGAAAATGCAATACACAGAATTGCATGTACTTCTTGACAAAATAGTCAAGGAGAGCGTCGCAATGGGTATACAGAAAGGAGCGTATTGGAGAGCGCTCAACGCGTAGTGATTAAGAAAACACGCTTGCCAGCAGGAATGATGCATGCCGATGCAATGATCTGGAAAGAAAGTAAAATAGTACAGTGGATAATGATTTACTGTGCTTGTAGCTGGTACAAGCTACGGCCATCAACGAGTCGTGCACAAACGAGTGTTGTGTGTAGGATAGTCTATTGGAAAGCATAGAAGGCGGAACTTTTGTTGGATCACCAGTGATTTCATGCCGTCATGATCGTTGGTTAGTTGGTTAGAGGATAAGAACTATCGGTCCGCGTGTATGTTCAACCAACTCATATCTGAGTTAATATTGTTGCGGTTAGGACCATTGAAATAGTCTTGATGGAAGATAGCACTAGATCCTCGTGCTTGGGACTGAGCATCAGTCGGTAGAGGTTCGTCGTGCGCTGCTAGCCCATTGCGTGTGCTTGTTTGATACAAGCTTTCAGTATAGTTGCTGCTCGTCGGGCGAGCTGTAGGGTGTGACCAGTATAATGTATCATTGACACTCGCTGGAATTCCAGACGAGAACGCGTCCCGGTGTTCATGTTCATCATCATCCGAGACCGAGCTGGCAGAGTCCGCACTAGAAATCTTGGCTGATTGTCCGTAATGCACCTGGCCACGTCCAATGACAGGCAGACGCTCTGAGATGGGACTCGCAGATGATACCTTGCCGAGAGGACGGTGTTCCTCCAAGCCACCAAGGGTTACTGCAGCTTTTTCAGGAACATGTGGCCACATGCCACCTCCATAGTCTGATCTACTCTCTTGAGAAAGCTCAGAGTCCATTGTGTTGCGAGGAGAGCCCATACCAATATCGGTGGTTGTAGTATCTTGGAAATACTTGCTCCAGCCCTCATTGGTACTTCGATCCCCTCGGGCCTTTTCAGGATCTAAAAAGCGCCTTGTAGGGTCTTGTGTCCCATCTGATTGGCTAGAGAAATTGTCGTTTTGATTCTGCGGTACTAACGGTCGACTGTAAACTTTCTTCTCGTTGTTTGTTACCATGGGTGTTGCCGATGGGTAGTCACTAGCGAACTTCCCAGAAACCATGTAGATAGAATCCACGGCCGATGGAGCGTTGCTTCGAGCCATGGGAACTGCAGATTGTGTTAAAGGCTCAATGCCTTGGTCTTGGAAGCTCAGCCGGTCTTTGTCATCAGAACCGTAGCGCCCTTTGTTCGTCGGTTGCTTCTTTCGGTGGAGTCGGCGCAAAATCATGAGCAGGATGATCAATATAATGACTAGGCCGGCCAAAGCACCTAGGGTCACGCCGACAATAAGACCGATATTACTATGGCTACCACTCGACGCTGCCGCCGTGGTAGACGCTGATGCCGTCGCTGTTGTTGTTGTTGATGATGAGGTGGTTGTTGATGTTGCTGTGGGTGCAGTTGATGTCGTGGTGCTACTGGTGCCTAATGGTTGTTGGAGGCCGGCATTCATCCGACTACCGAATAGAACTTTGTTATCAACCCAGCTGTTCTCGGTCTGGTTGAAAACAGTAACGGGATCACTATCACTTCCTCCAGAAATAACCACCAAGCCATTGTCGGACTGAGCTATTGAGAAACCTGTCCGAGAAGTTGAAGGCGCAAAAGTACTGTTATAGGCCGGCAGGTTGCCCCAGGCTCGTTTGTTATTTTTTGATGATGAGCTCCCCGTAAACACCACAGGTTCGCCAGGTGATGCGGCCGCACCGCCTGAAGATGTCAACGCAACGTATGAGACGCTGTTTGGGGACGCGCTCATATTGAATATTTCCAAGAATTTGCTACCGTCACTATTGGATTGCAAAGCCACCCCATCATGACTAGAGATTCCCGCGGCCAGGGAAATCCCAGATGTGGCCCAGCCACTGCCGGCATGATAGACAAAGACGTCTGTGTTTGTATCCATTCCGCCCACATAGAGTGTGGTTTCGTTGTCCCAGGTAAATAGGCTTGGGCGAATTGCAGGTGGTGTGCCATCTGCTGAACGTGATTCAATCCCAATGGCACCTCCAGCCATAGTGATTTCAAATGTAGATGTAGAAGCATCGTAATTGCTGTCCTGCGAGCCTGCATAGACTAGAATCGAAATGCTTCCAGATAGGTATGAAGCGCTATGGTTGACACGGTTTTGAATTTGGGTTGTTGGAAGAGTAATAGTTTCCCACTTCTTATCAACGAATGAGTATCTTTGGAGGCCATTATATGTCGAGTTGTCGGAGCTTCCACCCACGACGAATAAGCCTTGGTGGTCTGGATTTCCATCGACACTTCCCTTAACACATGCAGCGCCAGTTACCGATTGGCCCATATCCAGCTTCGTCCAGTTTGCATTCTGTTCCAAAGGTAGCATCATAAGTGCCGAGGGTGTATAGACATATAAAGAGTTATCGTAGACGACGGAACAATGCCCGCTAAGGGGCGAGGGTGGCTGCGGACTCGACATGGTGGAAGCTGGCCACGGATATTCCTGAGAGAAGGGGTAGGTATTATCGATTATGGAGTGAGGACGAGTGTTTGTGTCGGAGCTACGAGTCTCTTATTGCATGATTTAACAATTCGTTTTAGTCGAAGCTAAAGTGGATGAGAAAAGAGCGAGGTCGATGAAGTGTACGTATGCCGGTAATAGTTCAATGAGAGACTCGACAGCTGTAACAATGCATTATCAGCTAATGGAATAGTTGGGTTCTCAACGTAAATGAACAGTTCGATCCAAGGGAAAGCACTACTGGCGACGATATGCCAAGATCTCGTGCCCAAGATCCGATAGGGAACACGATGAAGATATTGCAATGGCGAAATTCAGAAATGGCCTGATGATAAGAAACATGCAGGACGCTCGTAGACAGATTGGGGTACTGCACGAAGAAGCGAAGCGGAGTGACGAATCCAGCAGTCAGGAATGAGAATTGCTCTATTCTCAGGGGGGGGTGATCCACCTTCAAGGTCGAAATCGAAAGGAAAGAGAAGAAAGGAAGAGGAAACAAGGAGTGGAAAGGGTAGGGAGATACGAAAGGCAAGAGGCAGATGCAGATGCAGCGACTGGCGGCAGAAGCAAAGGAGACAAAAAGCAGTTGGGCGAGACAAGAGGGAGCGAGCTGGCCTCAGTTGGATGGCCTGACGGGGTTAGTTAGAACTTAGGGGAGGGGACGTTTTGGTTTAGCCGTTTCGGAGCAAGGCGCAAGGAGAGCCAGGAAGAAGCCAACCAAAGTGAAACGCCCGGCGGTAGCTAGGATGGCACTAGTAGGAGACTAGCAGGGGGCTCGCAGCCGCTTCTAAGCCTGTACAGGGTAGACTATGCTACTTAGCCCGAATGCGGCAGTCGCCATGCAGGCACAGTGGTCAATGGCGTTGCCGGCCCTGTGGTCCATAACGTGCGCAGAACACAGCAATAAATGATATTTACGCGTAGGCACCGGCAGCATCGCCTTACGAATTATTGAGGGCCTTGTACGCAGCCCCGGTCGTCCCCTATACAAGATAAATGCTATTTGTCGACGTCGGCCAGTAAGCAACGCCTCTGGCCCCTTTCGCGAAAACTCGCTTGTCTATTCGCCCTTTGTGTCGAGGTTTATGTCGACGATCCGCGTGAGATCAGCCATTAGGCTTACGTCCTGAAGAGCGCAGTGTGACATCTGGTGGCACATCCTCGCCCCCAAGCTGTCAGTCCGTCAAGTCCCGGAGTATAGAGTATGTCCTCTCTGTGTTGACTACGAGTCTGTCACTTCAGTCACCTTGGTTCACCAATCCGATTGAGTAGAACAGAGAGCGGGGCCAATGAGAAGCCCCATGCAGGCGCCGCACCGACGCCACCTGCACTTTGGCAAATCAGAAGCAACGGAGGTCGGTGGTATTGTGCAGGATCAGGCAGGGAACTCCTAGTGCAGCAGCCCGCGGTGATTGGTGCGGTCCATTCAGGGACCGGCTAGAGCATGCACGGTAAGCCTTCGTCTCAGGCACCGTGCTGGGCTGATTTCAAACAGGGCCAATAATTTCCATCAAATGCTACGCGCTAGTGCCGAACAGGATGCTGTGTCAGTGTGCCTGCCACTGGATATGACCTGCATCGCCCCACATCTCCCGCTTTAAAATTGTCCCAGCACGGAACACCTTCCATCCCATCACGGATTTGATTCTGCTATGACCATCAAGGTTGTCGCATCATACAGCTGGTAACAAAAACCATAATTCCATCAATAATAAGTTACAACTATATATTATAATATGAGCAACGAATCGGGCCTTGTACCCTGCTATTTGTGAAAATGCATTATCAAGCATCACCTACCAAATCTGACTCTCCACCGGCCGAGACAACTACGTCATCTTCCTTAGGGGTTGCAACTCTGACGCTCCAGAAGACCTCCTTGATGCGACAACTTGGATGATCTACACGCTCTATACTCGGCAGCTCTGGTTATCGTTGCAGTTGGAGTTGCCAGCCTATGGTAGATTAGATAAGCTATCCAAGTATCTGATATGTTCCAGCTCCTTCACGGGCCCTCTGTCATCGCTTTCACCCGCCCCTCTTGCGTGATGATTGATGCTGGGGGCCTCGGGCAGAATACGCTCTAATTTGACCAGTCTTATGCTCCGGTCATCCAATGTGCGGGGCATCATTGGTGACAATTAATTCTGACGATATGTAGTAACGGTGGTGCCGACGCAACGTTGAGGCTAAAGATAGATATACATATATTCATAATAATTGTGGCTGGTCGCCCCTTCATGTTTCAACCGTCAATTGACGACAGACGTGAGGGGGAAATCGTACCAAAGATTTGATTCCTCTTCTCTCAGGAAACAATATTATCCGTTCTTTTCACTTTTCTCGATTGCGCGTACGCAGGAACGTATCATTTGTTGGTTTGGACAGACTGCTAATTGCGCTTCTTGAAACATTCGCGGTTCATGGTAGCTTGCTGGTCTCCGGCTCCACTAACAAAACCTAGAACTTTGTGCCTACAACTAAATATGGTAAATGCTAATGATAGGCTAAAAAGGCCATGCGAATAAAATGTATACATAATTATACCATCGTCCTAGTTTGTATGAACTGTATAAACAACGCCATTGGACTGGATGGATGGTGGATTGCGGTGATGACTTTCGGTCATAAAATCAAGGACCGAGTTTCATGCAACACTAAATCAGACTTAATAGGATCTCCGGCATCTCATACTGAGCATCAGCACGAGAAGTCATATGCTTACAACGCCTGTATACATCCCGGTGGCTTATATACGAAAGCCATGAATGTAAGCATCAGCTCTACCCTTGCTGTTGTTTCCATGCGTGTGCGCGTTGCAAAAGTCGGGACAAATTTGCTGCCGAGGCATCGTCCGCAGGGAAGACATAATCCATGTACTCTTCGTAGCGGTCATCGTCCAACTTGCGACGCTTCTTGACTCGGCGAGGCATCTGTTTTTCAATGGCCGCAAGGTCCTCTGCAGATCCGTGTGTCTCTTCGAATGCCTTCCATGCATTCAACAAATCCACACGCTGTGACGATGTTAGCCAGAGCCCAAGAAAACACAATCTCCAGGATCACACTTACCTCCTCCTTCAGATCCTTCTCCTTCATAACCTTGTTGGCCCGCTCAAAGATCTTGCGCGCCCGCCTCTTTGCTTCTTCGCTAACCGGTCGTTCCTCATCCTCCTCCTCTTCCTCTTCGCCTTCCGGAATATTAATCTCAAAACGAGCATAGTTGATCCAGACTTTAACGTGATCCGTTTTCTGAAGTAACCGTTCATACAATTCTCGAGTGCGGTCATACTCTCCTTCGTACTCCTCGAAATCGATATATGCTTTCCACACAAGTTCCGGCATATCCAGTAACGCTTGATCAATACCCAATTCGAAGATCGCCCGAGCACGTTCCAAATCCTCCAGGCCACGCTCTAATTCGGCAAACTTAATCCACGCCTGGCTATTTGCTGGGTTCCACTCGATGTGCTTCTCGTAGAGTGTACGGCACCGGTTGAACTCAAAAAGCTGTCGTTCCAAATCGATATACCCTCTGAACAATTTGTCCTTTGGGCACATGCCGATCGCTTGACCCAAGGTTTTCCGCGCGGCTTGTAATTCCATCTGTCGAATTTCAAATTGGGCTTTCATGAGCCAAATTTTAGAGAAAGTAAATTTCTTGTGTGGAATGAGTTTGAGACATTCCTGGTAGATCTGTCGCGCTCGTTCAACGTCCTTCGCTTCCATCTCTTCCCATAATGCGTAAAAGATCCAGAGGTAGATGTATCTTCGCCAATGGCGTTTCTCTTGTGAAGGTGGTATCTGGGCAATAGCTCGCTCATAGACATCGCGAATGCGCTCTGCATCACCGGATGTCTCTTCAAGTCGGGCAAAGTCAAACCACACATCGTAATTCCGAGGGTTTTCCTTGACCTGCTCTTCGTATTGAACTCGGCGTTTGGCAAGGATAACATCTTCAACTCCCTCCCGATCACCGAATTGTTTCTCAAATGTCGTGTAAGCCTGGTGTAAGGTCACCGATTTAGAACGAGGTAGTCGATCAAGGGCAAATTTGTAAATCGCACGAGCCCGTTCATATTCTTTGAGCTTTGCTTCATACTTGGCGTACGTAATGAAAATCTTCTCATCCATGAAGTCGTCCCCCAGGGTTTCAATCGCAAGTCCATAGACTTCTCGTACCAGATCACTTGTTCCAAACTCCTCCTCGAACCGGGCCCACTTGATCCAGTTTCGTGGCTCCGGGTGGACAATTGTGAAGCGTTGGAAGATGGCCCTGGCACGGTCGAATTCGTTATATCGTTTCTCGAGTTTGATATACGCGCTCCACGCGCCCTCATCAGGCTCCCACGACATCCAACGCTCAAACACCTGGCGTGTACCAGGAATGTTGCCCAATGTCTCCTCCATATAGACGTACTTATACCACAGTTTATCTACTCGTGGTAAAATCGTCACAGCCCGATCAAGCAAGTTTCGAGAGTGATTGATGTTTCTACTTTTCATCTCTGCCTCGATGTATCGAATCCATAAGACCACCGAAGTCGAATCCACATCCAACGCCCGTTCGAAAATGGAGCGCGCTCTGCGGAACTCTTTTTGTTCCAACTCCCATTGCGCATAGCGCATCCAGTTGTTCATATTAATCCGGTTGCGCCGCACATAGTCTTCAAATTCCTTTCGCTTACGTCCCTGGTATTCATGTAGTTCTTCCAAGTCAGCGAAGCGCTGGGTTGGCGCTTGAAGTGCAGTCTCTTGTCTGTCGACTGCTTCGCGAAGCAGCTGCTCTGCAGAGATTTGCACAGGCGCAGCGGCCTTGTTCTTGACCCTCGGGGGTCCTCGTGAGGCCTCCATGGCGGCGAGAGAAGAAAATGCGCAGTGTCGTCCTTCAGGGTTTTGCCGACTTCTATCCCTCAAAGCCGGCCAAATATGCCACGCAGCCTATGTCTGTGTCTTGTATCAAGCTCTTTTCAGCTTGGCAATAGCGCGCTTGGACGCTCTGAGGCTGATAGCAAGCACTTGCACTTGTCCTTCAACTGCAGTAGGAAAGCTACCACCCGTCGTTCTTGCCTCCCGAAATTATCATGTGGGTCGGGTCCACTTGCTGTACTTAGTCACGTGACAGCTATTTTCTATGCTTCTAGTCTCCAGCGCCGCCACCACTACTGATAGCTGCAAAAATCACTACCACTAGATCTGGCCTGCCACTTCCGCCAAGATGTCGGCCGCTGAAGATCTTCTGAGAGATTTTGAGGACTCCGACGTGGAGGATCTCGCGGATGATGTGAGCAATGGAGTGGAGGAAATGGAAGACGTCACTGAAACAGCGGAGGAGGCTGGTGAGGAGGATGGCAGAGTCAAGAATGACTTCGAGGTTGCCATGTCAGCGGCAGATGAGCTTTCTCGACTACATAAAGTCTTACGAGATCAATACTCGATCCGATTCCCCGAGCTCGAAACCCTCATTACGAATCCTATCAACTACGCCAAAACAGTAGCCATCCTGAGGAATGGCCCGCTCGACAACATCAAACAGCTATCGACCTCGTCCGACAACATGGTCGGCGCGCCGCTCAATACTGTTCTCGATGGCCCCTCGTTGATGGTAGTCACGGTCGAAGGCACATCTACGCGGGGGCGGGAGATGACTGAGGCCGAGCTTCAAACTGTCCTCGCTGTTTGCGAGAAGATTCTCAAACTCGATCGCGAAAGAACTGCGCGCATAGAGAGTGTTCAGTCTCGCATGACTGAAATTGCACCAAACCTTACTGCTCTTGTCGGGTCCCATACCGCAGCACAGTTCTTAAACCAGGCTGGTGGCCTTCTGGAGCTTGCTAAAATCCCCGCCTGCAATCTCGCAGCTCAAGGGTCTAAAAAACAAGAAGGTCTAGGTTTTGCTACGAATGTAGGAATTCGTCAGCAGGGGTTCCTCTATCACTCTTCCCTTATCCAAGATATCCCGAACGATGTCAAGCGTCAAGCAATGCGCATTGTGTCAGCAAAGATGGTGTTGGCTGCACGAGCAGACGTCGCCCGAACCAGCCCGGATGGATCGATGGGAGAGCAGCTCAAGCAACAGTGCTTCCAACGATTAGACAAATTAACCGAACCACCACCAAACAAGGGACCTCGAGCCCTACCTGCACCGGATGACAAGCCAGCGCGAAAGAGAGGTGGTCGACGCGCACGCAAGGCCAAGGAGGCTGTGGCAGTGACAGAAATACGCAAAGCCCAAAACCGTGTTGCCTTTGGGAAAGAGGAGCAGGAGGCTGGCTATGGTACCGGCGATTCATCTGTTGGTTTGGGCATGCTCGGCCAGCAAAACGACGGACGTATCCGCGCTACTCAGATCGATCAACGTACTCGAGCTAAGCTTAGCAAATCTAACAAGGGCTGGGGTGCTGCCACCCCTATCGGTGGTACAGCGACATCTCTCCGTGGGCCTGGGAATGCGACCGTCCTGCAAGGCCTGCGCACGTCCGGGGTCGGGACATCGCTCGGGGCGCAAGCTGGAACAGCTAGTTCGATTGCTTTCACGCCTGTTCAAGGCCTCGAGCTGGTCGATCCCAAAGTGCAAGCCGAGCTTAACCGCAAACGCAAGGCTGAAGAGGATCGTTGGTTCAAGGGCGGCACCTTCACACAGGTCGGCGGTCAAAGCAGTGCAAGCAATGGAGGCTTCAAGGTGCCAGACGTTCCTGCGAAAAAGAGAATCGATATTGGTGAAGGCAAGATGGCTCCGCCACCGTTGCCTGTCAAGAGATGAGCATCTTTGTGATAATACTGCATTTTACTCTGGCGTTTGGGTGATATCGAGCCCATGACTTGATGATACCACTTTCGTGTATTTCTGTATTGATTACTTCAGTTCATAAATCATATTCAACATTTAAAACCAGTCAAACATCATTATGTATTTCCCATAAGCTGATAATGATTCCAAATCATATATATCTATATATATTTATGCCAGACCCACTCGTGGTGTTATTGGTGGAAATGCAACCCTGATGGCGTGCTCAAGCGTCTCAGCGAAAGAATCGTAATAATAAGCATAATAATAGAATATATCGCAAACTCGTGCCAATCGTAGCTATTGGAAGAAATATCTCGTCGGCAGCGGCGCTTCCGCGTTGAGAGCGGCTGATCTTCATCTGTCAACTGATCTGACAGATGCCTGGTATATAAATCCTGCTGGGACCCCGCCCAAATGCTTGGAGAATTTAGCCTTTTTTCTAAAAAATTTTTACCCTTTTTTCTCTTTTCAAAACTTGATCTTTGTCACCTCAGTATTAGGGTCAGTATCCTAAAGCAAAGGGCAAAACCGGAAGCCAAACGTGGCTACTATACTAGCCCTATCTCCAGGCAGGACAGGCCTGCATTCGCCTGGCAGGCCCAAACACTCCGATATGGAGTGTGACCGCTCCATATCTCGTGTTTGTTATCTACGCTTTAGCTCAGATTGGACGGCCGCATGAAGGATGCACCTCGGCGCTTTCAAATGTTAGTTTCCGTTCTGGCGATCTCGACGATGCCGGCCAGTTCAACAGGATGAATTCAGGTCAAGAACTCGAGCACAGTATGAACTGACAGCATGGATACTCGGCTGATGGCGTGCTCGCCCTTCCCTGGGTCGACCACACCGCCCGGATCCACGCCGTTTTCTCTCCCATTCTGCTGGGCGGGCCGTCCCTCAGCAAATGAGATAGCTACGCTCGCTGCCATTTGTCGCCATTTCGAAGGCTTCTTGCTCATCGTCCGGGGCGTGCTATGGGTCGATCAAAGGTGACATCCGCCCCTAAAATGTCGTTTCTGGGGGCTCCCGTGAAATGCGTCCTCGCTTTTCCAATATCTTTTTCCCTTTTCTTCTTACAGTCTCTCCATTTCGCTCTCTTCTTCTCTATCTGCGGCTCTCCCAGTCAGTTGTTTCTGCATTGCATTTCCTCTTACCAGATCGAAAGGTTGATTGTACATGTGGAAGGTGGTCAGTCTATTGTTCTAGCTGGATTTCGCCATCTTAGAAACCAACACAAAGAAGAGCGAAGAGAAGACATTCTTATCAACTACCGTGGTCTCGATTAGTGTGCAGAGCGAGAGGGCATCAAGTATTTACACAGTGTGACAAGCAATGGCTGCCGTTGTCGACACCAGCACAACCACCACAGCAAATCCACCCACTGTCACTCTAAAGGCACCAACCTCGCTCTTCCACCATAGTCTGGTGACAAAGGATTTCGAGCTTCTCAAATTCCATGCTGCTGCGGCCTTGCAATTGCAATTTGGTGAACAGCGCCACGAGCACGCTGCAACCTCGGATGATCGATTAATTGCCTCGCCATACAATGAACCGCTGAATTTGCTCGATCTCAAGCGCCTCGACACGCCTAATCAGCTCTTTGCAAAGGCATTGACTATCTTCAAGCCCATTCGCGATGACTACGCAACTGCGCCATACGTTGAATCCTTCAACTGGCAGGGAGTAGTTGATTTTCTGCGTGATCTCTCTGCTGCTGAGGGCAACCGTTGGAAGAAGCAAGCGTTTTATCTAGTCAGCTTTCGCTCTAAGCTGCACCCAGTCATCGACGATCAACGACTACATGACCTAGATTACTACTCTCACCAAGAAGCTATCGCCAGTGGGGGGCTGCTGAAGTATTGGTTTGGCACCAAGAACGAGGAACACCGGAACCTAGCAACTTGTATGTATTGTCTACGGCAGTTTTTCTTTTCTTCTTTTCCCCTTGAATATATCTAACGTTCAATAGGTGTCTGGAGAAGTAGGGAGGATGCGCGAGAAGGAGGTAAAGGGCCCTGGCATAGGCAGGCCCGAGCTGCTGTTTCCATGTACGAGACCATCGTCTTTAAGACCATGAAACTAGTTATTGATGACGATGCTTCTTCGTGGGAAATTGAGGACTGGACGGGCGAAGACGCTTAGATAATGATCTTCCCTATGACGCTTTTACGACCTGTTTTATTTTAGCATGTTTTTGCTTTTTCCTCTTGTCCCGGGGTTTTGTGTGCCTCAGGCAGGCATTGATTTCGCATTGCATTCAACTGCATAGACATTGGCATTCTCATCCTGATACTGTTGGCCGTCGTTGGGGATGACTTGTCAAGCCTCGCTAGAATCCGCCGAATACACCTATTCGATAGATAGACGCAATAGAATTTATAATTATGACAACGCTTATCCAGCGTGTTTGAATTGCATGAGAGAAAGATTGCGGGACCGTTCGCAGTTCTCTGCGATAGCAGAATAGCATTTGTGTTGCTGTATACTCAGCCTTGGCGAAATACAAGTCCTCGGACTCCGAAACGGCTGTTGGTAAAGCCGGAAGCTGTCCAGCAGAACTCGGGCACCAATGACCAGCGACGACAATGCGAAGCACACGCCGGGGTTGTTGAGAGAGCGATACAGGCTGCGCGGCCCCTCGAATTCGTGGGGCCCAGTTGAGGCCGTTGCTGGAGTGTGGCCATTTGACTGGCGAAAAATCAGTGTATAGGATACTAAGAATCATAATGCGGATGGTGGAGCGCTTTGCTTCGGACACCGCCCTCGCCCTTGCCCCTCCTTCCTCCGCTGCGGCGGCAGCGGCTAGTTAATTAATACTTTGCTTCCCCTCCTCTTTTCTCCTGCTTCCTTTTTTTCTCCCCTTCTCATCCATCCTTTGCCTATCACCTCTACCCTCACGTAAGTCTACCACTCCTAGAGGAGAATGCAGCATTTGACAATTCCATCTAACAATTGTGTTCAGCTTTTTAGAATCTTTTTTTGCCCCGAGAAAATTCACAATGGCCGCCCCCGCTCACAAGTTCAAGGTCGCTGACATCGTATGTACCTCGTCGGAGATCCCTACGCCTTCGAATTCCCATTAACCATGTAATTAGTCCCTCGCTGCCTTCGGGCGCCGCGAGATCGAGCTCGCCGAGGTTGAGATGCCTGGTCTCATGGCCATCCGCAAGAAGTATGCTGCCGACCAGCCTCTTGCCGGTGCTCGCATTGCCGGTTGCTTGCACATGAGTACGTTTTAGTCCCGGTCGTTATCGAAACACGTCCTGTTTAACACCCTCTTAGCCATCCAGACTGCCGTCCTCATCGAGACTCTCACTGCCCTCGGTGCTGAGGTGACATGGACCAGCTGCAACATCTTTTCTACCCAAGACCACGCCGCTGCCGCCATTGCTGCTTCCGGTGTTCCTGTGTAAGTTATCCCAAGGTCTACAGTGTGTGGGATGAGTTGAGCTGATAGATTTTCGCAGCTTTGCTTGGAAGGGCGAGACCGATGAGGAGTACGAATGGTGCTTGGAGCAACAGCTTACTGCCTTCAAGGATGGCAAGAAGCTCAACCTTATCCTCGACGACGGCGGTGATCTCACTGGCCTCGTCCACAAGAAGTACCCCGAGCAGCTCAAGGACTGCTATGGTATCTCCGAGGAGACTACCACCGGTGTCCACCACCTTTACCGCATGCTCAAGGAAGGCAAGCTCCTTGTTCCTTCCATCAACGTCAATGACTCCGTCACCAAGTCCAAGTTCGACAACTTGTACGGCTGCCGTGAGTCTCTCATCGACGGTATCAAGCGTGCCACCGATGTTATGATTGCCGGAAAGATCGCTGTCGTTGCCGGATACGGTGACGTCGGCAAGGGTTGTGCCCAGGCCCTGCAGAGCATGGGTGCCCGTGTCATTGTCACTGAGATCGATCCCATCAACGCTCTTCAGGCCGCAGTCTCTGGCTTCCAGGTCACCACTATGGAAGAGGCTGCTCCTGTTGGTCAGATTTTCGTTACCACCACTGGTTGCCGTGACATTCTCGTCGGTCGCCACTTCGAGGCTATGCCCAACGACGCCATTGTCTGCAATATTGGCCACTTCGATATTGAGATTGATGTTGCCTGGCTCAAGGCCAACGCCAAGTCTGTCCAGAACATCAAACCCCAGGTTGACCGCTTCACCATGGCCAGCGGCCGTCACCTCATCCTGTTGGCTGAGGGTCGTCTTGTTAACTTGGGCTGTGCTACTGGCCACTCTTCCTTCGTCATGTCCTGCTCCTTCTCCAACCAAGTCTTGGCTCAGATTGCTCTATACAAGGCTGGTGATGCTACTTTCGGCGCCAAGTACGTTGAATTTGGCAACGAGGGCAAGCGTCCCGTCGGCGTCTACGTCCTACCCAAGATCCTCGACGAGCAGGTTGCCAAGCTCCACTTGGAGCACGTTAACGCTAAACTCACCACTCTCACCCCTGTCCAGGCCGACTACCTCAGTCTGGATGCCACCGGTCCTTACAAGAGCGACATGTAAGCGAATCCCCTTCACTGACTTCGAATTGCATGCTAACTATCTCTTAGCTACCGCTACTAGAGTGGATATGATACCCCTTCTTTCTCACCCATCTATTATAGGCGCACGGTGACATATAGACTTCTTTCAACATGAGGTTACGATGTTATGAACACGAAAAGAGTTCTTTATCAACATAGAACTCACGAGCATTTGGCCTTCAACGGCAAAAGTTTGATTTCAAAAGCAGCATATGTTTGGGGATTTGGTTTTCTTGGGGTCTTGGTATAGGACTAGGGGGCGCGTTTCCAACAAAGCATAAAAAACTAATTCTCTTTTCTTTTCATATGTCTTATTCCAATTCAACACAGATATGCATTGTCTATAATAGACATAATGCCATGTACATTTATGTCTGATTCTGATTCGTCTCCAATCTCCCGTAGTACGACATCATGAGTGGTCAAAGTAGTTCGCGTAAGATAGCTCCATTTCTTGATAAAAACCAGTTCGCATTCATATAATAGGAGATATTTATTATAAACTACAAGGGTATCCATCTCTATCAATACTCCACTGCATCTACATGTCTACAAGTCAACACTTGCTTCTATTATTAATCACCATGAAGCTGCCAATCCTGCCAGAACCCAAACCAAAAGTCATCATCCATCGCCAACAACGTCTCTCCTGCCTCCGTACTCCACATGTCTGTTCCCTGAAGGCTCTGCTGTAGTTGCCACCCGGCCCCGTTCAAAGCAGACGGCTGCTGCTGACTCTGCTGCTGATCTGCGTTTTGAGTTTGAGGTTGCTTATTCTGCAGCTGTGCCAAATCTGTCGACCGCGGCAAAACGAGAACAGACGCCATATTTTCCACAGACAAGCCCGCATCATCCAACCGCACAGCCTCGATATAGCCAGCCTTGAGCCGCCGCATCCGCGACGCGAGTTCTAGAAGCATGTCATTCTGATTCTGCAGGGCCTCGACATTCTTACCCTCATCCGGCTGCTCGGCAGGCAGAGGAGCAGGAGTAGCAGCAGCGGGATATGCCCGTGACGATATCTTGCTTGCCTCGATGGCATTCGATACAACTTTATCTAGAACCTTTGGAAGATCGAACCTCTCGCGCGCCTTTTTATAATCCCACCCAGGCACTTCTTTCAGAAAAGCCAGTTTGCGGAGAACGATTGAAGCGCGGCCGAACGGCTTCCAGAGCATTGTTGTAATGTGGAAGTACCCCTTAGGTTGGATTGCAAAAAAGGCGTCAAGAACGGCAGAGGTGCAGGCGCCGAGACGAGAAAGGTAGTCAATTGTGTCGTGCTTGAGGTCTGGTTTCCAGAAAGATGGATTGAAATTTGGCGCGTTGAGAATGAGGAAGACTGGAATTTCGTAGAGGACCATTTCGGCGTAGTGATAATTAATGAGAAGGATTTCTGCAGCAGAACTTAGTAAGAGCAGTTTTACAACAGTGGTTTTATCGAACCTTGTAAGGTTTTGTCGGTAGGCCAGCTCTTTCGGAGAGATTCTAGTTGCTGCTGTGCCGAATTGATGTGAAAATTGATCAATGTGTGAGTCTTCTCCAAGTCCACTGGGCCTTGTGGTATAGCCTGACGCACACAGGTCATGACGCTCTGGATATGAATCATTTCTACTGCAAGGGCATCGGTGGGGTATTCAGCTGCCTCGATCAACGCCTCGCAGCATTCCTTGACATATGGTGTATATGGTATTGGCTCCATTCCCGATGACGAATAGCTCAGTCTGTTTTATTTTATCACTCTCGACTTAGCAATTGAAGGATTTGTAATATAAGGATGAATAAGAAAGGCAGGTTTCTCATACAAGGAAGACATGAAAAAGCAGCCCAAAAAGGCCCGTTTCTCCTCCAGGGTCTGCTGCGGGACATTCACGACACCCTGTAGCAGGGTCGAAACAACGTCCTGAACGGTCCTGTAGCGGTCTTGTCGCACTGGAGCATTCAATCCCAAATCTATCAGGAGAGAATTTGCCATTTGAAAAAGAGTCGTTATCTGTCTGCCGCTGTAGAAGAAACTTCGGTACCTTTATAGCCTGTTTAGCATCTGTTTTCTCATTTTCCTTGCAAATAGTAGGGTCATACCATGTAATATAGACGAGCATTCCTTGCAACAAATCCAAAGTCTTCTCACCCTCAAGAAGAAGCCGTTCACTCAGGTGTCGCAGTAAGTCCTTCCCTCTTTCAGTGTGAGGGCCGCTCTCTTTATAGTGAGCAACGGAGAATATCGTCCTCGCAAGAAACGGTTTCGTTTCGGAAAGTTCTTTGGCAGACATGTGAAGGGGGACCAAGATGAATGGAAAGTATATCTCCATAGAAGATCGGTATACATTCAGACAAGCATCCTTCCGGGTCCAAGAAGAGGGTTCTGATTGGCTGTCATCAGGAGACCGCTGTATCGGCAATCCTTGAGTCGAGCTGCTTTCATTTGAGGGTTCCTGTAAAGCCGGACTGGGGATATGCGAGTTTGGGGCATCCTCTGAATAGATTGCAGTTGGCGTTCGTTTAAGAAATAACGTACTTATGTTAGAGTGTGGCAAGTCTCTAGGTGAGCTAGCGCTAGTATTGCTAGTATCGGTTCTGTCATTTTGGTCTTGAGTGTCCTCGTTAGACGCCTTGAGCAGAGTGACAATGTCATCTATTTTCTTCTCCAGCACCGCGACTCGGCTAATTAACAGTCAGCTCTCATGTACCATATTATGGAGCTTATTCATCTACGTACGTTTTCCTGGGGCCCAGGCTGCGTTTCTTTCTTTCTTTTGTTGGCTGCAGAACACAATCTTTTTGTAATCGTATGCACCTATGCAAGCTAGGTTAATATCGGGTTGTGTTGGATCCACCACCAACAGTCAAAGATAGAAGAGGGGGGTAGGCGTCGTATTACTTACCTCTGGCATCTTGTTTCTCCATTCCCACCAGGAAGGCACCTAACTTTAGCAGCTGCACACGTCCGGCACGCGTGAGGACCGGAGCCACCCCCTCGAGGTAACGTCTTCATCTTGCCATTGCTAGAGTGCATGACCCCTGCATCAGGTCCACGCTCCCGCCACGTATTCTCCATCAATAAAAAAGAGCTTAAGAATTCACGGAAAAGGAACAGTCAAACAACTCCGTGCGAGCTGTGTTGGAATTAAGCATACTGACAGCCTGTGTTATGTACTAAGGAACTACGAAGCGGAAACGGAATGAAAGCTTTGTTTCCGCTTCCGGTTTACACAAGCCAATACAGATAACGTAATCGGACACCCCACATATAAGTTACAAAATAGCCATTTTTATAACGTTATATCTCAATAAAATTATATATAAATAGTATCTCAAAATTTCCTATATCTCATAAGATATTGCTATTAATAATATCTTTGGATTTTGTGAATGTACCAATTTTTGTAAACAGTCTACACAGCGAGTAGGCTCCAGCTGTCAGCTAATTACCCCATTGGGGGTCAGTCTCTCGGCTGGAAGTCATGCAAATCGAGCGCAGATATAATTCTTTCTGCGTTTTCAGGGGTATTAACAACTTGGTTTTTTTGATGTGCCCCTGCCAACCTTTTCATACGTCGAATCTGTCGTTCTCCTATCTTACCAGATTAGAAGAGGGGTTGAGGTGGTCAAACATTCCTGACATCACAAGAATGCAATTTTCCCCAGCGATCCATGACTTGCTCAGGCTTGTCAACCTTACTGGAAATGACCCTTATTCTCCGTTTAAAGCTAACAGACTTCTAATATTTACAATTCAATTAATTTTTTATCTCATCATCAACATGAGTATTCAAATACTGAGACAAGACAGGAAGTTACGAGTGGGGGGCGGGGATGAAGTGACGCATTCCAAAGCAAATATGAAAATATCGCCACAAGATTGATAGTGTTTGAAAGTTGGCATTCGCAGTGTATCTTCGAATCAGGTTGGCTATTATGGAATGCAGTCGTGTGGCTCTCGCCAATAGATTTTGATCTTCCTCCCGTTCGCCATATAGTATAGATTTCCGAATGATGTACGATGTTTCCTGGGGGTTGGACAAATTCTCCTACCTGCAATTTTCCCCGTCATAGTCACTGTATATTCTTAAAAGGCCAAGGGATGCTGCAATCTTTATTTCGGCTTCTGATCCTGTATTTCCACATAGACAAAAGAATTAGATATCTTTGAGGTAGAGTCTATCAACTTGCTATCCAATTTTCTCAGAGGGAGGCATTCCATTGAATCACCGAAAGTCATCAAGATGGTCTCACCAAAAGCACTTTTAGGGCTTACCGCAGTCGCGGGCGTCATACATGCCTTTCCTTTACGATCCTACGAGGATGTGATCCACAGCCAGTCACACGAATTAGGTCCAAGGTCACCGAACCCAGTAAGTCCAGTACGCAAGTCATGCTATCCAGATTTAAGCACTGACATCATTGATGTTAAAGAGATTTAAAAATCCTTTTGATGTCACCGATTTCCTCAAAGGTGTAGATCAAAAGATTCCTGATAACAATGATATTCAACACTGGGTCAAAGAGGCACAGGATAAGGGTGCGATAGCAGCAAATGGCGACTTTAATGGAGACGGAGATGATGACAATTATGATGACGACGATGAAGATGAAGAGGATGATGATGATGATGACCACGACCACGACCATGATCATGATACGGACATTGACGATGACGAAGAAGACAAAAAGGACGGCCAGAACGAAAAGGAGAAGAATAAACATAACAAAGAGAATACAACAAAAGAGCCGACTCTCTCACCGGATACCCCACTGCCACAACCCACCAGCATTGAAAATGTTCCGGTAGTTGAAAGCAGTACTCCTGTTGTTGAAAACATTGCCGAAACACAAGTGACAACTGTCTACGTGCCGGTCCCTATCGACGTATTTCCAACTCTGTTTCCATCATTCGACGAGGACGAAGCTTCTACATCAGCTCCTATGGGCTTCCCTCCCCCAAGCCCTACCTCTATTACAGACACACCAGCTGAGACACCTCTATTTTTTGAAGATATGGACTGGAGGCTATAGAAGGGATAGGTCTAATAGCCAGTATCAATTTCATGAGCTCGGTATTCTGTTATATCAATGGTTAAATGTAGCTGTACCGGCAAGTCAAATATCAGACTCAATTAAGCAAACACATACTATAAGAACACAGCTTAACTAAATCTTAAAAGATACAGTGAAAAGAAAGAGAAAAAGAAATGACGTCTCAAGTGCTAGTCCTTTTTCAAGTTCTGATATTCAACTTTAAACCCACCTCAGCAGGATGATAATATTGAGAATCCGACATTATGCACAGTCCAATAAAGCTATTGTACTGCTTTACGCGGCATAAGGCCGCCAAAGTTAGTATACCGTTAACTAGTTTGAGATACATTGCTTCCAAAGCTTCTTTTGCCGATAAGGATACCTCTCGTCGCCGAAACCTTCCAGCCCTCCACCAATGGACCAATCTATGAACTCACCAGGTGGAGATATGTTCCCTAGGAATTTATACTTATTAAAGTTTATAACAAGGCTTAGCGTTCGACCCGTATTCATACACAAGTGGCCGTTGTCTTCACCGCGACAACCTCCAGCGAACATCACGATATATCAAATTCAATTTCTCTGAGCTATGCAGATCTACTATTAGCCTTTTTACTGGGGCTAAAAAATCCGCCAGCTATATGAAAAAAAGAAGGGATTTTCACGCTGGACTCGAGGCATCGTGTAGAGTAATTTTCACGAGTGTTGAAATCAATATTTATATCCCTTCGTTAGATTGTTGTGACTGATCCCAAGACTATGACGGTCTTAAGAACCATCTCTAATCCGATATTTCCTGTGACACAATGGCGGTGTTAACGAGACTCCCAAGATGCCCGATCTCCGAGAACTATGCCATCTCGATCATAGGTACAAAGCCAGTGATATGGGCGATCTGCGGCTCTATTAAAACCGTCGAAGGAGATATCGATCGGCGATGATGTCAAGAATAATAAAGGGTGCAGTTAACGCCGATAAGCCGATGCTGCGGGCTCTCTCCTCTCGGAACTGTTGCATCACAGCTTTGCAAACAGTGCAAATCGCATTACAACATTGCTCTTGACCAGCGGGGTTATCGCTTCATGAATATTTTCCAATACTATGCGATGCAAATATAAAGAACTTCTTGGGCCCATTTGGACATTCACACCATCTCATTCCCATCTCAACAATACTGTTGCTCTTTAGATTTTTCTGACCAAAAGCTATCAGCTATGCCTGCTCTGATCGGTAAAAGAGTCGGTCCTACGGGCTACGGAACCATGCGTAAGTCGCAATCATTACTGGCTGGTCGTCAGTGTAATCGTCACTAAAGCTTTACAGGTATGACATGGAATCCTTCGCCACCATCAAAAGAAGTCTGTTTCGAGACTTTGAACACTGCCCTCGAATCGGGCGCCAACTTTTGGAACGGCGGAGAGTTGTACGGAACACCGGATTACAACTCTTGCCATTTGCTGAAGGATTATTTTACCAAGTACCCGCAAAATGCAGGCAAGGTTGTGCTCAGCATCAAGGGTGGTCTAGCCCGAAACGAATTCCGGCCAGACGGCTCGGAAGAGAACATTCGCGCCAGTGTCGATGAGTGTTTGCGAGTGCTGGATGGTACCAAGTCAATCGATATTTTCGAATGCGCTCGGCAAGACCCAACAACGACTATCGAAAAAACGGTCACGATTCTCGCCAAGCTAGTCAAAGAAGGAAAGATCGGGGGGATTGGTTTGAGCGAGGTAGATGCTGAGACTATCAGACGAGCGTATGTGCGGGTAACCCACATTCAAGAAGATTATGCTAATTCCTTAATTTGTAGTCACAAGGTCCATCCAATTGCTGCGGTAGAAGTGGAATTGTCCTTATGGTCTCTTGATATCCTCGAAAACGATGTTGCCAAGACATGCGCCGAGCTGGATATTCCAGTCATCGCCTATTCGCCTCTCGGCAGAGGTGCTTTAACAGGAGAAATCGCCAACTTCGCAGACATCCCAGAGGGTGACTTCCGCCGCCTCGTACCCAAATTCCAGGGCGAAAACTTTGAGCACAACTTGAAATTAATCAAAGAGATAGCAGCTTTGGCCAAGCGGAAAGGCTCTGCCCCCGCTCAAGTTGCGCTGGCCTGGGTACGAAGTCTGAGTAATAAGCCTGGTCTTCCTACGATAATTCCTATTCCCGGTGGCACAACCAAGGATAAGGTTATTCAGAATACTCAAGGAGTGCAAACCCTGTCAGATGAAGAGATGGCAGAGATTGAGTCGATTTTGAAGGCGAATGGAATCAAAGGAACTCGTTACTAGCGCTGGCACAGGAGTCGTGGCTCTTTCTATCCTTTTTGCGTAATTTTGTGATGAAATCTACGGACGATGCATGTCAAAATGAACCTAGTTTTATACAATAATTAGCCAATTGTTTGATTTGTTTGGTATTACTCGAAATTTCCATTGGGGGCCACCTCAAGATCAGGTCAAGTGTAGAAGGAGTCAACACACAACTCCACCTCTAAAGGAGGGAAGTTGTCAGTATTGCAGAATTCACTTTGTTGCTCATCATAAGAGGTTTGTGTGGGTGGGTGCGAGGGCTGTGTATCATCACCTACCTACGTGGGAGCTTGAGAGAGAAATTTGTCGACACTTGTTTTCAGGTATTTCTATAACTGAAGGATGTAAAGAGTAACCGGCGATTTTATCACCCTCACATGCAATAAAATAAAATAAAATCCGAAGAATAAAAATTGATTTTCAGGTGTGGTGGCAGCAGAAATTTCTATGAAAGAAAACCAGAAGTTTCAGCGCGGGATCGAAAGGAAGCTTCAATAGTAAGCCGTAATCACGTGCCTCCGCATTGTATTTCCACGATACTCGACCTCATCTTCGCGATTAGCACTTTCTTCAGAAAGCATCCGCCACTCGATCTCATCCCCCATCAACCTTCCCTCCAATCGAGCCTAGACTGAGTATTACTCGGCACAATGGCAGAGTCTCCCGGCTCCCCCCTCTCGTCCATCGCGTCCGACGAGCTGGCTGAGGACATCAAACTGGACAAAGATGGTCAGTCTCCGTCAGCCTCGAGTATGCCACCGTCGAAAAGGCGCCGTACTGGTATCGCGTCATGGGACCACCACACTCCCATCTCATCTGTACACGGTGATAACGTTCCAACCTCACCATCGAGTCCTATTTCCTCGGATACAGACGGCGAAATCCCAAACTCACCCTCCCTTCTCGCATTAATTGGCGGCGGCCAGGATGATGATTACAGTGGACAAGGTGGCGAACAAGTCTCGATTTGTCGCTGGGATGGCTGTGAGGCTGGCGATCTGGGCAATATGGACGAATTGGTCAATCACATCCACGAAGATCATATTGGTTCCCGACAAAAGAAATACTCCTGTGAATGGGTTGACTGCAGTCGCAAAGGACAGACCCATGCTAGTGGTTATGCGCTGCGCGCACATATGCGGAGCCATACGAGAGAAAAGCCATTTTATTGTGCACTGCCAGGTAACTTGCTGAATCCCTTAAAACTTTTATATTACACGATTTGCTCACTATTGCGACCTTCAGAATGCGATCGGAGCTTTACTCGCTCCGATGCTCTTGCGAAACATATGCGAACCGTACACGAAACTGAAGCTCTTCGGCCGTCAGATCCTGTACCCAAAAACAGTCAATGGGGTGGCGTTGCTACTCCAGCCAACAAGGTACCACGAATCAAGTTGAAACTCAACCTCGGCCACAAGGACGATTCGGAACATATTACAAATGGAGATAATGCCAGCCACATTGACGCAGAAGAAGCTGAGCTGATCCCAGTGCCAGAGTTTACCCCTGACCTAGGATTCGATGGAAGTGAACTCGCCTTACCCCCGAGTCAATTATACAGACTGCTTCGTCGCCAGATGCATTGGGCGGAGATTGAGACCAACAAGCTCAAAGAGCAGTGGCGTGTTTGGGAACCCAAACGAAGACAAGCCTGGAATGAGAAGGAAGCTGCTTTCAAACTTATCATGCAAACGGAAAATCGTTTGTACGAAGCTTTCAGCATACGACGTGAAGATCCTGAGAACGACCGTATTGGAAATGAGGTGGACGAAGCTGCTTCTACCTGAGTATGCCTCCATCATATCAAAAATCATAACGACACTTCCTATAATTGGATGTATTTGTTTTATCTTCTGTTTTGCACAATGGTGAAGCGTACAACGGGTTCCTTCTTTACATGTACAGCTAGTTTAATGTGTTCAAATACTACGGTTCTATTATTCCAGGCACATCGATTTAACCCAATTTTCAAAAGTCAAACCTAATCAGTATTTATAGGATGCGTTTTCTACGCGGCCCCTTTGTTAGTGAACAAACTGGTGTCCAGATTATCTGCTCTCAGGTCCAGAATTTCCAGTTCTTTGATTGTCTAAATCACTGCTACCATCAACATCCTAAGACGCCGTCGCTGTGTGCTTCATCACAGACCTGGTGCAGCTAGCGCGGGAGATATATTAGTGCCATGCTTCCTCTAGAAGTTGGCTTAGGGTAATCTAGCAGAATCGGAAATAAACTAACAAGACAATACGCACCATCAGTCAGCAAGTGCTCAGTACTAATCAGTGAAGGGAATTGAAGGTGAAGAGTCACATGATATCACGTAAATTTGAAGCTGCCAGGAGTCAATTGTTAGGAGCAGGCAGAGGTAGCCGCACATTACATTTATATCAATGTATATACTACATATGTCTGAAAATCGCGAACAGAGTTTTGGACTCCAAATGATGCAACCCCAAGTATATCAAACAACGCCTGTATTATGTACAGTAAACAAGTCAATAGCCTTCGTATCGAAGGATTATAAACAATAAAAGCCAGCTGAATTTTACCATCTGTACGCGAAGTCATGGACCAAGCACAAGAGAGGCAACAGCTATCAACGCATATAAATGGCGTTAAATTTTCGTATGAAATTCATAAATATTTCACGCCTCGCCATGCAATGCAACATATATGATGCAGATACACCTATCAAAACTCCGCCGCTTGAGATGCAGGTACTAAAATGCGAATTTCGGGATTGGTAGACAGAAAAAGTCGATGCGAAATCTAGATCCAAAGTAGTTCAAGAAGACGAAGACAAAGTTGGATCCAGGGAGGAATTGAAATGCCGAAAGTATTTTTTGCACATATGGAACTAAAGGCTCCACCAAATTGTAGTGTTCAAACGTATGTGAACGTCGAAGGCTAGGAGAAGTTGATCAAAAGGTGCCAATCAAATTTGACTAAACCTCTTCGAGCCCAGTGGACTGCGGAAAGACAATCTGAAGCATCCCATGCTGGGGCATGGGCAAGTCGAGCGTGTTGAGTGTTGTTGAGCACATCGATCATTTGATTTTCCTCGACACTAAGCAACTAGTTATCAGTATCTTTCTCTCCATCCTACTTGTCACACGGGCTCACAATTAAGTGATGATCCCGGGATGTCTATCTGGCAATGGCTGCAGTGTCTCTATTTTGCTCTAGGACCTTCAAATACATATTTTTCAAAGATTGAAGGTCGGTCTTTCCTGCAGCAAAACAGTTTTTGGCAACATGATTCCTGATAAAATTAGCATAAGTTTTCAACATAATCCTTGGAGTATACTCACCAGAGTCGGTCCTCAAGACCGGGATAGTTCTCGTTACGAAGAAGCTGTCTGATAAAATTGCCAATTTTCAAAATGAGACGGCGCATTTCGATAGCACGCGCCTCTTTCCCTGGAAAGTTCTTTTTGACATCACGGAGTTTCAGCAGTAGATGGGCTTTAGGCTCGAAGATAGAATCCTCCATGGTTGCATGTGACGCAGTATTTCCAGCGCTCCCCGCTCTAGGAGAGGCGTCATGGTATCCATTTTCACCATGCTTCCGAATTTTATCGATAGAATTTATCTTTGCTCGAACAATTTCCGGTTTTGGAGTATTGGCGCGCTCTAAGCTGTCACGCGAGGTATGTGTATGCGAACGCTGACGAGGCCGTTCAGACTCCCGACGAATCTTCCGGCCATTGGAGGGAGCTGGAGAGGCTGAAACACTACCCTGGCGGCGCTGGGTAGAACCCACTTTTCTGTTTCGGTGATGACTTTCCACTGCTCTCTTTGCTGCAACATGATTTCCATTGGCATTAGTAGTCTTGTCTCGTAGAACTGAGATGAGATAGTCTGCACGACGAACGAGATGGACAGCCCCTGGTGATTTGGTAGCTTTGTCTTCAGCATGTGCTCGTTCGTTTTTCTTGTCTACGCGATGTTCTTCGAGGAAAAACTTATCACCGAGGCCTAAGTCATGATCATCGCGAATTTCAGGCCACGCACCATACCCGTGTCGTATTATGCCAATACACAACATTCCATCTTCACGTGCGCCCCAGGAAGAAGTGTAATCGGCTTTCTTTGAGGCTTCTGGAATGCGAAAACTTTTGTAATCACTCAGTCCTTCTGTGGCGGCACGTAGAATACGCATTTCCTCGGGTCGTTCCACAATAGTATAAGCATTGATACGTTTGACACCGTGAAGATCAAATAAAACTGCTTTCTTTTCCTTTTTGGTGGGTATCTTTCCTGATCTTTCCAGGTCTGCGAGCTTCTGCCTGTCCTCTGCCACCAATTCAAAAGCCTTTCCGGTAATTTCACTAAGGGCAGATTTGACTGTATCCCTGTCTCGTGAGAGAAGACGGGCTTCTCGAACAATATCCTCTTCACGATTTGCCATGTCACCGTATCGTAGAAAGGCCCTGACGAGATGGCGAAGTTCTTTTTCAACCAATGGGCGCTTGGGGTCGTCAATTTCCGAGTCAGATCCATCCGCGGCTTCCACATTGACTTGAACCCGCGCATGACGTTTAGCCTTCCGCTCTTCTCGTTCGTCACGGCCATCAGTCGGCAAAATTCGTTTGCGGGGACGGTTCTGTTCGATAACATCATTCAGATAACGCTCGTCTGCTTTGCGTTTCTCCTCGGCTTTGATCTCTGCTAGCTGTTCTTTTGGTATAATATCGTCCCAGCTCATCTCATCTACTCTCACGTCGACGAACTCAAAAGATTTGAGGAATTCCTCTCCTCCATCAGCTTCCAGGCTCTCTGCTTGTTCAGTTTTGTGTTCCTCAGCATTTTCAAGCACAGAGTCGATATCAAGCTGCTCTAGTTTCTTCTGATTTCCTGTTTGTTCAAACATTCTTTGACCACGGCGCTTAAGAATACGTGATATTTCGTCTGTACTCGTAGGTTCCCCTACACCTCGAGTAGGCTTGCCTGGAAGAGATTCTTTTTCTGTCAAACCCCGTTGAATAGTGATGAACTCCAGCATTAGCTTGTTTCGAGCACGTTCCAGTACCTCCTCCTCGATTGTATCCTTCGATACCAAACGATACACGCTCACAGGCCTAGTTTGGCCAATGCGATGTGCACGAGCCATTGCTTGAAGGTCTGCCTGTGGGTTCCAGTCAGAATCAAAAAGAATGACGGTATCCGCAGTCATGAGGTTGATTCCAAGGCCACCAGCTCGGGTCGACAACAGGAAAGCAAAATCAGTACTTTCCGGAGCATTGAAGTGCTCCATAGCTACGCGACGCTTAGCAGCGCTGATTGTCCCGTCAAGTCTCTGGTACTGGTATCCTCTGTATCCCATGTAATCTCCCAAAACATCAAGCATCTTCACCATTTGGCTAAAGATAAGTACTCGATGACCGTCACGTTTAAGCTTAGCCAAAAGTTGATCAAGCAGCATCATTTTGCCGCTACTAGTAATCATTATGCGCAAAACATCCTCCCGGCGCATAACATTCTCGAGCAGCTTTGCCTCGGCGTTGGGAAACATGAATGGATGATTACTAGCCTTCTTTAATTCCATCATGATGTTCAACAGTGACTGCTTCTGTCCGTTAGCCCCTTCATTCAGAGCGGCATAATTCTTGGTAAGAATATTCTTGTAGTACTCAAGTTGAGTATCGGAAAGTTCAACCCGAATGATCTTCTCAGTTTTGGGTGGCAAGTCAGTTTCCACCTTTGACTTTGTTCGACGTAGCATGAGAGGTTTCAAAGCATTCTGGAGTTTAGCGAGCTTTTCAGATGCAGCTTCAGAACTCAGATCCATATCGACTTCCACCTCAACCAATCCCGGATTGAGGAAATCCATAAGCGCGGAAAGCTCAGCAAGATTATTTTGAATCGGAGTACCCGTGATTAAAAGTCGAGCTGGTGCTCTAAAAGCGAGAAGGTTGGTATAGAGGTTAGATTCTCGGTTCTTCAAACGATGCGCCTCGTCCACAGCCATAAATTGCCAAGGTATTTGGCGAAGGAGATCAAAGTTCAGATTCGCATATTCATATGTCGTCAGCAACACGTTGAACTTCGGTTTGCGCGGATTCCCATCCTTCAATAGTTCATATTCTTTTAGAATGTCGCGAGCCAGGCTAGAACCAGTGTAGACAACGTAATTCACATCTGGTGTCCAGTTGTCAAATGTCTCTGACCAGGAAGGTATGGTCGAGAGGGGGACGACCACTATGAATGGACCATCTTGTCCACGACAATGACGAAGCCAGTTAATGAACGCAATAGTCTGGACAGTCTTTCCGAGACCCATCTCATCGGCGAGAACTACGTTTTGATTGCGTGCCCAGTTGTAAGCCAAAAAGTTTAGACCTTTCACCTGGAAGTCCTTCAATTGACCGTTTTGCAAGAAATTCGGCGATCCTGTGATTGGCACATGTGGAGATCTGGTATGGGGGTTCATTTCGCGTTTCTCACAGGTAACGACTTTGTCATTACGATCGAGAAACTTATCAAGTTCATCAAGAGCGATTTCTTTTATTAGTACATCACTCTCCCAGGTACACGTGTCGTAATTCAAGCGTCTCCATTTCACGTAATATTCATCACCGTCGAATCCTTCACGATGGCCAATGATGCGATCAACCTTTCGATACTCTTCTAAAGACTCAATCTCACGCTCGCGGTCCAGATTCCACTTCTCTTTTTCTTCGGGTGCGACGGCGGGGTCATTGTTCATATAAAGATCTGTCTTTGCCTTGTTTTTGAAGTAATTCTCTAGCCTGCGAAAGCCGCTGAATTCCCGAAGCTTGTCGCTTGTTTCCCACGTTGCATGGTAATGTGACTGGTTCTGCCATTTAATGTAATATATGCAGTCACCTATCCGGACGTCGAATTCACTGATATTAGGATCCACGCCGTCCTTAAGACGATGGTCAAGGATAGAATCAATAGCAGGGCCGTTGCTTTGTTGGGCTGACGTAGTGTCATCGTATATCCAATCCGCAACATCATCCTCAAAAACATTGTCATCAGAGTCCTCGTTGTAGTTTGCAACTTTGGTGGCATTCCTGCTGGAAAAACGCACTTCAGTTGATGGGCGAGTAGATGATTGTGCATGACGACGTCGATCTGAGCGCGAATAAGAGGCGTCATACTCATCCGAGTTTGAGTCAGAGAGAGACGACCGTGTTACGGACCGAGAGGGTCGTTTCGAGGTCTGCTCCGAATTAATGAGACGGCGTCGCTTGGAGATAGGCGCTCTGGGTTCGTCATCGTCATCCGACTCGGCAAGAGTTTGGCGACGTTCGGTTCGAGATCGACCACTCCTACGTAACCCGTAGAGCTCCGGGTTCTGCCTCATGAACTGTACCTCGTCAACGTTTGATGACTTGCGTTTTGTTTCCTGGCTAGAACTCGGTGACGACGAGAGAGTGTGGTGGTTCTGGTTATTGCTCTCCAGATCCGAGTCATCATACGTGGTGTGGCCTATTGTCAAAGGAGCACCATGAGTGCTCTCCCCAGCACCCGCACCATTTCTGACACTAATATCGAAGGACTCTGACGTTTCGCTGGCGGCATCGGTCGGTGCAACGTCCTCCTGATCGCTAGCCGGTTCTGAAGATGAGGTATGTTCGTAGCCATTAGCCAATGGCTCAAGAGAATGCGTCCCGGAGGACGGCTCAACGGAGGCTGGGTACACCATGCTAGCTACTATAGCAAACAAGAAGTCAGCATTGCAAGCTTGATCAACGAAAGTCGCAAGGAAAAGCCATGCCAGGATATCAAGATTCGGTTTGCGACCGAAAAAAAGGCGCCAAAATCACCAGAAAACATGTAGGAAGAGTAGGGGTATGAAAGTTTTGATGGACCGATGTCTTTTGGATGAATGTTTGATGGAATCGACGGAGATGGATGACGACGGGACCGACCACGCAAAGAGCAGGGCAGGAAACATTACAAGAAGTTGCACAATACAGGCCTGAGATGCACAGCAGGCTTCTTATCATTCAAAAAGAGCCTTCCAGGACAGTAGAAAGGCCTCATCCAGGTGGTGGGTGGGTCGAGCGTCGGAAGTCGAAGTACTCCAGCCAAGCCAGGACGCGTCTAGAAAATCAACAGGAAAAAAAAGCAAACTCACCGTCACAAGCGTGGTGACCCCAAGAAGGGGATTGTAACAATGCGAGTCAATGTCTATATGCAGATGGGAGAAGTAAATTGGGGTTGTGGGAGGGAAAAAGTGGTCTAAAAGATCTGCGAAACCACGAAGCCGGGTGTTGAGTAGTGGAATGTCAGGGAAGTTAGATGTATCGGCGGATGTGGGTGGTAGAGAAGCGGAACAGCGAGTAGCAGTCAAGGGCAACCAGCGACCCAGGCCGGGCTTTCGGCGGGCAGGCACCGCAGCCGCGTTGCTGCCTGAGGCCGACACAAGCCTTGGCAGACTGTGACTTGGGCTGTTAGCGCTGGATCGCGGTGATTGGCTGCGGCGGCTTGGTGTCGCGGCGGCTGTTTGTCGGCGCTAGATTCGGCTTAGGGCAGAAGCATGACTGCACATCACGTGGAGGGCTCTCTGTTTGCCGTGTTTGCAGGGGAGTTATGTAAACTATGTAGTACTACTACTATTATTATGATTGCCAAGAGCAGGCGTACTGGCCAGTCGCAGCTACCCGATTTGACATTTGTCAACAGGCCGTGCTTCGTGCCCGCGTTGGTACCTGAGGCATCAACGGCTTTTGCAGCGTGCGGGAGGGGCTCCACTATCATCCCACAATATCGATCAAGTTTTCCTCATTGCCCCTCGTTATATAGCCACGGCAACTGTTGTTCTCTGCGCTCATTGTGCAAGGGCTTGCTGTTCCTTTGTCGATACAGACAAGGCCTCACTTTTCCTAGGTCGGTACGAACCCCCCTTTTTTTCCCTATGAAATGCGTCCCTCCCCGCCAAGTTAGCAAGACCAGATGCTTACTCGCGATTACAGAGAACTGTTCTTCTACAAATCCGCAACATGGCCGATAAACTCACCAGGTAATAATTTTCGATGCCAAAAATTTTGATCTAGATAGCTAACTTTTGTAATAGAATTGCAATTGTCAACAGTGACAAGGTCAGTTCCTTATTCGTACCCCGCTCAAAACCCCTCCGATCGATCGAAACACAGTGCTGATGTAGGATATCGTTGTTGTTTATAGTGCAAACCGAAGGTAAGTCGCCGTTGTGGGTTCTCGGTAGAATGATATTAATGTCTATAGAAATGTCGGCAAGAGTGCAAAAAGTCCTGCCCCGTGGTCCGCACTGGCAAGCTTTGCATCGAAGTCACTCCGGAATCAAAAATCGCCTTCATTTCTGAACGCCTCTGCATTGGATGTGGTATCTGTCCGAAGAAATGCCCATTCGGGGCCATCCATATCATCAATTTGCCGACCAACCTCGAAACCCAGGTAACCCATCGTTACTCGGCCAACAGCTTCAAGTTGCATCGTCTACCAATGCCTCGACCCGGTCAGGTACTTGGCCTTGGTATGCAGCATTTTTATCTTCAAGTAACTCATGATCTTTGAGCTAATACCTCCCAAGTCGGTGCGAACGGTACTGGAAAGAGTACTGCCCTAAAGATTCTCAGCGGTAAACTCAAGCCCAACTTGGGACGCTACGACGATCCCCCAGACTGGCAGGAAATTCTCAAGTACTTCCGTGGATCTGAGCTTCAAAGTATGTTAATGAGAATGGTCAGCAGTTTAGCGCATTATTGATACTTTATAGACTACTTCACCAAAGTGCTCGAGGATGATCTCAAGGCTGTCGTAAAGCCGCAATACGTCGATCAAATTCCCAGGGCTGTCAAGGGACCCGTGAAGGAAGTTGGCCCTCTGATTGAGGCCCGGGCTCAAATGGATAATATGGATTACATTATGGACGTTCTTGGTAGGCGATCATGTTGGTTCGTGGGATACAATAATACTAATTGTGGATTAGAACTCAAGCAGGTCGAAAATCGTGATATTAACCTTCTTTCCGGTGGAGAACTTCAGCGTTTTGCCCTCGCTCTCGTATGTGTGCAGCAAGCAGATGTGTGAGTACTACCTACTTCTAGCTACCCTAAATATCTTCGCCTTGGGCAACTTGAGAAAGATCAACACAAACTGGCTTAAAATATTGTCTAATTTTTCATTTTTCAATAGATACATGTTCGACGAACCTAGTTCGTACCTCGATATTCGTCAGGTGAGTAATTTTCTATCGTCACTGAAACCCAAGAGATCTTAAATTATCATTGTAAACTTAGATTTTTGACACGTACACTAACAAACAAACAGAGACTTGCGGCAGCCCGTACTATTCGAGAACTCTTGCGACCAGATGATTACGTTATTGTTGTTGAGCACGATTTGTCTGTTCTGGACTATCTATCTGACTTCGTTTGCGTTCTCTACGGTCGACCTGCTGTTTATGGAGTTGTCACTCTACCATCATCGGTTCGCGAAGGTATAAATATTTTCCTCGATGGCCATATTCCCACCGAAAACTTGCGTTTCCGCGAGGAATCCCTAACCTTCCGTATCGCGGAAGCTGGAGAAGATCTCTTGATCGATAAGGCACGGGCTTTTAGCTATCCATCCATGGAGAAGACCATGGGAAATTTCCATCTGAAGGTTGATGCTGGCCAATTCACCGATTCTGAAATCCTCGTTCTGGTACGTAAACACATACCGGCTTGCTAACTTGAAAATTTTCTTGCTTCACACTAATGCTATTGCATTTGCTGACGGGTAACAGATGGGTGAAAATGGTACTGGTAAAACTACATTCTGTAAAATGCTCGCCGGTGCCGAGAAGCCAGATGGGAATATGTCGATACCTCGCATGAACATCAGTATGAAACCTCAAAAAATCACCCCCAAATTCCAGGGTACCGTCCGGCAATTGTTTTTTAAGCGTATCAAGGCTGCCTTTCTCAACCCACAGTTTCAAACAGATGTCTACAAACCTCTGAGGATCGACGATTTCATCGATCAGGAAGTTCAGAATCTGTCAGGTGGTGAATTGCAGCGTGTCGCTATTGTGCTCGCTCTCGGTATTCCGGCAGACATCTATCTTATCGATGAACCGTCGGCCTATCTTGATGCAGAACGTAAGTAGCTCTCAAACATCGCCTCCTCCACTCTCCAGATGTAAATACTTTGTCAGGATTTGTGGGTGGTTTTTTAAATGCAACATTATGCTAAATTTTTTACAGAGAGAATTACTGCCTCAAGGGTCATAAAACGTTTCATTATGAACACGAAGAAGACTGCCTTCATCGTCGAACACGATTTCATTATGGCGACTTATCTCGCTGATCGTGTCATCGTTTTCGATGGCAAGCCATCTGTTGACGCTCGTGCCAATATTCCTGAATCTCTTCTCACTGGTTGCAATCGGTTCTTGAAGAATCTCGACGTTACCTTCCGTCGTGATCCAAACAGCTACCGTCCCCGTATCAACAAGTACCAAAGTCAGCTAGATCAGGAGCAGAAGCTTAACGGCAACTACGTAAGTTCCCCTTGTTTCCATTTGATTTTGATTTTTCTTTTATTCCCATCATTTGGACTTTTTTCTCCTTGTTCATTCTGTTTCAACCTCAACTGACCCCACTCTCTGTAGTTCTTCTTAGAAGAAGAGAGTTGAAAAGGGCATCCCACGTAAGAACGATCACGACCGTCGTTGGCACGATGGTCGCGACACTAACAGGCGGCACCACTGGCTACTGGATAGAAAAAAAGGCGTTCGGTTTGTAGCATTTACAGGCGTTCGAAGGCACACCGGCACCCGTTCTCGTATTTGTGTTTCCAGTGACGATACTGCTGATGACGAAGTTGATGAGGACGCGGCCTCGCGGGATCCAACATATTGACAAGCATACTATCCAGCCCCCACCGTGCAGAGGCTTCTCCGAGGTACACGGGCCTTTTTGATATGCATATGTTTTCTTTTGACGGACATCAAGATTGACAGAGCTATCTAAAAGCCTAAAAGTATGTTTCGATTTATCTCTCAGCATCTACAGCAGAAGCTCTAGCAGCCTATTGCAGCTAGGTGCTCTCGCTCAAATACATTGTCCAACTAGCTAGCTACGTATTTTGTCGGGCTATAGCCCAAGAACACTCTTTCGAATCAAGCACAGAAGTACTGAAATATATCAAATACTTTCTCACTGGCCATTTCTATATTTAAGACTTTAACTAGTATGTTTTCACTGTTAATTCCGGCACAGTTGACCGTACATACGTGCATTTGCAAATGTCAACTATCAGATCAATTGATGTGGAACCCCTATGTGAGTATCACGACTTCAGGCGGATCCGTGTCTGAATATATATTTAGTTAACATCAAGTACGCAACACTAAAATCCTATCCATTATTGACTTGATTGACCTCAACGTGCAAATGTTCAAATATTGTGCATACTAGTCATCGATTGCTACGTATTATGATGTACATATATTTAATGTTAAACATTGATATTTACCAGATGTATATATGGGGTTGATGACTGATATCTTTATGCCTGGTATACGTGAATTACGCGAAATAGCATGAAACAAGATAATGACAAATTCAATATTATTTTGAGTATGTATTATGTTATTGTTATATATTTTTATCGCAGAAAAGAGTTAGGAGAAAGCCAGAGCTTGACACAATGAAGCATATTCTCTAAAGGTAGATTGGGAAATCTCACTCACAGACCAGTAACATCAGCGAATGGTAGTTATAATCATCAATCTTCCTCGATCTCCCCCTCCTCGCTCCCAGAGTGGACCGTCTTCTCCTCCTTCTTGGCCTCGTCTTCGCCTGTCACTGCTGGAGTGCGACTTCCACCAGAAAGCCGGTCCCGGTCACGATGGCTACGGTCTCGCGATCGATCCTTTTCGCGATCATCACGTTTATACCGTTTGGTGTTGCGGCTAGCTGCACTTTCTGCGTCGCTGTCACGTCTACGACGACGGTCATTACTTACTGTACTGCGTGAGTCTCCTCCGTAATCCAGTTCATCACGGCTTCCACGTGGATCTCCACGGGTTCGGTAAAGTCGCTCGCGCTCATCCTCTCGATCACGGCGCTCGCGATCATAGTGAGCTGGTGCGCGTCGATCACGGTCTCGCTCGCGTTCTCTATCCCGTAATCGATCACGATCATCTCTTCTTTCGTGAACAGGAGAAAGACCGCTTACTTTGCGATATGACCGCTCACGATCCGCCTGGGCTTTTCGACGGTCTGCTTCATATGGATCCGGCTCTGGCGTTCGACTGGGTCTCACTCTCCGATCTGAACGGTACGGGCCACTCCGAGAGTCGCGGTCAGACCGGTCGTGATGGTCGCCGCGGCGAGATCCACGATCTCTATCACGGTCTCGCTCCGCGTCTTCTTCTTTTTCCTTGAGCCGACGAATGTATTTGTCAAAGGCACTTTGGCGGAGATCGTCAGAATCAAGGGCAGTATATTCTTCAAACCTTTCAATCCTCGGCCGCACTGATTCCCATGTATCGCTAATACGAACTGCGGGTTCCAAGTGCTTGATACGAGAGCGCAATGCATCCACAGCACGACGTTGATGGCGATCAGCTGCATGTTTTTCGTCTTCTGTGCGTCGCTGAGCCCTCTCCTGGATACGCTGGAAGATGAGTTGAAGAATATTAGAGTCAATATTGGCTGTCCGGCGGTCGCTGGCCATCACTGACATAAAGTCTTCAAATGTTGTCTTCGTAGTGATGTCATAACGTTTGTCCTGGATATTATATTAGTCCTCTTTTAATGTTGAGCATGGGGTTCAGATGGACGTACATCAAGGACGTCAAGAACATCATTACGTGGTTCACGCAGTAACCTTTCCTCTTCTTCCACCATATCCCAAAATAGATCTAAAGGACTGGAGCCGCCTTGGCCTAACATTGCTACATACCGAGGGTCCTCTTGAATCAGGGGATGAACTTGCATCCATTTACTCCCAGCTTTGATTTTTCCTTGAGAACGCAATTCCTTGAGGAGTTCGACAAAACCCTCGCGATGATGGCGTTCTCTCCTAGCTTTGGCAGCCTTGTGCTGCTGGCGAGCGTCATTGAATGTTCGTTCAAGAGACTTGATATGATTTTCAAAAGCGGTCAGAATGTCAGATTTGCTCAGGGTTTTGAACTTCTCATCCTTTTGGATTCTTTCGTTTGTGGCTAGTGAATTTTGCACTTCAGACCATCTTGCATATGGCTCAAGTTGTAGAGCTTTTAGAATTTTCACCAGATCATCCATAGCGGCTTTGCGAGTAATAGCCTCTTGTTCCACATGAGTCTTCTTTAGCTCAAGTATATATTCTTCAAATAACTGGCGCCGTTCATTCTCATCGTTGGTAGATCTGAATATTGTTTCACCCTCAATGATAGGGCGGATATTTTTCCATCTGCTGTAGTGCTTAATTTCAGGATGGCTTTTTAGCATAGTATTGAAATCTGCGCGCAATTTAGCAAACCTCTCCTTCGCGCGATCGCGCTCCTGCATGCGGACCTCAGCCGTATACTTCTCAAAGGCTGTCCGCCGGTCTTTTGGATCTTTCAGAGCACGATACTGGGGATCTTTGATAACCGCACGCATAGCCTGTTCCCATGTCCAATCAGGCTGAACATTACACCGTCGTAGTAGCTTCATGAACGCACTCTCGGCTTCTTCAAAGGAGCTGTACTCTGGGTCAGTCTGTTGAGCAGTAATCAGACCATTTGTATCTAATCCACTGTAACCTCCACGGCGGTCCGGTGCAGCACTGCGGTCGTAATCATCGCGCTCACGCTGTTGCTGAGGGTAGGGGCTAAACGAGGTTGTTCCACCGGCAACGAAAGTAGAGGCACTATAGCTGAATTAGACAATAAAAAATCGAAAGTTTTCAGGTGAGTGTCACCTTCCAGACGGTGCTGCGGGAGGTTGAGCTTGTGCGAGAGCGGCTCTGTAAACTTCAGGCATTTCCCATGTACTTTGCTTGCTCTCAGTATTGTACCAATACTTGCGTCCACCTTCTGCAGTGTATTCCTTCCATGGCTGATTTGATAGCGCGCGCTATTTAATAAAAGAGTAAGTAGAGTCCTAAGGAGGGATGGTTGGGGCAGAACGAACCTCTACAGGAGTCAACATCTCGGCAGGCTTTGCCCATTGCGTGGCCTTGGTTTGAACATTATAGTAGTATACCCGGCCATCGGAATGACGAGCTTCCTGCCAGAGACTAGAGCTTGCAGACATATTGCTGACTGAATTGATGGCGAGTCGCTGGTGATGTCGTGGTGAGAAGAGAACTGCAGCTCTAAAATCGACGCGCAAAGTCAGTCTAGTGCGAAAGCTGCTGGCCGGGGCGCACTAGCCATTTTCGACAGCCGCGGCGAAAGTGTCTTGTGTTTAGTTACAGCTTACAACACGGCCCGACTATTATTGGGAGCACTGATCTTGCAGTGTTTGATTTTGGGAGTTTAATAATAACTGGGGCTCTTTCTTTTTTCGCTGAGCATGCGCAGCCTGGTCCGCTATGTTGGGTCCTAGCCTTCATGGGGAGTTTCTGCGACATGCAGTTCTTGAGACAGTGGTTCCTCATGCTCCTGATGTCGATATCGAAACAACTTTAACCACTGCTCTTGAAGAAGGAGCTGAGGATCTTACATCTGTTCTCAAAGCGGTTCCACAGCGCTCTTTGCTTTTTTTTGGTAGGTGACCTTATGAACTGCTAGGCGGGGTTGGGTCCAAGAGTAACACTATTTATTTCAGATGAGACTGTTACCGTGCGCGTCGTCCTCAGACTATCGAATTGCTCTGAAAATGCATTGAGATTTCATCTTCCACAATTGGATATTGGTTTAAACGCATTCGTCTTCAACCCTGCTGAGCTTGGGTCGGCCGAGCCAGGACCTACGAAAGACCTGATATTTTCGGGGACTGTGCACGATAAGGAAGATCCATTAGTTGTTGTAAATATATTTGAAGGGGATGAGGAGAGTGGGAATCATGTTTATGTTATCTGGAAGATTAAAGCTTTTCTTCGTGGGTTTTATTTCTATCGGTTGATGTTTGCTTAATCTTACAGATCTCAGGTCGTCCTCGCATTCGTATCCAACACCCATGCGTTGCATTCTCCGCTGCAGCTACTTTAAATACGACCGAAATACCAGAAAAGTCGCTGCAAGAAGATGATTATCTTCCGAGTACCGTCCCGGCGTCAGCAAACGTATTGCAACCCCTTTCCACCGATACCTCCTTCAAATCCGTGGCTCCGTTTCTCCCAGCATCTAGACTCCTTCGTGTCGTTCCAGCTACACAAAAGGAGGCACCTGTATACAATATATGGCAACAAACTCAAAATCCTATACGTATTGTACCTGCTGCAAGTGCCAGGATACGTTGTACACGGCTCAATACCTTTTCTAGTCGACCGACTACAATTGCTAGTCTTGACTTGGAAGCAACGCCATTTTTAGGTTGTGATATTGTCTTTGATAAAGCAGACATCGTTTTATTTGATGGCCAAGCAGAGAACATGTCCAACGTTGAGGAATTACAGCCTCCTATTCTGCTACGACCAAGAGATGATGTTACCCTCATGTACAAACTAATCCCCGAGTATGGACCTGAGTCGTATCTCTCGACAACGGCTTTGGTCAGTATGCTCGACATTTCCCTTGAAGGGGTGATAAATCTATCTGGTGATTGCCAACCTCGAATTGCCATGCAATGGCGAACAAATGTTGATTTTTCTATGCCTCTAAACCCGACATTTGGCGGACCTAGTCAGACATTACAGCGCAATAATCGGCCAGCCAGTTTGCCCGTGACTCCTGGACAAGGTGGCTCATCGTCGTCAACAAGCGCAGCCAATCGTAGCTCTTATCGAGAGCGTGCTCATTCTATCACTCAAGGGGGTGTTACTATTTCATTCTCCGGACCCGCAACTGTCGAGGTTAGCAAGCCATTCCAATGGGATGTCTTCATTGTAAATCGTTCTAATGCTCCTCGGAAATTTGCAATGATGGCAATTCCTCGACGGAAACGAGTCGACCCTCGCAGACACGTGGCGCGGCCCTCGTCGTCCTCTGTATCAAGCAGGAAGGAGGACCGCCTTGCAGAAGCTGTCACTGACGAGAGTATCATTCACGCAATGCAGAAGAATGCCTCTGGGCAAGATGCGGACTTGATTTGTCTGAGCACGGAACTTAGGATAGGGTATGTCACTCATGATCCCCATATGTGCAAGAGGCACGTAACTCACGGATTGACAGGCCTCTCCTCCCTGGCACTTGCCATTCCACGGAGCTGATCCTCCTTCCATTAGCCACCGGCAGTCTTCACTTAGAGGTGGTAAGGCTGGTGGACATGAATACTAACGAGACGATCGATATCAGGGATCTGCCCGACATCGTGTCCTTGGATAGAAGCGCGTAACGAAGATACATGAGCAATGCCCACTTGTACATACTCCGGCTGGCCCCATGAATGCTGCTCTTTTCATGCCTAGAAATGATATGTCAAGACATGAATCGAATAATGTATTATTATAGATATAGTGCCATCTAATCAATACAGATCTGTCATTCTGGTTTCTAATATAAGCTGTTCAACGAATATGAGCGAATTGTTTGTGCAGCAAGGACAAGCAACGCTAGTAGGGTGTAACGAAGCTGCAACGCAAGAGGGAATATTGTATGCAGATTGGCTGACAATAATAGCACAGGCGGGCTCTGTAACATCGACAAAGGCCGCAGATCGGCGCCTGAATGGCTTGCCGCCTTTTGGCCCGGTGCAGCCGCCATTCCACGTTATCGATTACACTTCCTACTCCCTCATCTCTTCTTATCGAGATTCCCATCTTCCACATCTTTATCATTTCGTCGACGACATTATCTTGGACTAGCCTGGAGCTTGGCTTTTGGGGCCCTCCGTCAACTAAGCAGTTATTGCGTCCCCACCCGAAGGCGTCTTCCTTGTTGGCCGTGGTGATCCTGATTTTTGCGTCATACTGAGGTCCACCCCGACCGCTCTTCGATTCAAGATTCGACCGCAATAATTTACGAGGCGCTCACAATGCCCTTCAACATGTTCGACAAAGTCGATACCACTCGCCGCAGGGTTCTAAACGGTCTAAATCGGAGATACATTTATGGGCGCTTGGTACGTGTTCTTCAGAGAGCGTCGACGACTTTGATGATGGCGAATCACTCACTGACAACGCCTACTGCTTGAAAAACAGCCTTTGCTCCATACCATTATATTCCTCGTCGAAATGGCGGTCACAATGCGGCTAGCAGCCAAGTTCAACTCGTACTATGCAGAGAAGCCGGGTAAGCCGCATTATTCGTCCGTTGTCGTTTATATGGTGGCATAACTAATTTTCCATCCTGCTACATCTAGTCCTAACTACAATGGTGACCAACGCCGTGAGTACACACCATCGCTGGTTAAATTCGACTAATGGGTCTTGTACTAATAAGAACTGGGTATAGGTATTGGGTGGCATTGCGGATACGGTGGCACAAACCATTACAGCCTTCAGAGCGCGTTCATCACAGCGCTCGTCAAACTCGGACAGCGGTATTATATCGATTGAAATTCATGATTTCGATAAGGAGAAGCCTTCGCAATGGGGTGAGCTAGGATATACAAAAAGCCAGCCACCTCCCTTTGACTTCGAGAGGTTGACCAGGTTCATGGCATATGGTTTCTTTATGGCACCAATCCAGTTCCAGTGGTTCGGCTTCCTGTCGCGTGCTTTCCCCATCACAAAGGTGTCGGCAACCGGACCTGCTTTGAAGAGGGTGGCAGTGGATCAATTGATCTTTGCGCCATTTGGTACGGTGTACCTTCTGTCATTGTGATCTCTATACTGATAGTATTAGGTCTATTTTGCTTTTTCACCTTCATGACTCTCGCAGAAGGCGGAGGCCGACGGGCATTAGTCAACAAATTCCGTGACGTCTATCTCCCGACTTTGAAGGCGAATTTCATTTTGTGGCCTGCAGTTCAAGTCCTGAACTTCCGCGTGGTCCCCATCCAGTTTCAGATTGTGAGTGAATTCGAATTAGCAAGCCTAGTGGGTGGTTCTAATGCTTAAACAGCCCTTTGTTTCCACGATCGGTATCGCATGGACTGCATACCTCTCGCTCACCAACTCTTCGGGGAAGAGTAAAGCGATCTTTCCAAGCTGGAATCAGTACTCTGGGTAGACAGCACGTTTCGAATGTCAGTTTAGCAGTTTCATTCAAGCTTTGGTGTCACAGCACACCCAAAACATGTTCGGCGTAATTGAGTGTTCGGTGTTGTCAAATGTCTTTTTGTCGTACGGTCTAGGTTGCTTCTCTATACGAGACGGCATATTGCATTGGGCTCTTAGGGAATGGTGTCATTGTTGTCCCCTTGTTGTCCCCTTGTTGTCGTCAGGTTCTAGCTTTCGTCATTTACGGTGGTAGTTCGGCAATGTTATATGTGTTTTTCTCTTGAGCAACTCAACGACCCGCAGTCGTGGTATCCATTACCTCGGATGTGTTCTCTGTAGCCAATCAATTAAACTACATGTCTTCGTGTATGGAAGCAGCCATCAAGAGCGAAGCTCACGTCCCGATCCGCTCCGTCAGCATCTTTCATCTCACGATTGACATCAGTCCCGCATCAGCCCGAGCAGCGGGATGGGCCATGTATCATCCCACTCAGGCTCTGCGCTCTCACCGAAGCCCCACCAGAGGTTTAATTATTCTTGTGCCCCGCCAACCTCACGCAAGCACTTCTTATACTCGTGTACGGTTACTAGAAAACACCTGGGAGTCTACGAAAGAGTCTTTGAGGGTTTGGCATTTGTAATATTCTGACACATTGCACGATCGTCCGGCGAGGTGAGCTTTCGCAGGTCCGCCAATTCCTGCCTTGACGTCATCAATCTAACATGGTTTATTAGCTGCTTCTCATCCACCATGTCTCTCACCAACAAACTTGCCATCACCGACGTTGATCTTAAGGACAAGCGTGTCCTGATCCGAGTAAGTCCATTGGATCTCTATTTGGAGGATGTGATTTATTCATGGCGCTATGACTATAGGTCGACTTCAACGTCCCTCTCGACGCGAACAAGAACATCACAAACAACCAACGTATTGTCGGTGCCTTGCCGACTATCAAGTACGCCATCGAACATGGAGCCAAAGCTGTAATTCTGATGTCCCACCTTGGCCGACCTGATGGCAAGGTGAACCCCAAGTACAGCTTGCAGCCTGTTGTCCCAGAGCTTGAGAAGCTACTTGGCCGCGGCGTTATTTTCACCAATGACTCTGTTGGAAAGGAAGTGGAAGAGACTGTCAACGAGGCCACTGGTGGCCAAGTAATTCTGCTGGAGAATCTGCGATTCCATGCCGAGGAAGAAGGTAGCTCTAAGGATGCGAACGGCAATAAGATTAAGGCCGACAAAGCTAAGATTGAGGAGTTCCGCAAGGGACTGACTGCTCTGGGAGACATCTACATCAGTAAGGCCGCTTACTTGCAGAATTTGATTATGTGGGCTGTGATAGGGTAGCTAATTTGTTAATTCAATCCAGACGATGCTTTCGGTACTGCCCACCGTGCTCACAGCTCGATGGTCGGAGTAGATCTCCCCCAGAAGGCATCTGGCTTCCTTGTGAAGAAAGAGCTTGAATACTTCGCCAAAGCCCTGGAGAGTCCTCAACGGCCTTTCCTTGCTATCCTTGGTGGCTCCAAGGTTTCCGACAAGATCCAACTCATCGACAACCTTCTACCCAAGGTCAACAGCTTGATCATCACTGGCGGCATGGCTTTCACTTTCAAGAAGACTCTCGAGAATGTTAAGATCGGTAATAGTCTGTTCGACGAAGCTGGCAGCAAAATCGTCGGCGAGGTCGTCGACAAGGCCAAGAAGAACAATGTGAAGATCATCTTGCCTGTTGACTATGTCACTGGCAGCAAGTTCGGTGCTGATGCTGAAGTTGGATCCGCAACAGATGAGCAAGGAATTCCCGATGGCTGGCTCGGTTTGGACGTTGGCCCGAAGAGTGTCGACCTGTACAAGGAGGCTATCAAGGAAGCCAAGACTATTCTCTGGAACGGTCCTCCGGGTGTTTTTGAAATTGAGCCTTTCGCAAAGGGAACAAAGGACACCCTTGATGCTGCAGTTGCAGCTGCTCAATCGGGTACGATTGTCATTATTGGCGGTGGTGACACTGCAACTGTTGCCGCCAAGTACGGTGTTGAGGATAAGCTGAGCCATGTGTCCACTGGAGGTGGTGCTTCTTTGGAATTACTGGAGGGCAAGGAATTGCCTGGTGTTGCTGCTTTGTCAAGTAAGTAAGCGTTTTTATTTCCAAAAAGCTAGGCAACAAGAGATTCTCTGTAATATCGAATACAATATATCTTTTATATAAAGTCAAAGCACTGCAGTCTTTGCTACATTCTCAAATGACAAATGAGATACCGTACAAATATGGGCTCAGCAATTCCAAACTCTACAAATTCCAAGTTCTGATTGTCGGTGTAATTAGCAGAGAAAAGTACATCGAACCTCTAGGAAGCCTAGAGCAAGGAAGTAATAATTGGTAAACAAGAATTCAATGATATCGAATACCCCGGGTCTTCAACCTTTCATAACACTAGAAATACTTTCTTACGATAACCAGCTTCTTGTCTTCCAGATATGGGAGATATGTAGATTTTCATCAGTGGTTCCATTCGCAGCTTCTTTTGACTGCGAAACTTGAGATGTAGATAATTCAACATGATATTATAGTGCATTTTGGCCGTATCAAGCGCTCGATCTATTATCTAGAAGGCCGTTCGCAGGCAGCGTGTGTTCCATCGTCCTCGTTCCTCTCCACTCGGCGCTGTTCTACTTGGCGCCTTCAACCTTCTTTATTTCTTCCCTGCAATCCAATAATTGTGAGTGAACCGTGATTTTGCTATAAGATACGCGTGCTCCTTACTTCAATTGCTTGGAGAAATCTTCGTTCTCGTCGTCGTCATCCCAGCTCTCCTCCCACAGATGTGTTTTAGCGCCGTTGGTCGTCGTTGAGCCTTGGCCTTGTTCGGTCTCTTCCTGTGGCCAGTCTGAAAGACAATAAAATGTGTTAGAAGTGAGATGTCGATTAAATCCAAAAGGCTTGCACCTGCCACATTCCTCGGGTTGAGGCTGAGTGGCAACCAGGCACAGTTCATGAGAGGTCGGATCTTTCTTACCTTCGACCGGGAAATCTTCAAATTCATCGTCTTCTTCCAAAACAGGAGGCTTCTGCTTTTGCTGAGCAGGCTGTTGAGAGATATCGCTCTCGGTTGTGTTTGAATTCGACATTGCGGGGCGTGATATGTGTACGGTGTACGAGCCTTGAAGTCGATAGTGCACTCTTGGGGCCGGAGAGAGAGAGCGGGTCGTAAACGCGTTGACTGTGCTTTAAATATTGTATGATTTCCTTGAAGCTGGAATGGTTCTTTGTCTGCAAGTAATAATGATCGATGTCGCGGTCTGTCTGACAATGCGGAGATGGTGAAAGCCAGCTGCTGCTGCTGGCCCGATTGGGTAGGCGGTCAAGCCCAGAGCCGCCCTCCTCGCCATTGGCTCGAGCTCTCTAATCAATATCCAGGCAGAGTCATCAATAGCCACTTCCATTCCTCCTGCAACTTCGTATCATTATTCAAACTAAGCTACCAGGTGTAGTCTGGCGGCTGCATGTTTGCCTACTCTCTACCGGCCCTTTCTGCCCTCGAAAGCCCATATATTACGCTCCCCAGCTCCTGAGGTCTGGTCCTCGCGGAGTTAAAAAGCACAGCCCAGCCGCAGGCCCTGGGACAAACCGCCGGTTGGGGGCCGCCGCAGCCATTCATAAGACTCAAGTTGACTAAGCTTGTTTCCTTCCACTCATCTAGCTTTGGTGTGAGGGTTGCCTCTTCTCCTTCTTCTCAATCACCTCCGTCATATGTTAGCGAATAATACCACAGACTGTGTGTGACGCTGTCGTGGCTCGTGGCTATTGTCTAGAACCGGGACTCATCGGCTGCTGGCATACTCTAGTCCTGAGGCAGCCATTATCTCCCCCCAGCCTCTTTTGTTTGTTGTTTGCACCTGTGATTTTGTTCTGTCTTCTGTCTTTGTGTGCCATTGGATTCCTGGCTGCTGGATGCTTATGACACATGGCCAAGAAAATACCTGCGACTTTGTTGTGTGGAAACACTCTAGCATTCAAATCGAATACAACGCCCCGTAACTTCAAGGAAAACACTGGCTTACTAGGTTCTCGTGTGCTTTGAGACATCCCTCATTGTTTTAAAGCTTCGGTGGCAAACTACAACACAAGTGAATAGCCCGACATGTACCGCATGGGATCATGGCTGTATGGCCGCAATTCCGCCAACTCGTCGTCACAGTCCCTCGACTCAGTTCAACAGATTCTGGACCGTAAGTGGTGTCAACAAACAAATCCTTTAAATAAAGCTAATGAGCTGCTATTGAATAGTTGAACAGGCTATGGCTGGTATGTGTGTTTATTAGATTTGGGCAAATCGTATCGTGGAGTCATGATTCTAATTATATGCCTTATCAGCGGCGACGTTGATTCTCAATGATGATGTCGAAGGTGCTGAATCAGGTCTAAGTGAGGGCGACTCAACCTTCCACAAGGTATGATGCATACCATCTTATTGAAATCTACTTTATGTACTGAAATCAGTGCAGACCGGCAAGGGTGTCGTGGGCTTCATTCGAGCGACCTTAGGGTTCGAACAAGAAATAATGCGCCAAGGTGGGTTATAATTCTGTCAACCTAGCTATACTCACATGACTAATGACTGTCCTCAGCCGCCGAGCGTCTCGCCGAAGCTGAGAACAGTGCGTACAACGATCACCAACGAGTCATCCACGTTTCAAGCACTCCAAATGCCTTTCGCTCACAGATTTATGACCCTGGTACTGAGTACGCACTTTGCCAGGCAATGGTGCAACTCTTGGCAGCAGTCGTCGGTGTTCTCAATGAAAGTCTTACAGAAAGTCTGAAAGGATTTTACAAAATGCGAAAAGCATATATGACCCTGGATGGTATCCTTAAAATGGAAGAAAGATATTTGCAGAACAAGCGCTCGAAGAGTTCACCACTGAATGGATTGGCCTCAGAGTCCAACACACCATCAACAACTACCTCTTCTGCTCAAAGTCCTAACCAATCAAGTCAAGACCTTGCTAAAGATATAGCTCAACTCAAGATTGTGGACGAAAACTCAGGAGACGCACTTTTGCAGGGGCCCAATGTAGAGGACTTCAGCAACCCAATTGACATTTTCATTCACTCGAATTCCAACGCATGTTTTGGCATGTTGCTCGTCATGCTTTCTATGATCCCTCCTACCTTCAGTCGCTTACTGGCTATTATCGGTTTCCGAGGTGACAAAGAACGTGGATTGCGCATGCTGTGGCAAGCAAGTAAATTTCATAGCCTGGTTGGAGCCATCGCTGCCTTGGCTCTCTTAGGGTACTACAATGGCTTCGTTCGATTCTGCGATATCATTCCGGATGTTACAACTGATGATGAAGCTGGGATCGAAGGTTATCCAGTAGAGAGGCTATCGGTCTTGCTTCAAAAGATGCGAGCACGGTACCCAAAAAGTCAGCTATGGTTGCTCGAGGAGTCTCGGATGAAAGGTGCCAATCGCGATCTTGAATCAGCCTTGGAATTGTTGAAGAACAGCAAAAAAAGCCCGCTCAAACAAGTTGACGGCCTGCAAAATTTTGAGAAAAGCATGGACGCAATGTACCTGCATAGGTACGAGGAGTGCGCGAGCTTTTTCATTAAGGTGAGTGCCATGGCAACGATCTCCGAGACTAACCACTAACTCATCATAGTGTGTGGAACTCAACTCTTGGTCCCCCGCTCTGTATTATTACATCGCTGGATCCGCTTATGTAGTTCTATATCGTCAAACAGCCGCGACAGACGCAACAGCTGCTAAGGAATACGCCAAACAGGCTCGAGAATGTCTCCGCAAAGCACCGACACTAGCAGGCAAGAAACGTCTAATGGCCCGCCAATTACCATTTGATGTTTTCGTCACTCGCAAAGTCGCTAGGTGGGAGACTCGTGCCAAGGAGTGGAACGTAGATTTAGTAGAGGCCGCTGCGGCTGGAGTAGACCCGATTGAAGAAATGATTTTCTTCTGGAACGGCTACAGTCGAATGCGAAAAGAGGAGCTAGAAGAATCTCTTGAGAAATTGGCATGGTCCGAGAGCGATGCGAACAAATTGTGGAGCAAGCAAAATGAAGACGAAAAAGCCATTCTCTCCGTGCTTCGGGCAGGGGTTCTACGGTCCTTGCGCAGACATCGGGAGGCCAAGCAGATTCTACAGAAGAAAGTCTTTTCTCACGACCGATCCCTTTTTAAGGGCCATTTGCAAGAAAATTGGATTCTGCCGGTGGCACACTTTGAAATGGCCGCGAATTTGTGGATGGAGCGCCCGAACTATGTGGCAGCTCACAGTCCAAGCGATTCCGCCTTGAAGCCTACAGTATCAAAAACATCGGGCCCATCTCTGTCTGAAACGGAATCGGATATACTAGAACGCGAAATGGTCCAGGAGTGTGAAGAACATCTAGAAAAGGTCGCAAAGTGGGAATCCTATGATCTGGACACTCGCATCGGGCTCAAAGTTACGTCTGCCAAAGGGGCTGTTCGGAAGTGGCATGTGGCCCATCCTGCAGCTGTTTGAATTAGGTATTTGTTATAAATATTTTTCTTGTTCCATTACTGTATTTGGGAGTATTGGATTGATTACGCGGCAGTAGATATGATTCTTGGAATGTTAGATAACTTGATTGCGTATATATGTATAGTGATATTGAAGATAGAATAGACAAGGCATGTCCTTAGTAGTAGTCCTCTCTCAAATACCTTATCAACTGACATTGTATTATATCACAGTAAATTAAAGAAACTATCTATATAGTATTTACTGGCTTTAGCCAACGGGAAGGGGGTTTTCTGTACGTAATCGTCCCCTTCAAATCATGATAATATCACAAGTTTAATATGTCGAAATGGCATAAACATCGTTTCGCCATAAGCCAAGATAGGGAAAGAAAGGAAGTAAATCGAGCTTATTCAGGATAAACAGATGCTCTCGACCACTTCCCTCTGGCCCTAATCCTTCGGCCATAGATGTAGAACAAAAACGGAATCGGAATCAACGCAGCCGCAATAAACCCCAAAGTGCTCGATGCCCAATTTATCCCGAGATTATGATACATGCCATCCGTGAAGAGCGGGAATGCCGCAGCGAAGATGCTGCGGAGGAAAGTGTTAGCAGCGACTGCAGAGGCAGCGGTTGAGGCAAAGGTATCAATGAGATAGTTGAGAGCTCCTTGGAAAATGGTGAAAAATCCTAGACCCATGCAAACAGCACCAATGACGGGGCATATCCAGTGAATATCTTTAAAGGAAGTCCACCCAAAGATGAACAATCCTGCGCTAAAGGCGATAGATCCGATCATCATTGGAGGAAGGCGGGCTTCAGGCACAGGCCGGTTGTTGTTTTGTCGGAGTCGTTTTACGTAAAATTTCTGATTGAAGATATTGATGAAGGCTCCGCCAAAAATTCCAACTAATAGACCCAGAAAAGGTAATGCTCCAACCACCTGGTTCCACCCACGTTTTTCTTCGAATTCGATAGGGAAGGCTGCCAGGTTGAGGTAAAGAATACCATAACAAAAGGACGCGTACAAGGCGACAGAGAAGCATATGGGGGTGAATAACAGAGCAAAAGGTCGGATAAGGTACTTTTGGGCCATCTCCTTCAAACTCACATCCCATTCTTCATGTTTGGCATGTAATGCCCAGTTTCCAGTCTCGTAACGAAGCCGCCGTGCTTTGTAGACCAGTAACGTGGCCGGGTATGTCTCGTCGATGAAAATAGCGTCCACGAGTAGTATAAACATCATGTAGATACCTGTGATCTATATCCCAGTCAGTGTCTTATGGGTAAAAGGAAGATAGACAGATTTGTCTACCGCTTATTTACTCACATATTCAGTCCACCTCCATCGCAAGTAGCTTTGGACAATGGCACCACCGACGATAGGTCCCAGGATAGGTCCACCCACGACAGCCATTGCATACCCAACAATAGCCGCACCTCGCTGTTCAGGAGACCAGAGATCACCGAGCACACCACCAGTATTGGTCACTGGAGCAGATCCAAAAAAGCCAGCAAAGAAACGGGTAATCAATACCGTCTGAATGTCCTTTGCAGTTGCTGTGCCAAAGGAGAATATCGCAGCGATAAAATAAGGAGTCATTACGGCTGCCTTACGTCCGTATATTTCTGACAATGGAGCCCATATAAGGGGGCCAAACCCGAATCCAAGAAGCAGAAAGGTAACACCAAGCAGACTGACTTCTTTGCCAACGTTGAAGTCGTGGCTGATCTGACTTATACCCGGAGAATAGCTATGGGTCCATTAGGACAAAATATCCAATCAATAAACAGAGATAATACACCTACACAGCACTAGCCCAGGTTGCGCCTGTTCCAAAAAAAACCGTCAGCATTGAGCCAAAGAACGAAAGATCCTAAGTCTCGCTTACCCATCGTAGTCAATCCATAGAGTACTGTCGTCACAGATTTCTTATAAAAACCCCAGTTTCGCGGATGATAAGGGTCGTCCGGCCCTTCAAAGTCGACTAGCACATCCGGAGAAGTCTTGGTATGGGAAAGTGGATGAGTGAATTTGGCGGTTTGGCCGGGTTCTCGACTTCGGATCCTTGATATGATAGATTGAGCGCGCTGGTTAAACGAAGAAGATGTAGAGTTCGCGGTTGTTTGCTTTTCCAGGTTCATAGGGAGACCGTCATCAACCTCGCGGGGTTCGTTTCCGTCCAAATGCGCATCTGGAATGGAGGAGGCGTCATCATGGTTGCTGTCCGAAGATGTCGTGATTGGTTCGAGAGGCATGATTAGATGGTTGGATGTCAATGCGACAGGCCCCGCGGAGCAGATGAATCAATTGGTATCAAATATACAGAAAGCCAACGTCTAAAAAGTATATCCCAGAAAAAGAAATGTTTAAATAGCCTGTCATAAAAGGCGTATTATCTTCAAATGTCGAACAAATGACAATTACAGGGCAGCAGTGGATTGGCTATTTATCAGTACTCTACTGAACTCACAGAATATGATCTTCATGGGAGTACTGGACCATTTAAAGCTCCGGGCTGACCGATGCGGTGACTGATGATGACTCAGGAACTTTTGAGAATAACAACCAGTCCCGTGAAAAAGGATGAGGTGCAGAAGCTCGCTGGCCGCGTTGAAGGATTACCGGCTAGTTGACGATCTGCGCGAAAGGCCGAATTCATATACGCTGCGAAAATCCGCTAGTTGTGAGGACTTGTTGCGATGTTGCCGCTTAGCCGATAACGGCTGCCAGTATTGGCGTACTCGACGCCGGATTTGATAGGGGGTGTGTTGGCACCCTACTCACGAAACCCCGCGTTTTCCAAGTAACGAAATCATTGAAGATCTGTAAAGACATCAGACAGAGTAATAAACAATAAATGCCGGAGTCCTTGAAGCAGTTGCGTGTGCAGTTATCTGGCTGCTTGAACATGACTATTCTCGGGCCGGATAATAGATGACGTCGCCTTGCGCCGGATAAATTTAAGCTTTGACTCCGCAGCAGCCACGGATATGCCCGAAGATCCCCGATTCGCTACGGTGACCGGACTATAAAATGTATACGTATCCTGTAAACAATAATATCTGTTCTCCAGTACTTAGTAGTCAGGATTGAAGGAAATTTGCTTTGCCAAAGTGCCAAGATGTGTTCGCGTATAAATACACAAAGGGTTCTTTGCATGAAAAGAGAAATGCTCGTTACACTGGATCTACCTAAAGCTCCAGGAATATTTTTACCACCCAGCCGTGAATCAAATAGAAACCCATATCCGATCCCAAAATAACTTTTCCAGCATGGAATCCTTAAATATTAATCAGTAAGTTGTTGTCAATATGACCACCGTCCATCTCGTCACCATCCACAGCGCCAAACTCCCAGTCGCCTCGCTGAATCCGACTCACACGGTCCAACTCGCCCTGGTATTCGCGACGGAGATGCTCCAGAGTCACGATGGCCCGGTGTGGATTCGGCCGGTGTTTGTAGCCTGGCACTTGTTGAGTATGATCGCCGGACACAGAGCCGCTACTACGTCGGCGAACAGAGGGGCTCGAAGGGTCGCGAGACGGAGTGGCATCTTCCATTAATACATCGTCGTCGTTGCGTTTCCCTGACCCACTGGTGTCTTTAAATGCCGACATGGACTCGGAGATATGCGGAGAAAGGTCCACCAGAATGTACGCCTCATTCTTGTCGACACATGCCAGGAGATTAATCAAGGACAAGAGTTCGTGTCGAATTTTCTTGCTCTCGAGATCATCCTCCTCTACCAATCGCTTAGACTCATCGTCATCAATTTGGCCGCGTCGAAGAAGTGCCCACTGCGTCAAGGGAGCATCTCGTGCGTGTCGAAGTCGCTGAACTGTCTGATAGCCTAGCTCAGCAGCCCCGCGAAAATCGTTGCGCGCAATACGGTAGGCATACAATATGCGATGATAGTCCGGGGTATCATTTGTTTCCTGCCATTGGTCGACAGGGTCTAAAGAAGAACTGAAGAATGACTGTTTCCTTGCCAGAGACAAAAGAGCCTCGTCTACATGAGACGAAAGACTAGGTGTGAGGCCAATGGGGAAGTGAAGAAGTTGCTCAAGGCCCGATAATCCAGGTCCATAAGAAGAAACAATAGCGGTGATGAGAGAGGTAAGGGCAGACTTTTGTAAAGTAAGGTTAGTGTAGCGCGAAAGTGCCGAATATGCTTTGTCAAACTGACAAGTCCTCAACGAAGCGTGGAATAGTCGAGAGAGAATATCGGTCCGAAGATTCTGATATTCTGTGTCATTTGGGGAGTTCTGGTTTTCAACCTCTAGAGCCTGTAATGCCAAGGAAGCAAAATCCGAGACGTGGGAAAATGAACGAGCTTTCTCGAAAACGCTTAGTATATGCTGGAAATATTTTGGAAGACCGTTGTTGAAATTGTCAGCATCAAGTATGTCAAGAAGACCAGATGACATTTCGCTCAGGTCTCCAAGAGCCCGGCCAGAAGCTGCTGATGAATTAGTAATTGCCAATTTAACCAAGATACAAATACTCACAAAGCAGATAAGCACCCTTTTGGAAGTATAGGGCTGCTGTATCAAATTCCGACTTGGCAACGAACAGCCGGCCTTTCACATAGCTAGACCAAGCATTACTTGGCTGGAAGCGTAGAAATTCACTGGCAAGTTCGATATTCCCATTCGCTATCAAATCGCATTGTATATGCACCAGAACATTAGACAACATTACGCCTCCTGGTCGAACAATCCAAGAGAGTACATCCCTAATACTCTGGGTCAAGTTAAAGCTCTGAGCGAGGTTGACGTTAGGTCGAGGTTTTATGTTGGCGACGAAGAAATCTTCGAGTATGGATTTGACAGCGCCAATTTCGTTCGACTTGATTTCCTTATCGACATTATCATGCTGACTTCGGTTCGGTGATATCCGAGTATTAGAGCTTAGCCAGTATAATAGTTCAGACTCCTTGATAAGACTTATAAGTCGTGGGAACAGTTCTGCCGCATCGAATGTTGAGCCTTCCTCTTGATTAATTTCTCCCCCAATAAAGACAACCAAAATAAGAAGGTCGTGTAAAATTTGGCGGATATGAGATATTGTTTCCTGAGACCCGTTTGTCATGGTCCTCACCCCAAACGCCGTGAAAAACAATTCCGAGTCTTTGGCCGTGAAACCAGAAGGTAATGTTTCCAAGATACTCTCAAAAGGTTCTTTCCGCAGTTTGTATATGTTTAGTTTCTCACTCATAGAGGAGCACAGGGCATTGAAAGAATCATCTGAAACCTGTTCTCCGAGCTCTGATCGATCTACAAAAGCTGCGAGGCGTTCCGTAGCAGAGAGCAAAGGCTCCAAGAATATTTCGCTGTGCAAAGCTTTTTCAAATGACCGTATTGTGGTTGCAGAAAGCCGCTTCCTGAAATCAGTTGCAACTTTGACAAGATAACAGGCCTCTTGGTACTGTTTCCCAAGCTCTGTTTCAAAATTGCGGTGTCTCCAGCGATCAGCAATTTTCGGTAACTCGTTTTCTAAGTCAGACACCGAGTTATGCAGTAGCAATTCAGTGGCACTGCATTCCCTGATCAATGCACATGTGTCCGCAGTAACCACCCAAGGAAGGTCATTATAAAGATCATACGCTAACGATACTGGCTCGAGTCTCCGATTGTTTATTTCTTGAGCAATTTGCCAGAATTGACGCCACTTGTGGTCGGTGTCTGCTCGATACTTTGCATAATCCATGTCATCATCAGCGTATTTCCGCAATGATATAGATGCCGCAAGTGTCGAGCATAGACGCTCTTGCAAAGGCGCATTTCGCTTGGGAAAACCTAAGGAAGAACGTGGTTTCAAAGCTTCCTGGTAGGAAACCAAAGCTGTTTCCAACACCTCACTTGTGTAGCGTCCTGGGTGAAACAAGAATTCTAACCATTTTTCCGTGGGGTCGACAGTATCTGATAATATCAAATGAGGAGCTGGCTCATTCCGCCGGGTATCCCAAGCTGTCGACGTCCAATTATTAGACCAGTCTTCCTCTAAGCTCTCAAAGCCAAAATGTAGCGTGTAGAGTTGATAGAGATCGTTATTGCGCCACAGCACCCACAGTTCCATTCGCCTTCCTTCTTCCATTGGTCGTATTTGAAAGTCAGCAACGCTCCAGAACATATTTCCAGTCGTGTCAGGATCCAGCGGTCTGAATACAGCCTCGGAAAAAAGATCTTCAATTGTCAAAGGAGCAGTCAAGCCACCTTTAACAGCCCAGAACTTAAAACGCCCCTCTTCATGGGGAGTATATGTGGCAATGTAATATCGATACCCTCCATCTAATGCCCTTTCAGCATTAAACACCCGAAGGAAAGTCGAGTCTGCCGGATTCAAGAAATATGCTGTCGACTCCTGCTGCTGTTTGGTGATAGGACGATCTAAAAGATCTTTTGAACCAACCAATTTATTCGTTGCAAGATTCCAAACCTTCAATGTATGATTTAGACAAACCGCAAAGACGTAGGTCTGGTCTGATGTTGTAAATATGGCATTTGGGGTATTCGGATCGAGGCTGTGTCCTTTATACGTTATCCACTGTTGGGCGCTCCATGGCACGAGCCCACGAAGTGATGCTCCCCATGTCTTTTCATCGAAGGTAATCTGCGACCAATGCGATCCTAGAGGTAGAATCACGTTAGATTACAAACAAATAAAATCTTATAGAGCCATACCGTCTTCTCCCGCCCGTCGAGTCAGTCTCAGAAGGGCGCCGTTCTCGAGTGCGATGAATAGTTCCGTCGTGCTGCTTGCATGAAGGCGATGAGGATAGGTGAAAGACAAAGGCGACGGTACGAATGATTTGCACCAGTCATGAATATTCTCATCTATTGATGAAACACGCCGGAAGAACTCAGGTCGAAGACTCAACGTATACAGTTGCTTGGAAGTCGTCAAAACAAAGACGTTCAGCACCTCGTGGTCTTCGGTGTCCGCCAGGGCTACACCACAAGGTATAATTGTCTCCTGAAAGTCGAGGCGAAGTACGAGATTGGCTTCATGGTTATCGACAACGCTCTTTGATATGTCCACTGACTGAATCTCCAGCACCTTGTTATCATTGACCACCCTCCAAAGGAACGTGCGCGGGTAAACTCTTCGGCGACGAAAGTAAAGAGACCCTTGAGTAGCCAAGTACCGTCGCGCGAAATCTTCCTCATCTTTGATTGTAGTTGTGTCTTGGGCTGTAATCGAAGAGAGAGCTAACCGTACGCGCCGCTGTGTGTTTTCGTGAGTAGGAATTTGGATGTCAACCCCCGTGCTTGCTTCGACAGGTCGCACGTCGACCTTCGTCTCCTTGTAAATTTTCGCCATTTTTGGCGATGATCATGTGCAAATCAAACCAGGAAAAACTCAGGCGTAATCTGCCATGCCCATTGTCAGGTGGTGTTGCAGCGCAAATACTGTTTTCAATGTTTCTTCCGTGGATTTCGTGGCGGCGGAGCTTTGAGAGCTTGTTAGATCTCAAGCCTCCATAGACTAATTCATACTAGCGTGTTCTCCCGACAACCACCAGTCCCATTACAGGGTGTCTCGCAGGCGTCGTCTTATTACTCGGTCCTTTCCTGGTTCATGAGACAATTAGAATTATTTATATGTTTAGATTTATCTATACATGCTTGACTATCGATGCTCCTTTGCCATGTAAGGACACTACTGAGGAATCAAACTAATTGTGTGCGGGTCGTGAGCTTGCATCAGTCATTGGAGAAAAATAGGCATGGTGCGAGACCTCCCTACTCATTTTCAAGATCCTTGGGACTAGGATCGCCAATTCCGTCTTCCTTGATTGCAAATAAACAATCACTCTCAGGTAAACAGGGACTATCGTAGATCTTGCATATTCTGGTTTCTCCCCGTCCTTTCTTCAAACTTAGTCGAGTCGTACTCGCGTGAGCAATGATGTTTCCACCGATGGGCTTCTTTGGATCTGGATTGAACATTGAGCTAGGGCCACCGTCTACTTGAGACACGACTTGATTGGTAATGACCACCGCAATTCCAAACTCATCCGCTAGTCGCTGCAGTGTTCGCAAAAACTTGGCGAGATGAGTCTGCCGGTTGGATAGCTCCCCACGGCCGTTGAAGTCCGTTCGATAAAGAGCAGTTGCAGAATCAACGATGAGCAGCGAGAATCGAGTTTCGCACATCATCTGAGATGCTTGGTTGAGAAGTTGAAGCTGATGATCTGAGTTGTAGGCCCGGGCATAGGCAACATTATCCAGGACCTCCTCTCCTACAAGACCGTATCGCTGGGCAACGGCTAACAGCCTGACTGGGCGGAAAGTACCTTCGGTATCAATATACAGGCACTTCCCTTCACCGCCGCCCATGTCGAATGGGAGCTGACATGTGACGGCGAGTGTATGACACAGCTGGCTCTTCCCTGTTCTAAACTCTCCGAAGATTTCGGTGATCGAACCGGTCTCGATACCTCCTGCTAAGAGAGTATCTAATTGTTTCGAACCAGTAGTGATCGAGATAAGCTCACTTCGGCGAGCATGCATTTCTGTGGCGGTAGTGAAACCCATTGGAACGAGCTTGGAAGCTAGACTTGAATTAACAGCTTTCTCTCCAGGGTACCAGTTTAACGTACCTTCGGCTAGAATTTTGGTAGCTTTCTGTTCAGAAATACCCTTGATCTGTTCTAATACCCGTTTTGGTCTGCATAAATCAAACCATCAGCCAGTTGCAAATAATAGGCTATCTAAACACAGGAAGTACTTACGTATAAGCAACTGATTCTACCGTGTGAAACCCTCCATCAATTATCAGTTTAACATCTCTCGCCGTCAAACCGGCAATTCCCTGTAGAGATAGTTAAAAATTCGCTCATATTCTTCAGCTTGCCATGCCTTTAAGCCGTGACATACCTCGAGAGCTGTGAGGGGTGTGGGTGCACCGGGGCCTGGCAGACCGCCGTCATCATGGTCCATATGTTGCTCAACTTCGCCAGTCATCTTTGTCTTCGTTGCTTTCCGCTTTCACTGTTTCAAAACTGCGGTACTTAGCAGGGCTCTGCTAATTCACAAGAATGAACGCGTCTTCACAGAACCCAGGGTACTTAGGTACTGAAAACCCGGGAAATATGCGAACAATCTATTGAGTCCTTAATTCCTTTATGAAGATTTTGGTCACGGAGGGGTCGTCTCAAATATCTTGATTGATTTCAAAGGTGACTCGGGCCATTATTGATAATTGGACGCGTAGCGGCAAGAGGCACGTCGCGTTGTCACGTGATTTCAATATTACTGCCTGCTGCCTAAGGTTTTCGGTTTTTCATTAGTAGAAATATGTCATTCATTAACAAATAACTATCATTAATCAATCAACGCTATGTCCTTTTTGCTAAACCCAAAGCTGCTGGCTTCTATAAACGTTGATGCCGCGAGTTCTCGACAGGTATATGAATGCATTCCAATATGTGATAACCCCACGCTTTCCCGACTGATATCATCCAAAAACAAAAAGAATAACAAAAAGTAAACCACTTGATACCCATTCTCTTGAGTTGGCGAAGAAGTTGCCTTAACAGTCGTACGACGACGTGTTCTCGCCAGCACTAATGTGGCAGAACATCAACTTGGCTAGGCTGCTTACATGATGATGGTTAAAAAGGTGTGTAGGCTGTATAGCGACGTTGTTGACTTCGGGGTGCTCTCGGAGGCGATGGGCTCGGTGTGTTTATCGAAGAGGAATCAACCTTGAATGACGTCAAATCGCGAGGAGGTGTTTGCTGTGTAGGGTTATAAATGCCCTCAACAAGAACACCACTTTCCAGTGCTCGAGCCCCAAATAGCACATCACTCTGACCATATTCCTGTCGATACATGGTTTGGGCTCGATCGGCCATTTCTGTTGAAGCTTGAGTGTAGAAGCGCATCTTCCATCTATTGAACCAAGCGACAAAACCGCCCACGATGATAACAATGACCTGCTATGTTTTAGCGAATATCCAATCTCGTTCAACGCTAAGATAGATAGATACCATGGCACATGCCAGTATCTATGTTCAATCTCGAATTAGTTCACATCCAATCCATGCCATGTTATTGAGTACGTACAAAGACCATTTGCTCCCAAGACTGCCATCCTGCCCAGAAAGTCATCATGGGGAGGGAATAGCAACACGACCGTTTTCAAGCTGGAACAGGTCTTGGTGAGCTGGAAAGTGGTATGAGAATGATAATGCTTCACCGCAAATGAAACTGTAAAAAGAGTGATTGTAGGACGGCAGTATGATCGGAATGATATTCAGGTGCGGTGATTGTTTATAGCCTGCTCCTTCCACTTCTACTAGCCCACCGCTCTCAAGGCGTGACTTCCTAGTCCACTGCTTGCTTTCTGTAAAAGCACTACTTTGGGCTATTCCGTACACGCTACCTTCAATGTTTGCTTCATTGCCACCAGACAGTATTACCAAATCTAATATTTGCCTGGGACCTTGTAAGGAGAAGTATGTTCGTACATTGTATATCATTATAATCCAAGCCTCTCTGTTCAACGATATGATTACGGGAAACACTGCCAATGGTAGCGATGGATATTTCCCAAGAAAATAAACAAGTGTTACATGCCTTATCCTCCGCACAATCCGACAATCAGCGAGCGTGTTCTGTAGCCCCTACAAACCTTCTGCGCCATAAGTTGTTAAAGTAGAATAGTGTAAACGAAGATCGAGGGAAATGTATATAATAAAGGTCTCTATACCTCTGCCGTGGGTGATTCGGGTTTAAAATCCCCAAGTTCTGCACCTTGACCACTTTGTCCCCTCTTTCGACCTGGAAGACGGAAACCTAAGTGTGAAGAAGGTGGTCGGTTGTTGCTGCTAGTCGCTTCGGTAGAATTATCGCCAAAGCGAGCAAAAAGGCCCCTTTTCTTTGGTTTGATATCTTCGTCGGCTAATCTTACATCTTCAAAGGTCTCCTCCTCCATAGACTGAGGCTGTTCAAATGAGCCCCTAGAACGCCCATTGTGTCGAGGAAAGCGCGAATCTAAAGAGGTGCGAGGGGGGATGTTTTCGGATTGTGGAACAGGGGATCTGGCGGAGATATCCTGTGACACTCGAGTTAGAGAAATAACGCATTGCACTGAGAGATGATTCGCACAAATGATCGTCGGTACGAGTCAAAGGACTCTCGACTTATGGAAAATGGCTCATTCTCGTTGACGAGATTGCGATGGTTCGACGATGCGGGGGAATGAGAGTATTTGTGCCAGAAGCTCTGCTTTTCTGGCGGTGATGGCTAATGGAGTACGTAATTAGACCTAATTAATTGATTCAATCGAGAAGATGAAGGTACCGGAAGATAAACTCCACTGTCATTGACCACTGGAGGAAGATTCAGCCAAAATGTCCATCGCAGTTGCTTATCGGAAATTTGGTCATGATGCGGGGAAGCACGCACCACTCAGTTTATACTCATTTGGAACCTCTTCCCTGCTCTTTCGAAAGTTCATAGGTCCACTGTGCTGGCTGTCGACAGACAATCGAGACTGCACATTTTCAATAACATCACTGTTGTCTCCGTCGGACACAGCGGGCTTTCGCCCCAGTAAATTGCGTAATTGCGGCATGGCAATCGGACGGGTTCGCGAGATCGAAAAGCGTGATAAGATTGGAGCGCCAATTGCTGCGATATGGTTGAAGTCCAGGCAGTCGGAAGTTTAAAGGGAGAGTTGTGTGTTTCAGAGCATGAAATTGCGACGCCAGGATTAACCGATGGAAGGAAAAGGCTCACATGATCCGCACATGGTTAAGATGAACACGCCCTGCTCCGACATACATTTGTTGTGAATGACATGGCCGTGGCCCACTCCAACATGGTCGGCACACAGCCCGAAGATCAGCGGGGACCCTTCCTCCAGCCATGGCCTGGTGTGGCTACATTGTATGAAGTATTACGATCATGCGGAGCATCGCTGCAATGGGAGTGGTTTGTCGACAATGCAGTCCAGCCGGTTACGTAGGATGTGCTACTCCCACTATCATCATTCGTATTGTCATGGCATTGATATTAATCCCGAAGTAGTCTGCTGCGATCGATCGATCGTATATCTTCATACACGGAAGCTATGACGTCGACGTCTGACACCGGGATTGTGACAACGCCAAGGACAAGCATTGGATTATCTTGTATGCTAATAAACTGAGCACTAACTAGCATACCAGTTGTTGTCATCGACAAATCAATTGAAACCGGCCATGTATGTATGTTGGATAATTGTGTGCAGTCTTCGATACCAGTTATGAAGCACATTATGGGAGGACCCACTATCTGTGACGGATAACCAAGTGGGAGGACAGCTGTAGGCTGGGAACCTTGCTCGGCGCAAGCCAACGGGTGAGCGTGTCTGGTTCGAGTCAGGGAGCGGCGGCTGCAACTCGTTGGATAACCACGATTGTCGCACTGCCTTAAGCAATGGAGGAGAATCCTCAGGGAAGCAATTCTGCAAGGAACCCTCCACTCTGTGATGGCGGCACCAGATGGCACCTCCTCGTGCTAGGCAACTGGCCATTGGGCTGTACGACTTCTTTTTTTGTTCTTTCTCTTTTTATCTATTTATTGCTTATTGTTTTATCATATTACGTTAAGTTGTCTATTAATTGTTCATAGAAAAGAGACCGTACGGGCATACCTCTCTTTTGGAACGCTCATAATGGCTTGCAGGTGGGCTAGGCCGGGAAAAAAATTTTTGTCGACCGGGTGGCGTAGTTGGCAGTATATACCTGAAGGCCCTTAATAATTATAATCTTAGCAAGTAGGGTGGGTTTTTAAGGATAATTAGGGATAGTGAGTTTGAATCTTGCGGTTAATAAATGTCACTGCTAAGGAGGATATTAAGGAAGATCTTATTTCAAACAAATTGTTAAAGGGATTGTTAGATTTATTTAAAGCTTTTTCTAGCGATAAAATAATCATTCAAGAGTTTTCAAAAAATAATAAGATTATTCAAGTCAATATAATAAATACCCTTAGCTCATCCTAATAACGAGTAAATAGAGAGAAATATCATAAGATATCAAAGATAGAACCTATATATACTTTTAGGTTTACATTCTGTGATATTGGGAAAAAAAAATAAGGCTCCCCCTCTTCTCTTTCAAGATTATCTAAGTGAATTAAAGAAGAAAAGACTCGTGCGAACTGTGTGGTCGTACAGCTACACCGCCTGCCCCCGGCCCCCCATTCTGCCAGAAAAAAATTCAGGCCGTAAATCAATCGATCCTTCCTCCCGTGCATTCACCACACCTTTTCTTCTTGACTATTTATTATCAATTCGTGTAGTTGGTACACGGAGCATTTCTCGTCATGCCAGGTATCAAACGCAGAGTTGACTCAGCTGAGGACCGCGATGGAAAACGGACTAAGGTCAAGGATGCTGCTGCTTCTGCAGCAAAAAACCGCACTAAGCAATATGTACCTCCGGCATTCCAAAAGAAAGGTATCACAAGAGGAGCGCGCAAAATGAACAGAGATAAAAAGCTTCGCAAAACAAGTACAAAGAAGGCGACGCTAAAGAAAGGTCCAAAGGGTCTGGCTGCTGAGGACGAGGAAGATGATAACCAGGAATCTGACTCGGATATTCCAACCTCTGAGGAATCTGATATTGAAATGGAAATTAAGGACGAAATTGAAGAGGAAGAAGAGGAAGAAGCAAACGACGACTCTTCTCCCAGTGACGATCAGCCCGAATTTAAAGGGAAGGACTCGAACGGTTCTGGTGAAGCTGACAAACGTATGTTTACCCATTCACCGAAAAGGAACGATTTTATTAACCTTTCGCCCCTCTTTAGAAAATGCTTCTCGCGAATCCCATGCCAAACAAAAAGCACTGGCACAGGAGCGCAAGGCAGCGAAACCGAATGCCGACATTATCGCACGGTCAAAAAAGCTATGGGAACGACTTCGTCGCAAATCTCACGTACCCCGGGACGAGCGCAAGACACTGGTTGCTGAGCTGTATGAAATTATCAACGGCCGAGTTAGCGACTTCGTCTTCAAACATGACTCAGTACGAGTGATTCAGACGGCATTGAAATATGCAAACCTTGAACAAAGGAAGCTCATTGCGCGCGAGTTGCAAGGACAATACAAGGACCTCGCTGAGAGTCGATATGCCAAATTCTTACTTGGCAAGTTGTTGGTGCACGGAGATGCTGAAATCCGAGACATGATCATCCCCGAGTTCTACGGACATGTCAAACGTCTGATAAGGCATCCTGAAGCGTCTTGGATTCTCGACGACATTTATAGAACTGTCGCTACTAGGAAACAGAAGTCCAACCTCCTCCGAGAGTGGTATGGTGCAGAATTTGCAATCTTCAAAGACAACAAGGACTCAGGAATGCCGGAAGACCTGGCTCAGATTCTGGCCGAAAGTCCTGAAAAGAGGCCCCCAATCATGCGTCATTTGTATGAGCTCATAAATCAGCTGGTACAGAAGAAGACAACTGGGTTTACCATATTGCATGATGCCATGCTCCAATACTTTTTGAACACGAAGCCTGGTAGCTCCGATGCAAACGAGTTCATTGAATTGATCAAGGGCGACGAAGAAGGCGATCTTGCGAAGAATATGGCGTTCACACAATCCGGTGCTAGACTCACATGTCTTTGCCTTGCATATTCTTCTGCTAAAGACCGCAAGTTGCTTCTGCGATTCTACCGCGATACGATCAAATTGATGGCTGGAGACGTTCACGCGCACATGGTCCTTTTGACTGCATTTGAAGTTATTGACGACACTCGACTCACTACGAGGTCCATTTTCCCGGAGCTTTTGAGTCAAGATGCTGCAGAGTCAACACGCTATGAAGATTTGTTGATGCAGATCAACGACCTCAATGCTAGAATCCCAATACTTTATCTGTTTGCAGGCGACAAGGTCAAATGGCTTCTTCCGGCCCAAGACGAAGAGATCATGAAGCAAGTTTTGGATACCCGCACAGAGACTTCCAAGAAAGACCCGTCTATCCGTCGCCAGGAGCTCATCAAAGCAGCCAGTCCAACTCTGCTCGAATTCATTGCAGCGCAAGCAGAGTCTTTGATGGAGACCAGTTTTGGTTGTCAATTTATCTCTGAAGTCCTGTTCAGCGCAGAGGGGGGTAAGGACGCCGCTCTCAGTGCTATTGCTGTTGCTGCTCAGTCCAAGGCGGAGGCGCAGGACTCTCCCTTCGTTGGTCGAATGCTCAAGTCGCTGGTTCAGGGCGGTCGGTTCAACAGTGCGGAGAAGAAAATTGAGAAAGTCGAGCCGGCCTTAGGCTTTGACACTGTGCTCTACGATAACATCCGGAACGACATCATGGCCTGGGCTACGGGGTCACAGACATATGTTGTCGTCGCATTGGCCGAGTCTGACGAATTCGTGAAGAAGGATGAACTACTCCAGATCCTCAAGAAGAACAAGAAAGCATTGGAGAAAGTGGCTACTGGGCCGGGAGCTTCATCGGAGCAGTCCAAGAAGGCCGGTCCAGCCAGCAGCGGCGCGAAATTACTGTTGACGAAGATCTGATGAGGTTGCATCATTTGTACTTGGCGTATATAATTTGCAGGTTACTTGTATTCCAAACGCTGCCTAAATATCATATCATCATCTCATTTCTCATCAATTGATGCCATACCGAGGCATAGATTCAATTCCACCACAGCCTGGTTGGGGAAAACGCATGCCAGTCGAGTTTGTAACAGCTAGACAGTTTCGGTCCCATACAGCCGCCGATTATGATTTTCCAGACAGTGAATAATAATATTATAATAAAGTGATCGTAGTGTACAGCCAACCAGCGGGCGAGGTGGAGCACCGAACGGTCCAGGCAGATCCTTCCCGCATGCGGTTCAGGGACTCATTTAAGTTCCTGGCACTAGTAATTAATAGTCGTAGTATGTACAGTACCTCCGTACTTACTCTAGTCTTTGACTACTCCTTCTGGGGGCCGCCAATCCTCCACCCTGGCCCTTTTCCTTTCCTCCCCCCGGCCTGCCCTGCACGTTTCGTTTCGTCGCGAGCGTTTCCTTCTCGTGACTTCGTTCAATTGCTTGCCTCGTTGTCCAGTAGGCCGGCCGAACCCAGCTTCATTCCGACAGCATTAATAAATCGCCTGGACTATGTCGTTTGCGGGAGCATAGCTGCAAGGGTGACGGACGGCCATTGACCAGATTTTCGCCCGCCAGCTTTTTAATCACTTTTATTTTTATTTGATTCTTTTTCGCAGGAACGACCTGCTGTATCTATTTTGCATTGATTCGTTCAATTATCGTTCCACATATCCAGCTCATAGCAGCTAGACGTGCCTCCACCATGGCCGCCAATCAGTACGGCAGCCAGTCAATCTTCATCCCAAATCGCTTCGATGCGAAAGAACGAAACACTACAGATGCCAAAAATCTTGCACATCGCAATGACGCGCCTTTGGAAACGCCGCCGTCCCCGACGCTGACAAACCCGGACATGATCCTCCCTTTTGAGAACGAACGCGAGTCCTCAACACCATCTCCCCCGTTTCGTTTCACTTCGTCGGAACATGTATCTCAGACCAACAACCAGTCTGCTGGCTATCACGAACCTGATTACAACAATCGAGGCGACCCGAATCTACAGCCGGGTGGGATGGGTTCAAATGGGAATCGCCCTCCCCGTCTGAGATGGACGTACGAAGGCCACGCTCCGAGTCGACCGCTGTCGGACATTGGAGAGGAAGATTTACAGGCGCTGTCTCCTGCTGTCGGAGGTACATTTCCAAAAGAAGCGCGAGATGTGCATCACAAGGACGTGGACTCTTCTAGTGACGGCTCGGGTTCAACAATTAGTGCAGGTGGCGGTCAATTGGGATGGAGCGCGCAAGACAATCAGCATCTTTCAGTCCAGCCAGATTCTAAACGCAATAGTTATGCCAGTCAAAGCAGTATAGAGGCTGCGCGGGCAAAAGCAAGCGACGCATTAGTTTCAGGGGTTTCCCAACCCGAAGAGGACTCATCTGCTATCCTGAGCAGTGAGGCCGAGCGTATATTGGAGAATGCAAAGAAAAGATTAACTGTAAGCCATAGTGCTAGCCCGCATGATATAACTACTAACCGATTGATAGCTTATGGAGGGAAATCTCACCCGGGCACGCTCATCGATGCGCCTAACACCTTCCCCATCTTCACTCCAGTTATCACCTAGCCCCTCGGGATCTTTACTGCCGACACGAGGCCTGCAACCAGCTGGAGAGCTGTATCGATCAATATCGCAAACTGATCGTCGGAGCTCAATGTATCGAGCTCGCCCTGTCTACGCCACAGCACAAGAATCAGGTCATTCTAGGGGGCATAGCGAAACAAACTTATCAACAGCTCTTGATCCCAGTGCCTCCTCATTGCAACCTTCACGGTCACTAAGCGCGTTAGCTTCTTTTAGTGCATCACAGTACGACATCAATGACAACTCACCTACTTCTGCAGGCGCGAACGGTAGTAGTCGACCAACATCAGCGTATTATCAACCAAAATTGGATGCGCTCAGGGAAGATGATTCTCACAGAACAAGCCATCATGAATCTGGAAGCGACTATGATAGCACCGCAGGGTTGGGGATCTCAACGCGAATGCCAAAAATATCCTCCATTGAGGATTTCAATTCTGCTTATCCATCTGAAGATCCCCCATCTCGTGCGCAATCACAGTTGCAAGTTCGCGATCTTAAAGACCAGGCTGCAGGGCTCAGGACTAAGGTTGCATTGCTGAAGGTCAAGACGCAAGAAGACAATCTTCGACGTCGAAGTCTGCAGAGTCTACGCACTCCCAGTCCATTTACAGCAGCCGAACAGTGGTATATCAGTGCGATGGAACATGAAGATGCGAGCCCTAGTCTGAGTAACAATGCAGGATATGGGTGGATTTCGCACTCGGCAGCCGATCAAGCGAAAGATCGAAGTTCGAGCAACGAAAACGGCTACTCGTCAGGTGATACAACAAAAGAGCCATCAGAGGAAATCTCTGAGAGACACCAAGAAATGGAAGACGATTTTGGAATTGAAGACGACGCCCTGTCCATTCTGGAGAGCACCTATGAAGATGCCGAAGAAGGTGATTTTTATGACGAGGAAATAGACCGTGATGCATTGGATAGGATCTTGAAAGAGCCATTTGATGAAGACGGAGAAAATGACGTCTTCCAAGATTTCCCCTCTGGACCGGCACCCGAAGCAACGCCTCATGAAGACCGTGAAGACGCGTTTGATTACGAGAACTTTTACCTCCACAGTGCACTTGGAACCTACACGCGATCAAGAATGAAACGACGCAGCCACGAATCTACAGGCTCAACCGAAACGACGAGACCTTCCAAAGATCAAGGCTTTAATAAACATGGACGTAGTGGCAGCGGTGACTCAGTGTCTACTCTAGCGACTTTTGCAACAGCTACCGAAAATGCATACTCTGACTACGAAGACGATGAGGATAATGATGCTCAACATGAAATAGACCGAGCGCTTGCCTGGGACCGGGAAAATGAAGATGGTGAGTAATGCAAGGATATCAGCTGGGCATGGCTTACTTACAATAAAAAACCACAGATATAGCCACTCCTGTCCAAAGCCGTAGAGCAACGGTAGTGAGCAGATCCGACGACTCACGTAACCAGGCAGTCCACGGCAATGGCATGCTGACGCCCCCTGGATCTGCGGCTCGCGACGTGCCTAGCCCTGCGACACCTGTCGATGCCTTCATGTCGTCGCTCTCAAGTTCATCCTCTCGACCTCCCTCAAGCTTGAACTCCGATGACACGCGTATCCTTGAACAGATATTTGACAGCCTCGGCAGGGTCTGTACAGAACTGCAGGAACTCACCTTGCCCGACTCGGATTCCAAGAGCGATCCGAAGCACATCCGCACGTTAAGGAGGAGACTCGACGCAGCTCGGCGTGTCCTCGATGGCCAACTAGATTGAATGAAAGACATCTTACGTTTTGTGGATTTTGTTGACTTAGACACAATTTTTACACTTTCTATTCTGTCTCCATTCTTTTGATACCCATTTCCCATGATTTTCTCTGTTTAACTGTGAAATATGCCGCACTACTTTATATACCCCCTTGCTATATAAGTCATGATGTTTCAATTCAATTCAGCTATTTAGAACTTAAGGCGTCCCCCCCAAAAATACGCGTAAGAATAAGTATAGTATATCCAGCTGCAGGTTAGGGTGCGCTGCCCCACCTTCAACAGCTTAAACTGTCCCCGCAGCATCATTAATTTATTAGTTCTAGTCTTCTGCATTGTATCAGCAAAAACCCCTGGCTGCGTTATTTCTTTCTTCTTGTCATCTAAAATCGCCATTGGTGATTGTGTCACTGCAAACAAAAGTCATAATATTCGAAAGGCTTAAAAGCGCGTCAGGCCCGTTAACTCTGAACCTCATCAATCATCTGCCACCATCAACACCAAACGGCAAAAACAACTTCGAAAAAAGGCAAGTAAAGGTTTTTAGAAAGCCATGGCCATGCCACACCCTATCCTCACCCCGCAAAAGGACCCAACATCACCACAGCCGTCATCCTATAACCCTGCATCAACAATAACATCGCCATCTTCGTCCACACCTCCCTACCAACGCCCCAAACGGCTGCTGGTGTTTCAAGAAACGAAGTCTTCCGCATTAGAATATGCCTATGCGCCTGTCAACGCCCAAGGTCTTCCAATAGCGGGCGAGGCGCCGTATTTTCCGGGCTGTTCCACTACGATATCGGATTTGCCGGTGAAGGTTATCAGGTGTTTTACTGAGGTGTTCAATTCGCCGCGGTATAAGAATTGGTGAGTATCAATTAATCTAGTTAATGTTTTTATTGATTTTTCTGCTTTTACTTTTTGTGGGGAAAGGTTGTTGATGAATGTCTAGGGCGATTGTAGCGGCTGGACCCTATCATGATGCAAGCGAGGATGGGAAGTTTTATGCTGTTGTTCTAGAACAGGTCAGGGATCAGCCGTCGAATGGGGGTGATGCGGTAGGGAGATAGACAGATGGAGGGGTTGGAATGGAAAGAAAGTTTTGATTCATCAGATAATGCTCTGAATTTTTGGTCTCAAGATAGAACTTTGTAATTATCGAGGAATTTCATCACTGTAACGTTACAAGTCCTGACAGGAAGTAACAATCATCCAGACATTCCCATTCTCATAACATCAAGCTTAAAATGTAAAAAAGTAGAATAAAACATACTAGAAAAACACAGAGATCGTCTAGCAAAGCGAAGTTCAGATAGCCACCTGTCCACACTGAATACCGACAAACGCCGCCAAAGATTCGGTGATCATACAAGCCGGAATGTGAATGGAAATGGACTTCACGAAGGGAGAGATACGCGTCCGCATCGTAGCCTAGGAAAAAAGAAAACCCTTGACCGTAAAATCATTGCTAGTCATCAATTCATGAAACGCAATCCCGCGACCATCAAACCATCGATCGCATAGCAATCCTAGATGGGAGCAGGTTTGAGAATTTTTGACGCATACTTCAATTCAAAGCAGCGAGAATTTTGGGCATCAAATTGAGCAAGTTGACGTTGTTCTAGGAACCCGACTATTTCCCATTAGAAACTGGTTGGTGCGGAGATAACAACTAAACTTACGTGATAGCTGAATTGTATCGAACCACAGGATAGCGCTGTTATCACTATTTTCCACTGCTTTGAGAAGACCGGTCTCTGTATCGACAACGGTCTTTGGAGGCAGACTACGCATCCGCAAGAGCATGTGGAGGATATCTGAAAACCTATCCCCTTGGCTGGCATAGTACTGGGGTCGTTTATCAAGAGGCCACTGCCCAAAAGGTTAGTGCCTTAAACAATACATATATATAGGCATACTTACACGTCCCGCAAAGCTTTCGTCTTCCCACGTAGTGAATAGCCAACAGGCTCGCTCCACGCAATTGAGGAGAATGACGGCAACCAAAAATGTTTCGAACCAGCCAGTGTGCTGTCGCTGAAGCAGCCGGCGTTCGAGGTCGTTCATAACAACTTTACTCAATTGCCCCGCACGCTTCTCAACGGCACCGCGAAGCTGACTGCATAGAAGGTTGTAAGAATCGACGTTGGCATTACGATCAATTAGCACACGCCCCTCATCAGATGACGGAGCCAAAGTGTTGGTGGCCGTGGGAGGCAATGTAGAATTGTAATAGAGCTTCCACTGCAACTCAGAATCGACAAGGACGTGGGTTGCATACCACAACTCTAAAGCGCGGTCGAGGAGCAAATCCTAATAGAACTTAGCAAACCATTAACCAAGCTTATCGATCAGCTTACCTTTTTATCTTGAGCTAACTGCGAAGCCAGAACTAGAGTCTGTTTCATAAAGCCCGAAGGTTCTGCTTCAATGAAAGAAGGGGCCATCTTTTTGATGTAAACCTCCAATTTCCCCGGGAGATCATCACTATCATTATCCAACATGTACATTTCCTGGGCTGATCCCGAAAACTGGCCATCATCGACTAGGGCTCGTAGTTGAGGATCGATAGCGGACAGACCAGCTTTATGGCCGATGCTACCAGCGAAAGTCACAAACAAAGGACTGTCATCCATGTGGGCAGCCTCGATGCGTCCAACATAGTTTTCAAAGTTGCCTTGAGCTTTCGTAGAGTTGACATCGTGATAAGCGAGAGTCGTATGAAGGCCTATTCCACGTCAACAAGTAAACTCGGTAGCAGCAGATCTTGCTCCCTTACCAGCCCCATAAAGTTCGAATTCTTCAACAAGACGGGTGCGAATGCACGGCTGCTTCCAAAGACGGGCGCTTTCGACAGACGCGCATGTGTTGCAAGGACTTTCTCCAGAGCACTAAAAGCTATTAGCCGCTGTCACGGATAATACATGCCTAGAAACGAAGAACGACTTACTGGTTTCTTGAGCATTCGGCAGCGAATGCAGGCACCTCTCTTACGCACCTCCTGTACTTCCTTTCTACGGTCTGCACTGAACCTTCCGCGAACCTTTGGCCGTGAAGGTTTGGAAGGAGAACCGAAGTCGTTGATAAATGGTCCTTTGGATGACGAAGTATTTGGGTTCATTGCGATAGGGCGGGGGTACGTGACAGCACGTTGGGTGGCTGTCAGGGAGGGATCTGACGCCTGGAGACTTTCGAGAAGGTACTGATCTGTACTCGACAATTGATGATCAGGCCATGGCTGACCGAGTCGTGGGAGACCATCTGCCAGTGACCCTGTTTCGGCATCCATTGCCAGGCTCTGTGAAGCCATTTCACTCGCAGAGGCTGCAATTAAAGACAATTGAGATGAAGACTGAGCCCCCGTGGTAGTCGGCTCCACAGATAGAGAGTCATTTTGGGTTTGGGCCATGGATGGCGAGTCGGACAGAGCTTGATCACCGGGTGCTGAAGGGGTGGGAGTCATGGAGGCAGCTGCGGCAACTAGAATCAAGTTTCGACGGATCAGTGCAAGTGCTCGCCGCATACGATCTATCAGTTACCTACCTCCAGCGAGCATGGCCTCATCAGTTACCTCGCCTTGGGCCTGAAAGGCTTCAGCTTCCAGAGCCGGGTCAATCATCACGGTTTTGCCGCCCACAGTCATTGATTGGGTGAATTTGGGGCCGCGCTTGGTTTGGTCGGATGCGCCGACTTGCCTCGACGCCTCAGCCAACACATTGAGGCCGTCGAAAGCCGGTCGCGTCGAATACGGTAATTCAGACTTTGCACCTTTCTGGAGTCTTGCGAGCACGGCTGCTTTGTTTGGGTCACTGTCGTCGAGCGCGGGGAGATCGTGGACTCGCATAACAACAGATTGGCGGACGGGCATCGAAATCGCCTGGCATTTCTTCACCAGATGATTGATGAGGCTGTCGATGCGGCCCTTGGGGAACTTTTCACCGCAGGCTTTGCAGTTGTACTGGTATCTGTTACTGGCGTCCTCCAGCTTGGGTCCGCGCGTAAAGAATTCCAGAACGAGGGGATGGGGTTTGCGACCCATTTTTGCAGGGTGCAGCTGTGGTCTATGATGCGAAACAAATGGTGCCTGGTCGCAAAGCGCGCTGTCAACTAGAAGTTCCACGAGGGGTAATTGTGAGGCAGCATGCCAGCAACGAGGTTACTCACGGTGCGCGACAGAACTCGCACTGGCGGGGGAAGGAAAATTATGAGAGACGCGAACACTGAGCAACCTCGACGGGCTGAAGCGGGAATGGGCTGGGACCAGAGACAGGAAGGCCGGTCGAGCGCGTTTGATGCTGGCCAGGATCAATCGCGCGTGCAATGCGAACAGCAGCAGAGAGTGGCAGCCAGCGTTTGACAATATTTCGGCGATGTGACGATTTGACGGGCAGATCGAGGGCGAAAAAGCAAAAGGCGACGGCAAAAAACGGGGCGGTCTGGCGGAACTTGGCCACGCCCGCGCTGACTGGCTGCACGCCGCCCGCGCCGCTGCTCAGTGCGCTCACCGCATTGCAAACCGTGCAAACTGCGCAAAGCGGTGATCCCAACGCGGGCACCGCCTTCGCTTTGGGAATAGATTCGTTTACCACATCGTCACCATTCATTCACCATTGTTGCTGCGCCTTTTGTCCTCTTTCTTCCTGTTTGGTGCGTTGCCTTGACTTGACTGCAGGGCCTCACCGCTCTTCTTCGAATCGGCGCTCTTGACAACAACATTTACTATACTAGGTCACCGAGTTGCCACTACTGTGTAAGTTGTAGAATGAACGTTAGAGTCTAGGCTGAGGGTTGCTGACTGCAGTAGGTGCGGTCCTTCCACACAGCACCATGCTAGCACTAGTCGCGATTTGACTCCGCATACTACCGACTGAATCGACATGCTTTATCTAAATTCTACATCTGCCAATGGAACGTTGCCATGTGAGCCGCTCAGCCATGCCCTACAGTGATACGCCCATTCGGCCATTGCCACCGGAGGTTGCAGCCAGAGTACGGTCGTCTGTGCAGATTACGAACTTGAACGAAGTGGTGCTAGAGTTGGTGAAAAACGCATTAGATGCAGATGCCCGGTCCATCGACGTCGTTGTCGACTTTAGGCGGGGTGGTCTTGTTGTAGAAGATGACGGCCATGGGATTCTTTCAGCTGAATTTAACGATGGAAGTGGACTGTGTAAAGCACATAGTAAGTCTTGCTAGGCATTGTCTTGAACACTGCTGATTACTGCGAAGACACCTCAAAAATTGGTAGGCAGTCAGTATTTGGCTGCAAAGGGCTGTTCTTATCAGCACTGGCTACTATGTCTCTCTTGACCATTACCTCGCGGCATTCTGGCCAGCTGCAGACCAATAGCCTCGTTTTTCACCACGCTGAAATTATTTCTCGGTTCGTCCCTGCTCCATCGCACCAGGCTATCAGGGCCAATCAGGGTACCAGAATCACGGTGAACAACCTCTTTGGGAATATGCCAGTGCGTCTCAAACACCGTGCTTCAACTCTGCAAAGACCCGAAGATCTCGACAAGGAGTGGGAAGAATTGAAAAGAATGCTGATAGCACTTATTCTGCCCAATGAACGCTTACGAAAACTGCGCGTATCTGATAGCGACAAGAGCCGGGTAATGAATCTGCGAATACCGCAGCTCTCGAGCGACAACTCGGGTTTGGATACTACCCGTCTGCAGATGATTCTCACTCAGTCTGGCTTGATGTCATCAAGCAAAATGGGCTCCTGGGTTACTATGTCCGCCAACACGCCAGAATTGTCCATCGAAGCATACGTCTCGCTTTCCCCTAGTCATACGAAACTGAATCAATTTATTTCGTTTGGAATTGACCCTATATTTCCTGCACATAACAGCGCAAACCCTTTGTATAACGAAGTCAACCAGCTTTTTGCCGCCTCCGATTTTGGCTCGACAAACAGTGAGCCTTTATTGAAAGGCGTTCTAAGAGGTGGCCCAAGATGGCCCATGTTTTATATTCGGGTTGGATTAAGCTCTTCTTGGAAACTATCGGAAAGCAATGAGAGAACAGTGGAATCAGATCGCAGCTTGCAGCATGTTATCGATGTACTGGATGAACTATTCCATCAATTCTTGCAACAGCATCATTTTCGACCACGGAGGACTGGACATACACCACAGATTGAAGGCGCAACAAATGAAAAGGATGGCAGTATCAGAAACCTTACTGCAACTAGAAAGCAGCCTCCGCGTGACTTGAGAAACTTTAGCAGCTGGTCCAGAGTCAAATCAGCGGATGATCAGGCGTATAGCGATTTGTTTTCTAGTGATTCAAAAGGTAGGGAATCGCTTCCGGCCAAATCATGGACACCAAGGACTGATTTACGCCAACTACAATCGTCTTACTTCTCTCATACCTCGCCCGACACGCTAAATGCTGAGGCCCACCTAAAAAATTCGAGTCTTACATTAGACGAATGTGCAGACAAATTGATTTCATGGGTTGAGCCAGGCACTAATGATGAGATACTTGTGAACTCTCGAACCGGACAATGTCTACCTCGGGAAACCATGTTTGACAAATCCAAAAGCGAATGGCGACCTCGTTCCACAGGCGCAGTAATGAGCAACCCTAGCCGGGGCTTTATGAAACGTCCACAATCGGCCCCAGTAGGGAAGCAATCAGTCTGGCTAGAGTCGCTGATGTATAGCTGGGAGAATCCCGTGTTTTCTCGTCCTGAAACGCCAATCATGTCTATTGCTGCCACGTCTCATGATAAACCTCATGCCGCCGATCATGCTCGAGATGATCATCTTTATAGACAAGTATCTAGTCATGGAAAAAGCCTTGACAGGAGCAGCGGCAAACTTTCCAGGGAAAAAGTCGCAACAGCATGTATTATTGGCCAAGTTGATCGCAAGTTCATTCTCGTGCGGATGTCACACAACCAGGGCTTAGTTCTTGTTGATCAACATGCAGCAGATGAGCGGTGTCGTCTGGAACAATTATTCTCTGATATGTTTAAAATAGAGGGCTCCGACGATGGCTCTACTTGGAGAACATCTATTCGTATTTACGAACTTCAAGTACCTCTACAAATTGAAATCGAAGAGCAAGAAATACATCCTTTCACCAATTACATGGAATATTTTGCCTCGTGGGGGTGTCGCTACAAAGTAAATCCCAATTTGGATACGAACAATTCAACGATTTTGGTTACTACGCTCCCAATTGGAATTGCTGAAAGATGCAGACTAGAACCAACCTTAGTCGCTGAATTATTACGAAAGGGAATCTGGAACAGAGCTGGTGACAGGATTCCCAAAAAGCGCTTTTCCTCTTTCAAAATTGATCTTTCAAAAAGATCGTTCCCGTGGCTAGATGTAATTGCAGGCTGTCCAGAAGGAATAATCGATCTGCTCAATTCACGGGCCTGCAGAACCGCAATCATGTTCAATGACAACTTGTCCAGAACAGAATGTGCAAATCTCGTCTCTCGCCTCTCATGCTGCGCATTTCCTTTCCAATGTGCTCATGGTCGCCCGTCAATGATCCCTGTTGCTGATGAATCATTATTCCCGTCTATATGCCTTCGCTCGATAAGCTATCACCAGAACGAAGGACATCATGAACCTGAACCACCAGGGTTCCTCGAAGCGTTCAAAAAATGGGACCATCAGCTTCTATCCCCATGAAATCATCATATATGTTTTATTATTCTATTATTAAATCTATGCGAAAATTTACCTCTTAGACAGATGTATAGAAGGCTTTAATTGGTTATAGAAATCGCCTTTCAACAAATAGAAAATGGACAGATAATCGCTTATTCCTTGGCTGGTATATCTTGAAAGAAACGTTATAGTCGAGGCTTACAGTCTTGCAGGTGTCTTCCATCGGTCCTGCTTTGTCTTATCTCTCAAAAATCGTCTCAATATCTTGCCATTCCAATAACTCGTGGTGTTTTCGCAGGCATGATACACTTCGAGGATTGCTCCAGCATTCGCAGATACTGTAGAGTTCAGTTTATTGCTCCCAGCTAATCAATCAGGTCTAGATAAATCAGGGCATAAATATCTAAAACCACAGAGAATGGCACTCATCTTGTTCATCTCACCGTTCTACCAGCGAGAAAGAGGCTCGCACCCATCGGCTAGTTGAAATAATCAATGCCAAAAGGCTTGCATGAATCCACTCTGGATAAGCCAGCTTTGCAAGAGTATTATCAATCAAGGGGCACGTCGTGCTTAGAAATCTAGGTGTTTACGTGACACGTGACCTAACGCGCTAGAGCCTAGCAGAGTCCTAGCAACAGGCAGCGGCGGCAAAAAAGGGCAGCCACTTAAGCCAAACACGAAAATCGCGTCTTCAAGCCCTGTGACGCGTTACTACTGAGAGAACAAATACCACGCCTGCCCCTCTAGCCTCCTGCCGACTTTGCGTTCATCATCCTCTTGCAAGGGCTGCTTCAAGTTACAATCCCTGCTCCGTTCCTCTTATGCCTCTTTGTATCTGGGCTTCATAATCATTGCATCATTGCCACAGCTCCAGAATAGAATTTAAGGGCCATTTCTTCCTCCTGTTCATCAACTCCTTTCTTGTCCCCTGTGGAGGTATCGATCATAGTTGAGCCCCCTCAACATGTATGTCTTTAAGAGAGGTAAGTTCTATTCCTATCTCATTGTTCAGAGCTTTTTTTATCTTGTTTTTCCTCTGTCTTTTTCAATTTCATGTCAGATTCGTTGTCGACGCGTCGGTAATCCAAACTGACCAGCTTCAGATGGACGCAAGGAACGCGTACAGTTCGACAAGATCACAGCTCGTGTATCGAGATTGTGTTACGGACTCGATCCTGACCATGTGGATGCCGCCGCCATCACCCAAAAGGTTATTTCTGGTGTGTATCAGGGTGTAACCACCGTGGAGCTAGACAACCTGGTAAGAGCCCCTCTCGTCGACTCAATATTTTTGTGTGGATTGCTAACATGAATTCTAGGCAGCCGAAACTGCTGCATACATGACCGTCACACATCCCGATTACGCCGTTCTTGCCGCTCGTATTGCCGTTTCCAACCTCCATAAGCAGACCAAAAAGCAGTTCTCCGCTGTGATTGAGGACCTCTACCACTATATCAACCCGAAGAACAACAAGCCAGCTCCTATGATTTCAAAAGATACATACGAGATTGTGATGAAACATGCAGAAGAGTTCAACTCCGCCATCGTTTACGATCGTGATTTCAACTACCAATACTTTGGTTTCAAGACTCTCGAACGCTCCTATCTGCTTCGAATCAATGGCAAAGTTGCCGAGCGTCCTCAACACCTGATCATGCGTGTGGCTGTTGGTATTCACGGTGATAATATCGAGAAAGTGCTTGAGACCTACAATCTCATGTCTCAGAAATACTTTACCCATGCGTCCCCCACCTTGTTCAGCGCTGGTACACCTCAACCTCAGCTCGCATCTTGTTTCCTTGTAGATATGAAGGAAGATAGCATTGATGGTATATATGACACCCTTAAGACCTGCGCTATGATCTCCAAGAATGCTGGCGGTATTGGCCTCAATGTTCACCGTATTCGCGCTACTGGCTCTTACATTGGTGGCACTAATGGCACTTCCAATGGTCTTGTTCCTATGCTCCGTGTGTTCAACAACACCGCCCGCTATGTTGACCAAGGAGGAAACAAGCGCCCCGGTGCCTTTGCTATATATCTTGAGCCCTGGCACTCAGATGTCTTCGAATTCTTGGACCTCCGTAAGAACCATGGCAAGGAAGAAGTTCGCGCTCGTGATCTCTTCTATGCTCTGTGGACTCCAGATCTCTTCATGCGTCGTGTTGAGGCAAACCAAGAGTGGACCCTATTCTGCCCTAATGAAGCTCCTGGATTGGCAGACGTGTATGGTGAGGAATTCGATGCTCTCTATGAGAAGTATGAAAAGGAGGGCCGTGGTCGTCGCACTGTCAAAGCTCAAAAGCTTTGGTATGCTATCCTTGAAGCTCAGACCGAGACTGGAAACCCATTCATGCTTTACAAAGATGCTTGCAACAAGAAGAGCAACCAGAAAAACCTTGGTACTATTCGCAGCTCCAATCTTTGTACCGAAATCATCGAGTACTGCGCCCCTGATGAGGTCGCTGTCTGCAACTTGGCTTCACTTGCTCTGCCTACTTATGTGGATGCGGCTCGTGGCGAATATGACTTTGGTAAACTACATGAAGTTACCCAGGTTCTTGTTCGCAACTTGAACAAGATCATTGATATCAATTACTACCCTGTGCCTGAGGCCCGAAAGAGCAATATGCGCCATCGCCCTATTGCTGTCGGTGTCAATGGTTTAGCTGACGCTTTCCTTGCCCTGCGTCTTCCTTTTGACTCAGCAGAGGCTAAGCAGCTCAACATCCAGATTTTTGAAACAATCTACCACGGTGCTTTGACTGCCTCCATTCAGCTTGCTAAGGAGCATGGTACATATGAGACCTACAAAGGATCTCCCGTCTCTCAAGGTATTCTTCAGTACGACATGTGGGATCGCACTCCAACCGACCTGTGGGACTGGGATTCCCTGAAGGCTGAAATTGCCCAACACGGTGTCCGCAACAGTCTTCTTGTAGCTCCTATGCCTACCGCCAGCACAAGTCAGATTCTAGGTTTCAACGAGTGTTTCGAGCCTTACACATCTAATATCTATTCTCGTCGTGTTTTGGCTGGCGAGTTCCAAGTCGTCAACCCCTGGCTCTTGAAGGATCTTGTTGATCTTGGTCTGTGGTCTGATAACATGAAGAACCGTATCATCGCGGATGGTGGTTCAATTCAGAACATTCCTAACATCCCTACGGATATCAAGGCTCTCTATAAGACTGTGTGGGAGATCTCGCAGCGAAACATCCTGCAGATGGCTGCTGATCGCGGTGCTTACATCGATCAGTCGCAATCTCTCAACATTCACATGAAGGAGCCTACTATGGGCAAGATTACCAGTATGCACTTTGCGGGCTGGAAAATGGGTCTCAAGACCGGCATGTACTACTTGCGCACAATGGCAGCCTCTGCGCCTATTCAATTCACCGTCGACCAGGAGCAACTCAAGGTTGCTGACACCAACATTGCTCGTACCAATCTCTCGCTCAAAAAGCGTGCGCCTGGCGGAGCCGCCTTTAACAGTTCCTACTCAGCTGTTCCCCGTCCTATGTACGACCAAAAGCAGGCCGCTTTCGTTGCCAACGGAAATGGTGTGCCGGATCTTAGCCAGCCTGTTGCTGTTCCTCGCACCAACGGGGTTGCTTCTCAGTCTGAGGATGACGAGGTTGAGAACTCTCGTCCCGACCAAGACGGCGATGAGAGCAACGAACAGTCTGAGCAAGATATCTATGCACAGAAGGTGTTGCAGTGCAGCATCGAAAACAAGGAAGCTTGCGTGATGTGTAGCGGTTGAGCCGCCTAATATTGCTTAAGCTGTTTTACACCGTTTTCCTTGGGGTGGTTAATTGTACGTTTCCTTTGTACTTAATGCATGAAGTTTATGCCCGAATAGCCTCTATGTTTGATTTGTTGTCATGCCCTTGCACTGTTGGATCTACGTGTTGTTTCGATGTACTTGTATATTCCATTAAGTTCAATACAGATTGTCTAGATTGTATTATTTTGTGAGAGATTGTAGCATATAATCCCATGACTGGCAAAAGGTAGCCACTGGCATCAATCTGTCAGGTCCATGGTCTAGACTCTGGCAATAACAGGGGCAGGTCTAGGCTGTCGTCTCAACCCTGCTGAGTTCTGAGAGCAACCATCGCCCTCAGTACATGTCTACGCACGATCCACAACCAACAAGCCACCACTGCCCACATGTGAAGGTCGGTCTAGACTTGAATGGCCTGTCCGAATTCTATCTAACAGTGACTAACATGTGACAGAGTCTAGACTTCCCTCGTCTGAAGATCTTTGAGGAAAAAGAGGGGTTGTCCAATGTAATTTGCGCTCTGCAATAAACCCAGACAATGAATTAGTAACGACAATAATAACTCGGCCAACGCCTCTCAAGAGTTTGGTTCTTAATTCATGGTAGCCGCCCGGATAAAAAAAATTCGGGAACTTCATGTAAAGAAATTTTTGATTCCGCATTATTGCCGCCAGATAATGTGGCAATAGCGGAATGAGAATCTACGAGAATCCATTCGAAAATAGCGAGTGCGGCAGCATAAAGACTGCCACGCGGGTGTATCCCCAAGAGGAAAGTTTGGTTCGGCAATCGATCAAGGGATATCATAGCCGTAGGTACGCAGAGAAAAAAAGGAAATATGGATTTAAAAAGCTCAGTTTGATGAACCATGGAGATGCTGCCCACGGTTCTGGGCCTGCTTACATAATGGGCGACTTGGCATTCGGATTTCTGGCTATGTTGGTTAACAGTTGGTATGAGCGATTTTCGCAGGCAGAATATTTTCTGGATTTGTGTTTTTTTTTTTTTTTTCGCCTCTGCTCTCCTCTTTCTCCTTCCTTTCTGATGCTTTGTTGTGAGGGGGTGGAAATCTTCCGGGGTGACTAATCCTTGTTGCCTACCATCTACGTACTTACGCATTGTACTGAATGTCTGGACGAGTCTGATGAAGTTCGAGCTTATCGATATGGATAAGCTTAATGCCGTCAGATATCGTGTGGGATTTTATCGCGGCCGGCCATTTCATCATACATATTCTGTTTCGAAACAGTGTACAGCCAGTCGGAAATGAAATTTGGAATATGTGTAACCCGTAGTGCCGTCTCTCGTCATTCTAGGCTAGGTTGTTCAACAGTCTGTCGCGAGACTTTGGTTGCCGAAATCAATATTTCGTCCGGTACTCTTTGAGGCACCCCTTCTCGCGACGCGGCGAGGCGAGAAATGGAACGGTTGCCCTGTCTGTACCAGCACCGCGGACTCTGCCACGAGTCTTGCCGCCGGGTCAGGCCAGGAGTAAAAGGTACGTATGCAGCGAGAATCAGCCACATACATCAGTCGTGCCTCACATTGTCACTCGATTGACAAAAAGCGAGAAGAAGAAAAAATCTCTGGCGAAGACCCGGGGAGAGGCAGGTCTTTAAATCGCCGGACTTGGTAAACCCGGAGCTGGCTGGCTGGCAGAACCATGGATCGATCTCTGGCTGAGAAATCCACGGAGTGTTTCACGGACTCGGCGCTTACCGTAACAGACATAGCTCCGGGCCCACTCGGCGTTCTGGGCTTGCCACTGGTGTCCAATCGGAGACGGCACAGGTAAAAACTTTGCGTTTGGCTCCTGGCCTGTTTCAAGGCACCGGCGCTGTGCTGTGAGTGGCCAACACCCCTGGTGCCCCGCCATGGCCAATCGCAGGCTGTCAGGCCCTGAAACCGCTGGGGTTCCTGCAGTAGACGTGTACTAGATGTGTACTAGATGTGTACTGGATGTGTGATCGACGAATCGCTGGCTAACGCTCTGTGTCTTGCTGATCGCAAACATTGCATAAGGATACGGGTAATATCTCGGCGGTAATCACTGTCATGCAAGAACAACGCATCATTTCCGTGTTACCGACTGCTATACACAGCACCAGATCCTGCCATGCCACACATGTCCAGGCTTAACCAACAATTACGATGTGGAATTGTGGATAGACGAAAGTCCAGGTGGAAAAGGTGGGCCGGGCGGTGCCAGAAGAATGGCGTGGTGCCTGCCCCGCTGCCCCACCCCGCGTGCGTCCAGCGTCGGGCCAATTGGCGGCACATCCGTCCGCTCTTATTTTGCGGCCTTTAGCCTGAGGCTTGAGGCTGTGGGCGCTGTCTAGAACACGCCATCCCCCTGGGCCGCCCTCTTTGCTATTTAAGTGCTCGCTTGCCCTCCGCTCTTTCTCCATCTCATCAATCATCGCTGACAAGTCATTCCTTGACCCTTCCAGTCTTTCTCTCTCTTGTCCTCCCCTGCTGTGCAGATTTGCTCGCTCTTTTTGCAATCCCTGCTCCAGTCTTGAAATCGCTTGGTCGATTTCCTTTCCAGTCCTTCACAGAACAAGACACTACTACTCCCTACGCCTCGCGTACAGTCACTCCAGGTCAACGAGACCAATTACAACCTCACCAACCACATTCACAATGGCTATCTTTTCCAAGGCTCTTGCTCTGACCGCCATCTTGGCCACTCTCACCTCGGCCGCTCCCCTCCAGCAGAAGCGCGACCTCGTCTATGAGACCGTCACTGCCTACGACGTGACCACTATCGATACCACCATCACTCTCTATCCCGGCGAGCCGACGCCTTCAGTGCCCCCAAATGTCGCTATCACCACCCAAGCGGCTGTGAGTACCACTGCTCCTGCTGAGGCCAAGCCCGAGCCCACGTCGGCCACTTCCACCTCGGTCAGCCCCGTGGCTCCTGAGACCACCGCCGCGCCGACCACCACTGCTCCTGCTGCTGCGCCAACCTCTGAGGCCCCTGCTGCTGCACCTACCACCACCGAAGCCCCCTCCCCAGCAGCTGAGCCATCCACCACCAGCACCTCGTCCTCTGCTCCTGCTGCTACGTCATCTGGTAGCTCTGGCTCCGGCAATGGTCAGTCTGGCTCCGGCGATGGTACCTACTACGACACCGCCACCTCAATGAGCGCTCCCAGCTACTGCGACACTGCCAACGACGGTAACTCTGAGAACGTTGTTGCTCTTTCTTCCGCTATCATGACCGAGGCCCTCTGTGGTGCCACCATCACTGTCCACCACAATGGCAACTCGGCCACTGGTAAAGTCGTCGACAAGTGCCCTGGCTGCAGCGCTGGATCCGTTGACATGTCCCAGCACATGTTTGAGTCTCTGGCCAGTATCGATGCCGGCCGCATCCCCATCACCTGGACCCTCAACTAAGCCTTGCTGTTTCAGTTTGAATTCTTTGTGTCTTTCGATTCTACCTCATCTTCGGATGACGGTTATATATATACTCATATATATAACATTTTATAGAAATTTGTTTTCTTCTGACAAGCGTCTGCTTGTGCTGTATCTTTCTAGACTTTCCACCAGAAACTGCATGTGGCATGGACATACTGGGCTCGCCTGCAAGTCGGGCGAGCAGGCCTGCAGTCTTTCTTACACTCCTGGGGAGTGGCCTGGCGCAAGATTGGTTGAGTTATGGAAAAGTTTGTGCTTGTAAATTATAACGAATCAACGATCAAATCAAACAATGACTGTCTCTTGCTTTGCAAATAATACTTGCAATGGGGTGCCTAGCCGCCTCTCTGATTTTGTACGACGATCATCCCATTAGTCCAGCATAGCTTTGACTCTTGAGCATAGACTATCAGACAGCTTATACATTACCTAGCCATCGCATTGATCACTTGACAACCTAATTTTTGTGACATGGACAAGGGACTAGCCACCCGCTCCAACACATCAATGCGGACGTGTACTAGTTACATAGGAGACTACTAGTACATACTGTAACAGCCGATAGCGGCCCAACGGACTCGCAGATTTATGATAATATTAAGATTGCTTATGTGCGAAAACCACAGAGAGGAGTGCGCTGCTGCGGCCGGCAACACCGCCACAGCAACTGACAAAATTCATTTAGTAATTATCCGTACATTGCTTGCCGAAAGCAGCAAGACTAAATTGATACTAGCCTGACCACTAGCACAAATTAGGACTAGCACAATGAGAAGAAAATTATGTTTCTCGCAGTCTCAGCTTGAGATTTCGCTCACCACTGTATACTAGGAAGCCTTTTTGATGCAGCACCAGGTTTCTAGCTGCCTGGATAATTTTCAAATTTTTCAAAATATGAACATAGTGAAATAATGTGTGAGAAGCTGAGGACCTACCTGATTGGCCGCCATACGTTCCAACAGTGGCCCAAGCAACCCGAACACGCCACCCCATTGGCTGGCCAATCTGGGCAAGGCCAAAGACGTCATGCGGGACCACAGTAATTATTATTGATTATCCTTGTTTCGTGCGCTGGACATGGAGGTATAGAGCCATAGAGCTATAGACGGACATATCATATTAACCATACATAAAATAGTACATAGGGTCGTAGATAGCTGCTCTTTATAGCTATTGTAATAGGTAGCGATCGCGATCGGAATGCACACCGACACCCTGGTTCTCGGAGCCGCCGCATTCAACCCGCACGCCGTGATTGGCCAGGCACCCAATGACATACATGCTCGCACTCAGCAAAACCGCCTCCCAATGTCAAATACGCCACCAACTCAGCTTTTCAACCCTTTCATAGGACGCTGCGACTCCTGATCTCGCTTGAATAAAGTTGATTGTCAATATTACTGCTCGGAACACGATTGCATGCGTTGACGAGAGACAATTCTGCTGGCGTGCTCGGGCGAATTATTAATTTATTATTGTTTGGTTAAGGTTTTCTCCCAAATCTGCTCGCTCTCTTCCCCACAAATTACTTTTGCCGACCACCCGGGGAAAATCGTGCACTTTTGCTTTTCAACGCTGCCATTCTTCTGCTTTTCTCCTCGATTTGGCTACCATCACAGATTATCATGTGTGCGGGCAGTTCTCAACCCCGATTGTCTTTATAGCTCCTGCTCACGTCTGAAGCTCCGTGCCTGTCCATCGGAGGTGCCCGCTTTTTCACAGGGTTCTGCTGCAATCGGCTGGTGACAATTTATTCTCAACTCATTCTCAACTCACTCCCAATAGCCAGCCCACTAGCTGTTGAGACACACTGGCGATGATGGATTTTATACCTAACAAGAATATTCAATACTGGACTTTTAATTGCGGGAAAACATAACGTCCAAGCGAAAGAATAAAAAAAGCGGTTCTCACCATGGACGACCGGGGCATGCCAACGCTTGTTGTCACTATCATTTTCTTCGTCCTTGCTTCGACGTTTGTTGCTCTCCGGTTTATCTCTCGGTTGGGCGTCGTGCATAAAATTGCTTGGCATGATCATCTTATGCTTGTAGCTTGGGTATGGATGTCGTTGGTGATGTTTCTACATTATGCTGACTGTGGCAGGTGATTGACTTTGGATTCGTCTTTGCGATATGCTATGGAACAACAAAAGGCTTAGGCTTGCACCAGACCAATGTAGAGCCATCATGGGATGTTGCCCTAAATACGACCGAGTATGTAGCGAATGTGCTATACGTAAGTCATCAACTCCGCGATTCCGTATAACTATACTAACGCGCACAGAATCCCGCGCTTATGGCGCTGAAAATGTCCATCTTGATCTTCTTTCTGTCCCTCTCGAAAACGGACAAGGTCTTTCGATGGGCTATCTATGCGACGATGTTCGTCGTCAATGCCTCTGGATTCGCCTTGACTATGGTCAATGTTTTTCAGTGTAGACCTGTCAGCGCAGCTATCTGGTTTCCAGTAAATGGAGACGCAAAATGTACCGATATTGTCACCATCTATCTCTCCTCCGCACCTGTCAATCTTATCACCGACATTGCCATTTTCCTCTTACCAGTTCCAATTTTGACAAAATTGCGCTTACCAAAGAAACAAAAAGTTATTCTGATAATTACATTCAGTTTTGGCTTCTTCACGGCAATTGTCGATGTTATTCGAGTTGCATACCTACAAAACGCCGCCACATCACGCGCTCAGATGATACAGACGTCAGGATCTTCCACACACAATACAAAATTCAACCAGGACTTTTCTTGTATGTCAATCACTCCTTCTTCATAAATTTTACACTGACAATTTAGGGTACGGGGCCTTCACGTTTATGTGGTCTGCGATCGAAGTCAACATCGGTATCATGTGTGCTTGCGTGCCCGGTTTGAAACCACTAGTTGCACGCCTGGTCCCTCGGATGATCAGAGGCTCAACAGATACATCACCACAGGCTGCCTCCATCGGCACGTACCCTTCAAGTGCAAACAGGGCAACGGGGCCATGTTTAGCAAGTACCCAGCGTCAAACCCTACGTCCAGGATCAAGGGCAAATACAAATGACGTACACAATATAGCAGCAATCAGTCCTCCCCCTGCAGCAATTACACCGGAAGAATTCATGAACGCAGCGGACGTTTTATCCCATTCCGGACCTAGCGACGATACAGAAAGCAGCGCAGTCGACAAGACCTCTGGTGCCATGAATGTGTCGAGATTTTTTGATTTTGTCAACGTTAAGCAGCCCAAGAGCATGCTCGCGATGAATAACAAAGAATCCATACCGCCCGTGGCATTAACAACAGTACTGTTCTTCATGTGGGGTTTAGGCTATGGTTTCTTGGATGTTTTGAACGACCAATTCAAATTAATCGATGGTATTAGTGCGTGGGGCTCTCTAGGTCTGCATGCTGCATACTATGGCGGCTACCTGATCTCACCGCTGGCTATCGGCCGTCAGTTGCTGTGTCGATGGGGGTTCAAGGCCACTTTCATCGCGGGTCTCTTTATATACGCCTGTGGAGCCCTCATCTTCTGGCCGTCTGCGGTATTGACCTCCTTCACAGCGTTTATTATTTCGAATTTCATTGTTGGCTGCGGATTTGGAGTGCTCGAAACAGCAGCCAATCCTTTTATTGCGTTGTGTGGACCTCTCGAAAACGCGGAAATCCGACTGAATTTTTCGCAAGCAATACAAGGAGTTGCCAGCGTGGTATCTGCAGTCCTCGCCAAAAAGGCCCTGTTTCAGTCCGTGCAAGATGCAGCAAGCTTGGTCAAAGTGCAGTGGGCATATCTTGCAATCGCACTCTTCGACCTCCTCCTAGCGGTTGCTTTCTATTATCTCCCCGTTCCTGAAGCTACTGACGAAGACCTCCGCGCATTATCTGACCGACGAAAGGAGGCCAATTCGGTGCGAGTGCTGGGCATTCCTGTCATTTGGATGACATTTGGCCTAGGAGTGTTTTCTCAGTTTTGCTATGTCGGAGGGCAGGAGGTGCTTGTGACCAGCTTTGCGTATTATATTGAAGCGCAAATCTCCATTACGAATCTTTCTACTTTTGATTACCTCTTAATTGGCCGTAGTTTATTTGCTGCAGGCCGGTTCATGGCCGCCTTCACACAGTGGTTCCTCAAACCCCGATGGATACTTTTCGTGTCATACACTGGGCTTATCGTGCTCTCTGCGTTGTGTATGGCACTCGATGGTCTCTCCGGCGTGGTCATTGGCTTGCTACTGTTTTTATTCGAAAGTGGAGTATTCAGCATCATCTTTGCCATGTCGCTCCGGGGCATGGGGACACATACAAAGACCGCATCGGCGATTATGGCCACCGCGATAGGAGGCGGTACAATGTTCCCATTCGCGCAGCAAGCCGCAAGCAATAACCACGGGGTAGTATCGTCCTACGTTGTCCTCGTCGTGCTCTACGCCGTCGGCGCCATTTTCCCTCTGTATCTCAATTTTGTCCCTGCAGCAAAGAAGCAAGTCGATCCGATTCCAAATGAATACCTACGTCGCCACATCCGGCGACATCGCCAGACTGTTAATGTAAACCCTTCACCACCTGTGGAAAAGGAACAGCATTACTCGCGAGGCGGCGTCTTATCACGTCCGCGCAGTCTGGTGGATGAACCGGTGTCGTCAAATGTTCCGGGAAATGCGCAGTATACGCCTGGAATAAATGAGCGTGATCTTGCTTTCGAGCAACCATCACCGCAGAACTAACTTTTTCTTACCACTAGATACCCATGATGCACTGACGGCCGTGTATATACTGTAATATACGTATATTTTATACAATATACTATAATGAAAATGAAAATTTATCACAAACATAGACAAGCATTGCATTCATTCTATATACCGTTTATAAACGAAATGCTAACTAACAAGACAAATAAACCGAGCTAACACCAGACCATCATATGAAACATCCAACATTCAACATCGAGATATAGAGATAGATCACCACCAATCGCCCTGGTCCCTCATGGCAGCGGCAACCTTCTTGAAGCCCGCAATGTTGCTACCAGCCACCAACGAAGGCAGCGCGCCGTCGGTCGAAGAAACATAGTCCTTCGCGGTGTCCAGCCCATTTTGGAATGATGCTTCCATGATATCTTTCAGCTTGCTGTCAACTTCTTCGGTCGTCCAGCTCAGACGGGCCGAGTTCTGCGCCATCTCCAGTCCAGAGACAGCCACGCCACCCAGATTAGCGGCCTTGCCAGGCGCATACCAGATGGCAGCAGCACCCTGGTTCTTTTCGCGATGCGCCTCAAACACATCAATCGCTTCCTGCGTCGATCCCATATTCGAACCCTCCGCAATGAACTTGACGCCCGCGTCAATCAGCGCTTGCGCTTCCTCGCCAGAGACTTCATTCTGGGTTGCGCACGGTAGGGCAACATCAACCTTTCCAACGTGCACCCACGGCCGAGCGCCCTCGATATACTTGAACTTGCTGAACGACTCGGCGCTGACGATCGAGTTGAGCTGCTTGCGCTCCACCTTGAGCGCGGCCACCTCGTGGATTTGCTCTGGCGTGAAGCCGCCCACGACGCTCTCCGGCACAACTAGCGATCCTTTGCTGTCGGACAGCGAAACCACCGTGCCACCCAACTCAATCACCTTCAAGGCGGCGTACTGTGCGACGTTTCCGGAGCCGGAGACCACAACGCGCTTGCCAGCGAAGGATTCCTTGCCCTGGCTGGCGTATTTGATCATATGTTGGACATACTTGTGTCAAGTTAGGATTCAGAATCACCACTAGGCGGGCGCTTCAAGCAACAACTCACATAAACCAAGCCATATCCCGTCGCCTCAGGCCGAATCAAGCTACCACCCCAGGTCAGGCCCTTGCCAGTGAGCACGCCCTCCCACTGGTTGCGAATCTTCTTGTACTGGCCGAACAGGTACCCGATCTCCCGGCCGGACACACCGATATCGCCGGCGGGCACGTCAGTGTCGGCCCCGATATGGCGCGACAGCTCGGTCATGAAGCCCACGCAGAAGCGGCGGATTTCATTGTCTGATTTTCCCTTTGGATCGAAATCGGCACCACCTTTGCCGCCGCCCATGTTGACTATGCCGGTATTAATATTATCGTATCAATAAAGAATAAAGTTTGGGTACTCACGGCCTGTCAGGGCATTTTTGAAAATCTGCTCGAATCCCAAGAATTTCAAAATCGACAGATTCACCGTCGGATGGAAGCGCAGGCCGCCTTTGTATGGGCCGAGCGCAGAGTTGAATTGGACGCGGTATCCACGGTTGATTTGGAGCTGGCGCGGGAAAAAGCAATTCTCAGTACGCAGTAAAATACCGGGATGTAAGGAGTAAGATTAAGTCTATGTACCTCTCCTTTGTCATCCTCCCACACTACGCGGAACTGGATCACTCGTTCCGGCACGGAGGCAACCTTCAAGGCTTTTCGGTATTCGGGGTTCTTTTGGAAGAGAGTTGAGTTTTCCAGGGTTGAGACAAGCTCTGGATGGGTCAGCATTCATGTTTCGTATCTCGACACATGTACTTGTAATGTAAGATAGCGTAAGATTGATATGAGGGTGTACCTTTGTAGGCTTGCTCGAACTCGGGCTCTGAGGGAAGGTTCGACATGTTAATTAATTATGAGTATTCAATACACAGGATGCATCGGTAGAGTGACTGGCATTTGAAGCCGAGGGGGAAGCGGTCTTTATAGTTATCTACGCCGACACCCCCGTACGGCATATTGGCTGGGGAATTCAATACACGATTAGATATCTAATGCAAATAATAATGGCTAATCTCCAGCCTAGCAGAAGCTTGCTCGACCGTGTACCGGTGAGAGTTGCGAAATTGCCACCGGCGGTTCTGGCGGTTCTCGTTTTGTAGGCAGAAACAAGCTAGGAGGTCGCCCATCTCCTAATTTTTATGGTCATACCAATTTTATACGGCTGAGTCTGGCTTGCACAGAAAAAGCAAGCAGCAGAAGAGGCCGACCATCGGAGTCCCGTGACTCGCATTTCGCTGCCTGAGGCTGCAATGGGCTGCCGACCATCGGGGAGCAGAGATAAGGCGCCCGGCGCTGTGATTGGGCCATTACTTTTGCGATTTGTTATCTGATCTGATTAGATCTAGTATACATCCTGTGCTCTACAAGTGATGAAGTGTATACGCTGTACATCTGATCCTTATGGCGCGTCCACAGGGTCCCAGTCTAGCCGAGAATTAGCCACTCAAAATAAGATATCGATAGACAACATTTTGAAACATACCAGTCACCAAGTATTCATCCAACCCATCCAACACCTGCATGTCCTCGTCCCCAATCTCAAATCCACCAACCTGTGCATTGGAGACAATGCGGTCTGCCTGGCTGCTCTTCGGCAGAGGCACATACCCGTGCTGCAGACTCCAGCGCACCATCAGCTGAGCCGGTGTGCAGCCGTATTTCTCGGCGAGCGCAACAATGGTGGGATGGCGGAACCGGTATGCCCGAGCCAGCGGAGCATATGCTTCCACTACGATGTCGTTTTGTTGGCAGAACGAGACAATTTCGGTCCGCGTGTTGAACGGGTGCACCTCGATCTGATTCACGGCCGGCCGTACTCGGGGGTTCGTCCCGAGCAGCTCCTCAAGGTGCTTGATGCCGTAGTTGCTAACACCAACCGCCAGAATTTCTCGCTCGGCGTACGCATCTTCCAGCGCCCGCCAGCATTCAAGCCGCTTTTTCTTCCCGCCGTACGGGGAGTGGATTAGGAAGAGATCAATGTACCCCAATCCGGAGGCTTGGATTGACTTCTTGATCGACTGCCGTGTGGCGTCGTAGCTGATGTTACTTGCGAGCTTGGAGGTGAAAAAGATATCCTCCCGTTTCAGCCCATCCAGCTTTGTCTTTTCCGATTCGAGGAATTGTAGGATGGACCGACCGACCTCCCTCTCATTTCGGTATTGCTGGGCACTATCAATTCTGGTATAGCATTAATCAACAATCACTCCTGCCAAAAAAGGGCGAGGTATACCCCCGATAGCCGGCCTAGTTGCAGTCAATGAGTGATACTACTTAGCATGAGACGCATTCAATCACCTACTTCCAACGCATATTTGACTGCATTTTCTGTCTCTCGTCCTGAAGTTAGGTACACTCCTAATTGGATCAACGGCATCAGATTTCCGTTCGGAAGCTTCACTGTGTTAGCGAATTATTCACAAACGAAGTGGGAGTATTACTTTAATTGTCGAAGACAACGTGTATGTATTCTTAAGACCCGCCATGCTGACTGTTATCAACAATCAATAAAACAGGACGGACTCTGAATTGAAGATGCTATCGGTTATGTAGCTGTTGAGTTGCCAAGCCTACCCCACTTTATCCCTATGACGCATAATGATCAAAGGTAAGTTTGTAGTTTCCATCCAAGATCATATATCAGCCAATGATCTTTATTTTCAGGGCTTGCTTTATTATCATTGAGGGGGGTGTTCGAATACGTAAACACCAAAGCCCTAACCTCAATACTCGCCCCTAAACGAGCCCTCTCTGGTGTATTCAGTAATGTAAATGATGTATGCGTGGCATCTAGATTTGCAATTCTTTTTGTTAATGTATTTTCCTTCCCTATTTTCTATAAATTGGAAGCCTGTTGAATTACTCACATTTCACTCTTTCTTCCTACGAGTCAAAGCTCTTAAATAACAGCACATCACTCTGTCGACTCATATAATACCATCGAAATTTCCTCGTCGGATCATATAGCAGGTACAGCATTGTACCTGTATAATTACCACGTGCCATATCTGATTCAATCAATCTAGACGTTTCGACGCTACGTGCATCACAAACAGCAATGAGACGTTCTTCAACTGCTCCATTGATCGGGCGTCAAATGCTGAATCGAGTCAGCACCTTTTTCGGATGCACACGTAGCGTCTAGTTTCATTTCCTTCCTACTCACCTTATCATCTGTACTGGACACGACTGGAGATGTTGGGCTTGCTCGGAAAGATGATTGCGGATACATTCGATCATATGTGCTTGAGGTTTATCTACCGTAAGAAGTGTATCTTTCACTTTTAGTATTAATATGTATCACAACTTTCTAGAGACTAGATCAACCAGCAACTCGCCTATGTGAACTTGTCGAGCTCGACTGCCTCTACTAGATCGTCGATCTTTGGCACTTTTCTTCTTCCTTATCTATAAAAAAACCTAGGAATAAGCAGTAGTAAAAGGAACCAAATTCCAATTATAAAATTAAGATCATCGCTCACTTTCCAATCGAATATAATAACCTGAGCAACTCCTTCTATTTCCTTTCTCAAAATATTGTCGCATTCAGGCAAAACATTTTTTAACCGTTTCCTGATCCCAGAAACCATTCTGTTTCATTGATGACAATGACAAGGATATTTCCGATATATGAAACCATTTGTTTCAAGACTGAGCTTTCCCTCTTCTTCCTATATTACCCAAGCATTGTAGATTATTTCCGCATTATCCCCTTTGTGAAATACAAGATTGTGTGATTCTTGTTCTCCTTCCGCTCTCCTTTTCCATCCGAATTGAGCGATCCGGTAGGGTCGAGTGTGGTTGTAAATGGCTTGCCATTGGAGATACCTCAACTTGACTTCTAAATCCTCATACCTTCATGTCAGACGGTGAATGTAGACGAGATATTTGGAATTGGTGAACCGGTGGACATCTGTATAACAAGATGGCGTTGTTTTAAACTATTCATTGTAGATTACTCTTCATGAATCATGGGTTGTTGCCTGCGTATATAGCTGCGTGGCATAACAAGCGTACTGCAGCTCCAGAGTAATGCCTCAAGTCTTATAAATACAACTACGATAACTAATTATGAAAGAATATTTATTGATTAGACACGATTGATTGAATTAGGGTTTCTCGGGCTGATTAATATAAGCTTATTTGTTATTAGTACCAGACTTAAAGGGTCTTCAATAATAGTCGTATTCATCGTCATCTTCGTCGCTCGTATCACAAATCGTCATCTCAATAAGACCAGATTCTACCCACGGGTTTCGCGCCCCCGCATCCAACAGCATCTTCACCATTACATTACACGGATTTCGGTAGGCTGCAGTCTCTAATGGAGTCAATCCATCGCTCCCTTGGGCGTTAATATCAGCGCCAGAGGCGATGAGGTACTCCAGTATCCCGGTGCGAAAGCTCATAATTGCTAGATGTATCGGGGCGTATCCCTTTTCATTCCTCTCGTTGATGTCGGCACCGCCGTCTAACAGGGCCTTAACGGACTTGGTACATCCGATTTTTGCAGCCTCATGTAGAGCGGTATTTCCGTCGCTGTTACGCCGAGAAATATCAGCGCCATGATTGATGAGCTGCGTAATGACAACTTCATTGTGGTTCCATGTTGCAGTATGCAACACTGTCGTTTCGTTAATATCATACCCGAGTTCAAGGAGCAGTTCGAGAAGCTCTGGACCACCACGCTGATGTACGAGTTGGTATATTAGAGAAGCATAATCGCTTCCTTGCCGTTGAGGAAATACATTTGCGCCAGCATTGATTAGCTGTTTAGCTGCAGCGACTTGTCCAGAGCCAACTGCGCGATGGAGCGGGCTGAAATTTGCGTTTTGACCTTCGGCATTCACATCTGCACCAGCCATAAGAAGTGTCTTTATTACGTCTGAATTTCCAATCTCAGCTGCCCAATGAAGTGGCGTATCTCCATGGAGAGTCTGAACATTAACGCTTATACCTATATCAAGGAAGAATTGTACACATTCTGAGGATGCACTTCGCGCTGCATAGTGCAGTTCCGTTGCCCGTATCCAGCCTCTATTGGCAGTTTTGGCACCAGCTTCACGTAGCATCTTCACAAAAGGCAAGTTACCGGTAAGGGCTGCCGCATGTAAAGGGTGAAAGCCGTCTTGATAGAAAGATGACCCCGTAGTATTAGTTCCACTCTCAAGGAGTTGCTGTACCATATCCGCATTCCCATGAAAGACAGCGACAACTAGAGCAGCGCTCTTGATTTGATCCCTCGTTGCAGAGTCAACCGTCTCGAGGAGACGATTCGCAAGCTGATTGTGGCCAGCTGCAACAGCTGCACATACAGGAGTATACTGTATTTGCCATGGATGTTTAGTATAATCGCAAGCTGTCATCCACTCAGAGGCACCTCTTTCGAGCAGTACTTCCACGATTTTCTCGTCTCCATGAGCAGCTGCTAGATGCAGCAATGTTCTTCCATTTGGAGCTCCTTGATAACGGATATTGGCACCTCGGTCAAGTAGGGCATAGAAAACAGAATAGATCCTCTGCTCAATCGCCCAATAAAGGACTCTAGTAGCCTGATGATTGGATCTCCGATGATAGCAATAATCGATACCTTTTCGATACAGAGCTTCCATCAGCAGTAGGTAAAATCGCCTTGATGTTTGCGCCAAGCTATTCAAATCCCATGTCTGATAGAGCATATTGCCGATTATAATGAGGATCTCATTGGGTAGGTCTGTAAGTCCTATTTGTCTCGACTTGTCACCTGAAAGTGTGGCATTGTTGCACAGATATTGACATTTCGCTCCGGCTTCTTTCTGCGCCTCCACTTTATCTGTGGATTGCGAAACTCGTGCCGATCTTTGCAAATTTCTTTGTAAGAAATGTTCCCCCCCCGGCATTTTACTGAGGATTTTATATTCATGCATAGCAACATACCAATATGTACGTGAAGGCCATCAGATTAAGGGTTACAGAAAGTAAGAACGATGCATATTGATGTGTGGGGGAGCATGTGGCCCGTGCGTTTCTTCTTCTACTGAATACGAGGTTGGATTAATATAATCCTTAAATATAGATTAACGTTATAATGAAGGTGTTAGTTTTCGGTCAAACGGTGAATATTTGGCAGTTTCTCCAAGCCTTCTCGATTGGCCGATGCTGCCTTAGGAATTCGGCCGAAGGAATATCGTGACCTAAAATCTTATCAAACACACAATCAGTAAGGATACTAGGTTGTTTTTGACAGAATTCCTATCTGACCGGGTCAAAATTAAGTATATACAGCATGCTATACATTTTTCTCTCAGGAAATATAGTTGTATTTGATCGGTAAGTGAGCAGGCGTAAGCCAAGATACTATGTAAACATTGAAAACTAGACCACCAATTTGGAAGCCTGGCTAATACTACCAAAAGCCCCCGTTGATTTGACGCTATTAAGGGAGATAAGTTGGATAAAGGGTATTGAATATATACATCAAGCATGCGTTTACACTCCGGTGTTGAAACTGCCAGCCCGTGCCAATGCTCAACTACATTTGTAACTGGCGATCTTCCCTTATTAACATACGCCTACATATATCAATTGATTAATTTATATTGACAACCACTGCCTTTTAGCATATATTTTAGCGGTTAACATATAATCAAGTTTCCCCCAATAATAATTCAATAGTTTAAGGCATAATATCTGCCAGGTTATGTGCAACCATCTGCGCTGACGTCTTAGGTGTCCTTTGGTCCGACGTCATTAATAGCCATATCAGTCTCCCGTGGCTCTGGTTCACTAAGAAAAGATATACTGTAAAGGAATCACAAGAGAGTTTGTATTGGTGACACAAATCAGCTGTTATGTTTCTTGCGATACTACTGCCTTGTATCTTACCACTGGTAATGGCGTGGCAGACCACTTCTCCAATGGAATTTACCTATGTTGCTGATTGATAGAGATTGTAATGACGTTTCGAAAATCTCCATTAGACGTATTAATCCACCGTTTAGCATCTTCTTCTAAAAATTTGCGCCGATTTTGAGTATCCGATTTCAATACCCAATGTGGGCCGCTTTTGTCCGCGACCTTTAGGAGAGCGTTTTGGCTAGAAGCTGTCATCTGCTCTCTTAATGCGGTCTATTGTCTGGACATGTGCCGTTCCAAACAGCAAAATACTTTTATCCAGCCTATCATATCATAGAGCTAAAACATTACGGTATTTTTGAAATGCTAACTAGCCACACCACAAGATCTCGACTCTATTTTGACTAGCATGGTTTCGGATTTTGGAAAATAACTTTCAAATGTGACAGCGCTCTCCATTGGATTGATGAGGTCTTGTTTGAAGGCGTGTTCAGTGATACCATGAAAAACGATATACTGGCTTCTGGTACCAGAACTGTCTTCTTCAAAGAGTTTTATTTCGGGATATAGCGCAGAGAGAAAGTCATCAATGCCATGGCACACGTATTGACTCGTATTAGGAATAAGCCCGAAGAAAGAAGGCGAACCCTAATCACGTGCGCTAAGTTTTTACTATAATTTGAAATATTCACTGTTGAATTCTTCTTCTTGAATTTTTTTGTTGTCTATTTTTTCCTGTTGCCCGGTTAAACCGCGGCATAGACTCATAATGACGTATATAGGATCTTTTCACATTGATTTTTCGGTATACTCTTTAAATACATGTAATTTCGAGTTGTCTGGTATAGGTAAAATGTGGTATCCTGATTTTTTTTTCATTGACCCTGGAGCAAGAAACTCAAGTCATGATAATTGTAAGATGTTACGTGAGGTTAGGTCGTAACGAGAGTTACGCAAGGGCTATAGTTCTCCACTGATTAGTGAGTTGACTAATATATGTGATGAAAAAGACGCTTAGAGTGCTGCGGTGACATCATAAAATAAAGAAAACCGTCGTACACTTGTATACGTTTAAATATAAAAAACCCAACTCCTGTCCTGTTTAAATCGAGAAATATCGTCAGATCCAGCTGATCTCTGAGCCCCACGCTTGCAAATGGAACATTAAAAAACCATGTTGGTAACCAAAATTATCATGAGTGTAGATATCGATGTTGTGTCTGAACAGCTTACTTCCACTCGTTCTGTAGTAGGTCAATGAGCCGGTTATTTCCAAGAATATCAAAATGTCCACCTGGGATATCGTAAATCTTCGCATCTGGCCAGCTTTTGCGGGCTCCCAAATCTGCCCACCCGGCTTGGAAGGACTCGGGTATGCTCTTTTTCATGCCGTCTTGCGCAATATACAGAGACACAGGGGTCTTGAGGGTACGCTGCCACTCTAAGAACGTGAACATCGCTGGGGCGTCTGTAACAGTTGTTACACCAGGAAAATCCTCCCGAAGCATGAACTCAAGCTATCAAGACAAATTAGTTTTTATGTGAAAGAATATGGCAAATAGTTGCTCACCATGAGGTCAAGGAAATGCTCAACCGTGCGCCAGTACGTAGTGGAGAACTCTGGAACGTTCGGTTTGCCAGCGAACGCGTCAGACTATCATAAAGTAAGAAGTCAGTCATCAAAAATAATTCTAACTTTTAAAATAAGCCACTGGTTGTACTCACCAGTTCCTGTGCAAGTTGATGACGTCGTGGCACACGTCCACCACCATCACGACGCAGGAGGTCACAGATGCCTTCGCAACAGATGCGATAGAAGTTGTGCAAGTGTACCTTGTCAGCAAGAATACCTTTGTCAATTCCATACACTGGGCAGGCGTAAAATCCAGGTACATGATCAAGCAGGGCGAGTTGTGCAACGACGGAACCCTCAGCTTCAAGTTGCTTTGCGAGGGCGACGGCGACGATCGAGGTTGCTGAGAAAGCTGAGAGCCTGTAAGGGCCATGAGGCTGTTCCCGTTTTATTGCAGCATAGTAGAATGATACTAAGTTCTCCATCGAGTCAAGGGGAGTGTCGGGAGTTACTGTGAGAGAGACAGGTGAGTTAATACTGAATGCCTGTATGAAATTCAATCACATCTACTTACCTTGGATAGCCCAGAGCCCCGAGCGAAACTTTTCCTGTAGCGGAGGGAAGGCGTGGATTGTGCCTCCAGCGCCGTGAATTATGATCAACGGATTCTCGCCCTCGCGAAGCTTGACTATAGTTTCTCCCACGCGTCCTAGCTCCGGCCAGACGACGTTTTCCGTCTCTTCAGCCTCCTCTGGCTCATGGGGTGACGAAGATGCACTGGCACTGAAGCTGTAACCAAAGAGGAAAGCCGCGAGCTGTTGAATGCTTGGGAATTGAAAGACCTGAAAAAGATATTAGAGAGATTCGGGAGAAAAAAAGTCTTGTTAAAGGTTTCATAGTCATACAAAGTCAGAAGGAATACTGCGCGTCTTAAAGCCAGCCTCACGGAGAACACGAAGAATGGTGTTTCGAATCCATGTTGCTTGCAAACTATCCGCCCCATGCTCGAATATGTCTTGATTGGCAGGTACCTCCAGACCGACTACCTGGTGAACGACAGAAGTAACAAAATCTAAAGTGTTGTTAATTGTCCATGCTCCAGCGGCAGGCCCGCGAAGGTCTGGTAATGTTGAGCGCTCCACCTCGGTGTAAGCTTTCTCAATCTGCTCGGCGAATTCGTTCAGAGTATGACGACGACGTACGGTACCTTTACCAGTGAGCTGAAAAGGATGGTCGGCAAGGAGAACGAGCTCCGGGAAAATGAAGCTATGCGATGGAGCAAACTTGTTGGCGGCGGCCAGTGTTGGCGCAATTTTTCGTCGGAAACGTACCAGCCTCTCATCGCTGGAAAGCTGACCGGCTTCCTCCTCTTCCGCACGATATCTCGCTGAAGGTTGGAAGAGAGCACCATTCTGCGGCTTTCCATCACCGAAGAGGACGACAAAATCAATGCTGTCATCCTTGAGGAGAATCTTTTCAATCGGAACTGGGTTTGTCTTCTCTCCCGTTGAAAGGAGTATCTGATCGTCCTCACGTCCGTAGAAGCGAAAGTACTGCACGCCGTCGATCATTTCAGATACAACAAGGTCGCCTGTTGTGTAGGCCATAGCGCCCTTAAAAGTGGTGTTGAAGACGGAAGGCGTATGGTTCGGACCTTTGAGGAAGACAAGCTCTGAAAGACCGTCTTCTTCCTCACCGGCATCGTTGGAACGCTCAATGACACGAACGTTGCAGTGAGGAGCTACGCGGAAGTGCGCCCATCCGCGATTATGCGGACTAGAGGGGCGTTTTGGAAGAAAAAGGGACATGCCGCCAGTCTCGGTGGACGCAAAATAGGGCTGAAGGTTGACACCTTTGGAGGATAGGAGGTTCCCGGCATCAGCACCCAGAGGAGCACCGCAATAGGCAAGGGCCTTAATCTCCTTGGCTAGGTATTCATGGGTTTCCGGCATGGCGGCCCAGCGTTCGATATGACTCGGAACGCAAAAAATATAAGTCGATTTTGCGGCAACGATACCATTGTATATATTTTCAGGAGTCGGACGAACCGGCGGGCTTACGGGTGGGAAGACGGCAAGCTGCATACCTGAGCAGGCACACCAGAGAGGAGCGATTCTATGTACGAAAATAGTTAGTCATGTTATCGAGATGCAATCAGCCAGAATAGACTCAGACTCACACTCCCATGGCATGGAAGAAGGCTAAACTGTGGCCTCCAAGAACCTCCCCTTCAAAGTTACGCTCACCATGAGCCCCGCGTCCCCACTCAACAAGATTGCGGTGAGTGAGCGGGATTGGCTTAGGGAAGTTGGTTGAGCCGGAGGAGTGAAGAATCAAGGCAACAGAGTCGGGGTCGTATCTCAGTAGTGGAACCGATGCTTCCTCAGTGGGCTTGAAGAGCTGTTCGTACGTTGGCAAAGGCTTGATGGAGACGGCAAGGTTTTCCTGGCTGATAGCGGCTTCGGCAAGCTGCTGCATGCCTTCATCGCTACTGACTAGAATGTTTTGCGAGCCGGTCTTTTGAAGGAGATGTGAGGTGGCCGCAGCAGAATTGCGAGGTGAAATGAGGAAAGCCTGCAGGGGAGAAGACAGGATTCCGTCAGAAAACTAACCACTTCATGAGAACGATAAGATGTTACCAACCTTGACTCCTGCACGAAAGAAACCGAGCATAGTAGTAATAAATGTGATAGAGTCTGTGGGAAAGCTTTAGGAAGATATAGTAAGATGTTCGACGTTATACTTACCAGCGACTGCAAGGACTGCAATTGGCGAATCGCTTTCACCAGCAACAGTGAGAGCAAGCTTGGCGGCTTGCTGAATACCGGCTGCGAGCCTCGAGTAAGTAATATGACGGACAACATCTTCCTCAGCATAGCGGTAGAAAGGGAGGTGACCGTTATGTTTGGCGTGAAAGTCAAATATCTGAGGTATGTTGAGCAACAGTGGCGGAGCTGTGAATCCTAGAGAGGGACGTCGAGCAGTTATGATGTAGTAAATGGCATAGCATTCATTGGTTTCCCATTCAGCCATGACATTGTCGAGCAGCTTGTCAAACTCCTCTTGACTTTTGACAACGCCATAGCCTCCGTCGAGCAAGACGCTGTCACGCATACCCTGGAAGGCTCCAATACGGCATGCGGCCGCTTTCAACCCTTCTATGCCACCAGCGCTACCGAGACGAACTTTGACGGCCTTTTTGGAGATATCGACCAACCCGGCCTGGTCAAGGATGGTAGGAAGCTGTTCGCCACAGTTAAGAAGCAGCTGGCGTTTTTGACCGAGACTACAAGAAAAAAAAAGAATAAGCAAGAAATCACTACGACTAGTACTGGGTCATATGACAGGACTTACGAGCAAAGCATACTGTGGAACTTTTCTTGGGCGTCACCTGGGTTATCTGAAGGAGTCAGAACCTCAGTGAGCTGAACAACACCCTCACCCGGGATGAGAGTATTCTTAATGGAACGAATGGCATTGCTCCATTCATTGTGTCGAAGTGCGTAGATGAGGAGGCGCTGGTGTGCAAGCGTGACTCGCGATTGAAGACGACTGGGCAGGTCGAGGACATTCCCAGTCTCAAAGGTCACATTGGCCGTGTTTTGTGGGAAGAGACGGTCACTGATGTCGTATGCCTCGATCTTGACGCCGGCAGGAACTCGGCCAGCCAAGTCGGACGCCCAAGCGCCAGATCCCGTGCCGAGGTCGAGCACGAGGGCTCCTTCCTTCAGCGTCAACCTGTCGTCTAACACCAAACGGCCGTCGCAGATATGATCCCGTATGAAATTATGTTGCTTGTCAAGCCGAAGCTTTTCGTGGCTATCGGCAGGAAGACAATATGGACTGTCAGGGTCATTGTGAGATACACGATCTAGGGATATGACGGAGCTAGAGAGAGAAGACCAGGGCTCGTCAAAAGGGGAGGCATCATTGAGTGTGCTGGTGTTGTCTACAGAGTCACCGTCAGAGACTAATGATGCTGAGGAGGACCAGGACAATGGTGTGCTATCAAAAGTCGCCTGAGTCGGGGTGGGCTCCGTCACTTTGGTGATGGAAGGCTCTGGAGCCGAGGTGAGCAAGGGAGCGGTGAGCATTTTAGCAGTGTAGTTGATGCACTTTAGTCAGCTCAAGGGTTGAAAGAGAAATATACTAGAATTAAAGCTGGGAACTAAAGGAAGAGATCTTGGGGTGGCGTTCGATATATAGTCATGGAAGAATCTCCAATCTGGCCCTTTCGGCAGGCAGGCATCAAGTGCCACTGCTATCCTGATTGCTTGATGTTAATGAGGCTACTAGGTATAAAATTTAGACAACTAATATTATTCTAGGCTGTATATGGGAACGGTTAAGCCAAAGCTGAATTGCATAGTGGATCCATGGGGTAGCACTATGAGGATTTGATGATCTAGAGTATACTACTGTTCCATGTCATGGTGTAAATTGCGCAGACTTCTCACATCAATCCTACTAGTCTACTTTAGTAGTGGTACTGAAGCCCTAACGCCATATCACCTCAGACGACTCCATAGCTAGGCTCTTTTCGAGACCTCTCTAGGAAACATCAGCAAACTACTTCTATTTCTAAGTTGATAATTTCAAATATAAGACCATTAGATGCCTCTGTCAAGTTAGCTTCATTGTTGATTCTCAGAGTAATAAAACACCTTCGATGGTTTGGGCGGCCATCATCCCGGTATACAAGACACAACATGAATCCACACAGACTAATACTCCGTACATCAGTTGAAACAAGATACGTGGCTTACTTTTGCCATATTTTCTCCGGATTAAGCAATTTGCCCGCTTAGGAATTAGTAGTAGATTGGAGTATGTACGCGGCCTATTATACCTCCTATAAGGATAAGGATCGTCGTGATTATTCAGATTTTAGGTCAACTTAGTGTTATAATTAGAAAAAGTAGTTTTCTTACCAATATAATTGCCAAATACCTAGCCCGATCGACGCACAAGCCATCTCTTATCAGCAGCTAGCTAATTACATGGTAGTATTATATTAGCACTACGTGGACAGACGAAACATTCTAGAAGCAATACTAAATCCAGGGCCGAGGTTAGGGTTTTACTGGGCTCGGTAGTCGGATGATATGTACAATTATTGAAACGGTACTGCCTCTAATGACAATTATGGACCATCAATTGATATTTCTTGGCTTTCACTAAACAGAACTATATTATTACGGTTTGACTAGGGTTCGACATCACTAGCCCGAGCCTTAAGGCTTAAGCTACCAGACTTGAAAACAATATGATTCATTATTGGCCTCCAAAGACGTACCGTCCAATCGCAAACTGGATAATAGATAGCAACAGTCCAGGCCCCGATACTAATACTAATGGGGTAGTATTAGCGCTCAGTTGGTAAGTTAGAACTATTAGAAGGGTCCGCTAGTGAGCTAATATAACGCTAGGCTCGTAACTACTGACGACCAGCCGCTCCTGTTCCCGCCCCTAACAGCAGATCACATCATTCCTCTAACAAATTCAACATTAGTATCTAGTGCGATACGTCCCTTTGAGTGATGTGTACATGCGGGCGACGTTCCTATTAACCAAAATGTAACGTTTTGTCATCTTTGCATCGGCTGACGTTATGATAGACCCGTCGAAACCACACGGTTTTAGCGCACCCTAGTGAGGTTGTAGCAAACGGCATTTTGATGCAGGTCTTGTATTCTTTGCAATCGGTTTTCGTGCACAAAGCTGAAGCCCCCAACAATAAGGGAAATCGGAGACCCGATCTCCCTCTGATGATCTAGTATGGTATATATAAGAATTTCCTGGTTCCATATAAATAGACATCAATTGTTCTGTCAGATAGGATTTCGGCCCCCCTGCGTCGGGATAGTTAACACGTCTATGCACCTTGTTGATAGCTAAGTTACTATCATTAAGTCTCTTATTTAGCCGTCTAAAAATTAGGGCTAACTCCACACCTTACCCCAATATCTTATCATTAAAATTTAAAGCCCAAAAGTAACGCCTAGTGCACGACGCCGTTTCTATTTTTATTAGCTTAGCTTAAGAAATATTATTTCTCTTTCTCTCCTGTGTTATTTGTTTCCTTCTCTGGATGCTTACCGGCTCGCAACGTCGTTCCAGTTTTGACCCATTTTCCTTCGACGGAACCACCATACCAGCACGGCCGTCATGTCTTCTCAACCTCAAGAATCAATCAGGACTATGACGGGCTCTGAAAAATCGGCAGAACGGACGAAACGTGAGGCCGTAGCGGCCTCCGTGCCAGTGGTTGAGTCGGCTCCCAGGGACAGCGGATTTTTTCACAATATTGATGGGGGAATTAAAGGCTGGTCTGCTGTTCTGGGAGCTTGGCTGTTCCAGTTTTCTATGGTTGGAGCAGTCACAGCTTTCGGGAGCTATCAGACCTTCTATGAGGCAACATGGCTGGATGTGAGCAATTAGTCATTGGAGCTAAACAAGCTTGCATTTGAATTGACCATCACGCACACATGCAGGAATATTCAGAGTCGTCTATTGCATGGATTGGGAGCCTGCAACTCTTCTTGGAATTTTTGTGAGAGATATGGGGCCATGTGCCATCGACATTTCCTTGGTATCAATACTAACCTGCCTTCTCCAACAGCCTTGGAGTCTTTGGCGGTCTACTACTTGACGCTGGTCGTTGGCGCCTCACCGTCGGGGGCGGTTCTATCCTCTTTGTCTTTACGTTTTTCATGCTCAGTCTTTGCAAGCGGGGCCAATACGCACCAATTATCCTGGCTCAAGGGTGAGCGAACACCAATTTCGTACTGTCGATGTGATATTATTCTGACCACATATGTTTTTGCTACAGTATCGGTTTAGGCGCTGGTCTCGGCTTTGCGTATTTGCCCGTTTCGGGAATCGTGTCACAGCACTTCACAAAACGCCGGTCACTTGCAATGGGTATCATCACAACTGGAACTTCACTCGGAGGTTTCACTTTCTCCGTGTTGACTAGCAAACTTCTAACCTCCAGTCTCGGATTTTCTTGGACAGTCCGTGTGAGCGCATTCATCGCCCTTGGGAGTATTGTGCTTGGTAACCTGCTCGTATCACAACCTGAGAAGACGCTCGCGGAAGATGAGAAAAAATCGATCAATACTAAAGGAAACCCAGCGGTGGAGACTGGATCATCACCGGAGGAGAAGGATCCATCCGGCGCCGAAGAAGCTGTGGAAGAGAAGGGAGAGAAGCCGCGCAGCATCTCGGAGCTTCTCCGGGATCCAGCATACCTAGCTATCATCTCAAGCGGTTTCATTGTCTGTCTCGGCCTCTACTTTCCGATGTGAGTTTGCGCAAAATAGAGAATCGCATATGCGAATCAATGGATGACCGGCTAATTATATTGTTCTAGGTTCGCGATCCAGTCCTTCGCGCTTGAGCACGGGATTTCTCCTGGTCTTGCGTCTTGGCTCCTTTCCATAATCAACCTTTCAGGTGTATTGGGTAGGACAATCCCAAACTGGATGGCAGACCATTTTGGAACTTTGGAAGTAAGATATGCAGTCATGAAGCTTGTTGAGGATATGCTAAATATCCACGTCTCCGTAGCTCTACGTTCCCTGCACGGCGGCAGGCGGCGCCCTCATTTTCGCTCTTGGGGGCGCTACAAACCCTGGCAGTATTATCGTCGTCTGTATCTTGTGAGTCAATCTTGGTATTGTGTGAGACAAGCTTCATTACTAACGTGGTGTTTGCCGTTGTAGATACGGCTTCTTTTCTGGTTCAAGTAAGTTTTCAGTTTATAAATCAATATTTGCAAGGCCTAACCCTCATCTCTCGCTTTTTAGTTGTCTCTCTCTACTTCCCCACCGTCTGTGCTCTTGATCCCGACGTTACCTCGACTGGCGTGCGCCTCGGTATTGCCTGCCTTCCTGTGGGAATCGCCTCACTGGTGGGTACGCCTATCGCTGAGGCTCTCGTCGGCCGGGAAAATCACTGGTGGCACGGGCTTGCCTTCGCAGGGACAGCGGAAATGGTTTCTGCTGCTCTGCTGGCGTTTGCTTGGGTGGTGGAGACGAAAAGGAAGATGCAGAGACGCTCTTGAACTGGTGCTGCTTATATCAGCATCGTCACTATAATGATCATGATAATTCAGTCGAGAGAAGCGAAACCAAGAGCTCCGTCAGTTGGTTTTTGTGTACCATATACACACAATCGTTGACAAGACCATATACGGTTATATAGCAACTACCACGTTAGCGTCGACAGAACGACAGCCCTCCAGTCAGAGGTCTCGATTCGGCCGAGAAGCGCCGTCTATTGGTAGACGATAGCCCCAGTACATATTAGCTTCAGTGTGTACTGATATACATACCATAGCCTGACCGGACATGTCAACTGCTAGTAATCATAATGATTTGACCATCTGGGTTCATCTACGATATGGTTGTACTTACTCTAGACTATCATGCCAAATTTTATCAGATGACCTTCATACAGATATTAATCACACATTCACAATGGATACTCACGGTATGGCCATATGCACATGGTTACAGATTGTCTCCCCCTTCCTAGGACCAGCACGCGGTGTTGAGACTTGATAGTACAAGGAAGAGTCTCGGGGATTCCTCGGATGAGGCTAAAGCAGGCTGTGGCCAATCAGGAACTAGTACGCCGCGAGTCAGATAAGTGGAGTTGCTTGATTCGGCCTGACGCAAGGTCTCGTGACCTGGCTAGTGGCCCGTTTCGCCCTTTCCCATATATGGTTAGGCTATTGTCCAGATGCTGCAAAAGCTGAATCAGACAAACGATCGATCGATCGACGATCCCGATCAGAAGTAGCAACCCTGAGACCTGAGCAGCCGACATCCTGCGATAGCCAACTAAGCTCCTTTGCTATCAATAATTACGCTGCCTAGCATACGGGCTTTTATTTTGGCCGCTACACACGTCATGGCCGACCTGAAAAGGGGTCCGAGTGAGGCGGTGAAGTTGTGGCTAGTGAGCCGTGGCTGGGGCTAGCGGTAATTTACCAGATTACTGACTAGTTACTAAGTACAGTAGGACGATTTAGTATCGTTTACCCATTGACCAGCGATCGACATGCACTAGCCATCACTAGCCACACCGATCGTTCTTTTGTGATTCGGATCTGTGGCTGAGGTTGATCTGGCCCCTTGCGGCGTCCAATCACAGACCGGCTTTGATTCTTCCTCCAACAAGCATCTCACAGCATGACCCGAAATTCAGTATTTTTTTCTCTTTCGTTGTCTGTATTCCGTTTCTCTACAGAGTAGATGTTCTCCCTTGCGTCACTTACCTACCGAGACAATGCTAGGATTTCTTACAGAGCAAAATCCCTTCCTATGCATCGCATACAACCAGCTCCATAGTCCTGCAGCCACGTGCTTTAGGCTTTTGACAGCTGTCTAACTACCCTTTCTTGCGGTAGCATAGGGAACCTTGGAGAGATTTGGGCTCTACCGCGGATTTGAGTCTTGAATCACAAATACAGAGTATTCTCGACGCCATCAGACGGCATCATTATATCAAGCGACAAGTAACAATACCACTACCACTAATTTTATCCAACCGTCCCGTCGGGGCGGCGATAACACGATGCAACTCGGTCCTCTGATCTAGTGTATCCGGTCCACATTTATATAGTTGACGATATTATTATGAACACCTTCCTGGAATCAGCTGAAACTAGGGCTTAGTGCGCGTGTACAGCAATCCGCTTCTCGGAGGTCACGGGAGACAGGCCGAGACAGTCAGGTATATGCATTCTAGTTAGCGGTGGCGAAACCTGGCTCTAACGAAGTACTACTGTTGCTGCTGGCCTTATTCAACTGGTCTCATTCACGCTTACCGTAGCTGGTAATAATGTCGGTTAGTGGGGTGTACGAAGCATGATATTGGCCAATCACGATAAGCGAACCCTGAAAGTTCAAAGATCTCAGTGGCAAAAAAACCCAAAAAAAAAGGTGAAAAGCGCCAGCCCCAATAAGTATTCGCATCGAGTGTATTCGAGGCCATTAATTATTTATCCGAGGCATCCTCAATCAATAATCGAGTCTCCTTTCTCCGGCACTATTGGCAGAGTCCCCTTCGCCCGAATAGTAATCACGACGGCGAAAAAGCTGATAGATATACTGGGGAGAAATCGGTGTGGACTAGCCCGCTGTGGATCCAAGAGTAACAACCTAGTCTTGCAGCCAATGTATGTCAGTGTCAGTGTCACCACTGAAATCTGTAGCCACAGCGGCGTCTTGGAAGCGACAAGTAGCCAGATACGTGTATACACATTCGCATGTACATGTGTGCCCCATAGTGTCATACGCCGTATACCCAGTTCTGGCCAGGACAGTCACAACAGTAGTCATTAATGACAGCCGGGAAAATTTTGCCATCACGTCCCCACTGCAACAGACATCTTCCCCAGCCGCGAAACTTCATTCGGCGCACTAAGTCGCACCCGGTCGAATAATTGCATCATGGACGACATGGACACGAACCCGACTTCCAGCTGCGATGGACATCAACTAAGATCCTAAGTTAGGGTCGAAGACTCTAAGCCTAAGGAGACCCGGGCATGAGGCTTGTGGCGCACATGGCCGCCATGCATGGTGCTGGCTCAGCTCGACAACTCTTTTAGGCCGAGTATACCAGGCACATGCAATAATTGCTGCCCGTTTCGGCTGCCTCTTCCGTTACAATACATACTGCGCGGTCATTTACCATACCATACGGCCTTTGCGAACCGCTCGTCGGTGCAGCTTCCTTCCATCACATAAAGTCAATTGCCCTCCCTCTCCTAAGCTTTCTTCCTTTCTGGTCTTATGGATTTCTCTTTTTGCTTCTGCCTCTTCTAACTGCACTTCTGTCCTTCTGACCCTGCTGCCTGGAATGCCAGTGCTTGAGCCCTGATCTTCGTGGCTCAGCCCGCCTGTCGTCCATCCTGCGCAACCCTCCGTATGCGATTCCCGCAGTGGCACCCCGCGGCCCGACGGGATTCCCCAAAACCAATGCCACTGAATGAAACCGCCGCCTAAGTCACCTTTGCGCTTGATCACATCTCGTCGTCTCGGTCGCCCATCTGCCTCCGACCCTGACCCGGATCCTGCCTCGTTGGGGTCGAGATTACGTTTCGTGATCCGTCGAGGCAGAAGTATCTTCACCCGCAAGTAAACGGCCCCCATTCTGCATTGTTTCGATTGCCCGATATCTGCAACGCAAGTCAGAAAAGACAAAGATCTCAGCCTCAGCTGCTTGATTCGTAGCCGAGCCTTCACTCTCCTTGCCCCCCATTCAGCACTCCCCGGTCCGGAGACACTTCAAGCTAAGATCTCATCTTAACCTACAGCCTCGCTTTCTTTGTATCTGGGCAACAGCAGCCAGGTCGAGACCAGTCCGTCGACGACCATCGCTCCAGGATGAGTGGATCAGACCATCAATTCGACCCCGCCACCATGGCTGGCTTATCAGAGGCCTCTCAGGGATCCGATGACTCCAACTTTGATATCTTCGAATGGTACCCGCGATACCAAAGCTGTCAAAGGTATTTCCTCGACTACGCGCAGCATAGCGTCCCCGTGCAGGCGCTCTCAGCCTTCCTGAACATCCAATTACCCTTCCAAAAACAATCTCATCCAATCTTCAATTCCACTTCCTCCGGTACTGCCCCTTCAGTCCCAGGACACGATACGAGGTCGGTTCCCGTGCCTAATCTACCACCATCGATATCATTGGTTCCCTATATCAGGCGCCTTGTTGCTACGGGCATGGACTTTCCTGGGGTTTTGCATGGATTTTTTGGCGATGATTGGACGACCGGCGTTGGGTCACTACATGAACATGAGCGTCGGAACTATCTCTTCGCAGCAAAGAGCGGTGGATGGGCTTCAGTGAAGAAGGATTACGATATGGGACCATCAGAGACTGTCCCATTCTTACGGCCACTACAAGGGCCCATTGATACCGAGCTTGAGGCTGCTGAGCGAAGTTGGAGCGAATGGTTAGCCATGGAAGATTGGATGGTTGGTCCCCGATTCCCAGATACACTCCAAGATTCATCTTCACAAACCTCGCGACATCGAAATTCTAGACCATAAATACCGAAGAACAGACTTGTAATACAGGTTGAGATTTACTCTACGTGCGATGAAACATTGTGCATTTTACTGAGATGAAATGAATTTTGAATGAAAGAGCCAGAGCCAGGAGTTTGTTCAGGATCTTGCATTACTTTTTGAAAGATGCTCATTCTGCGTTTGAGCCGCTAGGATTTCCAGGTTGTCCATGTGCAGTATTACTTAATCTGTTGGCATTTTACAGCGCAGCAATCACGATAGATAATTTTTTTCTTTTCTTTTCCGTTCATTTTTTAGTTTATAGATATCTACTTGGAAATTCGGCTTGCCGTATGACGTTCCATTGACAGGAAATGGAGAATAGCTGGCAGGAATCCAGCGTCAAATCACGGGTCTTTCTCTTCCTCCGGCTTTCGACCACGTTAGCTAATTCAAAGAAGCGGCTGGTCTAGCTTTGTGGTTTCATACGTGACATTTCAATACGGTCCACAGTTACACTTACCGCAGAGGCCTGGTACATGGTTCAGCATTGAAAGAAGCTCGATCTTATTATTCTATCGACGATCTACCATAGGAGCATTCGCACTAACATCTGCATCTGATAGACGTTCATAAAATTTTAGCCTTGGCAGCCATCATCATTTCTCAAAATTTACATGGACATTTTTTACCATGTACATTGGCGGAGTAACTTCAAATAAGTTTGGTCTCACGTATTATTAATGAATAGGTCGATTTGGGGCTTCCCCTTTTTTCTGCCTCGCCTCTTGGCTCGCCGTTTTTATGTGGGCATTGAGGCCAATGATCGGGCTGTGTGTGGTTCCAAGTAGTTATTCGGTCTTCTCTTCATTTCGCCACACAGCCAATCAGCATCGGAGAGGGACAATCTTGCTACCCGCTAGAGGCGTCGACTTCAACGGTCCTGCGGCCAAATTGTGGTGACACAAAAGGTGCATTACACAACTATCATTAGCCGGAATTATTGCAGGGTTGGCGAGATTTGTGGAGAGACTTTTTGGTCGACTAATTAATGCTTTTGATAGGCTAATTGGGCTTGGATCGAAACGTATTTATTGTTTGTAAGCAATATCCTCGTCCGGCTCGAAAGGTACCATGGGACGCAGCGGTTTAGAGCCGCCCGTCTTTTCTACGAGCAGCTAGTCTCATCGATGATTAGTCTTATTATTCGGTCGTGTTTCTATATTGTATTGATGCTAGTCCCGATATTCTCCGTCTAGCTCTACGAACTCTACGGAGTATCGCCGATGATAGCCCTGTCAGTCAACTTTCTTCGTTCGAAGGATGTTCGATAAACGGATTGGCCGATATGTAACCTTCACGGAGACCCATATGGGAAATTAGAATTGGATACAACTGGGCAAATCATGAATGTGGCAATGGCGTTTGAACCCAATGGGCATCAAGTAGTACTGTAGTACTTCCGTGAACGTCGGTTCTCTGATTTCCCCTCCGGTTATCCACTCGGAAGAACCAGTGATGTGGTCCGCAAAGAAGCTTCTTTGTTATCGGTGAGAAAGAAGGAGTGCTAAGATCACCAAGAGGGCCTATTTCTGGTTTTCGCCGGCGGAAAATTATTGCGGGGCCTGGCTTAAAGTCATTGTGTGTGGATATACTGATGGATAGATATGGGATAGTATTGTTCAATACACCCTAGAATTCAGCCAGCCACTGCAAGCCTACTGCGAGTTGTCGGGTTCTCTGCTGGGTCCTACGCCTCTTTGCAGTTATCCTTAGCTATGCTTGCTTGGCCACTAAAAGCCGATACATGAGTATTAGAATTGGAACGTTTAGGCGTTTCTCGTCTTACTCAACTGGTGCTTATGATTGGTCCGATCACCTGCCAATTACGAGTCATGAGATTTTAGCGTTATTGATAAAATGATATGTCTTGGTTTCTCTGTATTAATTATGTGATTAATATGTCCCATTACCATTAGCATCATCGAACATGTAGATCACTCCCAACTCCCCAGTTCCGACGAATTTCTAATCAGCCAACTTGCTGCGAGAATTTTTAGTTTATTATATCCTAATAAAAACAAAAATCGATTTGGTTTGAATTCGCCTGTATGATCCATCTCAGCCAATCACAGCAGGTAATTATATAGATTACATAAGCATGATTATCCATCAAGTCACGTGGGCGTTCTTTCATCGCGGTCGAGGCTGATATCAACAACTTCATACTTCATTGTTCGGCTCGTCGATGCGCTGGTCAGCCAAACATTGAACTTCAGTCGCCGGAATAAATCCATCGGCCTGTTGAGTAATGCCGTATGTACTGTGATATGACCGGTTTTACTTCGAGTGCTTTATTTTTTCAATCACGGCTTGCCAGTGAAGCATGCAACATCCATAAACATCAGTTATGGCAGCGCCAATTGAACAATGGAGACAATTACTCCGTGAATGTTTGAGTCGTCGGGTAGATGTGAGCGAGTTTTGCAATCTAGTCAAGCTTCTGTCGAAACGTGCGCCCTTGCCAGAAGCGGCTCTAGTTGATGTGATCCTGGAGTCTCGTTCTGTAACTAATGGCCAATATGACCCACTCATACCTTCATATGTCGACGCTCTCACCAAATTTGGGAAGCTCAAAACAGCTACAGTGCTCAACGGCCTGCGAAAACATTCGTCTATTGGAGACCAGACCCTATCTGCAGACGCCAAGGAGAAAACATCAAAGTTGTCTACTCTGATGAGCGACACTCGCATTGTCCAAGATACCATAGTACCGTTATCTAGCCCTAATCTGTCAATAACCATTCACGATGTGACTAGTATCTTTACGGTGGCTTCGGAATGGATATTGTCCCTGGTCCGTTTACATTCGAGCAGCATCGCTGAAAACCAGCAGACTGTAGGGTTACTAAACTCGCCGGACGTGCTGGCTCTGTTTGAGTCCTTGGGTATTTTGTTTATTGCGTTGTCTGCGACCGAAAAAGGTCTTGATGCGTTGTCGTCAGACATATTGCAAGGTAAGACTCAGTCTTAATTATTTGCTCTCAGTGTTTGGTATTGAATGGATTCAGGTTTCAAGATACCGCTCGGTCAGGCTCTTACCACATATCTGTCTTCATCTGCTGTTATTTCAGTGAACCTGCGAACCCGCCTTGATGGTTTGCAAAAGGCTTATCAATTGTATGGGGAGCCTCCCTCAAAAGAAATTGATCAGATGATGGATGGAATGAACATGAATACTCTTCAATTTGAGGCATCTGTGATAGATGGTCCTGTCATTAACTCTAGAGCTGGGCTATATGTATATATAAATGCTATGGTAAACCCACCTTCACGACCCATTGGTAAACTACTAACACAAGCCAGCTCATTGGTCGCCCCCTTGTTGACGATAACATGTTGTTGAATTACTTATCAAACCGCTACGGGGTAAACCTCACTATCTGGTTGTATCTTGTGAAAACAACTAACGATCGGCCAGGGCCATTATGAAATGCTTGTTCAAGAACTGATTACTGCAACCTTCGACGTTCTTTCTAACGCAATGTACCGAAACGAATCCAGTCGGAATATGTTTGTATTCCGGTCTTTTCTTGTTAACAAGCTTCCGCCATTTCTCGCCAGTATGGCCGCAACGTCGATACAGCCTATTCCAATGGAAATATGTATAGGTCATGCCTTGAATCGAGTCGACCCCAATGCCTTTCCGTCATTTTCTCAAATGTTTGAAATGCAAGGCAATACTGTGCTTTCGGATGTCCGACAGGAATTTCTGTTTTCGTGTGCCTTACATAGACTCATCCCTGAATCTAGCATTGAACGTCTTCTTGGTGAGAACCCTATGCAGACGCTACCTGTCGGAGGCCGATATGTCAAGGAGGACATTGCAACCCAAATCCACTCCAATCAGGAGCGAGCGGATCAATTGATATCCGAGATTGAGTCAATGGAAGGAAATGCAGGCGCCATCGTCGCCGCTGTTACAGATGTGAGTACTTCTCCATCCAGCTACGCTCTAGCTAACATTTGTATTAGGTCATACATTCCCTTTGTAATCAAAGAGAAACGGTTACGCTAAAGGGTATTTGTAATTCAATATCCCGTCGACCTCAGGTCCTCGACGTGATGCTCCTCTTTCGCAGTTTTAAAAACATTTTGCAACCTATTTGCTCTCTTTTGGACGCATGGAAGTGGGATGAAGATCAAGGTGAGAAATATCCCGTCCATTTACGCTTGTATATTAACAATCTACAGGCGAAAATCAGCCTATGTACGATGAGTTCAGCAACATACTACTATTGGTTCTTGCCTTTAAGTACCGCTACGACCTCAACCAGTACGATTTGGGAATCTCAGATAACCAGTCCTTTGTATTGAAGCTTCTTGATCGAGGCTCGACTAGTCTGAAGCTAGACGACCTGTCAGAAACACAGAACAAAAATCTTGGTGCTTGGATATCTGCGCTTTTCATAGCTGAGGGGATTAGCGAAGAAACCATGTCTTCTTGCAGTCCACAAGAATTTTATCTGCTTGTGGCCACCCTATTCAGTCAGACATTGGGTGCGTGTGAACTTGGAAAGTTAGAATTGGACACACTCAAGGGTGGTTTTGAATGTGCGTATCATATCTTCATAATTTTCTTCGTTATCCTGTGGCTGTGATGACCAATGGTTGACTGATTTGACTGTTGATAGATCTACTTGAACCATTTCTGCTCCCATCCCTTGTCTTCGCGCTCTCATGGCTGGGTAACTATATTTGGGAATCAGAGAACAACCCCACAATTCCATTAAAAGTGCTTTATGCTTTGGTCAAGCCAAACTCAATTTCAGGAGAAGCCGAAGCAGTCCATCGGACCGTGCTCAACATTAGCGCACGCTGCTTGGAGGAACAACTCAAAGATGTGCGGGCTCGACATCCCGCTCGCTCAGATATCAAACCGATCCTCGATGTCCTTGAGCCATATCTGTCATTCCAACGCAATGGAAGTAGCCGTCGAAGCGAATTGGACAGTTGGACTTCGCATGCCGGCGGGCTTAGCGGTTCTATACGCAACACATTCCATGGTCTTGTGCTCTGGAGCGCCAGCGCAGACATAAATATGTCTCCCCACTCCTACACTCATCGCCAGATTCTCACGGGTATCAGGCTGCTCACGGCCTCTCGCATCCTCCCCGTACTAATCGACGAGTTGAAATCACAGGCAGAATCGGGAACACTCGACCTTGCCCTAGATGTTGCCGCCACGCTAATATGCTCTCCCGTGCCTGAAGCCTTTGCCATGGAACAAGCAATGTATCACCCAGTTGACCCAAGCAAAGAGGCTCTTCCGCAATGTCCCATACTTACCCTTCGCGACGTACTCATCCTGCAGCACCAAACCGTTCCCAAGCTCTCAGAAAAGGACCCATCCCGGGCAGAAATCATTGTACGACTGACGCGACGGGTTAACTCACTCCTCGCTCCTCCCACACACGTGGACAACTTGGACGTGAGCAATATAATGGAGGACATTAATCTCGACGCCGCGACACATAATCCGATGAACTTGGGTGAAGGCGATGACACCGGAAACGGGGGCGGTAGTCTTGTGGGCGCATCGAATGAGAACATCGATCAAATCCTCAACGATGCTGTGGCGGGTGCAAATGATGGATCGGGGCTGGGACTAGGATTGGGTGGAAATGTTGATACTACAGGCATGGACACGAGCTTGGAGGACATGTTTGATGTGGCGAATATGGAGAACCCGGAGCTTTTAACGGATTTAGATATGGAAGGTATGTTTTAATCCATGATCTGTTTAAATCTATTTGAAATGTAGTAAGAGATATAGTAGAGTGGCTGCCAGCAATCAAAACATGTGAATTTTATAATAACTCAGTTAATAGGAATACACGTATTTACCAAGTCCAGTAGCATCAATTTATACAAAGATAAACCCAAAATATATATACACTCACCATCTACAGAGTCGCATCAATTGAAATAGTCCTTCGTCAGTTACACGTATCAATATTTAAAAGATACATTGTATCAATAGATACACGAGTAGCATACTCATTATTTCAATTTTGCTATTGATCCGAATTTTCTGAGCCCTACCACTCGCGTTTCTCTACAAGGCCATGTCGATTTGTCCGAAACCATCAAAATTAGGTATGATCTACACCGAGTTACACGTATCGTCGTATGAAAGAACGGTTTGGGGTAATGCAGCTATATGCGCCGAGCTTGACGAATGGTGCTCACATAGTTCCACACTCGAGATATTCCATGATCATATCTTTCCAATGAGCTTTGATCAGTTTACCTCTTATAATTCCTATTGGCGTTCGGTAACGTTGTCGTCCACACCGGAAGGACGCCTACAACACCAGACGCTCCTAATTATCGGTCAATCAAACAATAGCTCGCAGTATAACAATGTGGTTTCCAAGCTAAACCAACCTCAAAATTCTCAAAGAATCTTATCCAAAGGGGTTTCTCCTATCATCTTTGATAATTCACCGACAATTATTCGCACCTAGAACATCATTCTGCATAATCTTGTAGCGTCCCTCGCCAGCATAACCCCCTCTTGATCACTAGCTAACTATCTTCTCTTTTTTCTTCTTTCTGGCTACTTCATCGGTGATCCATCCAGCCTCAGCACCTTTAAAAGACATAGTATACTCCTTCTGCGCACATCTTCACTCAATCTACCTCTTTGTCTCGCTCCAGCCGCTCCCTTTACCTCTGCTTTTTCTCTTTAAGTCCCAAATATAATCTAAATTTAGTCACTTAAACCTAAAATTTCAATAAAGAACAGCTGCATCTCGATATTCGCAAGCTAAAAATAGTCTCTTTGAGGTGAATTTATAAGCGCACGACTTTCTATATTTATTTATTTCTTTCTTTCTCCCTTTTTATTCTTTTGGAAGGCTAGAGTCCCGCCTGACTATCGGGAAATCAAATCAACAGCATTTTGAACGATTACTTAGATAGGCTAATCCTACGACCGAGTGACCAGCTTATAGTTCTTGTTTTCCATTAATACTGTCGTTAATTTAGATCTTGTACCCGCTGGATTGAACAAGGTATTCTAAAATGTTTATGAAGCTGGGTATACTTGTCGGTTCATTGACACTTCTCTAAGTCAAAAAATAGCATGGCTTTCTATAATATGATTTTCTTGCTTCTTATTTGCTTTCACTTTCAATATTCTCAAGCTTTCCACCATAAACTTTGGTATGAAAGAGAAGTAATGCTTCATGAATATCATACAAGCTTATCCACATCTATATTACCAAAAGGAATAAACTCAAAACCTGCTGGAATCAATGTGGGGACACCTATCTCTAATGGACAGCATCACTCCCCGGATCCGACTGGAAGCTCAACCCCCCAAAACGTGCCAGGCTCTAAAAAACATTCGACGCGCAGTAGTGGAGGACAACAACACTCTTTAACTCCAACCCAAATCTTAACCTCCCCAGAAACCCCAGAATCTATGAAGATGCATTCTACAGACAGCTCTGGAGGACTGTTATATTCAAATTCAGTGTCTATTTCCAGAGGACAGACTCATTCTTTGACCCCTGCTCGAAGCGGAGCTCAAAGCTCAACTCCTCAAAAGATACCAGGCTCCATGACAGTGCATTCTACAGGCACCTCTAAAGCAACCTCTCGACAGGCCACTCGAACTTCGACCCCTGCAATGCCAAGCTCTACGTCACATTCAACTTCCGCACCTAGTTCTGGAACGATATCTCATCCTTCGACTACTTTGTTTCAAAGTTCAATATCTGGGAAAGTGTTTTCTCCACTCTCATCAACAAGTGGCCCTTCAGAAACATTGCACTCAACTTCAGGATCGACTACGGGATCGTCTTATTCAGAACATAGAAGTTTGACATCTACAAGCGGCCCTTCAGCAACATCACATCCAACTTCGGGGTCCAACGCAGAATCGTCCGATTTAGAACGTGGAGACTCTTCAGTAACAGCAGCACCAGAGTCTACTTCTCCCTCGGGAGCTGTTTCCGCGAATCCGACATCGACCACGAGTGTAGCAGCCATCATCTTTCCAGTACTCTTCGATGGACTATATAAAAACAGGAAGAATATTTTAAACAACGATAAGGACAAGACGGATTATATACGAGATATTGAAAACACCAAGAACCATATTCAGTCATTCCTGGATACTTTACCTGATCAGACTATCATTAATGATGTCGGATGCTCAGAAATGAAACGTAAACGAAGTCTGATATCTGACATCGCTGGTATAGTTGGTAATATTGGGAAACTTGTCGGTTGTGGAGGCAAGATATTGGATAACTTGAAAAAGGTTGTTGAAACTGGTCCTCCCAATATGGACGAAGTCGACGACTTGACTAAAGCGATCAAGACGATTGGAGATGATATACAAAAGGATACAGATAACAACAATCACAGCTCGAGAACACAATCTAAATCCGATTCTGCGTCCCATTCCACATCTCATTCCACGTCCACATCCCATTCTACGTCCCACTCTACGTCCAAATCTACATCCCATTCCACATCTCATTCTACATCTCATTCCACATCTGAATCATCATGTACTCAGACAGCAGTGCCAATATGTACAGCAACTATTACCCTATCGACCTCGTTTTTTCGTTGCAAGACTGGTTCAACAGTTCATACGAAAAGCGCCACAAGATGTGACACAATCACAGCATGTTCAAGGTCAGCGACAACTGTGACCACCACAATATCGGACACTGCGTCTACATACACATCGTCATGTACTCAGACGGCAGTGCCAATCTGTACAGAAACTGTTACCCTATCTACCTCATTTTTCCGTTGCAAGACAGGTTCAACAGTACGTAGGAGTACTGCCACCAAGTGTGACACAATCACAGCATGTTCTAGGTCAGCGACAACTGTGACCACCACAGTATCAGAAACCGCATCTACATCTCGATCGACATGTACTAAGACAGCAGTGCCAATCTGTACAGAAACTGTTTCCCTCTCTACCTCATATTTCAGTTCCAAAAAAGGCTCAACCGTACATACAAGTACCGCCACGAAGTGTGAGACAATCACCGTATGCTCTAGATCAGCCACAACTGTGACCACTACAGTATCAAAAACTGCATCAAAAACTTCGCCTCCCACCAAAACACCTCCAATATATCTGATTTTCAGAAATCTTGATATAAAAGATGAAGCGGTTACGTCAAATTTCACCCAGGAGCTGGAATATCAGTTAGGACCGAAGAACTTTTCGCCACTGAAACATGCAACCCTTGGGATAATTTTCTGGGCTGCTCGGCTGAATTCAAGCCAAATCACCGAATTCAACAAAAGCTCTATTGTATGGAACACCTGTGGATACCATTATTCTATTTATTTTCTAACATCTCGTATCTGTCAGGTTTCCGATATCATGCTCGACGATATTGTGAAAGTGGATATTGCTGATAATATAACCTCTAAAGCTCAGCCATCTAAGCCTTCTAAGAGAGATGATATTGTACAGCCCAACTCGTTACGCGACTTAAAGGTGATATCCCAGCCACATGATATACCTGATGTTAAACAAGCTGGTGACTACAAATATGACAGTACCGCAGGTTCAGGGGTCACTGTTTATGTTGTTGATACAGGGGCTAATCCTAGTCATCCCGAATACCGGTTTATGCCAGGAAACAAGCGTTGGATGTTCCCTGATGGCGCCCCAAGGTTTACACTCCCCCCTGAAGAGATTGATCTTTCGCAATCTGATTACTTGGATCACGGATCTTGTTCTCTTTCCAAAGTAGCAGGGCCAACTTTTGGTGTTGCTAAAAAAGTAGACGTGGTGATTGTCAAGCTTCCTCAAATAATACTCGATAATATTGGACTGCAAATATCATCAATCCTAGACATGTGGATTGAAATTGATAATGACATTAGGGCACGCCATCTTCAAGGTAAAGCAGTTATCACCTATTCTGCGAGAGGTAAGGCTATCTATTCTGAAGCTAGATAAGAGCTTACAATTCCAAGTGCATGCCCGCTCAAAACGTGCCGCCTTTCCAAAGGCGTTTGAGGAAATTGTCCGGGCCATGATAGCTAACGATGTTCCTATGATTTGTGCAGCTGGCAATGGTGGAGTAAGTTATTAGTATTGGATCTTTGGCCATTTTTTAACCAGACTAGTTCCGTGAACATATAAGGCACTATCCAGCAGCACTTGCTAGTGATATTGATGGTCTTATTGCTGTGGGGAGTACAAGCCTTAATGGACGCCTGTCCTGGTTCTCTCAAAGCGAACAATTCGTTACGGTATACGCACCCGGAGAAGATATCATGTGTGCAACAAATAATAAACAGGTGTCAACCCCAAGTTCTGGGACATCAATATGTATTAACTCCGCGGTCAAATTGGTACCAAATCAAAGCTAAATCATTGTACAGCCGGAGCCTCTGTGGCTGGCCTTGCCGCGTACTTCTTATCACTAGATGAGTATCGAAAGCGGTTACAGCACCCAGGGCAAGTTGCTAAGAATGTCGAAGATATTATCAAGAGTCTCGCGTATCCGAGAATTGAAGGAGGGCTTCCTATTTTATATAACGGCAAAGGTGGTGATGGCTGTGCCATGGATATCGATCCTCGAGATGGAACGTCTGCAGGAGCTTGTAGAACTATTTCACCGCAAACAAGCACGTCTCGGTCTTCAATAGCTTCAGGCACTTCGGCCTCTTCAAAGAAAAAAACCACTTCAAAAAAAAGCACTGCTTCAAAAACTGAAGCACCTACCACCTCCACCAAGGGGCCTACAAATGTTCCCGGGAAAGGGGGGCTACCCGGCTGTGCTGCAGTTATGTCAGTCCATGGAACATCAGCTTATTGTAACTGCGGCGGAACAGCAGCTCCTACCTTGAAGCCCACACGAGATGGAACGATAAACTGCGAGTATACCATCCAGCCTACGAGCGCTTACAATCCAAAGATACCAGAAACAAGCAA